AGGCTCGTAACTGGCGGTCTATGAAGAGAGACATGCCGCAGTGGGGCTTAATTTAAAACCAGAAAGGTCACTGCGCTAAGAAAGGTCTTCAGCTCAGCCAAAAATATAAAATGAGGAGGAGAAAGAGAAAGCAGTGGGGGAGGAGGTGTGGGCCAAGAAAGAGAGCAGAATGAAAGGAGATCAGAGGATGCCGATTGGGAAGGGGGGACCCAAGCGGGAGGAAACACATTCAAGTAATTTGGATAGACAGTGTTATGAAGGGAGAACAAAAATGGAAAATACTGAGAAAGAGGAAAACTGAGAGAGGATAATGAATTGAGCTGCAATTGAACTGGAACAGGCATAGCATCAAAACAGATGCAAGAGGTTTTTTGTTTACTTTAATGGGAGTTTTTGCAAGTAATTTGTTATAATGGTCCACAATTTCAGGGAAAAACACTGCATACGTACATAGTGAAGGATTGCCAATCTGTCCAACAATCTGTGTTGGCAGAAACACAACCCTCCCCAAGCCTTTGCTGAATTATGTTCCCTGTGTCTGGTGCTGGACCAGCGCTAATGGTCAGATGGGAAATTAGCTTTGCCATATGCAAGTCAGCACTGAAAAGGTACAACTTTGAAAACAACATTTCTGTCCAGATCAGTCTGTCCATAAACGATGATGACACTTGATTTGGCTGAGATGTGTATGTCCTGAGATGGACTTGGCCTTGACAACACTAGTGAACGGTTCAGCAATGAAGCTACCCTCCCCCAGCTCTACCTTACATTCCACAATCTAACATCCCCGTTTTCAATCACTTGTTTATCTATCAGATAGTTTTAATTGTCCACCGGGTTTTCAACTGCACCGCATTACATAAAAGCACACAGGAGCCTCATGGTGGCAGCAGCATGACAGCCCCTGATGTAAAGCCTCACGCTTTGCACAGATAAGACGGGTTCAATTTTAATGTTGCTAGCACACCGAGACGCACCAGGCTCACTTGTAAAACAGAATGCCCCCTTTGCTTGTAAATGCAGCAGCCCAAGAGGAGGGAAAAGATGGGGGTTGGGTCGGATGAGGTGGGGCTGAATTAAAAGGAGGGAAGGAATTCCACTCGTCCAACTCCTGCAATCCATCCAGCGGATCAATTTCACCTCTCAAATTCCCAATCCATTCCCAATCTCTTTTAAAAACTAATACCCAATTCCAATCACAACTGCAGTAAAGCATATCTTGTAAAAGGTCATGGTGTGACCTCGGAGTTCTCTAAATTGGATGCTGGTTGGCCCACTTTCCTTTGAAATACTGCACAGGCTGAAATAAAAACTGCCCTGTGCACAATCACACCACCACTGGGACCTGCAACCAGCCCATCAGTAGGTGTTCATTTTGCTGTGAAATATCACTGCACAGATAGTTAACAAGATGTTGGTCGTCTGTGCTGAGGGGAAACAGGTACCAGAACTCAAACCTAAACTAGAGCGCAGGGGCCCGCGAACGATTTTGGTAAAGGTGTTGTGTGTGCATATGAGCTTGCCATAGGCATCGTACAGACATATAGTGGAGCATCTCTCTTGCAGCAAGCCAAGGGAACTGATCAGATGGACGATCAAACACTAATCATTCCCTCACGGCCCATACCGAGTAAAGCTGTCATTAATTTTGCAGAATTACATCAAATCTGAGACATTCTTTATGTGGCCCACGGCCTGCAGACAGTTATACGACAGGGACTGCTGCGCTAAGCAGATGGGGCAGCTTGGCCGTGCATACTAAATACCACCGTCCCCCATTTCTCCGCCCTCCCAACATCCTGCCCTCCTTCCAAGCACTATGCTCCCGCTCCCTCTGTCTTTGTTTTCTACCCTCTTAATGCCATTTCCTGACTTCATGGTCACGCACTGCTCACTGATTACATCACTCACCCCACTGTGATAGATGTTATTAAACCTTTAAAGAAATGCTCATGTTGCCTTAATTAATACAACAGTCTTGACTGAATAAATTGCAGACCTGCGCTTGAAACGGCTCCATTCACACACGCAAAACACATCACGAATTAATTAAGTATGGTGAGAGAATAAATTGTTTACTGACATAAAAATTTTTATGTTTGGATCTTGGATGTTGACAACCCAAACAGTTTTCTTGCCTATACACAACAGAAGGTCATAATCCCATTTGAGGTTTCCTTGGCAACTGATTACTGCTGAAGGCAAGTTACAATTTATGACTAGAGACACATACCTGCCATTCCCTTTGAATGAGACATGTGGTAAGCTATATTCAGACAGACCACCTCAGGTAATAAAACTGCAGTAGCACTCAGGGGCTTTACCATTTTCTTATATTGAGAGGAATTCCGAGCCAGGCTGCTAGAAATCAGCAGACGACGAGGATTAAATTTGTGCAGAACACTTCTACGATGGATAAATAAACAACATGCTGAGGATTTTGTGCCAGAGAGAAGTTTATGTTACAAAAGTGTTGATAATTGACACTTCCCGACAAAAAAAAAGTGACTAATTCACATGGTGTTTGAGGAAGCCTGTGTATATGCATGTGCATGCATGTCTGCAAGTAGGGGGTGGGGGCATGTGGGGGTTTTGACAGACAGAGAGCCACAGCAGCAGGCAGTCAGGTCAAGATCAAGCACTTTCATGGACAATCCACTCTCAGTCTAGTCTCTATTAAGGTGAAGGCTCACATTCCTGCTGCACGTCCATCTTTTCACTGCAGACAACAGAGACACTTCAAAGTCAAGGCTATCAGAGGTCTGCCATAACGCTCTCTCAAGTAAAAAACAACACAACGGATCTCTGATAAACCCAACAGGCTCAAAGCAATAAGGATCATATATATATTCTTTTTGAGGGGTTGTTTTATTCTTATGTAAATCGGTTGAATTAAATCAAGATTAAAAAAAGCAAACACTCATGAGAAATCTGGAAGAATCTGCAACTGAAACAAAACAAAATCAAGAACTTTCTTTGCATTCCTGGGTTTAAAGTGTAAATGAGACCCACAAAATAAACAAGTGATTGCCGAATTCAATTATCCAACTGCAGAGAAAGCTACTACTTCCAGCACCGCTTTGCCCACACAGGCACAGCACACTGTTAATCTACTTAAACGCAATTTATAGGGTCTCAACATCGACAGTCCGCCTGCATAAAATTACATGAAGCGTCCTTATAGTGTCTTCAACAGACTAAATTAGCCAAACTGGACTTACTAATTGAGGAGGAGTAAAGCCCTGTGAGACTGGACTGAGTCGCCAATGAACCGAGATAAATAAGCAGCAGATAGGAGGGACATCAATAACCATAATAATATGGAATGAGCATTACTTAAGCTGTGTTTGCTGGGGAATGGAGACTCTAAATCTTAAATGCTAACTTTAATTTCCACTTACAAGTTTTTGGTTTTTATGGATTGTACTGCAAATGACGCTGTTTAACTCCCTGAAATAATCTCGTCAAATTTGATTCAAAATGTCTCAGACTGAATGAAATTACAAATCTTTTGCTTAAGTGTGTCCATACTTTAAATGATTAAGCATCTTGAACTCAGACAAGTAACTCAACTCATTTTCATTATTTATTCACCCTCTCAAAGTTCTATATTCCCAGTCTTCTGGCACTGTCATCTCCCTGCTTCGTCAGCCATGTACTGTGCTGATTTGTAGTTTGCTAAACCTTGTTGCACCAGGCCAGAGCAATACAAAGTTAGGCAACAACAGCATTAAGGGTTAAAATTTGCTCATTTATATTAAATCCTGCTGCCTGATCAAACCCAAATTTTCATCTATCTTTTACTTCATAAAATTACACAAACATTGTGTGTTAAGACAGCTTCACACCACTGTGGGACAGTCTCGGGAGGCTGTATGTTGGACAATCAGAATATAAAGCATTAGGTTTTAAAATGGTATACTGCCATCTGCTGTCTACCATTGCAACATCAGCATGCTGCTCCATTTGTACCTCACTCCTGTTACAATTGCAAAGCAGACTGTCATATGCGGCATCTCTAAAACCACTGGGGTATACTTGAAAAAGTAGGACTAACTGGTTAAAAAAGAGAGATTGCTATATACAAATGTTCTGAATGTATGTTTTCCTTAGCCAAGTAATAAGGCTGGAAAAACTTGCATCTACTCAGATACTTATTTCAATTTCAATGTAAAGTCTTTGATTAGAGTATTTTATTTTGATGCATCTATAAGTTTTCCCACAATACATTTCAAACTAAAATTTTAGACCATAGCCACTCCACTGAAATAATTTTTAAAGAAACTTTCTAATTTGTATAACAAGTTATCACAAAGTTATATAATATGTGGTATGATCGGGATTAAGATGTGCATCAATAAAAGATTTACTTATACGAGTCCCAGCTGATAAGGATTATACAGCATGCGTTATTCTGAAAAATAGGCATGAGAGGGCTATCTTTAAATATAGTGTTGTGATTGTAGCTTGTTTTGACAACAATTGACTTTCACTTGAATAGAGATAGAGTACTTTAACACTTCAACTTTGATATGAATGCATAAGAATCTTCATGTAAATCAATAAACCAACTGAAGTGAAAATCATTACAAATTAAAACAAAATACTCCAAAAGCACATTGATTAGATGCAGAGTGCGGAGAATTCAGTATTTCACAGATTTTCCTTCACAGTGTGTACATAGTGTACCTTCGTGGTTGTGACGCTGACAGCAAGAACGCAGTCACGAGCCAAAAATGTGTGAGAAAAAAAAGGAAAAAGACGTCTCAACAGCTAGTTAGAGTTACGCCACTTTCTTCCATTGTGCGTACGTTCAAGAATCGTTACTTTTCTCATCGCACTGATTTCCATTGGCTAGTCTTTAGTGTCAGGTAGCCAATGAGCCTCTGAGGGCTTTAATGCGATGAGAAAAGTATCAGAGTCCGATGAGTAGCATCATATTACACCCAACGCGACCGCTGCTTCTGTGCTGTAAGTATGGGATTTGTAGTTTGTAAGCCGACATTACAGCTGCGCGTCATTGATGTGCTGAACACAGGCTCCCACAATGCCGCGGTGACAGTGAAGCTGTCATGCTTGTGTTTTGCTTTGGTTTTTTGTTATTGTTTCGAGTTGGTGGAGCGACAGAGCCCGAAGAGGAGAGCACGACTTCATCGCTCGTTTTTATGTCAGTATTCTAAAAGAACCGAAACACCGGTATCTGGAACAGAGTGTGCGTATCTGCTGAAGTGAGCGCGAGCAAGGTAAGCGAGACATCGGAGCTGGTCGAGAGACAAAGTGCGCAGATGTCTTTTGTAGTTAACAAAGCCTGTTGTTGTCTTGGCTGACGTGCACGAGCGGCGCATGGACAAACTTGATGGAGCTAATTATCCCCAAACCGGTTCAGATCTTCATGTTATGACAGCGATGACACGGGTTTTCTCTGCTATAAGCTTGCATCTACGTGGAATGCACAGTTTTCTCGCCATGTGCTGCTGCTGTTGGGCCTCAAGCCTCGTGCTGTGCAACATGAACCCACCGAATTTCGCCTCTGGTCTATTCCTTTTTCGACGATATATAACCCATAAAAATGTTATGCAATACTGATACCAAAAAGTAAGTTCCTTGTCACCTCGATTGAGATGGCATAACCGAGTTAGAAAACAACACACCCCTGTGTTTATACTAATTTATGGACAGTGTCACATGAGATCTATATACAGTATTAAAAGTGACTGAAAAGCTAGACTAAACCCACGAGTGCAGCACATGAACAAGTTTACAGCTTTCTCTAAATATTTGTTTCTCGTTATATAATCAGAATCAGAATCTCTTTATTGTTCAAAAGGGAAATTAGTATTGCAGCCGGAGCACACAAAGACAGGGTACACAGTGACATACAGTAAGAATAGTCTAAATGTCAAACATGATTTAAAAAAAAAACACACACACAATAAAAGAAACACTATACATTTACATAGGATCACTAAAAAATAATGTTCAGTACAGAGCCAATACCAAAACTGGAAAGGATAGTAAACTGTAAAAAAGTGCGAAAATGCAATAAACAGTGCAAAGAAGAACATGGGCAACCTAAGGCCTCATTGCCATTCGGTAAATGAATCGCACTGGGGATAAATGAGATCTAAAATCTCTTAGTCTGATATAAGTCGTCTAATTAGTCCTGTGAATGTACCATAAATACAGAGTTACATATAAACTGAAGAAGACTTCATACTCAACATAATGCTATCAGAACTAAACTGCTGCCTGTAAGCCACACGTGTCTCTATTTGAGGCTGTTAACTGCAGGAGAGAATTCCTTAAAAAACGACCCACCGTGTATCTGTCTGTGGAATCTGAGTCTCACACATGCTCGAGGCCCCACACAACCGCCATGCTCACACGTGATGGTGTACAATAGCAAAGGATGTTGACGGTGACTGAAATAGCCCAAGTGGCAAACATGTAGTATGTCATGGTGCTATAAGGCCATCCACTTGTTGAGGTTAAGTACTGAGTTTAAGCTCAGTCAGGGTATCACCTTACTGCTAAAAGAAATCATCGTGGACTTCTGTCTTGTTTGTTCTCAAGCTCTCACCTCTTACCTATTTCACAATCTCATCTAATTATGCATGTCAGTATGTACTTGGCACTTGTTGAAAAAATATCTGAACGAAAAAAAAACACTTGCCATTTTGTGCATTGTTTTCTTTCCTGTAGGGGCAACATAGTCCGCCATTGTTTTGTGTTGCCATGGAGAAAGCTTGGCAGGTGGAGTTCAGAAATGTAGGCTGCAGTTACTTCCCTCAGAGCAGAGTCGACTGCCACTACACACTAAAATCACAGCACAGCTGGACCAACAGTGACTGGATAGGGCTCTTCAAGGTATTGTTATCATGAGTACTGTCACAAAACGGAGAGAATAATGTGTTCAAGCTGCTAAATAACCATGTGTGCATGTTCTCTTCCTCAGGTGGGATGGTCATCTGTGAGGGAGTACCACACCTTCGTTTGGGCACTGGCCCCGGCTGACTACCAGGAGGGCACAGATGTCAACTGCTGTGTGCACTTCCAGGGTACTCAAACCCGTGTTTTCTAATTGTATTTAATTTCCCATAGTTAGTGAGAATCTATACCAGAGCAGTGCTTACATCTGCACATTAAGCTGTCAGCAGGAGATTGACGTTCCTGTAAACTGAATCGCTCTGTTGTGTAAAAGGCCGGTGATTGAGTTGAGTATTGAGTTGAGCACAATGCTAGTTATTTCTACCTTATAGAGTATTGCCACTGGTGTAAAAAAAAGGAACATATCCGGTTCAGAAAACAAGTATCTCTCCTAGATTGTTCTCTGACAAAGACTCAGTCTCTTGTCTTTTGAATGCAGGAGGTTGAGTAATGTGAATGACAAAGACAATGGTCACTGCCGGGTCTCACTACCAGTGCTCAGTAGAGAATACAGTGTTCACTCTGTCCTGTCCGTCCAAGGCAGCTGATAAGACTGATTCAGTGCGGGGGTCACGTGTGCAGCAGGTGTGGCATCGACCTCTGACAAAGTGATTTATCACTAACTACAACATATGGTCAATGTCACTCTTCATTGGAAGAAGGGTAGAGGAGGGAATGTTAAAAAAAAACTGCTGATGGTTTCTTATCAGTGATGATGTATTGACAAGGTTCCCTGCACAGTGGCCTGAGCCGATACTTTAAGTTACAATACACCTCATAAACTCTGCCGCATGTCAGCATACCGTCTGGTCTATTTACTGCACAAAAGTTATGGAATAGAAATTCTTAGTAAATGACTCTAAACATGAAGTTACAGCCTATGTGAGATAAGGATGTTATTTGATTGGCTCACTTTATGGGTTGGATGGAGTCAGAGGTTACAACCAGCTGCTCTCTGGTCAGACTGGGAGGCGGAAAGCAAAACAAACCAGTTTCTGCTTGCTGGGGTGAACACAAAGAGAAGATTGCATTGTCAAGGATGATCAACACATGTTTACAAAAGCAAGTAAATAAGAAGTCAGACAATTACCTTTTCGGACTTTTTCATTTTACCCCTGTGAACTAATGTCCTGTAAGTTTATGTGTTAAGCCTAGTTTTATACAAACACTGGGAGACACTCCTGGCTATGGTTCTTGGGTGTGGTAAAAGAAAAAACTAATTTATCACCAAAATACTATTATTGAGGACGGACAGTAACAGTTATTGTGCATGTGATTTAAAACTCAATTGTGACATTACATAACTGTGGACATTTGTTATTTTCAGCATCCGCAAATAACTTTAAAAAAAGTGTGCCCCTGAGCCTCCTGATGTTTTCAACTCTACACTAGAAGCAATAATAAATGTGATCTCAAGACAAAATTTCATATTGACAAACTGCAGTACGTTGGAAAATAGAAAGTAGAATTAGTGATCGTGCTGTTGTGGCCTACTGGGATGCATCGAATTGCCCAGGAGTTCATAGTGTTGTGGCTACTTGTTCGTCAGTATTAACCAATTTAAAAAAAAGCTCCAGTGAATTATAACTTAATTTAACACCTTACTATTCATGGATGTCATTTTTGGTAGGATATGTGTTAACAAGAGGCATATTTGAACGCAGTTTTATGAGCAGTAACTTGCTAAATACTGTTTGATTTTTGAGAAAACATTAGCTAGCTTGTTCTTGACAAAGCGTAGCATACATGTTCAACAACTGCATTTTGGGGTGAGACAAAAGTAAACTATCATTCTCCTTTGGCCTCAGTTGTTGCGATGTGAGGCTTAACACAACTACTGAATCACGGTACAGTTACTCAGTTGTCTAAAATTTTAAGGACACCTGCAGGAAGTAAGCTAGCTCTAATACTGGACCGTTGAGGTGGTCTGCCAGTCAATGTAAGCCATAACCCTACTCATTTACTATTTTAATGGAAGAATAAGAAAAGTGAAACTCACCTGAGACAAGTTCAGCTTCTTTGCCATAGATAGGGTTGATAGGGTCCATTTCATGTGGGTCATGTCAAACAAAACATTAGCTAATATGTGCATGTGACGCCATCTTTGATCCCTCACCTGTGCAGAAGTGCTGCCTCAAGGGATCAGCAGCCATATTGTAAACAAGTTGCACAATAGTCCACTTACAGGGTTTCTGCAGGTTTCAACAAGTCAATGAATACAATTTCAGATCCATATTATATCCATACTGGCAAAAAAGTACAACAGACATAAAGGGAAATCAGAACATTTTAAACTAACTTCAAATCAATGTTTATTTGTAGGTATCATTGATACATTTTTAAGACCTTTCAAATTTGTATTTAAGACATTTTATGAGGTTTTAAGAGAATTTTAGACATTTTAAGGCCTTAGATAAAAATTTTTGGATTTTTGACATTTTAAGACTTTTTAAGACCCAGCAAAAACCTTTCTCAAAACTATTTAACTATAAACAGAAATTAAAGAATAACATTTTTAAGGATTTATGCACCAGGCTATTATTACTTAATACTGCCAGACTGTAAAGATATATGTAAAGTTATGTTCAAAGGCAGTTAGCACCCTCCGAAATAGAATATATTTCCTTCAGTCTACTTGTTTATCTGTTTTCATTGTACAATTATATCACCATTTCAGTTCATTAATTGTCCTTTTCTTCCACTCTCCTCAGCCTCCTACCTTCCCAAGCCTGGCTCTCAAGAGTATGAGTTTGTATACATCGATGCTAAAGGAGAGGTGTGCTCCTGCAGCTCAAAGTTCACGTTCTGTGCCCCCAAACCCCTGGAGGATCTGGTGACCCTTGAAGAAGAGCCCCATGGAGAGGAGGGAGGCACAGACATGTTACTGGTGGTGCCCAGGGCTGAACTGCTGCAGGTGAGCGGGACCAAAACAAAGCAGATTAACTAGACAGGGTTGTGAAGGAGGGAGTGTATTTAGTTTTTCTAAATTTATGTGAGCCGATAAAACGCATGTGCTTAGAAATCGATGTTGTCGTTTAACACCGGCACAAACAGACTTAAAGCACATTAATGATTTCCCTTCCGTCTCTTTCCAGAGTCGGCTGCAGGAGTGTTTGCGAGAACGGGCTGAGCTGCTGGAGGTGCAGGAGGCAGCAGACAGGCAAAGGGAGAAAGAGAAGGAGGTGTACAAGAGAGCAAGGGAGGCCTGGGACAGACAACACAGAGAGCTGGAGAGCGATATTGTGAGGCTGCAGGAGGAGCTGTGGCAGAGTCGAGACAGGATGGAGATGATGGAGAAGAAGCAGAAGGTGGTGTATAAATTTAGGCAAATGACAGGGCTAGGATCATTTGATTAGCCCCAATTTGCATGTTTCCATTTCCCTACTCTCCTCTTAATTTGTGCTCATATTCTCTGATCAAAAGCTAAAGCCTATACTACGATAAATCCTGGTCTTTTAAATGTACAGTTTCTAAATAAAGTGTTGTTGTAGTGATATGAGGATGGTTAATGGAAGATATTTCCTCATGGGTGTCTTCATCTATAACATGGTAAACTAAAATTCCACATAAAATGCCTCTAATCTGTTAGGAGGAGAGGGCTTTAGGAGAATCACTGGCCCAGGAGAAAAGCACTTTACTGGATGCGAGGGAGGAGAGCAAAGTGCGAATCATAGAGCTGGAGGAGGATATCAAAGCCCTGACACAGAGGACTGTGGAAAGAGAGACAGAGTTGGAAAGGTATGACAAATAATGTCGCCTCCCCTTATTCTTCTTTAAGGGCTGTGTGGGTCTCAGGGATACTTCTGATTGTCAATAACCGAATCTGTGTGTGTGCAGGATGAAGGAGAGAGCTAAGAGGGCTGCAGCTCAGAGAAAAGAGGAGGAGAGTGAGAGAAAAGGCCTGCAGGTAATGACACGACAAAAAATGCCATAAAGTGTAATCAAATCTGTCTCTGTTTTTGCTTTATCTCCTCTTTTTCTGTCATTTGTTTCCGTCTTGCAGACTAAGTTGGAACAAACAGAGAGCGAGTTGAGAAGTCTGTCCAAGGAGTTTCAGGGCCTGAGGACTTCACTGGCCCAGAGAGACACAAGTGTCCTGCAGCTCCAAAGCACCATCACCACCCTGACCCAAAAACTCACCACCGCCCACAGGAAAGAGGTCTGATCGGAGGGTCAAGTTTTTTTTGTAAACAGAATGAAAGTCTTACACACTTTATTTGGAACTACTTCTTGATACCTCTTAATTTGGAACACGTAGTCCTCAACTTTATGATTCTGGCATACCTTTAGATTCATTATGTGCTTTATGATACTGTATGTGTCCATGTAGGGCTGGGCGATATGGCCTCAAATCAATATCACAATATATTGAGCAGTTCACCTCAATAACAATAAATGGATGATAACTACTTCACAAACTGCTCACCTTTTCCCACATTAACTTTGTCCACTTCAGCAGCTACAACTTTTGAACCATCCTCCATCTTCTCATCTGTCTTTCCCTCTTTGTTACGGATCAACATAGGACAGTGTCTTAAAGGGACGAGAGCATAGCCTACCTACACACATCCAAAACTAACTTTTATTTATTTGTTTGACACCAAATATATTGACATGGGCAAAATGACATTGGTTATTGACGTAAATTTCGGTATCTGTAAATCTTCGATTTATCGCCCAGCCCTATGTCCATATCATTATTTCTACAAACTTTGATAGAACTGACTTAAAGTACGACCTAACAGTCAGTGTCAATTTGTAGTTTCAAAGCTGGCATTTTGTTGCAAACCATTTTCCTATGTAGCCAACGCAACCTCTTGCTCCCTTATGATCAGGCTGAGAGTGAGACAGCCTGGAAGGAGATGCGCAGCCTGCGGGAGCGTCTGAATGCCAGTGAACGCGCTGCAGAGGGTTTAAGGAGCGATCTCAGTGCCATGGTGGCCCAGAGGGATCAGGGGCAGGCTGAACTGCATCAGGCTCGTCTGCAGGCCGCCCAGCTTACCCTGCAGCTGGCTGATTCCAGCCTGGCCCTAAGAGAGGGGAGAGCTCGGTGGACCCAGGAGAGGCAGAGTCTGCAGCGCAGTGCTGAGGTATATAGTACAGAGAATCTGAAGGGGAAAACAGAAAAATGTAACATATTATTGGTCTGATTTTTATGATCCTTTGTGGCAGGCAGAAAACACTCTCTGAAGTAAATATGCTTTTATCTTGTGAATGTGTGTTTTAACCCAACAGAAGGACCAAGAGCGTGTAGAGAAACTCAACATAGAGATGCAGAAAATGGAGGAGAGGCTTCAGGAAGAAACCATGGAGAGAGTCAAGCTGGAGGTGGAGCTTGGGAGAGAACAGGACTGTAACAGGGTAACAAAATCAGCCAAGACCTAATAGCAACTAATCTTTCATGTTTTTTTTGTGAATAGCTTTTAGAAAAATTGAGAAAATCAAAGAGATCCATTTGCTAGATTCCCAAAGCTTCTCAAAACATTCCTGTTCTGGTGCTAAACACTGTAGCTTTCATGATTCTTGTTGGCATAATGGTTGCTTCACCTGTTTATGCTAAGCTAGGCTAACTCTCTGATTTTCCATCGACCAAACAGAAATGAGAGGTATCAGCCGTCATCCCCAACTTCACCTTCAACTTCTATAATGAAATTCAAAATATCCAAAAATCTCTGCAGGGTGCTATTATTATTATTATTATTATTATTATTATTATTATTATTATTATTATTATCGTTTAATTGCACTGATAATTACTCTGTTTACAACACAGTTGTCATTCTAAGCTTACAGCTTCTTTTTCAGTCGTCTGACATATCCTGTTGTCTTCTGATATGCGCCCCTTAGGTTCAACTGAGTGAAACTCGCAGGGAGCTCCAGGAGCTGAAGGCCAGCCTGAAGGTGGCACAAAAGGAGAAAGAGCAGCTGAACGCAGAGAAACAGGTCAGAAAACTTTCAGATGAGGAGGAAATCCTGTATAATAATGTTTTGAAATGTGTTTACTCCTGTGTTATCACTGTAAGGATGCAGAGATACCAACTTTATGACCTGTTCTGTATTTATCAGCTAATTAGGCTTGAATGTTAATGAAAGGCCTCTATGGATTAACAAGTAAATCCTCGCTGTTTTATTCTAATCAGCTCATAACTGCAGCACTTTACTCATTACCTGCCTCAACTTTGTCGAATTGCGCAAGATTTTCAACCACTTAAGTCAAGTCCCACTAAGGATAATAATTGTTTTCTAAAAGCTCTGTATAATTTCATATAATGTATTCATACCCTGAAGCTTACTGGTGTATCAAAAACACGAGTACATGGGGATCGTGAATGTCCAGGTGTTGGAAATCTTCTGTCTGTTGTTGTCTTCTTGGTTGTTATTGTGCAGTATAAATTGTTTATGGTGCCGTATAAATCAGTGGATTTCAGGGCAGCCAGTGCTGCTGCTGTTAAAGTGCCTGCAGAGTTTTTGTTGGCCTGCCACATCCACATTTGCCGGCTACTGGCAGAGTGCATGGTCAATGTTTTTAAAATCAGTGTCCAGCTTAATTTTAACAAGGACCATATGGGAGCATAGCAGGCAATCTATGGCACATCATAAATCAAACAAATGTTTCACTCTTCATTGAACAGCGATAATAATATTTATATAATAGCAGACATTGTGTTTGTGTGTTTCCTGTGTAACGGTTTTTATGTTGCTTTGGCTTGAGGAAGTAGGACATCATGAGGGTTATGAGGGTGACGGCTGTGAAGTCATGATGAAAGTCCTGCCCGGGTGTGTGATATGATGGCTGTATTTTCCACCACAGGAGTTGATGGAGTACATCTGTCAGCTGGAGCAGAAGATGGGTGCGGCGGCTGGTGCCAAGTGGAACGCTGCCCCGACTGCTTCTACAGGTGAATGGACTCACACATTAATCTACTGTATGCCCTGCAGATGTGAACAATAAAAGTGCTCACTATCATTCAACAGCAACACTAAATATTGTTCTGAGCGGCCAGTGTTGTAGGAAACAGCAGCGGCTCTCTGAGGAAAAGTGATCGCTTTTTTGTTTCGGACTGGCAGGTCAGCCTGGCAGCGCGTTTTCGGACTCTGAAGATGAGAACCCCGAGGCTCTGCAGCCCCTCCGCCCAGCCAGACCTCTGGGACACTACAGCCTGTGCGAGCAGAGCGAGCCAGACTCCCTGCTCCTCGCCACCCCTCCTCCTTCCCCCCGGGAGATGGAGAGGAGCGCGGTGGTCATCAACCAGCCAGCCCCGCTTTCTTTGCCACGCCAGGCAGGCACTGACACACTGGCACACAGCTCTGACTCGGTGAGACCTGCTATCTGAGCCATTCAGCGTCACCATTGTGTAATTATATGTGATACTGAAAATGAGCTATGTCCTCCTGCTGATAGCTGCGTGCTCCAGTTAAACACAGGCAGTGGATCGTTTGATACAGACATTATCTCCTCAAAGCAATTAGGTTGCTAGTCTGCAAGTTATTAGACTGTAATAGCTGCTGGACAGATATGTTTTAACTGTGCGTGCCTGTGTGTGTGTGTGTGTGTGTGTGTTTTGTTCTCCGGTGTTAAGGAGGAGGAATCTGATCCTCTTCAGTGTGGAAGGCACAGCTCTGGAGAGGAAACGGTGCTTTTGCTGGCTGAGCACACAGACGCTGTCCTCAGGTACAACCTCACACGCCAAGACATGCACATAAGAGAGAAAAAGGCATTACTTTCAACACATCAAAATAGTTATGCTCCATAAAATGCCCCTGATTCAAAGGTAAATGCATTTGTTCACGCAAATCAGATTTATTTGCAGTAAAAGTCATCAGTTTGAGGAGGAGGTTTTTCACCATTTACTGTAAGCTGTTTAATAGCTGTTATACTCAAAAACTACTTTGAGGTAGTCATATTTTACCATGGTAATTCCATTTTATGCTACTTAGGACCTCCTCCACATCCTCCAGATGGAAATATTTAACTTTTCAATAAAATATAGTCCACTGCGAGGCATCCAAACAGTTGTGCCAAATACAGTTGGCTGGTTATATACTCCAGATATATATCATTTTGGCTGTGACCTTTTGTCATGTCATATTTCCTTATCAAGAGCTCCACCAGAGGAGGATTTTATTTCTCAGATAGTTTCATCTAAATCAAAGTTGAAGGCACAAAGACATAATGTGTTGAATCAAAAACAATAGAAGAAGAAATGTCCCTCCTGAAAAGTTGTGAAGTGTATTTTTTTCTCCTTTTTTTCCTTCTTTTGACATTTTTCATCTTTCTGTTTCCTGCCCCTTCCATCATCTTAAAATCTCTCAGACAGTGTTTGTTTTATAGGCAGGAGAGCACAAAACGCAACCGTCTGTGATGCTGCACTGTTGTTTAGTGCTTCATCATAAAACAAAAATCAGACACAGAGGCGAATTTTTCTGAGACAAAAAGTTTGACTTCTACTTGATGCATAGATTTGCATTCTAATTCACACTTTTTCTCATATTGCCGTTAGGGTTCCTTTGCAAGTATGGAAAGTATGGAAATAAATTTGATCATTTTCCAGGTCTTAAAAAGTATGGAAAATTAAAAAATGAAGTATGGAAAAATATTTGGTAACACTTTATGCAACACCTATCTCTGTAACGCATTCTAAATATATGTATAATACGTTATAATCACATTATAGCACTGTATAAGTATAGTTATAAACACTCATAAATGATCATAATGCTTTATAGCAATAATCAGAATACATTATAAAACATTTCATCATGACTTACAAAGTCAGATATTATAATGTGTTATAACTGTTAATAACTCACTAACAATGCCCTCATAGATAATACAATGCAACTGTTGTTAACAGTTATAACACATTATAATACCTGACTTTGTAAGTCATGATAAAATGCTTTATAATGTGTTATGATTATTGCTATAAAGCATTATGATCATTTATGAGTGTTTATAACTATACTTATACAGTGCTACAACCTGATTATATAACACATTATACATATATTTATAATGTGTTATAGAGATAGGCTTCAAGCTAAGTGTTACCAAAATGAAAAATAAAGTATGGAAAAATATTTGTTTCCAGACTATTACCACAGTTAAAAGATATTTCCAGAAATAAATCCAAAAATAATTCTAAAAAGTAGGGTACGGAAAAGTATGGAAATTCCAACAGTGGAGGAACCCTGTGCCTTTAATACTATTAATGTTATCATTACATGTCATGTAGAAATATTTGATTTTGCAGTTGTACTATTGTGTCATGAAAACCACTGCAGGTGCATCCTCCAAAAAGTCCAAAAATGAATGAGCACATGGACCTGCTACTTTTCTTTCCTTGTATCACATTGTAAGATTTAGGTAACCTTGTATACCTACTAATGAGAAGAACGGCAAGTGACGATTTTAAGTATCACAACAAATTGAGCACAGTGGAAGATTTAATGTTCAGAAACTGAGATTTGCATAACTGACTGCATATTAAAAAAATCTTTGAGGCCAAACAAGCCAACAAATTTCTTCCTGTCATGCTGGCTAGTTTTAAACTCTAGCAATGCATCATATTTTATGATGCAGTGCAGAACTTGATTTGTGTGTAAAACCTTACTCTGCAAAGTAATATGTGAGCAGAGCTGCAAAACAAACGCTGTGGAGTAAAAAAGTATCACATCTCCACCCTAGATGAGGAAAAATGTTCCAAAATAAAGGAATTAATTATTTTTACTCTTACTCCAACACAAGTAAGTGTGCCTAGTTACTTTTTACCTCAGCTCTCACACAAAAAGGATTTTATGTGCTCACTATGAATTCAGAGCTCGCTAATGCACACAGACGTGTCATGTGACTTATTATTTATGGCGACAGGGCGAATATGGCTGGAAGATGGAAGTTTTGAATATGTGCTCGTAAAAGAAGTTGAGTCAGGGTGCGGCGAGGGGGAGGCAGCGTGAGACAGAAGAGGGGGCAAGATGGGAGGACAAGGGGACAGATAAGTTGACAGCAAGCTGTAGCAATGATTTACCTGATGGGTGTACCGCAGTCACGGGCCAATTTTCAGCATCATTAAAGCTCTCTCTCTCTCTCCCTCTCCCACTCAGCCGCTCTTTTAGTCTAACCTCCTCTTTCAACCAGAATGTGTGTTTTTTTTTTTTTTTTTTTTCCACCTTTTTCAACACACACGCACTCTCTGCTTTGTGTCTTCTCTTAGTGATCTGGCCGACACATCGCTATGGTAACCTGTGGACATCCAGGCACAGCCCAGTGAGCGATCAAAAAAAAGAGAGAAGTCGGACTTTGTGGGAGTGAATGTGCTTCCACGTTATCTCCACTTACAAGCACAAACACTACACTCACACAGACAAATGTTAATATGCAATTTATCTTGATCTGCTTTCTGCTGCAAACGTTGATTTCTTTTTTCTTCTTCTTCTCGGACTGTTGTGTTATTGCTCCCGCTGAATGACTTCACGCTCGTGGCAGCAGGTCAACACCATCTTTATGGCTGACATAAGACTGTTGCACAGTTTTAGGCTCGGGCTCTGGTGTTTGAGAATTTGCCGGCAGTAGCTGAGTGATTCCTGTTGAATCATTGCATCGCTGAGAGCTTTACGACGGATGTTATGTCGCTTTTATGACATTTGTGATTAGGAGTCATGACAGGCACTGTAATTATGATGTTTTGTGCAGGGGCCCCGGCTCCACTGGAAATCATGGCAAAACTCCGCTTCAGCTTTAAATCCTCCACAGCAGCTTCGAAACACTATTCATAACAGCATAACGTAAATGATACGGCATCACAGCTAGAGTTATATTGCGGTAATATAGGTCTATGACATCATATTTCTCCTCCATTTACTCAGAACTGAGATTTGATATGCACTTTCTTGTAGGCATTAGTGGTTGATTGTTGTCGCGCAGATGCAGTTTAGGAGATTTAGCAATGCAGAGGCGTTTTTAGATGGACAAGCGATGGAACTAGAGAGCTTATTGAACAGATTGTGTTTAAAGTCTATGAAGATAAATGCCAGATGCAACTTTCTACTTCAATAACTTCATATCATTATTATAAAAAAACGCTCATAAGGCTTTCACTCTAGATCAGCTGCAGATTTAACATGATTATAATCCTGGACTTCATTGTTATTACAATAAAATGCTAATTTACAAGCTACTCAGTTGGATATTTAGCGTCGTTACAGTTTATATTGTACAGAAATCTTATCATACACCCACACATCTCTAAATTTGTGCCTAAAATGATTTAAAAAAATAAAAGAAATCATCTTAAACAAATCCAACATCCTTACATGTTGTTGGTGGTGTTCCTTTCGCCCTATGGCAAAATACTGCCTAATAAAAATGGTTGCCTACCTTTTAATCAATACTGTATGCATTTTTCATGATTTTCTATTTATAATTAACTTGAGTTATTCTGCAAGGAGATTATATTCGGATTTTAGTTTGAAATAGGTGTTTGTTTCTCACACGACTCTTTGTGCAATGTGTGACAAAACTTTCCCTGCCTGGCTCTGAGGATTTGCTAGACACTTTGATGCTTGATTTTATCTGCTGTATTTGCACCCTATTTTTACTAGAGAAGAGATTTTAGATAAAAAGTTGCTATACGGATACTAAACGTCTTTACATCTATCATGCGTCTTCTTCTAATCATTATCCTAATCATTATCGTGGTGTGTTGTGTTTACGCATAATGTAAACTTAATGTCAATTTTTTTTTTGTTTTACCGTATGTTTTCGAATACTCACTCTTTTAAGGTTTGTATTTGGGTTATTCTGTTGCGAGGTATTGGTGCTAGTGAAGGAGGATGTTACCAGCGTGTTTAGTTAGAAATAAATTGACTTTTATGTCTGAAAAGAGCTTAAGCAGGAAGGATATGATTAAACAAATCGTGAAAGGAGTAAACACATTCAAACCTCTCATTTACCTTGTGTCAGTGGTGGTGTTACAGCATGTTAACTCTCCTTTTATAGAAGTAGACATATTATAAGGGAGCTTGGTATTCTTTCCTGAAGGATAGCACACTACATGTATTCTCCATCATCTTCGTTTGTGGTTGTAATCTGACTTTATGTCTCAAGGAACATTTTTTTTGTCGTCCCTCTGAGAGCACCTGCACTCGTCCCCCATTGCAATAAAGCTCTCGTGGTTATGGTTTGTTTTGAAGTTTTGTGTGTGACGGTTACCCCACATGTACGCCACCCCACCTTGTATTTTCTTATCAGTCATGTAACAGGGGTTTGGGCGGGGTTCTGTATAATAAAATGGTTTATGTATCCATCATTGGGTCTAATGTGTCTTTTTCTGGCCAAAGATCATAGCAATATTTTGATCCTCACATGACATTTCACTGGTAATTAACTATGCCATTTCTTTTTCACACTGCTATATAGCCGGTATTCCCTTTTGGCTCATTGCCTGTCTCAGATTCATTTCTCATTCAGGATTTTTCTCCCCACTCACCTTTTGCTTTTCTCCCCTCAGGCTCAACCTCCTCATCATCTTCCTCCTTGTGCCTCCTTTCCTCCTCCGGCGGTCTCCTTCTCTCCGCTTTTTAAGCTCTCCTCACCGCACTCCCTCCATCTTAAGTCTGGGGTGACGATAGCTAATTATAAAATCAATGATGCCGGGCTGCCTAGTTTACAGCCCCCTCTAAAACCTTAACTGGGAAATCACTGTGGGATTGATGACTCCCTCACTCTTTATCTCTTTTAATTAGAAATGTAAAAGATATGAAGACCCAGAGGCCAGAACACATCTCCTAGTTTTTATGACCCCGACGCCGCCTCGCTCCCCTTCCCCAAATCACTCCTCTTCCTCCCTTCCTTCCTTCTTTCCACTCTCTCTCTCTCTACCTGGCCTTGTTTATTTCCTCTGCCCCCTCCCTCCCTGCTGGCATACTCTCCATTCTCTTTCTTGTCACAGATACCTTTACCCGTTTCTCCATCACTTTCTCCATTACCCTTTCTTTCTTTAAGATGGCACGCCTGCCTGTCTGCTCACCGCACAGGAGGAAGGTGTTAAATTTATGGTCTTTGCACTTGAAATGTTTCTCACCTTCCCTTCACCTCTCCTCTCTTTCCTTGACTGATTCCTCAACCCTCTATGGATTCACTGCATGTGTAACAAATGAGGGAAATGTCCTTTTTGTCTGTTCTGATTCAAGCAGGAGACACACCTTGAAGGATGCGCTGTTTCACACCACGGCTCTCATCCCATGTCCAAACAAACCTGCTTTCTTTTTTTTTTTTTAACCACATCAAACCCAGATGCACCTCCTCTTTATATCCCACCCAGAGCCCAGGACGTTATTCCCTAACCGCTACCAGGAGCACTTTGGATCACTGAGCTTTATTCTCCTGATCACTCTCAGAGGAGCTCCATTATCTCTCGTGTATGTTGACTAAAGGTAAGGCTGCAGTTTGCTCACGTTCAGAGCAAACCAAGCGGATGTGCAGCTCTCTCTCTCTCTCTCTCTCTCTCTATCGCTCTTACTCTCTGGGTTTAAAAATTCAAATGAGTTTCTTTGGTATGCCGCACTCATGACCTACTTTTATGGAATCTTTACTATTTTTATGAATAATTGATGCCCTGAGGCTGCAAGAATATTACAAGGGAGATTTTTTACCCTTTATTAATTCATCTCACCTTTTTTTCCAGGGGCCTTTCTTTACACATTTCCATTTTTCCCATTTCTAGTGAACAAGCCTTCCTTCCTACCTACAGTAATTAGTTAATCAAGTATCATTGATGTGGAAGGATGAGTATATGGAAGTCTTAGACCTGGTGCCTTTAAATTCCCCCAAACCCTCCCTCAGGTTTCCATGACAACATCCTACAAAAAAAGGGGATAAGGGGAGGGGGGGTATATCCATTTGATTGTTCCTTGTAAAATAGTGTGTAATGTATGGGCCTTATTTTAATTCCAGTCTGGTGTTATTGATCTGTCTTTAATGATAGTTAATTAAAGCAATCGTATAATTGATAGAATCTCATCTCTGTTTATCACCCTCCTCTGATCCTCTCTTTCCCTCGCTCCGTCTTTTCTATTAATAAAATCAAGGTGAAGCATTAGTATCCCACACTGGTGCGCTGGAAAAAGATGGATGTTTACTATCAGTAGCCCTTTACAGAAAGAAATCCTGTTATTCATCAGAAAGTCAGGGAACATCAGGAACAGTGATGTTGTCAAGGTTCGTCCTCTTAAGGAAATAATTTTTTGAAAAATATTGATTTTTGTTCATATTTATCAGGCCGATCTGATTAAGTGTAGTCAAGAACAGCTTGTTCTGAGTTATCTTGTCTTAAGTGTTGTTTGCATGGCTATATTCAGGCTTCTGTGACAATCAAATATGACAACTTTGAAATGGTTTGATGTCCTTTCATATTTCACAGCTCTTTATCAAAACACAGTGTTGTGTTAGGCATCCAATATGATCAGATATAAGACAAACAAATCCACAAAAACGTCAGACCATATGCTCTTCTTATAGTTTGAAACATCCCTTCTTAGTTTCCGAGCTAATTTCTTGAGATATGATCATTCTTGGACTTTTTGGTTTTATTCAGTTGGACAGCTTAAAAGGGTGGGAGATGACTTGCACTAAATGCTGTCAGGATCAGGAGTCGATCAATTTTCCTACTTTGTGTGCCATTGTCTGTAACCTCTTTGCATCACTAACTGAGCTAAAATTAGCCAAACTTAACAATTGAAATATGATGTATCTGGTGCATCTAGCAGCAGAGATATGTTTTAATTTTGCTTCCTTCTGTCTTATAAAGATTTCCCACATTAAGAGAAAAGCATTGGGGCGGATTAACCCTTTAATGCCTTTTGTATCATATTTATATACATACTTTTATATACTTCTATCAAATCAACATGATCATCAAATTACTATAAAAAACCACCTGAATACAGTCCGATAAATGCTAAAAATGTCATCTTTTAGTTTATTAGTTTCCAAAAACATCTAATATATCAAAAAAGATAAATAATAATTATATTTACTAAATTTCTAAGGATATTTTAATTTTTTTGTTTTTTAGCAGTAAGTGAAATAAACATTTCAGCTCCAAAAAAAATTGAATTTTCAGGCCATAATTTGTGGTTTCAGGCATCAAAGGGCTGCCTTTTTCACGCCCACGCCTTTCCATCCTAGCTAAAAAAAAACAACTACAGTAAAAAGTTAGTCTGTCATGTTTTTTTAAGACTACCGCCTGCACTCTTCCAACTGCAGAGTGAACAAATCTTGGAAGCGAACCTTTATCTGATGTCCTTGTTCAGCAGGAGGCTGTGATTTATTCGCCTCTGAGCCCACATCTCTCCATGACCTAACAGCCCCTTGCTCTTGTTCTGCACGCAGGGTGAGCAACTGCTGCCGGCACAGTAGAGCACCCTGCAGTCATGGTTCAAGAGCTCCCTCCACTGGCACAGTTTGATCATGCACCCCACAGTGCACCTGCTTTTTGGTGATTTCTGATCATGTAAGAGATTTTTGCATGAAGAGGAAAATAAAATAAAAACCCGGTAATCTCACAAAAGTAGTTTATTGTGCCTCTTACTGTCTATATGGCTTTTCTTTGTATGACAAGAGTTGACATAAACAGGGTAGACAACACCTTGGCCATGTTGAAAATAAACAAAAACATAAAAACAACATAATCTCAATGTTCTGTCTGCATCGCCATCATTAACGTCATGACAGCCCAGCAGAGAGAGAGAAAGAGGATGAGGTCGTCACACCTTTTTTTGTGTGTGTGTGTGAGACAGCACCATGCTGAGGACATTCACCCAATGACTGAACATGTTAAAGCATTCACACACGCACACACACACACACACATCCATACATGCCTGCATACACACACACACATACATACACGCACGCACAAGATTCAAAATGAGGAGAGCCGCCCGTGTTCAGAAGACGGGAGATCTCGCTGCTACAGAGAGAATGTTCATATTGCTTCAGAGACAGACAGAAGAAAACCCCTCTGTGCTGTGTATCAGCCAACGCTCTCCCAGCTGATCACCAACTGAGACGTTTTGGCAATAAAGAAACGATACATAAGAACACAAAATCCTCCACGGCTCCCCTAAACAGAGAGGTGAGGATCTACTGAAGAAGACAAAATGATGTAATGGCTTTTGGGATGAAAAGGCAGTATGCTGCATGGATGCCAGCGTGAGAACCAGCAGAGCAGCCATGATGATGGTGAATTTGTTTTACTGCTCTTTAGGGAGCGTCAAACTGGCATCCACGCTTGTTTTTCCAGACTTGTCTCCTTCTATGTACACGCAGAGGAAGGTAGGTGAGCTAATCAAAAACGGATTAAGAAATACACACATAAATATTGCCTGTTCCTAGCGTGCCTGAAAGCAGCGTTAGGGTTTGGTCCTTACTGAAAAGCCCTGAGTCTGATTCCAAAACGTCTTCTACAAGGATTCCTGTTTTGACTTTGCATATGTCTTCGATCGCTGTGTCACTGCATAATGTTTGCTACTTTGTGTGGATGTTGGTATCTGTGCTGAGAGTGTGCATATGTGTGTTTGACCACTGACATCATCAGGGAGTGCTTAAGGATTGATTGTTTTCTGTGTAATGATTTTGTCATCAATTTTGGACTTATTACCAGAGATAACAACAGAACAGAGGATCACAAAAGTGCTTCATATGTGGTGTAAATTGTAAATCTCTGTTCAAGCACTAGCTCCAGGTTGTCACCTCTGTTACAGCTGAAAGAAAAGGAGAAGATCAAGTGTGTGTAAATGTATGTTTGTGTGTGTGTGTGTGAAGATTGCTGGATCATGGCTGAAGTCCCTGCCAGTTTTCCAAACTCCAAAATGATGACTTCCTCGAACTTTGGCACAAAGATAGTTAACTTTACGCATAGACAACTTTAAATTGGCTGTAACAACATCAAACTTGAGTAATGCCAATTCCCTGATAACAGAAACTGATTAAGTCACTGCAACGTAACACTAATTCTCTGGGTTGATTATCATTGACATCCACAGTGAGCCAAAGTGCCCAAAAACAAAAAAGCCCCCAGCTAAGCATGTGTAGCTGCTAAAGAAGACCCAGCCAGTTCTGATTATTACCCTTCTTTCCCTCTGAATATCTTCTCAGGAAAGCTCTCCAAAGAAAAAAAAAAACATGTCTAGAGGATTCAGATATAAAACCAGAATAACAAATAAAGACAAAAATATAATGGGATATAGATATGTATGGACTTATACATAAATTGAAAAAAAGAAAAACTACAAATTCAAAAGCAATAACAACAAAGACAAAAGATAAGCATATTTGATTTGGTTTTGCCCTGTACTCTTGTTTTCTTTTGAGAAATGTGCTTGTTGTAAATCCATCAAAAATAACTGCGTAGTTCTGGTTTGGCCGCTCCCCTATGAAGATATCAACAACAACAACAACAACAACAGTGGGAAAAAAAATAACAAAAAAAGAGAGACAGTTAGCTTTTTCAAAGAGGTTATGTTCTTTTTGTCACGTTAACTTCCCTCTCGGCTACGCCAGGAGTTCATACGGTGTTGTGTCATCTCTCCTGTACTTTATTTGTCTGTAGATCACTCGTCATGGACCATGAGGCCTGAGTTAGAGTTGTCTGTACACATAAGGCTCTGCTGTGCTCCACTGTGGAGGACACGATAATGTGCAGTAAGGAGAGAGGGGGGGTAGAGGCCAGCATTTTGAGGTGGGGGACTGAATGAGGTTGGTTGTATGTGTCTATGTTTGTGTATGTGGAAGTATAAGAGTGCATGTATGTGTGTTTGAATGTGTGTGTGTATGAAATGATCTGTTCACTGTGCCCTCCCAACAAGGCCTTTCCTTGACCCATCTATAGCATCCAGGACCCCCCAGGGCTCCCCGTCACTGTCCGAACCCCTGTCTCGGTCTTCATCCCCGACGTCGTCATCGTCGTCCTCATCTTCCTCCTCCGGCGAAGGCTCGCTGCCGTTCTCCGTGGCCCAGCTGTCCTCCTCGTCCTCAGCCTCCTGCTTCAGGACCAGGGCTGGTGGTGGAGGAGGTGGAGGTGGTGGCGGAGGAGGTGGGCTGTCGTTGCTCTCTGTTTGATCCTCGAAGGCCTCTGGGTTCTCGAGCATCTCCCTGATTAAAGGAGGCATGGGGCCTGGGATCTCCATCTTCAGAGTGATGGCTCTCTCTGCACCTGCAGGCACAAAACAAGGTCATGGTAGATCTCAGATTATCAGACATCAGAATCTCACCACCAGAACTTTGAAGTAAAAGGCTGATGATCTATTACAGACATTGTTCAAAATCACTATTGTAACTGTCAATACTAACCCTTAGTGCTGATTCCTCTGAGGTCTGTGATCTTCATCAGCATGCGAGGAAACATGTGAGGTTTGTTTGGGCGACGGCGGCGAGCGTAGATCTTCAGGGCCTCCAGCAGAGGCTCTTGCAGCTTATCGACTTTCTGTGGCTCCTCTAGATCCATGCGATCTGAGGAACAGTGCAGAAAGCATGCTTAATTCCCAATTATTATTCATAGTTTTTATATTTCTTAGATTTGCTGAAAGATTCAAATGTCTTCCCTTCACTTCTTTTACACACCACTGCATATAATTTGCCTTTCAACTCAGTAACAAACAGAAGAACCTCCCCCCGAAACTAATTTTTCCACTGCAGTACCTCCACAAATGAGGCAGATGGCGCTGAGGAGGCCGGTTTCTGTGTCATCCATCTCCAGGGGTAGAAGCTGACCCGCAAAGGCGAAAACCAGGTCTGTGAGAGGTCCAAAGCCGGCATTGTGCATCTGAGTCCGGTTCAGAGTTAAGCCATCTGAGAAGGTCATAGTGTCCTGTTCTGGAGTGTAGCGTGTGCAGATCCTCAGCATCTGATAACAACACAAGAACACTTTGTAAACACAGGAGAAAACAGACAAAAATACATAGAAAGGTTTGTTTATGTAGTATCAGTACAAAGTGGGTCGAAATACTCCAACAAAATAAACACAGAGCAGCAAATCCTCCTGCACTACCACATTTCTCCACCAGATGCCAGCATTCTCTTATCAGTCAACCCATTTATTTTGAAGATAAGTTCAGTACGGAGGACAAAGAGGAAAAACAAAGACATTGGATCCTCACAAGTATGTCCAGGCAGGCCGACTTCAGCAGTGTGATCTGGTCAGCGATGGTCAGGGTGGTGAAACCGGGCAACCGCTTGGCGAATTCCACAATCTTGATAATGCATTTGGTTGAGAGCTCGCTGAACTTGTCCCATAAACCCAAATCCAGCTGGACACGGTGGTCTGAGCTTGAGTTCTGTACACACACACACACACACAAGCACACACACACACATGGATCAGTTTGTTGTTTCAGAGGTGGTGTGCAACCTTTTTTGCATCAAGGGTGAGCGTGTCCTAGCCTGACAACTCATTTACATTTAACATCAATCACAGGAGGAAAAAAAAAATCCATTTAAATGTTGCATCAATCACAGTGAGACCACACAGATGGCTTAATGGGGAACTGAATTAGTTAAAGCACCACTGTGTTGGGAAAGCTACGGTGAATTTACATCTCTGCATGCAATGCTGGAGCCTTCAGTGACGTCTTAGCTCGGAGAATGTTGCCACACACGGTATGATTGTGTAGTTGTTGTGCAGTGTTGTGTGTGAGGGACTCACTGTTGTGTATTTGCCCAACTGGCACAGTGACGGGAAGGTTTCTTGGTGAGCTTTGCTGACTTTATTGACCAACTCTTCAAGCTCTCCGCTCAGCTCATAGCTCTCTGGAAGCACCACCTCCTCCTTCACATCCTTCTTCTTCTTGTTTCTGTCATTACGCACCGCTGCACAAGAAAAAAAAAGAAAAAAAAGCAGTTAGCACAACTTTTTTTTTTTTTTTACACAATACTGCATATTCCTCCCCTTTATCTGAGCTCACATGAAAAAACATCCACCACACTCGTGCACTTTGTCCCTGTCAAGGACTTTGCCCTCGCTGGTGGAAACCAGAACTCAGGAGCAACTGAGGTTCTTCTTAACAGTATCACCACATTTCCTTTAGCACGGCACTGACACCGGCTATCTCTTTCTTATCACCCACTCTCTTCCTCGTCTGTCTCTCTATCCCGCTTGACCGGTGCACATAAGCCAGGCCTCCACTCTCTCCCTCTCTCTGCCTCCTCTCCCTCCTCCCATACTTTCCTTCCTCCCAGGATATCCAGTAATAGCAGAGGCACAATGTGATCCCGGTCTTAACACACATCCCACAAAACATTACACCCACATACATGTCCCACGGGCTCTGTGAAGGGCAAGAAACTGCCATTTACACGCAGCAATAAACACACACACACGGGGTAAGAATAAAGGAGGGCACTGAACAGAGCTACAGCTCAGGCGAACAGAGCGAATCCTGCAGATATTAACTTTGTCATAAGTCAGAATCTGTTTTCTGCTCTGTTGTCTTCATGAATGAGAGCAGTTGTCTGTGTTGGCCAGAGGGCGAGGTTTTGTGGTGAAACAGGAAGTCAGAATGATTTGGTGAAGCGATTAGTCATATGATTGGTACAGCGCCCAGCCTCGCCTTGATCACCACCCCTGCTAGGCTCATCATCTGCTTCTGTCTCTGCGCTGGAAAGTTTCCTGGAGTCTCTTGAGTGAGCATTTATAGATCAATAAGTTCACACTGTGTGAATTAGGTCAGATCTGTGCCAAGTGGATTTTAAATCAACTGCTCCCAGATGTCTCGGCTGAATTAAGGTGTATCTGACATCTGAAGCCTTGTTTGTGTCTGTGCCTGCACGCTTATTCTTGTGTGTTTGTGCGAGTAAAGATTCATGCTTTTTGGATGTATGTCCTCTTTCTTCTCTTGAGACTTACCTTCCTTGGACATGCCGACCTCAAAGCACTTCTGCAGTCTGCAGTACTGGCAGCGGTTGCGTGTGACCTTGTTAATCTGACAGTTCTTGTCTCTGTGGCAGGTGTACACCATGTTCTTCTGGATACTGCGGCGGAAGAAACCCTGGAGCATCAGGAACCAAGAGACAAAAGAGGAAAGGGCAGGGGGAAGGCACGAGTTATGTATTAGAGTCAAGTCATTAAATCAGGGTTGTGACACTTAAATGTTCCTTTCTCGTAAAAAGACTTTTTTCATTTTCTGTCAAACTGAAATGTAGGAGTATCTATTAATGAATTTTTCTGTACATCTTGATTCAAAGGCAGATAACAATGAAAGTGTATTGCATTCACGTACAAAAAAAGGAAACTGTTTTTTTTTAGTACTTTTTTCTTTTGCTTTTTTTTTTCACTTTTTCTTCTTATGTTTTTTTTTACTAATATTTTTTTCCTTCTTTCTGTTTTTCGGACAAATTTTTATTCAGTTTTTCAACCTATTTTTTTTTCATCTTTCTGTTTTTCTGACAATTTTTTTGGTCTTTTTGACGATTTTTTTTCCTGGCTAAACTTCAGATACTTCAAAATCCCACGAGAATCTCATACAATCAGATAACGGTAATCACCGCGGCTGCTCAAAATCAGCGGAGTCTCCAGGTACTAAATAACCATGACTATGGGGTCAATGAGAATAAAGCATGTTATTAGTCAAAGATAGGGTATGCCAATCCTGAGGTGATCAATGATTATGATCCTAAAGTATAGGAAAAACAACAAGTCTGAAAAACAAAATGAAAAAATAGTCTGAAAAACTGAAAAAGTTTGTCTGAAAAACATGGGGAAAAAAATCCAAAAACAGAAAAGAAAAAAAAATTACTCTGACAAAGTTTTTTTTTTTTTTTTGTTAATGTATACAATATATCTGGTCAGAGCAGAGCTAAAATAAATTTTAGCCGCCTTCTCTCACCTTGCAGCCCTCACAAGAGCTGACCCCATAATGGTACCCCGAGGACTTGTCCTGGCACACAAAGCAGGGCTTGTAGATGCGCGGTGGGGGAGGTGGGGATGGAGAACTGGGTACCATCTCCTCTGAGCTGGTGCTCTGGGTCTCCACCGCTGTAAGACACAAGGAGAAGAAAAAAAAAAAGTCCATGAGAAACTGATACGTCATAAATCACCATTGGACAGCTACCGCAGTCTGAAAGATCACATATGCATTCGTCGATGAATGTAACAGACGAGGATAGTGAAGAGTGTTTAAGTGCATTCTAACAAGGTATGACAGCTGACAGCATTTCCTTTTCCCTTTGATTTGCGAGGTCAGTGAGAAAGTCAGTTACTGTTAGGTGCAGCTGGTGTGTTGAGATATATTTTTGCTTTCTTTTGGATAAGGTAATAAAAACAGAAAAAAGGTCATGAGGCAAAAGAGTAACAGTTTATTCTCCTGAACACTGAGTACCACCTGAAGGGGCAGCAGCTAGGTGTATATTTAGAGGGGATTATAACTCTGTGTGAGCACAGATAAACAATGGAAGTATGACTGTCTGACAGCAGAGACAAAACAGTTTTTTACAGCAGTAAGCAGAAGTGCTGTGATTGACAGTTTCTCTGATAAGGCCAGGTAAGAGAGTGAGATGCAGCAGCCAAGACTCAAAGCTGGCTCTTCCTCATTCCACAGTCTGACAACTGCACATGATGACATCTTGCATGCACAGAGGAGACACATGTCAAACACACACACATGCGTGCAAAGCTTGGTGTAGAGCTCTCCTGCTAACTCGGACTGTGACGTCAACGCAACTTGGAGTCACATTCTTGCTACGGTACATTAAACTTCTCTCTTTTCCAAAGTGAAACACATATAAGCGTTTGTAGAAGTTCAAGTGTGCAGCGTGTGGATTCCATACTTCCCCGGAGAAACATAAGCTGCTATACTCACACACTCATACACACACACACACACACACACACACACACAAAGGACCAGACCCTCGTCACACATGTGAGCCTGCATAAACTCACAGACACACATGTTTCTCGGGGGAAGTATGGAATCCATACGCCGCACACTTGAACATCCACTCTTTCAACTTTCACCCCTGGTTACCCTCAAACTTCAACCCCCGACTCTGCGTCCCACCACCCCCTGACACACAAACCCTATTTTTCTCTTGTTTCCTGGCCCTAAATTCCTCAGTGCAGCCCTGCCAGGTTTTAATAGAGGCCCAGGCTCGTAAGGCGGCCTATAAAGGCGGTCCCATGGCTGGACTGGAGGCCCCAGCTCGGCTGGCCCAAACTTTATTGGGACTCGGTCACCTTGGGCAGCTATTCACACCACCAGCTGTAGCTCCCAGCCCGTAAAAAAGCCAATCATAAAATAAAAAACAGGGAGGCTCTAAAATTCTAACTTTTACTGCCCCCACCTCCCCCCAGCACCTTCAATGGAAAGCACAGAGGGCTAGCCTAAACTTAACCTACAACCCCCCTCCTCCTCCCTTCTCTTACACCCAAGGCTGAAGCAAAAACCACCAGCTTGGGTTTTTACAAGAGAGGGGAGACTTCAAAAAGGAGGCATAAAAAGAGGAATTTGATAAAAAACAGAGAAAGGGGAAAGGGGGAAAGGGGGAAAAGGGGGAGGATGGGACACAGTTGCTCCTGAGGGCAAGTCTTGTTCAAGACCAAACTGACCATTACTACCTCTTCTTCTTCTTCTACAGCTGCAGGGTCCAGCCATGCAGCTACCGCCTCATTAATGATAGTAACAGAAAAATGTCAGACATTTTCATTTGTAGCCTGCTGTTCAAACATCTGTTTTTCATATGTGTTTTTATATTTGACTATTCAGAATCCGCATTCAAATTCCGGCTTTGAAAGCCCAACTTTGCTGGAGGCAAAGATGTTTTCCATTAGTTTTAAAAGCCCGTCCCAAAGCCAAATGTGCAAATCAATCTAAAACCTGAAGTTTACGCTCGCTGAATGTTTCTACAGCAGTTCTCATATCTCCCTGGCCAGAATGAAACAAAGCAGCAGGGTCAATGGGAGAGCAGAAACCCTCTGAACGTGCCATGAACCTCTGTGTTTATGCAATAATAACAGCAGCAAATGAGCCTGCAGACCGAGCGCTGACAACCCCTCAGAAGAGGACAAACCATATGTGGCGTCAAGTAACGAACACTGACTGACGCCGTCTAAATGGAGATCCAGAGCGAGGCCAAAGAGAGAAAGGCCTCTCCAGGAGAAAACTTGAGAAAATACATCAGGCTCTGTCAACACGTTGAACCTGGTTCCTGCCAGAGAACATGACTCCTGTACCCGCCTCCTAGACCTCGCTTCATTCAGTCCACTCCATCCAAATCCCCCGCACCACTTACCCCAGGGCGCCACAGTGAGAGGGCCCATTCAGGCGGCTGCTATGAGCCCCTTTCCTCAGTCTCCTCAACTCAGCTCATCACTGTTTAGAAAACAAAGCCCTGTGAAATGAGAGGCCCTCCTTATCAGCGCTCCGAGGGCCCGGGGCACCATTTGCATGACAATCCGCCGGCCGAGGCTTGTGAGCCGATGACAGACGGATGAGATGAGAGGAGTGGGATAGGTGGGTGGCTGCTGTTGTTGGGGGAGGAGAAGAGGATAAGAAGGAGGGATAGTTGGGTTACCAGTAGCCACTGTTCGTTTCCTGCTCAGTATCAGTTTACTCCCTAATCCCCCTCTCTCAATGCTCTCTAGGCCCAGCTGCACTGACCAGGCCTAATCCCCTGATCACATAAACACAGATACTATTCAGAGGCTACAAAATACACACAAACGCACACAAGAGGATAATATTCACTGGCTTCAAACTAGCAAACACACACAACAATCCTCAAACAACAACCCCCTCCCCTCCTCTTCTTCCCCTACATTCCATTAAAGTGCTCAAGCTGGAGTGGGATGTGCGGTACATCATTCTCCACAACCTCATTAGATGTGAAATGTAACTGCACACGACAGAAATAGCTGTTTGGCTGAAGGTGACTTCAACTAGGTCAATTACATTAAATTCTAGGTCATGTCAGGCGGGCCGATCGACGTCCCTGTAGGTTCAACAACAGATACAAAAGGAGGGAAAAAGAGAAAGAGAGAGAAAGAGAGAGAGAGGGAGAAGGAGGGACAGTATAAAAGAAAAACAAGGCACTTCCTGGTAGGATTGAAGCTGCCTCTTGTTCACTCGGCTGGAAAGGGGAGTGTTTCTAATGTATGTGAGTAAAGGCATGACAATGCAGCTCGTGTTTTTATGTTGCAACACACTCCTTTTTAACTGAGCAGCATATGACATTCTGGCAGGGTAACAAGTTGTTCTTTCACAATAGGCCTGCAGATTCTGTCTACGTGACTTGTGGTGTGATTGAATCTTCTGTTCCAGGAGTCTAGTCTTGGCATGTGGGAGCAAATGCACAGGCGGTCTTTAATATGAGGATGGTGTACATACAGTTCAGTACATAAGTGAGTGGCACAGACATATGGGTAAGTGTTAATGTGGGCTGATGTGTGTCCAAGTCCAGCCAGGGGCGCTGTCCACTCCCTGCACTCCCTCCTTTATTTGATTTGCAAATGCATGACTGTTTATAACAGTTCAGCAGAGAACTGAAATATCCTCCCATGTGTGAGTATATGTGTGTATATGTGTGTGTATATGTATGCGTGTGTGAGTGTGGGTGAAACTTTACAGTCTGCTTTTTTCAGTCTGTGTTAAATCACAAGCATGGGCATGCAAGGCCTTTGTCTCAGTCTCTACCTTCATTTAACAGCCTGCAAAGCTTGCGTGTTCTTGTTGAATGTGCGCAGCAGTAAAAGAGTGTGTTAGACTTGGAGGCAGTGTGTGAGAGAGGGGCTCTCTCTGAGAAAGAAGGGCGTGTATCGGGCAGACAGTAGTGGCAGAAGGAGAGCAGATTGAGAGAGGATGGTGAACAGTGAGCTGGAAGACTTGCTGGCATACTAGTAGGGGCCTTTGTGGGGCCCTTGGCCCTCTACCACTGCAACAGAGGCTACAGTACCACAGGGTGCTTGCTAAGTGACTGGAGGCCCACTGAAATGTCTCTATGAAGAAGTGACTTTGAAGAAAGAGGAAAAGAAAGTACCACACCCTTATCAGCGGTGCCAGCATGTTTCACTCTCTTCTCTGATTCTCTGCCCACGTCTTCCTGTCATCCCTCTGTGGCTTCTGCTATAAGGCCCCAACACAACACACACTCATTTCCTTCCTCTTGTCTGTACCAGTCTTTCCGGAGGATCTCCGTCACCGCTTTTGTCACCGCTTCTCTCTGTGTCCCTCGCTGCTACACCTTTCTACGTGTGTGTACTCTTTTTCCCACAGCACAAGTGCCACCTCTGCTTTTTTCACAGCTGAGTCATTTGCAAACTTACAGCTGAAAGGTCTATCAAGTCTCTGCTGTGTGATTTACAGAAGAACTCGTACTGTAACCTGGCTGCAACTCAGAAAGAAAAAGTTGACATAGTGAAGGAGTCAAAAAGCTGGAAGGGAAGGAGGATTTTGTGTGAGTGTGTGTGTTGACAAGGAGGGGGTGGATGCTTTCATTAAAGGTGCTGAGCAGTAGCAACGCCTTTCAACAGCTGTCAGAAAGCTCATTACCTGGGCTCCTGTGGACACAAATACACACACAGAGAGTCTCATAAAGAGGCCCAACTATGCTGTCTTTTAAAATAAGCTCTGTGATTAAGTTAGGCTGCAAAACTAGAAGATGGTCCAGGTCTGAGAGGTGAAAACACACCAAACTGGCCTGGAGTAGTGAGAAACCAGACATTAACACACACACACACACCCCTCCAAGAATTTACACCCTTCTGTCAGAACCGACAGAAAGTCAAGAAACACAGGCAGAACTCGTCACATGATGCACACATTTATTCCAAAACCAGGCTTATGTGTCGTGTCGGACATTTTGGCATGTATTCACGGCTGACATAAGTGTTAACAACAAAAACTTTAGGAGCAAAACATGATACGGCTTCCCAAATCCTTGCAGCACACACACACATTTCACACGTCTTTTTTATCCACAGCTCCACCAAAGAGGGCGTAGAAGCGGAGCAGAGCAGGAAAGGCAGCAGGTGGGATAAGCCCGTATCCTCAGGGCACATTTTAAAAAGTGGAATTACCCTTGCAGTCTGGTGCTGCTCTCAAAACACCCTTTCTTCTTTACAGCACCTCATAAAGAGCCTTTTGATATTTTCTTGATGGAGTCAGCCAAGCCAACATTTGGCAGCGAACCCCCCCCTCCTTTCCTGCAACGCTGTCAAGAAACACACAAGTTGGCTTCAAACACACAAACTCGCCCACCAGGCTGTTTGTCCCCTATGAACCAAGAAAAAAAAAGTTTCCTTCAAATGTCCTTGTACCAAACCTGAGGAAGGAGGTATTAAAAAGTGAAGGAAAATTCAAGGAAAGCTGATTTCAATGAGAGGATTCAAGTCACCCCTTTTATGGCTTATGCTGGAAAAAAAACAAAAAAAAACAGACAGTCAAGTGCAGATCTGTGGAAAAAATGTGCCCCCTCATCCCTGCGGTGAGCTCCAGCTGACTCTTCATCTGCCCAACAGAAGACAGAGAGCAGCACAGCTCTCCTCCTCCTCCAGTGACTGCAGAGTGAACCCAAACCTGGCAGTCTTGTGCAGGCCTGGGCTACTGATCATGTCAGAAAGGACAGGACAACTCACGGGCAGGCGAGGAAGCAGACAGAGTGCGGAGGCGGGCAGACAGGCGAGGTGTGGACAGAGGAGAGCAGAGGAGTCATCGAGGCAAACCCCGAGTCTTTGATCCTCAGGTTGTTTCTCGTCCTCTCAGACTTCCTCTCACCATCTGTAGCCCCAGCTCTCACCTGTCTGTCTCTGGCAGGGCTGCTAGCACTCGTTCAATTGCTATTGCTTCCTCCCTACAACAATAGAAACCTACAAAAAGTAGAAGTAGCCCAGTCGTGGCTGCAGCCTTGCTCTGTCAGAGGAAGTCTGGGGAAAGGAGGATAACGTAAACAACAACAGTAGTATTAACTCCGGCTCATTGGGGAAGCACCGCAGACCAAAGTGTGCACACACAAACCTCATATTGAAAGGAACCTGCACACCCATGAGTAGGAGAGCACGACTGATACTACTGAACCTATAAATGTCCGAGCCTGAGAGTCCATCTTTGTTTTTTTTTGTTTTTAACCTACGAGGCCCTACCTTCAGATCAGCTCTATAAAATCACGTACGTTTATAACCTACTATCTGGCTTCACTTCTGATTTAACCATTTCCAAATTTGCATTTACGACCGTGTGACTCTCATGTGTTGTTTTTTTTTTTTTAGCAGCACTATTCAAAGTCAGAATCAGACACAAAGATTGCGGGTAAAACTGAAAGATGAATAGTAAAAGGGAAGCCAGAAAATGAGTGTGGCTTCCTGTATCTGAGTGATTTGCACTCCATGTGCATGAGGTGTTGCAATACTGGCATAAAGTCCCCTTAAACTGGCACAAACTTTCGAAGGCACATCATATGTAAAGTAACTCTGGGAAACTTTTGCTTTGAGTGGTTCAGCCCTGCGATGATGCAGATCAGTTTTTCGCTTTTGCTTGGCAATCCACCGCCAGCAGGTTGCCCAACACTCTGTCTGGGCGGAGGCTGTCAAGAACATCCGATATGGGGCCAGAGAGTGATTCATTTCCTTCTGCCTCTCGATGTATTGGAAGTTCCATGTGGTATTAACATGTGGCAATAGTGTAAAAAAAATTGACATTTAGAGTATTGCCATTCAGGGAATACAAACGCGTCACTGAGAGAGCAAGCTTTGCCCATTCAGTCAGTTCCCATAACAGCAGTCTACCCTGAACTCATTCAGCATTCCAGAACCAGGCATAAATCATTCCAAGCAGCCCCTAACTCCTTCTCTGGATCGCTTCCTGTCTAACTGGCTGTCCGTTTGGCTGGATGGTTTTCTCTCAGAGGTTGTCTGGCAAACGTGAGGTGCTGATAAATTCAGCCCTACTGACAGTATGACTGCAACCAGCCTAGATTCAATGCAGAGTCACACTAGAGCAAAGATATGGTTAGATTCTGTACTCATTTGCAGCTTATGAAAACATTTGCTATTGTCCGTATCCATGCTTTCCAACACATGAGTGTGTAATATGTGTGAATTAGCAATAAACCAACTGTTTCCATCCTTTTTAGTCATAGTAATTTTCAAGGGTGTCTTTTGAGATTAAACTAGAAATGTTTTAGAGACAAATTCAAAGTCAAAAACTGAGATTTTGCATGTCTACACATAGAGCCAGCTCTAAGAATAGACATTAAAATGAAGAAGTTGTTCCTAAAGTGCGATGTAGACTACTTTCTGCCTGCCTGTAAGTCTTCAAAAGTTAAAAAACCAGTTCAATAAATAAAGCGTTTGAGATGTGCGCATATCCTCCTGAAATCTGGCTTTTTACAATAACCTGGATTCACGCAAGAGAAACACATGGATAGCCTTCATAGAGGCATCTGTGAAGTTCTCCATTTCCATTCATAGTAAACTGTCGGCTGAGCACACAATTACAGGCATGTTGGCTGTCACACACCTGTCCCCCATCAGCGATAACAAAGGCAAAATATACGCACACAAACAAATGAACACATGCAGGAATATACAAATAAGCTCATGCACCACTGCCAGAAAAGTGGACATGGCAGTTGCACATATTGGCAGAATTTGACTAATGTCCAAGTGAAAACAACGCCAACGGGTCCCGTCCCGTCCCCCGCCCTTCCCTGCCCTCCCCTCCCTCCCACTGCTAGCTCCTCTTCCATCACTCTCCACCCCTGAGCCCAGATAATAGCTGTACTACACCAGCCGCCCACCACTCCCTGCCAAACACTGTCGGCTGCGTAAACACAACCCATTCATACGTACACAGAGGGAGGACAGTCGGGCACGTCTGGGTGTTTCAGTCGCTGCTTGGCTGTCCGAGCTTTCACTTCTCATAACAGTGATCCCCTGGCAACGCTCGAGCCAAGTCGTCAGTCAATAACACGGTGGTAACAGAACTGCTCTCTTCACACTCACATTTAGCTGGCATACACTTGCTCCTATATATACTTGACACAAACACAAATGCGGAAAAATGAATGTCCAGGTGCATGCCTACCATGCATGCACAAACACCATAATGCACATGCAAATATACATAGTTGCTGGCGTCATAATACAGGGGAAAGAATGATCAGCTAAAGCAGCCACAATACCTCTGTGACAAATCTTTATTTTATACTTCCATGATAAAAGAAACAAACTTTAACCTAAATTACGACCTGGCAATATTTCAGGGTACCTGATTTAATAATGACTAATAAACCAAACAAATGTTTCTAAGTGATAAATTAGTCTCTACTCAATAGTTGATAAGTTTTATTTACAGCGGTGTGACTGACGCTGTTGACGGGCTATAAACTGTTATTAGAGGAGGGCTGGATTCCAGCACAGGCCCGAGGAATCCAGCCTGGCACATTGTCTGTCTCTGGATTTGACACAGCAGTCTGGGTGCCCAACGCCAGCCAAACAGGCACGTAAACACTAGATACATTGACATATAGGAGTTCACATACAGACTCCACACATGCAGGAGACACTCTCATATTTAAGCATAAGAAAAATCCACACATGAAAAAAAGGGGGGGTGGGGGTCTGTGGAAAAACCTAAAGCAACTGCAGGGATTGAATCTGTTTATTTATAGGCGGCATGGCCTGTTAATGGGCTCAGGCTGAGACAGATCTGTTAGCAAGGCGGTGTGATACTGCAACACAAGTCGTCCCTATACTGAAAATGGCTTCAGGGGGAAAAAATGTTTTCCACGGCGCAATGTGATTCGATACAATTAATATTAAATAACTATTTACAGGAAGACTCATGAGAAATTGCGTTGAATGTAATGGTTTCTGAGCTTGAGTCAGTTTCTTTTAGTCCAGAGTATATATCAGATTTTTGCAGCCACCCAAGCTTATGCATATCAAGACATTTAATAAATGCATATCCATATACAGCATAAGCCTGTGCATACATGCATAAATGAACATATAAATATCTCCACTTATGCATACATATGAAAGCAGCTTTCCCAGAGAGCAGCTTAACAAAATAGATGCAGTCCATCCACAAAACACACGATGAAATTCGTTATTTTTTTTTTTTGATTACACTTTGGAACAAACAAACATTAAAAGACTTTCTCCTGAATTGTTTCCATGTTTCACTTTGAGCTGCTCCTCTACTTGAAACTCCTCCTTCAGTTGTATGGCGCATAATTGTTTTCAGAGACAAGTGAAGATTTTTCCATCGGGCATATCAATTACGACTCAGTGACCTTGGAGCAGCTGACTACTTAAGCCCTTTTAACTTCAGCACATTCATTTGACATTATCTCCACAGGATCAACAAGGTTTATGTATATATAACAGCACTGACAAGCCCTCACTAGAACTGCACCTATAAGTCTCCTTCAGACACACACACACACACACTCCCCTCACCAGGATACCACTATCTATCCCCAGTTCTGCCCCCCTCAGGCATTCTAATCTTTTAATTGAATCTTTTGTAATTATAATGAAATAACTGCGGACTTCCATCAGGGAGAAAATGATCAGGGCCAGAATGTGCCAGCGGTCACAGGAAGCTCTTCTTTCTCTGCCATTGCTGCAGAGATATACCCCCATTTCAATTAGCTCCTCAATTCACATCTGAACAGCACATTAAGGGGAAAACAAAGAGGTGTGCGCGCCTGTGGAAGTGTGACTGCATGTGCGCACTGATAGATTACTCCGGCGATTTGTCACCGCCATGCCTTCCTCTTGTATGCATTGCTTGGAAGTATCACGATTAATATCCAAATAGTGTCCGGAAGGATAGAGCTGGGGATGTGTTGTGGTGACAAAATAAAACACACACACTCTTCTTGTGACCCTGGAGAACGGCTAAACGTAATTGGCTCATTCTTCTAAGCAAATGAACATTGACAGAGTAGGGATTGCTCTGCACAGGCCCTCACAAATGGCTTCCCTGGCAGTTGACTAATTCAGTTCTCATTGACGTATGACTAAATCAGTGTCCATTATCCTTACGTGAGGGGGGGGCAGCTCAGATGTAGTACCAGCTCTGAGCTAGAAGGCACTTAAGAGCATTAAATTGAAAGGGTCTTCTTTTCAGAAGGCTGACAAGGCCGCCACACATGGTGTAGATCTGACATTGGCCAGGCCGTAGCCCCTGACTAACCTCTGACATTGAGGTCTCCCACTGGTGAACAAAAAAACAGGAAAACTGACCACACACTTTAAAGTCCTCTGACTGTCCCGGGCTAACAGCCAGCGTCAGTGACACTTATCACTGCAGGAGATTTACCACCAAGACAATGGGAAATACTCATAAAACTTAGGAGGGGGAATGTGTTTTTATTACATTTCTGCAATAATATCAAACAATTGCTGACAGTTTAAGAATGGCCTTTCTTCTGAACCACTAAATAATCTCCAAAAACAGGGAAATACAAAGTTTGACCTCAGTTATTCTGTGTTAGCTATCATGCTGGGGGCAGGTGACTCTCTTTACAAACCCTCTGGTTATTTTTGGTGTGCAGAGAGCGTGTTTGTGTGATTTGGAGCCAGACAGGTCCCTCTGTTGTGCAGCTGGGCCGGCCCTAATGAGATATCAGCCTAAAACATCAATTCATCAGCCTCACTGATGAGGACAATGAGGGGCAACTGCTTCAGTAAAGAGAGGCATTATGGCTCCTTGTGTGGGGATAGGGCGGCCTTGTTTACAAAGGTTATTGGGCACAGAGGGCTTGAAACAGTACACCACCGCAGCAGCCTCCACTTTGCTCTGCTCCGCTAGTCTCGGCTCTCTTACCCTCGGGGTAAAGGAGCCGAGCTTCTTAGGACTTTTTTTTATCTCTTTGATTTTTCCGGAACAAAGCCCCCTGAAAGAAAAATGTACTTTCTGGAGTCTGGAAGGCCTAATTTTAAACGTGTGCATGTGTGTGAATGGGTTAAAGGAAGAGGCCTGATTGATTAAATAAACAAATCTCATCTTGTTATCATCAGGGCTCCCCTGACTGAGCAGAGCAGAGCAGGCTGGGCCGGCTGGAGTCCCCCTTGGCCTCGGCCTCCACTGACAGGGCATCTGTCTTCATTAAAGCTCAGCCAGTGTGCATGACAGCCACTGAAATGCTGGTGTCTTCACGATTAATGAAGACAGATGACTCCCCCCAAGAGGCAGTAAAAAGGAACAAAAAGCAGAAGGACGAACAAACAGAAAATAACAGAAAGAACTCAAACTCTGAAAAAAAATAAAAACAGGACACGGTCACTCTGTTTATCCCACCGCTCTATCTCTTCTTGTATTCTTGATTGTTTTTCCACTGTCATATCTGGCTCAGCTCCCTCCGCACTTCTCCCATCATACGCCGCATATACACCCCCACTCCTTTTCCACTCTCACACGCTCTCTCACAGCAGTAGTGGCCCCCTGGAAGTGTATGGAAATGGACCCCAGTTTTGTCTGTGCAGAGACAGGCCTGTTGTTAGAGTCCGAGCCTTGTCTGAAGTCGAAAAATGAGACTCTTGCAGAGATGAAGAGAGAAAAGAAAGCTGGCCTGAAGATCCCTTTGCCTTCTTCAGCCTGTGTATGCATTCCACATTTCTAATTTATTCATCCATTTCTCCATTAAATAATTTATCTGCTTATTTATTCATGGCAGTTTGCCTCAAAAGGAATATCATTAGTATCAAAGAGGGTAAACAAACCTCTGACTCAGGACTCAACTTTAAACATCTGTATTATTAAAAAGGCCGCTTCAACCAAAATCCTTACATCAGAAATACATCAGAAACAAAATGTGTAGTTTCGTACCCAGACTGAGAATGGCAGAGACTGCACATGTATGAGATCTTGAAATGTCGGTGTTTTCTCTTCCTGTCACTCATCGGCTCTTTTCCTCTGTCTTTTTTATCTGTGCATACTCAAACTTTTGTTTTTAGTACACAGCACCTGGCAAGGTCAAACCTCAGGTGGCTCATATTGTCGGTGAAACTTGACTCCATGGGCTCAGACTCATGACTCAAACTCAAGCAGGGACACACACACACATAGCACATATCATATCATAGCAGGGTTTCTTTCAGATGGGTTAGCAGCTCAGAGTGACCGTGGGCTAGGAAGAGGAGAGGAGAGGAGAGGAAAGGAAAGGAATGGAGAGGAAAGGAGACTGTCTGTCCTGCTCTTTTCCTGTGCTGCTCTGTAGCCCCTGACAGCAGCCCCTTTGGCCGAGCCCTGAGGGGTAAGCAAGCCAGCAATGAGACAGAGAGACAGACAGAGAGACAGAGAGGGAGAGAGAGAGGGAGCGTGAAAGAGAGAGAGAGACAGAGATGTGTGTGTGTGTGTGTGTGTGTGTCATACAAGAAATCCAATCCAAACAGGATGCCACTTACACTGAATGCTGGCACTGCCCGTCCAAGCGAAGGGGTCCAGCCCAGCAAAGAAGGGGCTCGCCTTCCGCAGCATACAAGCACCTCTGCTGGTGACATCATAGAGCTGACGGGGGCCCATTCCCAGAGCCTCCATACAGTCAAACATTGCAACCCCCCCACCCTCGACAAAAAATCACTATGAGCCCTCACTGCTGTCTATGTCCTTCCCTGCCTCTACCACCACAGCTCACGTCACAACAACAAACAGCAGCAGCAACAGCTAGCTGGCTCTGCTGCTACCTTCACTTATCTCACTCTGTCACTCTCTCTCTCTCTGCTCTCCTTTTCCTGCCGATGCTGCTGCTGGAGTTTCCCCTCTTTCCCCCTCAGCTGGAATGCAGATCTGGTTCCTGCCTGGCTGAGCTGAGCTGAGCTGAGCTGAGCGTGACTGACTCTCTACTCTCCCCCCTGCCCTTGGGTGAGCTGCTCCCTGTCTGCTGTAACAGACCTAAATAACAGCCTCTCACAGCTCTCGCTGAGCCCCAGACACAGCGGAGCAAACCAACTACCTCAGGATGACGTTGTGAGAGGGGGTGGAGACAGAGAGAGAGAATGCCGGAGAGGGAGGGGGGGGAGAAGGGGGCGGGAGAGGGGGCAGGACAGCGCTGGAGGAAGAACTGATCTGGTTAGAGGACAAAACTGTTGCCATTCTTCTCTTGCTTTTTTTGTGAGAGCTGCTTTTGTAGTTCATATTTCAGCCCTGAATGCAAACAAAACCCCCTCAACACATGTTTGTGACCCATTCAGATCTGGTCTATGTCTGTCTTTGCATCGCACCTCCCTCCCTCCCTCCCCCATTTCCCCTGCAGTAAATATGAGCCCCTTTCCCCTCCCTCCTCTGAGCCCCCGTCTCTAATCATAACCATATTAAAGTCCAGCCACTGGCCGGGTGAGTATGTGTGTGAGAAAGAGAGCCTAAGAGAGAGAGAGAGAAAGAACATTGTGCTGTGGTTGAACCCAGAAACCAGATGCCAGGGTAAATCCCTCCCTCCTTTCTCTCGTCTGTTTGAGGGAAACAGAGGATAGTGCAGTTCTTTTCTGTCTCTCCTGCTGGAAGTGCTTTAACAGTGATGAATGAGGGCCTGCCTTGCTCAACCCCAGCAGTGCTTTTACACAGACAAATACCCTCAATATACAAACACACCATGTGCTGGACACACTTCTCACAGGTTCACTTGACCTTGTTAGTGATTTATCTCTGAGAACGATGCCGTTGTGCATGGCATTAATTTTAATCTATCAAAAGCTTCTTTAATGTATTATACGTGTATTACATAATGTCTTATATAGCCTCTTACAACACAGGCTGTTCTCTGTACATCCACAACAATTTAATTTAAAACATGGCACTGCCCTCAGAGTGACGGTAAATCAAAGCAAATCAATAGGCGGTCTGTGGTCAATAAAAAAGCCTGTCACTGGTCCTAACTGTTGCTCAGCAGACGAATAGACTCTGGCTGGGCTTAAGCAAACAGGCTGATACAATGGGAGATATATGATAATAGAATGGCTTTAGCCTGTGCACCCCTCACATTCATCTCCCCCCCTGTCAGACCAGTACAAGTGGTACAGCCCAGCAGGCAAAAAAGACAACATTTCCTGTCAATCTGTGCTGCTGGCTACACTCTCCATAAACACACAGTGCCCTCCCTCCTCCCTCCTCCTCCTCCTCCTCCTCCTCTAACACTTCACTCGTCTTCCTGTCTCATGAAAGAAACCATGCTTTCACATTTCTGCTTATTTTGAATACTTCTGATTAAAATGTTTATTGACCTTACAGAGAGTGAAATATTGTTTATTTTTACAAGTTGGCACACTCGCACAGTTGTGCATACATGCGGCCCGCTTCTCTCCTCACATTACACACAGACACATACTTAGCAGCTCTTTTGTAGCATCAAAGAGTAAACAACATCAGTGGTTTTTATGTGTTTCTTGGTGCAGCTGCCGGGTCATAAAGAGGAAGCTTTATGACAGCAAGAAAAGAACAGTACGACAGGCTAACAAACTATCAAAGATGCTCCTGCTAACAGTTTGCTGTCGAAACTTTTCCTGCCTCTCCACCCATTTGGACAATCATACAAAAAAAAAAAAAAAGTTCTGATCTGGATGCATTTCAGATTAAATCATCACTGCCCCGAGTCACATTTTTGTGGTCTGCAAAAATTCTTCTCACACTCGTCTTTCGTCTCTTCCTGTCTTTTTTTTCTAGCAGCAAGTTTCAAACAGCATCCTGGAAACTCAAAACGGGCTAATTCCCTGGTGTTTCAATGTTCTGTGTAACACCAGGCTTGTTTTCCAGGGGCTGCTCTCCGGACCGGTAAAACACAACACAAGCAGTTTATTACGGAGTGCGCTCACACTTGAAAATGCTTTGTTTATGAGGATTGATGGAGCCTATCCAACTCGTCCTGGATTTGACATTTCTTTTGACTGCTTTTTGAGACTATAATTCAGGCCACTGATTCCAGGTTTTTCGTTTATTGGCAGCCGTCACTGTGAACTGTGAGTCTTCCAGAGCTTCAGAGGGTTTGCCGAGAGTTTAGACATCTAATCTACACATACTCCATACTGCTGCTGACCCAGGCCAGTCCCTGCCTCCCCTCCCCACCCCTCCGCTGCTGCCTCCTCCCCTTCCTTCCCTGGCCAGAGAGGTTGAACTCCAGAAGAAACCCCCACTGGGCCACTAACTTTCCCCCCAAACTTATCCTGCCCTCCCTCCTTCCCTGCCTCACTCTTTGGCTCATGAGTCCCCCCCGTTTCTGCAAATACTCTCCCCATTTCATCAAGCTCCCCATGGCCATTTTTTCCCTGACTGCATGATTTGTTTTAGTTGACAAAGTTCTCTGCTTTTGTTTCTGCTTTTGGAAATGTTTCATTTTCAGTGGCTGCCAACTCACTGGTCATTTTCTGTGACTGCTGCTTTAACTCTTCTGATTGGAGCGGACTTTCACACGCATTAAAACGCTTGAATCTTTCTTTAAGAACAGGATTTTCTATCGGTGATACTTCATCTCTTCATCTAGACGGCAGACGCAGATGCTGATCCAGATGTACCAGGTCGGCTTTTAACTCCACGTGGGTTGAAACCCAGGAAAATCAGGCTTTACTACTGTCTGACACTCTGATGCCGATTACAGATAAGACGTATACAACACATTGTTGCCACTTCCTCTGTATACAGTCATTCAGGTTTTCAGCCGAGCGGTCAACAACACAGTGGTGTGTGAGGCAATAAAAACAGCTTGTTTCTAAATACCTATGTGCTAAACGCAGCTTGGCGATTTTGAAAGGAATGCAGGGCTTTTCCACTGGTGATGTGAGCATGTGTGTAGTGTGTGGACGTGCTGAAACAGATTGCCGGTGATGATAGAGACACTAAACACCAGTTCAGAGCGCCCTCCCACTACAGACAGATTCAGATTACTCAGACAGACACAGAAACACACACAGAGATCCAGTACAAGCCATTTGTCTTTTTTGTAGCTCACTGGAGGAGCTAACAAATCTGCGCCTGTGAACTTTCTCTGTTTTTTAAAAGTGTGTTTTTCTTTGTTGACCTATTTATTACGTCCTTGACTAACTTTACCAAAACAGCCACAAGTTTTACCTCTGACTAGACGACGAACTTTAGACAAAATCTTTCTGACGCTCTTGTGATATTTCTCATAAAAATACCTGATGTGTCACAGAGAAGGAGGGACAAAGACGAAGTGAGGAGTGACTTATGACTGAGCCTGTTTCTCAGCGGCAGCCATGTTGGCCTCTGTTCACATGCTTGTCCCACCGAAGGCCCAACAGAGCTACTTTTCGGCGCGCTATCAGACTTGGCCATCTTTCAACAGCGTCCTTTTTGCTCTCTTGTCGTTTTCTCCCTCACTATCTGCACTGTCATGACATTTCAGTACCCGTGTTTTGTGGGGGAAAAAAAAAAAAGACCTCTTAGTTGTGAGGCCAAAATTATAACCTCCCTCCCCGCGCCTGTGTGCCTGCCCTCGCCTTCTAAAAGCTGTCCCTCCTTTTCTCGCCATTGCGCGCTCTTCGTCCTGCACGTGCCCACAAAGGCCCATCTGAGAGCAGACCCCTCCCATTTTTAATAGTAGCCTCTTTATCTTCATCTGTCATCATGTCAGAGCTGTAGTACACTGAGGCCTCTCCCCTCGCCAGCAACCTTTGCTGACTTTCCACGCATACAGGCATGCCCGCACACGCAAAAACACACACGCACACACCGTACACAAACACATGCAAAGTTTCAGCCAGTTTCCAGCACTTAGGGCTAGTTGGATCCAACTTGCACAAAGGGATATCGTGAGCAAATCCAAGGTGAGGACTACGAAGAAAAAGAGAGACAGAGGAGAGGGAAAGAAGAGTGCATAAGCCAACAGGGTTTAGGTGGATATCATTGCAGGAGCAGATATTCCACTCAGATTCACAAAAACTTCTTTTAGAGGGTGCTTAAATTGGCTGCAAGAATAAACTGGGCCTTTCTATCCCTCTCTTATCTATTGAACTGTGGCCAGCACCAGCTGACAGAGCAACGTGAGGGGAATTGGTTCAAAAGAAGAAGCAGACTGCCATTAAAAGCTGTAATCTTAAGGCTTGTGTCGGCCTATAGAGAGAGAAAAGAGGGGATGTCAGAGCTGTTTACTAAAGCAGAGGAGTCTCTGGTCTCACTGATAGATCAAGAGCACAGCTGAACAGCACAACACTCGCCAGCATCATACACAACTACATAGAGGACTCGAACTGAGTGTTTATGGAGCTCTTGATCACAACAACATTGGTGCCAGCAAACACAGGGCTCTTTCAAATCCTTGGACACAAATCCAGAAACTGGTTGGCGTTTAAATAGGTGTAGTATGTTAAATTCATTTTATATAAGCAGTTTTTTTCTGAACACAGATCTGTATCTATAAATGTTTTTTTTGCCTCGTTTTTAAAAACCTGATTCGAATTCGGAAAAATCTGGATTGCCTCTGAAGCTCCCCTGCAGGTAGTCACAAAGGCGGGATAGGGGAAAGACAGAGGCCATGTGCAGCATCAGAGCCAGAGTGACACAACAGCACTGTGTCTGTCCAAGTCTGCATCTGTGTATTTTGTTCTTTCATTGTGTGTTAAGTACTAAAGCATAATGATAGCAAAACTTTGGAAAGACCTTGTCCAGCAATCCAGGCAATGGTTAGTGCATATACAAGTTGCTAACTGCTAGGTAATTCAAGCCATGATGTCACTGATATCAGCAAAAATGTCCAAAGTTGTGATCTTAACTGCAAAGCCCTGAGTGAAACAGAGGTGGAACTGACCTTTCTAACGTTACCCAGAAATGCTCCATTTGATGTAATATACAGCAAACAAAATGTTTATTGTGATTTTAACTTGTGCCCCAAGGAGGCTGATGACAGTTTGTTACCATGGACGCAATACTGACTGTGGATTGCTGGTGGTTAAAAAATAGTTTTTAATCACTCAAATCATCTTGGGCTCAATATTCAGTGTTGGTTGACTTCTATATGTCTTTGGTTGATGGGCTGTATAGTGAATGGGTGGTTTCCGCAAATTAGAATCCCTTAAAGAAATGAGAACTGACCCTTCCACTTTGTACCAGGTCCTTCTTACTCTCACATGTGAAGATTTCTTGGATGATTTGTTAGAGGTGGGAATAAAAAAAAATAAAGTTATTCCGGAAAGAAGAACAAAATGGTAAGTATTAAAGAAAAGATATCAAAGGTATAGGATTAGATGATAGTTATCTTTGTGCCATTCTGAGAAAAAAACAAAAACAAACAAAAACAAATCTCGCTTAAGTCTTAATTTAATTCCTTGTCATAATTGCAAATGATGACCCCTTTTTTCAAGAGTTAATACATCAACTTTAGATTGCACATGCTGCCAACAACGTTAAGTGGCTCTTATCCATTTCAAATGTGTATCTCCCATTCTTCAATTTTCTCTGAAATTCTTCAGAATCCTTATTCATAATGTTTCCCTGCAGGCGCAGCAATTTTTCCTCTTTCAATACACTTTACAGAGATCAGTAAATGACACCAAGACTGACAGAGGTCAGAGATGGATTGACTTTGCTCTTGAGTGCAAACAGAAGATGGATCGCTCAGGTGTCTCATTAAATCTTTCACTGTTTCTGACAGAGATGATGTCAGAGTCTGTAAAAAAAAAAAAAAAAAAAAAAGGGGGGGGGGGGGTTACCTTTCTGTGTCTGTGAGGAAGTTTATGCCTTCTAGGAAGTGAGTTTGAGCAGCAGCTGAGCTCACCATCTTCACATCCATCCAAAGCTTCATTCTTATCTCCCTCCACCCCTGAACTCATATATACAGGATACCCACATCTGCACACGGATGAATCCAAACCTTCACAGTCAGCCACCCATCAACCTGCCTCCATCAGTGCTGGGCTGAAACCCGGCACTTCAAACTTTATGAAAATAAATAAAGCCATACAATGAGCTGTTTGTGCTCTGCTTTGCATCCAGCGGAGAAGCCTTCACTCTGCTGTCCCTCTCCTCCATTTAAAGGTTTGCTTTTACATTCCCTCTTGTACCACATTTCCCACCAAAATGGCTGCTTTACGCAACTCCCCAAGCTCCCTAAGCCAACATGACCTCCTTGTGTGTGTGAGTGTGTGTGTCAAAGAATGCATCGAGTGTTTTTAATTATGTCACTTTGCATGAGGATATTTTTTTGACTGGAACATTTTACCCATTCTCACAGCCTGCCTGGCTGTTTGTGTGTGCGTATGAATGTGCATAAGTGCACGTCTTAGCATGCATACTCACACACAGGGAGGCATGCTTATAAGCCGAGCAGCCGGTAATCCAATGTTTGTGCGTATATATGTATGTGTTTTTATGTGGAGTTTAAGTCCAAACCCGACAATGTTTACATGAAAAGCGTTGTTATTACCCTTCTCTCCAGCAGAGGCTCACCTGAGCAGACTCAGGCAGCTTTCACACAAGTTTCAACACACTTTTCATTCCTTTCTATTAATACAATGCTTTAATTTGATCCCTCTGGGATGCAGCTTCAATGCTCACAGCTGAGTTTACAGGGCACATCACTCTTAGCTAAGCTAAAAGTTATGGTCTGAATCTAGTCAGAGTCCAGCAGTAGGACTTCAGAGTTTGGTCCTTGCCATGTGGTCTGAAGGAAATGACCTACTAGCTTTTCAAAACATCCCTGTGGCTGGCTTTGGGGCCAGGGCTCCGGCCCTGATTGGTGAAAGCTTAGTGAGGTGTTTCAGGGCTCAGTGGTGATGTTATCACATAGTAAGTGGCCTTAATGGGCTTCCAACTGTTTGTTTGAAGGGCTCCCATAATGACAGGGATCAACTGATAATGGCCTCTAGCCCTGACTGCACAGACAGCCGTCAGACCCTCTCATGGATGAACTAACATCTTTGCCCCCTTCTAAAGATATGGGTGGTGAGGGTGGCAGTCTGAAGCACACCCACATGGTGATTGAACATCGTTGACTCATGACTCGATCACTGAAATGAGTTAAGAGAAAAAAGAAAAACCTTCTTCCACGTCCCTCCCCTTCTAAAGCCTGATCCCACCTCTGTGCAGAACAGGTATTTCCAAAGACACAGTGGCGCAAAAACAGAGCGCCACCGTGGGAGGTGCTCCGACCTGTCGGCACAGCATGCACACCCAACAAAAGTAGGCGTCACCCGGGCTACCTTTTTCACAACAATTACACACAGAAGTATGAACCTGGGCAAGAATGCAGTGTCATTTTACTGCATGAACCCAAGCACAAAAAAATATCTGCAGAGCTACTCCCTTACTGTGGAAGGTATTTTCTCTGTCTGGCCCACAGACAGCCCTGACAACAATGAGCAGGCCTGTTAAGCCAACTCCTGGAGAAGAGGGAGAAGGAGCAAGAAAAAAAAAAACAGCCTGGGGAACGTCCAAACCAAAGCCTTTTGTCTTCTCTGCTAACTTTTAAGAGAGCAGGGACTGAGACCAGTGTCAGTAAAATGCCTTGTAACATTCCTTGTCATGGGGCACAACAAAAGGAAGATTTAAATGCCGAAACCAACAACTGATCATTTTCCACCCTCTTCCAAACCTCCACTTGTTTGTTTGAGGAAGTGGAGGACATGTCTACGGCTGAAAAAAGTGTGTCAATATACCAAAGAATTACAACAGAGTTTACTGAGAATGTATTTAAAACAACAATGTGTGGTTGGGACTTGCTGTTTTACTCTTGACAGTAATTTTAGATTACTAACTGTTGCTCATCTCTGAGTATCTCCTGTGCTGAAGTTTTCCTGTTTTTTAACACTTACAGGATAAATCATTTCTCCATAAGTAAAAAACAGACTGAAGATCTGAAGTCTTAATCTATGCACTTAATATATCTATTGGTTGAAAAACATATATATAAACATATATATAAACACACACACATATATATATACACATATACATATATATATATATATATATATATATATATACATATATATGTATGTGTGTCTGTGTATATATATGTTTATATATATGTTTTTCATATATATATAAATGTGTGTATGTATATATATATTAAAATGTATATATATTAAAATATATATAAACATATATTATATTAACATGTATTAGGGCCACATTGAGAAAAAAAAATAAACTTTGAGATTAAATTGTTAACTTATAGAAAGTTAAAGTTAACTTATTGTTAACTTTATAGAGAATAAAGCCATTACTAACAAGAATAAAGTCATTACTAACTAGCATAAAGTCATTACTACAAAAAATAAAGTCATTACTTAAGAGAATGAAGTCATAATAAAATCATTGTGATACTTATGGCAAGGTGGTGCTGATGTGCCAAAAGATTGAGTATCTCCTTGTTTGAGAAACCTATATTAAATTACATTTTCACGAGATGCTCCATGGCTCTCATTTAAACAACTGTCACCTTAAACAACAGCTTAGAATATAAGGACTTTATTACAACTTTATTCTTTTAAACAATGATTTTATTATGGCTTTATTGTTCTGAGTAATGACTTAATTCTCGATAGTGATAACTTAATTCTCGCTTGTAATGACTTTATTCTCGTAAATCAACGACTTCAATCTCAAAGTCTCAAAGCCTGTTTTGAGATCACAGGGAAAAAAATATAATAATGAAGACCTCAGGTAAAAGTGGATAATGTCAAAGTAAACCTCATCTGACTTTAGTGCTGATGTCAGCTAATAAAGAGGCAGAACTAAAAAATGTCAATCTGCCCACATAAAGCTGAGTCAGAGCTAATTGTCTCCGTGATCCAGACTTAATCTTTGACCCCAGCCCCATTTAAGCCTTGACACAGAGCTTAAACCGAATAACTGCAGTCTTTAACCCTTGTGAACGATACTTCTGCCAGTGTCAATGTGTCAGTGCGAGCAGTCATGGATGAAGCCTCGGTGCATGTGGTCGCCTGCGTCTGTTTGTGCTTTGGATACTTGTTTTTATGTTTTAACTCATGCCAGAGCAAAAACCAAAAAGAATCCATCTGTCAGTGCTGTGGGATTTCACTCTGCGTCAGGGGTATGTTTCTAGTTTTTAGATGAAAGAGGCACTCTGTGTGTGAGAAACAGAGAGAGAGAGAGAGAGAGAGAGAGAGAAAGAGAGCGAGAGAGAGAGTGGGAAGAGTGTCTCTGGTGGTGTGTTTGCATGTGTGTTTCTGTGTGTTTTCCTAGCAGGGTGTGTTCTTGGATTCCACCACACTAAGACATTACCCCCAGGTGCTCTCTCTCGCTCTCTCTCTCTTTTGCTAGTTCTGCTTCTATGAAAATACCTTGAGGATTAGGTGGGCAGCAGCGGGGAGGAGGAAGGAGGGGAAGTTGGGGGTGAGGGGTGGGGTGAGGTAGTGATTGACGGCTGAAAGGCTGGAGAGGTGCTCAGGCATGCTGTGGTAGGGGAGAGAGATGAAGGGGGGGGGTCGCTGCGCACACAGGCAGGGGGGCCCTCTTAGGTTCTGCACTCAGCTGTTGCCACCCAACCCACACACACACTCATCACAGCCCCTCCACCACCACCTGCCACCTCTTTACCACTACACCCAGATAAGATTTCAGATAAGTCCTGCTTACCTTTACCTCACATCCCAACCTTTTTTACTCTTTCTGCTTGACATCTTTGGCAGATAGTACTTCAATATAATTATAATCCTAGGATACTCCTCCCTGACCCAGAATCCTGATGCTTGTTTTCAGACAAGCAGGTGTTTGTAACAATAAGTAATGTGTGTTGACAGCGTGTGTGTAATCTTGCTGGTTTTTCTGTGACAGAAAAACACTCTCCACACCAACAATCTCCTCTTTGTGCTCTGTGTCCCATACATCATTTCATCCTTATGCTAAGGCATACAACAGTGCCCCCTGTGGTCAGGCTCGGAACTGCAAGTCTGAAACTCCTTCAGCTTGCTGCTGCTGTCTGGTTACTTGATTCTTTCTCTAATTAACCCCTTCTTTTATGAGAATGAACAGAGCTGTAAGTCTGCTCATTTGGATTAAAACATACATCTTTAGGTTCAAACTGAGCTCATTTTCAAGTATCTCTCACTGCAGTCGTCACCTCACATTGAAAGAATGTTGTTTTGTCTCTAATTGCAGACTTGCGGCTTGCCTACTTCACTATAACTCCATGAGAGGTCCAGATACACACACACACATGCGCACACACATAAACACATACTACACTGAAGCCAGAGCCAGAGTTTGTGGTCACAACCACACCATCTTCAAGCATCTATAAGGAAACCACAGGAGCAGAGTAATCATTGTACTGATGAAAGTGGACTTTTTCCTCACAGGCTCATTGGGGGATTTTTTTTTTCAAACCACTCATCCTATATCACAAACAGACCCTGAAGTTTTCCATTTCCACAAAATTACACATAATGAAGTGCAATTTAAATCACTGCATTTTCCTTTTTCCAGCGCACGTCCAAATTGTTTAATGTGCATTGACCAAATGAAAGTAAGGGGCTGTATATGTAGTTATAGTTTAACTGGAAAATGACACACGAAAGGGAGGGAAAGTCAAACACAGTGATGAAAATGACTTACAGAGAGCAGCCATCTCTTTGGGCAGGTCAGCGCCGAATCTCCCGAACAGGCTGCTGTTGGCTAGTAGGTCGAATGGGGAGTGGCTTCTCATGGAGTTGAAAGCGAAGGGGTAGACAGCAGTTGGGAAGCCGGTCATGTGACCCACCTGCTGTTCCCTGTTGGTAGCCATGGTGAGGGAGCACACCCAGGGGTCCACAGCAGGCCGCTGGGTGAGTGTAGCGGCTCACGCAGCACCTGAAAATACCGGCAAACGTCGGGATCTGTGTCCTTTTGACAACTCTGGAGATGAGGGGGAGGGATGGGTGACGATGTGGCCACTGGTTTACCGAGAAAACGTCCGATTCCACTTTAGAGGGGTCATCCAATCCAATTTTCTGAGGAAGAAAAAGCAGAGAAATCTGTTATTTCCAACTACTAAATTCACCACATACAACATGAGCATAAGTGTTTCTGATTAGCATGAACACGATGATACAGTCAGCGGTTTGTGTTGAAATTCCACGAAACATGTTTCACCTCATATCAACTCTGAAACCCTTGAACCATCTGCACTCTGGGATGGAGAATAGTTTATTCACACTTCTAATGCAAGAGGGATGTGCACACTTCATACCAACAGGTATGTCATTACAGGAAGGCCAAAGGAAGTAAGGAAAGGACGGCAGGATCCAAAACAGATTAAGGCGTAAGAGAGAAAGAATGAGTTAGCTGTGAGAGAAAGAAGAAAGCCAGAAAAACTGGGACTGGGCGAGGGGAAAAGAAAATAAGAAAGAAGTTTGGAAAAAGTTATAACAGGGAAGAGCAAGGGAGGGAGGGGTAAGAGAGAGAGGGAGAAAAAGAGAGAGAGCTCTTGTTCCTGCAGTTTTGAAGCGCTTCCAGACTTCTACAGTGATTCCAGGCTATGCCATATGATTTAAATCACCAGAACTCTACTATAAAGAGCTCCTCTGTTCATGCTGCCAGCCTAGCACAGCAGCCTGCCTCTCTGCTGCTTTCCCCCAGGACCAGAGGCCCAGACACGGGGTCCGAGGCATGAAAAAGGGAGACGAGGGAGGGGGGTGTCGATGGTAGGGAAAATGAGATCCACTGATTGCTAACTGCTGCTGTCACTTCCAACTATCTTCTTGAGGTCAGACTCCCATCCCACAGAGTCATTTTGTCTTAAACCTCCCACAGTCTGCACGTCACTTTGACTCTGCACAGTAGGCACAGACAAGTCAGACTCAAGTGTGGACAAGGCTACACTTATGCCCCACTGTTGACTGTTAATACAAGAGTGGGGGGAAAAAACCTGCGAAAGCCTCCCATTTTCTTTCTTTGTGTTTTCTTTGCCTTTTGCTTCCCTAGCGTGATTTCATGAGTGGGTGGTGCGATCATCTTGTTTTTTAAATGTGGCTTTGAAAAAGAGCAGAGCCAAGGAATTTGGAACTGCTGTGGCTTATGAATCTGGGAGAAAAGAAAGGGGAAAAAATCCTGGTAATGAATTCGGTATAAACAAAGAAATGAGTGGAGGAAAGAAAAAAGATCTAAGGCTGAACCGGTGAACTGCTGAACTGAGGGAAGAACGCACAGAGGAACAGTGACAGGGTCTGGGCACTGGGGGGCACTAAGACGTGGCGCCATGCCCAGGAAAATGAGGGAAAGCTTTCCAAGACGCACACATATGCACACAGTCTGAAACACATGCAATCAAGCACTGAAAAAAAATTCTCTACACATGTGTGAGAGCACCCACTAACACTCTCACACACACACACGCACACATACACACACACACACCTCTCACCCTTTGCCTTTTCCAGGGCTCCGGCTCCCTCCCTGCCTCTCTTTCTGGCTCTTTCTCTTTCAACAGAGCCAGTTAATTACACCCTACTGCTGCAGGCAGCTTCAAACCACCACTAATTTAGAGTTCCATTACAGTAAACTGTTCCACATGTGCTTCCAGGGCCCAGGCAGGCTCGGGTGGCCACGTTTCAGGAAGGAGCAGCCGCCGATAGGCACCCACCCCCCTCCTGCCAACGCAGCCAAACTGCCATCTTTCTTTCTCTTTCCTCCTTTCTCTTTACATTTCTTGCCTTCTTTCATTACTTTGTGAGTTGATCCCTTCGTCTAAACTACCTTTGATTTTCTTTTCAGACCCACCCCACCTCTCCTCTCTATAATCATGTCCTTATACCCATTCCCCCAACCTCCACCCTCACTACCCCTACCCCCACCCACACGACGTCTCCATCCCTCTACTGCTTATACAACTCGTACCATGACCCTGTGCAGCGGTTCCACTGTGTGGCTAACACAAAAACATCACTAAAGATTTCACAGTGGGCCTAATGGGAGACGAGGCAGAGACTGAAAAAACAAAACTGCCAGCAAATGCACAGCCGCACAGTATGTCTGTGTGTGTATGTTGGAGAGTGTGTATACGCACGTGTGTTATGAGTATGTACTTGGCGAGCGTTTAGCCCGTTTGGGTATCTGCCTCATGAACTCAAAGCAGGCCCCTTAAAGGCAGAGCAATCTGTCTGCGAGTGCTGGAGAAGAGAGGCGTTTAAAGAGAGAGAAATGAAGATGTGTGAGAAAAAGAAGGCTCATGGTGAAGAGTAGGACTGTAGGCATGTGACTTCAGTATTCCCACAGGAGGAAACAACAGCATATTCATCCAAAAATTAAGCTCTAAATGAGTTTCAAGCCACGAAACCCAAGCGCAGAATCCTTTCTAGGAAAAATAAACCACGGTGCCACTGCTAGTTCACACATGTTTGAACCATTGAGAGCCCCGAAAAAAGCTACGAAAGTAAGATCTGAAGAGTAAAGACAGACAGAGCCTTTAAAAAAAGAACCGAGCAGCTTTACTCTCCCCAAACACAATAATGAATTAATAAAAGAGTTGGCGCCAGCGTTTTTTAATGAGTCACATCAGCCCAGCAGCTTTTTACAGAGCCATTTATGTTTTATGTCGGGTCCTGTGGTAGGCTCACTTCGCCAGTCCGTCTGGGGCTATAAGGGGATAAGGGGAATTTGTGAGTGACCTCATCCCCTGTTAGCTAGGGCCAAATGGGCATGGAGGGCCTCCCCACTTCCCCTGAGCCTGGGGGGCACACAGGAGGCAGCAGGCGGCCAGGCAGGCGAAGAGCACCGGGGCTGGCCATGGGTGGGATCACGACTGCTGCTGCTGCTGCTGGGACTTTCCATCATTCTCTAAGAGGTGCACTGTCCCAGTTCAAATTTACTTTGGTCGTTTCTGTAAATAGTTTGAGTGTTAGACCTCACAGTAGCTTGGCGTGTTCGAGCAGAGTTATTGGTTACACTCGAGATAATCCATTGATTATATCGGGACGGCGCAGCGTGTCACAAATGAAATGAAATCAATCAAGTCAACAATTTGGAGACAGCTTACAAGACGAGGCACGCTTACAGAGAATGGGATTGTCTTGTTTGTTGAAGAGTTTGAATTTCGACACAAAGACAGAGCAAGGGTATGAAAAAGACAAAGACAAAGAGAGGGGAGAGAGAACAGTTCCCACAGATTGAATGTCTGTCAAACAAAGGGTATCAAATCCTCTGTGAGCACAACAACAATTGTGCCTTAACCATTGTGACACAGTCAAGCCCCTCAGGCAATAAGAACTACACTCAAACATAACAAATAAATCACGGCATCTCAGGAAGCTCTGCACCACACAACCAAGAAAGGCAGAGTGTGTTTTTTTTAGTCAGCACAAGAAACCACAGGTGATTACTCGGCGCATATGAACAGAGGTCTGGGTGCCATGGCCGCCTCTTGTATGTTAACAGAAGGTTTTTCTCATTGCTGGGAAAGAAGAAGTGGCATTACTGTATTTGATGTTAAATCGAGTTATAATAATATGTTTGTCTTGGTGAGTTATTGCCTTTGAAGTAAGAATTTCGCAACCACTTCTCGCTCTTTGCCTCATGTGGAAACTAGTTTCTTTGTTTCACTTCTGAGATTGGGTGGGTTTTCTTCTTTCTGTTTCTTTTCGGGTTCCTTAAAGTACCAAGCATGCCACAATGTACAATTTTTATCATTTTTAAAAAAGGTTTAATAAAAAAATACCAATTAGTTGAGTCAACTTTAAATAGAAGGATTGATTATAAATTTGCAGCCTCCAGATAAATGAAGTGTACCATGTATCCTGGCAGTTCGCTTTCTCTTTTTCCACCTCTTACTTGCCCACTCCTGTTCTTCTTTTTTTTCTTGGAAAGAAAGTTGTGCATGTCTTCCAGGCACTGTCCTCCAATTGTCAACATCATAAAGTGATTTATGTTCAGCTAAGTTTGTTAAAGAAAACGGCTTGAAGCAGACAGTTGAAGTTTTGGGTCATGGGTGAAGTCATACTATCACAGCAGAGTATCGCAGTGATTTTACAAACTGTGTCCTTACTGAGTTGACAGACTGGCTTTTCCAACCGCTTGGAGGAGAATGAATATTCATTGTCATCATCTTCACTCAATATGCCAACACAGAGCTATCAACAATTCACAACTATCACAGAGCAAAGCTTCGTATTAAATCAGGATTGGAGCGTTATCTGATCTGGGTGCTGGCGTCAGCAGTATTTTGGCTGTGACAACAATATCCTTAACACTATTATCTGATGCAAAGCTGACAGCCCCCAGTCTTTCAACGAGTGGCGGCCTAATGGCTCTGAGAGAGACACCTAGTGACAGACGCTCCAGTGTCTCCAAACAAACCCACATTCCTCGGCCTCAAACTTGTTTGACATCTGCCTACTCTTGGCATGGCACAAACACATATTTACTTACAGCAGCCAAGCTAAGTAGCACCTCTGTGTAATCATTTGTCACTTGAAGGAGTATTGTTTTTCTTAAATGCCATCAGGGAGTGGCGTTGTGCAATCCCTGTGTTGGTATCGGTAAATCATCAAACATTAAATCCTTGATCTCTTTTTTGTTCTTTCCTTCCACTCTTTGTTTAGACAAAATGTCCAAAAACAGCCTGTGTTGACTCGCAGTGGTGAAAGAGAGAAGTATGGAAAGAGTGAGAACTCACTCAGAGTGAGACATAAAGCACTTTGTGACATGATGAAGTCATCCTTACAGATCGCTGTTTCCATGATGTGGTGGAGCTCTTTGGAGTACTCCACATGGAGACTTGAGCAGTGGGCCCAGCAAAACAAGAAAATACACCACAACAGGAAAAGGCAAAGACAGATGATGGTGAAATAAAGGATTCAGAGAGTTAAATAGTGAGTCAGAGCGACAGGAAACAAAGCAAAGGAAAAAGAGCTAAATGGCAGCAGCATGGCGGCTGCTTTTCTCAATTTCAAAGTGAAGTAACTTCTTTCTTCCCCTTTGGTTTAAAGAGAGGATTCACACCACGTGGAGCAATAAAGGTGTTTCTCTTCCACAACTCAAAGAGGAAACAATCCCTGCTCTGTATAAGGAGAAGCATAATGGATGGTTTCACCAACACTGCTCTTTAGCCTCAGGAGTCAAAGCAACACTCAGACACATGCAGGCCCAAACACACACATGCGAGCACAAAACAACACACACACTCACACTCGCTCACAAAAGTTTGACTTTTGTGCCAGAAGATCTTTTAATGAGGGCTTGGACGCAGTCTGCAAATGTAAATCCTCACAATCAGAGCAGCACACCTGCAAAAATAGACATAGGAAATAGTTTGCAGATAGTTTCCTTCTTAATTATAGTGTGGTAGCGGAGAGCCCCTCGATTCCCCTAAAACCACCTGTCTAACCCCTCCCTACCACTTGGCCTTAATTGCTATAGAAATTCCAGCAAAGACAGGTATCAACAACTCCCAGATTTACAGCTCTAAGTCGTGTCACAAAGGAAGACTGTTGGCAGATTTTGCAACACATAAGCTTTTATGGGTCAACTGTTGATTCAGTGTTTTCCATAAAACTTGGGATTTACTGAAGCTACACCTGAAAGCACAGGCACATGACATACTTGTTTTTTAAAATGTGATGTCCTTTTGAAAACAGGATAAAAACATACTTGTTTATACACTTCTTGAACCCTTTTAAGGAAGCTACTCTGATGGTGCTGCAATAAAGTCAATCCAACATTTTGATTGCTCTAGATTTGGCTTTTTGATTTAGACTACAGTTCTGACTGAGGTCAATCTTCCTCTACTTGTATTTGTATTCGATAAAGATCTCAAATGTGTTTGTTTCCACTGATATAGACAGTGTTTTGCAGGTCATCTGTGTAGAAAACCAAAACAATGTGTGAACACTGACAAAAGAATTTTAATAACTGTCTTATGCTTGATTGGTAAATATTTACGACAAAGAAAAAGGGGTAAATGTTTGTGGTGAGGACTACAAAGCTAACAAACTTGTGATTACAAATGCAGGGATCATGACTAACAACGCATCTGGAGCGTATGAGAGCATGCACAAATAATAATTGATTCCAAACTGTCACTGAGGACAAGCAGAACTGTGTCTGGACAGCATGGAGGTAAAGCTGCTCTGTGTGGACAGCCTGTCCTTGATAGAGAGACCCACGGGCGATGCTGTGGAAGGGCTAGTGTGGCGATATTGCTCTGCTCTGTTTCCTTCACTCCAGATGTAACCAGCTCAGAGTCAAATCGGTGAAGCAGATGACAGCAGAGGGCCGAAAAAGATATCACCGGCCTTCAAGCGAGATCTCATTCAGCAGTCTGGGTGCGTTTTCATTTCACTTCAATCAAACTGTCCCTCACACTTATGTCAGGTCCACCAGGGGGAAACACAGCAGGTGCAAAAGTCGAGTCAGTCCAGCTGTAGAGGTCTACCTCCAGACCAGGCAGTGCTGGAGCAATAAACCAAAGCTACACTCTGACATCAGGCCCCTGATCTTCATCTGATATCCAAATCACACTCTGCTAAACGCACTGTGTTACACACGGCTGTAACAAGTGGAACCTGTTAACCTTGCACAAATGCCAGCATCAATAAATAATCGTCAGTGACACACTGCTAACTATGGGAACACAATGAATAAACTTTCATGTAAACTCAGAGCTGAGTTTCAGACACACCTCACTCCACAGGAATCAGCCTGTGCTGTTTAAGAAGTGGAAAACAATGCTGCTCTTTTCCAAGTGTTCATATGTTGGTTATAAAAAAAACAGGTCAAGGACTGGTGAGTCCTCTGGTGAATACACATCAAACACATGCGAGCATGTACACACAAAAACACACACACACACATATGCTAATAATAAAGAGCTCCACAGGCGCAGGGTAACACTCGCTAATAAGCACACATGTGCACACAGTCATGCAGGCACAAACACCGCTCAAGTATGTTTGCATATAAACTCGGTGTCACTCTCACGCTAATAGAGTAGAAACAAACCAAGTAACTAAAACACTGCATGCAAACAAACATGTGTGTTAGGATGTTTTAGTGTTTACACATGAAAATCTGCTCCGATTTTAGGAAACTATGATTAATTGTCGCAAAGCCTCTGAAGTGTTTTGCACACTCAGTCTGTCTTCAATTAAGTGTCGACTTGTTCACCAAAAAATGCAGCCTCTCTCTCTCTCTCTTTCTCTCTCTTTTTTTTAACTGAGGAGGATGAGGAAAAAGAGGACAAACAATGACTAAGGTAGCTGAATTCAGAGGTTTGAAGTCAAAGTGACTTACCTGTTGTGGAGTTTATCCGGCAGACAGACGAGAGGAAGTTCTTGATGAAGCGGTCTGATGAACTCAGCTAGCCGGGGAAAAGCAGAAAAGATGTGTGTTTGTTCATCAGAGTCCTTCTGACAGCAAAGACAGAGGAGCAGTGAGCCTCTCTCACTCACTCACTCACTCTCTTACTCCCTCCCTCACTCCCCCTCTTCCACTCTCTCTCTCTCTCCTCCTCCTCTCTCGCAGTCTCTACCTCTTAAAAATCACTGTTTCGCTCCCCAAACACAGGCGCGCACTCACTCTCCTTTTGCTCACTAAGAAATAATTATACTCTCTGATTCATAAAGCCTTCCTTTGTCACATGACCCAACACTTCAAATATACAGCACATTTTTTCACAAGCCACAAAGTGCCTGGAGGGAAAGAAAAGGCCCAGAGAGCTTCAGTTTCTGTTTTTAATTCTCGCTCTCTTCTTTCTTTCTTTCCTTCATCTTCTTGGCTAACAGTTTACCTACAAACTCCTTGTGCGTGTTGTGATCTCACTCATTTTTTATCAATAAAGTCAGGGTTTGATAGGAGAGGATGTTTGAGTGTCCTAACAAACACATAATACAGTGTTTTCATTTAGCACAGATGCTGTTCAAATAAAAAGCAGACAGGTGTGTTTTATTTTTTCATGAACGTCTTGGTGGTTTTAATTTGTCATTTATCCCAAAAATGACCAACTTATGGAAATCCCCCGTTGGACTGTTGCTCCATCTGTCTGTTTTGTACCAGCATGTAGTGAAGGTGCTGTTTTTGTGTAACTCTTTGTGTTTGGCGTTGTCTTTTATTGCTTGTAATGTGTCTATGACTATCTTCTCTGAGCAGTGATAATAAATCCTGACTGTAACTTCCAAAGCAGATGCTCCCTCTATTGCAAAGACTTAGGCTGCAAGTGTCACGACTCTGGAACAGCTTAAAGAGAAATTAAATCATTCACACTGAGAATAAATACAAAACAGGATCTGGAAAGCAAAGCTGGACGTCTTGTTTACATAAGGGGTTTGAAAAAAGAAAAAAAAAAACGCAGCAGATTTCTCTACCTGAACCACATGTGAAACTATAGTGGTGGCACATGAGCTGTGGGGAAGTTGTGTGTGAGATGGCAGAGTTAAGCAGCAGAGGCAGAGGCAGCAACAGCGACGGCTTTGGGTGTGCCCCTAAGCGTGCCCCTCTCTCTCCATATGAGATCATATGTTTCAGATCTGTGTTTATGTGTTTGTGGTTCTGGGTGTGTGCCCTGTTTTTCTGAATGCAATGTTTCTCAAGTTGTTTTGGTTATGAGGAGCACCTCAACCTCAGCACAGGGAGGAGAAGACACACCTTAACTGGCACCTCAAAAGGCGACGTTTACCTCTGTATAGGGAGGATAGACTATGTATGCTTCCTGAAGAGTGAAAAACAGATCAATGTAACTGCCTGCATGAAAAACAATCTAATCCATTTCTAACAAAAATGAGTGCAGGAAGCATGCTCTAAATGACAAACTTGTTTCTGCACTATTTACTCTATAACTTCCTCTAAAGCGATGCCCATGAGGCACATTGGCCATGCATCACTTCTCATTCTGCCAACTATTACAGTCTGAAGAAACGCCAACAAACGCAGCATGCAGGACTTTTGATTCAGTCGTCCCAGGTACCTGTAAGAACTGCAATGACTGTCCTCTATTTTGTTTGTAAATCGCAGTGACGGGCCGGATACAAGCGAAGATCTTATCCTGAATACACCGACTCCAATATCCTCCAGGATGAAGTCAAGCCATAATAAAAAAAATAAAACAAAACTCATACTCGGCCTCTCTGCTATTTTTTGCTGTGTGCAGCCACATATGGTCAACAGGAGCCTCCTAAAATGTCCTTTCATACATTTTTCCGTGTGTGCATTTGCTTGTACGTAATCAGGGTGAATGAATGGCTAAGCAGCGAGAGGCGCTGTTGCCTTTTTTGCAGAAACCTTATATTCAGGAAGCTCAGATCTAAGCCACACTGCAAAGAGCACTTCAGCTGATCCTTATCTCGTTTACATTTGATTTATGTGTTGCTTATGAAGCCACTACGGCTAACAGAAATCCCTTAAATGTTTACATAGCACTACTAAATCAGCATTTGGGTAAAATGAAACATGTAAGTAAACACAGCCATAGGACGCTGCAAAAACTGACTTTATGTTACTTATTAGAGGGATACAAACTCTACAGCATGAATTTGACGTCTATGACATCCCATCAGGTTGACTGAGACTATGCATTTGTGTCAAAGTGTGCAGTCAAGTGCATGATGAGAGCTGTGCGCGTCAATGTGCAGGGCATGCTGTGCTCTTTATTAAATTATGACAGTGAGCTTAAGCAGGGGGGTTGTGTTTAGGATCTCTGCACACGCACTTCTGGATATATGTGTGCGTGAGTGCTTGTGTCTGTGTGCGTGGATGAGTATGCGTAGGCAGTAGCAGCGAGAAGGTCAGAGGTTACTAGTGTTTGTGTTTCAGTGTCAGTGAAGTGTGCTCCAGGCAGAGATTTATGATCATTGTGTCTGGAAGGCTGCAGAGTGGGGGGATAATGAAGATAGATCAGGGTGCTATCTCTCTCTCAGGGCACTGCTGGAAACACGGCCTCTCACCCCCTCTCCGTTCTCGTATCATTAACTCCAGCCTGTGACATCATAACGTGCTGCCCTTACATCAATCCTAACACAGTGTGCTCTGACAAAAAGTCGAAATGCACCGAGGCCGGCCCTCACAGGCAAATGCAGGCGTTGTAAAGGCACCGAGCTCTGCAGCCTCTCTGGGTGTGTTTATGAAGATATGAAATATTCATGGAATCATCGTACTCTGTCGTGTGTTTCCACTTTGGATTCAATGTATTTGCATTCGCTGAGCTATGGAGGAGAGGCCTGGGGCTGGTTGGCAGAGGAATAGCATTAAGAGGCAGAAAGGAAGGAGGAAAAGAGGGGGATAATGGGAAGAGCAAGGAAGGGAGGAAGTGAGGTTAGAGGGGTTAAAGAGAGGGGGGAAAGAGGGACGCAAGAGGACCTGTGATAGCTACAACGAATGTGAGAGTAAGGGGTGTGAAATAGGACAAAAAAGAAGGGGAGGAAAAGATTGAGAGAGGGATGGGGATTGCGGAGGGAGAGGGGATTGATGGGATTGGTGGCGGCGAGGTGAGAAGGGGCGCATGGAGCTGGTGCCTGTGGCGGCAGGTTTTAATCAGTAACAAGATGCCTGTAATGAGATCACTATTTCCCTACATTCAGATTGATGTCATGCAAAGTTAGCTGCCACACTGAGGCAGGCAAGGGACACACAGTCATTTACACACAGACACACACATACACACAAATATACACTTGCTTGTGCTTTCTTGGTTACAGACTTAAACACACATCCTGTGAAATGAAGGAGCTCATTCATCCCGCCTGGCAAAGTGTGCTCATTTAGAGTCCAACTGCCTTGAAGTAAAAACATACACAGAGGAGTACGCACAGGAAAATGACTTACTCATGGCAAAGGAGAAATGTATGTGTAAGGGACTGAAGGGCACACGCCACTATGTGCTCTCTAACAAAAACAAATGAGCAAGAGAGAGAAGAGAAGGGAAGAAAGAGCCAAAAGCTTTTTTATTGCAGAAGAAAGTCAGAGGGAAAAAAAAAAGATGCAGAGAAAATAAAAAGAGGACTTTGTGTGGAGGAGTGTGTGTGCATATTTTGGGGTGCATTCAGAAGCTGTCGACACAGCTACCAGGGCTTGTGCCAGCATATGAGCACTCGGCCCAGTCCACGACATGTGTATCCAATGAAAGGTGAACGGCTCTCCTGTCTATACTTCTTCTCAAAAATCAGCCATGATGTCACCATGAACCCATCTTGAACCCACCTCTGTCAAAAAGCATTACTCCAGCCCTCCCTCCCGCTTTTCTTTCTTTGCCTCATTTTCTGTTCCACCTCTCCCTTCTTCACGCACCGCTCCAGCTTCGCCAATTCTCCACCGAGCTCCAATCCTTCTACCTTCTCTCTTTTTTCATATTTCCCTATTCTTCAACATTTCCCCTCTCCTGTCCATGTCTCTTTCCGTCACTAACTCTCTCTAACTTTTTATTTGGCAAGCGGGGTCTAATTGAATCACCAAAAAAGCGCCGATGGCCAAAAATACCAGGATGTTCTGATTATCATAAACTTTGTTTAAGCTGTGGTTTTACAAAGAAGAATGCTCTGAGCACATGAGGAGAAGCCAAAAAATGAAAAGCTGAAAAAAATGTGGAATAGGGGAGAATGCAAATGAAAGAGGGAAAGAGAGGGAAGAGAGGGGTGGTGGGGGCAGCGAGAAGGCAGCCAGAGAGCCACATATGGAAGTGATTCTGTAATTACTGCAAATCTGTGAGCTCAAAAGGAAAGGTCTTCTTTTCCATGCCTCCTTCCCTGCACATAAAACTGCCCTTGTGAGAAAGTTGGGCACTAAATACTGAGCAGGAAACATTAAAAAAACACAGCTTTTCATTGCTGCTGCTTTTTGGCATGACTGGTTGGTATATAAATAAGTATGAAGCAGCTATATGTTTAGTATGTTGAGTTTAAGGTCTGTTTCTACTTTTCTGTCTTCGGTGATGACCTCTCAGTTGATCATGAGGCTAATTCCACACAGTCTACTTACAAGTGGAAAATGTTCTGCATTCTTTGTTCATTTGCTTTGCTTTTCTGAGCTTAATCAACCGTCCTAGGAGCTAATCTAAAACAAACTGGGAAGCTCAGCTAACTAAAATCTCTCACCAACCGCACACACCTACCAGACATCAGCCATATAAAGCACACATTCAACAAGGTGTGTAAGGGAGGGGGCGGTGTGGGGATGAATGGCAAATATACAGACAGAGAAACAGACAGTGATGAAGACTGTCTTCTTTTGAGCCTGAGGCGAAGCAATGCTTTGCAGGTGTGTATGTTGGCAGCGACTTCTGTTCTGCTTAAGTCCCCAAACCGTTTGAGCAGCCTGTAATTATCTGGTGCCCTCCCTGTCGTAACGTGTTCTCACACACATATACAAGCGCACGCACACATACACGCATATGTCTTTCTTGCGCACACACAAAACCAAACACCCGCTCTGACGCATCTATGTTAGTCTCCGTTTACTCTTCGTTACTTCCAGTTAATCACAGAAAGAGATAGTTTATGTCAGGCACACAGCAGTCGTACCTTCTTCGTCAAGTGAAGTGTCTCCGGCTTCAAAGACGACTCCGTTCCCACCGAAGTTTGGTTGATGTCATGTGCGCGTAAAAGTCGAAGTTTTGTGAGAAGAAGCTCACGCTAAGTCATGAAGCATCTTCGGGGATTTCGTCTGTGAAGGCACAAAGGCGTGTTAATATTGCGCAAACTGATCCTGAACGCTTATTCAATCATTAGTCAGAGTACCTTCGTTTGTTGCCATTCCGTCTCCGTGTCCCGCCGGCAGCTGAGGGGCGTCGATAGGAGCTACAGATTTATGGCACTCTGGCTCTCCCCAGTGATAAAACGAGGGAGTGCAGCACAGGGATGCAAGAGAGGAATGACGTCTGAATGTGTAACAAACGTGGGCTGTAAAAAGATTATGACTTTATGAACACCTGGGAAATACGTATAATGCAAACTAATACAAAAGCTCTGCAATAATCTTATTTTTGCGCAAAAGACTCTTGGATTTAAACTGAAGATGTTGTAGGTGGTAAAAGTGTAGCCTACTGGTATGTTCTATAATTCTAGGCCTATATTTTGTACCCTTCATCAAAAAGGGGACAAAATATAGAGGCAAAATATTGAAAAAAAAATTATATTATGAATTCCAGTATATAACCAGCAACCACAACAACTTATACAATTAATTCAAGTAAAAATTGTCACCTGTCTGGCTTTGTCAACATGCATGAGAAATGCAGGAGCTTTGTAAAGGTATTTTTTTTGGTAAAGGTGGTGTATTGTTTTATTGTAAGTTTTTATAATAATATTAATAATGATAATAATAATACTAACAACAATAACAACAACAATATAATCATAATCATAATAATAATCACAATAACATAATAATTATAATTATAATCATAATAACATAATCATAATTGTCAGTGTATCTGTGTGAATAAGAGCTCGACCTTAATGTGTTTGCCTATGTGTGTGCCTGATCTTCCTAAAGCTCTTGTGTATGTATGCATGAACTCAATTAACCACTCATTACAAATAATAGGCTATCTAAATGGATTTCACCACTTGACTTTAATGGCTGTATTTGACAGCCCATGGTGTAACATAAAAGATATAGGCCTAAGATGAGCCACGTTATTTTTAATGGGGATATTTTTAAATTTAAGAACTGCTAGGAATAAAAGATATATCCACAATTGATAGGTCCCCATTGTGGAACTACTGAGCAAGAGGCTAAAAATCTGTCACACGATGATCTGTTAGGAAATATGGTCTTTATGCTGTAAATACACATGTATGTATGTATGTATGTATGTATGCATAAAAACATGCATACATACATACATACATGAATACATGCATACTTACAAACATACAGGCTACATACGGTACATACTCACAGACATACATGCACATACTTCATGCATACATACATACATACATACATACATACATACATACATACATACATACATACATGCATACTTACAAACATACAGGCTACATACGTACATACATACATGCACATACTTCATACATAAATAACGTGCATGCATACATACATACATACATACATGCATGCATGCTCACATACTTCATACATACATACAGACATACATACAGAAAATAGATTTCTGCTTATTTGTCAGTGCTTTAGATTGCCACTGGGGGGCGCTGTTCACGAGCTGTGTAGTTCTCTGCTGCATGTTCAGGGATATAAAAATACAGTAGGCTACCGATTTTTTTTTTATTATTATTTTATTTATTTATTTATTTTAATTCTGGTCGAATGTCAGGGAATTTCTTGTTGTGCAAACAAGTTGTAAAACTGGCAGTAAACTGTAAAGAAAAACTAAATCCGGTTTAGCCAATTAGGAAAGGATTCCTTATTGTCTTAACATTTACATGAACTTAAACTTTGTTTAAAGCGAAATCAACTCCAAATCTTGGTCATTAATGTCCACGGGAATTACATTATTTGACAATCGAATTGTACGCCAAAGTTGGGGATCTAAATGCAACTGGCTGCTGCTGCATATCATTGCGTGTCAGAGGTCCAGTGGCGCATCTACAGTTCCCTTTGGCACATGGGTTTTAACCTTGGCACTTGCTTGTTGTTTGGCATGTCAGTGTTTGGCATGTCTCAGTGTTTACCATCCGTTTGCAGAGCTGCCTGTCAGTGAGCTAGCAGTCACGGTGAGCCACGCCTATTGTCCATGTGCTCCATCCTCCAATCTCTCCATCCCTCCTCCGGTATTTTGCATAAAATGTGTATCAGTAGGGCAGCGCTATCCCCTGCACATGCATAGCGCACATGTAGCGTGGCTTTACTGAACACATACCACGGTCGAATAAGCGCATCAAACTCCCCTCAGCTCCAGATCCCCGCCAATGAAAATGCACAAAAGCGTGAAGGAGAGAGAGGGAGAGAAGGGACTTCGCGAGATACAAAGACAGCGCCAAATCCCACTCAAACAGACACAACACAAGTTGAGCGAACGGAAAGGCGGTCACATTTCCTACTCACCTGCAAACGTGATTGATGTGGGTGTTTGTATCAGTGGGTGTGTATGTCATGCTTGACACTCACGGATATGCTGACTCTACTTTCTTGGAATACATGAGAATCTTTTAATCTTCGCTCGTGAAGCATCACACCCGCTCCAACGCAGCCGAGGCACAGTATCCAGAACGCAGAAGACTACCAGGTATCTTTGAGGAGCCCAGGCTGTCCAGCTGAAGCCCATCTGAGAAGTGACAGAGACACCTGCCTGCACTTTAACCAGGAGAAAAAAAACTTTATGCGCACAAGACACCTCTCAATCACTGCTTCCAATTTTTTTGCGCTCTATGGAGCAGGTGTTTTACTCAGCGCTCTTTCTCCACTTTTTCACCTGTCTGCGAAAGACTTTTGCTCCAGTCTAGTGACATTCAGGGATATCTACTGAAACTCCAAGTCGACTCGAAGTTATCAACACAAACAGTCAAGAATGGATAACAGCCCTGGCGGTAAGTTTGACTTTTAACTTATACCTAACATGCAACAGCCACTCTGTTGCGATAATAGTGCTGCGATGACATAACAGTCATATTGATCTACATGGCATTGTTGAGCCTTTTCATTCATGCAGTTGTCAATCAATTATGAAGTACATTTTTTGTCTTTTTTACTCTATTCTTTTTTTTTTTTTAAAACATGTTATCCATTGAAATGCATTTATAAATCATGTCTAATAAGCAACATAGATATGCATTTCTGTTATAGTGTGAAAATAAAACTAAATCACTTTTGCAATATATATGTGCATGCTCAGAAACCACATAATGCAACTTATACTGCATATCACACCTATTAAAAGATGCACAAATGCCGATTTATATATCTCTCAGTTTCATGATGCTTTACATTTGCTTTATAATGTGATATTAAATGTCTTGTACACGGAATCGATCCTCACACCAGAAAAAAATCACGTCAGTTAGTTTTCAAGATCAGTGAAAGTTTAACTGTGAGACTATAACAAACTCGTCTTGAAGTTGCTGTGCTGCGTTCAAGTGTCAAATCACAGCTCCAGCACTGCAGCTCTCGCCATATGGTCGTAGTGGGGCTGGCCACTTCCTGCTTCTCTTCATAAAAACAAACTCACGTGGAGCTACCGTACACTGGCTTGACACTGTAAACAAAATCTGTCAGAGCCAGCACTGTATAACTTATCATCTCACGAGGGGGGAAAAAGGAAACTTTGCTGTAAAGGATGTGTGTGTTACTGTTATCAAGGCCACCGCTCAAGTGGCTGCAGTATAAAAGTTGATAACCGCAGGATTTCCACTCGTTAAGTGGTATTAGTCAGCGTGTGCTCGAGGTCAGCCAAAGGTGCACATGCGTCCTGCTTCCTCCCCTAATTGACGGTGAATCATTTACAACAGTCACGGTCACGTTCCAGCACAGGTGATGGGCGCACCCTGTAGTCCGTCAACATGTTACTGTGAGCTGAGGGCATCACTAAACCCATTCACCGGGTTATGGCTTTTTGTTTATGCTGATTAAGTGGGCCAGTGTTTAAAAGAAACAAGCCATGTAGTTAAAGGAGGAACCTCTAGTAGCACTTGAACTGATCGAGATGATAAACTGAGATTACTCTGTTGTTGTTTTATTAATACTTGATGGTTTTAGATACCACTTCACATCCTCAATCCTTACTTTACAAATATAACAGTGCATCTTTTACTTTACAAAGTCTTGCAGCCGATAACTGTCCCTCCTCTGAAGATCCCTCTAGGCCGCAATGACTGATTGTGCTCCAGTCATGGGTTCGATGTAGTAATTTAATAAATATAACTCTATAACAAAAATACGAGTTGGTTGAAGTGCAGATGAAATGACAATGTGAATTCATGTTGCTGTGCATGTCTGCTGCATTCCACAGAATTGGATGTGATTGGATAGGAACACCTAATTTCATGCATCTTACACTCCATGAAACCTACAAAATAGTTGAAAGAAGTCCCAAATTTTGGAGAGCAGGGGGACACAAGAACACGCATGTTTGAAAAGTGAATTAAAACGTCAACAAATTTATCCCTTGACTCTCACTTCAAAGGTCAACCATTCGAGTAAGTTATGTTAGAGCTTAGTTATTTGTTTGTTTGTTTCTCAGGGGTTTTATTTGCTCAGTTGCACCAGAACAAGAATATAATTGGCTGTCATGAAGCTCAGGACAAGAACACATTGTTGATTTCCTCTCTGTTCACTGCATAACTTCCTGCACTGTGAGCTCTCACTAATCCCCTCACTCCCCTGGTGGAGGTTTCCTGCATTATTCTTAGCCTGTTTAAATCAGTCAGAAGTTAAATCTGGAGCTGTTTCTAATAATCACTCATAAACCAGTGTTAGTTTTGGCCAAGTTTTGAACGGCGGATGAAAACAATAAAATAAGACTCACTAATAGGGACAAGTTCTGCAAACAAACAGTGCAACTGATACCATGAAGTCAACTTTAACAGTACTTATGCGCATTAATTAGCCAATCAGAATGGATTTTATCCTGAAGAAATGAGAGATAATACAATCAAGTCCTCTCAGGGCAACTTAAAACTGCATCTGAAAAGATACCTTTAAGCTTTAAATGTCCCCAAAGTACATTTGAAAATAATTGCATTGAACTTTAAGGCAACAATTCACAAGAATAGGGCTCTGGAGTGTTTAGTTTATGAGATTTCTTTAAGTCTTGGTCAGAATCGTCTCTGATTGCCCATTTGCAATACTGATGCATCTGTGGGAACTAGATGCAGCGCCCTGCTGTCAGTCCAGCTTCTGTTGCTGCTGCTGCTGCTGCTGGTGGTGGTGGTGGTGGTGCACAGCCAGACCCCCCTCCGCCACCATCATCACCACCCCCGCACAACACGCTGCTCTATTTAATTCGGCTCTTTAATTATAAGCCCCTGGCGGACTGCAGAAGCTCTGGCTTCAAGCTGGAGTTGCAGCTTCAAGTCTCCCCAGTGAAAGCTCCGTCAAAAGCCTCCTCACGTGGCTTCCTTTGCAGAGCCGCGTGCGACGCGTGAGATAGCCGAGCCCTCCTCCCCGCCGCTTCCCCGCTCTCACGGACGCCTCTGTGTTGATGCCGCCTGCGGTGATGAAGAGGGAGAGCTTGGTCAGTGGGTCAGCGATTCCATGCTTTAACTTTTTCTCTTTCTATCTCCCGTCACGTTTCCCCGCCTCATGCGCCTGTTGTTTGGAATGAAAAGCGTTTTTAATCCCCTCGTTTGAATCACACAGTTTGAAGGAAGCGGACTCGATTTTTTTTGGACTGCAACATCTGTCCTCAAACCCCCCAGTTCAGGGCACACATCCGCTTAGGTTTGCGTTTCATCTGGAACGTGACTCCACTGTTAAACGCAACATCTGATCTGTCATGCAACATCCAAACAATACCCAGAGCCTTTATTTCTAATGTTTACAAAAAATGCACAACCTTTTAGTGGATGATTTTGGTTCATTTTTGACAACACAAATCTTTCTGGTCTTTATAAATAATGACTATCACGAGTGGTTATCCATTTCCTCCCGATAATTGCACCAACCAGAGCTGGTATTTGATGCAGCATCAGTTTAGGGAGATGCTCCAGGCGCACAGACACAATTCTATCAAGTTCCTGTGATATTGACCTACTTACACAAGCTAGTGTTAATGAAGTCTACAGCGAACACCCAAGTGGTGCTCAAACACTGGCCATGTTCAGTGGCACACAAGACCAAATAGAGGACCTATTCTTGGACATATGCGATTTTATGTTTCAATTCTGTATGAAAGAGGGAAAACACGTGCGAGGGTATGCATCACAAGGGGGAACAAACACAGTGAGTGGTGTGTTTGAGGCTATATGTAGCTGACCCTCTGTGTCCTGATTTATAAGGTGAAAGTAAGAGATAAAGGACAAGCGAATGAGAGAGAAACGCAGAGGGGATGACAGGAGAGGGGAAGAGAGCTGTGCCTTTGAACTGCTCACTGCTCACGTTTCTCTGCCTGCCTCCAGTCCCAGGCAGATTAGTGCTTGCACGGGTAGGCTAAGTTTGAAACGGGCACCGGGGAAGAAAATAACCGAATACACCGAAAATCCATTAAGGGGTCACGTAGAAGTTGACTGATTTATAATATACTGTCAGTAATAAGAATGAAGAATGCAATACTACACACCTCATCTATTGATTTATTATTGCATTTGCCTGCAGCCTGTACAGATAGTCAAACTTTCTGCAATGTTTGAATCAAAATGTGATTCTCCTACAGTTGCATGAAACTGAGGATGGATAAAAACTCATGCATCAGGAGATAAAACTGTGTATCTAAGTCTGTGTTCTGTGCAAATTTGTGCAGATGATCAAACTTTATTTACCTCTGTGCTACAACATCTAGTGCATGCAGGTGATAGTGTCATAGTACCAGCCCATATACTCCAAAGCTGCCTGTAAAAGAGATTGTTAATTGACAGTGTTTACAACAGTGTGGCTGTAGGGGTCATTCATAAACACTTACTGTACATGTGAGCCTTCAGGTGGACATGCAATGTGTTTGGGTGGAGTGGGGGGTTGGGCCACTGACTGTCTGCATGTAAGCTCAGGAAGCAATGAGGCTCAGGCCTGCATCTGCTGGCTCTGTCTGTCTGTGGCTCTGGCATGAGTCAACAAACCAGCAACACGTGCTGGTTGAGGGATTATTAAAACCTTTGAGCCAAACAAAAAGCTTGTGCAGCAAAGGCCAACACACAGGGACAGCACCCATGCAGAATAAGCATAAATACTACCTGCTGCATGAATCACTCAAATGGGGTTTGTGGAAGTAATGTCAAAGTTTGAAATAACTGCAAGCAGGTCATGAATAAAGTCTGAAATGAGGCCGATTTTTGCTGGATTATATTCAATTGTAAATGGCTTTGCATAAAATGTTCCTTCCTATGGGATTCAACTGTGCGCTGAGTTATTTGTATGTTATTATTACTCAAGTCCCATCCATTAGGTTGAGGCTTTCCTTTGCAAAAACGTGACTCGCATTCTCAAACTGATGGTGGCGCATGAACAGTAGCAGTAGGGAGAAACTTGGTGCCACCTCAAGCCTGGGAGCTTCCCAGCTCTCCGCGTATGTTTGTAAACACAGTTCCGACTAGAGATTGTTGTATATTTCAACACGAGACTGCGGATTTGGTTCGGGCAGTAACCGTGTCAGGAGTCCATGCATGTGAGGCGGCGGTCAGGTGTCGTGCTGTTAGCTGGCGCTGGGCACGGTGCCAGGGGAGCGAGGCTATTATTGGAGCGGAGGAGGCAGCAGACCCCGCAGACACGTGAGGCCGTGTCTCAGCTCATCCACAACGCATGACTGAGAGAAAGAGAAAGAGAGAGAGAGGGAGAGAGAGAGAGAAAGAGAGAGAGAGAGAGAGTTGATGGGATAAAAAGGAAGCGAAACTAAACTAACTCCAACAGTCGTACGGCGCCAAACTCAACACGTATTTTTATGGTAAATGCATGAATTCTGCAAAAGCATGACACATGAATTATTTATAAAAAGAAGCGCTTTGATGATGAGTCTCGTGCATGCTTGTCTGCTCTGTTGCTGTGTCACAAGCAGTATTTTTAGCGCACACTTTAACCGCTTGAGCGCACCATTACGCGCGTTATACTCAGGATGAGGCAACGACTATGTAAACTCTCCGAGCTGTTCTCCACTGCCCAGAGGTTGTGCAACATTACATCACATCACATCCAAAGTTGTATTCTAGGGAATTATGGATGGACAAGTTCAATATATTCCACATTTACAGTTGATCTAATTCTTCCACAACCATACTCGTGTACAAAAAGTACAACATCCGCTTTATTCGAGGATTTAATTCAAAGTTTCTCCATCCTTCGCTTATCTGCAGGTGGAGTCATCCTGTACGCAGGCTCCTCAGGCAGTTCAAGCCCCAGTCCAGGCAGCCCCTCCAGCGGGTACCAGACGCAGTCACCCTCTTCACACTCCCAGCCCTCATCTCCAGAGGAAGTGACCTTCACAGAGATTGGGGCGCTGAAACAGAGGTCAGGCGGTTGCACCACCCCATCATCCAAACTGGTGTTCCAGTTCCCAGATGTGTACAGTGGCCCCTCACCAGCAGCAGCTGCGCCTCAGCATACCTATACGCACCCCATTGCCGGAAAGAGGCCATGTGGGTTCACAGGAACTTTCACAAGTAGGTGTTTTCTTCTTCTTTTTTCAATAATATTCTCTGATTTTTAATTTTTGCAAATGATCTAACTGCTTCTTTTCTTTTCTTCAGAGACAGGTGGAATGGTCCTACTGTGCAAAGTCTGTGGTGACATTGCATCAGGTTTCCACTATGGAGTGCATGCATGTGAGGGTTGCAAGGTAAGCCCCATTTTAGAAAAATAGCGATCAATGATTGAAGGAAATGCTGCTTTCAGTGAACCAGTTTCACACCAACTTTGGCTTTTTTTTTCTCAGGGTTTTTTCCGTCGCAGCATCCAGCAGAACATCAACTACAAGATGTGTGTGAAGAATGAGAACTGTCTGATCATGCGCATGAATCGCAACCGATGCCAGCACTGCCGCTTCAAGAAATGCCTCTCTGTTGGCATGTCAAGAGATGGTGAGACATCCTGACACAATTTTTTTTGAAGCAAAGGAGACCGCTAGTGCAGATCTGCCAGAATGCCACAGTGCTCTGATTAGCCAAAGCAGCAGGGAAATGGGCAGACGGAAAGCAGCACAGCTCTGATTATGTAGGTCTGTGTGAAAAATGTAATGCGGAAAGTCTTTTGAGGTCATGGTGCCAGTAGCTCAGTTTCTCACTTCATCACCAGACCTGCACCTGCATTGCCCTTCTCTGATCTGGCCTCGTATCTCTCTCTCTTAAGTTTTCAACAGTTTTTCACCTGCCCTTTGCAGTAGCCTCCCACTCTAACTATGCCGTTACCTGAACGCTCCGGTTCAGCACAGCCCCTTCCCCTCCCAAGTATCCACCATGTTCCCTCAGGTCTCTTACTTCTCCTTCTCAGACAATGATTTATGAGAAGAGGAGCCTTGAAGTCCCCAAAGCTATCTATCATCTGGAAAACTGCAGCAAACACAGGAATTATTTTCGGAAATTGGAACAGGGTCAACTTGATTACCTCGTGCTTGCCCATAGAACATATTCCTGCAATTAATGAGGAACAGAGTCACGATTAAGCAGCTGATGCAGTAAAAAGCTAATAGTGACAGAGTTTATCAGGCGTGAGGTTCACATCTACTGGTTTGGGCAGCAACAGCTGAAAAATGATTGATCACCTATCATGGCAAATTAAAAGATAGCTCGGCTGACCTAGAAAAACAATACAGAATCGGGCTTATAGTGTACTCATGCATTGTGACCTACTTGGGGTAGTTTGCCTGTCTTCTTTCTCTCAGTATGGTTTCTGCTTATCTCCACCCTCCAGTACCCTGTGTTTGCCTAATCTAGTAAAGAGGTTAGTGTTATTTCTGCATTCGCTTGACACTTCTGGTGCACAGAGAAAATAGGTTGGCAAAATGCAACTCAATAAGAGAGCAAACAGTCAGGTTGGCCCTTTTAAAAAAGATTCCCGAATGCGATCAGGACCACAACCTAGAAACCCCTTTTTGCTCTGTTTCCACCATTACGAAAACAGGAAAACCGCAGGCAACTGCCTGCAGCCCACAATAAACAGAGCACCCTGATTTCACACCAGGCAGCTGTGTGACTGAAAGTGTGTGTTTCGGGCAAATATTTAAGTCCGTTGGTGCGATGGCATACTTTCTCTTTTTCACATGTAGAGAAACGGCTCACTGGTCTGCATATGCGTCTTTTTAAAAAAGATCAAAAGAAACAATGTCATGGCATATTATTGGCTGATACTCATCAAAGGCTCCTGGAGGCATTGCACAGATTAATGAATATTTGTTTAACCTAGCAATATCTACTGTGTATTTTATCAGGACAGGTTCTCACAAAATTTTATTGATCATGGTATTTGTATTGTCAACTATCTGATGGATGTGAATTAAAGTAGATCGCTTTAAAGAATAGTACTGCCCTACAAATGTTCTGCACCTCCAGTTCCAGGTATTCTAAAGTTGCGAAAGTCTTTGAAGATGTACCACATAAACTTTTTTGCCTCATCTGACTCCACCATGCACACGCTCACACATGCGCAAAAACTCCCCCACGCACTGACACTTTCTCACTTCACATGTATCACCGTCTCTCTATCCAGCCCTCTGCACATTCCCACTACTGTCTTCTTATCTCGTTTGCGCTCTGAGCCCCCCTCTCTCATCTGTCTCCCTCTCAACATCTCGGTGCCAGTGACATCACGCTCACGTTGCCCCACTGCCCTACTTACAAACGGAGGGAGGGAGTGGGAGAGGAAGGAGATAGGGGTGGTTAGAGGAGAGGATGAGGCAGATGGTAGCAGGGGTGCTATAAATAGCCTCTCCAGCTGATGGTTACTGTGGGAAGTGGAAGGGGGTGGGGATATGGGTGAGGAGAAGGAAGTTTTGATCTCACAACTTACATGATTCTCCTTGAAATCACAAAACACTTCAGGAGTTTTCAGGCTAGCGATGTGTGCCAGAGTACTGGATGACTGTTTCAGTATGCCATGTGCAATATTCAATCAAAAGCAGCCATCCTGTATTTCCTTCATAGAAACTCTGCAGCTGTCAGATTTAACTGCCTGTCAGTCAACGGAGAATCTGAGTGCTTGAATATGTATAACTATCATGCATTTTAAGGAGCATTATGGAAGAGTTGAATTTTTGTGTCGGTGTTGTCACCAAAGAAACTAAAATGTCTTCATTATTTGTGTCCCCTAGCTGTGCGTTTTGGCCGCATCCCAAAGCGAGAGAAGCAGCGACTTCTTGATGAGATGCAGAGCTACATGAACAGCCTAAATGAATCAGCTGCCATGGAAATGGACTCCTCCTCAGGGCGCGAAACTTCCTCCAGCTCAGAAGAAGGCAACTCTAAAGAGGCCATTGGCGCCATCTCCAGAGCCTACCGTGACATCTTCACCAGCAGGAACAACAGCAGCCAGCAAAGACCAACCAAGAGAGCCAACATCTCCACCAACAATAACACATCTCACTTTTCTCAGGATGCCCCTCTTACCCAAGTCTCTTCACAACCCACCCCCACCCAGAGTTATCAATCATGCCCTGTTGCACCTGCCTCTCAATGCCCAGTTACCCATAACGACAACCAGCATGCTTTCCAAAATGTGGAAAACAATCGCTATACCTACTCAGTTTCAACCAATCAGAATCACGATCAGGCAAACAGCACAACACCTCACAGGGGAAGCTCTGCAAATCAGAACAGCTATCGCAATGCAGGAAGTTCTCAAACTCAGTCGTCCTGCCCGTGGAAACTGGCTTCAGGAGCTAAAGTGCTGGTAGGTGCAGGAAACATATTAAGCTTCATTAACATTGACTCAATCTATGTTGTCTCAACAGTAACTCATGATTATTATTTCACTCCTCTCTTTCTAAGGCCTGTCCTCTCAACGCATGGCCTGTATCAGGGGCAGAGCGCTCCAGTCAGGAGATATGGGAATCCTTCTCTCAGTGTTTTACTCCTGCTGTCAAGGAGGTGGTGGAGTTCGCAAAGGGCATCCCAGGATTTCAAGAGCTTGGTCAACAAGACCAGGTCATGCTGCTAAAATCAGGCACCTTCCAGGTAACTGCTATCATTTCTGATCATTTTAGCACAACACAAATAGAAAATACTAGTTTTTTCTTTTTAATGTGTATAAATTAATTATCTATTCCCTGTGTATTCATACCTTGGTTTTTCTCTGTTTTGTTTGTGTTTAGGTTCTGATGGTGAGGTTCAGCACTTTGTTCAACGCCGCGGAGCGTACCGTTACCTTCCTGAACGGTCAAACTTACCCGCTCCCCACCCTGCGTGCCTTGGGCATGAGCTCTCTGCTTGACGCAATGTTTGAGTTCAGTGAAAAGTTGAGCTCCCTGGGGCTGGAACCTGATGAGATGGCTCTTTTTATGGCTGTGGTGCTTGTTTCTGCAGGTGAGAAAGGGTCACAGTGCACATTGTTCATGGGAATACAGGGAAACTGTTTGAATGAATTAATATGGTAATAACTATATCTGTTAACCACTCACATTGTCCTCTTCTGTCCACTTTAGACCGCTCTGGCATCTCAGACCTGCGTGCAGTAGAGCAGCTTCAGGAGGGACTGATCAGAGCCCTGCGGTCACTGATCACCCGCCGTCGCCCTGATGACAGTGCCCTTTTCCCAAAACTCCTCCTGCGCCTGCCGGACTTGCGCACCCTCAACAATCTGCACTCCGACAAACTGTTGGCCTTTCGCATCGATCCTTAAGGGGACCGATTGCTGTAGGAGCTCACAGACACAAACTGTTTTACACAAAGAAAACACAGTTGTCGCACAAACACATATACACACATGCACAGATACTTTCTTCCAAGGGCAGGACTTCCCTGAAAATTGAGCAACAATGAATTGTGCAATCCGTGGAGTGTTTTTCGGAGGGAGAATGAGGGCAGTAGCGAACATCTTCTTGTTTCGTTATTGATCTTTTGCTTCATGTTATAAGACAATTACACATAAACATAGACACTCATGTATACACATAAACCTCAGCATCTCTTGAAGACATTGTTCCAGTTTAAAATGTAATTTTTGTGTAGAGTAACTATAACCCTTTTGGATGAATCATTTGTGCACTTGCTCATTATATCCAGTGTATTTAAGAATAAAAGCCAGTTCACTTCTGTTTATTCCTCAAGTTTTAAGGTGTCAACAGGCCATCACTAAGTAGCAGATGACAGGCCGGAATCATAGATCCAAACAGTTCTTACATAGGGACCATAAGTAAAGATGACCATGTTTCAGTTTCTGTTTAAAACAAAGGGAACTTGTAAATAATGCATAGTGAAATCTGAAATATTAAGGTAATTGTGTATCACTGTTTCACAAACATACCATCTGCATTGGTACTGGAATGAGACCACTTTGTTAACGTGTCACTCGTACACAATAGAACGCTTTCTGTCTCTTGCTATTTTCAACTGATCTTCCAGAAAAGACTTGGGTTAAGAATATGCCAACTTTATAAGTCAATGGCATTTTATTTTATTTCACAAAGAGGTGTGTCTGCTGTGATATGTTGTACCACATCTGGGCTGATGAAGATGCTCTATGCATGTTGGTTTTGTAGTTATTTTGTTTATTTTTATTCTTTTTTTTTCCTGTAAATATTATGTTATCCAAATGTCTACGTATGAATGACTGAACTGATATGTTGGATCGGACAGATGAGTTCGGTGAGAAGAAGAATGTACTCTACCTTACTGTACTAGGTGGGGCTTTGGCCATACCAAGGGGGCTTTGCACAGGAGGACACGTAACAGGGATTCTCAGATGGTTTAGACACACTTAAAGCTACCAGATGATGTAACCAACCAGCATAATCCCTGAAAACACCAGCACTTACTCCATATGCACCCTTCCTCTGCCCCCAATGTTTGTCATACAAACTAAAGATATTTTTGGGTGAGAGATCTTTGTTGATTGGTCCTCTCACTGTTTGCTTGTTTGATTATGGATGATTGAGGACATCTTGTACATTTTGTAAATCTTTATTCCTAAATAGAAAAGATATAAAGTTCAAATTATGTATCAATCCGCTTTTGTGTCTTTCTTTTTAATTTAAGTCCATTGCAGCAAAATGCTACAAAGATCACGTGATAAGCAGTTAGGCTTGTAGGAGTCCATAAAGTTATGAAGTCATATTATCAGCTTTATATGGTAATGAAACAGAAATTGAATTTCTTAACAAGGTCAAAGTATCTGTCTTTATTGATTTAACCTCAATACTTTGTTCATAATAATTAAAACAATGACCAGTAGTTCCATTTATTTCTCAAGACACCTCACATACATGCTGTAAAGATCTCTATTTGGTTTAACCCTGGATATCTTACCAAGTCACTATAATCTTACTACAACTGCACACGACAGCGTGAAATCAAGAGGTGCTTTGTCGTCTCGATATCACTTCGACATAAAATACATCTTAAAGCCAAAACCTTCCTTAAAATTTTAATTTGAAGTGAAGAAATTATTCATGGAGCAGCTTCTTCTGCCGCTGGACACTGAAAAACAGAGTTGGAGCGCCATCTGCTGGTGAATTACAGGCTCTGTTATCCCGGAAGTAAATAGTCTGTAGTTCAGTGTCCACTTGTGCTTCATCTTACACATCATCTAGTTGTGTCATATGTTGCCACTTCCTTATGTCGTGAAATGAAAATGGGACCATTGTCAAACAGCACGGTAAGAGGCTCAGTTTCATGTGATCCAATGTGGTACAAAAATAACCACAATATTTAATCTGAATTTAAGAAAGCGGTTAGCCCGGAGGCTAGCTTTAGCTAAGTAACCTTAGCACACAGGGTGCATATGTGCTTCCGTATTGGCAAACATACTTACAGCTGTTTGTTATCAATGCATACTATTAGATTTCTCTGTGTTAACCCGTTTATTTCAATGGTTTGGTGTTATAAAAGTTCACAAGGTAACGTGTACATGTATTGTGAATCATGACAGGACTCATGGGTATGTATATTTTCTTTTTGTTCGTGTTTTCTCCCCTCAGGTACAAAGAGATGTTATCAAACCAGTAGTCAGCTCACCAGGACCTCAGGTTTGACCTCCCGGGGATGCAGCAGCTCATCACACCATGTTGCTGACCGCTTATTTTGCCATTGTTTTCCTACTCGTCCTGTGTGGTTGCCTGGAGCTGACCGCCCGACGCCTCACGCCGCCTCCGGCTACTCCCTCCGCTGTAGCCAACCCAGCTTTCCGTCACTTCCAGAGTATATTCCTTCGGGCGTATTTGTTGGCTCTGTGGTCAGACTGGCTCCAGGGTCCTTACCTGTACAAACTCTACCGCCACTACAGCTTCCTGGAATCCCAAATAGCCATTCTATATGTGTGTGGTCTGGCCTCCTGTGTTCTGTTTGCTCCTTTTTCAGGCTGGCTCCCTCAACTCTTAGGCCGCAGGAGGACGTGCCTCCTCTTCTGCTTGGCCTACTCTGCTTGTTGTCTCACAAAGCTGTCTAGAGACTACTTTGTTTTAATTGTGGGTCGGATCCTGGGGGGTCTGTCTACATCCTTACTGTCTACAACATTTGAAGCCTGGTACGTGCATCGACATGTAGAAGTCCACGATTTCCCTAAAGAGTGGATCCCAAGCACCTTCAACAGAGCTGCTACCTGGAACCATGGGCTTGCTGTGGGAGCAGGGCTGGTGGCGAACTTGCTAGCTGAGTGGCTACACCTGGGGCCGGTGGCTCCTTTTCTCCTGGCTGTTCCCTGTCTGGTGTGCTGTGGCTGGTTGGTGTTCTCAGACTGGGGCAAGGAAGAAGCAGAAGGTACTCCTGAAGGTGACAAACAAACGTTGCTTCTTGGTTCTGCAAAGGGAGGTGGGGCACGTTTGTCTGCGAGGGCCCGCTTTTCTCGTGGCTGCCATGATGGTCTGCGCTGTCTGCTGTCTGACAAGAGAGTCATGCTCTTGGGTGGCGTGCAGGCTTTGTTTGAAAGTGTCCTGTATATTTTCGTTTTCCTTTGGACCCCAGTACTAGACCCTCATGGGCCTCCTTTGGGAATAGTTTTCTCCTGCCTGATGGCTGCCAGCATGGCCGGCTCCCTGCTGTACCGTCTAGCAACATCCACCCGCTATCGTCTACAACCTGGCCATGTTCTCTGCTTGGCAGTGCTGATGGCCTTCTTCTCCTTCTTCATGCTGACCTTCTCCACCGCCCCAGGCCAGCCAAGACCCCATGACTCCTTTCTGGCCTTCCTGCTACTGGAACTGGCCTGTGGTCTCTATTTCCCTGCTGTCAGCTTTCTCCAGGGCAGGGTCATCCCGGAGGAAAAGCGAGCTGGTGTACTGGCCTGGTTCCGACTGCCTCTGCATCTGCTGGCCTGCCTGGGACTGCTTGCTCTGCATGGGGAGGTTTCAGGAACAGGTGGAGGAGAAGGTGGCAGTGGCACCAGGCACATGTTTGGGGGCTGTGCAGTTATGATGCTGGCTGCTTTGATGGCTGTAGTCAGCCTGTTCACACTGGGAAGGAATGACACTGAGCTAAGGCTGGAGGGAACCAGAGGGGAGGGGGACATGTACTAATGTGGTAGACTATATAATCATTGGTGCCTCCCTGGTTTCAGATGTATTATGCCTGTGTTTTGTGTCTGAAAGGAGAACCAATGTGTTGTCTACCTTGGGCAAAATGCACTAAGGGTTGGAAATCCAAGTCCAAAGGGGTTGTTTCAAGTGATTTTATTGCATTTCAATATGTTTGCCTTGTTACTTATATCTATGTTCTTGGGGTTGAGTTCTTATCTCATCAGATAGACAGTGGAAAGCTTTGTGAACATGCTCACATGTTTTTTTCTGTCAGGTAAATCTGATAGCTTTGTCACTCACGCTCCAAATCCCTCTATCATTCCATCACTTTTACAAATGACTTGTTTTAGCCTGTTGTGTCAATAAGGAGATGGGATGGTTAGTTTGCCAAGATTTTTTTAAACATTTCTTCTGTATGAATCTTTATGTTGGTCATGTACTTGTCAGATTTTGCTTCATAAAGCAGATGTAAGGAGCTGTGTGTTATAAAGAGCTGAATGAATATCCAAAGACATGAGGTCATGACCAACATGTAGACCATTACTGGAAAAAAAGGAGCTCTCACAGTTAGTTTCACTTTTTTCTTCCAGAATGTGTCATATTTTAATAAAAAGAGCAATCATTGGGTCAGTTTTACTTTAATCACTTTTCTTATACACCATCTGTAAAGTATTGTCTTAACATTTCTGTTCTTTTGCATTTTCAAACAAAAGTGTGCAGGTATATTCTCAGCATAATTTTATTTTTTATTGTTGCTATTAATTTTTTTCACCATGGGGTAGCTACTGAAACTTTGTTGTAACTGCTTCTCTCAGGCAAATGTATTTTAGTAAATTCTGCCAAGTAACCTCATTTTAATCAATGCCGCCTTTCTTAAGTAGTAAAGCACATTTTGATTTGCAGTAATCCAGTATATCCAGAACTTTTCCTGTATTTTAGTAATAGTATTCAGTTTTCTCCTAGATTTAATCAGCAGACCAGATACCCCTGGTCTGGACTTTTCTCTTTATAAAACATCACACAGTCATCCCCCTCCCCCCGTATTCTAGTTCTGTGGTACAGTCCCCACTCTTCTCTATGGCGCAGCTTCACCTGGATGTTACTAGAACATCTCTTAGTGGGTGAGGGAGGGGGGTTCTGCACAGGACTCAGATGCGTTGTTTTGGGATTGCATCACAACGTCGTCAGAGGTTTTCTAGTCAGGGCAGGCAACCGGAGCGTGGTTAATTTTGAAGTCCTCTGTCACAGTGTAGACAGACTCATTCAAGAAGTACACTGTCGAGAAAGAAGACACCAGGTCTCTCTTGACTGGCATCCTGAGGAAGATAACCTACTGGAGGACGTGAAAGAGGCATCATGACGCAGGGCAAGGTACGAACTTTTTATTTGAAAGAAAAAAGTGTCATTCAGTTATATATGCGTTCTTTATCTACTTCAACGTACCATTTTTGTAAAATTTGTGCACAAGGCCTAGATTGTTATGTAACTGTTATTTGATGCGTGTGGTGCCACTCCATCCCTTTGGACTGTCTCAATATTTGTATGATTCATAGAGTCAATGTAGAAATTCAGTAACAAATATAGGGAGGGCATATTTTCATAGTGAACGATAATTTTTGGATGTGTTTAGCAGTTGGCCTATAGGATTTGACTCTTTAAAACGGCCTGGTTTATTCACAGCAAATGTGTTTTCTAATATTTCCCTTATGCTTGAATGATCTAGTTTTGCGCTTCTTAACTAGCCGTCTGTCGGAGGTTAATTGCGTCTATGTTGGTGAAATGCGTCACGAGTGTTTCTTACCATTTACGTCAGATAGACAGCTCGTTTCATTTCGGAGCGAACAGTAGGCTACCACTGCCAGCATATTTAAGGAGTTTCCCACCTGTTTTTAGATTTGACAGCCTTTTTAGCAATAAATCGAGGCAAAGCTAGTTTGAGTTTACATAGCCTGGTGCAACAGTGTTTAAGCCAGCTCCCCATCATTATACTCAAATGAGAGTCACCTCTTACGCTACAGCTGATGAGCAGGTCAGCTGATTTTCTGTAGTTTCAACTGTTAACCCTTCAAACAGTTTAAGTTGAGCAGTATAAAGAGTCAGGCCTCGTGGATGCAGCAATTGGTGTTTCTGCTTAAAGCTGCTCAGAGGAGATAAAAGGACTAAAATTTATAGGGGAGAGTGGGGTAAGTTGAGCCAAAGGCTAAGTTGATCCACCCCGTCACTTGGAAATGGAAAAAGAAATTGATCATGTGACCAAATATTTAGGAGATGGGCATCAATTCATGGAGTCTGTGAAGATTAGAAGCACATGGGTAAAAGGGTTATACATTTATTTCCAAAAAAAAAAACATTTTTCACTCTTAAAAGTGAATTTAGTCTGTCATAAGTTTTATTAGAATTGTGTTCAGACCAACAAAGGTCATTTTAAATTTGTTTTAAACATCAATTGTGGTATCTATGAGCTACAACACCAGGTCAAAAACCTAGCATAAAGGTCCAACATTTTTAGCTTAGAGGACTAATAAAGTCAGAATACTTGTTCTGGGGTAAGTTGAGCCAGTGGCTCAACAGAGAAAGTAAAGGAGTCTGATGAGAGGATCAACTCACCCCGCTTCTATGGTCAACTCACCCCATACATGGGTGAGTTGACCATAGGAGACCACTTTTTTTTGGCATGCTATATTATCAAGACAGTTATGTTTATCAATCAATCAATCAACTTTATTTCTGTAGCACATTTAAAAGAACCACTGGGGTAGCCAAAGTGCTATACATTGAGGCATAAAAACAAATAAAACAAGCAAGGAACAAGATAAAGCAAACAAGAATACAAGCTAAAGCAAACAAGAATACATAAATTACACTCATTCTCTTGGTTTGCAGGGATGCACAACATCTTGAAATATATGCAGATTCACTAGTTAGAGACAAAACTATGATTGCCTTGATGTAGTGATCCAAAATATGAAAAATGGCTCATCTTACCCCACTCTCTCCTACAGGGGCTTTTCTTTACATGAAATCCAAAAGCAAACAAGACCATCAGCTACATGATCTGACAATTTTAATATTGTTATATTTGATTTGTGGTGGGAGGGGGCAGGTTTCAGCCCTGTTTTTTTACACAAAGTATACACTATAAATAATACAGCTAATTGTCAAAATTTAACAAGGTTTGAAGTTTTGCAAAAGATACCTCTCAAGCATGTAGAGGACAAGATAAGCAAAATGGAGGCAGATGGAAAGTTCCTCAAAGGAGTTTTAAATTTGATTAATAAAGCATTGTTAACTGAAGTTGGCAAGAAGAAAGACTGTTGCAGACTGTGAAGAGTTTAAGATTAGAGTTTATGTTGGAAAAACACTGTTGGTTAGATTTAAAGGAAATAAAAGCAGATAGAATTTGGTGGTGGGTCTTAATAAGTGTGTGTAATACATGCAATAAAAAGAGCTGAAAATATTAGTTCAGGAGGAAATACCATCATAAATTGGACTGTCAGTTGTGAGACGTTTTTTTGTCGATATGAAGACGAGCAGAAGCAATTTGATGTAGGTGTAAATGCCCTAATAACTTAAACACTTGAAATGTAACTTTCTGTAAAATATGATGGTTTAAGTCAACCGAAAATGTGAAGCATTAGAACTGACCTATTCACAATAAAAGACACATCAATACTGAAAACAATAACCAAAGTTATTGAGTTTTATCATTTATTTTCTGTTTCCTCAAATGAAGAAGCTCCTGCATTGATACAATTTCTATTACATGAATAAATATGTATGAACTCTTTATTTTATGGACACAATTTTTTTTTTAAATGTGAGTTCAAGCAGTTTTAAAAACAGATCATACATAGTGCTTGAAGCTTACAACACTGTAAGATCTCAAAACATTTTACTCTCAAGACTACAAGTTTCAGGTTTAATGTACTTTTTTAAAGAACTTATTTGTACTCACTGAAAATTAGTTAAGGTCTAAAGGATAAGATGTGAACTTTAATCAATAACAAATCACTTTCTGGGGCTTTTAGCTATCTCTTGCAAACAAGGGGTCTGATGGCTCCCCAAGTGGACAGGCCTTGGTGACACCAAGTCCTCCCAGCTATGAGGAAGCCACTGCGGGTATGCGTACACCCTCTTCTTATACATCCTCAATTTGACAATGTTTATCATGTTTGGGATTCAGGGGTAGTGATGGGAATGGTGTTTGCTCATTGGAGTTAAAAAAATAAAAAATGCATCGTAAACCACAGACAACAACATTTGTTTTTAGGCACCAGTGCTCCTTGTTATAATGACGCTGAGATGCTCACAGAGCTCACCTGGGATGATAGCAACATCAGGAGGATCTTCATCCGTAAGGTAACAAAAGCTTTTTCATCTCATTGAGTTGAATGTTATCACACACTTTTAACTTTCAGTGCCTGACTGGGACATATCAAAGGATGCGCTATGCACTGTTTTAACACTTGCTTGCTTATTTTTTTAGGTTTACAGCATCTTGATGATCCAGCTTATGGTCACTCTTGCCATTGTTGCTCTTTTCACTTTCTGGTGAGTGTTAAACCTGTCTTTTCAATTTCATCTCAATTTCACCAACACAGAATAAGTAATTCAGATACATATTCATTTAGTTTACTTACCTAAGACTTTCACTTCCAGTGACCCTGTGAAGGACTACATTCAAAGCAACCCAGGGTGGTACTGGGCCTCTTAGTAAGTCATTTTTTAAAACGCCTATTATTAATATTACAATTGATATTTTCGGTTCATGTTGCCTATATGTGACATTTACCTGATACTTTTGTTCAACAGTGGCGTGTTCTTTGTCACATATCTGACTCTGTCTTGCTGCTCTGCACCAAGGTTAGTAAAAAAGTTTAAAAGAGAAAAGGCAATGACAGACATAAATTCAATGACCAACAGGATTGAAACTTCACTTTCTTCTACAGGAGACAGTTTCCATGGAATCTGATTCTACTTGCCATCTTTGTAAGTACATCATTTTTATTATCTATCTGTAAGTTAACTCCACAGGTTATTTTGAACAGATATCTTTGATGATTAAAAATACATGGTTAGATATCTTTTATCGGTGTTGATGTTCACAAGTTAATACTTGCCTAAATTGAGCCTGCATTTCACATGTTAACTTTGTTTTTGTTACAGACCCTCTCACTCTCCTACATGACAGGGATGTTGTCCAGGTAAAAGTTTCTGTGATCAGTGTTTCTTTGTATTTGTCCAGCTTGGCCTTTGACCCTGTCTGTAGCTTTGTATTTCTCTTGCTCTAAGTGAGGCCAGGAAATGTATTCTGATTTATAATTGCTTGGAACGTTTTCACTTACTTGAGTATCTTCCTTTTTTGGGACAGCTTCTACAACACAAAGTCAGTGGTGATATGTCTAGGCATTACAGCAGCAGTCTGTCTCCTGGTCACTGTCTTCAGCTTCCAAACGAAGGTGAAAAATAACATTTGCATTGAAGCTTTCTGCATGTCTTACAATATTTGATATTCTGATGCATGCTTATCTAGGAACTTTTCACATCATTGGATTAACATACTTTAGTTTGATTTCATGTGTTCTCCTCATCCAGATTGATGTGACATCATACCAAGGTGTGCTCATTATCTTCTGCATGGTCATGTTTCTCTCTGGCCTGGTGTTGGCAATTGTCCTCCCCTTTCAATACGTAAGTACAACTATATGAATTGCACACTTTAACCATTTGTGTTTCATGTAAAATTGTTGTGTGGGGGGTTCACAGATAGCCAAGGGACCATTACCTAAGATCTAAAAATAAATTGCTAGTTTGGCAAATAGTTGCCATAGTGCAAAGTGAAACTCCTTATCTTTGATCATGTGTAGTAATGCCATCAAATACATTCAGATTCAATGTAATAGACCTTTTGGTTCTCTCAAGTCCTGGTTGAGCTAATAAAGTCATTTTTGGCATTTAGGTTCCCTGGTTGGATGCCATCTATGCTGTTTTGGGAGCCATACTGTTCACCATGGTAAAAGAGAGAGATTATTAAATACACATTGTAAATTTTAAGTACCAGAGATTGAGAAAAAGCTGTCTTACTTGTTGTATTTTCTGTTACAGTTTTTGGCATTTGACACCCAGCTCCTCATGGGAAACAAACGCTACACCATGAGTCCTGAAGAGTATGTCTTTGCCACTCTCAGCATCTACCTAGATATTGTCTACATCTTCTCCTTCTGCCTTCAGATCTTTGGAACAAGAAGAGAATGAATGACTGCTCTAATTTTCTTGGTTGCTCAGCTGTGGAATTAACCTTTAGCTGAAGTTGATAAAAGTTAAAAAAAAAAAAAAAAAAAAAAAAAAATCTGTGATTGTGATGACAGTGCTTCCAATTGTAACAACTTAAGTTTTGTGCCTGGTATTGATAAGGTCATAAATACTACAAATATTTCTTTAACAATACATGTCAATAGATGTCACTGGTATGCAAACAAATCAAAATATCTTGGAACTTTTTTCTTTTCTCTGACATATTGCAGTCACCCAACACATTAAAGGTTAACTTATTAGCTTGATTGATCAAAAACAGAAACTGATCCAAAATCTTGCTCCATTTCAAGTAGCGTAAAAACCTAATGTGAGTACTTCACCTGTAGCCGTGTGGGTGTATTTATATCCATGCCTGCTGAATGTCACGTCTTGCAAATAATATCACACAGTCAGTTTTCTTTAAGAGGAACTGAAATACTATACATTATGCATGACTCATAAAAAGTCCTGACCATGCCAAAACATGGTCATCCCATCAATAAACTAGTGCTGTAGGTATGAACTGAGTGACTGTAAGCACAAGTCATACTAGACTTAAAGCTTTTTTTTTTTTTTCTATTTCCAATAATGAAAAAGTCAGTATTATTGCAGTAGGTTAATTCTCTAAACTGTTATTGGGTAGGTGACATATTCTTTGTTTTCTCATTTAAAAAAATCTGAATATTGTACTTGCTGTATTTGTGATGTTGCTCAGTTAATTGCATTAGTTTGATTTTTGCTCCACTGTCACTCATCTTTATATTGCTGCTGCTTTAAGTAGAAAATGTCACTTTTTATACCATAAATCTGTTTGTACTTGAATTCTTTTGAGTTAAGATTTGTTTGGATTTTTTTCTTTCTGGTTTAGAAAAATGCTTGTATTTGGAAATGAAGATGTTGGTTCCAGTATTTATTTTTTCAACTTGAAAAAAATCGCTTTGGTGTGGATGGATTTCATGTAACTTTTGATATATGGGTTCATTACTATGGGGTTTAAATGCTATATTTCATGACATTAAAAGTTTTATTCTATTTTTCTATGAGAGGAAGATATATTTCAACAGTGTGATATAAAATGGTGAATTTGAAGCTTGTGGTCTTGAAATATTTAATTTGAAGAAATTGATATGTATTATTTATCATCCTGCATTTCACCTTATTATCTGTATTATTGTTATGGTTTATTAAATGGTGAATGCGTATGAATGCAGTCACTGGATCTCTGATTTAGCCTAAAATACGCCTTCTTAATGTACACAACAATAATTGCCGCTAAAAACAGTGTTATTGTTGACACGATGGAGCCGTGTCCACATGTTCTGTAGACGCTCTCATTTTTTTATTTTAAAGCCACAGCTGAGGTGTACCAGTAACACGTGACACGCGGTGTCACGCATGTAAGGCTCGCTTTACTAATCTGTCAGCTCTCACACGTTTATTTCACATTTCCTCCACTTAAACTGAACATGTGAAGAGAAAATGCGATCGTGTCCGGAAGGCGCAGCTGCCGGGTGTGACGTTTTATTAAAAGGTCTCTTTAACCAGTGAAGCTCGCGTACACTCAGACGGTCGTCGTGCTGTCGTCCAATCAAAAAGTGGGATGTTTATGCGACCTGGTCAGCCATGTTGTGGTTTTGAATGAGGAAGAAGCGGGAGATAATATTCTTCAGTGAGTTTAAACGCAGTTTAAAGTGACACCAAGGATATGTAAATGACTTTCGCTGTGACTCAAAAAGATGACCGTTTTTGTGAAAGTGATGGTTGCGACTCATTGCATCCCTGTAGGAATTTAAACACATTTCCATAAATTAGCCGCGTTGCTAACTGCGCTCGCTAGCAGGACAGTGAGCACGGGGCTAGCAAGGCTCGGAGCTAGCACTCGGCTAACTAGCTCACAGTTAGCGTGTCTCTCCGGCGTGTAAAATGGTATTTGTGAGGTGTGTTAGCCGATGAAAGAGCCTCACTAACCTGCCTCTGCCGAATGAAGCGCATTAGCTTCTTTTGTTTTGACTCTATTGTCAGGTAAGTTAGGTTGCGAAGCTGCTTCAATTCGTCCCCAGACCGCGGTGTTTTTTTTCCCCTGAAACTTTTGAGCCATGTTGAATAAAATCTACGAATGGATAGAAACGGGCTTCGCCAATCTTCGCAATGGTGTACCAGCTGCGGAGCACCTGGACACACACCGGGCACCGGGAGATGGTCAACTCAGGAGGAAAAGACCAGCTGAATGGTACGGGCTGCAACTGCGTTTTTTACTCCTTTGTGTGATCAATAATTATAAAAAGTGGTTTGAAATGACACAAGATTCATCTGAAACTAGACTGACAAGGCAGGGTATTAATTTTGTGACATTAAAACAGCCATTTGTTCATGTTATGTTGATCCCAGAAAGAACTCGGTGTGTCAACAAAGGTGGAAACTGTTGTTGATTACAGCATCAATGTGTTATTTTAGTTTGGAAGATGGACTCAATGTCGATCAAGACGGAGTGATGGTCAAAAAATCTCGCATGGGTGAGTATGAATGACAAACAGTAGATTTAAAGGACAGTGATAGTCCTAAACTGAGAATGTAGATGCTTAATGAAAGGAGACTTTGTGGTGATGTTGTTACATTAGATCACATTGGTGTTTAAAATCTTGTGACTGGCTGCTGGACATACATAAATCCCTGTTGACTTCAATTTCTGTTCCACATATCTGCAGGGGATCTTATTGACACAGTCAAGAATGCAGCTGAAGGGGTTAGAAGTCACAGCTCCAATGTGGCTTCATGGATGAGGACCAACATGAGCCCCACCTTTAGAAACATACTGCCTGCCTCCCCTGGCCCTCCGTCTGGAGATATCCAACTGCAGCCCTCTACATCAGCAGCAGACTGGGCAGGGAGGCCGGTAAGAGATGGGGTCAGACTTTTAAATGTTGTGACAATCATTGCATTTTTGTAAAACAGTGACCTTTATTCATCAACGTGTTTGCATTTAAGATCGTGGATAGGAACTCTCTTGATGAGACATTTGCTGCTCCTTCAACAACTTTGGATTGGAGAACATTAAAATCAGGTAAGATTAGCACAGTAGGTGGGCTTAGCGATTTTAAATTGATTGTTGATATTATATATGTTTATAATAAGATCATGTCTATAATACTAATGGCAGTTGATCAGTCTTTCGTGCTCCCATGGTGTGGGCTAAAGCAAACAACTAAGTAGAAAGTACTGTAATGTTGCGGGTTGGCAAACTGTTGATTGAGCTACTGCTGTACATAAAGATAAGGCTAGTTCTTCCTAAGTACAAAAACGCCAAGATAAAGTAAGCTGAATGTCTTGGGCAACTTTTGGAGGGTTGGCCATGGGTCTGTTAAAGGGATATTCGGGCGTAAAATTAATTTAGGGTCAAACACACCATGCATTTTGGACTGCAGACGTGGTAGTTCTTCTGCCTTCTCATCTCGGTCTGATTGCATTCCCATGAAGCGTCTAACTCGGTGTTACAGTGTGTTTGACCCAAAATTAATTTTACGCTGATTATCCCTTAAATTTCTCATTTACAATATCAGTTGTTTTTAGTTATTTAAAATTTCAAATGTATTCTACTTATTTGAGAAATAGTGAATTGGATTAAAATCAAGAAACCAACCTTCAAAACAGCTTTTGCATCAAGTTTGAAAGTGTAGATTGGGGTTTTAATGCTGGAAACAGTATTGATTGTTGTACTTCTGTTGTCATTCTTTCTGTTGTTTAGATTGCCTGCGGAGTGAAAAGTTTATTATGGGATCAAAAGTCTGTAGACGTCAAGTGTGTATGAGTCCCACACATCGTGAAGTGCCTAAAACGAATGGGCATCCAGTCAACGGGCCAGCCTCCATCACCCCTGAATCACACCCCTCCCCACGACTTGGCAGGCCCCTAAACCTCAGACCACATGGCATGCCAAGGTATTCCCCAAATCTTCTGTATCTGTTTTTTTTTTTTTATGTTTTAACCTGTAGAAAAATTATGTAGAGTATTTGTCATCAAGAGATTAAACATCACTGTTTGTGTCTGCAGTTCGTTTTGTGGAACGGCGAGCAGCTCCTGCACCAGCATGTATGAAAAGACCTTTCCCATCAAAGTGGTCCAGAGCCCAACACACAGCACCTCATCTGGCCGTATACACAGGACCAGGCCTCGCTGCACCGCACAAGAGGTCAGGTGACAGGACAATAAGGCATACTTGGATTCCTTTCTGTTCCTGCTTTTGTTAACACCATGGTTGTCCTCTGATTTTGTCCAGTCTGTTCGGGAAGAAGAGAAGGAGGTCTACAGACAGCTTCTGACCATGGTCTCGGGTGGTCAGTCCTCTTTCATTCACAATGGCAGCTCACATGCCATCGTGAGGTCACACAGAGATTTGTACGTATCCAAGCATGATCACTGAATCAGCATAACAAACCTGTCACATGATTTAATGTCTATATCTTTGATGTCCTTATCCCTGTCACATCTGTCTCTCATCAGCACCAGCTTTCTGACCACCAGCCGCAGACTTCTACAAGCCTCATCTCCTACCCAGTCAGCTGCAGATGGGACTTCAGAAGGACCGAGCAGCCCCCCAAGTCCGAGGGGTATGTCCAGCCAGAGCTCCAGCAACCTTCCCAGCCCAACTGGGGCCTCCAACAACAGGCCAGGGAGTCAGGCGTGGTCTGTCGACACAGACATCAGCTCCAGCAGAGCAGCTACTCTCACATCAGTCCCCTCCCCTTCTGCTCTGCAGGATAACTCATCTCAGGACACACAATCATCAGGTTAGATTGACATCCCTGTGAAACTTGTTGTCATGTTTACTTTTTATTCTGTTTGTAATCTCCTTCTCTATTTCTTGCAGCCCATGATGGTGACTCTGTAATTATTGTAAATGAAAAAAAGGGTAAAAAGCAAGACAGCTCAAGGTGAGTAATTGGTTTAGTCAGTATTATTCCAATAATGTCACTGTTTAATACACACCCACTTTCACAGCAGTTTGTTTAGTTTTACTTTTGTTGCCAAAATGATCAGTAATATTTTATGGTAGATAATGTTGTATCAACGATTTGAAACCCACATTTCTACTGAAATAAAACCAAAGTGTCAGAAACATTTTCTGTAATTGGAATAAAAACAAGGACAAGGCACACACACAGGCCTTGAGGTCTGTTTCAGGAGTAGAGTTTCTCCAACTAATCGTCTAGTCCACCACTAGAACCACAAGTCGGTGCTGTGGGCAACTGTCAACTAGTCAAATGATCACTACCACAGGGAAGAGGTGCTGACCTTTGCTCTGATGTGATTTGTTCAGAAAAACATCAGTGACTTTTTTCTTTACGTGTAGGTAAAATGTGATTTGGAATAGCGTGACATCTCACTGTGGAATTCTTGAGATTAAAAACACTGTGAATCTAGTTCAAGTTAAAAAATTTTTTACAACCATTTAATGATTCGATTCACACTGAACATGGGGAGGGACAGGGTCACCCAACAATTATTTTAACAGAACCCCTGGGTCATCTTCTGATACCCTCTGTGAGGATTTTGCAGACCACTTCAGAGTTCTATATTAATAAAGTTGAATTTAAATTTGAAATTTAATGAGCTGTTCACAGTGACTGGAAAAAGAGCAGCTTTTTAAATGGACAAATAGCCTTTCGTATTGACTGACTTTAGCCTGTGACTTTATTCCCTCTATTGGACGGTGGTCTGCTTTTCCATCATCAGCATAGATCCACCTGTTGCTGTGTGCTTATGATGAGCATTTGTCTCTGTTTCTACAGTGTGCCATGTTTCCAAGCGGAGTTATGGATCAAAGAACTGTAAGTACACAGTAATAGCCTTAAATTTAGATACTTATCATTCACTGGGTTTTATGTTTCAGTCATGGTAAACATTCCTTTTGGTCCCTGTAGGACCAGCATGTATGACTCGCGAGCGAGAGAGAGACGGAGACAGATAGAGGAGCAGGAGGCTCTGGCTGCCCAGCTGCTGAGACAGGTGAGCGTTCATGTGTGAAGTCCTCTTCCAGTTTGATTGTGTCGGTGGTTTCTTTTTCACTTCTTATCTAACCTACCTGTGTGATGATGGTACTTAATTACAGCGCCTGTCTGAAGAGGGGCAACGAAGCCCAGATGTCGAGGTCCATGTTCGAGTTCCCTTGGAGAAGGAGGTTCCTCTGACTTTTGTGATTGAAGAACCAAAGCCTGTGGAAGAGAAGCCAGAATTCCCTGAACTGACGGAGGTTTGGTCCATGAATCTCAACAAATACAGTGTTAACCATGAAGAGAAAAAAAAACGGATAATAGACCTGCTCCGTGTTTCTGAGCTTTTGTATCTTTTTCTCCCACTCATCTGATCTGATCTGAAAATGTCCTCTACATGTACTCTTTCTCTATGTTTGTAGGAAATTGAGGCTGGGGTGAACAAAGCACTGAGGGGAGGTGGATCTCATGAAGTATTAAGTGAAGGTTTTGGTCTCAGCCTGACACGCAAAGACCTACAGACTCTCAGCAACCTTAACTGGCTGAACGATGAGGTGAGTTCACCATCCTTGTGTCAAATCTGTGTGTGAACTGTCAGCAGAGTAATAAAATCTTCTCCCTCCCTAATCTCTCAGGTGATCAACTTTTACATGAACCTGTTGGTGGAGCGCAGCAAGGACCCAAACCTGCCATCAGTCAATACCTTCAACACTTTTTTCTATCCTAAGCTGCGCAGCAGTGGCTACTCTGCTGTCCGCCGATGGACCAAAAAGACTGACATCTTTTCGAAAGACATCCTCTTGGTTCCTATCCACTTGGGGGTGCACTGGTGCCTCTCTGTGAGTCTCATTCAGTAAATTATGAAACTGAAAGTTGAGAGTCTTGGGGTTTAAACTGCAGGGAATCATTTCGCTACTCTTTTCTTGTAGGTGGTGGATTTCCGCAAAAAGGAAGTCCTGTATTTTGATTCTATGGGAGGAAACAACGATGAAGCATGCAGATTATTGTTGTAAGTTTCATTATCTGTTTTTAAAATGTGTACTTTACTGGTAAATGTGATCCTGGGAATGAATAGGTAGTGATTGATCTTTGTTTCCACAGTGATTATCTGCAGCAGGAAAGTAAGGACAAGAAGGGTAAAGAACTGGATACCTCAGGCTGGACCCTGTACAGCAAAAAGCGCCATGTAAGTCCTAGACACATGAAAGCAGAGGGCTCTGTTTGTTTTTGCAGTGATTTTATCTGCATCAGTTTTGTAATCAGACAGAATGTACAGAAAAGGGCTACATGACTGCCATTAAACCCACCTTCATGTAGTGTGTAGGAGTGTGTAAAACTCTAAAGCACTGAGTATATTTAAAAGATATTTTATAGAAAGCTTTTATCTTAAAAAAAAAGCTCTGAATAACTCGAAAAAGTCTTTGTTGCCTCACTGAATACTGCGTGTTTCAATGGTAGAGTGAAAAATACAGAGATTTGACGGTGTTCTGTCACAGAGGGAATGTCTTTGAGGTGCTTTGACAAAAATAGAGCTTTTGATGAAGGTATAAAGCCTCTTTTCACTTCTTTATACAAAGGAAAAATCCTGAATCATCAGCTGTCATACTGCCTTCTCGGTTTTACTGTCTTTTACCTGAGAAACAATGTATCTGTCTTTTTTTGGACTGATATCATTCAAGGAACGTTCACAGTTTGTTTGCTAAAGGGTTGTGTTGTTTCGGAAATTTTTTCTCTTGCTACAGAGCAAAATGCACAAAAAATGCTCAGCAAAACCACTTTATGTTTGACCCCAAACTTTTCAATAAAAATTTGATTGACACAATAGAGTAATCATTATGATTTTAAAACATCCCATCAGATTTCACTAAAATGACTGATGTCGTGCACCGTCCATTAAAATTAAACCATTTCTCATTCGCTCTCAGGAAATCCCCCAGCAAATGAATGGCAGCGACTGTGGAATGTTCACGTGCAAATATGCAGATTACATCACCAAAGACAAGCCAATCACATTCACACAGGTAAGTGCCAACCATACACTCAAAGAAGGCTTCAGTGTGAGGAGGCTCACATGACGTCGTTGCTGATGAATTGAGTTTTTCTTGCGCAGAAACACATGCCCTACTTCAGAAAAAGGATGGTGTGGGAGATTGTGAACCACAAGCTGATGTGATGTCAGCAGCAGGTCACTGAACTCACAAAAATGGCTCACAGTGTGAACACGAGTCAAACCTATGGATGAGCTTCATTCAACTGACAGTGGTCCTGTTCTGGGATTGGCTTGCACACCAGCTCATCAGATCAGGAACCAGCTCTTCTACTCTGCCTCCCCCAGACCCTCTTCTGATGGGATGGAGTCCCCAGCACTGCCTCCAGTCCTCCACTCCTCTGTTGTTGTTTTTTTTTTTTTTTTTGGGTGCGTCCATCGGGAATCAGTATAGCAGCTGAGACACACACACTGCATGTTTTCAGTCACCCAGCCAGAACAGATTTTGAAATCACTCTGACTTACAAACCATACTCTGAGGTGCAATTTTCAGTTTGGTGCAGACATAACAAAGTTTACATGTCAGGGAGATGAGTGTATTTATGCTGCATACTCTTTTTGTACAGACAAGTACTGCATTTTGGTGTCACGCTCATTGTTTGATACTTTTTGATTAAACTAAAAACTACCATCTCCAAAGCTGGCCTCTTTGCGTCCAGGCTCACGACTTTTTCTGTTTTTATTTTCATTTTTTTTATGGTCACCTGTAAGAATGACCGTTGAAGCAAAAGCAGCCTCAGAGTATGATTTTGAATTAAAGCAGGATGTGGTCTTTTCTTTCTACTCAGTGTCATGTGTAACCAAACAGTCTTAATTACACCCTCAAACTGCAGGGTTGGAAAGTTTTGCCATTTCCTCCTGTTTCATAAGTCTTCATGAAAGATTGTAAATTAAGGTCCAAAATCTATTTTATGTATCTCAGATTTACTTTTTTTGTTCAACAGACTTTTGGGCATATTTGGTATATTTTGAAATTTGTACATAAAAAAAACATATACAGCCTCTTGAAAAGTGTAATATACTTTTTCTTTATGTATTTTTGTTATCTATTTTTATCTAGATTCCAGTCTGTTTTAGAAATAAATCCTCCTGTATTGTGACTGTTTTTTGCGCATTACCTCAAATCACCTGGTTTTGATATCTAAAAAAAAGCCACATTTGATAAAACTAAGAACTTGGACATGTGTTTTGGCTTATTTTAATTGTAAAGAACTTTTTATATACTATGGAAATTGCTGTGTAACAAAAAGCACACACAAACCGCAGTGGAAAACCTTTATTTAAAAACAAAAAAACAAACCAAGTTAAAAGTAGAGAAGAAGACAAAGCTGCATCATGACATAGACAGACTGAGGATAGGTTTATTCACAAAAAGACTGCATACAGACAGATGAACGTGAGACACAAACCAATCCCGTAAGGACTTGAAAATGAGTGACCTTAGACTGATAGACTTCCAACAGTGATCCAAAATTAGCAGCAACAGTTTTATTCTTTCAATATTTTCTTTTCAGTTTTCTGGAAACAATAAAAAGCTGTTTACTCTTTGCTTCATCGATCGGTTCAGAGGAGTTCGATAGAAGACAAATCTTTTCAACACTAGCAGTGTGGTAAAAGCAAGTTCCAGTCAAGAGTTCAAGCACACCAAATCCAAACCAAAAAGCACTTCACCATCTTCTTCAGTGAAATCTAAGGCATTTATGTGAAGTTAAACTTTCACCTGGAAATGAATGGTTCCATGAATTACAAAAAAACTAACAAAAAAAAGACACCTGCAACGATTACTCAAGAGAGCAGAAGTTAACAAACAGGAGGTGGTCAGACATGAAGCTTTGACCTAAAAAAACAACTGGATGGAATGAAGAATTACACGAAACAACCCTTTAAAGGCATCCTTTCAAATCGAAGCATGATAGACGAGTTGGCAGCTTGTCTTCACAGACTTTTCTAGAGTTTCTACATTTCCTACAGTCATGTGAAAAACCACATAATGGTTTGAAACAGTTCCCTTTTTAATGCAGTGATGAATGAACCATGTGTCAAGTCAGAAAAACACACAAATCTGAAAGCATGTACTGTATATCAAAAATAACCGCAATGAGAGCCTGAAGTCGTGGAGTGAGGTGGTTCTTGGATATCTGTAGTATTGCATTTATAAAGATAATAAATAAATTGCATAGATCACAAGACCTTGGGTGTATATTGGACAGAAGAGTTAAAGGAAGTTGACACAGAACCAGCTGTGAACAGCCATGAGACCTCCTGTAGTTGGTTATTGCCTGTGAACCTTGTACACTAACTGAATCTACGCTGCTCTGGCAGGATGAGGTAAGTTGAGGTTTTTGAACATAAACGTCTGCAATAAACATTGTTCCCGACTGCTTAGGGCACAACAAACTGTAACGATGCATCTGAACCTAGCATACATGAGTTATCTGTGATCAGGAGTCACCGGATGCCAACAGTTGTGGCACAAAAAAACCTGAAACATCTGCAGAAAAAAAAAAAACACGATAAAACGTTTTTGACAACAGCACCGGAACCAGACTGAGAAAAGATTCATCATTCATCTCTAAATTACAACAAATTAGAGACAGAAAAGCTGAAAACATCTACTTCTTACTTTCAAAGTACACAACACACTATAAAAATAAAATCAAGGCTTCTGAAAAAAAGGACAAATCTTTTAAGCATTAAAAACTGGATTAAAAAAAACCAAACTTTTAAATAAGAGTTGTAAAAAAAAAAACATGAAGCCGAAAAACTGAAGCTGAAGGAAAAACAACAACAGCCAGTATCGAAGGATTCTCTATCCTAGCCTTAGTGTTTTTCTGAAGATACAGATCTACACTTTACCTGTTGATCTCCATGTCTTTACAGTAACAACTTCATCTGACAACAACGTCCAACTCTCACTCTATAAAGTACAATTTTAAGAAAAAGAAAGTTTAATTTCCCTTTTTTTTTAAAAGGGATGTGAGGAGACACTGAATGGAAGTGCAGTGTCTGGACAATATTGTTGTTACAACTGAAGCATTACTAAACGGGAAGGAAATGGAAGGAAAGCCGACATACATTTAAATCTCTTATTTACAGGCAGCTCTGTGTGAGATGTGATCCCAGTAAAAAGCAACTTTGGATTTTATCAAGAGGTACGGCTCGAAGGGGACGAATAACTTTCCGTGACCATCTCTGGAATGCTTTAAATCCGTTTAACGACTGTTTCCTCTCTTCTTTGTAATCGTATGATTGTCTGAAGCTTTTGTTAAGATTGTTAGAACTCTAAACTATGAGAGTGAAGTGCCAATAAGAACTAAACGCTCTTGAAATGAGGTTCATCACCTGACAGAATTGAAGAGAAACTAATCCAAGTCAGCACCATATCTGCCAAAAGGATGAGACCCTAGTTTTTGAAAAGACCGCTGCTCATCTTTTTCAACCTTGTAAGGTTCAAATATTTGCATCAACCAGTAAAACTAGGAAACATGAAGCTAGAAACACAGCAAGGAATTATGTACAAAAAAGGCAAATTCAAAACAGGAAAAAACAGAACAGCTTACAAAAGGTCCAAACAAAACGCGACTCAGAACAAAACGTTGGAACTGTTCTTTTCCTGCTTCAGGAACTCTTTTAAACCTTGTGGTGTCTGTGACTTTTCTTGACTGCAATCAAAACAGACGCTCCTTCTTCTAATCCTCCATTGCTCCTGTTGTGTGTGTGTGGTCCTCCAGTCTTGCTTTCTTGGGGAAAAAAAAGGAATTTGTTTGAAAATATGAGTTTGTAGAAAAAATCTTTTGTTTGTCCTTTCTGCATCACAGTCCGTGTTCCTCCAGAGCGTTGAGCGCCTTACATGCAGAGTCACTGTGTTGAGTTTTCAAGCACTTGAGCTCTTTGGGGATCACTCTGGCTCCAGAGGAAGACCTAATACAGGGGGGAAACAGGCCAGTTAGAGATAAGAGCTAATACTTCCCATATCATCAGCTGATCCAGTGTCAATACCAACGCTGTGCTTTGTTTATCATCAATTGCAATACTCCTTTTTGTATCATGTGCAAAATTAGCTTCATAACACAAGCTCTGTTTTGGTCTGTCATTGTTCCAATAGTTCCATTTGATAAAAAAGTGTCACTTTGAGACACGCTACAAAAAGAGCAGGTCATCATATGTATTACTAATTCTCATATCTTATGAAAATTGGATTTCACGTTGCATTTTAACATTTTAATCTAGCGCTATATTTTACATCCCTAGTTTCACCCGTTTCTGGGGTTTCTAAAGCATTATACATTATATCAGCTCACTTTTTCACAAGTTTGGGGTCTCCTTTGTTGTATTTTTTGATGCATTTAATGTTTTAAGTGAATGACAAGTTAGGACTCTGGACAGATGGACAGGCCAGTTAGGTCCCAGGATTCTCCCACAACTCTGCCATGCTGCCGTACTACATGCAGAATGTGGTTTGGTTTGGTAGTATCCTGCTGAAACATGGTCTCCCCTAAGAAGAGGCATTGTCTGGATGACAGCATATGTTGCTCCAAAACCTGTATATATTATTCAGCACTAATGGTGGCTTTTGAACTGTGTGCTGATTACAGGCCTTGTATATAATCTCCTTCAGAGTGGAGGATGTGGCGTCCATGATTTCCTCTGTTCGCCTCAAACAGGGCTCAGAGAAGTCCCTACATTTCTGGATGTTTGTTCATTGTTTCCTCTCTGCATGGTACAATTTTAAACTGCACATGTGGATGCAGCAATGACTGACTGTTTTTTAGGGTGATTTTGAGCCCATGCAGTGGTTTCCACTTCAGAGTTAAGTCTGTTTTTAACACAGTGCCACATGTTTGCCTGAAGATCACAGCCATCCAGTATTAGTTTTCCGCCTTGTTCCTGTTGTGTAGATATTTTTGTACAGAATCTTTTAAAGTTATTACATACTGCAGATGATGAAGCCTCCAAATGATTTAAACTTCTACTCTGAGCAACATTATTTTGAAATTGTTAAATAACTTCCTTGGTCTGTGTCTCACAGAGTGATGAGTCTCTTCCCATCTTTATTTCTGAGGGACTCAGCCTCTCTGGAAATTCCTTTTTTTTGTTCTCAGTCAAGCTCCTGCTGATTGCAGTTTAACCTCACCTAGTTGTGAGATGATCTTCTGAGTGTATTTTTACCATTACACAGTTGTCAGTCTCTTGTTCACACTGTCTCACACTGTGTGCATTAACACTTTTCACTGCAGTTTGCAAGATTACTGTTAAGCATAAATTCTTTGTTTATGCTCATTAATTCATATAATTTGCAATATTCCTTTACAACAGTAAGGGTCACCCATTGTGCTTTTAACACCACATGCAGTATTACCTCCTGCCATTTCTCCTCTAAGTTGCTCACAGTGTGACTTTACCTGTCATACTCTCTTGATACACTACTTGAAGCAGTGTGTCTTTGCACTTAACCTTAATCCACTTAACATGTTCATGTACTTTTAAGTGCTTTGTACGTCATCAAGTTTGTTGCTCAACTTTTGTAAATTAATGTTAGAGCAATCCAGCACCACATTTTCCTTACTGTTATGTTACCATGTTTGATCTCACTGAAGAAGGACATAAAATAGCTAGACAAAACAATCCTTTTGGATTTCCATACATGCAAAATGAGCTATGACTGAACCCACCTCTTCACTTGTTATGCTGGTAGGGGTAGGTTGTGTGTTCTGTGGGTGTCTCTATGGCAACAGGTGGTTGGACGGCACTTTCCTGAGAGAGAGAGGCATTGAATATTAAACCCATGAGTAAGTCTTCAACCTTTTAGTGGCACACTGTTCTTGAAAGAAGAGGACATTACCTCGACTGAGATGTTGGTGGCAGGCACTTGGGTGTACTGGGGGATATACGTCCCCTGCATAGATGTGTTTGCAGGCATATACTGCAGGAGGAACATTATAGCTTCATTAGACATTACAGCTACATTGGCAATAACACTTGTATAATGATACAGTGGTCAAAGCTACACGTCTTTGTTAATCTAGACTAGAGTAACAGAGGGGGCTTCTCAAACTGCTAACCTGCTGATTTACCAAAATAAAAGTCCAGTTACCTTCATTCAAAGATTTGGTAGCTCTAAAAACAATGAACTATCAGCTACGAAAACGAAAACTGAGATCATTCTATCTGACTGCCAGTTTCTGCTACCTTGTGATCACAAACTTATCCTGCAATACATGTATAGTCTTTAAAGAAATTAATAATTCCGCTAAACGTGACACCTTTTATTGTTGCTGAACATCCTTGAGCATAAATCTGCACAATGTAGTTTTGACTTTTGAGGATCAATAATAGCTGCATGAAAAAAGTAGAATGAGCTTTCTGTTCATTGACTCAAGTAGCTGTAAATTCTTAGTTTGTTTATTCAGACAGTAATGAATGGTTTAGACTATTTCTTTTAAATTATCTGTAGCTATCAATCAAATACTACTTGGCAAATGTTATGATAATTTACGTTGAACTAGGATGAATAACATGATTTCAACCAATGAGACTTAATTTTCTGTAGTAAACCAACCAGCAGATTATGGCATTTAGTATTTTTTGTTAGTTTAATGTTTGTATTACAAGCAGTTTTAAGTAATTGAATCAGTCTGGTACATCTGTTCCTGCTAAATTGTCCAGATTGATGAGTAGATTCAGTTTGTTTGGACAATTAGAGTTATTAAATCAGGACAAGCTAAAAATAATATCCTGCTAATAGACTGTGTATTGTGTACTCTATTCACAGTCTTCAATCCTGCTTCATTCAGAGAACAGCTTGCATGGAGCCATGACATGCAGATTATACTCTAAAAATTCTTTACATTGGGCGAATGTCTGATATTTTGCTTGATTAATGACCTCAAGTTTTACTACAACCTGCGTTTTCATTTTTGAGTGAATACTAGCTTTTCCACTGACTGTGCCACTGCTGCCCATGGAGAGGTGACTAAGCTGCTGCGTCAGGGGTCCAATCATGGACGTCGGCTGGATGGACATGGTGTGCTCCATTCCTGGTGTCAGAACTGCTCCCTGTGGAGAACAAACAGAAGTGTTCATTCTTATTATCAGTACAAAGAGGCTCTTATTCAGACAGCCTGAGAGAGTATAAAGCAATATAAAAAGCCAACAAAAACAAGAAGTGGGATGATACTCACTGTGGGTGGCATGATGTACGACTGGTGATGTAACCAGGAGGGGTTGTGTACCTACATGAACAAGAAGAATATATATAAACCAGGATAAGACACACTTAAGAGAAAGTGTGGTTGGTGGTGTTTCATAAGCTTTGAGGCTCTGACTGTACCTGGTATGTGGACACAGGTGAATGCATGTATGGAGAAAGGGAGGACGGCCCAATCATTCTGTTTGGGGCAATGCTGTATGGAGAGGAGTAGAACCTATATAAAGTAATATACAGAGAAAGAGAGAGACATAATTGTCAACACCACATCATGTCATGTTTTCTGCATATGTACACAGGGTTAATTCCAGTGGTAGAACTGACCCGTTCTGTAAGGCTGTGGTGGGGTCATATGTAAGGGTCATCCCTCCCTGAAAAAGCAAGACAAAGATCTGTGTTATTAGTCAGCCACCCAAAGCTGTGTTTCCTCAGAAGTCATCAGGACATGAAGAACTCACACTCTCCCCATCTCTCGACCAGGACCGCCCATTCTGGAGATATTTGCCTTGGCTCTGACGCTTCTTCTGGCCTCCGTCGGCAAATTTACACAACAAGGGTTCTGATGGCACTGGAATGATCAGGAGGATTTGTGTTTTAAGAATGAGAATGTAAAGGTATATATATTTTTTAAGTTGTTTCAGTTAAACAAGAAAGGATAGAAAGCTCACCTGGAACTCCAGGTGGAGTCTTGATATATTTTCCATTAAAGTGTTGGATAATGGCTTCACATTTCTCTGTTGACTCCATCCTAAAAGGAAAGTTAATACAAAGTTTACTTCGTGTTGTTGTGTGACACAGAGTAAACTTCCATTCAGACTTCCTACCTGTACTGGCCACCAGAGGGCTCACTCACCTTGATTAATACAAGAAAATAAAGCTGATCTTTTACTCACAATGACTACTTGTTTCTTCTTATAACTGTATATTTTCATCATAGTACATTCAGCTCCAACCTCAGTGATCAGTTTTAACTAGCAGACTGAATGTTTAACGCTAAATAGCCGAAGCATTTACCTGGCAAAGCCCACTCCTCGGCTGGTTCCATTGGCGTCACGGAGGATACGAGTGGAAATGGCCTGGCTGAAGGGCTTCAGCATGTTCTCCAGCTCCTGCTCGTCCATGGACAGAGGAAGGTTGGAGATGTATAGGTTGGTGGGGTCCTGCTCCTGTTGCTGAATGGGGAAAAAAAGCCATGAGAGGTTCAAGAATCAGGATGTGGAGCAGACAGAGCTCTTAGTTTCCATAATCAAAAAGTCAGCAGCTTTTCAAAATTCAGAGGCGAGGAGAGACATCAAGAGGGTTTTATGACTAAAGGATCATTTCATTTTGGCCTTGTAAGAGAAAGTGAGCTGGGTGGATGAGGTCTAATGAGAAAAAAATCCACACAGAGATGGTGGAGATAGTATTCTGGCTGTACTTCAGCTGAACCTTTCCCTCCATTTCTGTCTTTTTTACACTTTCTCACCCACAGAACCTCTTTTCCTACAAACGTTCCTCCCTGCATTACCCACACATTATTACCATGAGGGTAGAAAACACTCACTGAGCGAGACAAGCCTCTCAAGGGGATGAAAGCATAGGATCCAGGTAATGTGACATCAAAGCATAATTACATTTCTAATGGCCCTCCAACTGCGGATGATCTACAGCGATTATGTGCTTTCAGTCACTGGAGAATCACAGCTGAGACGTTTTAGACAAAGACCTCTGGCATGACCTGAGGAACATCTGAAGCATTGTGCTTATCATTTCCCCGCCAGGCGTGTTATCATTCTGCTTCCTAGGTCAGAGTAATAATACGTAATATGCATCCAAGGGACTTATTCATATAGTTATCCTGACTTTGAATGTTGGCCAGATCTGTTTGCTTGCATCAATCTCACAAGTTGAGCAACTTTGTGAACTTGAATACGTAGAAACACCCAGGTAGAAGCTCTTCAAACTGAGGATATGAACTCCTCCGTGTTTTTTTCTCTCCTGCTCCAACAAATCTGATTTGAAAAAGCAGGATCTTTACAGATAACCAGTCTGTATCAGCCTCTAACCATTCTGCATATTCATTATCTCAGAGTGCAGATGTGATTAAAAACCTGTAAATGCAGCACGAATTAATTTCCATCCCATGAATAATGCATAAGCAATTGCTGCAACCTGTGGTGAAGGTGATTTCTCCTTCACCTTGGCCCTCTCTTCCTCTTTCACAGCAGTGCGAACTACAGATGAAGCCCGAACCCGGGAGAGTGAGCCGCCGAGCAGAGAGGACCTGCTGTGGGTTTCAACTGCGAATGAGTCAGACTGACTCATAGAGAAAATTGACGCAAACATAGGCCATGTTGTAAACCCAGCATGAAGTAGAAGAGGGAATTGAGTTATTTTGCGACAGAGGAGCCGTATGAATGTCAGTGATCCAGCTTAACGAGAGATCAGCTTTCCCAGGGTGTTGGGAGCGTGCGTGTACATGCTTGTGTGTGTGTCATAATCCCTTACAAGAGCAGCCTATGGAGTACATGTGTGATTGTCAAGGGTGCTGTATGTATCTCTGTGTATGTGAGTGTGTGTGTGTGTGTGTGTGTGTGTTGACAGGGCGGTCGGCTGGGCAGAGGGCCCTGCTGACTGGGGAGCTGCTCAGACACTGAGTCAGATGCCACCAGGGAGAACAGACAGGTCCTTTGTACAGGGAGCACGCTCCCTCAACACCGTCACCACGATGAAGCAACAGAGACACACGTACACACTGTGAACACACATGTACCTGTGTGCTCCCATGAATTCTTGTTTTACACACGCACACATTATCTCTGGAACATTTATTCCCCTAAAACAGACAGATTTAAGCACACACCCAAATATGCAAGGAGAATATTATCCACATAGGCATGTGCAGACAGATAAACTGAGGTTTAATTGACTTATAATTGTAAATAATGACAAAAAATGTGGAGGATAGAGAAATTGCTTCAGAGGAAACTCTCAAGTAGCAGGTAAGCAGGAGCAACAACCTTTCCACTGCAAGAGTAATGACTCAAGATTTATTTTTGAGATGATAAACTCAAGTTTTTGCTGAGTCACTGTCAAAATGCTGGGAATTTGACTCTGATAAACAAGCTGTTTGAAACAAAGAAACCAAAAACTAACAAACTTAAGCAGGGTTCTTACCTTGGCCATCTGAGCCTGCACGCCACCCGCCTTCAGCGCCGTCACCGCCTTCTGAGCTGACGTGGGGTTGTCAAAGTCTACAAAACCATAGCCTGCAGAGACCAGTCGCACAAACAACATATACAAGTTATGACTGTGTGATATAGTGCGTGGTGCTAGCTCATCTAAACACAGATGAGAATTGAACTAATGAAGCCAGTAGCTTGTAGAGATTTGTAAATGTCTCCACCTGGACCACAAATATTTTTGGGTATAATTACAGTTTGATTGAAAATATGAGGTATTTCATACTAAAGGCATGGTACCTTTCAAAAAGGAGGACAAATCAGGAGTTACACGACACAACACAACACACCTGAACAGAGGTAAGAGCTCCTGTGTGGTTGTGCTTGTGAGGTTATTTCACCTTTGTGTTTCCATTAACTGATAGGCTCAGGTGTTAATGAATACATGAGCATACTGAGGACATGAAGTTGAAGAGAAACAGCTGTGCAAAGCAGACAAGATAAAACATTTATTTCAAGCAAAAAAGCAGTATGTGCTAAATTTATAGCAGATTATACCACATACAGTCTGTCAGAATTGTTCACAATCTGGAAGCAATTTTGAAATCCACCCTTGTTTCTGAAAATCTGTAAAACCCCTCAGCCTACGTTTTATGCTTGAGGCTAGTGTGCAGAGTTTTCGGCTGGTTATGAAACAAAAGAAAATCAAAACTGATGCCTCAATATGATCTCAAAAAGCAAAAAAAAAACCATCATCTGCAAGAATTTATAAGTTATTTTTAATACCTGTAAATGCTGCGGCAGTAGGTGTGAGAATCAAGGATGTAAATAAAAGCTCCCTCTATATGTTTTTAAAGATCAGAAATTCAAAGGAAGAGTTATGATTGTTAAAAGTTAGTTGGATGAGATTTTTACCAGAAAACACTTTTTGTTCATCTGCAGGAGTCAGGACAAGATCAGCTAAGAGATAAGAGCTTCTGCTTTGTTTACATTTGGTGCAACAAGCTGTGTCCTCTTTTGAAATATCCTAAAAATAGTTGGCTACTTTCAGAGTGGCCAACCTTTGCAACCTTTGTACAAAAAAATCAACAATCTCTGTGTCTACACGTGACCCAGTAATCCTGGTGTCACACCTCAGCAACCTTTCAGAGAGTTCAGTTCAGAGTTGACACACTGACATACTTTGGAGCTGAGTTTGCCCCCTCTGTACCACCTGACCTTTCAGTCCCTGCTCAGCAGTTACTTTCAAGCAGCTGATGTTTGTAGAGCTCACCTTTGCACTTGTTTGTAGTCTTGTCCAGGATGGCCTTAGTGGATACAATTTTCCCATACCTAAAAGACAGAGAGGTTCTAAGGTAAGAAATTATTCCACAAAGCAGACGGAAACAATCACTTTGAGCATGGCAACGTAGCAACATGACATGGTTTCTCTACAATTAACACTCAGGATGAGGTTGTGCCCCCTGATGAGTGAATTATGATTCACCTGACAGATTCAGTGACACTGAATATAATTACACCATCTGATAGTAAATGACGTACATGTGGAAATCTCTAGAGACAAAGTGGAACATAAATGACATTAGATAAGTTGAATGTCCTGTGTGTTTCTAGATACTACACAGAACTAAGGATTTCCAATATCTTTTCACACAAATGTATCACAACTTCAGTGAAATCTAACTACATTTGAAAAAAGAGATGTTCTGTTGCTCCATCTATAGACAACTGTACATTGCTCTGTCATTGTTTAAAATCTGCATTATCTTTCCAGCTGGCCGGCTATAGATCCTGCAGATGTATGCGATAAAGCCTGGCTGAGGGAAATGCTTCTGTGCAGCCCTAGGTCTATCAGTTCCCATCTCTCCAGGCATGTGCATGCAGTGTAATCTGATATGCCTCTCCTTGGCTGTCCTGTCCAATGCTGGCTCCCAGCCATACTCTCATTCTACTAACCAGCTTCTCTCCAGGCAGCGCCCGACCCGTCACTGGGTCTTAGTGCCCCTTACAACGCAATCAAGCTTTTATCCTGTGGCTTTGACTGCTGTGCTGCCACATCTCATCTGAGCTACAAGAGTTACTTTATAATACACTCAAATAATAAGGATTAAGCACTGGCCTGCAAAAAAAAAAAAAAAAAAAGTAATCTGACTGTTAATCTCTTAGATTACTCAAAATTCTAAATGAAATGGTTTCATTCAAGTTCATTTATGATAACTTTCCCAAGTGTTACAGGAGGAACTCAAGTCTTCATTCCTTTTCTCGGGTTGCTCGAGGTCAGTGTGAGGGTAATTAAGCTTTTATAGGAAAATCCAGCGATCCTGAATTATTAATTTAGACAGAGCCACAGAGGGTTACATTAATACATTATTGGGTCATGGCCAAAGTATTGAATACAAAGTATTTTTAGATTGCATTTGATGACCAAATCATCATTGGCAGTGTCCTAATCTCTTTAAACAGTTCTTTCATTAAAGCACACAGTCAGTTATCACCAGTACTGGTATTGTTCTGGTTCCAGTTTATGGTGCATTTGTTGTCCCAGTCTGGTCAGCCAATCACTACGCAGGAGGCTTTTACACGCTGGAACATAGTCTGTGCAGAGTACACAATACATATGAGGAGTGAAGAATGGAAAAAGACAAATGGCTGGAATTTAAATGTCATAGAGACAGGTTTGCTCTTCAGTGTATCACACCTTACCCCTTGGCTTTCAACCCAGCATGAGAGTTGTGTGGTTTCTGTCTCTGTCTGTTCTTTTATTGGATTTTGATTTGTTCTTACAGTGTTTTTATTTCTTTATCATTTATGATTCATTGTGATTTATAATAATTATAATTTATTATGATTCTTTTGCTTTATTCTATTATATTCTCTGACAGCGCTTTATGTTCTGTGTGTTTTAACTTATTTTACCACACTGTGCAGCACTTTGCTAAACTTGATTGTTTTTCAAATATACTATCAGGGTTCCTACACAGTTGTAACTTCCATACTTTTCCATACCCTACTTTTTAGAATTATTTTTGGAAATACCTACTTTTCTATTTTAGACAACAGTATTTTAGAACTGTGGTAATAGCCTGGAAACATAATGTTTTTCTATACTTTATTTTTCATTTTCGATAATTTTTAAGACCTAGAAATTGATCAAATTTATTTCCATACTTTTCGTACTTGTGTAGGAACCCTGTACTATACAAATAAAGTGGATTGGATTGGATTAATAATGATGATCCTGTTGTTTCTATTCACAGATCACAACTGCACTTACATATTTGCAGATGCATTAAACATCCTCCATTCAAATGTGTTTTACTTAAAATGTTATGATTTTTATGACTGATCCCATAAAGAAATCTACTGTTGGTAAACCACTGTAGCTCTGTTGTATACTGCATTTGAATTCTATCATTATTATTTCATGGTGCATTTCTGATTCTAGGCTATAGGATGCCACCCGTCTGACTGGATGTGAATGCTAACATTGTCTTCCTATTTTTTCAGGATGTATTAGAACAGTCGGTACACAACAATCTCCCCAGTCTACATTTTCATGGTGTGACTAGGATTTAAGCTACAGGCTATGTGTTGCACTCTCCTCTGGTTTAGATACTGGTTTACTTCATAATGCTCTGAGGTCTTGAACTACATGATGCAGAGTGAAAAGAGGGGCTACAGACTCAGCCATGTGTGTGAGAGCACAGCGTACTTCAGTCCAATGCCTATCCATGTTCAACCACCAGAGACGGACCGGGGCAGGAACCAGAGCGGCAGTGAGGCACCCAGAGAGAAAACTGCAGGGGCCAGGGATGGAGAACCAACCCCCATCCCTTCTTCTCATCCCTCACTCCTAACACAGTACATCTCAGAGCTGCACACAACTCTTAGTGTGGGGGAGGGGAGCTTTAGGAGTGTAGTGTCCTGATAATATGCACACATTTCCTGTTCAAACTTGGGTTAAACAAGTCAATTTCCCTCCACAATCTGTCGTTCCTACTGTTTTACATCTCCATCGACACGCATGTTCCCCATTAACTATTATTGGACAGAGTTTCCTGTCTTTGTGTAGTCCGAGAATAACATGGGCCTTGATGTGCTCTGCTAAAAGGCAAATTTCATGCAGTGATTTTATCTGCTCTGTAAAAGCAGAAATATGAGAACTACCCCCACAGAAACACCACCTGACACACAAACCCTGAACTCCAGTCACTCCTCCCCCTCTGATTCTCCCCCGTCCACCCCCTTTATCCCCTTCCACGCACAAACACACACACACACACACACCTCCCTCTTCATGCCGTTGCCCTTGTTTGTCTTTCCCTTTCCCCTGGGCTTGCCGTTTCCTGCAGGGTTGGGCAGCCTCATGTGAGCCATATCTTCCAGACAGCTGTAAAATAGCAGGCCTCTCCCTCCCTCCCTCCATTTTTCAATCACTCCAGCCTCCTATTCCCTCCTTTTTTCTTCCCCCCACTCTGCTCTTGTGGTCCTCATCACCAAGCTCCAGAATTCAATTAAGAGGACCCAGACCATTCGTCTCAGGCCTGCTTGTTTTGATGTTTTCCACTGTGGGCCTTACAAAGATATCTGATGGAGTGAATGATGTTGCTATTTGATGTCTACTACACAGTGCTCACAAGGAGTCACACTCAAACTGATGAGCAAGGCGGTGTGGTGTTTACACAGCAGGATGTGACTTTGTGCAAGGATAACAGTCCCCCATTGTTGTCTTACTGAGAGATAGTAACCTACGAGAATAAAGTATGGAGGAGCCATCATTTAAAGAGTCTAAATGTACAAGAAAGACGTGTGAGCGAGGGAGACTAAACATTCAGTGCCTGGTTTTTGGAAAGTCCGCGCCAAACTAAAACGTCTCAGTTTGCGGGCCAAATGGTTGTTGTTGTTTTTTCCATATGACCACTAAATGATGGCCTTTTAAAACATTTAGACGAATGTGGAAATCTCTTTTACTTTCCAACAATACCTGTTTAAAACTTCTATATACAAGTATGCAGTCATGCAGCCAGAATCGCTCAGCTACCCATGCACCCATCGCTCTGTTCTCTCTTAAAAAAGGAACCCGCGACTATAACCTGTTAGTGCGCAGCATGCAGTAAGAGTGAAATTAATGGGGTATATATGTAAGGGTTAAGAGCGCTGGTTTTTGGGGTGACTTACGGCTGACAGAGTTTGACCAAATCCTGGTCTGTGGTCCCTGGATGGAGGCCGCGGATGTAAAGGTTGGTTTTACTCAGCTGCTCTCCCCCACTGCTGCTGCTGCTGCTGTTGCTGTTGCCATTGCTGATGGAGTTGGAGTTGTTACTGTGGCTGTTGTTGGGGCTTGGGGGAGCCATGTGATGGTTGGATGGGGACACATACGTTTGCTGCAGATAAAAGAAAAGAAACAGTCAGGTTTTGGATGATAAATTTCACTTCTTATGTGCATAATTTGATATTGAAGAAGAACAGCTGGCTAATGGTCTAATAACTGACCCATTAAGGACATAAAAGGACACAACAAGCCAGAAAATGAGCAATGGTGGTTGGGTTCTTCAATGACAATGTATGATAATAACAAATTAGACTGCAGAGTCACAGGCCTGATGACAATGGCAACTAAGCAGCTTCATTTGGACTTTACACATCAGCTAACACTTTTTATAAAACAGACAGCTTTCCCTTCTAAAGAGAGAAGGACAAGTGGAAGTGAAAACACAGCATGCACCTTAAGTGCCCAGCATGAGTCAGTACACCCCCTATTAAAAGTAATGTATTACTCAATATCTGGATCAGCAAAAGTACAATTTCCAAAGTTTTGACAAAGCTGAGTTTAACACATTTTATTTACCATACGATGAAAATAATTGGATATGGTAGCTAAAATTTAGCTATGCTCCTAGAACTTTGATTGGGGTGTAGTGTACTCATTTTTGCATCCTGATTTTAAATTGAAAAAATATATATTTTTTTGTATGCAACTTCAAAAATCTTGTTTGCAATCAATGGACTACATTTGGGGAAATATTTTGTTGTGTAGTCTGACATAGAAAATGTTGATTTTAAAAGGAAACTAAAGGTTTTCTGATAACTCTGAAGGGGTGTACTCATTTATGCTGAACACTGTAGAGCAGGGTGTGCACACATTCATATTAAAACATTACACACATTGATCTATTCATGCAAGTTCCATGAGTAGACAATCTAGCCTACTACAGCATGTGAATGTGCTCTGTTTAGCAACAACTGAAATCGCAATATCTCCAACGTAAAGGCAAGGACACTAAACAAACGTCCACTGATAGAATTAATCACACTCCTCTGTGAGCAGCTATTCTATTTCCACCTGTTCATGCTGTTTGCTTGGGAGATAAATGAATGGTAGCTCTACAAGTCAATATGCACTATCAGCCCGCTTACTCTGACCTTACTCTATCTAATAAAAAGCTATGGTCCGTAAAAGTAATTTTCTTGCGTCAAAGAAGGCTACCGTATAGATTTATTACTCTGTTTGTAAATGTGAAGCATATGATACCCTGCTTATCATGGCGATATGTAACAATTAGTGTGTATGATGCACATGCCGATACTTAAGTTTGTAAAGGTCAACATTGTAGCTTGTATTTAAATGTCTAATTTAAACTGACCTACTTCTGAGTGATGCAGGACTTTAGAGAAATGCTGCTTTTGGCAGAAAAGTCAACCATAAATGTTTATAGCGTACATGAGTACTACGCTTGGTGTGTCTCATGCTGGCAACCGAGACCATTTATAAAGTCAAAACAAAGCACTTAATATCACATCGGGCTTGAACGAGTGAAGTGGCTGACCTCTACGCTGCTGCAAGAAAGGCCTTTTGTTGTTGGTGGAAGCCAGAAAGTTTTTGGCAAACTATTTTTACTGGGAGTCTTTGAAATGTTTCCAGGCAAAACTGCGCTCAGAGAGAACAGTAGATTATCATTTGTAACTATCAAGTTAATCTTTGGAAAAAATAATACATATAAATTTGCTTTTTGAATGTATCTTTATTGCTTTTGGCAGCAAAAGAAAATTCCAATCACTAACACTGTCTTTTGGTAGTGGCACTGGTCTCTACTTTGCATAAACTAATCTTTCAGGAGAAGATGGTCTTAAATCAAAGTCAAGTAGAACTTTTTCAGTCTCACACAGGACTGCATGCACTGAAAATGTGAAGATTGTATTACAACAGGTCTGCCAAGCTGATTTTGTAAACAGACAAGGCTGTTTACATGCATGCTTCCGGAAAGCATCTTCTTTCATGATTAGCTTCAATATACCCAAAAATATGCCAAAAACAAGGAATTTTAGCAATGCATGCAAAGATAGGAGCAAACATGGACCAATCCTACATAAGAGCTGTTTTTATTTATAAGAATCCTGTCAGTGGTCTACATCATGATGCCTGATAAACTTTATCAATTAGGTACAGAAGTAAAATGCCAGCTGAGTCCGGCCCCCGGGCTTGCCCTCCTCCCTGTGTTGGCGGAGGAGGAACTGTTTGATTAGTCAGGGTCAGCAGGCTCAGCCCTGGGGAACAATGGGATGGCTTGTTGAACACCATAAGGTCAGCACTGGAGCACCAGCTTATTAACAGAGCAGGGGTTGTCAAAAGACCGCTGGAATCAAGCTAATTATGACCTTTAAATCAATCTTTGGAGGATCTTCTCTGACTTCCAGATAATTCCAGAGACACGGGGATGTAACTTAAAAAATAAAACTTGAAAATTAAATGTGAGCCATAATTCTTTTTTAGTTTAGATAAAGGATAGAAACATAAGTCTCACTTTCAAACTGTAATGTTTTTTTATACTCAACATGTTTGCAATGACCAGACCTGAATCTGTCACCACCTGACCCATAAATCACACAACAGCTATCAGAAGAAGAGCTCCTATTGGTCAAAAGTTGTGTTGGTAATTTTCGTCCACCATAATCTCGGCTGTATGAAAACAGAGGTGGTACCTTCAAAGAATATTTTAGCAGTTAGAGCGTAGATGCCACAGCTCATTACACAGTATAACTTGGTATTGATGGGACATTAAAGACCAAGGTTTGACAGGTACGGTATATTCTATTTAGCTAGCTATCCAGTTGTAAGTCCTGCAGGAGAAGATCACAGTTAAGTTTTTTTAGCTGTTATATTTTAATACAGTAAAGTAGTGATGTGCCATGCACAAAAGATGCGACTCTAAGAGCCTGCTGCATTGTAATGAATCAGAAGAGCTGGCTCCGATTTTTGTTCTTTTTGCACTCTCAAAGTGCTCATTCCCAGCTCTGCTCACAGAACTTTGTTTTGATTGGCCAGCGTGGCAGCCATGTGGTCAATCACATGTGAGGATATAGGATCATACCATTATGTGAAAACAGAGACAGGGCAGACAATCAGGATGAGAAGAAATCGGATCAGCCCATCCTAGCTGAGGCATCTGCTTTTCTCAATGCCAACCTGCACTAAAACTGTTTCCTTGAGTTTGGTTCTGGTTCTGTGGACTTGTTTGCAGTTTTTTTTTTAAATTTGTGCAATTAAAATGTTTGACTAAAATATAAAACAAAAGGAAGAATGGTTTTGTAACAGAACAATTGCACAAAGTTAGGAAGTCATGAGACTTCTCATAAAAATACTGTATGTTAAAGTTAAGATGAAATATAGGGCTACAAAATATCCTAAATTAAGAGCGGTTTTGGAGTCGAAAGAGATGGTTTTTCTGTGGGAGCTGGGCCAACAGAATCTGCTCCCTGAAAAGAGCTGAACTTTCCATCCCTACTGTAAAGGCTCATACTTGCACTTTCATGTTTTGAAGGAACTTTTTGGGACACTATCACAACAAAGTGATAACTAGCCAACTTCACCAAAAACAAGCTTCCTGGCTGCCTTGAGTGCTTAAAGCTGTCTGTGAAAGTTTAAAATTCTACTGTGTCTACATGTATTCCTACCTGCTTTGCTAAAGAAACTTTAAAGGACAATGTAAAGATCATACTGTCAGGATTCCAGGATTCATAGAAGGATTCATAAGTAAAACTCAGAAGATTGCTGTGATTCAATGAGCCTCCAATGCAGGAGGCCCACACACTATCAGGGGGACTGCACCTGCAGTGGCCTTGGGAGATAGGATCTGACTGAAGACTGAGCCTGGGCCCAAGCCTAGCTAGTGAGGCCTGTCTAATTGGGATCTGAGCTTGTTAGCGGAAAATGCTAATCCCTCTCATGTGCTCTCAAGTCAGAAGGTAGTGTCTCATTAAGGGGGCTCTGTTAGGCTCCTTTGGAGAGAAGGATGGCAGTAAGACAGATTCACACCTACTCCCCATCTGCCCCAATACCAGGTGTTTTACCTCCCATGTAAGGTAATGCCTGACGCACTTGTAAATGCAGTGCACACTCAATTGTGCATGAAAAATAATAGCAGTGAGCTAAGGAAAGTCGGGCAGCATGACAAAAGTCTCATACATGCATAACTGGAAATCACACTTCTTTTTTTTCAGCACACACTGTTGCACATCTTAGCAGTCTTTTTCATAAAACCTGACCTCCTGGCATGTACCTGATTTCCTTTCTAATTTTGTCTTCACCGTCTATAACTACCTTCATGTCCTTTTTTGACTTCCTTACATCTATCACAGTGTCATCTCCTACAGCGTTCTTAGGATTCCTCTAAAATACAGACATGTTTATGTTTCCCTCCTTTAAGTGGACCAGAGTTACTGCAGAGAAGGCGTTAGATAAATGTCGAAGAAGCTAGTTCTTGGAGTCATCACGTGTCCTTTTGACATGTCAAGCTCACGGCTTTTGCAGATGAAACACACAGACCTACAAAACGATTGATGTTCAGTAAAATAAACGGATCACTTCCTGTTTAGGACTTTTTCTCAGCAACTAAACTACAACTACTTTAACTCTCCGTGCAAACAAGCTTGAAATACACAATCCTCACATCCCCATTACTTTTGCCAAGCATGCAGTTATGGTTGCAGAGAAGACAGGTCAGCTCATTGCATTATCGTTGATGCTGTGCAAGAACCATAACTACAGTTAAGGGCCACCAGCATGTTGCAGAGAGTGAGTGCAGAAGGCAGCAGCTGAAGACTGATGAGGTGATTACAGTTAGAGGGAGCAGAGGTGATGCCTGTAGGGAGCGTAGGTGATTCAAGGACTTTTTCTTCTGAGGGGGAACAACAAGTGCTCAGAGTATGCCTTAATAATAACAGCAAAAGTATGAGCCTGATTGTCAGACACAAAGCAGACATCATTGCCAATGCTATCATAGAAGCTAGACCAAGCTAATAAAGTCCTCTAAAAATCAAACCATTTAGTCATTTATCGTCATACCAGTTTATGCATATGCTTGTCTTCTTGAGAAGTATCATACTAATGTTGCTCAAATTAGGGTTGTCCTGATACAACTGTTTGACTTCCGATACGATACCAATATTGTAGCCTTCAATATTGACCGATACCGATATTGATCCGTTATGACACAAAATTATGCATGACAAGTTTCTCACTCAGCTGCAATGTCTTTTTCAGACTTGAACAAAAAATACTGCCACAAGGCCAACAACACTCCTGCTCCTTTCTACTTTGTTAGTACCTTAGTACACACTGTTGTTGTGATTTTGTGGGCTCAGCTTGCTGGATCAAGGCGCTGCTAAATAGAGGTGCCAGAATGGAGTCTGGAATAGACTGCTTGGATCGGAGTGCTGATATCGGAGATTTTAGATGCAGGCCGATATAATCCGATATTCGTTTTCTGGCTGACATGGGACTGGTATCCAATATCAATATCGTAACGGGACACCCCTAATTTAAATACATAAGATATTTAAATCTGGAAACCTGTTGTAACCTGGTTACCACAGGAACGTTTCATTGATGCATGAAGTAATGCCAGAAAACAGACATGACTATATTTGGAGAGAAAAGTCTTAGACGTGTGTTCCTACCTGCTTTGATAAAGACACTTTAAATGGCAATGTAAAGATCATACTGTCAAAGGAAAAAAAATCTTGTTTCTGCAGCTGCAAGAAAAAAAGCTTTTGAAGAAAGAAATTTAAAAAGTGTTGAATATCCTTGGCGTCCAAAAAGGTATGAGTTCTTTCTCTTGTCAAGCACCTTATTCCAGTTAAATAAAATCAGAAAATGCGGGAAAAATCTCAATGTGCTCTTAAAAAAGTCTTTTCTCAACAGGTATATTACTACAGGTATTAAGCCTACGGATGAGAGCAGAAAGTCAGTTATGTGGACAAAAGACTCACAAGTATGAAGCAATTCTAGGGCTCTCTTCTCCATGTGAACCAAACCACTGACAGACAAGAAATCAAGGTATGTGAAACACAGGGGGGAGAGAAAAAAGAGGGGGGAGTTAATCGAAAGCAGAGGAGGGGGGGTCTCTTAATCCTTTCTTTTCTCCGCCCTTTTTCTTGTAGTAAAAGACACAGACCAGGGGTTACCACTTGACGCTGAATTTACAAGACTTTCCCTTGTGTGACTTTGGTGCCTTGACAAAAAAGAAAAAAAAGAAAAAAAAAAGGATGTGTGTCTTCTTTCAAGGAAAAGGTTTGTGTTAGCAGAAGCCTTCTTGAAGTGAGCACATTGTTTGAATCCAGGATTCCAGGAATTCCAGGTCATTAATCTGAACAATCTGAATTCCTGCCAGCCGTGAGGCAGGGGAAGGAATAACAGAGATGGAGGGAGGTGTTTGATTTCAGCTTACTTCAAACGTTTCTTAAGAAATGCTGCTGCGGGAAGGTGTCAACATACTTCATATCCCTTTCTAGTCACACATAATCTCCATCACTTAAAGACAATTTCTGCAATGAAATTCCCAGTCAGAATACTCCATGCAGATCTTTACAACAATGCTGTTAAATCTCAATGTCCTTGGATGTAACAAGTCTTGACATAAGAGAGGTTGAAAATGGACAAAGATGTATTCTCATGAATTATTCATATAAGGGAGACAAGCAAATCAATACTCTTCTGTCTTGGCCAAGCTCTGTTGTCACTGCTCCACGGGTGAGATGTTATATATCCACACATAACTTGTACATTAGACTGATTACACGGGCTATGTCACTTTCCTCTTTCCATGCAAACCCTCTCAGTCATCATTAGGAGGGCTGAAGGGGTGGGGTATATATCGTAACGCGTAAAAGAGGAAAAAAAAAACTTTACCAACTTGTGGTTAATTAAATGAAAACAAAATCTGGGGGAAAATGCCGTTAATAAGAGACCATAGATATAACCAAAAAGTCACATAATAAAGTGTTTCTGTTTGCTCAAGCCTTAGGAGCATCTACCCCACATTTATGAGTGCAGGCTGGATAGAGGAAGAGATCAGCGACGGGGAAAAAAAGCGAAAGCAAACTGAAGTAGCTAATCTACAGGCAACTATGTAACGGGCCATTGGGTAGTTTTTAACAAAATAATGTAAACAACAAACCGAAAAGCCGCGAGTATTGGTTGCAACAGCGTGTAACAGTTAAAACGTCGCCTGTGATCTACTTTCAAGGACACTGCAGCTTAAACAGCCGAGCAGCTTTAACTAAAGAGGCAGAGCTCGAACACACCGAGAAATCACTCAATGTATCACAAAGAGAGGATAAAAGTAGGCGATGGTGTTGTTTTCTTTACCCTTTTGCTGTTTTTGCTGGTGAAGCCGTTGTAAGGGTTGATTCCTGTCCTTGGCGGCACAGAGAGCAGCATTTTTCCGCGGCGCTGTGTCCGGAGGAGCGGAGAGCGGAGAGCAGGAGAGCAGTCAGCTGACGTCAGCCTGGGAGAAGCAGCCAGGAACAGCGGGAGTGATCGGAGTCACTCTTCCAAGCACCACTCATGCACGCTTTACTTTGACCGCACGTTTGTGGGTGATTTCTGGGTTTATCTTCACGTTCATGCCCCTCTTCAACGTTTCAACTAGACTATATTCTGCTTTACCAGTGCGTAAAGTCGTACATGTATCCCTTGGGGTTACTGCTTACTGTCAGCTGGATCCCAACAAAGAAAAACTAAGGATAATTGACCTAAAATCGAAACAGTAGTTGTTGTTTGTTAAACACGAGGGATGTGATGTTATGCTTTTCTCCCGATTCGATTCTTCCACGATTTTTCGAATGCCGATTCGATTTGAATTGCGATTCTAAGATATTGTCGATTTTCTCGATTTTTAAGGTCCTTACACACCAGGAGTGTTTTTGCGATTATTTCGGACTTCAGTATTTTTTTTCAAACCCAAACCTTTCAATACAAGCGTTCACATCAGCAATGTTTTCCCGTCCTGCAATGTTGCGGCATTTATTTTTTCGTATCACGGTTGAATTTTCTAAAGTTTGGCATACTGTGTGTTCACTTCTGACCAATCAGATTTCGTGTTGTTGCAGTATCGGATCACTGGTATATCCAACATGGCCGACCGGCTGATTGTTTACGTGTTGGAGGACAGAGTGCTTTTTGATAAAAGACACAAACATTACAAAGATAACGACCTGAAGGACAACTAGTGGAGAGTCACAGCGTCAGATTTCTTATATGACGATGGTTTGTGTGCTTTAACAGTTTGCTAAATGTCTTTGTTTTATCTTTCAGCTATACTAAGTAACTTAAGCTCGTAAACTAACCTGTTCAGATACAACATACCATATGTATTTTCACTGTCTGAAACTCAATTGCGTTGCTGTCACAGCACCATTAGGTCTCGGTTGTTACCTTACGTTTATGGATTATAGTTTAATGTGCTTATCTGGTACTGGCCCCGACTCAGTACATGCTATCATGACAGACAGTCATCTCAACACTAGAGTCTAATCAGAACTGAAAAACAGTCAGTCTGCTGTTGTGTAGGTCTTCTCGCTTCCACCCGGATTACATCTTTTTTCCCCCCGGAAAGTCTCAAAATCGCATTGTGCTCGATGTGTATAGTCAGGCGCGTCAAAATTGGCCTCCAAATACTTCGTAATTTCACGTCGTATATTTGCGTTGTTCCCGGTGTGTAAGGACCTTTAGTCTGCATTTTTAACACCAGTGAAACAGCTGAATGATTATGATTGTCTACGGACTATTCCAGGAACCATATTTCCCCCTTAAATACACATCACATGTAAGTCAGTTTGAAAGATTTGTCCTTAAACTTGAAAAAAAAAAATCGATTTTTGAACATAAAATCGATTTAAAAATTGTAAAACAAAAAATCACGATTCTTATGTGAATCAGTTTTTTCTCCCACCCCTATTAAACACAAAAATACCAAACAAGCAGATGATGTTACCAGGTGAAATTAAGCTAACAGATAAGAAATAGTTTACAAAAGTAAGGGGGGAACAGTCTAGCTGTAATAGTTGGCTAAAAACAATCAATAAACAACTAACATTTCAGCTAAAGTTTTGAGTCAACATATCAATTAGGCTAAAAGTAACAAAGAATGGCTGGGTTTGGGAAAAAGGCTACTGTAGGGGTTGGTTGAGAGCTAAAAACAGTGGATGAATAGAGTAAAGTGTTGGCTTAAAGTAATGATAGTAGGGTTTCTTGCATAAAATAGCTGTTGAACATTTTTAACAGTTATCTACAAGTCTTTGTGTGATAAAACCACTATGGTTAAATGGTTGATTTGTCACCAAGTAGTAGTGGATCATTTAACATGTCATTTAAAAACCTTGAACTAAATTATTTGTAATATCTGATTACAAATGAAGATAGATGCAAAAAATAGCATCATGTTTTTCTTTTCAGTGTGAAATGATCAAATATTTTAAGGGACCGCTTCTTAATGGAGCTTAAAAGTAAGGAAGAAGAACTTTATCTATCTGTAGGAGCCAAAATATATTTTTTGAAAGTTTTAATTTTGTAGGCACGTCACTTCCGGGATCATCACTGAGGGGTGTGGGTTTGGGATGTTTGGCGGGTTATTTAAAACTCACAGGTGCAGTCAGACAAGGGGTTTGGTAAGCACTGATAATTTTCTGTTGACTGCGTTTTGAACGTTTTGAACGTTTTGAGCGTTTTGATCATTTTGATCATTTTGATCGTTTTTTGACCGTTTCTCATTGTTTTTCACTGATTCATTCATTCATCCTGTTTTAACCTCATTTCACCTTTTCAGTTGAAGGCAAAAGTATTGGACCCAGAGCAGCGTGTTTTCTTTCCCCTTTTTTGAACAATAAATCATTTTTTCTAACACTCAAATCGGACTGATCATTCAAGCAAGTCACAGATGCATGTGAGCCTAAACCCCAACGAGGAAAGCAGTCGCTACACTATCCTTGAAGGGAAATTCAGTTAAATTAATTAAATGAAATTAATGCTCTGTTTAGTAAGCGCTAGTTTACCAAGATACTTTTATTTTACCTCAAATTGGTAAATTTTGATCCCATTTAACTTATTCCAATTCAAAAATAGTGAAGTAAAGTATTTATCATTATGTACAAACTAATTAAACGTTGGTCTAAGGTAGGAAAGCAGTGCTTTATAACAGCATACAGACCATCATGTGCACTGGACAAAAAGCATCCATCCATTTTTAGCGGCTTGCTCACTGACTATTATCTAGAGAGTTGTAGGAGTACTTATAGTTGCAGTGGACAGAATATTGTCTTGAGAATATGAAGAACAAGTCAAAGAACAATATAACTGAAAGTGCAAAAAAAAAAGGGGGGGAAAGTCTATACGTATGAATTACAGTAATTTCAATCGATTATCTTTTTGCTTTGCGTACTTCTAAGATGGAGTACTATGATTGTTGCCTTACCCTTCTTTTGAAATAAACAAGTATGTACGTCAGAAATATTGTTTATACAACCAAAGTCACACATATTGAAAACCTAATATCATGCTATAATGCTTCTAAAATACCCAACTCTTTTCAAGATATTATTTTGCCTATAATAGTGGAGCTTGAATATCACTCACTATCCAATGAATGTCCTCATGACTACTCATTTATAATGCTTATAGTGTGTTTATCTGCACACTGGAAGATAAGACTGTACCTCCATCATCATTTTTATGTATCTTTTTCAGTCACTGTCTTACTTTTAGATGGCTCCCATCATACGACAAAAAAATGTTTGTATCAACAGAGGTTGCTTGGCAACTAAGTCCCATGACCCTTTTGCCTCGTCTTGCATACCCTGACTGATTAGCCCTCATGTGTGTAGAAAAAATACATGCAATTGTTCACTCAGCCATTCAGTGTGTTTTTCTAGCCATGGTTTTTGCACAACACATCTACAGTACATCTGCAGAGCTGTGCAGCACAGAAAGACAGAGGACAGGCCTTATGTTGATCTACATGCACAAGGGATTTCATCCTGATTTCATCATGACAGTCTAGTCAGACAGACGGGAGAGGCTCAGCTGAATTCATAATCTTTATCGCTCTCTCCCCATCTATCTCTCTGTCTCCCACACACATGCAGTTGTATAATGTCAAATCTTGATGCATTGGTTTCATTTGCATAAGAATAACATTGTTCTGTATCAACATTGTTCTCTCCTGCCAGATATAAATGCTTTTTTTTCCCTAACTGGAACATTTTCAGATCTCAATTAGGTCACCCAGAGTGGTTCACTCCCCCTGTTCAAGTCTATGCAATGTTTTGATATGTGTGTGCGAGTGTTCAGCCAGATGGGCTGTGAGTTCCTATGAGCTCAAGGACAGTTTGGGGAGTGACTCAGGCAGCAGAGAACCTGAGCCAGCCAACACTCAGATTTCACCAATAACGGGAATAGTGGGGCCTGTGGGGAGTTGTGGAGCTGCTGCAGGGTTTAGATTGGGTTTTGTACGCTAGTTGGTTAAAAAAGAAAAAACCTTGACTGATAATAACTGACTACAGCAAATGATGTGATCAAGCCACTGAATTATCTTTGGTTGAAGTTTCCTGGTTAAACATCAATAAAACTAAACACTACACCTGCATGTTCAACAAATCAAAGACTCCTGTGAGAATGTCATGGTGAACTAGCTCTTGATGGGGGGAAGGGGGCTTGCAGATGGGTGAGAAGTGAGTTGGGGTGAGTAATGGGGGGTTATGAGAACACAGGCTGCTGGTGCATGCTCTGCATTCCTCAGGTGTTGTCAGCATAGCTTGCCCAGTAATTACCTCTCTGTGAAAATACGCACAAAGAAACACTTCAGCTGCAAACTGGGTGCCAGAAAACAAGAAAAGCTGTTGGGTCGGGTTTCAGAGATGGATGGCAGAAGTTTTATGTACATTTAGGCATAGCATGAGCTAAAATGGTAGTTTTCAAAAGTGTATGTGCTGGATAAAACCATCCCAGTTTACCACATGCACAAGCAGCTGCAGAGCCAGGATGTGTGAGAGAGGAGGGCTTGATTTATGTTGCAATCCGTCTTCTCAAGGATATAGACAGGTTGGGTAATGAATGTTGCCAAGCAGACCTTGGCATGTGAATCTAGTGGTGTGATACAGATGTCACTTGCAAAGATGGTGGTCAGCCTTCACACACAATTTTTATTAACTTTGCATGCTGGGAGAAGATTCTTGCGCTCCTCCCTCTGTACGCTGCTTTACATTTTTCCCTTCAGACATCATAACTTCCCACATTGATGGTACTATTGCTGTGAGAAGCAGGTTTTCTCCCTGTCTGGGAACTCTTCTCTCACCCTCTCCTCTGCTCCCTCCTTTTGCCCCATTCTGTCTCCTCGGCTGGCTCGCTAAAAGCTGGGGGATTGTGTGCAGATGTGCCTGGAGAGAGGCCAGCCCCTCTGCCCTGGGAGAACATGTGGTCTGGGAGTGTTTACGCTGGCACTCTTTCAAGCTGTCTCCCGCACAGCATGCTGGCGTCTGTCTCTCCTGGATGACAATGCTCAATCGTATTCTCACAAAGGAGGCATTGAGGTGACCACTACTATCAGGTTGATTTACTGCGTTGACTAACGGGAATGTAAATAAAACGCAAATTTGCAAAGATCCAAAAAATATTTTCTCAATGAACTCAAGTATGAGCAGGAAATAAAGTGATAGTATGGAGGAAAAGAAGAGTTATCACTCTCTGTTACTCATCATTTTCCTCTAACTTTCTTCTGTTTGTGGTCTGGTCAGATTCTCCAATGAAAAACAAGCTGGACTCAACAGATATTCAGACTTGAGGCATGCTTTTTCTCAGATTCCCAGCATACTTCACATTCTCTCCTGTGATTCTGTCTCTGGGTAAACATCTGCTAGCTGAAAAGCCCTGAAAGACACACTTTTTCTTCACACCAGGGGCAGCAAGGTTAATTTTGTTTATGTAGTGTGAAGAACTCACCGGTTGTTTTTAGTACCCATGATGAAATGCCAGCAGGAAAAGGTGACACACTGCATTACACCTCAGAGAGGGAACTTTATGAGCCTCTTCAGAACAGTTATAATACAGATTTATATCTTTTTTTCTGATTACAGCAAAATTAATGTATGATAATAGATGTGCTGATGGATGTACACAGTGAAGTTCTCATAGTATCGCACTGAATGTTATAGTATTTTTGTTGTGCCAGTAAAGCGACTCTGTGCAGTCACTGTAATGTTAGTATTCAGCTCCCCCTGCAGGCTTCATGGGTTCTGAAGCTAACCACCCATCTATTTATTTTTCCAAACATAGTTTTCACAAATTTTAAACTCTTTGTTAAAGCTTTAAACTACGAACAATTACATAACGCTTGATACATTAAAATGACTATTTTTAGTGTTCCTTGGTTTTAATTGAAGATGACCACATCTTTTTAAAATCTTTATCACTTTTTAAATAAATATTTTCCTTAAAGAGCCATTCTTGTTTTAACGGCTTATATTTAATGTCAGGGATTTTCTAAAATATTCAGATAATTAATCATACAGAAAATCAATAGTTTGTTTTCAAGCTTAAAGTGATAAATATTGATTCAATGAAGTGACACTTAATAGCATCCCATGATAAGTTAAAATGTGACTGTTTTTTTTCCATTAGTTATGGCAAAATTTAATAAGTGTAGTATTTATCTGAAAGGATCTGACTGATGTAGCTCTCTCTGTCCTTATGTCTACCAACCTTATCTCTGCGCATTTATAAGCAATACGCAATAAAATTACAGTTTGTGAGGAATAAGTCTTATTGGCGAATGGAAAGAGCACTGCTCCGATGTGTATGCTTGTCCAAATTTCACATCTTGCTCACATCAGTTTCATAACTTTTCACCTGTTTCCCATTTCTTCTTTTTACCACAAGAGGGCGCTAGTAAGCGGTGAATGCAAAGATTGGAGGTCCTTCGTAACTGGGTTTGCTAACGTTTAACCTCTTATAGAACTGCTTCTTTCCCTGCTTGCCAGTTCTAACAAGGTGTAAAGCAAAAGTGGGTGCAACTCCGAATATGTTTGGGAGGGCTGTGGCAAAGTCAGTGAATTAGGAACAAGGGAACACTATTTTAGTATATGCCAGTGGGGTCTCTATCAAGTCTCTATTATAAGAGGTGAATCAAATCTGTACTTCAAAAACTGATGTTTTATTGTTTTGACAACACGATTTAAGATTGAGAAATTTCAATCGCAGAAGTTAACTTTTAAAAGTAGAGAAAAAGTTAAAAACAAGTTCTTTTATGTTGAAAAACTTTGTGAGTAGCTCGCTCAGTTATTGTCATTCGCTATGATGGACTTTCATGACATTATAATAGCTCATTTTTATTCTAACTTTAAATAAACATGGTCACTATTCTGTTCAATGTTGAGCCAACATGGCTGATGCCGGGGCTCCAGTTGCAGGCAGCGCCGCCTCTCTCTCCCACCTCCACTGTTGATGAAAAAGCGCATGAAATAGGAGAAAAGGAGGTGTGTTGGAGCATGCGCATACCATTCTCGCCGCTTATCCCATTTTTGAAGAGTCGAGCTTACGTCACGGGCTCGTTCACAGTGCTTTGAGCTTCAGATTCACCATCCACTCATGCAACCACAAGCACAGAGAGGCATTGGCGCACCGAGGGACGGAATCACTCTCATTTTTTAATTTTTTATTTTCAGTTTTAGTACGGCAGAGGCTGGACGGGCTGGACCGGCTCCTGGCTGCACTGATTTCTGGACGTGTGGACGATTCTGGTGGCATGGTGTGGTGAACCAGCAAGGGACCCCAGCCTGCTCAGAGAGAGAGAGACAGAGAGACACAGAGGTTTTCCTGTGCATCATGCTTGAATGCTGATAATCAATTAGAAATATACATGACTGTGCCATTGCATTGCCTATAGCCTCACCGGGCTGTAGCAAGTGTCCTTTTATCATTCAAGCCCGTCTGAAGCGGTCACTGTGCAGGGCTGAGGGTGCAAGTAAACGGACAATCGCACCCGGACCATTGAAGGGGGTTCGGATGAGGTGGTTGATCGGGTTGTTAGGCTTTCGAAATCCAGCCAACTTTTGCTCTTTTCCTTTCTAACAGCAGTGCCATCGAGCATTGCTCAGGAGATGGCGATGAGGTTGTTCTACTTGGGATTTATACTCAGCTTGGAGATCACCTCTCCTAACGGTGCAACCGTAGGTAAGAAAGCCTGTTGTTTTATCTTGCATTGTGATACTTGAGAAGGCATGACCACTTTTCTCCCCAAAGCATCCGTGCACAGGCCTGTGTAAACCAGAGTTGGAGTCAATAACCGTATGTGCCACAACAGTGTCCTCAGACACAGTGATCGATAACTAGGAGAGCCCTTGATCAGAGAAAGTACCGCACAAATAACCACTGCACTCGGTCTTTCGGCGTTGAAAAAAAACGTGTCTGCGTTTTTAGCAGTGCTCCTGTCTGAGCAGACAAAAAAGGGGCCTGCCTTTAAGGATGGCAGACAGTGAGGTTATTCACTGCTGGAATATTCAGCAGGTAAAAAGGTAAAATCAACACTTGCATAAACGTCCAGTTCCTTTAAAACGACGTGATTTCAGACTGACTGTGTGAAAGATCTCCTTCCCATTCCCCCTCCTCATGTTTGTTCTGTGTAGGATACAGCTGATGGTTACCATTCAAAGCTGGCGTGTTAATTCCCTTCACATAAGCACGTTTCAGTTACACATCAAAACCTTTGAAGGCCATCGGACAGATCAGCTTTCGTGTTTGTTTTCAGTTAGGCTACTTGGCGCATAAGAAAACAACAGTGCCGTCTGCTCGTGGAGGTATCATCTCAATGGCGCGGCATGTCCCGACGTGCACCGACAGTAAAGCTGCCTGGGAATCACATTTTTATTAGTGACAGTCAGGTACTGTCTGTCTGATTGGGAGGATGAATCGTCGTGTAGCTAACCTGTTATGTCCCGTGAGCTCCTTAATGCTCCACAATCCCTGATGGTAATTATGAGACATTAAATGCACCATTGCTCTTGTGACAGTTCTTTGCAGACCTGTTGATCCTGCAGCTGGCTGTTTCTTTAAGAGGAACATAAAGGCACACACAATAACACATGGAGGCTATTTTGTTCCTTATGGGAAAATCTCTCTGGCTCTAACTCTCCAGACACATAACTCACATCACATTTTGAGAATATACACCGGCATATCAGCCTATTTATTGTCATATTGTGAGTTATTAGTTGTATTTTGTGGATTTGAAAAGTCAAACACTGGTAGCCATGCATATCCAATCACCCACACCCAACAGCTGTGTATATGAATAAATATGAGTAAGCTTAATCAGATCATCCATTTCTGCCTAAGTCAGTGTTTACTGTAATGCACAGAGAAAAAGTAGCACCTCAAAACTTTTTTTTCTAAGTCAGCAACTAAATCCTTACTGTCTCCACAGAAAATGGACTCTGTGATTAATGAGAAAGGAGATCTTATATAAGTTTCATTAGATTTTCTGATGGAGGCTGCTCAGTCATGGCTGAGGTTACAAGAGCAGGCAAGCTCCTCCCATCTCCTCCATCAGTATGTAACATCTGGACACAGGGAGACCATTAATCCAACTTAAATGTGACTGCGGGAGGGGGAGGGACCAGCTGAAGAGCTGGGAGTGAGGGCGGGTTGAGCGATAAAAACTCTGAGAATCAGTCTTGGACGTTCTCTGAAACTGACGTGTAGTTACATCACAAGGGAGACAGAGATGGTACCCATGTATGTGTGTTATGTCATCAGTAACAGTTGATGTATTGGACTCCTTTGAGAGCATTGTTGGTCTGAAAGGTTAGAGCCGGTCAAGTGAGTGGATATAAACTTTAAGGATAGCCACTTGGATTGGATTTGTCTGGATCACCACTGGGCCACAGCATGAATTCACAAATGGGAATGGATGAGAAAGGGAAATGTCAGGAGGCCAGAGTTGGCAGATAAATGTTGAACATACCCTTTATGTCCTGAACAAATCATACTGTATGGTTGGCTCTGTTGCTTGAAATACAAAGAGTATAGATGAATTGATGAGTCAGTTTGTTGTGTTTTGCAGATTTTTTGGCAACAAAATGGCATTTTGATGAAAGTTGACAAAAACCCTCAGACAGTAAAGCCTCTGATTTGTAAAGAGAAGTGATTTTTTTTGTTGGGTGTTAGCAGAATGAAAATTGTCAGAGCAGTTGTTTGAAAAGTAGTTCCCTTCTTTTGAGTCCAAAAGAATAAATCTGAATAAATCTGACAGTTAATTGAGTTTAAGAACAAAAGTGCACCCTATAGTGTCAGATTTTTTACATTAAAGCAAAATATGATTACTCAATGTATGTTAATTTTTAAGAAAATGGTTCTCATGTTCATTGTTTCTAGCTTTGGATAGCTTTGATTTGCAGCAAAATGTCCAAATGTTTGTAGTTATACCATCAACATGTCCGTGTTGGAAGAGTGCTTGACTTACATTCAGGTTTTCAGGACCCTTTACAGCTAAAAGAATCCTGTTGGAGAAAAGTATAAATGTGGGTCAGAGGCTAAAGAGGTTGAATTCCTGAAGAGCCTACACTGTGTTTGCCTGACCTTTTTAATGGGACCTGGCTTTACCTTTTCTTCAGAACTGTCACTGGAAACATCTGCTGAAAAAATTCAGCATCCCTCAAACAAATTCAACAGGTAATGGGACTCGTGTTGCTTTCTTCCAAGTAGAGCTCACTGGAGCATGCTTATTGTCGCTCTTAACACCTGAGGCAGTCTGTTTATGGACTCGTATGAGCTAACATACTAGTGAGCTGCCATTCAGAGTCGTCTCAGAGGAAAATTCAGAGTAAAAGAGGATGTATTTGGAGTGAAATGTTGCATGTAGATTGTTTGTCCACTCTGCATAAAATCTTTGGCTATGAGAGGACATTTAATTCAAAGCTTATATGCAGGTGTTTTGCATTTTGGTCCTGACCTAGTGAAGTATTTGTGAAATGATAATAGCAGAGTGTGGGCTGTTTGACTGTAGCTGCAGAAAGTCCCCCCACCCCACCCAGCCCTGTACTTCCTGCACTGCATTGCTATCATCTGTGACTAGAGGGTGAAACCAGATGAAAGTCTTCACTGTCGGTCCCCACATTTTGGAGGCGTGCTACTGCAGATAAAATGCTGTTTTTTGATAGTAGGGGCTGTACTGTAATTGGTATTTTCTGCCGGCTACACTACTGTTTACCCTCTTCAGCTGCTAAGACCTAAAATCGGAACAGTTCGCCCTCTTGAGAAAAATGTGGGGGTGCGTTGAAGCAGCTTGTTAGGATTTGTAGGTGTCAGTGTGATCAGACTTAGTGTGTTCATTTTAACGTCACTTATATCATGATGTCTTAGAAATAAATGTTGCATATTTAGAAAGGCACAGGATGCAGTAGACTTGTTTATCTCACACTTTGTATAGAGAGTGCACAGAGATACTTGAATGTAGCGGAGGCTTGCAACGTTTGCCTGACACCTGGTACAGCTGTGACTGTGAGAGTTAGGTCTCTTGTTTCACTTTGACATCATTAACAGCAGACGTCTCACCTGATGCCCTGAGCTGACCACACACACACATATACACACCCTGTCATTTTCTAGAGCCTTTCATTCACTGCTTTCTCACCCGCCTGTATCGTGTGTTGGCTTTGGTGGGTCACGCTCACCTTAGAAGCTGCCGATGTTGCTGGCTTTGCGCTTGACTGGAGAATCGATTTGATCGCAGGGACCCAGGGTTACTTTCACACCCAGTCAGAGGAGAGGATCAGATATATGGAGATAAGATTCCAATTTCATGGGCTGCTGCTAAGTGTCAAAGCTGTTTGCCTTCTTCAAAGTCACAGACATGGCTCTAAGTTCCTGGTTTATGGTTGTAAACAGAAAAATACATGTAGTCTGTTTGGTGGCAAAGATGTGGACATGATTATTGAACACAGAGAGAACTTTGAGGTTATGTGTTTTATCCCAGTTTGTATTGATATAATGTAAAATCATATTTTTGAATGATTTTGATACCCCTCAGATATTTTCTACCCAAGCACTGGAAATCTGACCTCATGACTAATCAGAGGAAGTAAAAGGCTTTTCTTTGGCAGAGATATACAACTGACGTCTACCTACGCGATGTACCTAATCTACCATATTTTTAAAATAGTTCAATGAACAACCTACACAAAGGTTACAAACAATATTTCAAATCCAACATCATATTGTACATCCCCTAAAAGCCTAACCCTTAAGCTCTTTTCAGAAAAAATTCTAAAAGCTTTTGAAAATTACTTGGCTGAACCGCACATGTGAACACAAACAGCTACATTTTTCAGTTTAGCTTCATCAGGAATAGTTCCAGCCCCCCCCTGCCAACCCCTGAGTTTAGTTCTGGGCTGATGTCTGTGTGAGCTCATGAGAGAAAGCAGCAAGAAATGTTCAAAAAAGAAGACGTTGAAGAGCAGGCAGGCAGAGTTATTGATGTTTTATCATGCCACTGGTGTTCTGACTTGATTGGCTGCTTGGTTGACAACTGCTACTGCAGTGCAAATCAGAAGTTATGTTTTCAGGTCATGAACAGGGACAAGTGTGCGGTAAGATAAGGCGAACATGCTTTGCTACTCTAATATGAAACTCTTCCTTGAGATTTACAAAATGTATCTCAGGATGGTAACATCTCTTATTCAATAACACAACGGTACAGAATCACTTTGTATCCAAGCACTGCTCTGCATTTCTGAATAACAGGAGCAGGTCTTGATGCTCGGTTACATAATCCTTCATTAAGATACCAGGACAAGCATCCCTTTAAAGACCAAAATCAAATAATACTGCCAACTGATAACAAGCACTTGAGGTTCTGGCTATACACCTGTGCAGATCAACTTAGTCGCACAACTGGATAGGAAACACTGTTGGTCATTCTGAACTCAGAAGACCATCAAATAGAAATGAAGATTTAAAGTATGGAAGTCAAGTTAAAGAATCAGTCTTTTAGTCTCAGATAAGGTTGTAAAAAAAAAACTACATGTTTGAGCACTGAAGTCAGGTAAATTCAGAAACAGGATTCCTGATATTTTCAGGAAGTTTTCCAGCATGTACAATATGTGGAAAAAAACTTTAAAATTAAAAGGACATTCGTAATCAATAGCACAATTCAATGTTCTGCAGGTTGTCACCACACACATCTTATGCTCATTTATTTTTGTAGAGAACATCTGAACATTTCCCTTGAAATGTGATAAATGTCATGAAGATACTCTCTTTTTTTTTATAATTTTAGATGATCACTTATGGTTGTGAGTAAAGGTGGTCAATTACTGTAAGGAAGTATCTCATGAAACCCTTTCACATTCATGTGCTTGTTTTTCCAATGAGCAGTGTCACTAGAAACATTTGCGTGGGACTGCAGAAAAACCTTATGAACACTAGTTTCATTTTCAGGACCGAACTCCTTCAAGCTTTTTACCGAGCTGTAAAAAAAGAACCCACATCCCTTCAGTTCAGAAACTGTTATTGCTGCTGCTGTTTTCAGCCTCTCAGTTTGTATTTCCTTGTTCCTTGCGTGTTATCTCCTCCAAACTCTGAGGCGTGTATCCATGAACCAGTTGGATGTACACTGTGGTTTCAACAATGCTATCAAGATTGAAGGGTGTGTATGGTGTCTGACTTAAGCTGCACCCGCCAAGATCCACAGCTTTTATTTTCCTAGTTACAATATTTATTTTCCAGTAACAATATCCCAGTGCTTTTTTCTCCATTTTTGACAATCACACTTTGTGCTCATCAACAAGGCCAGGATTACTCATGCTGGCGTTACTGGTTCTGTTTCAGCCTGGGAAGGTTACGTGAGCAGTTATACAAAGCTGAGATCATTTTATGTATCATATTGTCCAGTGAGCAGAAATGTCATCCATAAAGGTATTCAGTGGAAGACTGTTCATGAGTCATTCCCAGAAATGATTGAGCCAAGAACATCTTCCTCCTTCCTCTTTTGGAGTAAAAGAATAACCGTAGAGATCTAGTTGCATTTTAATTACAGAAACATCTAAATTATATCCTTATGGCATACTGTAATCACACAAAGGCAAAAAAGATTGAGTTTATGTGATCCGATGTTCATGTTGTTACTCCCATATATTTTTGTAACTGCTGAATCTCATCACAGAGCTCTGTTATGCAGAGAAACTACAGAGTAAGCATAGACGCGCTCTGAGGGAGGCATAATGAGCTTATTTACATTCATCTTCATGTCCATCAATCACACTCACTCATTGTATGGCCTTTTACTGCATTGCCTTTTGCTGCTCTGGCCTGTGACGTCCTGCCGAGCCTCATCAGGTTACCTCTGAGGTCAAAGCTGCTCCCTTTTGTTGTGCAGTGACACAAAAACTAGGCTTTAAGGCACAGGAGTAGGTTCCATCTCAAACCTAGCTCTCTGCTGTTTATGCATGTTCAGCCTCTTTGAAAAAAAAATGGCTACTTTGGATTAAAACTTGAATAGCCCATGGACATTGTGCGCTCACTGGGAGCTGGTTTAAGTGCTCCAGTGCTTGGCTGTGGTTTGGCTTGATACAAAGCTAAGTGGTTGTTTCCACTGGATGGTTGGGCACTGCACAGAGTGGCCATTGAAGTAGCTGATTCAATAGCTCCAGCATTGGCCAAGGAAGGAGCCTTTAGCACACTTGTTTTGCACTCTACATACCAAAATATTCTGTATTTTACAGCATAAAGTTTCAGAAGTTGAGTTAAAATATTCCATTTTCCATTTGAATAATTAATAAAGCACAAAACTGGAATACCAAATACCTTTCGCTCATGTTCACTGCTCCATGTTTGCTTTCGGTTCCAACTTCTAACTTTATTTCACCCCTTTTAAATCACTTAAAACTTGACCTCAAGGGTCTAAGTACAAATGTGCAGTGTTTTTGTACTTCACTGAAAACCTGAGTTCCCAATGGAGCATCAGGTAAGGTGTAGGTGACGAGTAAACAGTTTTGGTTTTATTGCTACTTTTTGTGAGCTATAGCACCCAGTAAAACAGTCAAGACCAAGAGTATTTATTAATTTGTTTATTCATTCAGTCATTTATTTGAGTAAATTCACATTTCATCGGTGCTTCTATCTTTGAACTACAGTAAATTAGGGGTGGGAATCACCAGTGGCCCCGCGATACGATATTATCACGATACTTGGGTCATTGCGATTTTTAACACTTCGCAATACAGCGATTGTGATTTTTACAATCTTTTCAACTGTTTAGCTAACTTAGCATTTGTCTTTCCTTTATGTTTGTCTTATTTATGCTGTATTTTATTTTCATGTAGCACATCTTGCAAACCTTTTATACATTTGTTGCACTAACTTTCTCTATAATGTCAACGCTGCCAACCTCACTGGACAACCAGCTGATGTTATTTTTCCATTATCATAGATTTGACTTGATGTTAACAATTCATTTGAAAAGTCAATGAGACGATATGATATATCAGCAGGCAAAATATTGTGATACTATGCTGTATCGATTTTTTCTCCCACCGCTACAGTAAATAGAGTTAATGCTCTACAGCCTTGCCTGTAAGTATTCTTTGAAGAGTTTGGTCTGTTGGTTGGTTCAACAAAAGCACATCAGTTTGTTATGTGGACAAAGCTCTTGAATATGTATTCAGTTTGCATGCAGATGATGTCAAAGTCATTGTGGTTTAAATAATTTGTACCACACAAAGACCAACATGCAACAAGTCCATCTTACTCAAACCGAAGAGTAGAACTGTTGGCGGTCCATAAATCAAACTGCTTTAACATCTCTACCATATTGAGGCAAAGCGATACACATGAAATCAATTATAAGGTGCTGGAATGTGCTGCACGGATCTGGAGTTGATTTGTAGAGCACGGATGGCCAAATGCAGAGCGACCGATCAGGGGTGTGTGTGTGCGGGGTGGTCAGATTTGTGTCCCAGCTGGTGATGGTGTCTGGAGGCCTCCATCACTTGGCTGCTGAATTGGTGTCACAACAGTATTTACTCATCATCCCATTTGTTTCATCCCACAGTGTTTCTCTCAGCTGTTCGCTGAAGTTTTTGTGTTACTTCTAAACAAGAGACACCGTAGATTAACTCTTTCAAATGAACAGACAGCCTGAAAGGATTTGTTTCTTTCAGTGAAGCCCTCAGGAGGGTGTTTCTATGTTCCTCTATACTCTAGCTCTGTGTGCATTTACGCATTGCTCACTCGCTTGTGTTTGATGCTTTTTGCCATGCAAAGGGCTTAGAGGCATTTCAGTATGTGCTGTTTGGACAGGGCAGAGCTCCACTAGCCCTGCATTAGGAAATACAGTGTGTGCACTATACAGCTGGCTGTATGCTCAAAATGAAACCGAGTCAGCTGATGTGAACTCTGGAGTTTATATACGACAAAGAAACTTTGTGATTCATAAGGTGTCATGCCAGTTTAGCTTCTCTTTGACTATAGGAACTTTTAGTATCTCCTCAAATACACTTGTATAAAAATATGAATTCAAATACAGCAATTAAAAGTCTATTCTTGGTCTTAGTTTTCTGAAAGTCACTCATTGTAGATTATAGTTTCAGAAAATAACTGTGAACTCTAAATGTTTCTTTATTCATTAAATACCGTCACCAGTAGAGTAATGGTCTGCTATTTCTAATCTTAAACCCCAATAACTGAGTGTCCTTGAATGTCCCCTTCTTCAAGAGAGTGGAAACTGAAATAAGATGTTTAGTTGAGTGTAAATAATTGGATGTTAAGTTGAGTAGAAACACTTATCCCACATCTAACAGAGAAATTTGCCGAGCGCTTTCACGGCATGATGGCTTTCATGTTTTTTTGGACTTAAAGTTGCGAATTCATTTGTTGTTTTTGTGTTGTCATGCTCCATTAAAGATGCATTGTAATATAGTATAGTGTTACTGCATTAGAGTGACAGGTACAGCTGTTTTAAAGTGCATGTTACACATCGTGTTATTTCTCTGCAGAGAACAGAAGCCGTTTTGTTAAAAAGCTCTAAAGCTGCCATCATTGATTAATTTCAATTCAAGACTCTTTGTGGATCCCAAATAAGGCGTATAAAGTGCATCTTCCAATTTTAATCTCAATTAGATGCATTTTTGCTCGAGTAGACACCGATAGGCTGGTTGTTTTTCTCAGGTTATCTCATTACGAAGACAGCGGAAACATGATCAGGTTTTACTCTCTGAGATTGTGTGTTCCTTATGTGAAATTACTGCTGTTTTGTGGGTGGAAGAATTAAATTTTGTCGGATTTCCTACCATTTAGTCACAGTAGTCTGATCAAGTTGCTTTCAGTTGTGGCAGGAAGTGCTTTGGTTGGAACGGCATTATCAGGAGGAGACTCTGTTGGAGGCAAACACGGCGGGCTTACAGAGTTTCCTGTAAATGAAGGATGTATCTTGAGTTAGTGGGATTGGTGTTTGCTGTTGGGCCGATCCCAGGAGACTAAATAAAAGCCTTCTTTATTGCTTTTTGTAGGTAAAGTGCTCTCAAATGATTCAACTTCTTAGCCTGATTTGGACCCTCCAAAATTGCTTGCATTTTGGCAGCAACTCATGGGGGAAAAAGGCGACCTTGCAAGCTGAATTCACAATTCACGTCTCTGTTTGAGATATTTCAGTGGGCTTTGAAAGAGGTCTGCTATGAGGAGGAAGGCTGCCAGTCTTCTCCCCCTGGCCCCGTCTCTAACCCCTCCTCTGCCGCAACCTCCAATTAGGCTCTGAGGTTCTCCCCTCTGTGGTCATCTCATGCTGGTGTGTAAAGCCATGATAAAATTAGAACCCACAATGTTTTATTTCCAGTTTTTATGCCCACTCATAGGAAACAACTGGCTCAGCCCGGCTGCTTCACACAGCCACCAGCAGGATGGAGGGAATGCCTTTACATAGCAGTCTGTATGAGGTTTCTATGCATTTCAGATCACGGCTGTATGCGGGAAGGAAGGGAGTAGGGAAGGGGGGGTTTGTTTGGTTGTTGGTTGTTAAAGCAGATCAAATGGCATCATAGACGCACAGGCGAATCCAATGTGTTTACAACCACAGTAGATGTATGAGGACATTGGTGAGCTGAAAGAGGCAAAACTCACCAGTTGGCCTCAGGCCACGTCTAGCCTCTCCCTCTTTTTTCTCCACAGAGGGGCTGGGTGTGTGCAAGCTGTTTAAGCTGATTCATGCCCTGGACTCTATATTTTCCTTTACAGCTGTCCTATTTTACTTTCATCTTGAATTTTACATCCTGACACATCTTATGACATTTAATTTGGGCTGTATCCTGGCATTTCCTAAATATAATCCTCTTGCATCACTTGAATTATTTTTTGTAAGCCTCGACTCTGCCATTGTGTGAGGAGAACGAGGCGAGCGCTCTGCATTTTAAAATCCTGCGCTCTCGCTTTCCCTTAATCTCCTCGGATATCAAGGTGTCGTTCACATAAGGAAAGCTGATCCCAGCATCCCTTTTAGCCTCTAATTGTATTTACGAAAACATGACACTGAGAAGTCTTAGTGTTTGACTTACACTTCACTGTCACATGGGAAAAAGAACCAGGGTCTGAACCTTTTTAGTTTGACTGTCAAATAGTACGTGACTGCAATGATTCACCAGCCTCATGCTCTCTTGTGATTTCAGTCACATCCAGGCCCCCTTTGCAGTGCTCCCCCACCCCACCCCAAACACCTTCTTGCCTGCCAAGTACGTAGGGAGGCAAGTCATCCAGGGCGAGAGAGGGCTCAGTCCCTGCGGAGAATTACAATGAGACCTTTGCTGCTGTCCTTCCTAGACAGTGCACAGCATTACAGTGACAACAAACTCCTGCCTGAAATGGCCTTTGTGGTCCGTCTGTATGTGTGTGTGTATGTATGTGTGTGTGTATGTGTGTGTGTGTGACAATTTTGAATACTGGCATACAGCAAGGAATGGCTTTTTTTTTCTATAGAGGTACAGATTTCACTGTAGAATTTCAGCATGCTCCATTTATGTTTTGTATTGAATTATATTCAGCTGAAAATATACTCCTTTCTTTATTACTCCTGCTTAGGGCTGGGCGATATGGTCGCAAATCAATATCACGATATATTGAGCAGTTCAACTTGATAACGATAAACGGACAATAACTATTCCACAAGCTGCTCACCCCCTCCCACATTAACTTTGTCTAATTCAGCCGCCACTCCAACCGCTATAACTTTTGAACCGTCCTCCATCTCCTCACCGGCCCTACCTCTTTTTTTACAGACTAAATGGGGTGGAGTCACGTCTCTGACGTAGGACAGCATCTTAAAGGGACATGAGACCATAGCCTACCTACACACATCCAAAACTAACTTTTATTTATTTATTGTTTTGACACCAAATATACTGACATTGGCAAAATGACATAGGTTATTGTTGTATATTTTCGGGTTATCGCCCAGCCCTACTCCTGCTTTTTCAAATTTTTACACCACATTTAAAGAATAATCTACCTGAATTAGAAATAAAAAAGCCATGTAGTGGTGTGCTGAAAATGTTGGTCACATTTTTCAGCTATAGGTCTCACACTTTTTGTTTAGACCCAAACAGGTGAATCCATTCATGGCTCTGTTAAAATTTAACACAAAAAAATTGATCTGTTAAAAATTGATGCCTCCTCCTCAGATTCAAAAATGGATGTGTATGTTCTGTGTAGTCCTGGTCCTTGAGGATGTATTTAAAGTAAGAGACTCATCCAGTGCTGGTAGACAGATGTAACACGAGGCAGGTAGCAGTGTTTCCTGAGTTTAAACACGCCGGCAGTGTCGCTCGGCTGTTGTGCTGTGAGCGTTGCTGTGCTGCTGCTAGCCTGTGGTCCACCTCAACAATCCTTGCTGACTTGCTGCCCAGAACTACCACGCTTTGCAGCTTCCCATGGGTCAGACTGTGATTGAATGCCCAGTTATGTCTGCGCTGTGACACATGAAAGAGCCACTGTGGTCAAAGTTGAAAAACACCTTCAGAGTAATAAAAAAAAAAAGCGGAAAGAAATAAGATGTCCATAAGAAGAGGGGAAACAACAAACAAACCCAGTTCTAAAAGGCCCCACTGTTGGTTGTACACTTGTACAGGAGTGTTTTTTTTTCTGAATCGAGTTTGCCTGTGGGTCTGTTGATACAAATACAGCATTGTAAACTCAGGTTGACCCTTGGATGTTACTTTGCCCTGCTGGATTCAGATTTTTTCTGCATGAAACTTCTTTATTTTTTAAAAAACAACAAATGTTTGGCAATAGGGAGAGTTATTATTCACTGTAAAAGAGCAATATGACAACAGTATGGGTGCTTTTGAAACAGACACACAAATACTGATGCTTCTGTTTGCCCTGAAGAGGACAAGGTTGATTATTTGTACATCCTTTTTTTACTGCTTGAAAATGCTGCCACAGGCTAGGTGTCAGATGTTTTTTTAATATTTAATCATCGAACATTCAGGCTCAGGATTTCCTGTTAAAAAACAGCAAGATAAGATTTTTTAATCTAAGGAGTCCACTCTAACTGTGCAGGATAAGATCATAGAAGAGGTGAGAGGTACAGCTTTGTCCAGAGAACTTTAAAAAGTCATTTTCTGTCCTGTTGGTATTCGTTTGCATGCATTATTTTTCATGTGAGATACTCCTAATGTAGCTCGATAAAAACATTTTCAGCCCTTGTAACGTCTGTCTTTATTTTTTCAGCTCCCAAAACGGATGTCCAGCCCAAGACCTGCAGCTCTAAGCAGTTTGTATGTAAGGACCAGGTGACCTGCATCTCTAAAGGCTGGCGCTGCGACGGGGAGAAGGACTGTCCAGATGGCTCAGACGAATCGCCAGATATCTGTGAGTACAGCTACATGAAAGATGCTACTAAACTCAGCAGGCTTGTGTCCTCAGCTGCCGTTCCCTTTCCAAGCTGTTGGTAAAGAGCATTGAGGATTATTTCTGCTTTACTCAGCATTTTTTTCCTGGAGCGAATTTTTACATCATCCTTTTTTCACACCAAGTATATGTTTGCAACTTCTGTCATCGCTTTGTTATCGCTGCTGCACTTGGCGTTGTAAGACATTATATTTACTACTACCTCTAAATGCCTTTGAAGAGACAATGGCACCATGTTCAGACAGTTTAATGTAGGCCTGAATAAGAGGGTAGGTAAATGCCCTCTCCAGGAAGGACACAGACTCAGTGTGAGCGCTCTGGCTGCTCTCCTGACTTTTAGCTCTAATTATGTGTCCGTGTTTAGTCTGAATGTTCGAGGATGTGTCTGCTCTTGTCTGGACACTTGAGGGTTCAGTCCCTTGGAGTCTAGTCCAAGCCTCTCACATCTGTCGGCCTCTCCATCCCGCCATAAACTCTCTCTGGTTACAGCCTCCCCTCTGTTTATATGCAGGAGCTAATGGTGATTTTACTGTCTGTGTGTACCACACCTTCCATCTGTCATGCCACAAGCATTTTCACAATAGTCTGGGACAGGCAGAGACAAGCAGTTGACACCCAGCATAAAGGGACTTGTTATTGTAGATGAAAACACAGTATTAACACATAGGATTAACGGTTGAAGATGTGTGAGAAAGCTGAGGGTGAAGGATGGTATCACTATGCTAGTCATAGGCATACAACACTGAAACCTTAAGTGTCGGTATGACAAACATAAAGTCCCCCTCCCACATCAAACCTTTTCTGAATTTACCTTTAGATTTTAAGCGCACAGTTTACATGAAGCTAAATCTCTTAAGATGAACTACTTTAAAGGGATATTCCGGCTTAAATTTAAGTTACAGTCAAACACATTGTAACACCGAGTTAGACACCCCCTCGAGATGAATTTTACTGACTGTTTGCTTCTCTAGTTATACCAACTTTAGTAACGACCGCATGATAGACAGCAATACACAGCAGTCTATATCTTCACACACAAACCTCGACCAAAACGCCACTCTATAGCCACAAATAATGCTCAGAACAGCACCTAACTTCATCAACAGTACATATAGGGTCCCAGCCATAGTACTAGCCACCAAACATCTTTTTAGCTTTGCCTAATTTCTTAAACAAACAGACCAAACACAACTCACCCACTCTCCTCCAGCAGCCTCTTGTTTTGGGGTAGCCCTGACAAGTCGATCACAGAGTGCAGCGGAGTTTCGCAGCTCATTCATGAGTGTTACGTTGTGAAATGCAATCAGACTGAGATGCCAAGGCAGAAAAACTACCGTGTCTGCAGTGCAATATGATTATGATGATTATTGTTACTTCAAGGAATTGATCTGCTGCACTCTGATCGCCTCGTCAGGGCTCCCTCCACCAACAAGCGGTTGCTGGAAGAGAGTGGGTAAGTTGTGTTTAGTCTCTTTGCTGAAGTAATTAGGCAAAGCTAAAAAGATGTTTGATGGCTAGTGATACTGGGACCCTATATGTACTGTTGATGAAGTTAGGTGCTGTTCTGAGCATTATTTGTGGCTATAGAGTGGCTTTTTGGTTGAGGTTTGCATGTGGAGCCATAGACCGCTGTGTATTGCCATTGTGTGGTCATAACTTAAGTTGGTATAACTAGAGAAGCAAGCAGTTGGCAACATTCATCTCTTGAGGGGCTGTCTAACTCAGTGTTACAGTGTGTTTGACCATAACTGAAATTTACAGGGGAATATCCTTTTAAGTGCACAGTATACGTGTAGCTGAATCTCTTTAGATGAACGACTTGGAGTTTTGTAAACACCAGAAATCACCACAAGTGAGCAACTTCATTCAGATTCGACCAACACATTTCACTCAAGCAAAGTTGCAGCTGTCTAAATTCTGCCCTTTTCACTAAGCAGTGGAACAGAGAGAATTTTCCACAGCTCTTATGTAATTTGGTGGCAGAGACAATAGCATGATTCACCTTCAGCATGGAGAGATGGAGAGTGGTGTTTTACGAGAACATCAAGATATGTTCTGCTCAATTACTTGCTTCCCATGGGCTCTAATCTTCCTGTCACTTCACCTTTAGTTCAAGCACTTCTCTGTTTATGTGATTTTCTGAGGCAGACTTTATAAATATCTGTTACTGCAATTAATGCACTTTTCCTCAGTGTGTTTGCTGTCTAACAAGCACAGTTAAAGGCAAGGCGCCTTTTTAAATATCAGAGTGAAAGGCAGGCAGACTTTGATTTTATCCACAGACTTTTGGTTGATCCATCGTTTTTTATGTGAGTGCCGTTTGGAATGGAGGACTGCAGATAAAGCGGCAGAGTACGTGGACCTGAGCCAGCAGGGATGGAGACAGGAGAGTCTGGAGGAGTATGACTCTGAAGGTTATTTAAAATCCTGCTCTGACTCAGAGGAATGCAAAAGTCGTTTTCTCTTTATCCTGGCTTTTCCATTCATGGGGTGAAACAGTTTGCAGGTCCTCCGCGTGGTTTCTCTCATACTTGAGGGAGGCAACTTGACCTGCTTGCTATAAACAAAGCTGCTCTCATCAGAGCTCTTATAGATGTGGTAGGTGTAAAGGCAGGCTTTACATTGATTTATTTTAGTTGGTGTTTAAGTTGTTTTTTCATTTTGAAAGCAGAAGGTGTCATCTGTTCCTCCACTTCTCTCTTTTATTAAAGCAGTAAAGTTGACAAAAAGCAGTCTCACTTTGTCCTTCAAATCTGGTTTATGGAAGTCAAAGACAGATGAAATTTCCCTGCTCAGAGGTTTTTTGTTCCAACATGCATCCTGACCACAGTACAGTTGTGAGTGTAAATGTTGATGGGAATTCGAGTGGCGCATGCTGCTATAATTACGACATTATCTCCAGTTGAAGTTAATTACTAACTACAGGCTTGGTTTAGACAGACTACACGGGGAGATTTCACAAGAAAAAGAAAAAAAAAATAGTTTCTTCCTCTTTCTAACTATTACTCTTCCTCTCTTCCTCCTGTGGTGGCTTGACTACACCTTGGTTTTGTTGTGGGGTCACCCAACAGTCCTGACATTGTGTAAATCGGGGACTGTGACCGTGAAGACAGTAGAGCTCAGTTTCTTGGATAAATTTGTGTATCATTTTGGAGGACACTTGTGAAAAGTGAAAACAAAAATCCCCCCTCTGTTCTCCTGCTCATCCTGTGGCTGGAGTGATGAAATTATAAAAACCCACAATGACTGCAGCCAATTGACTTAAGCATTACCTTGGTTTCAGGTAAATGCCACCTGTTTTGTTTACGATGATCATGAATTCACTTGCTGTGGTGCTGGTGGTTGGTGTTGTAAATGCGTGCTTGTGTCTGATGTGGATCTTTGATCTGCGCACCTCTGGTGTTCACACTGAAGAAAGTGTGCTCCTGAGAGTCTCCTTCACCGTCTATACCTCTAATTGCCTGTCATTTCCAAACCATTCATCTGGGCTATAATTATGCTGTGCTAAAGACAGACAGTAGCGGGATTTTAAAGCTGCATCATCAGGTACTGACACGCTGAGGTTGTGGAGGAAGTTGATGCTAGCAGTCAACGGTGCGTTTTAGCATAGAGAGCATGGGGGCTTTTTATTAAAGAAAGGAATGGGGGCAGTGGATGTATGGATCCAGGGTTTTTTCACATTGTTCTGCATGACTCGCCGTCATAAACGGATAATTTTGGGTCTGGGCAGGTTGCCAGCTGTAGGGCCTTCATAGCCCCAGACCCCCGGTGTGTTCCTCCCTCTTATAGCCCTTAGTGCACTCTCAGATAGCAATCAGCAGACTGCCTGCACAGGCCGGCCCCACAGGTGTGACCCTGTCATCCTCTCTTAGGGACTGAACTGACACCCGCTTCTCTACAAGGCCTCGGTTAGTTTCAGACAAACTCACTCAGATTCAATCACTTACAGGCTGAAGGCTCAGGAAGTGGTTGACACATACCCTCAGGGCAGAAGTTTATGTCACACTGGTGGACTGCTGCTGCAGCTGCTAATCCGTTTACTATTATGGGAAGATGTCTTAACTGTTTCCACTTTTGCAAAGAAAATATGATGATGAAGAGGGTGTTCAGGTTGTTTATGATATGGGTGGGAAAAAAAATCGATACAGCATAGTATTGCGATATTTTGTCTGGTGCTATATCGTATCGTCTCATTGACCAAATATCGACTTTTTCAAATTAATTCTTAATATAATTTAAGGTCAAATCTATAATAATGGAAAAATAAAATCAACAGTTTGTCCAGTGAGGTTGGCAGAGCTGACATCATAGAGTAGGAGAAAGTTAGTACAACAAATATATATGTATATATGTAATGTTTGCAAGATGTGCTATATGGAAATAAAATACTGTTTTAACAAGACAAACATAAAGGAAAGACAAATGCTAAATTAGCTTAACAGCTAAAAAAAATTGTTGGGATCGCAATGTATTGTATCGTTATAATCACTGTGTTGCAAAATGTTAAAAATTGCAATAATATCGTATCGTGGCCCAAGTATGGTGATAATAACGTACCATGGGGCCACAGGTGATTCCCACCCCTAGTTTATAATCATAATGCATGAGTTTCCACAAGCAAGATCATAGGACTGACCAGGTAAGAGTAAGAGAAGTGTAAAAGCTTATTTGTTGTGTTTTTTTATGTGTGTATATGTACTGTTATAAGATTGTACACACTGTCCATATTCAAGTAGTTGCCTTAAAATAAAAAGTCAATCCATATTTGGTTATTTGGATAAACTCAAGTAAATCCATTGCACCCATTCTGTCTCTGCTCCCCAGAGTTTCTGCTGTTCTGCATGAGCGTCACATATTGAGATTTTAAAATGAGCTTCTCTGCAGCTCTTTATTTCTCAGCTCAGTTTTGGAAGGACTGGGAGAGTTTTAATGAGGTCATGACCATTTTTAACAACAACTCAAAAGTTTTAGAGTTGGTTCTGGCTGCAGTTTTCTCGTTAAATATTCTGCCTCCGAGTTTATTATTATTTTCATCCTGGCGTGGTAGAATTTGGGTTATTATTAGGCATGTAATTCACGATTTAAACAAACATAACATTAATTCTCTAACTGCCCTGGTGACAGTGCATTTTATATCGCAGATGTTGACATTAAAAGTGCTGCGTCACGGCTTTCATTCATTTCACAGCTCCGTTGGAACAGTTGCGCACAAATACACTGGCTCTCATTCTGGCCTCATCCAAAATCTGTATGCAATTATGATTCTTGCGTGAACCTCATTCATTGTGGTCAAGCCAAAGCGAATGGGAACAGATGTCTGAATAAGCTCAAGCATGTAAGCACTTTCTCCATCATGAGGAGTACTTGCCATGAAGGAATCCCTTTCATCATCATATTAAAAAAAAAACTTGTGCAACAATTGTCTGGACCTAATTCTCTGTAAGACTTTCTAGCCCCTGATTTAGCATGAACATGAGGAGGAATTCCAAGCAGGGGGTGAAATCTCATCTCAATCATGCAAATACTCAGCCTGTCTTTTTCTCATGGACCGCTATCCACTTTTGTTCAGGAGGAGCTGATAATTCAAAGTAGTTAACACTTGCAAATGAAAGGCCACTCCCCACAATGGTCTTCAATCTGTCATTATAACTGTCTCCACGGGCTAGGTGGAGGATTACCCAGTAAGATGTAGCTGCTTGTTAAATTGATGCTGTAAAGTAATTTTGAGGACATGTCCTGTGGAATGCAGTTTCATCATGAACTGAGAATGCTTTGACCGAGGGGTCCAAAGTATTTAGTGTAAACATGGACCCCTAAACTCCTTTTTAGCATCCAGTACACATAGGCTTTCCAGAGTAGTGATGGGAATTATGGCTCTTTTTAGTGAGCTAGATCATTTGGCTCAGCTCACCAAACGGCTCTTTATTTTACCTAATTCAGCCAAATTTAGTCTTGTTTGGCTTATGATTTGTATGTATGTGCACACATACCTCTTAAATAATTCTATACATCCTTTGTACTCAAGTATTCACAAGTAAGAATGACATTTTCTAATATCAGTAAATGGCTCTAGTTGTTTTCATTGCATTTACAGACCCTTGTAACTCTGTTAAACAACCCAATCAATGTGCTGACTTGCTTGTAGAACCACTCTGCTACACAAAGCAGACAGTTTTTTTTCTATGGTCGGGGGAATAAGAGAGAAAAAAATAAAAATAAAATGTCTCACAAACGGGAGCGGGCTCTCATCGTTCACGTTAAAGAGCCGGCTCTTTGAACCGGTTCGTCCACGACAAACACATCACTACTCCAGAGGACCAGTTTGAGCCGACCCTCTCTGAACTTCTTCAAAAAGTTTGCCCAAGTTGTGTTGACTCTGCTCAATTAACAACCATGCCATGCCCCTTGGCCCACACACAGGCTGGCCCATGTCAGTGGGTGCTGTGGCCTGGGGCCCAGCTAGTGGGGAGGTCAGATGGGGAGATTGAGTTATCATCTCCTTTCAGCTGCTTCAGGCCATGGTGGGCCACACAACAAGGTTATCTGTCCATCTCTTGCCCTCGTCTCCCCTCTGGATGCTCGCCAGCCTAGTTCTTTGTCCAACCCATCTGACTGTCATGTCCCAGCAGCCTCTCCAAGACAACCAGGACGAGCTGACCTCTGAGTTCGTGGGGTATAGGGAGGAGGCATGCAGTGATGTGAAGAAGACATGATCTCGCAGAAATGGCCTTTGTGTAGGAGAATTGAGCAGATTAGCATTAGCGCTGAGGAGGGAAATGGAATTGGCTTTGTTAAGCCATCATCTGTTTTCTACAGAAGCAGCCTTTTACAGTAAAGATGGAGGGGGTCCCTTCATAGCCTGTAATCAGTGTTTGCTGTACTCACAGGGGGCACCATTAAGGGGGGTATATGTGGGGGTGGGAAGGAGGGTGCTGTAGTGGCTATGGTTGACACACTGCTTCCACAGAGGAAGGAGCAAAGCCCTGTAAATCCCTCTGGTCTGTGGCCCTGAGCCCTCCTCAGCCTCACCGGCCTATCAACAGACAGACAACACAGGGCTTTCTCACGCCACACAGGCACCACTTCGCTTTCTCTGCTGTCTCCTCCACGCCCTGTCTCCTCTCCCTCTTCATCTCGTTCCTCCGCTCCTCTGCCTTCCTCTCTATCTGTCGAAGCATGCTGACAAGCTCGACTCATGTCAGCTCTGTTCCCTCTTCCTCATATCTCCTCTTCAGTCTTTCCTCTCGAGTAATTGCCTCACAGTTGTCCTGCCCGGTTGCAGATGGTAACTCAGTTTGCTTCTACTATCCATCTCTTTCTATGTGACTTTGGGGAAGTGTTCTGCCATGCATTTCATAGATTGACAGTTTGATTGTATTTGAAGTCGTGTACCACACTGTATCCCTCTGAGGCAACAAGTTTACCAGAATTAAACGTTTGAGCAAACATGCACACAGACGACTCAATCTTTATAGAATACATGCCCAGACTCCTTTTCTTTTTTTCTAACTTAGATGCTGTGGGTCCGAAATGTTCCAGTTAAAAAATTTTTGAAAATACTGATGCAGATGGATTTACTCTGACTTTATGTTTTACCTCTTCTCACAGGAATGGCCTTGACAGCCAAATGTGTGCATCTTGATAACACATGTCGTGGTTTAAGTGTATCAGCCAGGTTTCCCAAGCCAGCATTTTCAACAATGCTGCACAAATGCGTACTGTCTTCCTTGCTATAATAAGTTTAGAATATTTCTGGTATAATATATAAACTTTTTAAAGGATTTTTGAAAGTGCAACTATTTATAGAGGTTTTAGAGTCTCTTTTAGAGTACTTTCACTCAGGGTTCCTACGCAAGTATGGAAATAAATTTGATCAATTTCCAGGTCTTAGAAAGTATGGAAAATGAGGAATAAAGTATGGAAAAATATTCATGTTTCCAGACTATTACCACAGTTCTAAAATACTGTTGTCTAAAATAGAAAAGTAGGTATTTCCAAAAATAATTCTAAAAAGTAGGGTATGGAGAAGTATGGAAATTCCAAATCGCTGTATGATTAAGTTGACACAGTTGTAAAATTTTTTGTTTTCTCAGTACTGTCAAGCTATTTCTTTTCATGTTTATACTCAATCATGTGGGAAAAAATCTAGCATATCAGGCTCGCTTCCAGTGAGAGCACTATGTGCTACGCTGTTAGCCCTGTGTGCTGCGACTGCCTCCGTTGAGTTTGGCATGACCATGTGCTTGTTGTGCATGCTGCTGTAAAGTGTGATTCCAGAGTAGGGAGAGTCAGTCAGTCAGTGGGCAGGCCTGCCTGTCACCCTGCACAACATATTTATTTGAGCTGACAGCAGACTTTATGGGAGTCAGTCAGGGGCTGCCATGGAGCCCAAAGAACAGGAAGAAAAGCAGGCTTTATTCTCCGGACAAAGGATCGACAGGGGGTCCAAATTTAAGGTCATTGCATAACTACAGGAACTGAGGCTTGGGGGATGGTTGGGTATGGAGGCGGAGGTGTTGGAGGGAGGCACACATTGTAAGGGACCATCTTTCACATTGCAACTTTGATGCCTTATGTGGATCAGAGAAAACTAGAAACCTGAAGTGAGATGCTTTTTATTTGGGATAATAATATGTGAGGGTGACTCAAGACATGATGCATTTCCTTGGTCTGCACTGTGCTCTCTGGGGAAATGTGTAGTATTGTCTTTGCTCAAAGTCATATTTCATTTCAAAGTCTGCACAAGGAGCTCGAGTTTCAGTGAAGCTTTAAAACGTTGTTGAATCCCAGCACTTCTTTCTTTCGTATGACATTTGTTTAACGGACAGAGAGACAGATTTAAACAATTGAAATCCCTGAGGACACAGCGAGGATATGCTATCATCACTGTTAACCGAACACACAATTTAGCGCCATGATGTAATTATCCTCATTGTGCCCTCTAATAGGTGTGATGGATGTGACTTCTACTCCTTTGTCTCTTCTTCATTGTACTGCCAAGTGTCTTCGAACATTGTTCTCACTTTGCAAAGCTGCCAGACTCTCAGGAGAATCTGTGCTATCTCAGTGAGGCAACATGTTAAATAGTTTTCATGACTGCTAAGTGGTAATTATGTCTATTCACTACTAAGGTGAATTCTACAGCACCCACTAATGACACTTCACGGAAAATAATACCTATTTTCATCAACTGAGTACTCCGGATTGTCTGAGCCTTTAAAATCTCTGAAGTATTGTTTTTTTTAATCGTGTGTTTGCTCATTTTTGTGGACGTGTATATGTGGAATAAAAGAAGATTTAAAGACTTCACTTACTGACTGAAACAAAGAATAGATTTCTTCTCATTTATAAGTTTCTGCCAATTAAAACTAGATATGGCTGTCATTTATTTTTCTTATCTGTGATTTTTTTTCTACTGTCTGTCTGACCTACTAAATATTTCACAACTAACAGGAAATGTGATATGAGCTTGGAGGGAATTGTAAATTACAGGGTGATAAGTCTTATCTTTGCAGTGACGTTTCTTTGGAAATTAAGGGGATGTTTTGACTGAAATAAGACAAAAGTATGAGAACTGGCAGTATGAAGTATAATAAAAAGCAAGAATGACTTTGGCCTGAGCTCTAAATCGTGAAAGAAATCTCATTTTCACAAAGTTCAGATTAGCATAGCCTACACACCAATAACAGGAGTAAGTGAATAGTTAGTTTTGCATATTTAATATCTATACCCTCACCTGCTTTAGGTCAGTTTCCAAAATTATGAAATGGATGAATGATGTATATTGAGTCTTCAGTGACTTAGAAATAGTTTTCTTTTTTTTCCTTCATCTCAGACGTAATCTTTGTCACGTATCACCAGCTAATTCGACGTGTCACACCTACCACCAAGTGACACTTCTGAGGAAGGGGAAAGTTTTCGCCATGTCAAAATAGAAAAAAAGAAAGCTGTTATGAAATGGAAGTTGTAATTGTTGTTTCCTGCAGCATTGGGATCTCGCTATAATATTTTCAAACAAAAAAGGACACTAAAGATGTGATAAGATGTGTTACATGATTTTGCTGGTTCAGCTAAATCTCTAGTTTGAAGGAGGATGGTGCTGGATAACAGGTTGAAAAGCTTTATCGAGATCTGCGTGTATAGAGAAGGAGTCTTAACCTTCTCCTACAATGCACTTCTGGGCTAGAAGACTAAAACAATCGAGTCCAAATTGTCTTTTTCTTGTCCGTTGATAAAATACTTGTCTGGTTGAGGTGAGTCCTTGTTCATTTAAGTAGTCAACATAAACTTTAAAACATTCTGTATCTAGGACTGCTCCTGCCTATTTTGAGAGACAGTTTACCTTAATCTGGTTTGACAAGCCACTTGACTTTGTCTTAGGCCTGCTGCAGACAAGAAGTGTGTTGGGTGTGTGACAGCTGTGGTGCATGATGGCCCCGATTTGTGTTGTCAGGGCATGAACACAGGCTGCATGAGTTGTTGCTGTCAGCCTTTTTTCTTCTGCAAGTTTTAAGCCCAAAATGTCTTAGCTGTTTGGACGTCATCAGTGATTGGTTACTGGAAAAGGTGAAGAGGTTGTTATACCGGCAATACCAGTACCAATACCAGTACATAAATTGTACATATTAATCACTCTTCACTTAACAAACTGGTTGCCATGACTATACAGGAGTGGTGGTTGTGGTGTTAAAGCATTTAGAAAGCAGTTTCATCAACATTAAATACCATATATCTGTTTGCACAGGTGCACACACAGTGACAGAGAGAGAAAGAGAGAGAAAAGAAGGAAGAGGAGAGAACATGTGGATATAGATAGTAAATGATGTACTTGAAACTGACTTAAATTTCAACTGTTTTATGTTTTCAGTCGGGGTGTCACGATATGATAAAGATTTTGGATATCTGTCCGATACCAGCAAAAAAACTAATATCAGATTATATCGGCCTGCATCTAAAATCTCAGGTATGAGCACTCCGATACAAGCAGTCCATTCCAGAGTCCACTCCTGCACCTCTCTCTAGCAGCGCCCTGATCCAGGAAGCTGAGCCCACATGATCTCAACAACAGTGTGTACTAAGATACTAACAAAGTAGCAAGGAGTAGGAGTGATGTTGGCCTTGTGGCAGTATTTTTAGTTTACGTCCGAAAAGACATTGCAGCTGAGTAAAAAACTTATCATGCACAATTTTGTGCCAATATTGGATCAATATTTTGGTCCATATTGAAGGCTGCAATATCGGTATTGTATTGGAAGTCAAAAAGTTGTATTGGGACACCCCTAGTTTTCAGTATCAGGGGATGCTGCAGTATGTATACTATATGTATAATAACAGTTTCATGCATTGAGCTCATTCACATCTAAATAAAGTGTATAATTAAAAATATAGACAGTGGCTGAGCAGACAGAAGGGCAGAGGAGATCTTACCAGAACAAATATTTCCAGATTTCCAGTAACCTGATGTTATTGCATAATTAACTCAGCTTACCTGGTGCCAATGCCATTTATGGCAACGTTTTTTTTTTTTCCAGGAAAATTCAGCAGATGTTCAAATAAAGAGCTTTGCAAATGACTTCATCCACCTAATAACTGTCCAGAGAAAAACTTCAGAGAAAAAGCATTGTGCAGAAATGATCTCTCCAACAAAAAACAAAAGAAAACATTATTCCAGAAGAGCTACCATATTATATTTTCTAAGTTTTTGTCTGTTTTGGCTAAAATCCATGTGCAGCTTGCAGGAAAAATTAGTGAGCCTTCTAATTAATCAGTGTGAGACAGATGTGAGATCTGCAAGAGTCCCACTCTGACTGACGGGGCTGGTCCAATCTGTTAACATATGAAATGAAAATCAAGCCGTCCTGTGTCTGTTTCCCATATAAAGACTTAAAAAAAAAACATTGAATTATTAGTTACAAGACAAGAGGTGACTGTTTGACAAGCCTCTTTCACACATGCACTCCTGTAAATTTCTAGAAATTTTCAGTCGCTTTGCCCCTGACATTTTCCAGAGCGGCTTGTTTATAAAAGCTCCTCACAGCTTGAAGTTCTTCATCTTATGACAGCGGGAATGAGTGGTGGGAGATGAGTCTGTGGAGGCACTACACGACTTCAAAAGCGCATTGCAAAACCTACAGTGTAACATGATGACAGTGAAAGCAACAGAGAGCTCTGCTGACAGTTTTTGCATTTGTATCTTTAATATTTTTATTTATCCTTGTCTCATTCACACTGGTTACACGGCATTAACATCATCACCCCTCCCTGCTCATTTGCTGTGAATTTTCTAGTGTTCTTTTGCGTATTCACATCCTCTCACCCCAAAGTTCTTGCAGAAATTTTTACCAAAAGATTGGCAGGAAAAAATTCTGGATTAAGTTTGTGTGAAACTTTTAACTACTTTCACACATGCAGCCAATCCAGAAAATTGTTGGAACTTCTCAGGATTTTTGTGCATGTGTGAATACAGCTACAGAGAGCTGCTGACACCAGACAAAAATATTTTATTTGTGTTGTGCCATTGTTACTTCAACTGGAGATGAAAACAGTATCTTGGACAGGAACCTTTAGTTATAAAATTCAGATTTATCAAAGGAAGGTTTCTTGCGAAAGGGCTCAAACACTAACAACCCAGAACAAGACTGTTTTCCTCGCAAAGCTCATATTATTTCTCACAAAAGATAGCAAGAGAATTATGCATGTAATATGTTGAAACGAACCAAGAGCCATGTGTCATCTGCAACACCCACAGAACCTAATCCTGGTATGGTAAAATTGCAAAATCGCCCACATGCACACTACAGAACAGCTCCAGAGCAGTCTTTCAATATTGTGTGGACTTGAATATATTTGGTTTTGCACCACATTTGCAATTGAAAAAAAAATGTAGAAATTCAGCTCTGTTTGTTCACGTCAGATTTGCACAGTAATGCTGTGCTCCCACTGACAGATGAAGCAGGAAATGGAGAGTGCCAGTATGAGGGGGGCTTACTGTAATAGACTGCCAACAACTTCCCAAACTGGGGCAGGGAGTACAGGGTTCATCTTCATTGTCCCTCCTGCAAAGTTATTTAATCCTCCATATTGTTCTTTCTATTTAGTTTTCTGCGGCTGCTTTCTATTCAGCTCCTGCCAAGATTTGACCGTGTTGTGGAACTCAAACAATTATTTCCGGCTGTTGTGCATCACTGGACATTGTTTGAGTGTTTCCAAAAACTTATTCGGTAGCTGATGGTTAGTGGGAAGAGTAAGGAGTATGTTGGGCCAGATGTTGCCTTTTAAAAAAGAAATAAATCACATTTCATCTCTGAGTCTGTATCTCTTCGGTATGTTGATGATGCGGTTTATTTTTTGTCAGAGAAACTTTAAAAGGTTCAGAGTTCTGCTGTGGGTAACATGAAGATGACTTTTACTCAGTCTCAAAGAATATTGTTGACAATCATCAAATCTTAGGGTTTTCATTTCCTGTGCACACAGAGCAGTTGATTTACAGTGCTGCAGTTTACGTAGAAATCCCCAGGTTGGCAGTTTATTGAATGTAAATCAGGCTGGCTTAGAGGCCAAGGCCGCAGGAGGGCTGCTAATATCGCATCCCCCAGAGAGGAGAGCTGCTCTTTGTCTTTCCAAGCCAAATGTATTAGAAGCTCATTGTGTCTTTTTTTCTCTCCAGACGGGCTGCTGTTGTGTGGATCATTATGGAAGCTCTTGTCAGTTTAAGTTGTTGTTTTAAGTGAGTTATTTGATAAGATCTGTGTGTGCTTTTTTCAATCTCTTGGCTGGATCTGGAGGAGTCAGAAGGAAAGCTTGTGGTTGTCTTTAGGGAAATGCCGACATGCTGGCAAATGTTCTCTCACAGAAGTCTCTACGCACATCCACGTTTTGATGCTTTTATTAGCAGTACTTGTGAGAATAAAGGTCAGATAAAGTGCACTGTTGCTGTTTAATAACAAGACACTGAAGATCGTCAGATTCTCAGGCATTTGAAACAGGTTTGCAGCTAAGGCTGCTCATATTCACTCGACTTCCTCTCAAAGCCCCTCCAAGCACCCAACATAACCTCAAGAACTCCTCACATTGTTTCCTGTGAAGGAGGTGAACTTCATTTTTTTTTCTGCTTCTAGTGTTTTCCAAAATGGGTCAGCAGATGTTAGAGAGAAAGGAGGGAGAGAAAGAGAGAGAGAGAGCGAGAGAGGTGGAGGAGGAGGAGGAAGAAGAAAAACAGCCAAAGCAAACTGTTTGCTCTGCAGTGTGGGCTGATAGGAGAGATAGAGAGAAGAGTGGGAGAGAGAGAGTGAGGGGAAGAGACTGCAACTCAGTGTTCTGGTCTAACGCTAGATGAAAAAAAAAAAATTCTGCTAGTTCTGAAGTAGTGGACATCACGTCCTGTCCTTCATCCTCCATGTCTCCAAGCTTAGTTTTTTGATATTTCAAGAAATATCCTCCTAATACCTGCCATAACATCTGTTGGTAAATTACTTTGTAAGACTGCACATGCAGAGGGTCTACACAGTAACATGTAGTTCATGACATGTATTTCAAGTGCTTAAAAGTCAGACATAGACTTTGTAATTGTATGTGTCATTGGAGGATTTAATCTGTTGTTCCATATGCTAAACTGGATTAGCATGTGAAGATGTTGATTCGAGAATATCGATTAGTAGGGCTGGGCGACAAACCAAAACTTACCAATACCAAAATGTATGACAATACCAGACGCCATTTTGCACATATCGTTATATTCGGTGTCAAAATGAATAAATAAATAAAAGTTGGTTTTGGATGTGTGTAGGTAGGCTATGGTCTCATGTCCCTCTAAGATGCCGTCTTAGGTCAGAGACGTGACTCCACCCCATCCAGTCTGTAACAAAGAGGGAAAGACAGGTGAGGAGATGGAGGACGGTTCAAAAGTTGTAGCGGCTGGAGCAGCTTGTGGAGTAGTTATCGTCCATTTATCGTTATCGAGGTGAAGTGCTCAATATATCGGGATATAGATTTGAGGCCATATCGCCCAGCCCTATCGATTAGCCAGCTGAAGTGACTAAATGATTGCCAAGTTTGCAGTGATAGTTAACACAAGCTGCAAAGTGACACTTTATCTTTGTATTCTGCTTTTGAATAGGTGAATATACTTATATGTGTTATCTTCACATACAGTGGAGTCACTCTCAACTAATTCTAATTAAAAAATTTTAAAAAATAAGTAAAACACTTAGATACTCTTATTTCTTTATATGCCAGAATGTCCCACTTAGGAAACTCACTGAAACTTTTCATGTGCTGTTTTCTGCTAACTCGGGACTTGACTCAAAGTGCCCTGGCTTAAACCCATCAAAACCCTCCATATGGCCAGAGTTTGTTTTGAATTAGAGTCACCACACCTCAACTTGCTGTATATTATACTGGCAGGTCCCACTGCTCACTGAATGCACACAAGTGAAGGGAAATAAGGTCAGTTTCCAACCTGAAATAGAAAGTTGAAAAAGACATACAACAAACCTGAGGGTCATTCACTTAACTTGACATCATAAATCAAGTCATAAAGTGGTGACAGGTTAGGCATTAACTCTGCTCTATTTCTTTTTCATGTTTGTTTCCTTTAGGAAAAGAGAGAGAGAACAAGTGTTTCTAAATTGTACCTTACAGATTTTGAATTGTCATTGAATGCTCTTTTTAATTCAAAAGCCATCTGTTTATTTGCCAATGTATATTTTCTTTGCTCATTTTGATATCCAGCCTTGTACTGACCAATTTCCTGACATGCTTGTCTTTTTTTACCAGGCTCACACAACAGAGTTAACCAGTGTCCTGTCAATGAACACGGTTGCCTGGACCTAGATGTGTGTATCCACATGAGCAAACTGTGTGACGGAGTCCCCGACTGCAGCGATGGCTGGGACGAGGGTCCTCACTGCAGAGGTAAAACAAGCACCCACAGCCTCCATCCTTTAATTGTGTCCATTTGAGACACAAAAAGATTCGATTAGCCTACTCTGGCTTATACAATTAAAATGGAATTTCTCTTTTGGGGAAAAAAACTCATTAATTTATCAATCAGTTAAGTTGTAGGCCTGTTTCCACAATCCCTGTGAGAATGGTAAGCATTCAGGCCATCTGCAGCAGAGGAGGAATCTCTTAAAATGAGAGGTGTAGGGCGTGTTGGGTCCAGAGTGACCATTTGTTCCAGCAGACAAACACAAGTAAACCATTGATGCCGTGAACATCATACTCAGAGAGACAGTCCTCAGACATTGTTGAGCTGTTTTGAAATCTTTCTGTTTGGAGTTGCATCAATATGTGTGTATGTCTTTCCCTTAATTTTGCACAATCTCTACTGTGCCAACCCGTATCAAACCCCTGTTCCTGGAATATGAAATCACTTTACCAAACCAAAGACCAGGAACGGGGGGGCTGGTCTGCCAAGTTGTCAAACAATGTTGATAATCATGGCTCACCTTATCTTTTCTGATAAGCACAAGCCAAGTTTGTGTTGTAAAATCTGCAATAGTGAATGTGGGTCATCACAACAAGGTACTGTAGGGTTAAATTTCACTGTTGGGTTTATGTCTGTTTTAATGTTAAAGCAGTTTTATGTGTATTTTTAATTCCATTATTGTGATAAACTTCATCAAATCTGTTATATCATGCTAAAAATCTTATTTTTCTGATCAGATCAGCTGAGTATGTTTATTAAATAGAACAGTAATCAAATAAAATTTCACTTGAAGCATTTCACTTTGACAAGTGTTTATCCAGAGGAGTGAGGGCACTGCAGGGCATCTGAAGTGAACAGTTTGTACAAAGTGGACACACAGACAGACACACACTCACTGGTCATCACTGCTAGACAAGCTTTTACACAACACAGTGATGACGTCGTGCAATCACAACATGCACTGCCCGTCCCCGAGGACACAAGTCCAGCTGTCCTCAGTAACACACACTATCGCTCAGGCCGACATGTTCATGGGCTCCGAATGCATTCAGCTCTCAAATATGCACACAAACTCAGCGCTCGCACAGTCACATTCCTGTAAATACACACCCAAACACACCCATTACCCCCCACACAAACACACCAGCAGTGTGTCCAGAGCTTTTGGCACTGCTGTTTGTGAGCTGCCCAGTTTTCAGGGAAAGGCCTGGCCTTTCACAAGCATCCGAGTGTTTGCTTGTACAAACTGCTGGGTTGTGCAAGTTTACCTGGGCACTGATGACTGAAAGCAGACTTTGTCCATCAGCTGGTCCAAGAAACTCTGGTGAAGTCCATGTTTGGAGTGGTTAGAGTGAGGCTGTAGTGAGGAAGGTTAGTCAGGAGTTTTATTTTGGTGACATTAATTATCTCAGCATTTTCACTTGGTGGTGCGTTGTGTACAAGAATAAAGACAAAGGAGTGAACAAGTGGACATCAGTGATTTGATTATATAGTTTATACTAGCTATGTGATTTCAAGGTCCACATACAGCCTGTAACAGCAAATCAAACTGTCAATATCATTTGACTGTAATTGTGAAAAGTCCCTTTACAGCCTTTTTTCATAATTTGAGCCATTTATTCATCTATTATCACACTACTGTCTTCCACATTTCCTCAATAATTGTAGCTATTAAGATAATTTGGCATCGAAAAGTTTGTGTGCTCTTCTGGGCTTTGATGAAAAAAGGATGAGGTCAAACCTAACAGCCTACTAATCTAAACCTGGTGGCAAATCTGGTTTAATTAGATTATTGAGTAGAAAAGGTTTTGTAGAAACAGAATATTAGTATTTTTATCATTTAAAGATAGGTTTGTTTTTGTTCTATCTACAAAGGGAACTGGTCCCTGTCCACATGGCTGCCAACTTGCACTGTCATGTTTACAGTCGCAACAGACAGACAAACTAGTAAAGGCTATATGTGTTTTTTTATTTAAGGGGTGTCTGCTGGAAATGCACATTGTTGAAACACGAGGATGAAAAAGAAGAGGAGACTGGTTGTTGTGTGTAAAACTTAAATAGAGGATCACACGAACTAGGCATCACAGGAGCCTTTCACCTTTTGAGCATCACAAATGTGATAATGTCAAGAGTTGAAATTGCGAAATATTCCCATATCTTCGTATTCAACCTTTAATTTTGGGAGCTTTAGGAGGGACAGCTCACACAAATTCTGGCAGAATTTAAAGGTGAAGTCAAGAGATCGTCCCCCCCAAAAACAAACAAAAAAAAAAACATGCTTTTTTAAAAATGTTTTTATATGCTTAAGATCATTAAAAAGGCAAAAGCTGAGAGTGCTATTCCAACTCTTCAGATCTCAGCCTGCACTGGTCAGTTTAAGGCCTACTTTTAAAACCCTTGTGCTAAACGTAGCTCCCTTTGAGTGGTATTGTTTCCCCTTTATATGAGTGAAAGGTAAGAGACTGGGTTTGTCTTTTCTTTATTTTCTGCGTGAAGGGGGCTCTCTTTGTGGGCCCAGGCCTTAGACCTGCCTCCCCCACAAGTGACTGATAATAAGGAGAGGGTAAATGGGGTCATAGCAGGACTCTTGAGAGTGCTTCCCTTCTCTTGGTTGTTTTAAAAGGAGCTCTTATTATTGTAGCGGCGTGATGCTACTGTTAATGCGTGCAGTTGCTTTTTATTGACCTTCATATCCCACAGACTGAGTTATCAGTTTCAGGCTGCCTGTGGAAAGATCACAGTGTCATCTTTATTCATGAGAGGGCCTTCGCCTAAATGAGTTTATTGGCTGCAGCTCGAGTTGTCTTGCATGACAAGACATGTTTTATTGCTTTTATTGTCTTTTACCAGCTTTGTATAAAAAAAGGGCACTGCGGCGTTAAACTGTTGTGCATTTCTTGACTCACAATGGGCTGCATAAAGAAGAGGGGGAAAAAGAGTGAGTTTCTTTTTAGGCATGTTGAACTGATGTGTGTTTGGGGTTTTTGTGCTCCAGTAGATGTACTTTGTGTATTTGTACATTTGTGTTTGAGTGTTTGTTTAAGTTTGAAGCGTCTGGGGTAGTTTGCTATGATAGCTTCTGTTTGCTCATTACTCAAACTGCTGCTCAGCTTGTGTTTGCATGTGGTTACTTTGCCCCTTTTGATAAAGGAGCTCCAAACACTACCAGTAAATACACGTTCGTCCTACCCACAAGCCTTTTTTACTCCCCCTGTCCTTCCACCTCTACCCACATGTCTTTATATACACATCATTGACTTCATAGAGCTTAATGTACAGAGCCCACCAATGCTCAGTCCTCACTTGTCTGCCACAGAGCATTAATCATCTACTTTTACACGTGATGGAGTGGACCATGAAATCAAACAATCACAGCAGGTTCACTGAGTTAAGTAGCATCTTTTAGATGTAGCCTGATTTCATGTTTAACCAACCGAGGTGATCCACTTAACTTAGATGAGATTGGTATCCTCAAAGCTGAGTTGTGTCCCATTTTTTTTAGTTCAATTATGATCAATGCTAGAGTGCAGGTTTAATATTTTCAGGATACACGTGAAGTCCATAATAAATAGAGCTTAATTTTGTTTATAAAAAGCAAAGTGGTAATTTGATAAAACCTTAAGTAAATGGTAGGCTCCTGTGGTTTGCAGGTAGAGGACAGGGGCATGTGTGAACATGTTTCCAGACAGTGAGAGCACACAGGTAGGAATGTCCCGGGAATTACCTCTCTTTGAAATGTTACTGAAAACATCCTGTTAATAAAACATCCTGTTTTATACACTTAGTGTTCAGTTTGATAATTGCTTCCAATTATAGCAGAGGGAGTTTTTATCTATTTATATTCTGTTTTTAGGAAGGAGAAGGATCTGTTTTCATGTCAGCTGATAGGTGAAGGAGGTGATCTCTTTGAGGGAGGTGTACAAATTTAACAGCCCTGATAGTTTCATGATGTAACTGCGATCATGACTCTGATACCGTTAGGTTGTTGTTGTTGTTTTACTCAACCTGCAGCACCCTATTTTAGCTCTGTCTGCTCAAGATAGGATTTTAAAGGAAATGTCAGCTTTCATCATTTTCTTCAGGAGTTGGCTGGTGATGGAGCCAAAGAGCATTTCCAGACAGATATATTTTCCAAAAATACACATCAGCAGGATAGTGCATATTGAAATGATGCTGTACTCATAATGCTAGGGCTGTAATTAACCAAAGAAATTCTTGGTTGACTAAAACCCTGAAATCTTTGATCAAAAATCGACTAATCGGTAGGGAGGGATTGTCCGACTCTGACAGCAAACCCCTCTGCGGTGGGACACAGCTCGGCGGGGTGAAAAAATACTGATACCAGCACAAGAGAGAAATTAAACACAAATTTTATATTTTGCAAACCACCAGACGCTCTTTAATCTTTCTGTCTCCAGCCGATCTCCAGCAGGTTGTGCAAATCCAAAATGGTGAAAACAAGGAGGGTGTTCTGAGACAGGCTCTTATTTGTGAAATGGGTGCTCTGAAAACACCTTCATTAGCACTTGGTACGTTCCTCCTGATTAAATTAGCCATAGTCTGTAAATTGACGCTGAAAAAACATCGAGTCGACCAATCAGTTCACAGCATGTATCACCAATAAGTCGAACAGTCGACTAGTACTTTACAGCCCTACATAAAACATGCCTTAATTCTTGTTATCCCAAAGCCTTCAGTGTTTTTACTTTGTCCTGAGTCAGTTCAATTACACTCACAAATACAGAAATGTGTAACAGCCCGGTGAGACAATTGGCAAACAGCCACTCCCTGCCAACATTTAAAGAGCTACAGATGAGTGAAATTGAGGGTTTCTATCCATGCAGTAAGAAAATCAATGGCTCGTCCATGCTTGTTTAGGACTGAAGACCTCTGTGAGATTTGTTTGCTTTGTTCATTAACCCAAGGTCAACTGCCTAACACACTGCTGTAGCTTATTTAATCAAAACTGGAACTCTCTTACCTCTCTATATCCTTAAACCTAAGCCCTGTCTTCACTCATTTTCACCTCTGTTTGCCCTGCTACCCTCTTCTTACCCCCAATTTTGCTCTTTTCATTTTGCTCAGTTGTTTTTTTCATTCTTCCCTCAACATTTTCTTTTTGTACTTACTCCTTTGCTTCCCTGCTGTTGTTCACCTACAAATGCTCTCTGAGGTTGATACAGACGCATTCGCAGATTTACATTTCAGAAAAACTTATGAGGAAGTTTTTATATTTTTAGAAGAGGGGTAAACTTTAGCAAAGTGAAAGGTTGTACTTCAGTATTTGAACTAGTCTTGCACAGGGTTTTATTTACTGTGTTTATGTCTGAGTTTTATGACTGTTAGTGTTTAAACTATTAATTCATTGTAAGTGAGACTCAATAAAATGATTCAATTATTAAAGAATTTATGGTAGAAGATACTGATTTGTTCTTAGTTCTCACAAAATAAGGATTTTGTTTTGACAATTGGAGCAATATCTGTGCTCTTGTGGCCCACCCATAGCTTGATACCAGATCGAGCAAATGACCCAGGACAGAGGTACATTTTGTGGGTGTTTTTGCCCTCTTGCTGCCTGTGGTCTCTCACAGTGTGAGGCTTGGTGAATGGATTCGATATGGGCCACAGTGTTTGCTGGGGGACTCTTCCTTTCAGCAGAGCCACAACAAAAGGGTCATTGTGGCTCTGAGTGCTGCAGGCTTTTTATAATAAGGACCCTTCATTGGTCCAATCTCCGCTCTTCACAGCCAAACTATGACAAGTTACTGTAAGCATAATTTGTCCGTGACCATTCATGGTAATTTAGCTGGATGCTGCTGAGATGTATTTTGAAATGCAAGTGGATGCCTCTTTTCTTCATTTGAGTACATGTGTTTACATTCGGTTAATGATTAAATGGAAGGGTTCTCAACAAGTGCAGCTCTTTAAACCCACATGGGGCGTGTTTGTTTACGTATGTTTATAGGTTATGTGGACTAACAGTTGCTGTGGCTACAGTATTGGATCTCTAGATAATAACTAAAGCGGTTATTATCATATGGAAGCGTTGCATAGATAAACCTGCTCGTCATTTTTATGTCAGTGAATAGATGATTATCCAGAGAGAAATGCTCGCTGAAATAAAGAGAAGTTCATCATCTGTGTGTGGGTGTGTGACCTGGAAAGAGTGTCGAAGATAGGAAGAGAATATTTCAGAAAAACAAAAGCCAATTATGACTCAACCTCTCCTATTATTTCTCTGCCTTGACTTAACTGCTTTTGGGTGCAGATACTGGTTTATTGAACTCAAGGGGAGAACCTACCCAGCAGGAGTGACAAGCTTGATCTTTGCCGAAAGCCTCTGATAGTTCATCCAGCACATTAAGGCTGTCATAAATGTAGTTTGTCTTGTAGTACTAGATGTGTGCCACTGTCTAGCATATTATCACATTAATCTATGACAGCTTGCCTCTTTTATCTTGTAGCCTGCAGACACTCATCTGTATGCACACAGACACCCTATAGATGGCATGATGAGGGGGTGTGTCCATTCCCCGCTTTCATTTGCTGCCAGAAGGATGTGTCCTTGAGTCCCCTCTGTGGGTGGGAAAGAAGAGGCCCTCTAGCACGTGCACATTCAAATCTGCACATCTGCCGAATGCACAGAGGAATACACTCTGGCATACACATGTATTTGACCTACACAAGCTTATACACAGTCCTATCTGATCTCCCAGAGGAGATGTGATGGGATTTGACAGTGTGTTCCTGTGAAGATTGCCCTGGGATTAAGATAACAATTGGAAAGCTGATCCGCACACAAACCTGGTTAAGGAGGCAATTACTTAAACAGGTTTCATTTAGCCTCTGAAGAGCTCCTGACATGTGTGCCACTCCCACCCTTTGGGTATTTAATGTTCCCTGTCTGTGTGTGTTTTCTTTCTTTTCCGCCACAGAACAGGCACCAGGCTGTGCCTCCCATGGGTGCCAGTATCACTGTGCTGTGACTCACGATGGGCCCAAGTGCTACTGTAGCAACGGCTATGAGGTTGCTGCAGATGGAAAGACATGCAAAGGTAATAGACTGTGTTTTCTTTGATCTTGATACATGCATATTGGTAACAGTTTTTCTTTTTTCATAGCACTTTTAAAAACAGAAGTTTGCAAAGTGCTTTGACAAATAGTCAAAAAGCACTTGGAAATAAAGTAAAAACAAAAAGCCCAGTTAAAGTGGAATTGAAGGCCATTTTCAGATGTCATAAGGAACTCAGACAACACAAGAACCATGCAGCAACATAAAATGAGACCATGAGGACCAAAATAAAACATAAAATAATTAAGAAAATGCAAGAAAAAGGGGGTTTGAAGCAGAAAACAGGATAGTAAATAAAAAAGACAGTATTAATAATGATGATAAAATAATAATAAAGTAATAATGATAATGATAGTAATGATAATAGTGAATGAGTACACTTTTATTGAAATGAAAATCCGCTGTATAATCTCTGTGTGTCTTTTCCTGTAGACTTCAATGAGTGCGGTGTGTATGGGACATGCAGTCAGACCTGTACAAACACTGAGGGCTCCTACACCTGCAGCTGTGTGGAGGGCTACCTGTTGCAGCCGGACAACCGCTCCTGCAAAGCCAAAAATGGTAAGAGGATACGGACACACAAAGTTAGAGATGTATTCCCCAAACTGAAGAATAGTTAGTTAGGTGGGTTTTTTTCTTGTCTCTTGATTACAGCAGATCATCACTCTGCGTGATCCAGCATCCCTGTTGCTTCACAGGCTTACTGGGGAAAGACATATTACAGTTGTGCCTTTAATACCTCTGCCTCTTTTCCTCCTCTTTTTCTCCACTCTGCTCCTGATCACCCTCCCCAGAGCCGGTGGATCGCCTGCCTATGCTGCTGATTGCAAACCTCCATGACATCCGTTGCACCACACTGAGCGGCTCCACCTCCCGTCTATCCTCCATTGCCACCAAGCAGACCATGGCTATGGACTTCATCTATGCCCAGGAAACTGTCTGTTGGATAGATGTTGGTGATACCCCTGCCGCCACCCAGCTGAAGTGTGCCAGCATCCCTGACCTTAAGACTGTCACCAACATTCGCACCATTAACATCTCCCTCAGCCTGCACCGTGAGTACTTTCACTGACTACGCTTTTGTTTCTAAAACTTATTTCTTTTTGTGCTGACACAGTATTCCCGCTAAATGTTGTCAGGTTCATGGAGGGCCCGGCAGCTCGGTTGTAGTCTGCCATCGGGAGAGAAATGAACCTCACATGAAACTACGAAAGCGGCGCTCAGATAATAAGTTGTAGCTGTCAGCTTACACTGTGTGAAATTTCCATACTTTTTTTCCTCCTAAATCAAATGGTCAACTTTGCATTTGCTTGCTCAGACAAATCTAAGATGTGAAGCAATACGGCCTCATCTCCGAAAACCGCTCATACCGACGTTTAAGTGCCAAGAAGAAATGCTGAGTGCGGCTTTATTTCTCCAAAGGGTTTGTCTTTGAAGAGCTGGGGCATCCTGACACTCCACTAAATCATCCCATAGGGCCAGTATGTGTGTTGCTAACCTACATTGATATGGTACATATAAGGCCGCCAGCGTGCCTCCAGGAGGACGTTTGCACAGTTCTTGTCAGACAAATAGTAACTTACTATGTTGCTTGATTTATGTACTGGCTGTGCAGAGGCTTTGAAGTGCATTTTTTCACTGCTTTGGATTTGAATATAATGGGAAGAACCTCACCTCCAGTCATTGATGCCATTTGTTTAAAGTTTCCCCGCAGAAGTCCCTCAGGTACAGGGAGATTTATTGTAGAAGGTAATGTACATAGCACACGTGTGAGTCATGTGTATAGGAGGGTAAAGTATAGAACAGATCACATTAACTGACAATTGAAATGTCTGACTCTGGAGGCGATGTCCTCATAATCGTAGACATAAACTCAGACTCTCGTCTCTTTCGCAACAGGCAGACAAGCGTAGACTTACTTACTCTTCCCTCATGAGTGGCTGACTCCCAAAACATATGACATGATTTATCTCTGATTACAAGCCTGACAAGGTTTGTTTTTATTTCACCTGGCTGACTTAGCTGTTACTCTCCAAGAATGGGGGCAGGAATGTAGACAAAACATAAAAGTTAGGGTGTGGGTTTGTGCGTGTGCGCATACATCCGTGCGTGTGTGAAGCTGTCCCCTGAGAACCAGCCTGAGGCATCGAGCAGCAGATGTGAGGAAAACAAGCGGAGAAGAAGGAGAAGCCTGAAATGTGGGACGGGAAACCTGCGACATGATTATAAGTGCTTCGGCTCATATCCACTTCAAATGAAGCTTGTGTAACTGCTGTCACTGATGACAGCCGGCTCAGTGAACACCGGTGTCTAAAAAATGGGGGTTTTCCCGTTGATTCACTGCACCCTCCTAAGCGGCCCGTATCCCACCTCGTGCTCTTTGTGTTTGCTCGTCACTCTGACTTTTTGATTCATGGCTCTGTTAAGTGGTCTGAGGGGTAAATGGGGGTGAGCGTTGGAAATGAGACACCCTGAGGAGACGACAGGGAGAGAAGGTAGTGATCTGCTGTATCTCAAAAGTGTGTGTTTGCGCAGACGTATGCATCCATATGCAAGTAGTCATGCAGATGGTATTTACATTCCTCCATTGGTTATGTCAGCCTGAACAGTCTCTACATTCCTCTGTCCGTCTCACGTCCTGTCCAGTCAGGTCACTTTAACTCTCTTATAGCTAAAGCACACACACACACATGCACACACACCCACACACATGCGCGCACACAACCCAAATACCTTTGACTCATGCAGCCATTACCTAGTCACATATTACCTTTTATGAATTGAGATTTGTGTCTCTGTGTCATACTGATCTGTCTGGCTGCCACTGTACACGTTTTTATGTGCTGTCCCACTTAAATGCAACTCAGAGTCTGCAGTCTTCCTGCATTGCGCAATTGTACAAGTTATTATTTGATTACCTTGGCTATCCGAAGTTCACTAAAACTAGATTTTACTGATCATATATTACAACACTGATATCTGACAGTAAAGTGTAGGACATGTCCATCAGGTGAATGACTTCCTGTTGGATTTGCGTAATAGATTTGTGGTGCTCCTGTAATGGTCGGAGGAACTTAGTAAACTTTAGTGACGGGATATGTTCAGGAGGTACCAATAAAACCCTTCAGGGCTGGTAGAGTAAGAAACACTCAACATGTAGACATTGATTTAACGCAAACAGACAGTTTTAAACACAACTAAAGAAAATACAAGTTACATGAGTCCATCACCTGGACTTTAAAAAAATATTTTTTATGAAATGAGAGCAGGTTGTCTTGATCTTCCACATTATTTAAGTATAAAAATCTATGAATTGTAGATCTGCACATGTCTGTTGGTGGGGTTTGGCTGTTTTCAGTAACATATGTAGCAAAAAGGAAAACAACTGCAAGACTTATGCATAATGACTGACTCCCCCTTGTCTCATGTTTTATTGATTTTGGCTTTAAGCTCTGGTAAGACAGTAAAAACCGTCTGTTTATTTTCTGGACATCTGCTGTGGTGGTTTGCTTTGAATTATGTTACATAAGTCTAAAAAGGGTGAACTTTATGTCCTTCCTTACTAACCCATATGACTTTCCCTTAATTTAAGGTTTAATTTGTGTGCTTTAAATTATATTTGATCATGTAATTGGGGCCAAGCATGGGCTTTTGATTGATCAGTGCAGGGTTTTATAACAAGCAGGGCTCAGGTGCACTGCTCGAAGTATGGTAGGCAGACCTGGGGTTTGTACTTAGATGGTAATTGGTGGAACTGCAGAGGGGGTGGGGGGGTCGGTTGATTTATAGCCCCTGGGAGTCTCAGAGAGTAGGGATGATAAGTAGTCATGGGCCCCAGATGTTGCCTGATCTGTTTGCATGTGAGATTCTCTGGGTTGGGAGATAAAAGGGGAGCAGAGAGTACCTTTACCATCCTGTGAGCAGAGCTATACCTCCACCTCCTCCCCATGTTCCTCTGTTCACCCTTCAGGCCTCTTTCACTTTCCTTTGTAGCTTTTGTTATTGAGGATTCCTTTAGAATAATGAATACATAGAAGTTCTTTTCTCGTATCTGTCAAGCAGAGGTTATTAACACTTTATGGGAGCAAAATTATATCCAATTAAAAATGTACTATTATTCTTGCTTAGAGTTTTTACAAGATGTTAAAGGGATAGTCTGGCATAAATTTAAATTATGGTCAAACACACCGTAACACTGAGTTAGACACCCCGTCGAGAGATAAATGATGCCAACTGTTTGCCTCTCTAGTTATATCAAATTTAACAACACGATAGCAATACACAGCGGTCTATGTCTCCATGCGCAAACCTCAACCAAAACGCCACTCTATAGCCACTAATAATGCTCAGAACAGCGCCTAACTTCATTGACAGTACATATAGGGTCCTAGCCACAGCACTAGCCACCAAACATCATTTTAGCTTTGCCTGGTTTCTTTAGCAAAGAGACTAAACACAACTCACCCACTCTCCTCCATCAGCCTCTTATTTGTGGGGGAGCCCTGACGAGTCGATCACCGAGTGCAGTGAAGTTTCGCAGCTCAAGGAAGAACCCTTGAGCTGCAAAACGTAATGAAGGCAGAAGAACTACAGCGTCTGTAGAGCGAAATGATAATTGTGATGACTATTACTTCACAGAAATGGTATAATTAGTTGGTATACTTAGAGAGCCAAGCAGTCAGCAACATTCATCTCTGGAGGGGGAGTCTAACTCGGTGTTACGTGTGTTTGACCACAACTTAAATTTATCACTAATAACTTAAACAGAATAACCCTTTAATGTGCATCCAAATTGCGATGAAGTGGTCCAGTCCACCACATTATTCTCTCAGCTTTTGCTCTCACATATTTCTTCATCAGGTGTTCCTTTCCAGTGAGTCGCCTCTCTTTTTTATACCTGTAGCAGAGGGGGGTTTGTCTATGGAGTTACAGCCTTGTAAACTGAGGTTATACAGTAAGTCACATCTTTATGAGAAAATCATAAACCATTAGTTCCAAAGAGTCATAGAGCGTTATGCCCGGATTAGTAAGATCTTCCTGGTATGGGTTTGATTATGACACCAGCATGATGTGGTCGTTTTTTATTAGTTTGCACTAGCGTGTAAACAGAGTACTGCCTGCACTGACATGCAAAAAGAGGATGTAACATGCAAGTAAAAAATCTGAGATGCTCCTCCTGGGTCTTTGCTCTGTTGTGTGACGTGTTTAAAGGACTTGAAGAGGCTGTGGCCCTGTGTGTTAATACCTTTGCTATTTGCACTGAAAGCTTGTTTGTTGTGAGCCTGTAGGTGTTAGAGGCAGGAAGTTAAAAAGGGTAAGGGTGGTTGGATGAGGAGAAAGGGGTGGGTTCATTCAGTTTCTCAGCAAACTTTTCCACTTACCAGAAGTTGAATGAGAGGGGACGTCAGCAGACTCCTTGGCTCTCTGGAAAAGGGGGTCCACTACATGTAGGCTGTTACACAACACACACGCAGAAGTCACTGTGTTGCACAACTGGATCTCTAGTCTGGATGTGAGTCAAATCGAAGCCTTCTGCAGCCAGGCTCGCAGCTGGATTTCTTTAGAGGAGTTTGGTTTTAGAGCTGATACCAATGGGAGTATCACTATCCGTCTTGACTCTATTACAGACTTCCCCTGTTGTCAGAATCTTGGTTTGAATGTTTGTGAAACATCTTGGGCTGTTTTTCACTCTCTCCCTCTGTTCATTTGACTCCGGTATTTTTTTTTATTGGCTTGTATATTTATTATGGAAGTGTGATTACTGTTACTGTTTTAAGACTTACAGTAAATGATTCCCAGCTTGGAGTTACACCAAGTACTTTCAGTCCACTGACTTCATAATAATTCATTTTTTCATTTTCACTCACAAATTACATGATCTCACAAAATTTCCTCCCAGATTTTCTGATATTTTAGACAAGAAAACTGTCAATTTCATGTGAGGCAGACTTCTTAAACCTTCATGTTTATTTGGTAGCTGAGGTGTTGCAAATAAAAAGGTGAAAAAAGCATCAAGTGGACACTCAAGAAACTGATGTTTTTCTTTTTTAACACCTGAGATTGCTGCCTGGTCTACATTAGGGGTGGGAGAAAAAAATCGATACAGCATAGTATCGCGATATTTTGTCTGGTGATACATCGCATTGTCTCATTTACCAAGTATCGATTTTTCATATTAATTACTAATATGAAGTCAAATCTATATAATGGAAAAATAAAATCAACTGTTTGCCCAGTGAGGTTGGCAGAGGTGACGTTAGAGAGCAGGAGAAAGTTAGTACAACAAATACAGAAGCACCTGGGGAAAGACATTAAGAATACAAGCAGGGCACAAATGAGATGGACCTGACACATGAGATCAGCAAGATGTGCTACAGTGTAAATAAGACAAACATAAAAGAAACACAAATGTTATATTAGCTTAACAGTTGAAAAATTGTATAAATCGCAATATATTGTATTCCAATACTCATCGTGATAGTATCGTGATAATATCATATCATGGGGCCACTCGTGATTCCCACCCCTAGTCTACTTTTGGCTCAGATGTGTAGAAGCTCTGTTGTTGACTTTCTGTGACTCTATCTTTGAGCATCACGGTTGTCACATGTGGCTCCAGCACAGACATTTTCCTTATCAGTGATTGAAGCTGTGGCACATGCTGACTGTGTGCACACGGTCCTGTCCTATGCCCCCTCATGAACCCAAATATCATTAATAGTAGTCCGATGTCTTCACTGGAGAGACATGTGGTCACCTTGATACTGCGGCGTGCCTGTGGGATGCGAGAGTGTGTGTTTACAGAGTTCTGCTTTGAAATGAAGTTTAGCTGCAGCTGTTAAAACACAAAGCTGTGTGCTCCCACATACACACCTGGTTGTCCCTGTGGTTTGAGATTCCAGCACTGAGTCTCAAAGGACAGACTTCCCTTTAAAGTGAGATCTTTTTCCAGTGCCGTCTTCGCACTTATTTCCGATGTGTTGTGCTGACAACAAATCGGAAACAAAAGTCTCTATCTGCAGAGCTTCCTCTTTCTAGGCTGGCCTAGTAAGCAGAGGAGTTATAAAGTGTCAGGCTCTTCTGTGAGAGGTGTTGAAACAGGGTTGACATCATGTCTCAATGACAAAATCCTTTGTTTTTTGCTCTTTCTATCTGATGTAGATTTTGGATTGGTTTGATACCTAGGGTTTTGAAATCCACAATTGTTTCAGGGTAGAAATTTGGGGTGCCCTGGTACAGCTTTTTTTAACCGATACGGACACTGACATTGTATCTTTAAGTATTGGCTTATATAGATATTGATCTGATATTGGCACAAACTTGTATGTGACAAGTTTTGCACTCAGCAGCAACCTCATTTTCAGACTACTTTGTTAGTTCCTTCGTACACACTGTTGGATTACATGAGGTCTGGATGCTGGATTCGGGCGCTGCTAGATAGAGGTGCTGGAGTGGAGTCTGAAATGGACTGCTTATATCAGAGATTTTAAATGCAGGCCGATATAATCTGATATTTGTTTTTTTGATTATATTGGACCAATATCTGATATCAATATCGTATCGGGAAACCATAGTAAAAATTCAGCCAGAGTATCAGAATCTCAGATGTTCCTTTCACAGACCTTCATTAGCTGACAGGGGTTGACATAATTTTTCTCTGACTTTGGATATCCATCTGTGTTGTAATGATCGGGTTGTAATGATCGGGTTGTACCTATGTTGAACTTCAGGGTTTACCTCTCACTCAATCTGTCACTTTTTGAGTCTCTCTCTGCGCCCTGTTGGCCCTCATCAAAGACAGTAGGGAGCTGTGAATAGACAAACTGTTGGAGCATGAAGAAGAGCAGGATGACAGAAAGTCATTAATTCAACAGTTTCATTTAGTTTGTGAGGAGTGTGGGATTACTTGATGGGACAGTCATGGCACCATGGAGTGAGAGGCTTTGAAATGAGGCTTATGTACGGCTATGAGTTATACAACAGTTCTTCTATGAGGTTTAATACTTTTGTGGTTCTGGGTTTTAATCTCTCTTCTTTGCTCTTTGTCCCTCAGATGTCGAGCAGATGGCTATTGACTGGCTGACGGGAAACTTCTACTTTGTGGATGACGTGGATGACCGGGTGTTTGTCTGCAACAAGAATGGCCAGACATGCGTGACCCTGCTGGACCAAGAGCTGTACAACCCCAAAGGCATTGCCTTGGACCCAGCCATGGGGTTTGTACTTGGCTCCACTCCTCTTGACCTAACACAACCCGCTGTGCTGTTTTAGAAACTCATGAGAGAGAAAAAATGCTCGTCTTGTGATGAGACGACATGCTGACCAAGCAGGGTGTCAGAAATCAAAGCATTTCCTCCAGATGGAAACCTAGACTGATACTTACTTGTGGCTTTACCGCTTGCATGTTCACTGTTTCAGGTTCCTGATACTGACAGGCTGCTATCTGAAGTAGTTCCCTTTTTCAGAGTATCACTTCTTTTTTGTTGTTGTCAATCCATCCCTGTAGATATCAAAAAAAGTTGGTCTTGATTTCATCCGCTTTCTTTTCATCCTTTTCCTTCCTGTTGATAAAATTCCCTCATCTGCCACATTGTACTGAACAGTACCTTCCTTTTTTCTCCTGTTCTTACTCCACAGCAAAGTGTTCTTCACAGATTATGGGTCTACGCCAAGGGTGGAACGCTGTGACATGGATGGTCAGAACCGCACTAAGCTTGTTGACAGCAAAATCGTCTTCCCTCATGGCATCACTCTAGATCTGGTTAACCGGTTGGTTTACTGGGCTGATGCCTACCTCGACTACATCGAAGTGGTGGACTATGAGGGCAAGAACCGACACACCATCATCCAGGGCCTTTTGGTGAGCTCTAAAGAATGGCTAGATGGTCAAAAAGAAACACAAAGATGCACAAAGATGCATCCCGTACAATAGTCGTTCCAATTTTAGTCAAGAGACACAAAGAAACTTTTTCTCGACACCTCTAAATGTGCATTTTCTTGCTCTATACCATCACCTAGGGCTGGGTGATATGGCCTCAAATCAACATCACGATATATTGATAACGATAAATGGACGATAAATACTCATCTACATCTATAACTTCATCTACTTCAACTGCTGCTCCAGCAGCTACAACTTTTGAACCGTCCTCCATCTCCTCACCTGTCTTTCCCTCTTTTTTTATGGACTGGATTGGGTGAAGTCACGTCTCTGATGTAGGAGACGGCTTCTTAAAGGGACATGAGACCATAGCCTACCTACACATATCCAAAACCAACTTTTAATTATTTATTTATTTGACACAAAATAGATTGACATGGGCAAAACGACATTGGTTATTGTCTTAAATTTCGGTATCAGTAAATTTTCAGTTCATTGCCCAGCCCCACTATCACCCATTTTATCATATTTATCAGCAGTAACATCACCAAGTTCTCCCATAGTTTCCTTGTCATTAAAGTCATCCTCTCCCGGGAAAAGTCCTTTTTATTGCCTCGATTGATATTACTTAAAGAGTATGTGATCCTCCTGGCAAGTTCCTCTCTAAACATATTAGTCTGGCCTTAGCAAAGCTTGGCACAAACTTTCAGTGGCGTAATGGTCTTAATGAAATCAGGGCTGAAGTAAGAGACGGATGGCGGTGATGGCAGTCTGTGTGTGTGTGTGTGTGTGTGTGTGTGAATGGAGGGAGAGGTAACATGACCCCATCCCATACATCTTTCTGACAGTAGAGGAGAGCTGCACAGAAAAGACCCTTAAAAAGTAAAACCTCACTCAGACAAGAAGAGGATCCATTATGCTGCTGTGTGCCAAATTTAGATAAACACTGTCTATGTCGCTCCGTCTGTGCCTGTCTGTACCAGATTCTTGGAACTTGTTAAAACCTATTTTATACTTATAACTAGTTTGACAGGAAAGTTCACCATGTAGAACTTGTCAGAAAGTTCTCAGGATTTAAAAAGGAAATAATCAGTGTCACTCATTCTCCAGAAACTGCAGAGTTCTACACAACATTTTAGTGTTTCTGCTTTATTTATTTATTCTTTTTACTCATTTCAGATTGAACATCTGTACGGGCTGACTGTGTTCGAGAACTACTTGTATGCCACTAACTCAGACGAAGGCAACCTCAACCCGAAGACCAGTGTGATCCGAGTTAACCGCTTCAATAGCTCTGACTTCCAGGTCGTGACACGGGTAGACCGGGGAGCAGCACTACACGTGTACCACCAGAGACGCCAACCTCAAGGTACTCATTCACAGAAATCTTTACTGCCAGTTAATTTGATTCATGTCCACTGTTTGCACAAGTGTTATAAAGTCATGTGCTTCTGTCTCCTGGTTCAGTGCGCAGCCATGCTTGTACTCTGGATCAGTTCGGGAAGGCTGGAGGTTGTTCTGATATTTGTCTCCTCAGCAACAGCCACAAAACTCGTACCTGCCGCTGTCGCTCTGGGTTCAGCCTCGGCAGCGATGGCAAATCCTGCAAAAGTGAGTATCAAAACTGAGGGGAATAATTAACGAAACAAAACTGAAAGCCTTCTCATTAATTCAGCGGTGATGATTGATGATAATTGAGATGAAATGGTGGTTACTAAATCTCTCACTGAAGTAATAAAAGTGATTTATTCAGCATGTTTCTCTCCTCTTCTGCAGAGCCAGACCACGAGTTGTTTTTGGTGTACGGTAAGGGTCGTCCTGGGATCATCAGGGGCATGGACATGAATGCTAAGGTGCCTGATGAGTACATGATCCCCATTGAGAACCTAATGAACCCCCGAGCTCTAGATTTCCACGCTGCCAGTGAATTCATCTACTTCGCTGATGCCACAAGCTACATTATAGGCCGACAGAAGATTGATGGCACAGAGAGAGACACCATAATAAAAGAAGGTAAGAATAAAATGAAAGCTTCGCACAGGATTCTGGGAACTATTTCTCTCGACATTCATCTAGGCCAACAAATGATTTCTTTTCACTCTGGCTTCTTTTTGTGATCTCAGGTATTCACACGGTTGAGGGGATAGCTGTAGACTGGATGGGAAGTAATCTCTACTGGACAGATGATGGACCAAAGAAAACTATCAGTGTTGCCAGGCTGGAGAAGGCATCTCAGACCCGAAAGACCCTCATTGAGGGCAAGATGAGCCATCCGCGCGCAATTGTGGTGGACCCCCAGAATGGGTGAGACACTGAGGGAGAGGGTATTGTTATTTTAATGGGTGTCTTTGGCTCATAAATGCTGCTTTAGATGTGACGCACAGATGTTTGATCACAGCTGTTGGTGTTATAAGTCACAGTTGATCATATAAAAGTCAGCAAAAGGACCAGTATTCATTTTCTTTTGTGTTTAACATTGTCAACTTTCTGTTGTTTATATTTTAGCAAACTTGTTCACAGAAAGATTTATGCTTAAAATTTGAAATTTAAATTCCACAATGAAATCTGATTTAAACACAGATCTTTGATCTGATCTAAACTGTGAGATTTACGAGCTGCTGCACTCCGAGTCGCATCATGATTCAACTGTTTTGTTAGAGTTATTACTTGTAGTGTAGTGGGAGTGGACGGTTTGAGGATTTTACTTCAGCTATGTGGGCTGTTGCACTTTAGATGTTTTGTTTAGCTCATCAAATACACAAGCGTAGGTGGAGGAGGTAGTGAATATTCAGGGGATTTCTGGCTTGTCCTTTTTTGTCTTGTTTTTTTTTCTTAATTGTAGGATGTTTCATCAAAGAGCATCAAAACTCAAAGCTACAATTTGATCGCCTTGACAATTCACAAACTTTGATTATGTTGACAATTCCTCTTTTTTTCCCAGATGGATGTACTGGACCGACTGGGAGGAGGACCCCACAGAGAGCAACAGAGGGAAGATAAAGAAAGCCTGGATGGATGGTTCCCATCATCAAGTGCTACTAACCAGCAAGACAGTGCTTTGGCCCAATGGTTTGAGTCTGGACAGCCCCCAGGGCATCCTGTACTGGGTGGATGCTTACTACGACCGTATAGAGATGGTTTTCCTCAACACTACAGAGCGAAGGGTTGGTAATTCTCAGGAAATATATTAAAGCGATTATTAGTTTGTGATAAAGGGATGCTACTTCACTGTTTGGTTAAAAAAGTAAAAAGTTATAAAAGTAAATTAATTTGTAGAAATACAAATTTTATTGGGGGAGTCTAACTCAAAGTCCTGATTTGACAGGTTGTGTACGAGGGGCAGGAGCTTAACCACGCCTTCGGTTTGTGTCACTACAAACAATTTCTCTTTTGGAATGAATGCCGTGGCGGTGGCATCTACAAACTGGATCAAGTCACTAAAACCGTCACCCTTCTGCGCAACGAGAGGCCGCCTATCTTTGAGATTCGTGTGTATGATGCGCACCAGCAGCAAGGTATGCCCCTCTTTTACTCATTTAACTCAAACCATGACTGTGGAAGGATGAATCTCATGCTCTTTGTTTGTCTTTTCTGGTAGGATCCAATTTGTGTCGAGTCAACAATGGTGGCTGTAGCAGCCTGTGCCTCGCTATTCCTGATGGCAGGTCCTGTGGCTGTGCTGATGATCAAATCCTGGATGTTGATAATGTCACTTGCAAAGGTACTTATTAGCTTTCACCTCAGATCCATGTGGATTTTATGGAAAATTCATAATTCTGCTTAAGAATTTCAGCCACTTGAAATACTTTACTCTCTCTTTGCCAAATCAACCCAAAAGTTTGAAAAAACTTTTTACGACTTGAAGAAAAGTGAAAGATGACCCAGGCACTAAAAAGCTTTGTTTTGTTTTGTTCTTGGATCTTGTCGCGATCCCCCATCTGTTTCTACTCCTACCCCTCACCTCATCTCCAGCCAACCCCTCCTACGTGCCCCCACCCCAGTGCCAGCCCGGGGAGTTTGCCTGCAAGAACGACCGCTGCATCCAAGAGCGCTGGAAGTGTGACGGGGACAATGATTGTCTGGACAACAGCGATGAGGCCCCTGAACTCTGTCGTAAGTGTGCCATGTTATTGTCATGGTTACACAGCAACACAAAAATAAACACAAATTCTCTGTCAGCGAGTTGGCTCATTCAGACTACATGCTATAGTTTCCAAGATTGCCTCATTTCATAACGTGTAATGTGACTGGAATTTTATTGTCCAACTTTCTCCTCATCAGGTGGTAGTCAGATCCAGGGACTCATATTTGTCTTGGATGTTGTGCTCGTTTTGGTGCTTAATTTAACTTGACGTACATGAAGAGGGTTGCAGGCTTATTTTGGAGGCTGAACAGAATATAAAAGAGGTGAAAAAGAAGTTTTGAAAGAGTCCTTTTTTGTTTGTTTGTTTGTTTCCAGACCAGCACACCTGCCCGGCTGACAGGTTCAAATGCCAGAATAACCGTTGTATCCCCCTGCGCTGGCTGTGTGATGGAGACAATGACTGCGGAAACGATGAAGACGAATCCAACACCACCTGCTCTGGTGTGTAGAAAACTAGAAATCTTAAAGAGAATTAAAGGTTTTAGCCATGTTTTAATCTTTAAGATATAGGATGTATCTTTTTTATTTTTTAGAGGTTAAACGTTTGTATTTATTTATTTATTTATTTATTTTTCAAATAGAATTTATTTGAACATGAACAACAATTAAATATAGTACAAATTAAAGACAAAAACACAAAAAATCCATAAAAAAAAAACAGAAAAAACAAAACAAAACCAGAGAGTCAAATAATTTTGTCATTTGCATGTTTAAAATGAAGTGGGAGGAAGTCGAAACTTGTCTGATCCCACCCCTTCACCTTGCACGAATCATCAATAATTCATTTACTAGGACAGAAATTTTACTGACTGCGGGTAGGGCATTGTACTGCAACTGAGAAAGACAAACATAGATCTTTTAGCCTCATAATTTATCAGTTTAGATCACTTTTAAGTTGAAGAAAGATTTTACTAGCAGTTAAGGATGTTTGGATCTGAAATGATAATCGACTAAAATAAAGCAAAGGCCCTTGACTCACTGAGTTTATAGATCCTATGATAGCGTCTCAGGTGAAGTTAGGAAAGCTATAAACTGTCTTGTACTTAATAAAGATAAGTGATATTGCTTTTGGGGGTCTGGCCCTGTGCAAAACATTTCCAGCAATAAATGTGGCCTGTTAGAGCTGAACAAAATCTCCGATAGTGTGGTAACTTATTGAGTCAGAGACAATAAAAGGAGAGAGGGAACCTTCGCAGCTCCAAAGTGTCTCACACATTGATTTCCCACCAGCTCGCACATGCCCACCAAACCAGTACCCTTGTGCCAGTGGACGCTGCATCCCTATCTCTTGGACATGTGACCTGGATGATGATTGTGGAGACCGATCAGATGAACCAGACTCCTGTGGTGAGTTTGAACAACACTGTCACATTACTTCTCTCAAGTAGCACATACAGTAGTTGTTTGCAATAACAAATCTGGCTCTGATTCCTTTCCAGCCTACCCAACATGTTTCCCTCTGACTCAGTTCACCTGCGCTAATGGCCGCTGCATCAACATCAACTGGCGCTGTGACAACGGTAATTTCTATTCTACAGCTGCCTACTTTACCCTCTCTGAGGGTCTAATTCATAAACTCACAACTTGCCTGTGTGTTTTCCTGTAAAGACAATGACTGCGGGGACAACAGCGATGAAGCAGGCTGCAGTCATTCCTGCTCCAGTGTCCAATTTAAATGTAACAGCGGTCGCTGCATCCCAGAATACTGGACGTGTGACGGTGACAATGACTGTGGGGACTACAGCGATGAGACTCATGCCAACTGTACCAACCAGGGTAAACAAAGTTACTGTGCGGTCTACCTCACTGAAACAGCACTTCTCTTTGTGCTGTGGTTTTCGTCTCTGCTGGATGAATCAAGCTCTTGTAATGCGCTGTGTTGTCTAACACAATATTTACATGTAGCTGTTCTCAGTTCTAAAGAGGATGTCATGATTTAGATGGGATAGCCCCCCTCTTTTCCCCTTTCCTTTGCTCTGCATGCCTCTGCCTGCCCTCTGGCTTCCTCTTATCATTTACAACAAATCCCTTTCTATTTTTGGGTTAGATAAAGTAAATTGAGATCTTTTCATGTTCTTGTGCAAATTAGTTAAGAATAAGTAAAAGAATAACTGCTCACCACTCTCTGTAACAATGACTCAGGCTTTTTAATAGCACAGCATTAGACATAAACTCCCATACACTCTGTGTGTCTGGTGTTGTATGGACCGTTTGATCCATGCAGAAACACAGCCAACTGCTGTCAAGTCCCAGCATGCAAACACAGAGCCCAGCGTGACCTGTTGGTCTAATGAGCAATCTGTGCTGTGTGTAACTGTGAGTCTGGCCGTGTGCGTTTGAGAGCTCTCTCTGCCTGCTGTCTGGAAGTCATTAGCTGAAATAAAAAAGCAATGCTATCATTTCCCCCTTCTTGTATATTGTAGCCGTGTGTGCTGAAAGGTCCCCAGCCCATTTCCTGCGTTAGTGGTGCCAAGAGCTGACCTATGCCATGAGGGGATGTGATTGTGTCACCTCCAATTGGAGCCTTTAATCTGCCTGTGAAATCTGTCAGTGAGCTGTGTGTGTAATTGTTGTTTGACTTGGCTCGGTGTCAGGTTGTTAAAACGATTATCACAGCATACCTACACATGAATTAATGGCTAGAATGGGTTGCTGTTCATCCTTGTATGTGTGGTCTGTGCTGGTGTTGTTTTCTTGTTGGGAGTCCAGCGAACTTATTTTTCATTTGCTGTCTTTTTTTTGTACTTTATTGCTCCTTTGACGTTTCTTTAACTGCATACTCCATCTTCTTGGGTGACTAACTATCACACTTTGTCTTGCTGTTTGCTCTCCAGCTACCCGTCCTCCAGGCGGCTGCCACGTTGATGAATTCCAGTGTCGGATGGATGGTTTGTGCATCCCTATGCGCTGGCGCTGTGACGGGGACACAGACTGTATGGACCTGAGTGATGAGAGCAACTGTGAGGGTGTGACCCACATGTGTGACCCAGCAGTCAAGTTTAGCTGCAGGGATTCAGGTGAGAATACTTTCAGCCAGCTTGAGTAGCAGAGGTTAAGGGTGGTGAACTTTTGAAGATGTCAGCTTAGAAATTCAATGATGTAGTTCAGTAAAAAAACTGTTCTCTGACAAATAACAAGAAGTCTAATTAAAAAAAAGGACTAGTGGCAGCTGAACATCATGTTTTTAAACTAAACGGATCAATGTCAGACTATTTACTGAAAAGAGATTTTTTTTTTCAACAATCTGTTTATTAAATGTTCTAACCATAACAAAAATAGCAGGAACATTAGATGTGCATGAATGTCCGTGAGAGTCAATTTTTCCAAGAAAACATATATAAAAAGAAATTATATGCAAATGTTCAAGGACGATGGCTAAACATACATAATGATTATTCAAGATAAATGCTTGTAAACGTATATGTAGATAAATAAATAAAAATAGTAAAATATATCCTGCATGATTAGACAATAGAAACAGCAGAGATACAAAAAAAGAAAGGACATACTTTTGATGCTTCTCATTTGACTGTTGAGATGTTTTGTCAATGTTAACGACCAGATTTTGTGTGCCAATCCGCTGTAAATGGGAGTAATTTACATTTCTAAGCAAACCCAGTTCGATATATACCTTTTAACGCTTGTATAAAACCAATCTAAAAGAGGGTGTTATAGTAACAGTGAAATATATTATACCCAAGCTAAAAAAAACATTTTTGATTTTCTACAGCTCGCTGCATCAGTAAAGCCTGGGTTTGCGATGGCGACAGTGACTGTGAAGACAACTCTGATGAAGACAACTGTGAGGCGTTGGTGTGCAAATTGTCTCATCACATGTGCGCTACCAACGACTCCATCTGTCTGCCTGCTGAGAAGCTGTGTGATGGCACTGATGATTGTCCGGATGGCTCTGATGAGAAACTTTGTGGTAAATCATTCTGTGTACTCTCCAGTATTATTAAAACACTGTCAGAGCAGCACACTGTTTTTTTTTTTCTGGAATATACTGTTAAACATTAATAATCTCCTGCAGATTTGTGCTCACTGGACAATGGCGGCTGCAGCCACAACTGCAGCATCATTCCCGGGGAAGGCTTCATGTGCTCTTGTCCACTTGGCATGGAGCTTGGAGCTGACAATAAGACATGCCAAATCCAGAGCTTCTGTGCCAAACACCTCAAATGCAGCCAGAAGTGCGAGCAGGAGAAATCCAGCGTCAAGTGTTCCTGCTATGAGGGCTGGGAGTTAGAGTCTGACATGGAAAGCTGCAAAAGCTCTGGTATGGAACAAAGGGTCATTTTTTGGCAAGATGAGATTACTTTATTAGTACACAAATTAAGCTTTTTTTGTTATGTATATACAGTACTCCTATGCATCTTTTTGTTAAAGATATATTCTTCACAAAATGAGCAGCAAATCCATTTAGATAATCAGCCATTTTCCCCAGAATGAGGTAGACAGAGAGGAGATATCACACAGTCAGCTGCAGCAGGATTTGATACAAGCCCAACAAGGGGTTTTGTAAATCTGGACTGGATTTTATAATGAGATTTACCAAGTTGAGACATTTACGCTTTTGGGGGTTTCACTTTTGTTCTCCTCAGATCCTTTCAAGCCTTTTATCATCTTCTCCAACCGGCATGAAATCAGAAGGATCGACCTTCACAAGGGGGAGTTTAGTGTGCTGGTACCAGGCCTGAGGAACACCATTGCTCTGGATTTTCACCTCAACCAAAGTACGCTGTACTGGACTGATGTCGTGGAGGACAAGATCTACCGTGGGAAACTGTCTGAAAACGGAGGTGAGGCAGTCTGACAGCTTGGATTTTCAGAAGGACAGTGGTCATGTAGTATACTTTTTTTATTCAGTTTTTTTTTCTTTTAGTAAAACAGAAAAGAAGAAGGATAACTACTCATGATGAGATAGCACCACACATTGTGCCTTTTACTGAGCAATTCTCAGAAATTAACTTCCCCTGAGTGAATGCATGTTATTTCTGAAAGCCAAATGTTTTTCGAGAGCGTCTGTGGTCAGCAGAGGCGGTCTATGACCCTGAATAAATCTCCCGGGTCATGGTTGGCCGTTCCTGCTCCAAAAACCCCAGGTCTCCTTGCCAATCAAGGTTGTGTTCCCAGCGCAGCACTCAGGGGGCACACGGAAGGCTTTGTCTCTTCCTATTTGTCTCAGTACTCTCTGTGCGTGACTGCAGCCAGAACACTGATGGAGAGTAGGAGGCAAAACATGCTGCAGTTCCAACTCCCAGCCTTCCAACTTCACTGTTTCAATGGGACTCTTTAGCTACAACACTGTGACCAACTCATAGATCAGCTCCTGCTGCTCTGCTCTAAAGCCGTTTCAAAATCACCAAAGTTGTTGGCATACTAACAGCACGTACAGACAGAAAGGCAGCCATAACTCCAACATGCTGCTAAACCGTGGAAATAGCCTCTCCTCCTCCTCCTCCTCCTGTTGATTACAACTTGAAGGCCCAGTGAGGAATTTTCTGTGGTTGTCCTAAGCCAGAGGATCACACTTTTTGGTTTTGCACTTCTCCGCATGAGAACCCGATGTTTCTGGGAAAAAAATAAAACAAGTAGTAGATCTTGTGTTGGATGTTTATTGTTTTTAGGCATGAGTGAGGCTGGGAAGATAGAGCTGGTAGAAGGCGTGCTGAGAGACACAGCAGCAGTGCGTGCCATTCACCGAGATTCCATGAGAGACAATTCAAAACAAACGATTATTTATCAGGGTTTTGTTTTCTCTCTGCTATCACCCAAATGTGCAGGCTTCTCACTCTCTGCTGATTCAAACCATGACAATGAATACAGTGAATTTACTAAATTACAACCAATCCTTTTACCCTTAAACTAACCACTTACATCATAATGCTTTAAACTTGCTGTTCAGTTGTGAAAAGCAGGATGAATAACCAAAATCTTTGCTAAAATTAAGTCACTGTGTGTCTTATTCAGCACTGACCAGTTTCGAGGTGGTGATCCAGTATGGACTCGCCACTCCAGAGGGCCTGGCTGTGGACTGGATTGCAGGAAACATCTACTGGGTGGAGAGCAATCTGGACCAGATTGAGGTGGCTAAACTGGATGGGACTATGAGAACCACCCTGCTGGCTGGGGAGGTGGAGCATCCAAGGGCTATTGCACTTGACCCCAGAGATGGGTGAGAAATCGCGATTGAGGAACTCTTTGAAAAACTTTTCGCCTGGGATCTTTGTGTTCCTCATACTGTGCCTTCAATGAAGCTGCCAGGTTCTCATTACTTTGTCTGTTGTCAGAATTTTGTTTTGGACAGACTGGGATGCGAGTCTGCCCAGGATTGAGGCTGCATCAATGAGTGGTGAAGGCAGGCGCACCATCCACAGGGAAACAGGCAGTGGGGGTTGGCCAAACGGACTCACTGTGGACTATATGGAAAGACGCATTGTCTGGATTGATGCCAGGTAACATTTACCATTATTCCCTGGATGTAGAGTTAACCTGTTACACTCCATTACCTCACTCATTATTACATCACCACTTGTTCAGCCTTGTGTCTGGGTGTTTCCTTTTTATACTTTTACTTTATACATATTTAAGTATAGCATGTGGAGCTTTCAATCAATCAAATTTTTTAAAGCGCCAAAATCACAATATTTGTTATCCCAAGATGCTTTCCAAAGAAAAAGAGCAGGTTAGACCACGCTCATTGTTTGATGAATTATCAAGACCCAACCTTAAGATGGGACAGATTTGACCCATCTCATCTAACATGAGTGACAGTGGCAAGGAAAAACTTCCTTTTAACAGGCAGAAACCTTGGGTAGGACCAGACTCATGTTAGACAGCCACAAAGATGGTGCTGGGTTAGGGGGGAAATACAGAGAGATAGGGAGGGAGAGAGAGAGAGAGAGGAGGAGGAGAGAAGGCAGGGGGAGAGAAAGACAACAAGGGAGAAGGAGAGAGAGAGAGAGAGAGAGAGAGAGAACGAGTAAGAGAGAGGGAGGGAGAGAGAAAAGAGAACGAGGGTGAGAGAGAGAGACAGGGGACAGCAGCAACATTAAAACAACAACAACAGCTCATGCAGAGTTGTGGTTGCAGAGCAAGTAATTAATTTAATATGATTACAGTCAGCAGGCCTAATAGTATTTAACTCTAGCTTTTTGTTATTAATGTCCATGAGGATAACTCTGCTCTAATTCGTCTCTAGGTCAGATGCTATCTACTCCGCTATGTACGACGGTTCTGGCCTGATTGAAGTGTTGCGGGGCCACGAGTATCTGTCCCACCCCTTCGCTGTAACCATGTATGGAGGCGAGGTTTACTGGACTGACTGGAGGACAAACACTCTGGCCAAAGCCAACAAATGGACGGGACACAATGTCACTGTCGTCCAGCGCACCAACACACAGCCCTTCGACCTGCAGGTCTATCACCCCTCCAGACAACCCCAGGGTAAGTTAAACACAACCCAGCTTACAGTTAGAAAAAGACACTCTCATTGAGAAAGAGGGGGCTGTTCCTCAGATTTCTCACTGCCTGACTGATTTGGGGTTCAAGTGAAGGAGAATGGTGACAGTCCATGGTTCAGTGTGTTGATTCACTCCAGCTCCTATTTCTCCTCTGAGATAGCTGACCTTTAAATTTGTGATACGGGTCGTCTCTTTAGCCCAGCAGCTATCTGGACACTTCCAGCTGTCTTGTTGATCTCCCTGTTCAGATTTCTCCACCAGCTGAATAGGAGATAAAAACCCTCCTACTATGAATCAAATGTCATGCGTTGCTCTCCGAGGCACACAATGATTGACAAGATGGCAAAAGATTCTCCAAACTGTGAAACCGCTGCATCCTGCCGCACTGAACTCTCCCTGGTGCCAAGCAGCCGATAGGGGATCCCGAGGGTGTGTGTGCAGCAGAGAGGATCTGGGTCCCGTAATTGGAGGCAGGAAAAGAGAGATATCACGTTACTGTTGATTGACAGCTTGAACTATTCCCATGACAGTGATCAGACAGGAAGCTGTGTTGACAGGCTCAGAGGACACTATTTTTTTTACACTTTCACTTTCCCCGTGGGGGCATTGATTGAGAGGTCATTACGTTCAAAATTACCCTCAACTGTGACGCTCTAGAAACAGTATCTTTGGTTAAACAGTGAGCCGAGTCTAAAACTGACTGTGTTTATCATGACACTTTAATACCATTATGACTATACTGGGTTTTTTTTCAGGTTATGACAACGTTACAATTAACCAGCAGCTGAAATATTCTGCTGGGTCTTAAAAGTCTTAAAGTGTTAAAAATCCAATAATTTAATAATTTGAATTTAAGGCCTTAAAATGTCTAAAATTATCTTAAATACAAATTTGGAAAGGTCTTAAAAATATATTGATGTTACTTAGAAATAAAGATTGATTTGAAGTTAGTTTAAGATGTTCCTATTTCCCTTCATATTCTTTTGTACTTTTTTTGCCACTATGGATGTATAATGGATCTTAAATTGTATTCATTATGGTCTTAAACTTGACTTGTTGAAACCTGCAGAAACCCTGTAAACTGTCGAACCTTGGAGGAAACATATTTGATAACCCACTATCTTTAGGCTCAATTTAATTTGAGCATTTTCATATCCTACAATATTGCAATAACTCTCCATTTTAGAAATGACAACAGCTTTGGCCTTTTTTCTGTTAAGTAGATGAAACATGTTGATGTAACTTAAACTTGCACCTGACCTGATGGTTTATTATTTCATGTCTCGACCAACAAAGAGTAGTTGAATAAAACTGTAACAGTTCAGATTTCGCAGATTTGTCTGACTTTTGGCATCAAACTCAACCTGACATTGAAATGTTGGCTCTCAATCCCAAGCATAATGTCTGAGAAAGATGGTGGCGGTGTGCATATGATATATATTTTCTTCATTTTGATTCACCCATTACATCTCCTTGGGGTAAATTTGAAAAATTCAATAACTACCTCTCCTAGTCCTTTGCTTTCCATTTTTCCTAATAGAAAATGTCACAGGGTTGAGGAAAAGTAGTATAGGAGAGTTTGGAGAATCAGACTGCTGCTGCAATCAGTGGATGCTGCTTGTGTCACATAAATCTGCAGAGCAAAAACTAAGATCTACCATAGATGGACTTCCTTACTATTTGTGTCATGCAGCCCCATAAACAGTAGAAACTCGTTGATACATGTGACATCATATACAGTAGGTTTTCACCTGCGCCTGATCAGGACACAGGAAGATTCATATCTCTAAGTGTGAACTTAATATTGTAAGAATGATCTTTGAGCAGTCATTTTACTGTTGTTTTGACTCCAAGCTTTAAGTAGACTGTTATATATGAGTTTATTTTGGCCTGTATCTTCCAATATTAATGGTAGTCTTTACTGACTCTGTCTATTATCAGTCAGGAAACTCACCTAATCTGAGCTGCAGTTGAACTCTGACTGTAAATATGAAAGTAAAGTCACTTATACTTTTAGATTTATTGATAGATTGGTTAATCAAAGGTTGGATTTTTACTTGAGGTAATGGCCTGAAAGTTACCAGCTGACCTTCCTCTCCTTCCATAAATCCTCATGAATCAGAATCAGATCGGCTTCAAATCACCATCTATCATGTTGAGTGGTTGCGAGAGGAGATAATAAAGGAAGCGATGAAACTCCTTGCTCTTGTTATGTTCAACACCCAAACACTTATTGGGTAATTTTACTCAGTTTGTGTTTTTCTCAACCATGCAGGAATATTCAAACTTACTCTCTATGTCATTTTTCCTTTTTTGCTTTCAGCTCCTAACCCTTGTGTCACCAGTGACGGTAGCAGCCCTTGTTCCCACCTCTGCCTCATCAACTTTAACCAGACCTTCTCCTGTGCCTGCCCTCACCTCATGAAACTGCAGGCTGACAAACGCACCTGCAAAGGTAAGAGCACACGAACCCTCACACTGCCTTTTACCCCCAGAACCTTTCAGACCGAGTGTTGACACACAACCCTGTCATCTACAATCCACGTCATCAAAGAGCAAGAAGCAGACCCTTTGTTTGCAGGCGTCTTTCTCACGACTGTCATGACTGCCATGGTGCGCTGAGCCCTTGAATGTGAGACATCAGCGTCTTGAGCTGTCATCTCCTGTGACAGAAGATTTGATTGCACCTCCTCTGTTTGTGCCATGGGGCTCACTTCACTTTCATTCCCATTTCATTTCATACACAAGACTGTCAAAAGTGTTGTGTTGAGGTCTTCATTTGTTGTGATTTGATTTCAGAAGTGGGTTTTATGATGTTTCTGAAGGGGAGTTGTGCATGTGTGTCCGTCTAGATGTTGGACATCCTACAGAGCAATCCTCCTCTCAGCAGTGTAGATTAAAGGATAATTGGATTAGAGAGCCTCTGATGCATCCCATGTCAAATCAGGAGTTCTCAGGGATCAGAGAAACCTCTGTCAAACAATGAATTCAACCATAGCCGGAAATAAACAGGAAGTGGTTACATGTTTGAGTCCATAGAGAGTATTTGCTACCTTCACCTTTTGTTTAAAGCGTCCTTGTCCCCTTTGTTTTTGTTTTTTTCTTCCAGAGTCCCGCAAGTTCCTCCTGTATGCTCGCCAGATTGAGATCCGTGGAGTGGACATCGACAACCCGTACTACAACTACATCATCTCTTTCACTGTACCAGACATAGACAATGTCACAGCGGTGGATTATGATGCTGTGGAGCAACGCATATACTGGTCAGATGTCCGAACCCCAACCATCAAGAGAGCTTTTATTAACGGCACAGGAGTGGAGACTGTCGTGTCTGCTGGTAAGAGTGATCGCATGAATTTCTGTCATTTCAGTATCTTTATCATCTTTATTTTATTATACAAGAAAAGCATGAAAATAATATTACATCCTAATCTTTCCTATTGTATTTCCCAGACCTCCCTAATGCTCACGGGCTGGCAGTTGATTGGGTTTCCAGAAACCTCTTCTGGACCAGTTATGATGCCAATAAGAAACAGATTAATGTGGCCAGGCTGGATGGGTCCTTCAAGAACGCTGTCATCCAGGGCTTAGATAAGCCCCACTGTCTGGTGGCTCATCCTCTTCTGGGGTGAGTTTACTCCTGTCATCTTTGAGCCTGATGCAGAATTTCTCTCTAATCATGAAACTTTTAATTTTATTTAATTGATTTAAATGAATTAATTTGGGTGTATTTTGTCCTTCATTTCATTCCCTTTCATTACATTCATATTCCTCCTCAGGAAGCTGTACTGGACTGATGGTGACAACATCAGCATGGCTAACATGGATGGCAGCAACCACACCATACTTTTCAGTAATCAGAAGGGACCAGTAGGTGAGCAAATGTACCCCCTACTGAAATAATCCACATTGCACTGATTCTCTATTTGCAGCAAAACGGTGAGCTCAAATCTCTGTAGAGTTAGTTTGTCATTCATAATAAATCAGAATTTTGCAGTTTTGGTCAATGTGGGCACAGGAGTGAGTACAGTTTTCTGTACAAAAAACACTTGAAAATGTCTCACCGATCAAAACTGATTCCCAGTGAAATTGTCAAACTCTTCACATTTAGAAATATTCATTCATCATTTCAGCATCAGATGCAAAATAATTCATTTAGTTATCACATCTCTTAGACACGCATATACAATGCTCAGCATGAATGAGTACACCCCTTCAGAGTTTTCAGGAAACCTTTTAGTTTCCTTTCAAAATCAACATTTTCTATGTCAGTGTATACAACAAAATATCCCCTAAAATGTAGGCCATTGATTGCAGACACGATTTTTTAAGTTGCATACACATTTTTTTTCAATTTAAAATCAGGATGCAAAAATTAGTACACCCAATCAAAGTTCTTGGATCAAAGATAAATTTTAGTCACCATTTCACCCTTATTTTCATCTTATAATAAATAAGATGTTATGTTAGACTCCGCTTTGTCAAAACTTTGGAAATTGTACTTTTGCTTATCTAGATATTGAGTAATACATTACTTTTAATAGGGAGTGTACTGACTTAATCTGGGCACTGTATATTTTGTAAATATTTATGAAATGAACTATTAGTATAATGTCCGCCATAGTGAATTGCATTTGGACCTGACAGGTGAAAGTGTGCAATGCAGAGGATAGGTTCCCCTAACACCAGGAGATATTTTATTTTCTGCAGGGGAAAAAGTCACAAATGTTTCCCAATGAAGCCACAACAATTGAGAGAAAACTGCAACTCTACAGGCTAAAAGCAAAAGTAACAATTTTTATATTGGTGTGAGTCGAGATATGCTGTATGTGTATGACAGAATCATTATTCTTTCCACCCAGGCCTGTCTATTGACTATGAAAAAGAGCAGCTGTACTGGATCAGCTCAGGAAATAGCACCATTAACCGCTGTCAGCTGGATGGGACTAAACTAGAGATCCTGGAAGGCGTTAAAGGCAAACTCACCAAGGCCACAGCCTTGGCTATTATGGGTAAGATGAAAAGATTTCAAAGTAATATACTCGGTTCTCCAACTTTCCCTTTTTGAAAGTAACTTAATTTTACTGATTATATTTAAAGGAGTAAACATCTTTAAACCTGTAGCCATCGATGATATATTAATATTAAAAAAATCTCTCTCCCTGTAGGAAACAAGCTGTGGTGGGCAGACCAGGGGACTGACCAGATAGGAACATGCGACAAGAAGGACGGAGGAAACTGGAAGATCTTGCGAAACAACACCTCTCCTATGATGCACATGAGGATCTATGATGAAGATGTGCAAAAAGGTAATGATAACCACTGAAAACATGATTGTCAGACACATAAAAACATATCTTTCTTTGATATGGAGGTGTCGAACAGATATTATGCACTCGATGTACTTAACCCTCCTGTGCTGATATTGCACATGACGTCTCTATACAAAACGTATGCCTCTGTTCTCCTTTTTCCTCAGCGGGTATCAACCTGTGCAGTAACAACAATGGAGACTGCTCCCAGCTCTGTCTGCCCACCTCACCAACCACCAGAGCCTGCATGTGCACAGCTGGATACAGCCTTAAAACAGGACAGCAGTCCTGTGAAGGTAAGACACTATATCACAGATGAACACATACAGTGAGCCCTTAAACAGTGACTTATGGTGCCATGTCTGAGCAGGTATGGGCTCGTTCCTGCTGTACTCTGTCCATGAGGGAATTAGGGGCATTCCACTCGACCCCGCAGACAAATCTGACGCTCTGGTGCCGGTGTCTGGCACCTCTCTGGCTGTCGGTATCGACTTCCATGCCGGTGAGTGACACTGAGGGACATCAGCAACTAGATAGCCTTGACTGAGTGACATCTTGAAGCTGTCATCTTCTCAGAGAAGTGAGCACCTATGGGATGACACAAAAGGTCTCTTTGTTTTTCAGAGAATGACACAATCTACTGGGTGGACATGGGCCTGAGCACCATCAGCAGGGCCAAGAGAGACCAGACGTGGAGAGAAGATGTGGTCACCAACGGCATTGGCAGGGTCGAGGGCATAACAGTTGACTGGATAGCAGGTCCAGCTATTTGAGATTAGGAATCATATTTTGATTTATGGACTACATATTCATGCCAACACTGATGAATAACCTCAAAGCTGTATATCTCTTCTTGTCTTAACAGGAAATATTTATTGGACTGACCAGGGCTTTGATGTTATTGAGGTAGCCAGGCTGAACGGCTCCTTCCGCTATGTAGTCATTTCTCAGGGTCTGGACAAGCCCAGAGCCATCACTGTGCACCCTGTCAAAGGGTAAGCCTTCTTGCTAAAATCTTTCCTCTTTGATACTGTCACCTTCAAACTCCTGCTGTTTTCTTCCAACTGTGTTGCTGTGTTTGAAATTTCAGAAATGTGCCCGACTCATTTTAGATATGTTGAATTTTGCAGGTACCTGTTCTGGACTGAGTGGGGTCAGTACCCTCGTATTGAGCGCTCCAGGTTGGATGGCAGCCAGAGGTTGGTCCTGGTCAATGTGAGCATCAGCTGGCCTAATGGGATCTCCATCGACTATGAGGTCAGGACCACAGCTGAAGTCGAGACTCTCCAAAACTCTTTTTTTTTTTTTTATTGGAGTTTGAAAAGGTTGCACTACTCTTGTTGAAGCCAGTTATGGGAACTTTGTAAAAGAGTGGACCATTAGCAAGAGAAAATGTCGGCATATTATAATTGTGGTGGTTTGTTTCTTTCATTTAAGTTTCATTGTGTTATCACATATTAGATATTGATTCATAAGTGCGTTTGATTTTTTGTGAAATATAAAAGTCCTTCACATTGCCTTTTCCTTCTTTATTTCTGCATTTAGTTATTATTTGAATCAATATTATGTCTAGTCTTGGTGGCCCTTTAAGAAAATACAAAATAATTCAGTAGTCTGTGAAATATGATCTTACTGATGTTTTTCTGCTTCCTTCTACAGGAGGGACTGCTGTATTGGTGTGATGCCCGAACAGACAAGATTGAACGAATCAACCTGGAGACAGGAGAGAACAGGGAGCTGGTGCTGGCAAACAACAACATGGACATGTTTGCTGTGTCTGTTTTTGAAGAATACATCTACTGGAGTGACAGGTAAGATTGCTGAACCATTTTTTTTCCCATGGTGTTATTATCTAATCATTTTTATCCATGCTGACAGCTTTGAAATCATGTGGTGTTGTGTTGTGCCGTCTCAGTTGACTCTCAGCGTTGTTATCTGTTGTTCAGAACTCACGCCAACGGCTCCATCAAGAGAGGCAGCAAAGATAACGCGACTGATGCTGTGCAGCTCAGGACTGGCATTGGTGTTCAGCTGAAAGACATCAAGGTTTTCAACAGGGCAAGGCAGCAAGGTACAAAGGCACAGAGGAGACACACATTCTTCTCTTATTTCCTTGTAACACCCTTTTTCCCTATTTTTTTTATTTAATTATTTTGTAGATGAGTGATTGTATAATCATGGAATGAATGTTTATGTAATGTTTTTATTTTCGTGTTGGACTCCAGGAAAACTAGCTTTGTCTTGACAAAAGTTAATGGGGATCCTAATAAACAATAAACACACATGCACGCACACTCTGAAACTCAAAAGTATGCATATTGATAGCAGTTGGATGCCTCAGGTTACAACTACATGCATACAGAATGAGCCTTCACTCATACATGCACACTGATGATTTGTTTGTCAACAAACTTAATGAATTTGTCACCCTCTCAGGCACCAATGTCTGTAAAGATAACGGCGGCTGTGAACAGCTGTGTCTTTACCGCGGCAACGGACAGCGCACCTGCGCATGTGCCCATGGCATGCTGGCAGAGGATAACCGCAGCTGTCGAGACTATGATGGATACCTGCTGTACTCAGAGCGTACTATCCTGAAGAGCATCCACCTGTCAGATGAGACAAACCTCAACGCTCCAATAAAGCCGTTTGAAGACCCAGAACACATGAGGAATGTCATCGCCCTCAGCTTTGATTATCATGGTGGCGGAGGGAAGGGAACCAACCGCATCTTCTTCAGCGATATCCACTTTGGCAATATCCAGCAGATCAATGATGACGGCACGGACCGCAAGATTGTAGTTGACAGTAAGTATGAAGTCATCAATCACATGTCACTTTTTTAAAACCCCTGTGAAATATTCACAAAACTCCCTGAAGCACCTTTCTGACTCTTGACAAACTTTCAGCTGTGTGTGCACTTCCTTTTATTCTGCCTATTCATGATTGTATGTTGTCCTTCATCTCCTTGGTGCTGTAAACAGCCATCATTTCAGATTTTGTCAAAATAAGCACCGGGTACGATCCACTGTAATGTACACACAGCTGCAGCTTCTCAACTAGAGGAGATTGACATCACTTAGGGCTGCCACTTGAGGACGGCACACTGGCACCCACAGACACCCACTTACACTGTGCTTTGTAATTGCTCCAAATAGCGAGCACTTGTGAATCATATAAAGTGTCATCCTAAATCCCACTTTAAATGATTCACAAGGAGGTTGTTGAACTTCATCCAGACTAACACATTTAAAAGCCTGGGGCCAAAGATGTGATATGCTAAATAAGACAAAAAAGAAACATTATATTTTTAAAGCAAAGACAGGACCACCAGAGGTTAGTATATTTATTGATGTGGTGTTTAGATCAAAGTTTGAAACAGGACTTAAAAGTAAAGGCTGATTTTATTAATCAGCAACTACAGAATTTTAAAGGCTTAATTTATACAGTCAAAAAAAAAAAAAAAAAAAGCTTCAGCTTTGCAAAAAATTGAATCAAAAGGTAAAAAATGAAAACCACTGTGTTTTTTTACTTTCTACAGGAAATACCTATAAATTTGTCTTTACTGTAGCTTTAAATAACAAAAACTAGGTTTCCACCCAGACAGAGATTTGCCAGATTCAGCACACTGTCATTCAGGCACATTTCTTAATTATTACATGACAACTAGCAGACTTATACTGTATGACTATTTGAAAAAAACAAAATATACAGTAAAAAAGGTTTATTATTATTGTTATTATTGATATTGATATTCAAATTCAAGTTCACCTTTATTTTTATGGCACTATACATACAAGAATTTAATTCAAAGTGCCTCACAGAGGCTAAAAAACAATAAAAGCTGACCCTCTTACCCACACACACACACACACACACACACAAGTGCACATAAAGCCAGCATTTAAGATATATTGCTAAAGAGACATGGCTTGACACTGAGACATTGCATGAGGAAAGAGCTACTATTGGGAAACACTGGAGATAAAAACAGAAATATAAAATTTAAAAAGAGAGTAAAACATGATGGCTAAGACAAAAGGATAACATAAAATGAACAAACAAGTTAGAATAAAAATACATAAAATAAACATTAAGAACTTTGATTAAAAAAGAACAGTAGATTTCATACTTTGCATGAACCAGCCCTGGATCAAGGAGTTCTCTCTTAGCCACAGAGTCAGTTCTGGCCTCCCTCTGAGGTTGTGTCCAGCTCAAAAGGCTGCACCATGTCTCTGTTTATCCCAGGAGGGCAGCCAATCAGACAGCTTTTGCACCATGCCCAGCGCTCTCTTCCCAGCTCTAACAAGTCCCGTCTAAACTTCTGAGACATAAATCCATAGAGAATAGGGTTCACCACGGCTACTGAGGATGCTAACAGTCTAGCTAAGATAGCAACAGTGTTGTAGCCGGTTGAGCCTGTGATGGTTCCTCCAATGAATGAAAACATTAGGGCATAGGAGGGCAGCCAGAGAAGGGTAAAGACCAGGACTAAGAGGGCTGAAGTGTGAGTGACTTGTCTCTGGTATTTCTCCAGCTGGGGAGCGTTCCCCAGCAGACTTGCATGTCGTAGAAAACAGTAGATCTTCGCATACATCAATATGATGATTCCCAGTGGGAGGGCAAAGCCGAACAGGAAAAGAGCAATGCTGTAGATTAGCTGACTGAAGTCTGACAGGAAGGCAAAGCAGTAAACAGAGCTGGACGCTGTAACTGTGCGGAAGGCAAACTGTGGTGCTGCTAAGGCCGAGGCAGGGACCCAGAGAAGAGCCACCATCAGCTTTATGCGGCGATGCATCCTTGACCGAAATGCCCAGGTGGGGTGAACCACTGTGAGGTATCGTGTCACGGCCAGAGCTGCGAGCGTGAAGACTGAAGCAGTAGAGCAGGCCACGCCCAAGAAGCTGATGGCCTTGCAGAGATAGCTGCCAAAAGGCCAGAAGCCCAGAGTGATAGCGGAGGTGTGGAAAGGCAGACAGAGCAGCAGCAGCAGGTCAGCTGCACTCAGAGCCAGCAGCAGGGTGTCGGTACCATGTGGGGGCTGACTTTCTTTCCTTCTCCTGCCTGTCAGAATGGTGATCACCAGGATCTGACCAACCAGACCGGTCACTAGAATCAGCCCGTCCAGGATGGGCACTATTACTTTCACCAAAGAGTCATCTGCTCCATTGAGTTGGCTGAGCCTGCTTATGTTCACTTGCTGCCCCAAGGTCTCCATGTCTCCAGAGTAAAAGTCTGTTGAGTAATTACTCTAATGGTCTGTAAAATTGAAGCATCAGCGTGATCACACGGTGTTACAGTGATGCATCTTTGGCTCCAGTTCTTGTCCTTATTACACTGATCAAGGGTATGGTCATGCACTATTAAGTACATTCAAAGTTATAGCAATTAGTTAAGCAGTTAAGTTCACATTGGTCCATTGACTTCATTAACTTTTAATTTCTCTGCTCCTGCAGGAAAACAGACTGTAGATCCTAGCTTGTTTGTGTGTGCAGGTGTACGAGGATCTGCACAAAAATACACTCCAGTGTGAAACTAACCTCTGAGCAAAATAACGACAGTCTTAAATGAACTTTTCTTGTACTTTTATCTTGTCGAGCATCAAGAATCCATATGGACATGACCTTACAGAGCAGACCTTGCACTCTTGCCTCTCCCTTGGCTCCATTAGTATGTTCTTCATAACACTAGGAAGAGTAGTTCGGGTCAAAACTGGAGAGATGTCAATACAGCTGTTTCTCCATGGCTGAATCGATTTCTTGAAACCAGGCAACAGTGGATAAATTCATCCCAGCGGCTGCTAACAGACATTCCACATTGAAAGCAGTTGATGTTGTTTGCAGTAGGAGGCATCTCGTCCATTTAGAAGCTCTTCAGAAACTTGTAACTTGTCGGCTTCAAAATTAACATGATCTTCAATCAATGAAGGAGAAAAATAGATTAGAATAAACAAAAAGAAAAAAGTGGTAATCCCCAGATGTTGGTCCTTAGATTAACAGGGTGGCTCTGTTCTGATTTGTAATGGTCTAAGCCACAGGTTTTCACCCCTGTTTGCACAGTGACCAGGTGATTCGCTGATGTAAGCAAGGGGAGGGAAGACTGTGTTGTTTCTTGTTACATAATATTGTCTTCAGCTTCTTTATTAATCCCTGTCAACAGTGTGGTCTTCCCTTGATTGAGGTAACTGCTTGGGTGCAACTGTTTCTTATTTCTGTTTTGTGCAGCCTGATCTGTGTTTATGATATAACCTTGTGTGTGTTCAGGTCTTTTAGTTGTATTTAGGTTAGTTAACAAGGTTTTAACCTCAACATTAAGGTTTGTTAAAGCTCTTTGTCACTCATCTGAAACGTCTATTAAAGGGTAATTTATGACTTTCAGGCTAAAACAAACAGGTTTTATTGTTCGGAGTAAGTGCTCATAATTGCGGTTGCCAATGTGACCAAGAATGGATGGATGCACACCTTGGAGCCTGTGAGGCTGCCCTTTTCCATGACACTTTATGACCTGTAGGCACCACAGATAACGAAACTAATCCCACTGTTTGTACTTAGAGCTGCCGGTTTCAGAGGAGGGGGAAGGTCTCAGGATAAAAGAGCGATGGTTATCAAGAGCAGCTGCTTCAACTTTGCCATTCACGGCTGACTTCTTTGCCCTGTCTCATCTCCTTAAAGCGACTCGGACTGTTCTAGCAGCGGTTTTTCTTCCCAGAACAAGAAGTGACCATGAATGAGAGTGTCCACAGGGAGCTGTATTTGTATGTGCAGGCAGCCAGCCATGAAATGACAGGATGATACGTACCCTTTAAACTCTGTCCAGGAGCAGCAGGGATGGTGCTTACTCTGCTCAGTGTGGTTCCTCTTCTATTTCACTCTTTCTTGTTCACTTTTCAACCTTTTTCTTTTTTTTACTCAGGGTCTCAGCTTTCATGAACTTTTATAGGAAGATGTGGTTTATCTTAGAGGCCTTAACAGCCTTTTGAATAACATCTCACAAAGTTTGCCATGGGGGCAAATTGTAAAACTATTGTATTGATTTTCTCTGAGTCCTCAGTTTTGGTCCTTGTTAAAGCAGAACCCTTGAGAGGTGGTGTCCTCTAACAAAAAAAGAGAGTGTTTCTCTTAAGATTTCTGGCAGGACAACAAAAATAAAAGTACTGTAGTAAGCAAGCTATTATATGTCCACAATATTTACCCCGGGGCCAATCTCTTTCCTCTCTGTTCCACAGATGTAGGGTCAGTTGAGGGCCTGGCGTACCACCGTGGTTGGGATACTCTCTACTGGACGAGTTACACAACCTCAACAATCACTCGCCACACAGTGGACCAGAGCCGTACCGTGGCCTATAACCGTGACATTGTGGTCACTATGTCCGGAGAAGACCACCCCAGAGCCTTTGTGCTGGACGAGTGTCAGGAGTAAGTGATTGATATCAGACCTCGGTGGTCAGCCCTGTATTGGTGCCAGCTTCCAAAACAATTTCTCATTTGTTTTCCTGACAGCAGATATATTTTAGTTCAGTCAGCCATAACCTCTATACCAAGACATTTAAGAGCCCCCACTGTACCTCATTATGTGTGTTGTGTTTGTTCCCACCACAGTCTCATGTTCTGGACCAACTGGAATGAGCAGGCTCCCAGCATCATGAGGGCCTCTCTGAATGGAGCCAATGTGCTCATAATCATCGGCAGTGACATCAGGACTCCCAACGGCCTGGCGATAGATCACCGAGCTGAAAAACTCTACTTCTCTGACGCCACATTAGACAAGATTGAACGCTGTGAATATGACGGGAGCAGCCGTTATGTGAGTTAGACCTTTCAATTTTTCCACTGGAGTCAAAAAAAGACTGCACAGATGTCACTGAACTGTGAAATGATGCCCTAATCTTTGTGCTTCAGGTCTTGCTGAAGAATGAGCCTGTGCATCCGTTTGGCCTGGCTGTGTACGGAGACTACATCTTCTGGACTGACTGGGTGAGGAGGGCTGTACTCAGAGCAGACAAGTACACAGGAGGAGACATGAAGGTGCTGCGCGCTGACATCCCTCAACAGCCAATGGGAATCGTCGCTGTGGCTAATGACACCAACAGCTGTAAGTTTTATTATTCACTGAAGTTACTGCGAAGAATGTACGGGTCACTTCCTTTATCACTGTGGCTATTTGATTTTTTTTTTAACAAGGTTCATAAAAGGCTGTGTTTTGTTTTCTTAGCCAAGCCAAGACTGTGGGTCTAATGTGACTCTGAGGTGTTTCAGTGTTTTAGTTAAGTCAGACAAAACCTCCACAAGTGTCAAATTATTCACAGTGGAGGTTTCTCCTTGATCCAATAACAACTGACATTCAAGAAACCCTGTGTTTTCTGTACTCCTTAGGTGAGTTTTCCCCCTGCCGTACAAATAACGGCGGCTGCCAAGACCTGTGTCTGCCCACATCTGATGGCCGTGTCAACTGCAGTTGCCGTGGTGACAGACAACTTTTGGAGGACAACGCCTGCTCATGTAAGAGAAAATCTCCTCTGTGTTTTTGTAAATAATTGAACAGATCCTCTCTCAATGAACATGATGGTGATTTTCAAAATGCTCCAATTTCCCCAGCTCTCAACGTGTCGTGTGGGAGTGTGGATGACTTTGAGTGTGGAAACGGTGACTGTATCAACTACAGCTTGACCTGTGATGGCATGGCCCACTGCAAGGACAAATCTGATGAGAAGCAGTCCTACTGTGGTGAGTTTTTCCCAGGGTTTTTAGTTAGTGAGTAGTGAGATATCACAGGTCATGTTTCATTATTTAGCTAATGGGTGTATTCAAATTAGTCTAGAATGAGTGCACAGATAAAATCAATTATACTAGGATTTAGGAAAACTTGTATTAGGGCTGGGCGATATGGCCTCAAATCAATATCATATTATATTGAGCAGTTCACCTCGATAACGATAAATGGACAATAGCTACTCCACAAGATGCTCACCCCCTCCCACATTAACTTTGTCTACTTCAGCTGCCGCTCCAGCTGCTACAACTTTTGAACCGTCCTCCATCTCCTCACCTGTCTTTCCCTCTTTGTTACGGACTGGATGGTGGAGTCACGTCTGTGACGAAGGACAGCGTCTTAAAGGGGCATTAGACCATAGCCTACCTGCACACATCCAAAACCAACTTTTTAAAATTTATTTTTTTGGCACCGAATATACCGATATGGGCAAAATGATGTCAGTTATTGTTGTATTTTGATATCAGTAGATTTTCGGTTTATCGCCCAGCCCTAACTTGTATTTTACAATTGAATAATTCACAAGTGAATAAATACAAATTGTGGTCTTCAGAAAATGTGTATTACAGCTTGTCACTTTTATTTATTACTGTTAGTTAATTCATATTTTGGATTTACTCTAATCAGCTTCTGTTCCTCTACAGCCAATCGACTTTGCAAGAAAGGCTACAGACGCTGCATGAATGGTCGTTGTATTGGCCACCAGTTCTGGTGTGACGGCACAGATGACTGTGGTGACCACTCAGATGAACTGCCATGCAACAGTAGGTTATTTATCTACATGTTCAATCTGCTGCTAATGGAAAAACAACAGAGTTTTTTTTTCAAATAGACTTTGTGATTTTCTACTGGTTAAGCTAAAGAAATGCTTCATTGCATGGACAAAGTACCAAGTTTATGCAGTTCTCATATGAGAAGGGTGTAGTTTCTACTTACTCCCCGTTTTTGAAAACTCTTGTGCCTCTTGCAGTGACACTATGCAAACCAGGAGAGTTTCAGTGCAAAGATGGAAGCTGTATCTCCAACTACAGCCGTTGTGATCAGGTGGTCAACTGTGAGGACGCTAGTGATGAAATGAACTGCCGTGAGTAATGAATGGAAAGAATGACAGGCTTGGATTTTATTTACATGGGAAAATGAGCTGAATGTCTTTTAATGGCAGAGTTTAACAGTGTGTTTATTTCTAATCACTCAGAACCCACCGATTGTTCCCGTTTTTTCCGCCTGGGAGTCAAAGGAGCATCTTTCCAGAGCTGTGAGAAGACCACTCTGTGTTATCTGTCCTCATGGGTGTGTGATGGAAACAATGACTGTGGAGACTTCTCAGATGAGAGAAACTGCCCAGGTTGAGTGTTTTTTTTTCTCTTATGATTCTTGACTTTTTTCTTTCCCTGTCAAATGTTTCACAACATGTTTTTCTGTTTTCTTGCAGATAAAAGGAAGCTTAAATGTCCAGTCAACTTCTTTGCTTGTCCCAGCGGTCGCTGCATTCCTATGAGCTGGACCTGTGATAAGGAGAACGACTGTGAGAATGGAGCAGATGAGACACACTGTGGTTAGTTCTCTACAAAGTTACCCTCTTATACTCTTATTTATAGAAAACATTAAGACTGCCAGAAAAAAAAACGGGGTGTTTTTCTTTGGTTTCCCACTGCACATGGAAAAACAGGACTTACAGTTAGGGTGAATTAAGTAATTTCTCTAAAGTGCTCTCGCTCCCATTGCTTCCAGACAAGTTTTGCACATCCACCCAGTTTGAATGTGGGAACCACCGCTGCATTTCCAGCCACTGGGTGTGTGATGGCTCTGATGACTGTGGCGATGGCTCAGATGAGGACCAGAAATGCAGTAAGTGATGTTTTATTTTCACACACCGACTTAAAAGCACTTTCTCCCACACCCATGCCTGAAATTTCCTGTGATGTCATGAAGTAACTTTCCTATAATGTTCTCATAGAATCCAAGACCTGCAGCCCTGAGGCTTTCCAGTGTCCCGGCTCCCACATGTGTGTACCTCAAAGATGGAAGTGTGATGGAGACAAGGACTGTCCTGATGGTGCAGATGAGAGTGTCAAGGCTGGCTGCAGTGAGTGGAGAGAAATTACATAACCATATGGAAATGTTGTACCTTTAGTTACATTAAAAAAAGATAAATCCAAAATTTCTCTCATGTATGACATGTTTTTTCCATTTCTAGTGTACACCAACAGCACTTGTGATGAGAATGAGTTCATGTGCCAGAACAGACAGTGTATCCCCAAGCACTTTGTGTGTGATCATGACTTTGACTGCTCGGATGGATCAGATGAATCCCCAGAATGTGGTAAGTGTGATCCTCGAAAAAATAGACACTCTGACCATTTAATCAGTGTTGGCATAGTTAGTTACCCCAAAAAAGTGATTCATTACTAGTTACTAGTTACCTCTGTAAATTGTAATGAGATTACTTTACTAGTTACTGCATTTGAAAAGTAACTTCACTACTTATTACTTAACTTTCCTGTTTTCTAATCTACCATTTAGCCCAATCATCATTGAGCATAGTCCGCATTGCTTTGTTTAGCATATTCTATAAATGTCGCCTGGGCAGAAAGTGCATTTCACACAAATATTTTTGTCCTTTCGACTAATATAGCCAAAGTAATGCAAGAATCGCCACTCGCCGAAAGCCCCTGTGTCGTCCGCCTCCATCTCTGTCTCTATTTCCATCTCTCTTCGCAGGGAACTTTTTGTTTACATTCGACAGGGACGCTGCGAGATAGCGACACAGTGACAAAAAAAAACACCCAAGAAAAATGAATCCCGCAAAAGAAAAGACTGTCAGAGTATACGGAGACAAGCTGGACAATGGTCCAAAGGCTCGATATCAAGAAAAAATAAAAAAGATCAACATCCTGATCCTTATGAGCACCAAATCCCTGCCTACTGTCACAGACACACAAGCAGCACGCACAAACCACTTCGACAGATCAGAACTTTGCATACAGGGAAACACAGCTCATGTAACACAGAAAGGCGCATCCTTTTATTTTGTAAAGTAATTAAGTTACTGATTTTTTCTTAGTGTAGTGCGTTACTTTACTTCGTAGTGTGTACCCCCAACACTGCATTTAATAGATGGTCATATGCGATTATGTCTTTATTTGTATTGTCAGCTGAGGTTGTGGATCATAACACGCTCTTGTCCTGGTGTAGAGTACCCAACATGTGGTCCAGATGAGTTCCGCTGTGCCAACGGCCGCTGCCTAAACCAGAAGAAATGGGAGTGTGACGGAGAGTTTGACTGTCAGGATCGCTCCGATGAGGCCCCCAAAAACCCTCGCTGCACTGACTCAGGTGGAGGAATACAATTACCATTTCTTCTCCTTTACTTTAATGTCCTTTTCTATGTTATATGAATGAGTCACATGAGAAACTTCTTGTTTAGAAAAGGGCCAACCTGTTTCCAAATGATGCCAATGTAAAATGTCATGATTTCAGAGAGGATATGCAATGAGTCAGCCTTCATGTGCCGTAATGGGAAGTGTTTGAATGAGACCCTGCTGTGTGACCGCAACGACGACTGTGGAGACGGCTCTGATGAACTCAACTGCTTCATTAATGAGTGTCTCAACAGTAAGATGAGCGGCTGCTCACAGCTCTGTGATGATCTGAAGATCGGCTTCAAGGTAAGCCATCTAATTTTGTCGTATGTCTTTTCAGCAAATTAAATCACTTGATATGACATTTATAACCGGCACATAGTTACCTTACAGACAAGAGGGGTGCATTCTGTTAATACTGAGGGAGAGAGAGGAGCTGGAGTAATTAGGCTGTGAACCAGTCTCTTCAGGCATGCAGTTATATAAGACAAAAACATGTGTTGGCTTTCTTTTTTGAAAGAAGGAGGCTGGTCTTGGAACGGATTGAACTCTGTGTGAACTCTCATGTTTGTGGTTTTGTGGCTGTGGTCAATTGAAGATGATAAGGAACAATTTGAACACTGAAAGAATCCACTTAAAGCTGGTGAGAATGTTAAGTGTATTAAAGATTAAATAAGTAACTGACCATAAGTTCCACCTCACAGATTCAGTGCGGTGTTTGGTTTCCTTTCAGCTTTATTAACTCCAAAATTTGGTCAAAGTGGTCACATTTGGGTGTGACAGTGTGCTTTGCAGTCCTTTTAACACAGACATAGGCCCAAAAGATGAGCGCTCGAGCAGATTGAAACTGTATATGGATAAACTTTAGTAGAAGATCAATGATCTGAACGCCTCAGCATTTTGTAGAAGATAAAAGGTTCATCATGTTGACTGACAGGGTTTTTTATCAGGCAGGGCCGGAAGCTGTTGCCTGCTGATTCTCACATTTCTCTTGTGCTCTTGGCCCCTTCAGTGCAGGTGTCACCCTGGTTTCCAGCTTAAGCGAGACGGGAAGACCTGTGTGGACATAGACGAGTGCACTACCACTTACCCTTGTTCTCAGCGCTGCATCAACACACACGGCAGCTTCCACTGTCTCTGCGTGGATGGCTTTGAACTTAGCCCCAATGACCCCACCATCTGCAAGTCCACGTCAGGTAAGACATGCATGCGCGTTTTTTGCTATTTACTGTTTCCTCAAAGTGGATTTGAACCTAAAGCATATGTCTCCTTTCTCACATGTGTTTCAGAAGAGGAACCATACTTGATCTTTGCCAACCGGTACTACCTGAGAAAACTCAACCTGGATGGTTCCAACTATACTCTTATAAAACAGGTGAGACCCACTACTGCTCAGGCTGACCTGCTGAAACACAGAAAGGTGGACTCTTGTTCTTCACTCTCTATACACCTTATAATCCTTTATCTAATACCCGTTGTAGGGTCTGAACAATGCTGTGGCACTGGACTTCCACTATGCAGAGCAGATGATCTACTGGACAGATGTGACCACTCAGGGCAGCATGATCCGACGCATGCGCATGAATGGCAGCAACATGGAGGTCAGTGAAAGAAACTGACTTTTGAGCAATATTTACTCTACAACCACTATATCTATAAAAGCTGCAGCAGAAATAATATATACGGGTCACTTGATCACTATAAACACCACCGTGCCCGTGTTCATTTGAAGAGGTAGTCTCAAGGGGTACTGCTGGTCCAACAGCCTTTGTGGGCTCCACATATATGGAGGTTTAACCTCAAGTGGTCAGCTTGGTTCAATTCCACCCTATGGCTTCTTTTCTGCACATCACTCCCAGCTCTTTCCGCCCTAAAGAAACAAGAAAAGGCCAGCTTTGATAATTCATCCATAGAGGCAGAATGGACCTCATTCTCCACAGATATAAACAGTTAATGATGTGAGTGGTTGCCACGGTTGCCTCTCCTTCATCTTTCTTCCTCTTTTCGGATTTCAAACAATCAAACCTAATGTGAATACCCTAAAAGTCATTGTTTAGGATGATAGTGGACTCTTAGGCATTTACTGAGATGACACAGCAGAGGATAGTGTAGGAAACTGGAAGAAAGAGTGGGCAATGACATGCAGCACAGAGCTGCAGGGAGGACTGCAGCCTCTTTACTCTGTAATAAAGCCAAACTTATGCTACTATTGAAGTGTTGACGGTTGTTGTTCATTCTGTTAAAAATGTTAACTTGTTGGCAATTCAAGGCTTAAGACAGTCATGAAAACATGTAAAAGAATTAGTTCCGACATAGAAAATTGATTTTGTAAATAGTTTTACTCTCCCACTTGCATCTTTTATTGGCAATGAAAAATCTAGAGTGTTATTTTCTTGTTGAAAGTTGTGTAAGCCTGTGATTTCACACTTTAAAAGTCCAATGTTCTGACTGGCAGGTTTTACACCGCACATCTCTGAGTAATCCTGATGGCTTAGCAGTGGATTGGGTTGGTGGGAACTTGTACTGGTGCGACAAAGGCCGAGACACCATTGAGGTGTCGAAACTGAACGGAGCCTACAGGACAGTGCTGGTCAACAGCGGCCTGAGGGAACCTCGGGCTGTGGCTGTGGATGTACGCTATGGGTAAGAGCCAAAGATCACACCATCAAATACTGTCATCTGGATATGGAGTTGTTGATCTTTGAAGTTGATTGTGATCAAAATGTGACTCTTGTCATAATCCACCACTGGCTAGGTACCTGTATTGGTCAGACTGGGGTGACAATCCCCACATCGGGCGAATTGGGATGGATGGCACCAATAGAAGTACCATCGTCGAGGATAAGATCACATGGCCCAATGGACTAACCCTGGACTTCATCAATGACCGTATATACTGGGCAGATGCCAGGGAGGACTATATTGAGTTTGCCAGCCTGGACGGCACCAACAGACACACAGGTATTCACTAAAACACACTTAAACGCACACGCTGGTTCTTGTGACCACTTTAACACACTCACTGACGTGGTTAGATGTCAATATGAAATACATGCATGTATTTTTCCATTGTATTGCTGCTTCAAATAGTTTAATCATCTGAGGATTAAATTTGTCCAAAGAAGTTGAATGAAACAAATAGCCATGACAACACTGCCAGCTAAGCCAGGAGGTGCAAAGTCATAACTTTAAGAATAGTTTCTTTTCTATGGCTCATTTTTGTTGTGTGACAGATTAATGGGCTTGTCAGCTGTCTGAATGAGTTTCCCCTCATCGTCAACACCTACGCTTGCTTGTTTGGGGTCCACTCAAGCATAAGCAGGCAGGTCAGATTGTTGTCCAGAGACCCTGAATAGGAGAGATTGTTCTGACTAGCGAGGCCTCGGGCCCATATGACGTCTACATAGCGCTCAGTTGTTCAGCACACTCGCTACAATAGTTGATATTGTCAGCTAACCAGGCGTGAAAAGGAATTCTGGAGCGCAGCGGGCGTTGGTATTGAAATTTTTCTCATTCGCTGAGCTCTGCCAAACACACAGGGTGAGTTGTGGTATCCCATCATTCCTTGGATTAAGAATGTACATGATGTAAAATGTGGGTGTATGGTAACAATCCAGCCAGATCCTATAATGGAGAGAACTATAGAGTCTCCAGCTGCAGAAAAAGAAAACAACACTGGAGCACGTGAAAGGGAAAACTAACATTTATCAACATTAATTTGTAACACACCCTTCACTCCTGCACACAATGAAAGCACTTGTGTGGCTTTGTGTGTGTTTGCAGAACAGCACCTGATCTGTTTGGTTTTAGATATAGTTAGAAGCATTGTGTGAATTAAACTTACACATGTATCACAGCTCAGTCTTTATCTTTAATATTTATCCATCAAATCATGATAAAGTTTTGTTTTTTTTTGAAGCCTGTTACAACCCAGCTCATGAGGGGAAAGGATGCAACATAAAACCCCTGGTTCCGTGATGTAATAATTGTTGTTTATAGCGAAAGAAATAATGAAGAGCTGTTTAACATAAGGTTGAGGTGAGGAACTAGAGTGGAAGAATATCACTTACTGAAATTAGCTTAACGCAGCAGTTAAAACGAAACAAGGTCACAGACACTACCAAACAAGGTAAAAGGGGGCACCATGTGTAGTACACAGCCAGAACATGGTCATAGATGCATAAAACCCCGGTTCCGTGATGTAAAATTTGTTATTTATTGCGAAAAGATATAATAAAGTGCTATTTAACACAGCAAAAGATGACTGAACTCGAGTGGAAAAATGTCACTTTCTGAAATGAGATCAGAACAGCAGGTAAACGAATCGAGAGGTGAGCAGCTCCCTATCCCTTAAAACTCCACAAAAAAAAGATGTACAATTAAATCGCCTCCAGACACTGAAAGCCAACAGATTTCCTGACAAAGAATCTAGTGAACGCGAGTGTCTCTCTAATCACTTCTCCCCGATTGGTCTTGAGGACGCAGCCCATTAACCAATCAGCAGCTGGTTCCCTTAGTATCAACATCCTTACACGCACGCACACACTACCAAACAATATAAATGGGTCAACACATGTAGTACACATCTAGAATGGGGGCGCGGCTGCGGCCTTAACAAAGCCCCTTATTTGTTTCAGTCCATTCTGTAACCAAAGTTATCTAATGATCAGTTATTATTATGAACCTGTCCCATGACATAGACGTCCTCATGCGTGTCCAGATCCATGCATGCGTGATGTATCTGAATTGCTTTGTTTTACAACAGAAGCTAATGTTGCATTTCCATACCACACCAGTCTTAAATGCTGAAGGCGAACACGCGAAAGGAGGTATATGTGAGCAGAAAGGGGGCAATTAGTGTGTAAAGCCTAATGAGGCATAGAGCCCATTACATAACACACAGATTACTGGAGCCACTGTGGCTGTGCAGCACCACTCCACCTCTGTTCTACATTTAACTAACAAGATGGTCCTGCTAGGAATAAATAAAGACATTTTTGTGCTGTCATCTAAATCTTAAATTGGTGCTCCATGATTTTTTTATTTTTTTGATAAAGACCAATTTGTAAACTGCTGAAAAAAATCCAGTACTAAAGATCATGTAACAGCTTTACTGCCTCTGATCACTCTGTTTGTCTCTTTGCAGTTCTCAGCCAGGACATCCCCCACATCTTCGCCATGACTCTGTTTGAGGAGTACATCTACTGGACAGACTGGGAGACAAAGTCCATCAATCGAGCTCATAAAACTCTTGGTACAAACAAGACCACCCTGATCAGCACCCTGCATCGGCCCATGGATATCCACATTTATCATCCATACCGCCAGCCTGAGGGTAAGAGACTCACCTCAGCAGGAGACTTGTGTTAATAAATGTATGCAGATAGACAGAGTAACACTTCAGCTCTATTAAAGGTGCAGTGTGTAGAAGTTTGCAGCATATAGCGGAGCATATTTTGTTTTTAATGAATGACCATGACATACACTTGATAGAGGACACAGAAGAGAGGAGAGGTTGTTATGAACAAAATGATTTGTTTTCATGTTGTTTTGAAACTTGACAAATCGAGGATCATACATCTGTGAATTAATGTCAAACAGGAATACGCATAAAATGGATTTACATATAAAGTGTTTTTTAATGTATTTTAATCCAAATAAAATTATGTAACAGCTCTTGACCTGACTAATTCTAGTAATATACATGTAGTTCAGAACATCAAGTTAAGGGAATAAGATATGAAAAAGCATTTAGTTCTGTAAAAGGTGTGAGATGTCCTTATCGATATGTCAAAAAGAGCAACAGAATTAGTTGTTTCTTATACTTTAATCTTGTCCTTAAACTCATACCTGTTTTTTCCAGTGCTAAACCATCCTTGCCAAACAAACAACGGCGGCTGCAGTAACCTCTGCCTCCTCTCTCCTGGAGGAGGCTACAAATGCGCCTGTCCCACCAACTTCTACTTGGCCAATGATCAGCGCACCTGCATGTCTAACTGTACAGCCAGCCAGGTAAGGAGGTCGTGCAAACTTCAACATGCGAGTCAATATAACTGAACAAAAACAAATAAGTGGATTTTCATATCTCCACGTCTCACTGTGTTTTGTTTGATGAAATGCTTAGGCCTGTGTGCTGCACATTGACAGCTGGCAGATTGCCCGCTGCTACAGTAGTCTGCTCTGTCAACAACACTGAAGCAGAGGAGCTTTGGTAATATGCCATATTGATAATTTGATTTATTTATCTCTTCCTGCTTTAGTTTGTGTGCAAGAACGACAAGTGCATTCCTTTCTGGTGGAAATGTGACACAGAGGATGATTGTGGGGACAGATCTGATGAGCCAGCAGACTGCCGTAAGTGTTTGAGGAAGATTTTGAGGTGCATTCTGGTAAGGGCAAATTTAGAGTGATCCTCAAATATGTTTTTCCTCTTCTAGCTGAGTTCAAATGCAGGCCAGGACAGTTTCAGTGCAGCACAGGAATCTGCACCAACCCTGCATACATCTGTGACGGTGACAACGACTGCCAGGACAACTCAGACGAAGCCAACTGCGGTACATCTGTCTTTATTGTTGGGTTTAATCATCTTATAAATCTTACAACCTTCACTTAGCTCTCTCTAATTTATTGCTGTGTTCATTTTTATCAGCAGTTTAATGTTAATTGCAGACAGAAACAAGAAACAAATTTAATCTGTTGGTTTTTTTTTTTATCACCACTGCAGATATTCACGTTTGCCTGCCCAGCCAGTTCAAATGTTCCCACCCAAGCCGCTGCATCCCGGGCATCTTCCGCTGTAACGGCCAGGACAACTGTGGAGAGGGAGAGGATGAGAAAGACTGTCGTAAGTAGAAACCTTTCACTATCAGCGCTCTGATGTGCTTTTATTTCACCTTTATATTTGATTTCACTTATTTACCTTCTCCTCTGTAGCTGAGGTCACATGTGCGCCCACCCAGTTCCAGTGTGCCATTACCAAACGCTGCATTCCTCGCGTGTGGGTGTGCGACCGTGACAATGACTGTGTGGACGGCTCTGATGAACCTGCCAACTGCAGTGAGTATAATATTCCAATTTTGATTGTTTGTTAATACGGATTTAGCTGAAATAGTTCTCAAAACCATCCTCTGTATATGTTTCTGTGCAGCCCAAATGACTTGTGGAGTGGATGAGTTCAGGTGTAAAGACTCTGGACGCTGCATCCCCGCTCGCTGGAAGTGTGACGGTGAGGACGACTGTGGCGACGCATCAGATGAACCAAAAGAGGAGTGTGGTAAGAATGTCTTTTTTTGTTTTTGTTGTTTTGTGGAGATGAAGAGGAAGTAGGGGGAGTCTGGGTTGTGTCATGTAATAAAAAAACTGTGATCGTAGTTTTCAGCTCTGCTTTTTCTGTTTTATTTCATTTCCTGTATCACTCTGTGTTTTTCATGCAGCTGAGAGGACCTGTGAGCCATACCAGTTCAGGTGTAAGAACAACCGCTGTGTCCCCGGCCGCTGGCAGTGCGACTATGACAACGACTGCGGAGACAACTCGGATGAAGACAAGTGTAGTAAGTGTCCCTCTCTACATGGAGGTATTCCTGTCCCCCTGTTTGTCACCTAACTTTGTCCTGTGTTCACTTGCACTCATGCCTTAGTCATGTCCATCATAGCGTACTCATTCTACACCTTTAACTCATTAACTGTTCAAACTTGGTCAAATGTTTACTATTAACATCCATCTGCTGTCATTTCTAATGCATCTCACTTCATCTGATGTTTGTTTCAATTCATACTGTCCTGTCGGCATCCAGAGGTGAGTTACGCCACCTTCATATGTCAATATCTTTGTCAACTTATTGTATGTCTCTTTCATGAATCTGTACAGTTGTGATTTTGTGTTGTAATTTGATGACGTTGTTGTGTTGTTTGCCTTTTGCCACTAGATGCCACTGCTTGAGACTTTATTTTGATGCTTATGAAAGATAAAATGTTTTAAAATGCTTATAAAACATTCATATTGAATATATTAGATAAGAAATAAAATGGGTGAGTTGCTTCACCTCACCTCATGCACCCCCTTCTTCTTGTTACTCAACCCTATCTCAGTATGCCGTCAGCTAATGCAGCCGTAGCTCGCTGCTAATGGTTTTTACTGGTGTTATAATTGACATGGACTTTGTCTGTTTTTCCTTACAGTGCCTCGACAATGCTCTGAGAGTGAGTTTGCCTGCACAAACGGCCGCTGTATTGCTGGGAGGTGGAAGTGTGATGGAGACCATGACTGCGCTGATGGATCTGATGAGGTGCAGAAACTTTGGGTGTCATTATTATGAGACTTTGTTCAATTAAGGCGGTTTAGTTAAACTTTGCTTGTGTTTTTTTCTTATTTTTAAATTTAAAACCTTCTGCTGCTTTTTTGCTTTTATATTTTTTATTCAGCATGGCTGTGATCTGAAGTGTGACAGCGACCAGTTCCAGTGTAAGAGTGGACACTGTATCCCCATCCGCTGGAGGTGTGATGCTGATCCTGACTGCATGGATGGCAGCGATGAAGAGAACTGTGGCAGTGCAGGTAAATGTACATCTGAGTTTTTAATTTTAATGTCTCTGATTTTATTTAGTGTGTTTTTGTCTCTTCCTGTACTTAATTGACAGAAAAGCTGAAAGAGACCAAACTCTGTGTCTGTGAAGGGTCTTATTCATGGCTGGATGTGCAAAATCACCCTACAGATTAACATAAGAAGTTGTTTCAGGCTGTATGTGAACAGAACAGGAGGTACTATAACTCTCTCCCTGTTTTCTCTGTTTTTCTCAGCTGGCCGTCACTGCCCTCTGGATGAGTTCCAGTGTAATAACACCCTGTGTAAACCTCTCGCCTGGAAGTGCGACGGGGAGGACGACTGCGGGGACAACTCAGATGAAAATCCTGAGGAGTGCAGTGAGTCCAGCTCTCTTAGTCACACATATGTTGAATGTCTGCCTGTCTTCATTTCTGACCTTCTTTTCTCCTTCTGCTTTGTCTTCTTTCTCTGCTTGGTTTTCAGGGAAGTTCCAGTGTCCTCCTACCAGGGCTTTCCGCTGTCAGAATGACCGTGTGTGTCTGCAAGTGTCAAAGAGGTGTGATGGTGTCAACAACTGTGGCGACAACTCGGACGAACTGAACTGCCGTAAGCTGATGCTCCATCTAGATGCCATGAAATCCCCTTCTCTCTCAACTTTGATTAAATAAATGTGTGTGTTTGGTGTCTACAGCCCCTCCAGCTGTTCCCACTTGTGAGAAGGATGAGTTCCTCTGTGCTAACGGCAGATGCATCAGCTCCACTTTGCGCTGTAACTTCTTCAATGACTGTGAGGACTATGGATCTGATGAGATCAACTGCAAGACAGGTGCCTCAAGTCAAACTCAATTCTTTGTTTAGGCTAAACACAGATCAGAGGTTTTTTGTGTCAAGCATCAGCAGAACCAGTTCTGTTCTAAATCAACTGACTCCTGTTTGACTTGTGTTTTGCTTAGACACCAAACTGAACGACTGCAGGAGTAACAGGACGCAGTGTGGAGATGGAGATGAAGCTCATTGTGTCACAAACGGCACAGATTCCTTCTGCTCTTGCAAACCTGGCTTCCAGAAAATAGGACACCACACCTGTGGAGGTACATACAAACAAAATGCTTCACCTGATAGTGGAAAATTAGAGCAATTCTTTTATATTTAACCACAGAAAGGGAGATTGGCTATTTAATTTTTTATTAATGTGATTTCCTTGGGCTGTGTTTTTGCAGATAAGAATGAGTGCTTGCAGTTTGGTGTGTGTTCACACATCTGCAACAACACCAAAGGCTCGTACAAATGCAGCTGCTACAAGTACTTCACCAGGATCAATGACACCTGCAAGGCTGACAGTGAGTAGAAAAAATCGCATCTGCTCCGCACTCTTCAAATCTTACCAGCCCTCATTTTAAGGTCATACAATATTTGTTGATCTGGATTTAAAAGACCTTTTTTTTTTTCTTGCAGGCATGAACAGCAGTCGACAGATTCTCTATATAGCTGATGATAATGAAATCCGCAGCCTGGACCCAGGCATGCCAAACTGGCGCTATGAGCAGACCTTTCAGGGGGATGCCAGCGTGCGTATTGATGCAATGGATCTGCATGTGAAGACTAACCGCATCTTCTGGACCAACTGGCACACGGGTCGCATCTCTTCCTACGAGCTTCCAGGACAGTCAACATCCCCAACTTCTACCAACTCTCACCGTAATCGACGACAGAGTGAGGGCAGGATCACCAATCTGCAGGTAATCATGCCTAAACATAAAGACATTTTTGACATGTATGTGTGTGCATGAGTTTGTGTGTTTGTGCAGTATGACAAAGAGTTTGTTGTTTTCGTCTCCAGATCAAAGAGCTGAAGATGCCTCGTGGTATTGCAGTGGACTGGGTGGCTGGAAACCTGTACTGGACGGACTCGGGTCGGGATGTGATTGAAGTGGCTCAGATGTCAGGCCAGCACTGCAAGACCCTCATCTCTGGAATGATAGATGAGCCTTACGCCATTGTTGTGGATCCACAGAGAGGGTGAGAGAGATGGAGCGAAATTTATTTAAATCAAGACACTCTTTGATGTTAAATAGTCTGTAACTGTGTCTGTCTGTCAACCTTATATCCTTTAGTACCATGTACTGGGCAGACTGGGGAAACCACCCTAAAATTGAGACTGCTTCTATGGACGGGACCCTGAGACAGACTCTAGTTCATGAAAACATCCAGTGGCCCACAGGTAACTTCTGCATTTTTACAATCTATCATTACCCCAAAGAGAAGCATTTTTATGCTCCACTCAATCACAACTTCTATCCAATATACTGATTATTTTTGCTGTTTTTCTCTTTCTGCAGGTTTGGCCGTGGACTTCTTCAACGAGCGCCTCTATTGGTCAGATGCCAAACTCTCTGTGATTGGCAGCGTGCGTCTGGATGGCTCAGATCCTGTCATTGCTGTCTCAGGCATCAAAAACAGTAAGATTCCCTTTCACAAAAAAAACATAAAAGATCTTTAACCGCCATTTTTTTCTTGAAATCATTTTCTCTCTTTTGTTTTCCCAGACCTGCTCCATCCATTCAGCATAGATATCTTCGAGGACTACATATATGGAGTCACATACATCAACAATGTCGTCTTCCGGGTCAACAAGTACGGAAAGGGGACCATGGAGAATCTGACCACAGGCATCAATCATGCTACTGATATTGTCCTCTACCATCGCTACAAGCAGCCAGAGAGTAAGAGTCTGTCATATATAGTGCGTTAAAAAGCACCCTGAAAAATGTAATGCTTTAGTTTAAGTACGTTTTTCTTACGCCATGTCTTGTGACTCTCTGTGCATCAGTGACTAACCCATGTGACCGGAAGAAGTGTGAGTGGCTGTGCCTGCTCAGCCCTAGTGGACCAGTATGTACCTGCCCTAACAACTACGTGGCGGACAACGGCACATGTGCAGAGAGGCCGAGTCCAACCCAGTCTCCATTCTGTAAGTCGGCACAATAAAACACATTCCCAGAGCTGATCAGGAATAAAACAGCTATAACCCTACTTTCAAATTATTACAACCTCTGAGGTTATCAGATATGTATAATGTTGGATTAAAATTGTAGGTTATAGATTTATGATCCCTACCTCCCTCCTCTCACAGCTCCCCCCTCAGGACCTTGTGATATTCAGTGTCAGAACGGTGGAAGCTGCTTCTTGAACGCCCGTCAGGTGGCTAAGTGTCGATGCCAGCCCAGCTACTCTGGAGAGAGGTGTGAGATCAATCTGTGCAGGGACTACTGCAAGAATGGGGGCATATGCACAGCTTCACATACAGGTAAGAAAACAGTCCTAACTGTGAAGTAAACAATACTCGACTTGCTAATGCTTGTGAAAGCTCTCTGGATTATTCTTTAGTGACAGCTAAGAGGTGTGACTCGAAATATCCACTGCTTTCTGCTGTTAGAAGTTCTAGATTTATGGTGTAACATGTAAAAGCCAGTTTAGATTACGAGTGCGTGGAACAAAGACATCCTAATACACAGTGTTGCATTTTGTAAAAGCTATAAATAGTCATCAGGTTCAGCCACTTGTTTTCATACTTCTTCATGCTAATGATAAATGTCTTATGTGTGTCTCAGGTGCTCCGACCTGCAGATGTCCAAAGGGCTTCACAGGACCAAACTGCGACCGTCAAACTTGTCAGGATTACTGCCTGAATGAAGGAAACTGTTCAGTCAACGTGGGCAACCAGCCGACCTGTAGCTGCCCCTCAGAGTACAGTGGAGACCACTGCCAGTTCAGTGAGTGTCAGATTTTGCTCAATCGTCTGTAAGGGATTTTAATGTTCTGTAGAAAATGGAATGTCTTTTTTGTTTTTGAGTTGTTCAGCAAAACAGTGAGAAATTTAAGATTATCAACCAAAAATCATATCAGTTTTTTAAGTTACTTAAGGTTACAATGATTTTAAAATGTTGCTCAAAAAATCTGTTGATTCTTGGCGCTTCTCATGTATCTTGCTTTCTGTTCTCAGCTAAGTGTGAAGGCTTCTGTGTCAACGATGGCACGTGCTTACAAACCGCCAATGGCACCAAAGTTTGTCAGTGCCCCTCTCAGTTCATCGGACACCAGTGTGAGCTCGACAAATGTCAGTTCTGCGGAACGGGCAAATGTTTGACGTCTTCATCAAGCAAAGTTTCATGCATGTAAGTAGATGATGGAGCATGATTTATGATTCATAAATATTTATTAAGATCTAGGGTTAAGGTTAGAGCCAGGTATCAGTCTTTGTACGTTGTACACTCCTGTGGATTCTGTAAAAAGGACAGTACATGACATGAAAATATGTAGACACTGGGACCCATATTGGCCTGATATTAGGATCATTTCTGTTGGACTCCAAAAGGCAACATCATGTTTTAAAGTGAGTGTGTGTGTGTTTGTGTGCACTTTTTTGTGTGTTTGTAGCTGTCCCAATGGTCAGACCCAGCCCAGCTGCTACACCTGTTTGGACTACTGCACAAACGGGCAGTGTTCGGTCGATAGTCGCACGCTACTGCCTCAGTGCAAGTAAGTAATAACACCCCAAACTAAAGTGCTGATATATATTTAAACATGTTTGTTACTTATTTGCTCACACATACACATTATAAACTATTAGACAATTATTAGCAAACAAGTAATCAAGGTAAAAATAAAACAGCCTCTGTGTTTGACCTCATACAGATAATGTAACTGAATTTCTCTGTGGTTTGAGTTTTTTTACCCAGTTCTTTTTTTAACTACAACTTCTCGTTTGTCACTGTTATCTTCTGTATTAAGGATCAGTCTTATCAGCTGCAGTAAATAAAGGAGAATTTAGGCATGGAGTCAGACTTCAGTGAAAGTTAGGTCTGATCAGACCTTTGTTGCTTTTTAAAAGCAAAAACAAGAACAGAAGGAAGAGTGTTTGTGTACCCTGATCACTGACCAGAGAGTTATTTTTAGGTCAAGCATGATTTTTTAAAAATAGGGACTGCATGACACTTTAAAAATCTCACTTTGTTTTTCTAGGTGTCCTGCGGGGTGGAAAGGATACAGATGTGAAATTGTAGCAGACTCTGTGGATTCATCTGCTTCCAGTGGAAGTAAGTCCCTCAGTTTAGGTAGTGTTGGAAAGTCACTCATGGTTTCATTTTAACCCTGTTTACTCACTGTATTTGTCTGTCCACAGGCACTGCCTCAGTTGTCCTCCCAGTGCTTCTTCTGCTCCTGCTGGCACTGCTGGTAGTTGGTGCCATCTTGTGGTACAAGCGGAGAATGCGCGGGTTAGTCTTGGTTTCAGATTTACCAAACTGGTGTTTTTCATCTGTTCCTGTGCTTTCCAGTTTCTCTTTCTCTTGTTCCCCTTTAATAATCATCTATTTCCTATTCTCCCAGGTCTCTATGGCCGTGCAAGTCTCGCTCTCAGCGGTAACTTCTCAGGGTTACATAAATTAAAAGTTGACTCGCAAACCCCCCCTCCCCTTATTTATATCCAGTCAGACTGGATAAACTTTCTGTCAGTCCATTTGTCCTTCCTGTCACTCAGTGAAGAAATCTGTCCGTCTTTGCCTGCCATCTCCTGTTTGCCTCCTATAGGGTGTCTCACCCAGCAACACAGGGACCTATTTAGTATTTTCCTTAAGAGGCTTTGCTGATGATGCACAACCAAGCAGTTTTTTACCCTCTTTATGACTCCATACCTTCCCCTGATGTTATGTGTAAATGTAAAGCTGATGCCATGTGCTTGCAAAGTAAAAGTTACTACTGTGTATCTATGACAAGTGTTTAAATACTTGCAAACGACCGAGTATTTGCAAAGTGAAAAAACAGCATTCTTCACAACAGAAATGCTGAAGTAAATCCTCTGTGTTTTATCAAATGGCCTTTTTTCTAAAAGTTCATTTGAATTCCTCAAATCTATGTCGTCTTGGTTGCGTGGATTGTTTGTTGCAGGTGCTGCATCAGTTCTTGTTCATGCCAAGTTTACTTTTTAAGCTGTAGTTCAAGAGAGGGTTGCTCACAGAGATAATGATCTGTATTAATGAGGTTTCTAATCTATTTCTTGGATGGTTATTCTTTCTGCAGTGCAAAGGGCTTCCAGCACCACAGAATGACAAACGGAGCCATGAATGTCGAGATCGGGAATCCTGCATACAAGATCTATGAGGGAGACCCTGATGATGACGCTGGGGAGCTGCTGGATTCAGACTTTGCTTTAGATCCAGACAAGGTAACCAAGCTAAAATGCACCTTTAGTTTAATTTTGCACAAAATCCTCAGGTAACAGATCACAACAAAGGTAGGAGGCAGATCGAGTCAGAATAACAGGGTTGCTACACAGTTGGAATTTCCATACTTTTCCATACCGTACTTTTTAGTATTTTTTTTGGAAATACATACTTTTCTATTTTAACTTTGGTAAAAGTGTGGAAACAAATATTTTTCCACACTTTATTTTTCATTTACCATATTTTTTAAGACCTGGAAATTGATCAAATTATTTTCATACTTTTCCATACTTGCTAGGAACCTAGAAACCCTGGAAACAGTCCAATTTACAACCTTCATTTTAGGGTTTATTCTATTTCTGACCCCTTGCATTACCTTTGACTTTGACTTTGAACAGTATCCAGTTAGTTTTTGGATTTTGTTCCAACTTGAGCCCTTATCTGTCACTCTTGGTTTCATTTGATTATTCCTCTCTTGACCTCCTTCATCAACGGATGAATCCACTAGAGGGAGGGCAGGGTATTGCTGGAACTGCTGACCAGTATACCTCTCCAAATGACTGTTTAATCTTGAAACCACTTATCAGATGCTGACTGTGATGGTGATGGCTTTGCTCCCAGTAACATGAGCTAGGCAGAGTTGCATTTGTCACTTTACCTTCGATTGAAAATGTTCTGGGATGAGCCAAGTCGTGAATTTAAGACACAGTCGTGTTTTTGATCCAAGTTTTTTGTCGAGACACTAAAGTCAGTTTGTCACAAAACTGTAGCCAATACAACCCCACCCAAAAAACAGTCATAGGGTTAAACAATGTCCAGGTATTGGAACTGTGATCAAGTTTATAAGGTATATTAAATAAAGGTCACATGAATGATCTGCCTTAGACCTGATGTGATTAGAGACAAAAGCAGACAGGCTACAACTTACCAAAATTAAGAACATCTCTTCTCCGCCAAGGTTTTTATGGTAAGGGTAATGTTTTTGTCCCTGTTTAAATTAGTGTGAGCTTTTCTTTTTAAAGACCAAATCCTGCACATACTGTGTCTTAGTCACCTTGTAATTTTCTCTGCCCTGCAGCCGACCAACTTTACCAACCCTGTGTATGCCACCCTGTACATGGGCGCCCACAACAGCCGCAACTCTCTGGCCAGCACGGATGAAAAGAAGGAGCTTCTCTCCCAGGGTGATGAGGACATGAGTGACCCGCTGGCGTAAAGCTCAGCATGGATTGAACTCTGCCAACGTTGCCCTGCACGACCCAGTGCTGAGCTGTCAAGCTCTCTCATCTTATGCCTTTACCAACAGAAAAGAAAAGCAACAAAAAAAGCGAGGACACTGTACAAAATGTATAAAATGAAGGACTACTTTTTTAAGTGATTGCAGTATTATATTTTGTTCTTTGACAAAAACAAGATCCTGGTGATAAAAAAGGAACCATTTTATAGACATTTATTCAGTTCTTCTTTTTAATTTTTGCTCACCTCCTCCTCACACGTCTCCCTCCCCTGTCACACATATAGCCACTACCTCTGTGCAAATGTAAAAGATAGAGATACGAATGGCAGTGGAACAATTTTAATTTTTTTTTTATTTTTGTATGAATTGTATAGGAGAAAAAAAACAGAATATTGTTCCATCCTAGGAAATGTTGCCAAGTATCTGCAGATAGAAGAGAGGAGTCAGTGATCATGATCGATGCTTCCTGGATGCTGGTTGAGCTCAGTCTGCTCACATTGTGTGTACATGTACGTTTGCTGCTGGAGGTTTTGGAGCGAGATGAGGCTGGGGAAGGAAAAAGGAGTTTTTATACTGCACATGTACACGTGGAGGACTTGGCATCGCAGACTGTGTGTGCTCTGTTGTCTTGAAACTACATTCAAGTGATTGTCTTTTACCTCCTTGCACAGACTAAAGTTATATATTTGCATATATATAAACCTATTAACAAAGTGTCTTGAAAATATACCCAGGAATACAAACATCAGTAAAAATAGCAGTCTGTACTTTTTAACTGTTCTTTTTTTTTTAGGTCATTGTATAATTGACATACTTTGTGTCAGCAATGAATGAATGAAATGGCAGTGTGTGCGTGGAGATGATTGTAATAAAGTCCACATTCCAGGATGAAACAAGTCTGGGATGGAGATCCGTGGCCTTGGTTTAAGCCTAAAGCAGGACACTCCGGTGTCCTCAGATTGCTCTGAAACTGTTCTGGAAAGTTCTTTTTTGGAGAGTGAAAACAAGCTCCTGTGAATTTCTGATCATTACTAAATATTACTAAAGATGAATATTTAGCTAAAAAGGTCGCATTTAGCTTTTGTTCCTCGTCTTTTGATTGTAAATGTACTTTCAGGAAAGGCCAGGGAGACCGTGTGATGGTACGCACTTCTGTTGGAGATAGCGTTTTTATCTTTTTTATTCATATGTAAGTACATGCACATATAATTTTAGCTTATGCTCATTGTAAAGTGGGTCCCCAGAAGGCAACAGATCAGCCTCCTGATCAGCGTCTCTGTTCATTCCTTCGCCTTGCTGCTACTGCTCACCATCTGTCTGTGTCCTACTGGTTTAAAGTTTTAACAAGTGTTGCTTTCCACGCTGCTTTTAACTGAGCTAATCAGCTGTACCTGCCACATCACTCTGCATGGTGCTCACACACACATCCTAAAAGAACTCTCTGGCTTTGCCTCAATCCTCGACAGTATTCATCCCTCCTCTTTTTTTTTTTTTTTTTACATCCTGCTCTGTCAGATTTTCACCAAACCATGTAAATTAGAAAAATCATTTTAAGTTGGAGAATTTCTTTTGATGGCAAAAGCGGTTCTGCTTGTTTTATTATGATTCTATTTCTTTTTGATATAAGAAATTAAATGGATTTTTATAGTAGAGATGTATGGTGTTCTTGTCTGTCATTTGTAGAGCTGGAGAGGAAAGGCTACGTAAAAGGATTAGGGTCTCATGAATGGAAAAAAAAACGATTACAGGAAGGATAGTAAAGTTGAAATTTCAAGATTAAAAATTGAAATTTTGAGATTATGAAATGTAAATAATGTCGAAATTTCAAGATTAAAAATTGAAATTTTGAGATTATGAAATGTAAATAATGTCGAAATTTCAAGATTGAAAAAATTAAAATCCTGAGATTAAGGTCTTACTTTCAAGATTAAAGTCGACATGAAAAACGACAAAATTTCGACTTTAATCTCGAAATGGAAACAAAAAAAATTACCCTCCTGTAATTATTTTTTTCTCTTCTTGTGGCCCTAATCCTCTATTGTAAAAGGCAGTAGTCTCTGATTACTGAAGTAAATACCAACTGTTGTACACATTGCAGCTGCCTTTTGTCCAACAAAATAACACGCTTTTTTCATCATCACTATACTGACCTGCAATAACAGTCTTTGGACTAGTGGTTACATAATCCATCTTATTTATTAAACATTAAGTGTCATCTTTCAGTCAATAGACAAAATCATGGATCATTTCTTCCAAAAGTAAATTTCTTGATTCAAATGCACATCAATATAAATGTACACTTTCAAAATAGTGTCTCATACAATACTAGGCCAAATTAAGTAGTGTAAAGAAGTATTGCTCCCTTTGTGCCAATGTAAGCTTTAACAGCTGTTAGGAGAAAAAAGCATCATCTCTAAAAACAGAGGAGATTTAAAATGAGAAGCTCGAAAGAGAAGACCTGATAGAATAGATACATCCTTCATCTAAAGCAGGTAAATGTCCTCTAGGTCCTTAAACAGCAGTCCATTCGTCACTCCCTATGTGTCACTTTCAATGTGACAGAAGTGTTGTCAAGGCATATAACATATTTTTAAGGGCCACTTTCAAAAGGCACAAGAGTCTGCAAGAGTTCAAGAGAGGTATAGAAGAATAATCCTCCAATTATTACTACCTTCACCTTACGTATCAAAGCTGGAAACTCTTGTAAGTTGTTATAAGGCTAATGTTATAGTACAAGGAAAATACAGTCTTCAACAAATGAAAGATGTAAAATAATCAATTATGGCTGACTGAACAATTAACACTGTTTACACAGAAAGAAAGGCACTTAAGCAAAACATGGGACATTCAAAGAATTTTGGTCTGGCTAGCATGTCGAAAAGTCGCATTTAAACTTTTGATCTTTCTCCCCGGATACATGCGCAATCAAAATGAACAGGAGTCAACATGAAGTCTTGATTGAATATGTGGACTCAGGCTTTATGTCGGGAAGAAGTTCACAAATGTCTCGTAACATAAAATCGAAGCTTCTCTGTTACAAGGCGGAGACTTTTGTGGGTGTCTTCAAGGCAATATTCCAGCAGCAGAGTTGGCATCTCCCTTTGGCTGCCTCTCAGTCCGAAAGAGGCCCTGCAACGACTTCATGATCTGAGGGAATTAATAGTCCTGGGAATCAAGTCACACGCTGGCAGGCACCTGCTAGAGAAAACCCCGCTCTTCCCGCTTTGTGGTCCTCCAGCTCTCAACTCACCCACCTGCCCTGTAGTCCTCCTCTGATTGGAAACACGGCATGGAAAGTCTAGTGATTGCAGTGAGTCTGGAGAAACCCACCGTGCTTCTGTAATGATGTCCACTCGCTTAAAGTGGCTGTAAAAGGGCCTCCATAAATAAATAAATAACCCCTGCTAACACAAGGGCTCTGTCCTGTCCTCTCTTTTCAGTCTTTGTATTCTGCAGCCTCAGGGTTGGGATAGATGGAGGCCACACAGGGAGGGGGGTTATACTGGGGAGGGAGGCAGGGTTGTATAAGTGACAAATAAGTGGTTTAGGGTCTCTTCCAACCGCTCCGGATCAACGCATCAGCTCGCAGGAAAGGCTGGTTTCGTAGATCTGAGTAGGCAGGGAGACAAGGGTGAGAGAGGGGTGAGAGACGTGGGACACACATGTTAGAGGACCCAATATATGCCTCTATTTACTTATGTTCTTTTTTAAGAGTTTTCAAGCCAAGATAAATCTAGGAAAATACATCCAGTTGCCATCTGAGAAGCTGGTGTGTTTCTATTTAGCCCACTTTGTTCCAAAGTATGAAGTTGGGCTAAAGAACAGAAACACTTTTCTATTTTAAGCTCCTGTGAGAAAATTTTGCTTTGAGTTGATTTGCTGCCCCCTGTGGACCCGCACAAGTAACATTTCGATTGCACGGAGATGTTATCATTGCTACCCTGTGGCAGCATTGACAGGTATTGAAAAACATATCAAAAGCTATTAAACTTCTTGCTTGATGATCTATTTTTTTTTATTAAGATAAATGTTTTGGTCTGTTTCAAAAGCAGCTAAAATATCACAGCAACAAATAGGCTGCAAACTATCCCCAAACCTTATCAATACAACTCTGTAGAGTTCATGTTTACTCACTCAATAGTACTTTTTAAAGATAATGAAATTAATACTGATGACCTAAACAAGAACAAGGAACAAGATGAATTATTTGTGTGAATATTTATCTATTTTTTTTATGCCTGTTACCATCGATTAAGTGCAGAGAGAGAAGCACCACTTTATCAAAAGGAGGCACAGAAATCTACCCAAACCAGAAGTTCCTCACAGAAGTTACAGCTGCCTTAGGATAAACTTACCATCAATGGACAGTTGTATTTGACTTCAGTGACCAGCTATTCTCAATAAAATGGCAACTGTGTGTATATGTTGATACAATTTGGTGAAATGATTTTTAATAATCTGCTGCAGTTACAATTTGTTAACTTTGTATTAGGAACAAAAATTGAGCAAATCCAAGCAACACAGACTCGACACTGAAAGCTACATTCTCATAACCTTGAGTTTCAAGCTGTAGAAATCAGTGAAATTCAAGGTTTTGAGAATGTAGCTGCTGCAACTTTAACACTTACACTGCAGCAGACACAATTATCAACAGGTCAGGTAAAAAGGTCAACAAGCTCTTCATTTGCTGAGCAATATCAAGCTGCAGACTTTTACACTGAAGAAACTTTTAAGCTCTGTTACAGAACTGGACGTAAATTTTAGTGAGTATTTGTCATTGACTGAATGATTGTTTTAGAGCCTGTTGACCAAACAGCTTTTTAAACACTTAGTGGAGCAGATAAGTAACATAATCGTTCAGTCAGTGATACAAGCATGAACATTGGCATGAGCATTCTTCATGGGTCACTTTACTAGAAAAGTGTCCCAGCCATTTGAGATTTCAAGATTGCGGCCATTTTTCAAGATGGCCACCTAGGTAAAACATTTAGGTGATGTCCTTGTTAAGTTGGTGATATAGGCATGAAAATTTGTATGAACCGTCTTCATGAGTCACTCAACAAGAAAATGCCCCAAGTTGCTTGAAATTTTAAGATGGCGGCCATTGTAAAGATGGCTGCCATCTCATCAAGTTGGTGATATAAACATGAAAATTGGTAAGACCATTCTCCATGAGTAACTTTATAAGAAATTGTCCTAAGCTAAATTTCAAGATGGTGACCATTTTTTAATATTTCTTTTTAATATTTTGTGTTTTTCTTTTTAATTCGAACAGATGTTTATGAAGGAGCCCCTAAAGGGATATGGAGAAGAGGAGCATTGTTCTCCTCTTGCAGTGGGGATACCACAGGATGTATCTCGTGGAGTGAAACAAGAAAAAAACAGAAGTCTTGGTTGTGTCCACATAGCTCAGAGGGTAAGAAGACTGACTGAGACTCCTGAGGTTGTGGGTTCGATCCCTGCATTATCCAGGTCGAGGTGAAATTTAAAGTCTGGTGTCTAGAAAGGAGAATGAAATAGGGAATAACTGGAGTTCTCCTGTGTGTCCACATGGCTCAGAGCATAAGAAGACTGACTGAGACTCCTGAGGTCGTGGGTTCGATCCTTACCTTATCCAGGTCTAGGTGAATTTTAAAGTCCAGGAGCCAAAGTACCAAGATAAAAGCGCGCAGCGCTCATACCCAAGTGTGGATCGTATCTTGTAGCACTGTGTGGTAGTCAACTGGCTCCCAATGTGGGTACCCCGGTTCGATTCCGGCTAGTGGCGGGGAAGTTCAAAGTAATGAAATGATGAGAAAAAAGAAACCTAACTTTAATGTCTCAACACTTAAGAAGTGATGAATAACCATCATCACCTCTAATGATGAAAAAAAAATAATCTGATCATTACTAATACTCTCCAGCCACGAGCTGGTATCACACTAGGCCCCATTGGGTGCCAATAGACTTCTATACAGGGCCACTAGATAGGATAGGATCCATATTTGGGCATGAGGTCTGCATGCTTTAACCTTCTTACTTTGGCTAAAGGACTTTAAAATTTCACCTCAACCTGGATAAGGCAAGGCTTGAACCCACAACCTCAGGAGTCCCAGTCAGTCTTCTTATCCTCTGAGCTATGTGGACACTCCAGAGAATTCAGTTTTTTTCATATTTCACTCTCCTTTCTAGACACCAGACTTATAATTTCACCTCAACCTGGATAAGGCAAGGATCGAACCCACAACCTCAGGAGTCCCAGTCAGTCTTCTTATCCTCTGAGCTATGTGGACATGCAAGAGATCTCTGGTTCTTTCCTATTTCACTCTCCTTTCTAGACACCAGACTTATTATTATACCTCAACCTGGATAAGGCAAGGATCAAACCCACAACCTCAGGAGTCCCAGTCAGTCTTCTTATCCTCTGAGCTATGTGGACACACCAGGACTACTACTTCCCCTTGTCTTTAAATGGTCGCCACCTTAAAATTTCAAGCAGCTTGGGGCATTTCCTTGTTAAGTTACTCATGGAGAATGGTCTTACTGTTTTTCATGTTTATGACACCAACTTTACATCCTTTGACTGCTCTTTAAAATGTCCACCATCGGGAAATTTCAAGCAGTGTGGGGCATTTACTTATTAAGTGACTCATGAAGACTATCAATTTTCATGGCTATATCACCAACTTAACAAGTACATCACCTAATTTTTCCACTTAGGTGGCGACCATCTAGACAAATGGCCGCCATCTTGAAATTTCAAATGGCTGGGACACTTTTCTAGTCAAGTGACCCACAGAGAATGTTCATGCCAATTTTGGTGTTTGTTTTACTGACTGAACGATTCTGGATAAAATTTGTACTTAGCCGCTGCACTAACAGAGCTGGGTGAGACTGAGCGAAGATAAAACAGGGCGGACATTGTTGACAGGTGAGAGGTAAATTAACACTGGACAACATGCAACATGTAATGAGAAGGGGTGAGAAAGATGATGGTAATGAAATGATGACGGATGTTTTCAGATATGAAGCAGAGAAATTCTGATCTGTGGACCCTATGTGCAGAGATGTTGAAAATGTTGAAATCATTTTTTAAATATCACTTTAAAACTGATATTCAAACACTTAAAGAAAGCTCCTATCATTTGAAGATGAAAAAGACAATAGCCACAAGAAAGAGCAAATTAACCTGGTTAAAATTAATGTTAGGAAGAGCTACAAGCACTGTGTGCATAATAGATTGGCTTTGTTTTTACTTGTACTTTTCCTCTACCATTGTTTTCTCTTGTTGAAATAGACTGTTAGGCAGATAAAACAAATTGTGCACAACCTAAATGATCATCTCCTTAAATAGTTTGACAGGGAGTCTTGTTTTAATGGCTGTTGGGATAAGCGGTATTGAATTTTCAACAACCAAACATCTTCAGGTATCTTGTTTTCAAGTTGTAAAGCGACCTCAGTGTTGTGAAGCATCTTAGGTTCTTAATATTTTTTTATTTTTGCATTCAAAGCAGGTAGCTGAAGCGTCTGACATCACTGTAGCAGCACACAGGAGCCGAAGGACCAAGCTGGGCCGTTTTTTCAGACAGGCTACCTTCCTTACCCTCTCTTAGGAGTGGGAAATACTGTCATTAATCTTCTTTTCAGCTGGATGGGGGTAGAATAGACAGTGGTGGGTTGAGGAAAGAAGAGTCACATGTTAGCTAAGAAACCAACACCAAACAAGTTAGTTTCATGGAACAAAGCATTGTTGATGAAACAGTCAAGTTGCCAAACCTCTTTATATGTTATGATTGTTGAATTTAGCTCAATTTACCACGACAATAATACAGCTTTTAACATACTGTAGGTCATGCACGATGGCCTGAATTAATGATTCAAACACAATCATAGCTGATTGTACTGTGAGCGTGTCAAACATATTCCAACTCATACAATATGTTGACAACCTCTGCACAACAACCTTATTTTGTATCCCTGCCAGGCAAAGAGGTTTGGCCGACTCCTATCACTAAATGCCTGATAGGATGCTACTCAAGTCAAACAAACAACCAATGACGGCCCACGTTAGTTCAAAGTAGTTGTAGTTTGGGTGGTGGGGATGAGTTTAAGGGGTTTGACGGGGATCATGCTGCATGCACAGTAGGGTCAGGAGGCGTACGAGAGACACCTGGACAACCTTGGCATTAGAGGGAGGGGAGGGCTAGCAGTTGGCGTCGTCACAGAGGTTGGCTTCACAGAAGAACCGTGAGCCGCGTTTAGCAGTGCGGGCTGTGAAGGGCACACTCTTCAGGACTGGGGGGAGGAGGGGGAGGGAGAGAAAATAAGTCACACCTGAGACACTGTCATTCTGTAGGGGGTAAAAACACTGGACCAGCTTCAGAGTTCTTCAGATGAACCTAAAAAAACTGTGTCTGTGTACGCATATCTATGTAACCACACTTTTACAGTTTTAATAGGAACGGGAGACACACTTCACTTTAGGTCACTCTATTGTGCATTTGCTATCACTACATAATGTCTAGTAATTGGAGTGGTAAGCAGATACAAATTAAAGTCTTATTAAGCAGCTATAACAACTTTGGACGTATTTGAACAACAAACAACTGAAAGGTATCTATAGGAAAATCAAATACATCTTCCTGCAACATGAAAGAAGAAAAGCTGTGAAAAAAATGTCCTTGTAGCTAGAGACCATTTTGTAATGTAAAACTATGCTATTAAAAACAACAATCAGAAATATGAGAACTACACTGCCTTTAAATGCTCAATAGAGGAACTAGAAGTGAAGTGTCATTAGATGAGCACAATAAGCATCTTTTATACTGGCATAAACTGCATATTTAGCTGTAAACTGCTCTGATGGTAGTGCAATAAAAGCATTATTTACATTTAAAACAATATTAATGTGTTATTTACATGTTAAGGTAACTATTAAAAATCCTGACAAAAAACACCATTTGGCTTAATTCTGTCCTGAGTCAGTGGGTACAATGTTTCATCCCCACATGTAAGGGTTTAAAATAGGTTTGTTGACTCATAGTGGCAGATGGAAGAAAAACTGTCTACAGTCATGTAGTTCCCGCTGGGATTTTATCATTTTTCTACCAAAAAAAAAAAAAACCTAAAAAAATCAAAGTATGTTTTAAATAAATTAGAGGCTGTAGAAAATGATACTGTAATTACAGGTGATAAACTGGAACTTAAATATCTGTCTACCTTTACATTGAAGTTCAGCAGCTTTAGTGTTTGTGTCACATTTTAGATTTAACTACCCAACAGCACGTCATGGAACAACAGGCAGCCGCTGCGCTGTTATGTGCTGTGCTCCAGATGTGGAGGCGTCTGCACCACATAGCACAAGGTGCACTTCAACGGAGCTGAACAGTGAATGACTACAGTCATCCTTGACCTGGGACGACCAGGGCTTCTGGCACCCACATGTGGTCTTTTGAGGGTGCTGTCTGGCCCACCTGTGATGATGTCTTCAATAGTGCCATCCTTGCCCTCATACACTGGTCTGTGGTCTTTGGCTTGACGTTTGCGCAGCTCTGCGATCAGCTCCTGCTGCTGGTGCCTCTTCTTCTGGGCCTGGACCTAAACCAGCACAGAGGTTATTTGTACTATTCTTGTGCTTCTTTTTGCACACCACAGAGCTTTATTTAGCACTAAGTAAACATCTGTTTGCTTGCACTCAGCTCAGATGCATGCACTTAGACTCTACCTTGGGGTCATGCTGTTTAGCCTCCTGAGCCAGCAACTTCTCTCTCATTGCTTGCTCCTGCTTTTTCCTCTGTTCATTTTCCTCCACTGCATCCTGTTGAGAGGTGAAAAAGAAATAAGAAATTGAGGCTTAAACACACTTATTTGACCAGTTGAGGATATAGAAAACAAAAGTAGAACATTTCCTTCTCTACTTTCACTCTTCAATCTTTACCAAACACAAATACTGTTGATAAGCACAAAAGTAACTCACGGCGATCATTTCATATATTTAGATTCACACTAATCTGCCATCTAGCTTCGCCCAAGATGAGGAGTTTTCCCACCACTCTTATATTCGTATGTTTAAAAGTTTAGTATAAACACCAGTGGGTCTGATCCAGTCCACGGTTTCACCCCAAATGTCCAAGTGCCTTTGCCAAATGTCCGTGTGTATGTGTCGAAACCCCATAGAATCACACATACACAGAAATCCTTGTGTTGCACATTTCCTTAAGCAGATCCCATAAATCCAGTCTGAGAACAATCTCAGGAAGTGTGCTGTGTGGTGGGGCAGGGCAAGGCCGTCTGGGGGTAAAGGGGGAGGGGAAGGAGAAGGAAAGGACTGGGTGGAGGTAAGGGGGGGTAGAACCAGCCTGAACGCCACAGCTGCAGCTCTGGGGTCAGACCCAGCTGGCCTTTCCTGTTATTTGGCTGCAGGCTATACGCCACGTCCTGTGGCAGAGAGGCAGCCAGAGCACTGACCGCCCTCATCTGAAAATGACGAAATCTGAAGCCAGAGAAGTTTTCTACAGTTTTCACCCTGACTGAAAACACTCAGGGAAAGATTCGCTCTGTTTCGTCACCTTGTAGGCCTTGATGAAGCGCACAAACACGGGGAAGAACACTGAGGGTGGAGTCGTCTTGGCACTCTCTCCAAAGTAGTTAACCACATTGTTGAAGGCTTCCTAGAAATGGGAGGGAGGACAGTGCCAGAGTTAAACGTCAAGATGTGATGGGTTTTGTGTAAAGAGGTCAGTTGGGGAAAAACAGAGCTACACAATATCTAATTTTAGGTCTTTTCCTTTGAGGTTTGGAGACAAGGAGAGTATCGGATACCTCTGCTGTTTTGGCGTCTTTTTGCAGCTTGTCCAGTGGCGTGTCGCTGGTCTGGACGAAACCTTTCAGGACTGAATGATCGTGGAGGCTGCACTCTCTGCGAATCAGCTCCATGCCTTTGCCCAGCTCTTTCACATCCAGCAGCACATTTTCCAGGGACACTTTAGCATGAAATTTAACAAGATAACATTTAATTTTAACATGAGAATTAGCTTCAAACTAAATTAACTTCAAACTGACATTACTGCTGATGAGTCCTCTAGGTTTGGACTTACCTGCTGCAGCTTTATCCACAAAGTGCAGCTCGTTGTGGAAATTTGCCAGTTCAGGATATTTCTCTTTCACAATAAGAGCTATGTAGTGGAGCAGTGTCATCTTCCTGTCTGTCGACTTAGTGTCCAGCAGCTGTGTAACAAGGGAAACATTAGCAGGAGCATTGCAGAGCTCAACTGTGTGCTATATTTATGAGCTGATTTCTTTGACATTTTACTCACCAGATCTAGACTTTGTAATTTAAAGCCATAAACACATCCTCTCTTGCTGCTGTTCATGTAGTTCCCCAAAGCTAAGATGATCTACAAGCAAAACAAAACCACTGAGTGAAGAGATGTTAATAAAAATGCTGCAGGTTAAAAAAACTTCTATCCACTTCAGCTCTCACCTCAAGCATTTTCTTTAATTTTGGCGAGGATTTCACGGATCCAGAAGCAGCAATAATTGCGTTGAGCTGTGGCGTAAGCATGTTGGTGTTGTCGGAGAAGTTCCCGACAAAAGTGATGATGTTCATCCGCTGGGTGAGCCTCTCGATCTTGCTGAACAATAACATGAAGCGATCTTCCTCTGCAAGCTGGTCCAGCGGACGCCGCTCACGCTCATACTGACGCAGCACCTTCACCTCCGCTTCAGTCGGCAGGAAACGCATCAGGCACTCAACAAAGTCCACAGGTAGGGCTTTGAGGTCAAACCTTAGAGAACAAAAAAATTATTAACAGCTTGTTCTCTATTTTGTGTGACTGAAATAGTCAACAAAGTGCATACTTCTCTATTGCTTTGCAGATCTCCTCTGTGGTCTTGTTAGCCTTGCGCAGCGTGATTGCCAAGTTCTTGGAGCGATTGGCATCCAGAAGTGTGACTTTGTTTACGGCTTTCTGGGCAACTTTGCCCTTCGTGCAGGAGAAATCCACAATTGGACCCTGGGCTCTGGTCTTGAACAGTTCTTCAAACTTGTCCAGATCCAGCTCCTGCACGAGATTGACAATCAATGTTTATCCTTTAACTTTCAAACAGGGTAAAAAAACAGTTAGAAACTTACACACAGAGATGTTATTTAGAACAAAAACTCTGTGGCTTTTCAAGGCATAAATATCTAAGTATAAAAGTCATTTTCCAGGACTTTTAAGCATTGTTATCTTCTAATCTGCTTGATTTACCTCGAGGACTCTTTCATCATCAATCTCGTTAAAGACTGTGCCGTTGATCTGATTGGGTTTTAAGGCCGTCCAGTTGAACACAGGAAGGCGGAACTTGGTCTTTATGGGCTTCTTGATTCTGATAGCTGGAGATAAGAATTAAATGAAATACTTTAGAAACAGTCAGCTTTTCAAGTTATTTATGTCTATAACAAAAATATGCCATCTTGTGTCATCTCTTACCTGAGAGACCCAAACTAAGGATGACTGAGGGAGAAGCATCTGGCAAAGGTGGCGCAAGAGGAGGTGGTGGTGGTGGGGCAGGTGGTGGTGGGCCTGTAATGATTATGTAAGAGTTTATAAAAGCAGTTCATTTAAATTCTAAACACTTACAGTATTTAATTTATCCTGATATGTTAACTAATTGGTCCTAAACTTAGTGAAAGCTTAAAAGATGTACAATCATATGTGAGGCACACTGACTATGACAGAAATGAACTCCAATCTGTGGATGATAAAGGAAGAGAAAGAGTGCAGTACTGGAAAAGATTAGAATCTGGGTGCATAAAAACCTACTTTTAAAATACGTGTAACAGTCTCAAAATCTTGTTCTCCTATTATACAATGAAAAAAATATTTAAGTTATTTTCCTTTAGACGCAGTGTATCATTCAGTACCGAGATTTGTAATCAGGGATAGTTGAGAGATTTGTCATTTTGTGCTGCTCTATTGGTTAGGTGAAAAAAGGGATTTTTATGCATTTATTTATAAAGCAATTAATAGAAAAATCCCCTCTTCTCTTATAGCTGTGACACCTTAAAAGTGGGTGGATATAAGATATTTATTCATCCCACTGAGGGGAAATTTGCTATAGACTCAACACGCTCCCAGTCATGGTTCACCGTACAGATTCTAAATAAGAAGATTCGCTTTTAGCACAAAATACTCAAAATTAGCTTCAGAAAAGTTTTAAGCTGACCACATCAATAGCATGAAGACAACACCAGTTTTTATTTTATGCTTACTGATTTAAATCATTTTTTTTGCATTGATATTTTCCATTTTTATGGATTATTCTACATTTTACTGTCAATTTATTTACTTTATTTGCTCTGCTGTATGAGCTTTATTATTGTCTGTACCTCAGCAGATTAAGGTTCTCTTTCTAGGTTGCTTCTTCCTGAGGATTTTAATAAATAAATCAATTAAATGAAGCTTTTTGGTCTCACTCCCTATGCCATTTTATGTGTCTTGTGATGCCATGCTATCCATATTCTATTTGGTTCTTTACAACCCTAAAGTAGTTGTATGTCGTATGTGCAGATGGAAACTGCTTAAACTCTTGTTTTTGTTTCTGTGCTACACTGTGCTGCCTGCTGACACACAGAGGAAACCAGCTCTGTCTTTCCTTTTCCTGTCTGGGGTTGAAACACTGCTGTGACCCGTCACCTGGCTTGGCACGGATTCACAAAGAAGTCAAAAGGAACTGAAAATAACCCTCTTCTGAGGATCTATAGTCGAACCACATCAACTTTCACACATATGTGTCACCAGACATGATCCATGCGCGTCACAGTTCATCACCTGAGGCAGAGGGCAGAGGAGGAGGAGGCGGAGGGGGTGGAGGAGGTGGTGGAGGAGCTTCGCTTGCTGGTGGTAAACTGGTGTCCACTCCTCCTGGTTCTGTCAAACCAGCTGATGAACTGAAAGAAAGCTGTCCAATGTCGCCCAGTGGGATGCCAAGGCCACTGCCTCCCATTCCACCCCCTCCTCCTACACCCAGAGGCTCGATGGAAATGTCTCCATCAGGCTTCTTGTGCAGACGGATGGTCCCCTGCTGCTCGAGCTCCAGCAGTCGCCTCTCAATATTAAAGTGTCTCTGAAAGGCAGCATCCTTCTCTTTTATCATCCTCCTCAGGGTGTTGACCTGGGTGTTGGTTGACTCGTACGTCTCCTGAATAGTCACCAGGGGGGGATAAAGAGCACAACACAATGACTCTAAAAGCTAAAGAAACATCCTGTTTCCTGCTGACCTAATTTGCTATAACAGCAATTTGGCTTTCTGCATCTGACGGTGATCTCTGCTAACTCACAGCAAAGTGAAGCGGAGTTTATCTGATGCAAATATGACATCATCACAGCTGCCAGCTTACCCGTATGACTTGCAGGTCCTTATCTTTCTGAAGGACTATCTTCTCCAGATCAGCCACCTTCATCATTGTTTCATTCTCGACCTCCAGCAGCTTCTCCGTCACCTGAGGAAGAATAAAGAAAGGCAGCAGAGATGAGAGGTGGTAGATAGAAGTATTGATCCACATCGGGAGCATCTTTCCCAGACCTGCTGCCTCCCTCCCTCCTCCCATATGGTGTGCATCATCAATATGAAACAAGATATGGCTCAGCATCATGACGCAGCAAAAGCACGACACAGCTTTTAGTTTTGATTTTGGAAAGATTGCCCATGTTGCAAAGGAATTCACAAGGAATCTCCACCCTCCTCCTCCCCCATCATTCCTGACTCCTGAGATCGGAGTTTGTTATGAAATTCCTTGCATGATGTCAGAGCTGCCCGTGACCTTTCCATGTGAGAAAGGTCTTTGCGAACCGACGTGGGATGCAAAGGCAACTGACCAGAGAGAACGGGCAAACACAAGAACAATATTAAGATTGTTTTCACGCTCAGTACTTTCCAGCGCTCTCCACCCCTTCATTATTCTGAAGCACTTGGGAAATGCAAACACTGTTTAGATTTCTAATCACTGCGTAGAAACAGCCGAGTTAAGTACATGTCTGGTGAACCACTACATACTCATAAAGTGAGTGTTGGTGGTCCAGACTGGGTGGTGCACTTACATGGGACAGGTGCTCCTCCAGTTCCTCCACCTTCTCCAGAGCTGCATTCTTTGTCTCTGCATCTTCCAGGAGACCACCCACATCAAATACGTTATCCAGGTAGGCCTGGATCTGCACTGACAGCTTGTCACTCTCTGTGTGTTTGCATTTCTGCAACATTAGAGAGAACAAATCAGCATTAGTGACACTCTACACACTCCTTACATAAACCAATTTATGCAGCATCATCAGTCTCACCTCCAGGTAATCATCCAGTCCAAGCTTGGTGAATTCATACTGCAGGTGGACTCTGAAGTTCATGTCCTCCACTGAGTGGACCACAATATTGATGAACTGCATGCAAGCAACCTGGAGCAGAGAAACAGACAAATGGAAATACAAATGTCTTGCAGCAAATTGTGATTGAATTCCGTAACATCAGCACTAGAAGAGAAGAAAGCAGACAGATGTAGACCTCACTCACTGGTTGAATTTTCCATAGCTTAAATAACTGCATGTACTAACTTAATATTTTATACAACAGCTAATATCTTTGCAGGAATATGCTGATATTTCTAATAGGGCAGGGAGACAAACCGAAAATTTACCGATACAGAAATTTGAGACAATAACGATATGTGTAAGTGGGCTATGGTCTCATGTCCCTTTAAGACACTGTCCTACGTCGGAGACGTGAGTCAACCCTATCCAGTTCGTAACAAAGAGGGAAAGACAGGTGAGGAGATGGAGGATGGTTCAAAAGTTGTAGCGGCTGGAGTAGTTATCCATTTATCATTATCAAAGTGAACTGCTCAATATATTGTGATATTGATTTGAGGCTGTATCGCCCAGCCCTAATTTCTGACTTAGTTCCATAGTCCCCTAGTTCCATAGGAGCCCACACTAACTGAGACAATACAGTATTTATTTGGTCCCAGTTCAAATCAATAAGAAAGTATCTATTCATGATACAAAGTTCATCATACCATGTAGTCAATGTTTCCCTCTTCACAGCGGAAGTACTCCATCAGCCTCTCAAAGCGATGCTTCTCCTTACAAACCTACGATGCAAAAATACAGATGTCTTCATTTGAACCCATTCACAAAGTTGACAATTCATAAAAAGAGTTTAAATTTTTGTCATTTTTACTTGAATTGGAAGTTAAATCAGGAGGAAATCTCAATCCAACAAACACAAGACCAGAAAAAAAGACACAAGTGTTTCATGATAAAAATAAAGTGATCAATCTGACTCATAACTCTGACGTTTAACAGGTAGGGAAGCCTCCTATCAAACAGGGGGGCTTCAAGTTCACTTTTATTTTAAGGACATGCACAGTAGAGCTGTTACAATAAACTAAAGCTTACATGAAGAATGAGCACAAAATATTTGAAATATTTTAGGATTACGACAACATTTTGCAGAGACTGCTGCTCGAACTTTGAAAGGTGCTGGAGAAGGTCACTGACGCTGCCTGTTTACTGTTTGACATGTAAGCTCTGATGAAGACTTGAGGAGCTGAAGGCTTAGCGCGTTAAAAGTGAGAAACTAAAGGCATCATTGTCTGCCCTCTACAATGTCCCAGTTGTTTTTGTACATTCCCAACAATAACACTAGTGAGCAACACTATGTGAAATATGTACTTTTAGTAGTATTATCATGTATTCATGGACATGGGTATAAAAAACAAACATGAGAAGTCTGTATCTACTTTGTTGCAACATTTCATACAAAAACTAATAATGTTCCATATTATTTCGTTACGCTCATTCCAAGAGTAAACATGATGATCCCAGGAGTTTTGCTATATGTAAACTGATGATAACTTCCTTCATTTTTAAGAGCCACTTCTGCTTATTTTCATAATTCATGGGAAGGAAAGACGGCAAAAGGAAAGACCCATGACTGATAACTTTAGCCTGTTTCCTACACAAAAATACGCTGCTTCTGTTTTCCAAGTTATAAATGTTTTTTTTTATTTTTAGTACTGGAAGAATCTTAAAAAACCCATGCCCATTTCTGGTAATCCTGATTTTGGCTTTAGTTGAGTGCAACTGGTGGCCTCTTTTGTGGGATATCAAAGACCTGTCACCTTGTATCAGAGTATCTATTTAAAAAAAAAAACACCACAACAGAAACACCATCTTGTTTTGACTAGTGGGTTGATTAGCTCCCACATCTCCCGGGAGCTTTCAACTGCAAGGTAATTGTCCTGTTCCGGTGTTTAGCTGACTGTGCGGGCAGAAAGCAAACCTTTGTGGTCCACTGGCTCTCATCAGGGAGTTGATCCATATCATTGTTCAAGGTTGGCTCACATCTGGTGTCTTAATGAGACTAATGACCTCAGACAGGCCACTGTAGAGCTTTGCTTACACCCTCAGTAGACATGAAAACCCCTAGAAAGCCCCAGCTTTCATCCCTCTACACTGACCCTCATGCTTTCATGCACACCAGTGATGTGGGAAATGATGGCAATTTAATTAATGTCAGGTATGAAGAGTGCTACATTGGAAAGTGATGGTCCAAATTTCATTAAAACCCTGCTTTGGGCACCTCTTTGAAGTTGTCAAATGCTGAGAGGATGATCTCGTGACCTCCTCGGACGAGACAGACGGCAGCCAGCAGCTCCAAGACCAAGGCTTTTGTCCTGGACAAACAGGAGACACTTGTAAATCAACTCTCTTTTGGAATAAAAGTGGGAAAGTTAAACAGATATAGTGTGTTTAACCAGAATAATACGAATGTAGAAGAGTTTAAATCTATAAATCACACTAAACCCTGCAGGAATTGTGGATCCTAATGGTTTTTATAGCGTTAACATTTCTACCCTTCATTATAAAGTGATCAGGCTCAGCAGTTTAGCACTAATCTGCCAGCGCTAAACACTAAACATTCCTCCCAGAGCCTGTATCTATGTCTCTGATCCCCAACTTCAGAGAAAAGCTCAGCCCCGTGGAGAATGAGAGCATATCAAATGAACTGGCTGCAGGGTCTCCCCCTATTGTTGCCTCTCTGAAAATGGGGGCGGCCTCGGTTCTTACCGTGAGTTCTTATTGTTCAAGCTGAGAGCAATTTCATTGACTGCGTGTGCATGAGACATGACCATATTGAAGCCGTACTGCATGAAGAAGGCAAAGAAACAGAGACAGAGAGAGAGAGAGAGAGAGAGAGAGAGAGAGAGAGAGAGAGAGAGAGAGAGAGAGAGAGAGAGAGAGAGAGAGAGAGAGAAAGCAGGATGTGGTTAAATGTGGGTAACAACAGACTGCACAGGAAACACAAACTCCTCACGTTCACAGCAGATGTCAAAGGTGTTGATGTCACTGTCTGGTTACCTGATAGTTCATGATTGCTCTCAAGCACATGATGCACACATGCACATCATCTTTTTGGCTCACGAGGCGGGAGTTCTTGATGGTTTTGCTGTTGGGGACGGTGCCATAGCTGAAACAGATCGCAGAGGTTAAAAACAGTTGAAATTCTGTCGTCAAACTTTATGTTTTACTTTAAACTTAATCAGCTTAGTAAATCTACTCCTAAAGTGTTTCTGCTCTTTATACGATTCCTGTTTTCAGTGTGGCACAGAGAGAGGCAGAGAGAGAAAATTACAGAGGACGAGGTCTGACAGAAAAAACTTAGATGGCTTTTGTGGTTACAAATGCATCATGGGAGATGCCTGGTTTCCTTGCTGTCAAATGTGCTGTTACGTAACAGTACTGCACAGTCATCATGTGTAAATAATATTACTTTTTAGTGCAGTTTATAAATGGCTTTGCCCGTCTTATGATCCAGCATTTCTGAATCATACGAGACCTTTTGTAAGGCAATACCACACGTTACATAATCTTACACCAAAATAAATTCAGCTGTATTCTCAATCAAACTGGAAGCCTGACTTGTCTTTGAATTTAACTATTTTTCTCTTCTTTCTATTGGTGCTTATTTACTCCTAAGAGACTTGAAGTCTTGCGTCTCTTCATCTCTTGTCTGTGTGTGGCTCAGTTATGAAGAAGAAGGGCATCACAACTGTCCAGCATATGCAGCAGCTCACAGCTGGCTTTCATCTGAGGACAGTGCAGACGCACATCTGGGCAGATGAGGGAGGAGTGTTAACAAAGAGAGTCTCATGGTGCAAAAGTTCAAAGGCTTGAGTCTCTATCTGTGATATACTGTAGTTTGTCATCTGCAGAGCCCTAAGTTCAAGAAAGAGGTCAGCAGATGCACAAAAGATCAACTTAAGTCACAAAACAGCAACTACAATAACCGGCTTGCATGCTAATACACCATTAAGCATCTAAAGTTAGCACAGCGAGGCAAAAACAGGGACATGTAACAGCAGGGAAGCTAGCTTAGCAATACATACCGAAGGACAGACTGGCGGGCCGAGCGCACCAGTGTGTTGCAGAAGGGTTGTGTGCCCGTATGGTGCAGATCCTCAATGGACCTACTCCAAGATTTAGCCTTGTCCAAGTAGCCATCATCCCCATTCTCCAGCCCCTCAAAATCCAACCTGGGCCACATACAAGCAGACAGACGGACAGATAGACAGATGGACGAGCAAACACAGAGGAGCAGGGAGAATAGATAGGAGGCACCAGGGGGAGGTTAAGTTAGCATCGCAGCTTGATAGAGAGAGCCAGGGGTTATCACAAGAACTGTCATCAAGCTGCATGATAAAGCTCAGCACACAGATCTGTCCAAACCCAAGCAATGTATCGCTCTTCACCTCAAGCACATTGCATCAGGAAACACATTCAGTTTGCAAAGTATGCAACAATGCATACGAACACATCCAAAAAAGGCACAAATGCAGGTTTGCACTTTTTTAAGATGCACAAGCGGTTTATTACAGGCTTTGCGGGATTACAACATGTTAACTCAGCAGCTGGATACACCGCCCAACCCTGTTCCTTAGGAAAGGTCTTGGCTGTAATCATGACAGATATATGTGCGTGTGTGTGTGTGCAAAGATACTCACATGACAGCGCACTGGGCAAAAGAGAGGTACTCCACCAGCACGTCAAGGCCTCTGTTTTCATCGTTGAGGAACTCCCTGACCCACCTGTGACAAACAGGGACAAAAGAATGTTAGCAAGGCACCAAATTAAGAGCACGCCCTTATCCTTTAGGACTGCACTTCAGGGATTAATGCAGGAAAAAAGAAATGAATGGTGGTAGAAGAATAGTGGTTTTGGTGTCACTTTTTAGCTCCTAGGATTCCTTCTTGAAGCATGTCCTATGACTAATACTCACTGATGCTGCTTATCTATCTCTTCAGGTGTTAGGACTCCTCAACAGGAAAAATAATGAAAACATTTTGATGTAAATAAGGAGATAAGAGTCTTTAAAGTGAGCACAGTATAGAGGAGCAGCTGCAAACTCACATACACCTGAAAGGGCAAATTAAAAACATTAAAACTTTCTTTTTTTTTTTAACCAGACATAATATCATGTTTTCTGAAACCAGACAGCGTAAATGCCACAGGAGTGAAACTGCGGAGGCATATGCATACAGTAGGATGGTAATTACTTTTATAACATGTTGTGATATACACTTTTACACAGATTTCTGTAGATGTGCTTCTGACATTACTCTCCTGAGAAATGGGGAGTTGAAGCGGATTAAGTTTTGAGATTTTTAGGTTTTTAAAACCCCTCAACTGTATGAAAGCTTGTATTTATTTTTATTTTTGGCTTTCACTTTCACACTATAAAATTTTGGCATTACACTCATTAGTGGGATTTTAAAATTATGACACAACTTGTAATTAATTGGATTGATCTTATCAAGCAACCCTAACCCCCTCCCAAAAATATGAAGGAACTTGGCAGGAATGAGGTGGAAAGTAAACCAAAGCAGGCCTTCAGTTTTCCTCTCCGTTCAATTCCAGTTTTCTGGAGAGAGAAACAACTCCAAACAAAGGAATTCCCAATGCGACGAGAGAAAGAATGTGGAGGGCATATGGCTGAAGGAGCTGGGCTCAGGTCGAACCCCTGACAGTCAACAGTATTTTGTCTGCCTCCCCCACAAGACCCCCTTCACCTCCTCCCCACTTCTTCATGGAGCTCCGGGGGGTGACAGGATTGGGGTAAAAGGTTCTTAAAATAGTCTTGAAGTGCTGGTTATGATGACAGACTGCTGGCCAGCCAATGGTGAAACAGGCAGGAAAGCAATCAAGAGGGTTTAAGAAGCAGCGGGAGGGGGGAGGGAGGAGAGAGGGAGGGGGGAAAGGGAAGAGAGGTGAGGAGAAGAACAGAGGAAAGCAAACAAAGCAGTGAAAAGTTAAAAAAAAAAAAACGGGTGCAGGAGGGAAAAGGAGGAGGGGGCGGACAAGGAGGCGGGCTTGATCATCAGTTTCCTGTCTGCCACCCCTCCCTCTCCTTTCTCCCTTCCTTGCCTCTGACCCCTCACTCCTTCCTCTCGCTCACTCCCTCTACTTCTCTCAAACCAGTTGCTATTTCAGATTTTCTTGGCAATCTCAGGAATAACACATCAGAGAGCCCAGGATTCAGACACACACAATAAACCAGCATCTGTTTCACTTAATCCCACCCACCAAAGGTCTACTGAAAATAGCTTTCTTCTTTCCTCTGCCTCTGTGTATTTCTGGGAAACACATTGAAACTGACCTTCATCGATGAACCTAATAGAATATGAGTAACTCTTGAAACTCAATGAATCCTGCGAAAATTCAAAGCCAGTCCTTCTGGTTCAGGTATGCAGTGGAAAATCATCGCTGCATATTTTTTATGTGTGATTATCTATGAGACACAGGTTCGAAAAGCCAAGGATCAAGTCTGCAGAGCTGAAGATAAAGGCAAGAAAGGGTTACATAACATCCACCCACATACTGAATACCCATTGTCTTTGACGAAATATCTCAAAACAATACAAAGGGATTGTTTACTTTAAAATCTGACAAATGTGTAAACATTAAAGTATCCTCGAGTGTGTTTTTGTGCTTTTCGTCGGGCTCAGCATTGGTCAGCTCGGCTTCCTGGCCCTCTGGCAAACACAACAAAGCTTCCTGCTCCACACTATGGGGGAGTGGACGAGGCAGCACAATGGCTACCATCTGGGCATTATGAGGACCAGCTCTATGAAGTAGAGCTGCAGAGCTTGGCAAAGTAGGAACAATGGGGAATATCTGGGCACCATAAGCACTACGGGTCCCTACAGCAGCTACAGCACTATTCTGTACTATGATAGTGTGATTTCTTTGGACATTGTTCACTGAAAAATACATCTGTGTGACCCGACAAAATACAGAGTGAGATAAGAATCGATTACCCAATGTGGTTTGTCCTCAGAGAGATCTCCAGCTCCCTCAAGACTTTCGTAGATTCCTGCACCCGCCTGCGAAACTTCTACAACACAGAACAAGTACAGAGTTATGATGCAGTTTTCTCAATACTCAATCACAAACAGATTTATGTGACAAAAGGGTACGCCAATAAATCAGAACTGCAATCCTGTAATAATCGTTTTATGTCGTTTAATGAGAGATGCAGTATCATTTAAGGAAGTAGAACCAAGTAGGCCCTGAATCGCCTTTTCAGTCCATGCTTTCTTTGCCTGTATTGCTCACATTTTGAAGGATTGATCTTTTTTTATATACAAGTCAGCTGCACAGCATTAGTAAAAGTCATTTTGGTCTATTAATATTGCAACATAACTTAATGTTTTCTCCAGGCTTCATAAGGTGATGATGCACCAACAATTATACAGTATTTTGTGCTGTTAGCAGCTAGCATAACAAAGGGTATCACTTTGTTGCAAATACACTTGTAGCTTATTTGGCTTTTTGAGGTTTGATATGCTGGTTCAGGCCAATGTAGCTGAAGATCCTATTGAACTGCAAACATCTTATTTATTTGTTTTACTTGTGCCGCACCAATAGAAGCTGATGCAGCTTTAAGTATACCCGACTTAGTGGACGTTGTTCGTCCTGTCTCACCTTTCGTGTGACTCCAGGGTCGAGGTATCCTCGTAGCTTCTGGATGTAGGTGTGAGGCGGATTCTTCACCTGAAATCTCTCCTGAAGATGGACAACAGAGAGAACATTGTAATGTGTGTTTGCTGAAGTCACACTGCCATTATAGGATGAGTAATATGATGATGCCAAATTGGTCTTAATTGATTTGGTAATGATGCATAAAGGTTTTTGAATGCACCTGGTCACAGATGAGGTCCCACTTCTTCTCGTTGTCATACTGTCTGAGGAGCCTGGCTTTGTCTGGAGGAAGGTTCATAGAATTCTGAAAAAGCAGAATAAGAAAATATTATTCATAGTTTATTTATATACTGTTTATTATTAGACTACTTTGAGTAGTGACCAGAAGAGTCTTGGGCATTACAACCCTCTGGCGCCAAAAGCAACATTTTGGGGACTTACCCAATGACCTCACTTCCTGTGTTATCTTTTAGCATCCTGCAGCAGGAGATGATCTACATATCCTTTCTCAGTCCCACTTTACTTTTAACCACATCAAGACACAATTACAGCACAGACCCATTATTAGACCTGTTGTCTAATCCCCTCGTGAAAACACTCGAACACCAAACGAGACAGCCACAGTTTAAACCCTAAATGCTCTAATTTGTGTTTAGAAACTAGCCCACTCAAGGGTTTTATGTCCTTATACAAGAGTGAAAACAACACATACTATACAGCACAAGTTCCTGAGTTATAACTTCCGCAGCAAAGCCAAGAGCTTGTTAACAGTGTTTGACGTGGATATCTCAGAAGTGAGGAAGCACAACAATACAAGGATGCACACCAACAAATCAACATATTGGTTTAGCATTTCTCCTCAAAGAGACCTGAGGGATTGTTTGCACTGGGAACTCTCATTCACACCAATCAACAGAACCCATAAGCCTGGCCACAAATGGCCTATTAGCCTGACTTTTAACCTGCGGCTATAACTCAGCCGCACATCCAGAATGTAACACCCAGTTAACCCATCCCAGATCAGAGGTGATGTCCACGCTGGCATTTTGCCACTGGTGGAGTCTTTGACAGATGGAAAATTGCATATTCTCTTTCCTTTAACCACTCCTCAGTTACAGGCAGGGCTTGAACGTCAAATGCAAATATTTTGGAAATAATCTTTTTGCATCGGGCACTCTTGCTCGCTCTATTTGCACTTTGTGAAACATTTGTCTCAAGAGGTCTGAGATAAGGCAGCACAGCTTCTGTATTTCTTCTACATATCTCTTTCATGCAGCTGATTCATAATTAAAATAATTTAAAAATGCACTGTCGAATTTGAAAGAAAAAGACATCTAAAAACAGCTATTACAGAGAGACATTGCCTGACATAGCTGAACCCGTGGGGGAAAGTGCTGCAGAGATCTCACATATGGAGCCCTTGACGTAACCCTCTTTATAAATCCTGAGCAAGAGAGAAGAGAAACAACATGCATACCAGATGTCCAGAATTACAGAAGGAATGTGTGTTGTTTATAGTTGTAGTTTATACTAGTAAATTTTTTCTTATGTCTAACCCCCGACCTGCTTCCTCTCTTCCTCTATCTCTCCTGGGAGACATTTTAGTCTTGAGGAAGGTCAGACAAGGAAGTGAGGAGAAGTGCCTCCCATCTGTATCTGTCAGCTATAAATTACCTGTTTTCTGAGGATATCTTACAAGGACAGCAGACTTTTCTGAGAGGAGATTCTGCTTTTCATTGCAGGAAAAGGATTGATGAATTGGCTTGTATGACTTTAAACAAATCAATTGTAATGATGGATTGGGCCTTTCAGTGATTTTTTTATGTAGTCAGTATGCCAGTTATTTCTGCTATCATTCTTTCACATCTTTAACTTTTGGACTCTTATTTGCAAATTTAAAAAAAGGAAATTTAGAGATGTTTTTTTTTGAACACCCAAAAGGTAAATGGTAAATAGCATCTGTCAAGGCACAGGGCCTGTGTCCCTTTGTTTTCTCAGTCAGTCATGCATACTGGAGTAGGGCAAACAGGCAGACAGCCAGGCCCCCATTTGTGAAAATGCAACTCTGAATAACCGGTAAACACCAAAAGCACACAAACACACGCGCAGACACACACAGACACACACACACATAAATCATAAAAACACAAAGATGTACACTTTTGAACCATAAAAATGTGTAAAAATATCAAACTCTGCCCTTTGCTGTTGGGTTTAAAGAGTATTTTACTGTTGATCAAAAGTGAGAACAGGTGTATTGACTCGTTTAACGTCAGAAACCGAATAGGTGTCGGCTAATATGAGCACTAATGGCACAAAGAGGACTTTGTTGTTTTTACTGTTCTGCCTTCTGTCAGTTAGAGCCTCTGGATGTGTCAACAAATACAGGTGGGACTTCAAGGAGATGTGTGCGGAGCTACAAATGCTTAAAAAAATAAGTGTACATGAAGTACTGCTCAAATAGAAGAGGAGGTGGAGTCCTACATCAGGTCATAAACACAGGGGATGTTTCCTTTCTGACTAGATTTGGGTATGTTGAGCCAAGTAACCTAATTCAGCTAATTTCATTTCACTTTCTCCCACAGCGATACAATCTTGCACTTCCTGTGTTTATAACAGCGAAAAAAGATGTTGTTTCATGGGAGAGAGGGAGCAACTTAGAAACCGTAAAGCGAAGGGTCACGCTAAATTGACCGGCCCTTTTGAGGGGTTAAATACTACAGAAATGCCAAAAATGTTTGGTGCTTGTTATGAAACCATGATGCCCACGTATCTCATATCTCTCTCCTCCAGTAAGGCCTGTCTGGTTTGACCTGAGACTGGCCTGACAAAGGGTTTCAATGTGGGGCTTTGTTATGATTTGGTGTTCTGCCATTCCCATCCTTTGACATTTGAGCTATTTTTTCCTAATAGAAAATCTCTGACAATGGCTGGTGGGCAGGGTCAGTGTTTATGCCCTCTGGTGCTGCTGTGCAGAGCAGAATCCGGGTAAAAGACACCATCAGTACACAGCAGAACCAGATTAACTGGTTCTATTATCACTGCTATCTCTGCAATCATGGGTCCCCATTGTGAGCTAGGAGGGGGGACCAGGACAGCAAACAAAATGACAAACTATGTTGCATTAAATTTCAATTAAGTCAAACAGAAGAAGACCAAAATTCTAAACACAAGATATGTTGATATATTCTCTGTTTATGTCAAGGGTTTCTTGCACAAAATTGAAGTTAACAGAAAATAAGTGTATAAATGAAGTGACACAAGATTGTTTGAATAAGTAAGGATAAATATAAAGTGACTCACCAAAAAAATGCTAAATTATTTCATGTCATTGTAAATTTCATATAGTAAATAAGAAAACAAAACAGAGGAAGAGAATAACTCAAGGTAAGACAGGCGTTAAGAGGTGGGCTAAGGTTGCAGAGGAGATTTAAGCAGAGGAGTAACCGGCCGACAAAGAGGGCATAAAACTCTAAAACAGAGAGAAATTTGAGCTTTGACAAAGACAGACGAAGTTTTTTTTTCAAGACTCAACCGTTAAAGTAGTTGAGGGGGGTTGGGTTTCTGGTTAAGGAGGCATGAAGAGTCCAGGAGACCCATCAAGGACTCAGCAGAGCGCTCCAGTCACGCACGGACCCCCTTCAATAGAGAGGGGGATGCTGCAGAGTCCAGGGTCACTACAGATATCAGAGTCAACAGGGCAACTTCGTCGGCCTCTAAAGCGGACAGCTTCCTAATCCGAGCTGATTTACAACCAACCCTGAGTCAAGAGTACGACCTGCAACTCCAGTCAGAGGCTCCCGGAGAGACAAATGGGAAAGAGTGACAGGATGTTTCCCGTGATCTCTCTCACAGCTTCACACTTTCCATTAGGATAAGATAAAACACCAGTATGCTCCAGACTCAATTACTCTGCATGTTTGAGCTATTTGAAGTTTACAGAGATAAATAGAGATCCATGATGAACCAATTTTAATTTTCAAATTTCCTTCTGAGTGAAAGAGAAATTTAGCCAGCTCACTCAACCATTTCTGACTCTGTATTTTAATAAATGTTTGTGACTTATGAATCTTACTAATGATAACAAAGGAAATGTGATTACAAAGGGCCAAACTTGGCTTCTGATTTCTATTTGCTATTGTTTGTAAGTATAGAATCACAGGTTCTGAATCTGCAGGGGTTAATAAGCCTGTAAAAATGATAAAGCTGCACTCATGGCAGGATGGTGAACAGGTACAATCTAATTTTCCGACTGTAACTCCCTAAAAGTGGCCTACAAACCAAATGCATTCACTCTGATCTCTCTTTTGTGCTCTATCAGTGGGTTGGAAATGCAGCGTCTGTGTTTTTTATCTACTTTGATTTGGTTTACACAGGCCAGACTTAGTTGTCATCAGCTCAGAGGGAAATGAGTGGGTGGCTAAAACGCTCAGGAGGCCGGACTGAGCCTGTGGCAGTTCAGACTCTAAAGAGGCCCAGACAGTCCGCTTTTACCCCCAACAAGTCTGAGTGTCTGCTCATCGGGGTGGGGTCCGGGGAGGAGGGACCTGAGGCATGAGTGCACTGCCAGCTGTACTGCCAACATCAGCAACAATGCACGACAATAGAAAACCTAAACACATCAGAGACACTGCGGGGTCATTTTTATGATTTAAGCTCCTGTAAAGGAGTTTTTTAATTATTTATATGAAAGACTCAAATTCATATTTATGCATTTTTATCACATATGAAAGCAAACAAGACATTCAGAAACAAGATTGAAGATTCTTGTATTGTAATTTTTGATTCCTGAAATCAGTGATAGGGGGTAGGTGTCAATGAAAAAGCCCTGTGATTGCATTTTCAGCTTCCAATATTCCCCTCAAAATGACACATTTGACCGTCAAAAGTCAGCAGGATGATATTTTTTGTCAGGAAATATCACTTAAATGTGTAAGGAAAGGATAAGCAATGACTGCTTTCTCCACAGGAGGCGCCAAAATTGACACATATACAAAAAGTTCCTCACAGGAGCTTTAAGTAGCATTGTTTTTTCATCATCACAAGATCCTGATCCTTCTGGATTAAGTTTAAAAGCAGAAAATAAAGAGATGGAAAAAAATCAACAACACTATTAAGAGTTGATATTTATTCATGCAACTTAAGCTCCAGGCAAACGGCTATCAAGCTAATGGAAGAAAAAGCTCGGTTCAGCATTTTCAGATCCTTTTATACATCCATTTGGTGACACTTCAGTTACTTTCAACAGATAAAAGTTCACCATTGAAAACCACATAAGGCTTTATTTGGCTGCTGGAAGTTTAGAGACCCCATGATAACCCTCAGATATCTATGGTCTGTCATTGTTAATTACTGTGATCAAAAGCAAAAGCACCTGGACTACAACAGCAACATATTTCTGAAAATACTACACTGATCTGGGAACATAAGAAAACAACAGACCAGATAATGAGAGGGGAGATAAGACAAGAAGCAGCCCCCGAAGAGGGTGGACAAAGCCAGGCCACTGATCCCTATCAAAACCAGTCAGGAGGCAAAGAGATCCCAGTGAATGTGAGAGCTGACATTACAGTGTTTTCTTTTTAAGTATGTAAATAAATAGAGGAAAAAACACTCAAAGGTGTTACAGAAAAATAATAGAAATAGCCTCATCAGAAATAGGAGTGTCAGAAAGGGTATTTAGCTTTAAAAGTAAATGGTGTGCTCATATATGGTAGATTCTGTCAACATGAGGCGGGGCACATGGAGCAGGATGACCTAACTCAGTGACATCACTCATGGTAAACCTGAGTGTGAATCAGAATCGGCGTATGACAGCATCTAAATGTACCGTTCATTAATGACTGTCAGGGCTTTTGTTTGGACTCCTGCTCTTCCTCTCTATCGAAACACAATGAGAGGAGACAGGATGAGAGGCTCGGCTGTTGTCGTCATGAGGCTGCGGGGACTTCCTGAACTCTCCAGGAAATTAAAAACTGGCCTGAGTAATGTCAGATTTGTACCATGACTGCTGTGTGTACACGAGCATGTGAGTGTATGTGTGTTTTTCTGCACATCAGTTCCAACAATGAATGAATGAGTTCCTGGTGTTTTTTTACAGCTCCTGGGTAAGCCTCCTTGATTTAGAAGCAACAGAGAGGAGTGTGAGAAAACACTGCCCCCCTTTCTCTACGCAGATATCCGATCACCCTATCGCTCTTTTGTGAGGTAACCCGAACCAGGCAATCACAACAAAGCATGAGTCTTGTATAAAGACCAGGAGGGCCAACAAGGCACATGCTACACCAGCTTTCTCTGAGGTGGGACCTGATAGAGGGGGAGTATTGATAGCAGAAAGCAGAAGCTATTTTCTAGATAGGAGAAGAGGTGAAATGATCACCCCTCCCTGTCCTGGTTCATGTTTACACAGCAAATATAATCAAGACTCAGTTAAGAGTGTGTTTATTAAGATATCAGCAAAACAGGTAAAGCAACTCAGTCCGATGCAAATGCGGTCAACTCAAACCGCCTTCCTGATATGTGAGACTTCAAGCATGTAGTACACAACGATGGTGAAAGACAGCTGAGTTAACATCAGCTCATTTCACTTTCCAAACAAAAATCAAGCCTTTTATATTCTAAACCATTAAATCCAGATGTATTTGATAATTTTCCTATACTTGTGTCATTAATTGTCCTAGATTAAGCTGTACAACTGGAAAATTGAGAAAATCTATATTTATTTTCCCAGAGTCAAAAAGTTTCTTCAGTAACATCCAAGTTGTTATTTTTAAATTGCTCAGAGAGAAATCAAACAATCTTCACAGTTGAAGAGCTCAAATGATCTATTCTGAGGTGGGTGCACTCAAACGTTCAGGTGTTAGTCCTGTTAAATACTTAAGCCTAAATTTGAATGTGACAAAACTAACATTTGTGACAGTTTTTAAAATGGCTTTATCCTCTTGTTCTCTGGTCCTCTGCTGCTCCTAAACATCTCCATCTTTAGCCTGAAATCCCTCTTTTCTCCCATTTGCTTGCATCTTAGGCTATGACATACAAATAGAAAGTGTTAAGAAAAATAACTTTCCCCACCTACGGTCACTTCTTCACACCACAAGACTAAATGGATATTCCAAAGCACACAAAAGCGAAAGAAAGTTGATGAAATGCCCCGTTTACTTAATAAATCAAAAAGCCATTTTCCACAGCCCATTTGTTAATCTGTTTATTCACACGCTGACATAACTGTGATCGAGCATGGAGATAGCTGGGTTCATAGAGGCTGTTATCATCAGAGGGCTCTTTGATTCAAACTCATGGCCACAGCCTGAGATAAAGATGAAAATGTTAGTCTCCTAGGGCCAGATGTTTTTCAAACTTCAAATGAGAAACAACTCCAGTTATCCACTTGTTTACATGAACTTGTCCAGGAAGCTTTTGACTTCCAACACAATAGTGACATCAATCTGTTGCCACCTGATCACTATTTGTCCCGTTTTCTGCCGAGGAAGTGCGAACAGACACAAAGATACGAGTGAGGTAAGAACAGAGTTATACAATAAAACTACAAACTGATCATGAATCATGAGGATTTTGTTCAATCCGGTGTGTCGCACATCCTGTTTGTGCTCTTGTTTGCATCCCTACATGGGCCCAGGGAAGCCCCTGCCAACAGGAGATACACAGAGAGAATGTCAGGAATGCAGGTACATGAATGCCTCAATAACCCATGCTGGCTAGGCCTTTTGACACACTGCCTAGTTAAAAAGATGAAGGTCAAAGAGAGAGAAAGGGGCAACAAATCTGTGCCTGGGATGAGGAGAAGTAACAGGTTTAAATCAAGAGAAATTTCTGTAAGCACCTCTGTTTTCTTTTGAGGTTTGGAAGGAGGGAGAAATGGTGCAAATAACGGAAAGAGGAACAAAAACCAAGAGACTCAAGTCCACATGTGAACCATTGAAAGAGTCACACATCTTTCAAAAATTCCCCTTTGCCACTCATTGTGACTTAATGTAATGATGTGTCACTGTAAACCCCCCAAAAGTAGAAATGTTTTAAAATCACAAACGAAAAAAGAAACAAGACTATTTTAGACTATTTTGTGTCATAAGGAAAGGCCTGAAAATAATCATTACATCATGTCACTAGTTAAGTCGCATCAAGACATAATCCACTGTTTGCTTTAAACAGGCTTACACAGTCCTCCTGAGCGTCCATGTAAAAAGAAAAGGGTGAAGCAGCACAAAAGGCACCGGGGGACGAGGCCCCCTTTTCTGAAACAACACTGACTGACAGACTCCCTATTGTACTGAGGAGGAAACCACTTCTCCAACCTACAGCTTCGGTGCAGCTGCATTAAGAGCAGCATGCAAACCCCCACTGACAAGCACAAATGCACAATAACACACACATGCACATACTCCGAAACACTAACACATGCTCTTAAATGACAAACACATGCCTTCCCTTTGAACAGGAGAATTAAATTAATCCAGATCCACACACATCTATGTGATATGCAGGAACAACTAATGCCTTGCTTATGGTTGTTTTTTTTTTTAAGTGTTGAAGTTGGAAAAAAATGATCAGGATCTGTTCTTGAATATTTTTGCTGAGCGAAGTCCCGACAAGAACAATAAAGGCAACTTTTCCAACTATATCTACAATTTAAACTTAACAATAGGACAGGGTAGGCAAAAATAAAGCTAGCATGGTGTGCCTTGTCTGTCCAACCACAGTCTTTTTTTTTAAATTTATACAACTGTGTTGATGAGCCACTCTGTTTTTGATACTCATGCTGAGCTTAGCTAGTTAGCTAATGCTTCTATCTATACTATCATTCCAAGACAAGAACAATAAAGGCGACTTTTCCAACTATATCTGCAACTTACGCTCAGCAATAGGACAGAGTAGGCTAAAATAAAGCTAGCCTGATCTGCCTTGTCTGTCCAACCACAGTATTTTTTTTGTTATTTATACAACTGTGTTGATGAGCCACTCCGTTTTTGATACTCGTGCTAAGCTAAGCTAAGCTAACTAGCTGTTGCTTCTATCTATGCTATCTATGCTGCTGTAACTTTTGGAATTTCCTCCTGTGAGATTGATAAAGGTATCTCTCTCCCTCTCTCTTATCTTTTGATTTTTGGCAGACACTTGGGAGAACATTAACTTCATAGACTAAGCTTTAATGAGAAAAAAATAGCATGTTTTTCCAAAAGACAACAACTTTAACGAAAGGTTAATTTAGCGTTAAGAGCAGAAGATTTGGAAACAGCTAACATGATAAAGCTTTTCTGTCCAAGCACCATTTTCTGTAACTTTGGATTCAAAACAAACTGAATGTTATGGGATAATTAACTTGCTTGATATGCAGACAAGTTTGTTAATACCTTCTTTGTTTACTGTAAACAGCTGATGGATGAAGGTGGCATAGACCTCCCAACTGGACAAGAAAATAAGCAAGCATATTTTCAAAACCTAAAAGATGACTATTTCGTGACATATCTGCCCACTGTGGTCTTTAACTTGACCTTTGCTTCCTAAAATAACTGTGGAGAGAGGAGGGGAGAGGCACTAAAACTCCCTATAAATCCTGGCCTACGTTACAGAATTGTGGCCTGAGGGTGTAGAGAGCCAGGTGGACGGCCTTGTGCTCAACCCCCTTGACAGCTCGCCTGCTCTGAAACCGAGTTTAGGCTACTGCATGTACTCAACTCCCGTAATCCCCCTCTTCCTGGGACGGTGGGTGGCTGATCCAGATGTAGGCTCCAAACTCTCTCAACTTGAGTGACGTAACAAACACATTTTTCTCTTTTTAGAGAGGAACAGTGGTGATGATGTGAGTGACAAAGGGAGTGGTAGAAATAGCAAGCACATAAATTAACTGCAACTGCCATTAAACACATAAAAATGATTTAGCTTTGTGCCCAATAAATCGGTGCACAGCTTGATTCCATTAGTTCCACTTGAGTGGCATCTATCAGACGGAGCAGTTTTCTTTAGACTCCGAAACAGTGATGTCAGACAAGGCGGTGGAGTCACATCGTCAGCATGTCTGATTCTACAACCACTGACTTCACTTCGTCTGTAGTTTTCCCAGCATTTGCTTGGGTGAGATCTCTCTTGAACAATCAAACTTCAAAAAGAAACTGCATCAGTGTTTCAATACATGATGCAACTCCATGTCAGAGTATAAAAGACTCAGACAAATCACTTAGGATGATTTCCAATGCAATCAAGAGGTGGGAAAAAAATCTCATGCTGCAGTTCGAACAGCTCTTAACTATGTGTGCGCTGCTTAAAAATGTTGGTAAAGTCATTACAACCAAGAACAGTGGCAGACCGCCAGTTCAAAGAAAATTTTCCTTCTCTGAGTTCTCCTGTGGCCTCGGCCGAAACTAGACCGCAGGAATCCAGCAATGGATTGGTGCTTGGGCACTTTGAAAGAGGATCCCAGGCCAGACCTGCACCTTTAGAAAAGAATACTCATTTCACGTCAATGTTATAAGCAGAAAGTCATATGGAGAAAGTTATTTGGGGAACAGACCCACAGTGAGAGGGATTCGGGGAATGGGAAGGTAGGAAATGCTGACTGGATGAGTGAATGAGAGGTTACAATTCCACTGGAATTACACAAAGCCAAGATCCAAAAGAGTGAAGACAAAGAGAGGAAAAAGAAGTAAAACTACCCAGAGAAGGCTACAGAGGACCAAAATATATGGACTCTGTGCTGTGCATGTCCACTAACTATCTGTGAGGTCTACTCTATTGTAGCTTTATATGCACAATGATCTAAACTAATGGCACGTTACACACTGATGACATCTCACAAGAACACACTTCTTATTGTAAAGCGAGCCAACCACAACGATCATTGGTTACAGTGCAGTTTCCCCTGTAAAAGGAAGGAAGGAAAATGCCAGGCAGCTGTTTTCAGCCACAAAAAAACAGAGTTGAAGTTGTTTCTGGGGACGCTGGACAAAAGAGACGAAAAGGATACAATGCTTTAAGCACATGCTGCCGCTTAGAACTGACCCACACATTTTTATTAGCAGACCGCATGAAGCAGTTGAAGCTAACCCAAGGGGGTTCGAGCCCCTCCTCCACAGCCCTTAGCCAGCTACAGTAGAGCAGTCCTGTTAAAGTCATTAGCCGGGGGATATTACTACAGAGTTGAAGGCTCCTGCGCCTATGACATCATTATGACTGCTGTCAGTCTGGTGGGACGTCTGCAGTGCTCTGTGCCTGAGAGAGGAGGTCACTCCTGCCATGCAGAAGTAGACATGTCCGTTGATATCAGTGCGTCATCATGCAGGAAGAAACAGAAGAGGAAAACGAATCCATTTCTGTTGAATTTTTCCATGCAAAGTCAACAACCTCACAGTTAAGAAAAAATCTGCTTGAGCTGCACTAAGTTATACTCCCAGACTATTTATGTCAGACTTGATACTAATGAAGGAGAGTTATAGCCAAGGCCAGACAACAAGTCCAAGGTTTTGTCTTCCTGAGAAGCTTTAACCATGAAGACAGAGGCTTTTGATGTCTCCTCATCTCACAAAGAGGGGCGACCAGGGCGGGGAGAGGAGCATTGTCTGATAAGAACACTAAAATATACAAGCATGTCGTTCTTTCTCACAGAGTAAAGGAAATCTGGAGCTACTGTGAGGTGGGTGGGGTGGGGTTAGAAGGGGTTGAAATCTTCTCCCTGTTCAGAACGACAGAACTGAAATGTTGAGTCTATTGCCTCTTGCATAGAAATCATGTGCTCTGCACGGCTGAACATAATAACAGGGATTGACTTTGTGTTGCAGTCAAGTCAAACAAATGCAGACTGTACTGGTCTCTTAGCAGGATGCACTGTTAGACAATATTTTTTTTCTCTATGGGTAATGTGATGCATGCAAAAGTACCCATCAGTCACACTGGAAACCTTACATTTAGCTTGACTCTCTCATGCAATGAGTCACTGCATAAAATGATGCAACTTGAGCTGTCAAAATGGCTCTCATAGCATAGCGCAGCTGAGTTTATTTATCTCAGTAGCTTTGGGTAAGAACAGTAGCCTCCTTCCAGGTCTTCAGTGGCTCCTTTTTTTGTTAATCTCGTTATGTAATGGCTTTACTTTGTGGCAACTGACAGTTCTGCAACTTTAATACTGCACCTTAGTATTCAAGAAAGATAGAGGCTCCATAAAGTGTTCAAGAATCAGACTAAGTAAGTAATGCTGTGAAGATAAGATCCACCTCTTTGCTGCTGATGCTGTAATTAAGGTATTAAACAGCTGAAAATGAAGGCTGGGTGTGGCAGAGCTGAAATGAGGAGTGAAAAGAACGAAATAAGCACCTGTGGGGAACAAAAACTAAACAAAGAGTATAATACCTATGTTCAAAGGCTTTCTGATTTTTGTATTTCTGTTTGGATACGGGTGGAGCAAAGCAGGAGCTCGGGTAGGCAACTCAAAAAACAGGTCTTGTAAATGACTAAAATGTTTCTCCTGTAAATATAAAGAGTGTGACTCTTTTGAAGGACTTTTCCCCCGGGCACCACAGTGAAAAGGCCAAAGCAGCATCCTGATATAACTATTGCAGTCACAATAAAAACAAATGGTTCTTGAACCTAGGCAAGTGTGGCAATGACAGATAAAAATACAAACCACAGTTTTTTTTTTCCCTCACAGTGTGCCATTATTGCTTCACTTAACGGCAGTTTTCTCATGGTTTCCTTGTGGATCAAACTTGTGATATGCCATGCTAGATATTTTCAATTATTTCCAGTATGTTTGCGAGGCCAACTACAGCTTTCAATCCATTTTTCAATCATATCAATTTCATAATCAATTTCTAATAAGGCAGTTAAATGTTATGCACGCAACAAATAAGGCTTTTATTAGTTGAGTTTTTGTTTTTTATGGGGTGGGGTTACATTTTTTGATTAATAGATCAAAACTCTACTTGATAAAATGTCAGAAGAAAGTCAAAATGTTAAAAAGGATATCTTCAAATATTATTATTATCATTATATCTTATTAAATTTCCAAAACTCAAAGTTTCTAAGCTAATATCACAACAGATCAATATTATAGATCAAAAAAGTGGGGAATCTGTAAATTAATGATTACATTACAGCTCCTGTCATAAGTAGATTGTCAACATAACTGTGTTTTCCTTCTAATAGTTTCATAAACTAAGATTTTTCCAACCCTGGGTATGACCCACTGAATCATCCAGTTGTGGGCTTTAGCATAGTCAAATATTGGTACGTTTCATTGTCAGTGATAGGCCTCAAAATAAATAGAAAGAAAGGTGTAAAGTCCCTGATGTGTTGAGTCAATTATTCAAGAAATGTCCCGTTGACGTGATGACAGATTCACTTGTCTGCGTTGAGAGTCGGTAAAAGTGGGTGTTGACTTTGTGCTCATGATTTCAAAGTGCCCAGACAACTCAACTACAGCCTGGTGAGGAGAGTGGGGGGAGAGAGAGGGGAGGGGGAGACTCTCCGGCTGTGGGAGTTTTGGGGGAATTCAGAAAATGTTGCTTTCAGATAGGCGGCTTTGCTTGCGGCGAGAAAACTTGATGTAAACTCAGACGGAGAATGTCATGATGGGAAACAAACAGTGATGTGTTTTCAGCCTGTGATATACTACAAAAAAACCCACTCTCCCCCACATCTCCCTGCATGCTGCGTTCAGTGTTTGCCACTTGAGCCAAACGCTGAGTTGTCTGACTTTAGGGGAGACAAAAGAACCGCAGGAGAGGAGGGACAGCAGGCAGGGAATGAGGGGCGGGACGGCTCAGGTCCCCCCATTTAAGACATCAACCACTCATCATGAACGACAAATACCCAGCAAATCAAACACAAATACCCCTTAGAGTGAGTCTAAATAGAAAAGAAGAAGAAATATTTTGAAACTCTTCAAATCAAATTTAAGTGAAAAGTTTGTGATTTCAAATAAGAAATGTAGAGGTGTTACATGTTTGTTTTTATTTGAGGTAAACATACCAAAACTATGGCAAACTTCTCCTCCAGCTCGGTGGGGTCAGGCATGGGCACCTTCAGAGGCATAATGTGATGCTTCATCTCCGACTGTCCGTCCACACTCTCTATATTACCCATGTTGTCCCAGATGTGTAGTAATCCTCTCTAGTCAACTTGGTAAATCCTTGATCGTCTTTGCTGATGATAATCCAGTTTAGAAAATCAAAACCCTCAAAAGTTGTGCTGCAATTTCATGAACGGATAAATCCAAGAACACAGTTTCTTGAGAGAAACAGCTGACAGTGGAAGTAGCCTCGTATCAATGTCCAAAATGCCATTTACAGTTGACGCGTTCAGGTTTCCTTTCCAAACTTACTTTCAAATGAAACAATAAAAGATCAGCTGCTTTCTCCTCCATTAAGTAATCATCAATATGCCGGGCCAATCCATTACTTACGACAGATTTCCACCCACGAGAGAAAACTTTGAAATCCCGACAAACAGTTAGTTTTAGTTGCTGCTCAACTTTCTTGGCTACGACGTGTTTCCATTCATTATTGTTGTGTGATCCTGATTAAGCCCCTTTGCTGCTGCCTCCACTCAGAGGGCAGGTTTTCTTCTTTAGTCCCGCCCCCTGACGGAGGAGGGGGCACTTCCGTTGGTGAGAAGCCCTGTCAGTCTCTCCATCTCCGTTGCCCTTCCCTACACATCTGTAGGCAATACCCACATGCGACTGGACGGTAAAGTTTAGGTTCTTAAGCGTTTTATCCCCACCTAGTGACAATATATGGGTATGACATACACTAACCTTCAAAATAGAGTAGTATTACAGTTTTTTTTAGTCGCTAACAAGCATTTGTCCAACCAGTTGTCACATTTTCAAAACTCTAAACAAAATTAGCACAGCATTGGTCCTTTGTGGCCATATCATTCACATATTTCATGTTGTTTTCACATAATATGCAGTCAGTGAACACATTTCCACAATGCTTACAGTTTCTTAACAGGCAAGCTATACCTATTGTGTTTGTATTATTTACGAATGCTAACACACAACATCCCACAATAGCAAAAACAATATTCCAAACCTTAGAAACGGTTTAAAAACCTCTGCTTCTGCAATGATATCAGCTCAGAAACAATATATCTCAGCTGATAATAAACAAACAAATGAATAACTGACACACAGCTAATTTATGTTGGGTAAATTGAGCCAACCACAGCAGATTCTAGTCTGACTTAGACTCAGTGGCAGGGGTTAAAAGGAGGACTTTGAGGAGTGATATTTTTGGAAACAGAAAAAGACAAACACTGTAATGTCTGGTTGAGTAAGAGCAAGAGCAAGGGGCCAAGGGAGAAGAGCAGGCCCAGTGAGAGATGCAATGAGAGGGGCATGAGCAGGATATTCTGTTCACTGCAAGCAATACTGTAAGACCTTTTCTGTTCTAACATATTGTTAACCATATTTCTACTGTACCTCCTGTAGTAAACACATGCTTTTGAACGTGAACATTACATGTGGACATACAGTTCCCAAACAACAAATTTAGTGTAAAAACAGTGTATTGCATGTTTTGCATGCAAATACCTGTAAAACTGGAGAGTAAAAGTCTATGCAGTTTTTGTAATGTCAGCAACAGCCAGTATTTTGAAACCTGGTGTACTCTGATTGACTGCATGTACCTTGTGAAGCGAAAACAAGTGTTATTCTTTGACAGAATAATTTTATTTGAGTCAGATATCCAGTGTTTTGGTAAAGTAAGTGTGTGCAGAGAAAGATGTGTTCTATTTTGAAATGAATATATTTAACAAAATGTGTTTTTAAGAAGAAAATTATCCATTTGGCCAACTGTGTTTTGTAGGTGTGAGTCCGTGTTAAGAGTTTAGAAAAAGGATCATAGGTATGGGTAAGTGCTTGCTAGCGATTGAAAAAAAAACTACAAGTATCTAGTTTCTTTAAAATGATGACGACAGATTTTGTTTGCTCCATGAGAGTGCAAATTTTAATGAGCAACTTCAGCAGATACATGATATGTTCAAAAAATGTTAAAACCCAGCAGTTTCCCCTCTCCAGTTCCTACACATAAACACTGTCATTTTTTCCTTTGCCACAAACCATTTGTGGTAAGGTGACAGTGCTGGTACAATCCAAACCTGCCCCACTATTGTTTACAATATCTACCTGTATCTCATAAGGCCCTACCTGATTTGCTTGAAAAATAAACTTGGCTGAGAGATCCAGCCTCTTGCATTTAGCGCTACAAACACGTACAAACACAGGCAAAAATGTGCGTAACAACACTAGCGATGTGTTTTCAGTATATATAAAGTAATCTCTTCATAAAAGCACAGTGATTCAGACTCTACTCAACACAGTATCATAGCTCTGTTTTTTGAAGTGGAAATGTGAGGGTCTAGGTTCATAACACTTTGACTTATAAAAGCAACTTTAAGAGAGCTCTGGTTAAAACATATAAAACTTCATTTGGAACATAATTCAAAAACACTGACAATCTGTGCACAGTTTTGTAATACTTAAGGCAATAATATTAACAAATATCAAAAAAGTAATATCTGGCAAAATTTGAGATTGTACAAATAAAATTAATAGGAATCTTTTTTAGGTGTTTGATGATGTAAAGTCATAAAACATTGTCACACATTAAGATATTAAACACAGCATAAGCCCTTTGTAAATACAATTTAAAGAGGGCTTCAACATGCTTTTAACATTTATAAACTTGGTGTTTTTCTGCAACATAGTTGCATTATTATCAAATATTTATTCAGCCAAAATATTCTACTGAAGAATCGGTCCCAAACAGCAGGATTCAGCACAGTAACACGTCACAGATGATCAGCTACATGTGAGGTTTCATAAATACTGATGGACTGTTGTTTTTTGAGTTGGTATGTCATTATGGTTTTCTTCAGTGATGGATTTTCTAATTTAAGCTGAATATACAACACAAATCACAGATCACAGAAGCAACACTTATTGTACTATAGTAATTGAAACCCACAGTTGATTCAGCTTCTAGTTGGTCTCTGCCACCAAATCAAACCTGGAAAAAGAGTAAAGGACACTTTTTTTAAATTAAGAGAAGAAAGTGACATTAGGAAAAAAATGAAGTATGAATCACTGCAATTTATGGTTAAGAAACTGCTGAAATAGTGTTACAATATTGTCCTACCATTGTGTTTCACCAGACTTGAGGTCAATTTGGTCCAAGTCCAACTGCAACTGGGTACAACAAAGAAGAACATTGTCTTAATCACAACAGAAGCAATACGGGATGGATGATGTGTTGTTGGGAGACAGCTAGCTGCTTTTCGGACAAAGCTGATGATGTATACCTTGCCTATGAGCTCCCTCTCTCTGCTCATGAATGAGACACTGTTCTTCACAGACAGGTCAAGTCTTCTCTGTATGGACTCCTCCAGAGAGAGATCAAAGTCAAATCTACAGAAACAGAGAGAGAAAAACATCAGCTGACATCCTTTCTGATCCCTTGAAATATTTTTGTTTTTCTTACCTCTCATTAAATTCTGGGTTGAGGTCTCTCTTTTTGGTGGCAGTTCTCCTCTTGGTTGTTGCCTTCTTGTCTGGCAGCAGAACAAAGGTAACATAGGGGTCTGCGCCATCCTTGGAGCAGGAAGCAAGGGCTCTGTGAGTGAGGAACAAACACATGTACAACAAGTTTGGTTGATAAAGGGGGGTGTCACGTCTGAAACATGATGGAACAGAGTGTTGCATGTCAAATCCAGACCTGCAGGAGTGCACTGTGATAAAAAGCCTGCTCTCCTCCGCTGAGTAGCCGATGGTTAGCTTCACCTGCCCTGCTGTGCTTGCATTATCACCAGATCTGAAAACAACAACAAAAAAAGAGTAATTATTTAAACACTTAGGGCAAAGGAGATCCAGTTTAGGTCTGTCTCTACACTGAACACATTGTCTGTATGATAGAGCTGTGATGTGAGCATGTGTGACTCACAGGGTGAATCCACTCCTCTGTCTGATGTCTAGATGAGAAGGCACCCATTTGGGAATTACTTCATCTGCATCATGGTCACTACCCGCTTCCCCTGGCCTTCGACACACCGCCAGCTGGGTGTCCAAGATCTGTAAGGTACACCCAACAAAATTACACTTTAGTATGACATCACTGCTGCATGATAATCCTAAACTTCTCCTTGTTTTGATGCCAAAGAGAGTGACTACACTGTGGAGGATTGCTATGTAAGACTCAAAGTTACACTGAGTAGATATTCTCACATGTGCCCACACAGATGTATATCAGTGCAATGAAAAAAATCTGGATGTGTGGTCAGTACCTTGAGTGTGACTCTCAGTAGTATCTGACTCTCCGGCAGCGCTCCATCCAGGTTAAGCCAGCGATCAAGTACCAAGCCCTGCTCAGTCAGCACCTCTCTGAGAGGAAGAGTCAGGGATCCGAGGGCCTGACCCCAGCTGTGTGAGAGCTACAAACACAAGACAACAGTCTTTCACTGTTTATTATCATAACTATATAAAAGATCAGCTTCGGAAATGAATAAAACATCTCTATAAACTAAATGGATTGATTTTAAGTGCACAAAGTCTGGATCTCACCTTCACTGTGAGTGTTTCATCTCTCGGGTCACGGACCAAAAAGTGAAAGGCTTCATCCCATCGAGGGGATGTGGAACGCTCACAAATCTTCGAAAAAATAAACAGGACAGTTTGATGACTTTAAAAACACCACCTTTGTTTGGTTGCATGCACCAACCAGTCTCTAAGATCTTGAACATACCTTGGTTCTATGCGAAACACCTTTGAGGATAACATCAGCTCCGACTTTAGGCTCCTTTCCGTTTTTCTTCAACTGGAATAAAACACCAAAAATGTTGTACTGCAAAACTGCAATAAACAGCACCTCCTTGATTTAATACCACCCATTACATCACCAGTGATTTGATTAATAGATGAATACAGCTGTATTAGGTTGCTAGTGCATTCAACTTAAAGCAGCTATTGTTCTTCTGCACTATAAAAAACAAATTAAACCCCAAGGACTCGTATGTATGACCTCACCGGCAGACCGTGGGCACGCTCCACATACACAAATATCACAGCTGCAGATGGCAAAACCTTGTTCTGATAGGACTGCTGGCTCTGGTACAGCAAGACCTGACAGAAATAGGAAGTGATGTAACAGAGACAGACAAAACAAAAATAAGAAGTGGTAGAATTCAGAAAACTTATTTTGCAATGAGGAAGCTGTGGTGAACATTTCTCTCTGTCAACAAAGATGTGAAGAACAAAAAAAACATCTCTATGGAGCATTTGCAAGGCTACATTAATTATCCACGCGCTCTCACAGCCTCAAGCATTTTTAAGACTTCCTGCAAAAGAAAGTCTCTGTTATCTATTAATCTGCCAGAACAACCAAACAACATGGCTAGAAAAACAGATTCAAAGCCCTGACAGTGCAAAACAGATTTTTCTTAGGTTGAAATGTTTTTGTGTTAAAAATGGTGGGAGTCAAGGGAGATGCCAGACAAACAACCTCTCTGAAAGATATTATTTTGGTTTAGGTAAACTTAAATTTTTAAGAACTCATCTTCCAAACCTTGACATGCATTGTTGCACAGAATCATAATGGTGGGTTTTCTCCCTCTTTATCTTACAGGACAGGAGCACTGAACAAAGATTACTTAAAGCTCCAATGACAAATTTCTATATCTTTGTTTTAATGTCTAAAAACCAAACTGAGAAGTAGGTGTCAGCCCAGAAGATGGGGAAACAGTCCTGTTTTTATAACTAATGCATAAAACATTCACAACAAAACACACATCTGACTGTCTGAGATCAGCAAGATGAGATTGTTTTGGTCAAAAGACAATATTTAAGACAACAACAGCCAAGATTGCTCACATCCCTTTGTACTTCCACTGCACTATTGAGTGGTCTCTGTTCAGTCACACCCACAGCTGATTCAAGCAGCCACAGATGGGGCCTCAAGTCACACCTTAGCCTCACACTTCAGACTTGACTCAGTCACTCCCCCTCAAAGACTTGAAACAGAGACTGATCAAATAGCATGTCACCTTGCGACTAAGCTAGCATCAGTGCAGACTTGCTATTGGGGGTCTAACAGCTCTCTCTCACGTCACACTCAAGAGTTTTGGACTGGACTTAATGTGGAGGACCCCTAATGCAATCAGAGGGGGGCTTGAAAGAGCCCTTCAGGGCAGTCAGGTAGAACATTAAGAGACTAAGAGAGTGACAGTGAGACCTAAAGGCTTTATAGAAGTCATATTTACAAGATTATTATATCTCCAAACTCTACCACTGCACCACTTGGCTTTGTCACATATCCTTATCTTGCAAATATAAAGTTAATTAAAATCTGAGGTTTTGTAAAGTGTTGGAACAAGTAGAGATGGAGTGAAAATAAGAACTGCAAGCAGCAAGATTTAATGAACACATAACACAATTGATTACATCTTACAAATAGAAGAACAACATCCTGCAACAGCATCCATTTCTGAACATTTAAAAGAAGAAATCTTTGAAACCTGTTAGTCTATTATCTGTCCTCAATGAAATCGTATTTCTTTAAAGAGAGTACAGCACCATGTGGGCACTTTGGTCATATTTAGATACAATTTTATGTGATGCCTTTGTGGATCTAAATCAACAAGGAAATTAAAGAGCACAAATATCTTACATGCTCAAGTCTTGGTAGGTCAGAGATTCTGGGCAGCCACTCTAGCACCAGGTGAACACGGCCCGACTTCACATCATTGAGCGTGTACCACTGAAATGAAAGCAGCAAAAATATTTGGGTCACTACACAAATTTAAAAAATAATCTGTTGCATATGAGTTCAGATAATATCCACAAACCGTATCGATGAATTGTGCACTGATGATATCTCGTAGGTTAAGCTTGAACCTAGAAAGACAGGATTCAATCAATACTCATATATTTGAAGACTTTCCATCAGACATGCCCTGAATGAATAAAGGCTTTTCAACTTCGCCCTTGACTGAAGCGAAACAATGCAGAGACTTGATTATCTCCATTTTAATTCATTTTTTTCACAGTTTTTAGCCGTGAAGCAAAACGCAGTGTAAAAGTTTTATTTTGCGATGTCTGTACAAACCTTCCAAGAAAGTCATCCTGATCAATGTCCTTATCAAAGAGCTCAAATTGGATCTCCTGACCAGGAAGCTGGGTCAAAATCACCTGAAACAAAGACAAAGTCGGTGTCAGAGTTTCATCAGATAAACAGAAGAACAAACTCCGGGAGCAGGAAATTAATCGAAGACCTCGTAAAGCTCATTCCAGACTGGGTTGAGGTTCTCTTTGATGGTGTGGCTACGATAGGTGACACCAGCCACACGGATCTTGACATAGGGGTCACTCTTCCCCTTTACAATGCCCCCCATGAAGTTGTCCTTCGCTATCAGGTTTTGAGCCTCCACCAGATGGATACGCAGGACTCCCTGAGGATAGAAAACAACAGTTCAATATTCATACAGTCTGTGAGGGAAGCAGGGTGGATTCTGCTGCTATTTGTCTTGTACCTCAGTTGCAAACTCAGGGTCGGGCGTGGTGTGCTGTGGTCGTGAGGGTGGAGGTTTAGCTAACCCACCAGGCCCCATTGGGTTCAACTCTGATGTGATTCCTCCCTGACCTGAGATGGACCCAGAGGGTAGGGGACGAGGAGATGGAGTGGTGGGAGTGGCGTCATCACTTAGCCACAAAATCTAAAAGAAAACACGTTGTGATGAGCAAATGTGAAGTGCTTTTTGTGCAGCATAAAAAAGAGGAAATATAGATTTCTGGTCACTGCTCCTCACCAGGATAGAAAAATGAACTGAAAGAAGACATGTTATTCATCTTCTTTTGATGGATTAGGGTTAAGCTTAGGCATGTAAAGAGGAAGGGCTACGGATTATGAATTCATGTTATGAAAATTTAGATCTGGTGATACTGTTTTACAATTTCACCTGCTTTATGATTTTTAACCACTTTAGTATTTTGTCATCTTTATGACCTGGGTGTTCTTACCAACTATATCAGATTTCCGTGGATAAATGACTGACACAGGGGCATAGAAAAGTTTAAATTTGATATCTCTGTTTCAAAGGAGGACTTGTGGGTGCGTTATTGTAGCACATGTCTGGTGAAAATTCCCCGAGGCTACACTGGGTAGAATTTCAAAGTCTTTGTACACACACACTCTTTAGTTTGGCAAAACACAGCACAATCACATGCTACTCTACCCAACACATGATGTGAAACACATACCCTAAGCACAGTTTTGATGTAGATACGGCTGGCAGAACCAGAATTCTCCAGCTGGAACCACTGGTCCATAGTGAGCTCAGGCGTCGCCATAATACGGGTCAGAGGGATGGTCAGACTGCCCAGGGATAGAGCGCGGTCATCATCCTTCACCTGGTTGTAGAAAGACAGAGGAAACAGAAAATATGGAGCCAGAGAGAAAAAAAACAGCCAAAAAGCTATCAATGATCAATAATCTATTTAGTGGGCTGATCCCTTTACACTTAGGGAGTAATTGCAGGTAAACCTCTAAAGCTGGTTTAACTGCTTCCTCAATAATAACTGAAAAACACTTACCTGAACATCGATGTCTTGTTTACGGGGATCCTGAATAAAGAAGGTGAAGGCATCCTCCCACACAGGGTTGTTTGTACCGTAGCAGGTCTTAAAAAGCAGCAGGGACAACATTAATTCTGCACATCATTAATCTGGTTATTGTGTAAAACAGTCAGGGTTTTTATCCACACCTTGCTCTCTCTTGTTGCATCCTGGATGGAAATCAGCACCATCGGGCTCGGGTCCTTATTGCCTTTTCTCAACTAAAACATATGAAGCACATTGATGTAAACAACAGAGGTAACTTCAATGTAAACCAAACAAAAGAGTCTTAAATTATGAAACTCTCACAGGCAGAGCGTGAGCCTGATCGAGGTAGACAGCTAAGATGGCAGCAGATGGAGGATCGGCCGTCTTGCTGGTCAGGTTCTGGTTCCTCTGGATCACCTGTGAATAGAATAACATACAGATGCATGTGATGATTGAGAAGTTTAAGAAGTTACATCTGGACCCCCACTGTTTTAAACTCTCTTACAAATATAATGTGGAGTTATTAGCATCATTCACTGCTATTCTATTACTTTAGATCTTTAGACTTGAGTTTTCATAAATCAAACTCAGACCAGTTTATTATCATTAGCATAAAATAAAAAATGAAAAATTGGATAACCAAATGTCACTAATGGTATTGAATTAAAACGTTCCTTTAGATATGGCTAAGCATGTCCAGTCTGTATTCAGTACCCAAAAAACTCATTCGATTTGACATGCAACACCTCAGGGTTAACTTGCATGTCACCAGCCTATAACAGAAACTCTGAGCTGATTAGCATCATCCTGTTTCAACGTGACTTGTAAAGACAGCTTACTCTCTTTCTCTTATTCTCACTTCTCACTGGTGGCGCTAAGAGCACGTCAAATGTGCAGCACACACTTGTTGCTATGTTTTTACTTTCTGCAGATGCATATTGATGACTGTCAGTGTTTCTGTCTTCTGAGTCTGACTTAATTTTAACTGAGTGGTGCAGAAACAATGGCATGTGCTTTACTTATGAGGAGGGGTTTGACAGTGAGCAGTTTGGGGATATTCATGCCACTTTTATCTGTGAAAATACATGGCTTCTACCCAGGTTTATCACTTAGTTCCAGGCTCTGTTAAATACCTGAATCTGATTGGTTGGCACGCAACACCGCTGCCTGCTGTCACTGTGGCAAAAACCTTAGTTTCCACCTTACAATAGTCTTGAGAGACGTCATATTTACAAGTACAGACATGAGAATAGATTAAAGAGCTTCAGACCCAAACCTTCAGGGCAGACAAGATAAGACCCTCCTACTTCCAATCTGGGTCCTGCTCTGCTGAGAATCTCATTTTCATTACCAACTTCACATGATACATTACTTACCGAAAAAGGTAATTATCATGTTTACAGATGGTTTTTGATGCTTCTTTATTAGTATCACTTTAATCTAATTCAGGCCAAAATAAAAGATCTACTGTTAGTTGGTGCTGTGGACTCACCTCACTCAGTCTGTCAGCAGAGGACAGCAGAGAGAGCCACTCCAGCCGGAGGTGCACGCTCCCGGATGAGACGTCCTTCAGATTGAACCACTGTTTACAAAAACAAAGAGCTTATTAAATGTCAAATGTTTTTCATCTAGCTGCTTTCTTTAAGCCTTTTGAAGATGACAGGAAAAAAAGAACAGAACGGATCACGAGAAAGCACATGCAACATCACATGCTAACAGGATTACTGCAGTCTCACTGGGTAAGATCACTCCCAGGGTTGGATAGTTAAATAACAAAATTCTTGTACTGGCTGTTCAGAAAAAAATCTGAATTTTGAAAGAAAGAAAAGCATTTCTACTTACATCGTCCACAACTCTGGCTTTCTTTACAATGTCAAGATCCACTTTTACCCTAGCAGAGAGATTAAGTGAATAAAAGCCGTTAATTAAAAGGATTAGGGTGATCAAAAATGGACAGAATCATGGCGGCAGAGGTGGAGATGACATGAGAAGCACATAGAAACAGAGTAAATGAGTGAGTATGAATAAGCTACCTGCCCAGGAAGTCATCCTGGTCTGGGTCTTTGTCAAACACCTCCACTTCCAACTCCTGACCAGGTACTTCATGGACAATCACCTGACACCCACACACACAAATACACATACACACATAAATGGACAAACACAGACCACGCAACAAATACACAAATATTGATACAGACACATATGACACAATAAGACAGGATCATGCAAAAAGAACCAAAATGGCAAGTTTCACTAAACATTTGATATCTATTTTGTGTTTTCTTCAAATGGATTCAAAAAAATTGTATAAACAAGTAAGCAGCTTTTGAAAGAGCTGCTTATCTTGAAGACACGGGCTTCCTGCTACCAGAGAAGTCGATAAAATCTTCACACAGCTCCTTATCTCTTTGCCAATGAAAGACTTCCCCTCACAGTCATTTGTATGCAAAGACACCAACACCAAGCTAAACTTCTGGTAGCAATATGATATCAAGTCAAAGGCATACATCTCATGTTTCTTTCATTTAATTTAAATCTTTTCCCTCACCTCAAACATCTCCCTCCACTGTGGGTTCAGATTGCTGTCCACGTGATGAGATGTGAAGATTTGAGTCCCCACGCGCAGGACTGCGTATGGGTCTGACTTCCCATCGATTAAACCTTTGATGACGGTGTCCTTGGCAGTCAGGTCCTCAGCCTCCAGCAGGTGGATACGCACAACACCCTAGCATATGTACACGTAAACACATGCAAAAAGGGACAGTCAAGAAGTTAATGAATTCATGCTTCTCAGAATGTGAATTTGATTATAACTTTCAGACTATGTGTTTGCATGACTTATAAGCAGTGACAGATCTGCTTCAGTCTGTGTGGGTCTGTGTTCCTCCAGGCCATTCATTAGTAAGACAGTTACCCTTGGGAGAGGGGAGCGGAGCTGCGCAACGTGCAGGTCGGCCACCAGGGGAACAGTGAGACGGTTGGGGAGCACCAGGTGGGAGGCTATTGCATCCATTATCATAGTGTCCGACATGGCACTGCAAATGAATGCCAGGATGATGTTGGGGACACACAGGGCGGTGACACACAGACAAACAGACAGAGGCTATATACTACTGCTGAACATATGACCATGCATAAATAACATCAGAACATGATATTCAGGTTCTCAGCGCCAGAACCAACAGGAAGCACCCATTGGTTTAAAGATGAGGATTATTTTTGTGAAATCATGTTGGTTATTATCATATTAGGATGAGCACATTAAAATAATAACTAATTACCATTAAAAGTATTGCCAGAGGGGACTGATGCGTCAACAACAAATTGACACCTTTGACAATGTTTTAATTCTGTTTTGAGCCAAAGTAAATTATATAAGATACTAAAACAAAACAAGTAGAATCAACTGCAGTGCAATCACACTAAATATGAATGTTAAATCATGTCATTTCATAATTTCATCTTCATATTTTATTTTATTGTACGGTAGTTGATTCTCCATTGTAAACAGCCTTACCTTTCTCAATAGGCCATTGAAACTAGCCCCATATAAGTGGATGGAGTCATAATAAACATACTGAATACAAGATCACCAGTATGGTACAAGGTTTATCCAGTTAAAGAATAAGACTGGCAAAGTTTAATGTTATTCTTACTCTCAAAAATCCCTGTAAAAAGACCTACAAATCATTCCTCTGTCATTCACTTCATAAGACAGTACTATAGCCATCTATAACCATTTTGGACATTATAAAGGGATCTCAAAAACACTTCTGTTATAAAACAATTTAAAGCGAATTTCTGAGACAGCTGGGCATTGAAGTTTCCAGCCAAAGTTGCTCAAGCAAGACTGACGTGTGTAAGTTTGGCAACATTTTCTGAGGTTAATAACACACACTTTGCCAGTCATTTAGTATTTCAAGAGGCAGGAAATGCGTGTGTGTGTGAGTGTGGTGTAGGTGTCTTGGTACTGGCTGAAATGTTTGTATCTGTTTGGATAAAGGAAGTGAAAAACCAATACCACGAAACTGACGCGTGTCATGAACAGAAGAGCTCAATGGCACACATGAAGAAACTGTATAAGGTTTGGACTGCCTTTTAAAGAGGGATCAATTCAATGCTGGTTTTTGTCTTTTTACAGGATTTTTTTCAAGAAGAAATATAAAGTAATGCCACACTTACTCTTTAAGGATATAAACACACAAATTCGCCACTAAACATACAGAAAATCTTTCTGTATTCCAAAAGAAGACTTTTGCCATTTGAGAAGCTTGATAATAGATAAAGAAATTCTGTGAGATGTTTCAATCAACTCCAAAATTTACAACAAGCGGAACTATTTTGCAACATCAGCCACACCTCATCAGAGATCAGTAAAAACATCACTAAGCACACACAACAAATCAATAAAGCCACACCCTAGAATACATCTACACAAAGCTCAGGCATACAAACTCACTTGAGTCCTGGAATATCTAAGAGATTAGTCAGCCCAGTCCAGTTGATGTCCAGTTTCTGTGTCACAGGGGGGAAAGAAGACATATAATGATAAATGTGTTGAACTCAGATGGGAGTGATGCAAAAAAAATCCAAATATAGGTTAAGAGTTAGACATGTCGAACTGCTTCAACACTCACTGGCCTGCGGATGAAGAACATTGTGATTGCTCCAACAAAGGGAACATCTCCAATCAGAGGCTCGAGGATTACACGCAGCTTCCCATGAAGCTACAAAAAAAAAAAAAGGAAATATTATTTTTTGCAATAGCACCCTGAATTATAAGGCTAAGAACGTTTAGATAATTATCCTCATACCTGGACACCTTTCACTCCAGCTTTGCAGAAGTACTTTTTGATTTCTACATTTATCTCAACATCACCAGCATAACTGCAAGGAGAAAAACACAAACAACTCTAGAGATGTATGTTTAACCAACTCCAGTAGCTGATGGAAGTTATGAGAGAGGTTGTTTTTTTAGGAGGTTAAGTAAACAACAATCTCCTGTAACAGACATTAACAAACCACACACTAATGCCAGGTGGTGACTGTCAGTGTTTGACTTGTCTGAATGATTGCATGGACACAAGCATTTTTATTATGCAATTATCATAAAAGATAAAACTGCAAAATGTGATACCTGAGGTACAAATCCAACATCACTTGTCTCTTGTCGTGCTCAGTGTGAGCCTTTACACCACTCACTTTCAGAGCCTGTGAACACAACAGCTGGTATTACACAGAGCAAATAAAACTGATGGAAACTTTATGAGACCACATGAGTAAAAGACTTGGATGGTGATCAATATTCACTGAAATGAAATTATTGATCTGGATGATTGCAAGGGAGACTGGTAATCGGACTTTCATGCATATTACCCACATTATTAAAACATCATAGAAACAGAGCATTTAAAATGGATAAAACTGCTACTTTGGCATGCCCTTTAGTTACCTTGTCTCCTAAGTTGACCTTAGTGAAGCTGAGGGTCTGAAGATGAATACTGGAGGCACGGATGGCAGGAGCAATGGTTTCTACCAGAAGCTTCTCTAGGAACTGGCCGACAAAAGGCCAAGCCTGCTGCAGGATCTATAGCACAGAACAAAGAGCCGCTGATTACTTATCTTGGCAGTTTTAAATTTAGAAATGGCACGATTCATTTATCAAACATGTATATCATATCTATATGATATAATATATGTAAAATTATATTGATGCTGAATCCAAAGAGACCAGAGAGACCATGAATTGGCTATTTCAGATATTTTTTATGCCTGCTAACAGAGCCATCAGGTAGGCATCAGGTAAAATCTTAAACAGATTCTTGCCAAAACAGTTTTTTGATTTAGACTAAACTTTTTAAAATCAAAAGTTAACAGTGGGTGAAAAAAATTGACAGTTAGAAGAAGCAGCACTACGTCCTCAAGCACCGAATAACGAAAAAGCTCAGAGTGGAGTTCACAGGCTCCCCTTTAACCACAGGAGGCACCAAAATCAACATATACCATAAACTCCTACCATCAGATAAAGATAATTAACAAGAATTTTTCTTTTCATAAAAATACAGGAATATGCACCCTTGCTTACCGTAATTACGACACTCCTTTATAATAGAAGTTTGATAATTGTTAATAATGATAATTGATAGTAAAAGTAAAAATATTTCCACCAAAATGTCAAATTTGGAATATTACAAACTCCAACACAAAACTTTGCTTTAATACCTTTAACAAATGTTCAATCAAAAATATCATGTTCCATGTCATAGACTGGAGTTATACAGGGTTGGTCACCAGATATACTTACAGCACAGTTGTGTCACATGATTGCATGATGTCTAACCATTTATACAATGTCATAAGCAGGATATTAGTAAAGATTAAGTGGTGCAAAAAAAAAGCACACTTTTAAACTTGTTTCATGTATTGGCCCAGATATGGCCAAAATCAGTTGCCATAATCAGCCTATCCCAACTTTCAAATGCTGTTGCACTGTAAATATTTCACCACAATTAGTGCCACATTAGAAAGCCATTGAAAGAACCATTATATAACAATGTACAAAACTTCACAAAATATTGTAAATACTGGAAATAAAGCTTTACAACAACTATGAGTTTTACTCAATTTGACAACTTTTGCTGACACTCTATGATGAATTGAGGAAGAATCATCACTCCACACTACCTCACACTGGTGTAAGCTTCAGCATCACCGTGTGAGGTGTAAGAGTAAGGTGCCAAGTCCTGTCAGCTGCTGTTTACAGATTCTCTGACCTCAAAACTCCTCATGAGAGCGATAAAGCTAACAGGCTACAGCTGCAGGGGGGGCATCATGTGCATTATTCATGTTGTGGTAATGGATGAACACTTAAAATGATGCATCCTATTAAAGAGCATATCCTTATGCATACATTACTTACAGATATCATATGCCCCTCCCCCTTTTTATGCACATAGTCAAATATAATTAAAGGTGGGAAGAGTTCAGGCTTATGTATGTTTGTTTAGTGATAGTGAGTAGTGAGTGAGTGAGTGAGATAAATGTGAGCAGTCAGATCACATGTCCGGACGCCTGCAGGAGAGCCGTGGGCTGCTGAAAGATGAGTGCAGCAAATTGCCCTCCCACAATCTGAGCTTCTGTGGCTGAGTTCATTACATTTTTTCCTTTCAATAAGGCGTTTTGTCCCATTAGTATTCATATTCACACTTCGGCCCATGCTAATGTGAGGTTATTCTTCTGGCAAAGACAAAGAGTGCTATGATATGATCTGAGCCATTCTCTCTGCCTCTTAATTACAGCCGCAGATAATCTGCACTTATGCAGAGGCTGCAGCACGAGCTGGGTCACTTAAAGTCCACACAAGTGTTTTATATCCTCAAAGTAAATATGGATATACTACTGTGGGAGTCACTGAAAGGACATATACTGTTAAACCTTGAAATGGATGATGTTTGAGCAGTCATAAATGTAAAAGCAACTGCACTTTGAGGCAGATGGTTATTGAAAAAAACAAAAGATAAAAAAGGGAATACACACGCACATATTGCAATAGGAGAAAAACATACCTTGTTCAGCCACTCCACTTTTTCCACATCTGGAAAGTTGACCTGTGGAGAAGAAAATATGGACTGTCATGAGCTCAAATGCATCACAGTTGTGTGAAATGACCCCCAGCCCTTGTAGAGTACTTATGATCCGTATTTTGCAGATGTTTCTCAGGGAAGAAACAAAGTGGATGTGTATTTTATTTGAAAAATCACCCACAAAGGAGTATGTAAACTCGTTTAAATAAATACCCCTGCTTTATCCTCTTGCCGGTAGTTTCACGTAGGTCTACTTGTGTGTGTGTTTGGACAAACTACAAGGACAATGCAGGCCCAACAACTAAGACTGCTTTAATCACTTCCAAAAATTCAGGAAACAATCAACCACGTGCACGTCCCACTTCCCCCTAAAGCAACAGACATAAGATCTTGGGATCTGGCCTTTCTGCACACACACACACACACACACAGAGTTTATTCTCTCTCCCTTTCTACCCAGATATGGTGGTCTTGGTCACTGCCTCTGCTTTGCTGTGAAGGATGTTTATGCGTCATCAGGTTTTTGGAGCCTGATAAGGTCAATGGCAGCTCTACTACAGTAAAACAGGGAGAGGAAATACTCAGAGAATCTCTCAAATTCCTTGATTTTTTTCAGCTTAGTTGGAGTCCAAAGTCTTGGTGACATTCTTTCTTCTGAACAGACCTTGTGTTTTATCTCTTGCACTGTGTGGCGGCAGTTCTGATTAATTCCCAAGGCACTGCACACCAGGAATTTCTAAAAATGGGACTGGTCAGGGAAACACTATTGCTACAGTAAACAACAGTGGAGATAATATACCAGTAAACAGTGCTATTCCTGTCTTTAATTGAGTGTTTGTGTTTACTTGAAGTTAAGAGGAGCTAATACACAAACAAAAATCCTCTACTAATGAGTCATCTCAATGGTAGAGCCTGGTGCAAAGTAGCTGAGATGCAGCTCAAGTTAAGCTTGACAGATGTGTCAGGTGACTCAAACTGCAGAGATGTTCCTTACCCATGGAGCCAGTTCCCGTTTGTTCCTAAAAACCTTCTCAGTGGTGAAAGCCATTTCGTTCTCCAGGAGGTACATGGCAGACTTGAGCCTCATCACTTTCTCAATTCGGCTGTGTTTCCATCCCATGTAGATCATCAGCCCGAGCAGGACCACGCTGATGCTGAAGCCATAATACCCGGCCAGGTACACGGGTAAAAGAGCTCCCAGGCATTTTCCAAACGACCATAACACACTCACTGCGCGTTCACCGGGGCGATGGTCTGGGAAGGCCGGGGCTGCGATCGTCGTGCCCCCGCTCATGCCCGGCTCTGCATCCGAGGGTGGCATTGCAAGATCCGCTTGACTTGTGGGCAGACCCCTCAGCTTTCGTACTTCTGTTGAACCGTGGCAAGCGTCAGCGATGACTTACCACCGAATAATTGGAGAAACCATCGAGAAATCGACAGGCAAACTGCGTGCTTTTCTCGGTTAGATCATTTTTCGTTGCTTCCTTCACCGCAGTTCCGCAGGGCACTAAAATCGGCTATTCCGTGTTTCATTTACGTGTAAAGCTCCGCTCACTGTGCAGGGCAAGAAGAGACCAAGACCTGTAGGGCGGGCTCTCCCTCAAGCCCTCCTTCACATGCAGGAACATAAACCCCAGAATTTACTTGTAGCGTCATGCACTGACTCAGGCGGAGCGTATTGCAGTGCATATGCAAAGTGGGTGGACGCGCAGAGAACTGTTCGTTTTTAAGGTGAAATCATCCCAAAACGCACCGAAACAATCCCATCACAGTGCATTTGCAGTTCGATCCGTTATCTTCTTTACATAACCGGATTTAAACCAAGTGCGCACGCGCTTCTCGCCACTGCAGCACTTTTACTACCGAGCCTGACAACGAGAACACGTCCATTCACAGAAAGGTGTACTGCTGCTTCATCAAGTTACATTCATGAGCTCCCCCCTTTGTATGAGTGAGGGGGGGACCCGAGCGGCTGAGTCGTGACAACAGCAGGCGCAAACTGCCACGCGGTGTTTGCGCACCAGGGAAAACCAAGTGCACCAAAATGAACAGTCATTGGCTGATAAATGGGCGTTTTTCTCGTCGTTTTCTGACATTTATCTTAGGTTATGTCTAGATTAAAAATGCAACTGAAAAAGACCAGGTTTAGATATAGGCCTACCCTCGGTTACCTGGAAACAGGCAACGAGCAGTCTATTTGCTCACGGGTCGAAAGGCGTGATGATATTTTATGTAAACAGTACAGAGACACAAACATGCAGCCAGACGTGCCTAACAATCTGCAGCTACACCATGGTTTTTTGTTTGCTGCAGTAAAATCATAAACCCTGTTTATAAGGACTACAAGAATAAGGAACAAGCGTGTTTTATTTCACAACCACATCACTGGATAGGCTGTAGCGATTAGGTGACCAGTGACATTAACTATTTTGTTCTCTAACAACAGAAGCAGAAGTAGTAGTCACAGGATGGTGACTCTCTTCTGTGGTACTGAGTTGACACAAGACACATCATTTGAGGCAGGTTGAAGTTCAAACCCTGGTCTCATGTTTGTCAGCTGTGAGTTTTGCTTGACCAGCAATTTTTCAAGATTGATTTAAGGTCAACAGCAGACAAGAAGACTGTGGAGTGGAAAAGTAAACTGTTATACCCACTCCTCTGTGCTTGATTGTATTCAATGACTGTGAAGAACACTCTGCATTTGTATAATATTCAATTTACTTTTAGTATTGTTTCATTTCTAAACAAAAACATATCACCTTAATGTTCAAATATTAAAACCATGTATTCTGCATAATAAACTGGTCATATTTGCCACTTTTGGTTAAAGAATTCGGTTGAAGTGACTGAAACTGCAAATCCATCGCAGCCTATAGGTGCATTTATTTTACACTGTATATTGAGCTCCAAGTGCAGAGGGAGGTTGAGTTTTTATGTGACTAAGACTAAGACTAAGACTAATACTTGTGATAAGTGAAACAGCAGTGCCCTTGTTTCAGAGATGAGTAAACTGTATTTTGTTGCAGTGTTTGCCATCTTGTGCTTGTCTTTACTTGATAGTTTTGCCTTAATTCTGCCCATTAAAAACACTCTGTTTCGGCAGATAAGGACCTAGTTGCATGTTTGGTTGGTGTTCTTCTAGTGGTCAACTCAGATAAGGGCGTTTAAGATACAGATAACCATGATTCAACTTCTTTAGAAAGTTGCTCTGAGGAAGCTAAAGGTGTTGCCAGGGTGCCCTAAACTTGTGTCCACCACAGCAAAGTTTTATGACACTAACTCCGTCTAACCCTTGATAAATTTTGCAGTTGTCTTTCACGAGCTTTGCACACTTGTCAAAGGGTTCAATATTCACACACCTGCTCAAATCATGGGATGTGGTTACAAATTTGTTATAAAATTATGTGCCCCTGGCTAACCACATTAAGTTTTAAAAAATTGGCAATAATACTTTCCATTTCCTAACTGAAATTCTAACATTGAAAGTGATTTCCTCTCCAATGCGTGACTTAAGTTTTACAAGTCACTCTGCAGATATTCAGTGTAATAAAAACAATAATGCCGAACATTGTAAATAATTGTAGAACATCAATTTTGACACTGGAGCCTCGGGTTTAAGACTAATGAGAAATGAACTGTTTATATAGTGCTTTCCCTGGTCCTCTTACCACTAAAAGAACTTTTACACTTCTCACCAAATTCTGACACTGATGGCAGAGGCTGCTGCAGCCATCAGTTTTTCACTAATTCCATTAGTAATGGGCTCTATGCACAGCTTTACTACTTCCTGATGAACCCAGATGTGACTGATCATCGTGACTACTTAGACACGCCTGGATTTATCAGTGTGTCCAATAATGTAAGACAGGAAATAAAGGAGCAGACTTAAGTTCAGGGCCCATTACTACTTTAAAGGGATTTTCCGGTATAAAATTAATTTAGGGTCAAACACACCATAACACAGAATAAACCCCCTCGAGAGATGAATGTTGCCGACCGCTTGCTTCTCTAGTTATACCAACTTTAGTAATGACCGCATGACAGCAATACACAGCAGTCTCAGGAGCTACACACAACCCTCAACCACTCTATAGCCTCAAATAATTCTCAGAGCACCTAACTTCATCGACAGTCCTTATAGGGTCCCAGCCATAGTACTAGCCACCAAATATCTTTTTAGCTTTGCCTAATTTCTTTTGCAAAGAGACTTAACACAACTCACCTACTCTCCTCCAGCAGCTGTTAGTTGGTGTCGGTCTGATTGCATTTCCATGAAGAAATGATTGCGGGGGTGGCTAATTCAGTGTTACAGTGTGTTTGACCCTAAATTAATTTCATGCCAGAATATCCCTTTAATACAGGTGAAGTCCCAAGTCAGGTCCTTTACAAGTATTTTTACCCTGTAGTATTGACACCATATTTGAGTAGGACATGATTATAGCATGATAAATGTCAGAGTCCCCATGACCACTTAAAGATACAATACCTCTAATTTTAATTCTCTACATAAATTTCAACTTAAGTTTAGATGGTTTGAAAAAAAGGAACAAAAACCAAAATCCGTTGTTTTCTAAACCAAAACCTTTAATCAAAGTATAAACACAAACGTGACAAAAGTTGAGGAATCAAGAACAAAGAGTCCAGAAAGTCCCAGGTTGAAGCTTATAAAGCAGCAGGTCTTGAATCAGCTCTCCAGCATCACTCAGCTGCTGCAGCTTCACCACCTCAGGTTGATCATGGTGCCACTGGCCTCCTTGTTGTCAACGGAAGGGTCCTGGGTCTCCAGTTGAACTTACTGGTCTGGCTGTTAGTAACATGTGCTGTCACAGAGCCAGGGCGGAGAGGACTGTTTACTTAGACCTCTGCCTCATCTTTCTCCTTTTGCGCTTCAGTCTGGAACATGACACAATTTTGTTAGCTAAATATCCTCAAAATAAGAGTTTTAACTGGAATAGACATGTTAATACTGCACAGCTAAAACCACGAGCCATTAAAACTCACCTGCGCATGCGCTTCTTTCTCCACTACGACAGAGAAACACAAGATATTATTTAACTGTTCCAGCCATACATTCAATTTTGGCCAAAAAATGGTATACACAAACAAATTTATCTATATGAATACTGAAAAAACATATCTTTGGGTGAAATGCTTTAGTAAATATGTTACGACGGCCACTGCTTGCTTGCTAGCAAGTGCTAGCATCACTTAAAACAGTCTTTATGTGAATATAAATACAAAACACAAACCTTGGCCCTCATGGCGAGAAGAAGAGTCTGTGAAAACAATGTAATGAAAAGGATGGATCAGATTGATAACTTATAAGATGTTGATTAACTTGGATTGTGGTACAAACAGTGTGCAGGTACATACCGACAGCTAGGGGATCGTCTCAACCAAGGACGTCATGAAACAGCGACGAGAATTTATACAGGCAGTTACGTCACTTTAAGTGGACATAGAAATACGGGCGACAGATAAATCACGAATATTGAAATTTAATAATTTTTTCACAAAAAGTTATTAAAATTTACGTATCCCCAAATATCACACTGTAGCCTGACTCTGTAACTGTTTTCCAGAACATATATTGTTAATTTATTATATGAGAACCACGCAGTTTTAAGCGCGTGCAGTAGATACTGATGATGAAGCAAATTTAAAAAATGACTACCCTGTTCGTGGGTCACTGCCATACACTGTATTTACATCCCATTATTATATATATTTAGATAATTTCAATATTTTTTTACCCATTTGAAATTCAGACGTAAAATTCACAAGATATGCAGCGATTTCTCAAATTTCCTGAACTTCATTTAAAGCCTCGTTATTTTTAAGCTACAGCTTCCCATGTATTAGGCTCCATACTGTTTCTATACTAGTATAAGTCATTGGCCACAAGTATGTCCTTCTCTAAAAGTCCCGTTTAATGTTTGCTGGCTCATATTTTTCAATCTCTTACTTGACTCTGGACAAACACAATACAACAAGAGTAAACCAACCATGTCAACTCTTAAAACTGTTAAAAAAAAAAAAAAACATTCACTCAGCAGGAAAATAATCAGACCAAGACATAAATGATGTCAGGTGGCTTTTTAATGTTTCCAAAAATAGTCTCTGAAACTGGGATATGTTTTACAAAAGCATCCATAAATCTAACAGGTATGGACTCTTCATGTAAACACAGACTGTCAGACTCAGCGGCGGCACCAGAAGACTGAATGCTGAACCCTTGGCAGGAGTTAAGACCACAACTGAGAAAAAAGAAATTCTTTTTAACTACTTTCAGTACTCAACAATGTTATAGAGGTTTTAGAAATTGTATGTCGAGTAACATAAAATAGTTGCCTGGAAGTATACACAATCTACTGTAGGTGGACCTAAGCGTGAGCTATATAAACATAATTAGGCTGAAATAAATGATAATTATGACACAATCATAATTTGTGTGAATGACATGTCACCAAGGTTCAAGACAGGCATTACACATCTGCCCACAAGTCCATGGCTACTGGTTAAGGAAATAATTTTTAATGCCACACAATTACACTGACAGAGCATTGTGCATTCTTCATCCTTGGCTGCTCTGTCAAACTCATTCAATTTTCCATTTCTTTTCCTACAGTTAATGGGGATGGAAGGACGAAGGCTCAATGCCAATATCAGTCAAATGGTTTGGTGTTCCAGAGAGTAAATGCCCTTACACAAAACATCCTCTTTTGTAACAGAGTGGTGCCCCTTATTAACAGAAAAAGGTTGCCTGAAGGACTGTAAGATTTACAGGTGATTTACATGTTCGTGTATGCATGTGTACGTGTTAAAGGTGGAGTGACAGAATTTTAGGAGCAGCATCATCCCAGACTGACATCAATTAGATTCGGAGGTATTCACAGCGGCTATGCCTGCAAGTGCCTCAGACAGCTGGGACAGAAAGATTCGTGACGTCTGTACTTTGGGGCCATCAGATGTCGGTCAGTATTTCAGAGAAGTCTACTCTGCAGCTTCAGTCTCCATTGCCTGTCCTGTTGCGCTCTCAACAGTCTTTGAGGCCTTTAAGAAAAAGAGAGATCGTAAATAGGTGAAAAATTCTGAGCCTGCATCATTGTGTTTTTCCTATAGAACGCATTGTCCTTTAACTCACCTTCTTTTTCTTCTTCTTCTGGGTCTTACGGCTGGCTGAGCTTTGAAGCAAAGCCTTAAAATAGGAAATAAGTGGTCAAAAATGACTTTTATAACCTTGTGAGTGCAGAACCTCATACATCAACAAATAATGGCGATGAGAATGCTTAGTCAGCTAGCAGCATGCTTCAGAGGCCTGGTTAATCTAGAAGCTCATTTTCAGGAATTGATGCAATACCACATCCATCAATTATGTTTTACCTTCAGCTCAGGGTCCTCCACTTCATGCTCGGACTTGTACAGTTCTGGCTCAAAGAGACTGTTTGTGATTCGCAGAGGTCCGTTTGCCATGAGCAGCACGGTGAACTTGAACTGAGCAACAAATTCACCTAAAAAAATAGAGTTGAAATTTGCGTTAAACAGTATCACCTGGTGAGCAAAATGTTAAACAATATTCCAGCTGTCAAGCCTGTAACCAATGAGGAAATTTTAGTGCCATTAAAAATACATGGACAGAGTGAATTGTCCTCAGAGTTGCAAACTTAAGCATAGATTAAATCATACTTACACTGAAAAGTACATATAAATAGGCAAAGCAAAAACACAACTTTAGGTGTGTTGCTACATTCATAAATGTGATGATGTGTTTGTGTACAATCAAGGAATTGCAGGTTTTACACAGTTTATAAAGGGATCTGTCAGACTAAGGATATAATGTTAACAGTATTACACTTCTGCAGAATGTGTGCCCTTTTTTAAACTAATTTGGTAATTTCATGGCATCAGTTCTGTTGCAGCGCTGTGAAGTGCTCCGTCAACAGTGTGATGGTAGGACTACTAGAAAATATAAATGAACCTGCTGACATTGTTGTTTCCCTCCTCTGCCCTCTGTCTGTCTGCAACAGACATAATGCATGTCTTTTGTAGATACTATAGGACCAAACAAAGGTCAGCACCTACTGACCTGTGAATGAGGAGTTAGAGGTAGTGGCTGTGACAGTGGGCATTGCAGAGACACACTCAGCAGACTAGAAGAAGCAGTGGCATGGCTTCAGTTTTAGAATGAAGTATGGCTACATATTTACAGTCTGAACATTCCTGCAAGTTAGTATGGAGCTGTAGGCCTATTAGCTTTTTTTTCCCGTTACAATTTTTTCTTGTCATCCACGGTTCTCTCTTATTCGCGGTAGATTTGCATTAAAATGTGACAGTGGGTGAGTTGCAGACATAGAATCAGAAAGTATGTATCCAGGATCTTACAAAAATCATACTCTTTTTCTCACACAAATACAAAACCTTTTTTTAAGTGTACACACTCTCCTCCTTTTTCATGCCCTTAAATCCTTCTGTATCTGTATTGTTGTACTCACCCTCTTTCTCATGCAGCACGTTGAACGGCTGCACCAGCTCATGTTTGGCACACTCCACCACACCCAACCTGGCCTTGCCTTCTTCCTCAAACGCTCTGAGAAGAAAAACGCAGAGAAAAGAAAATGTAAGTAAAACTTTGGCTAACATTCAAGTGAAAAGTATGAAAGGTTTGATGTGAAATGAAGAGACGCTACCTCAAAGTGAAAGGCATTGTATCGAAGCGTCTCTCCACCTCGCTGAAGAATGTCCGAGATGCCTTCATCTTCAAGCCGTACACTTTGTTAGGGTCTCTTTTGTAAACGGTGGTCCTCTGGCCGGCATCTTTTGCCTAGTTCCAAACAAAAATATTTATTTATTGCCTTTCAGGGAGTTTCAAAACGTGAATTTATACAAAAGTATTTACTCCTACCTTTCCCTCTCCAGTGCTTATCAGCACATCCACTGCATACACTTCATGTACCTCAAACTCAGCCTTCTCATGGTCCTTCCTGCAAAGAGAAATGTAAAGGTCATCCAAAGGTTCAACAGTTATCAGGTCAGCAAAAAAAGAATCTCTCATGGAGTGAACGCACTTTTGCTGGTCCGTTGGGTTTTGAATTATAGTCTTCTCCCCATCAATCACGTGTTGTTTTAGCTGATGGGACAGCATGCCTGCACAAAATGAAGGGACAAACTAAGTCAAGCCTGTCAAATTAAATTTGGCCTCTGTAAACCGCTGGAGCTTGAAGGTGTTCACTGACACTCACCCTCGATAGGGGAGCACTTGAATGACTTTGCAATCTTGTTCCAGGCTTCTGTCACCTGTGTGTTCTGAAAGAAAAGAGATGACAGTGTTTGTTAGAGGAATATTTATTAGACAGGTAATGTTGTTTGTCAGTTGAATAGTCATGGTGAAGAGTTTTACCTGGTTTCCTGGCTTAACAAGACGCAGAGCAGCCTCTGCGCAAAGGTGAGCTGCTTTGATGACATCTGCCTTCCGTCCTGTCAGTGGGTTCTCCTAAAGTGACACAGAAGGAAAGTTCCTCAGAGTTAGTTAAGTGGTGAGACTTACAAAACAAAACTTATGTTACAGCTGGGGTTAATGTCGCCTCCATCAAATGACATGCCAAATCCTCAGGAAGCCCTTCTAAACTCAAAACTTTAACTTTAAATCCCCTTTCAATACAAGGTCTGAACTGTGTTGTCCTTTCTTCAAATCAATGCTGCACCTAGGCCTGGACGATATAGAAAAAAAGCATATCGATAAAAAATAAATCATATTGATCGATATCGATAATTATCGATATAATTATTATAATTATTTAACATATATTTTAATTGCAGCCCTGGATGTTTTATGCTATTGCTTAATGACCTACTTTTAATAAAGAACACACAGGCACTAAAATCAAATTCAAACCTTTATTCAACCACCTTTTTATTTATTTTTTTACCACAACTGAAAGTTTTTTAAAAAAGAACTTAAAAAAAAGAAGAAATCAACTTAAGTGGCCTGAGTGACGTCAGTAAATACTGACAAACATAAAGACCAAAGTGACCAGAAAATCTGATAAATAAATATTTAAATAGTCTTTTGATGAAAATAAACAAAACAAACAAATATATAAATAAACAGAATAGCTTTAGGTGGGAATAGCATACTACCAGTTTTAACTGTGTGGGAAACTGCCCACAGCCTGGTGTCTCCCGGGGTCGGGAGATTTCTTTTTTTTAATTATCATATGATTGACTTAATACGCAAACTGAGCACGAGAAGCAGGACTTATCCACGCCGGTGTTGTGTCGTAGAATGCACCCTTGCCGAACGCACCCCCTGCTAGTAGCCATGATCCAAATACTCGCGTATGAGCTCATTTTCTTCCACTTTAAGAAGCTAATGAGTGGACGGGATGCAGGGGTGCATTCTACAGCACAACACCGGAACGTATTTCCTCCGCACCCTTCTCAGCTTTTCAACCCCTGACCCGTTTTCATGCCTGAAGCGCTGTGTTTGAGAAATACTTGCGGCCGGGCACTTCATATCGCGGGTCGAGAGTGGCTAGAAGCTGGTCGAAGCCAGGCTTTTTAACGGTAGTTATTGGCAGTATGTCACTGCATGGGTGATGTCCTTATGCCGCTCGGACGCTTTGTCGTATTTTGGCAAGAAACGAAGTCCAGTTTGGTCTGCTTCACATGCTTTGTGCTGGTGCTGGCAGCGGTTCCAGAGGATTCCTCCTCCGACGACGTGGAGCCGCGGCGCGGCCGACACAGCTCGTACTCCTGCGGGTGCGATCGGTTTAGATGGTAGAACAAGTTGGTTGTGTTACCAGACTTGGTTTTTACTAATTCTCTGCAAATTTTGCAAACGACCGCTGTTCGCTTTTTGTCAGACTTGTAAAAACCAAAACATTGCCATGCTGGTGAACTACTGAAACCTTTTTTCGGGACAATTTCCTCCGCTTCTCCTTGCTGTAACATTTTTTCTAATACACGTGCTGTCTGTTGTGGTTTGAGAGGGGCTGGGCTTGGTGCTGTAGCGTACCTGGGTCTGCGTTTGTGATTGGTTGGGAGGAAGTAATGACTGTAGTAAAAGCTACATGATAGGCTATGATAAAAAAGAAAGGGAAACTGTGTTTTTCTATCGAACTTTTTATCGACCCGTTTTTTTTCTATCGCGCCACACGTCTATCGATCGATATATATTGTTATCGAATTATCGTCCAGCACTAGCTGCACCACACTATTATATCAGTCTACATGAGCCTCTGAACTACCTGTATGCTGCACCCTAATTTAAGTGTTCTACGGTGGAGTTCACTCATCAGAAATCACATAAAACAAACATAGTTAAAGTTAGCTTAAGCTCTGTGTGTGAAACTTCTTAGTGGTGGAGAATCCCAAAGCTTAAAAAAAATCAAAGCAGAGAGACACAAGCTAGTGGCAGCTCATCTTACAGCCTCTCTTTACATCCTTGCTTTATGCCCCATGGTTGCTCTCATCTCTCTTTGTATACTTTGCTATGATTAACTAGTGCACTTATGAACATCTAGGTGGGAGTCCACTGTTATGACATAAAATATGAGAGGTAGCCACAGAAATCTTGTGTGAATGTGTGCTCAAGAACAGTTTTTTTCCTCCAACAGTACAAACCTACCTTGGTCACTCCAACAACAAAGCTGTGAGCCACATTTGAAATGAAGCCATCAACGTGTACACCCAAATCACTGCCAACAAAGAGAAAATAAAACACATTTAAAGCATTCATAAATCATTTACTGTGATTCACCTGCTGTACAGACGTAGGACAAACTACAGATCTGATGCTATATCATTGTCTTACTATGTGTGGTTCACTCACAATCTTCTGGGGCTATCTCCCTTTCTTTTTTCAAAAAGACCTGATACTATAAAGATTTTTTTTACACAAAAGTTGGTTTCATGTGCTCACACACTGCGATGTGTATATTTTCAAATGTGTTTTTTTCAAGTTAAGCTTCACAATTTGTCATCAGTGTTAGGGATTTCACCGACTAACAACATGAAATGTTTAATTTCAGTAAAACCAAACAATTTTGCGCAAAAAAAAAACCTTAATCCTGTACTTTGCCTTTGATTGACAACTTCATTATTGCTGTATTGCTGCATCCTGATATGATCTGTATTTTGGCCAAGTATCATGAATCAGTAGGTGATTCCCAGCCCTGCTGTACTGGCTGCTTACATTTTGACAAGGTCCCCATCCTTCAGTATGACATCAGGGTCGCTCTTCAGGGGGGAGTGATGGCATACGCAGTTGTTAACTGACACACAAGTGGGAAAGGCGATACCTGCAAAAGAAAGAGTGAATGATGGAGCGCTGAGTCAGAGAATCATTTCAGTGATGAATACAGTGCACAAGGCTTACCTTTCTTCATATCTTTCTCCTTCTTGAAGACTTTCCCAGTTTCTGCCATGATGAAGGCGTCTCCTTTTTCACAAAGGCTGAGCACAGAGACTCCAGCCAAAGCTGCTCCGACCACCATCTTCAGAGCCTCTGCGGGATGAACAGAGATGCCATGATGCAGTGACAAATGTGTTTTAGTTTGATAAAAATTAAAAAGTGCAAAGACTAATGAACACTCTCCAAGGCTTAAGAATGAGGACTGTGACAGCACATGGCTACATACGATGTTAAAAGTTGAATGGCTTTTGCTAAACTGATATTGCATAAACTTGGCTTAAAAATCAGAGATGACATTGAATAAGTGGGTCAGCGGGTTGAAGGTACAACACAATGTCACAAGCAGAGTTTTTCTGATGTGAGGCACCTGCAAGTGCAACCACACTTGGCATTGAAATGATCATTTCCTGGAAACTGAGCTGAAGCCATTTTTGAGAGGAGGGTTATTAATATATACATATAACTTTTACAATTGAAACAACGAAAAGTAAATGCCCTAAACAATAAATATTCTCTTTTTTTATCTTGAAGTGTGAAGCAGATGGCTGTTAATCCCCACATAACCAGCGAAATTATGATGAGAGATTATGGTTGAACAGAGTATCTAACAGGTGTGACCTCTGAGGGTGACACTGAATGATATTCTGTGTAGGATTCATCAGCCTTCTCTGCGGTTGTTGAAGTTCAAAATTGAATATTGGGGTTAAAATTTTACATCAGCCCATTCCAAAAAAATAGAGACTCACATTTATCAGTTTCTTGGATTTACTACATTTGTACAGGTGAGGTTATAATTTTTGCAAAGTAATGCCCTGTGTTTGTGGCCCTCAAAATAATACATTAAAATCTATATCTAAAATTGCCTGGAATAATAGTATCAAAATGTTATTTAAGTAAGGTTAGTTGTTCAACTGAAGGGTTAAATGATGTTTTTATTACTGATAAAATCTGAAACAGACACAACGTGGAAATAAACTTCTACTTAACTCCATTTATGAATTTAAATAAGACCACTGAACACAAATAAGTATCCGTGAAACTCTGTTTGGAGTAAAACCGTGACTCCAGCTCTTGAATACTCTTACAGGGCTTTTATTTTGTAGTTTGATCCACCTTATGTCTCATTATCTTGGACTTGTCATTGTTAACCGTTACGTTAGCAGTTAAAGCTAGCTAACGCTTGCAGCTCAGCCACAATGCTAGCAACCTCACAGTTAGCACATCTTGCTAACATGACAGCAACAGCAACGTGACGTTCAACAAATAAGGGCTTCAATTACACAAATTCATTTTCACGTTTTCGCCTTTACTAATAACTGCCTTCTGCAGTGATATGGCGTTGGCACAGCTGCGGCACATGGCACAGCTGCCGCCTGGGTAGGACTAGCTGACTGTGCTAGCTAACATTAGACGTGCACTGATACTTGTGGACCGCAGCAGCAGAGTAAAACCGGCACGTTCACGCTGCATCCGACTTACGATTCGCAATCTCGGCCCCCATCTTATACTTGGTGACCACCAAGTCGTCGGCAATGGTCTGCTCCTGTGTCTCGTCATCTCCAGACATGTTGGCAGTGTGTCCACGAACTCAGAGTAACTTTTCCCCCGGCGGGTGTCAGTCAGACAAGGATAGACCACGCTGCTCGTTGCACCGGCCCGCCCGACTGCTGCTGGCAGCCCACGACCACTAGATCCCGCCTGCTGACAAAGATACTCTTTGTAGTCAAGAGAGTTCACTGCTGCGAGCGGTGTGATGAATTTAGGTCCAGAAAAAGGCAGAGGTGACATATATTACAGCGGCGTTTAAAATCAATTCACGACAAAAGATCATAGTCACCGCAGAAGTATAGTTAACATAATAATAATACTAATTTGAGGAGACGATTTTCAGGCCTACGTAATACGTAAGGACGAAGTGTATACGCGTTAATAATATTGATTAAATGTACCAACTGATTTATTTACCAGGAAATTGATATTGCTATATGTAGATACGTGCTTTCGGTGATTCTCTCATCAAAATGTAATGAAAAACTTTCTTTTCTCAGTTATTCATTATATTTGAACGAAACCGGAAAGATGCGGTAGTGAACCTCTCACTGTTGTGCTTCATCTCTGATCTGCCTGACCAAATCGCGCGCGAGTACACCAGCGACGCGTTCACATGCCTCCATGTCATTTCTAATCTAAGCGGCGGATATACTTAGCTGGAAATATCCAAAAATATAATTTACAATTTATTTTTGTTTTGATTTAATATAATATTGTTAAAAATTCCAATTTTTTTTCTTTTACCAGTTGGTTGGATCAACATTTCATTAAATTATCCGACTATTCATTACTTTATTTTGGCAGTCAGATAAACCCAAATTGGATCTATGCGCAGCTCCACTACTTTCTGAATTTAAGGCAGCTCTTTTATGTCCTGTTTTACATTATTGGGCAAACTGATTAATCCAGGAGTGACTGATCATTGTAACTACTCAGACATACATGGGCTGTGTCCGAAATGGATCCCTAACCCCTATATAGGCAACTATATGGGGGTTAGCACCATTTTTAGGGGTGTCCGAAACCTGAGTGATCAATTCCAATGCCCCATAGAGGTGACTCAAAATTTCCCATAGACCATCTGATGGTCACTCACCGGTGGTGGGCATCCTGTCATGCATTGCGCCTTGCCATGTAGTGTCCGAAACCTCAGGTGATTGAGCTCACTACATAGTCAGCTATATAGTGAAACTATGGGTTTTAGGGATTGATTGAGTGATTCATTTCGGACACAGCCTTGGATTAATCAGTTTGTCCAATAATGTAAGACAGGAGATAAAGGAGCATCCTTAAGTCCAGGAAGTAGTGGATCAGTGCATGGAGCCCAAATTCAGACATCTCTTCACATATCGATGAAACAAAGGTATTTGCAAAATAATTTTATTCTTTTGTATAATACTTGACGGTATGACAGGTATACAAAAATGGTACATGGTCATCCTAATTCACTACCACAAAACACACAAGACGACTAAAGCCTATTCATTACAATATTGCCACAATAATAGTTGCATAGTATCTTTATCCCTTTTTGTACTGCAGGAACTACTTACCAATTTCACAGCCAAACAACTGTCTCGCCTGCAACAGTATTTAGTTCAATTTATTTGTTCCATACCGTATTCTGGAGTATGTATTTCTGCACAAACTGTACAGTGACTTTCCTGGGTAGGGGGGGAGGAGTGTTTCTTAAATAACTTTATTTTAAAAGTTTATTGGATGCTGGAATTGAAAGAAGCTGAAAATCATTACAGAATTACCATAATATTGAGAGAAACATAGGTAACAGTCAAAGTCCCTGGCCACATTATTAGGTGCGTACAGCATCTGGCTTGATGAACAGTCTGCTGTGCCAGTAGTCTGGGTTGTCAAAAGATGTGTTGCTGCCAGGTTCCCCCATGCCAGCACACACCTTGATGTATCCTCCAATCCCTGCACACCTGCCGCTGCCGGTCTCCTCAGTAACTGTCCTTCCCTTCACTGGGAGGTTCTGGTAGTCTGCTTGCTCCCACCCACCGGGCACCACTCCAAGTCTGGTCATCTCCTCATAGTCCTCCACCTCTTCTCCCCCAGCTGTGAGCACATCTGGCCTGGGCATGACCGTGCTGCTCAGATTCCCTTGAAGAGGTTGTTTATTTGTGTTGTGGTACCTCCCCTCTTCCTCTTCATGCTCTTTTTTCAACACCTCCATGATTGGGTCCACTTCCTCCATCCCTGCTTCGGATACTTGACTCCCACTTTTCTCCCATGCCTGCTCTTCTCCCTCAGTAGAGTCACATTGCCTGATATCCATGTATTCATACCTGCCTTTCCCTTGGGCTTCCCCTAGGTCACCCACAGCTCTGATCCCACATTCAGAGCCTTCAGTGAGCGGATTTTTCTCAGTGGAGTCTCTTTGATCTGCGACACTTCCCTCACAACCCTCCTCTTCTTGTTTATTCATCAAAGGTGAGGCCAAAGCCAGAGTTTCCACATGGTTTGTGTCCTCAGGAGGCAATGGATCAACGATAGTTGGAGAGGGGAAAGGTGAAATTTTGGGACTAGTTGCCACAGAACGATCAGGGCCGTTGGGTTGTATAACGACACTGTTATTTGGGCAGGACTTATTGCACATGATTTCATACTCTTGGGTGGGATTTATCACCACAAGAGACAGATTACTCTTGAGTTTTGGGTTTCTTCGCCCAGTCTTAGATGATCTGCAAACTAGGAATGTGAATATGTAAGAAAGAAAGTGAGGAGAAGAAGATCTGATAAGCAAGTATTCAAGATAATTAACACTTGATAAGCAAAATGTTACAAAAATTGTTAAGATAAATCATGATTTGTCTCATGCTCTTGTCTTGGTTGTAATAACTCACCCCTCTCTGGAGTAACAGGTGACCCAGCCAGGACATAGCCAAAGTGATCCACCTCCTTCTCTTCCTCTGCCATCCACACCTTATACGAGCATGGACTTGATGCAGTGGAAAGTTTCCTGTGTCTGCTGATGGACACTCGAGGATTTCCCCTCTCTGAGCCAAACCTGGCTCTGTGAAGACTCCCTCCACTCCGTAGGCCTTCCTCACGCAGCTCTGGGTCCCTGCTGCTTCCTCTGACCTCTGACCTCTCAGGTAAAGTCCGCACTGAGCTCAGTCGAGACCTTTGAAGCCACAGCTAAGACAGAAAGGCAAAGACTTGAAATGATGCGTCAGTTCATACAAGTGAATCCTGTTATTTATAAATGGGGCACACGAGACCAGAATGATGAGATTTTATGTGTTTTATTTCCCGAGGAAATGACCTGCTGGCAGTAATGGGCAGTAAACTCTCTTTTTCATGGTTATTGTCACAGTACTGTAGGCTATAAATCACTCTTCAAACATTTGTGTGAGTGTGAGTCTGTATCACCTGGCGGATGCTGTCCACAGGGCTGGGGGTCATTGGCAGGTATCCTATTGGTCCAGCTTGAGAGGTGCCACTCTATAAATCAAGGAGGAAACAGTGTCAGTCAGTATTTTCTGATCTGCTCCAAATGTTCACAAACTGTATCAAATAAGTCTAAGGTGATTCTCTTTACCCTGCAAGAATTAATCCGTGAGCGTGACAGACTCCAAGACGGAGAGTGTTGCAGAGGAGGAGTTTCGAAACCGTCCTCCAGCCCCTCCACGTCCTGGTCCTCAAAAGCTGCCTCCAGAAGCCCTCGCTCTGATTCTCTTCGATGGATCTCTCCTGAGGCAACTTCTGCCCCTTCAGACTAACAAATAACACAAAAAGAGGGGGTTTGAGTAAGCAGCCAATAGATTTTATAGCGCATTAAATGACAATCGAAGCAGTACCTTGATGACTAAATATCTAGGCGGGTCTCTTGCCATGCGAGTAAAATCACTTGCCAACTCCTTGAATGTGGGTCTTATATTTTCATCAATCATCCAGCCTGGAGAGAGGAAGTTCAACAATTTAGATCAAGTCTGTGTGTGTATGTGTGTGTGAACACCTCCTACTGTATAGAAAGACTGACAGCATGTGCAGCCTCCCACTGTGCAAAAGCAATGCTAAATTACCACAGAGGTGCTGACATCTTAGCTCCTTCTGCGGACCAAACCACACATTAAACTTACTGTCAAAACAGGAACAACCCTTTAGGTGGGCACAGTTTGCAGGACAGCAGCTATACCCTCCAGTTTAATGTTTAAAGCAGATATTTACACTCATAGAAAGTGTTTGTCAAAATCTCTACTGTGCACACAATGACTCAGGAGGCACATTTGGCAACAGAGCAAAGGTGGTGATTTACTTCATTTTTGGTATCAAATAACTACAAACTAAACACTGCATTGAAATAAGTATTTGGACACATTTCAGTATTAAAATAATGATACCTTTTTTAAGTTTTTAAGTTTATTTGATGATTTTTTTTATTTTATTTTCATTTTATCCTTTTTTTTTGTTTCCAATACAATGACTGGAAAGGAGCAAGATGAAGCGAATTTATAATTCCTGCACCTTGCTGAAAATAAATATCCACTTAGATCAGATGACTGCCATGTAATAAACCCATATAGATGAATCAAATGAAATAAAGAAAAGTACTTTTAGGTATATAGGTATACTGATTTTTATATTAATCAGTGTTTTAGCAGTGTGCATTAATGTAAATTTGCCAGAATAAGCACAATAGTTAAATTTAATATGTATTCCCAAGGCATCAACTATTTTGGTGACAGTAAAGGAATTGTGCTTCTTTTGTAAACATGGCGGTTGGTAGTTTATAACAAAAGGGGAGCTCAATATCTTTTACCTTATTTGTCAAGGAGCCTGTCCTGACCCTGACCTTTTTGAACAGTCTGGTAAAAGCTTTTTGTCACACTTACATTTAACCATGACCATGTAGACATCTATAGTGCAGATGTGAGGCTGTGACAGTCGTTCGCCCTTCTCCAGCAGACTTGGCACTTCCTGCGGCTGCACGGATGCATACGGCTCCGCCCCGAATGACATCATTTCCCACACTGTTACTCCTGTCAGGAAAGAGATTCACCATGTTTTTAACACCTCTCTGCCAACGTTCACAGACAGCAGCTTTAAGCAGGAAATGTAGTCGCTGGCACACAGCCTCTCACCATAACTCCAAACATCACTCTGATGAGTGTATCTCCTAAACAAGATGCTTTCAAGGGCCATCCATTTTATGGGAGTCTGTGTTAGGAGACAGGTTACAGACAAGTTGTACAAACTTACTGAGTTTCTGGAAAAACCTCTTAAATGTGACTTTACTGAACTGGATAAATCAGGACAACCTTAGTGTCAGTGTAGACATATTTCTTGTCATCAGGATACAGGAGGTCTGCCACTCCATAATCAGAGATTTGGACCTGATAGTCATTCTTCAGCAGGATGTTGCGAGCAGCCAGGTTTCTGTGCACCATGCAGTGCTCCTCCAGGTAGTACATACCCTGGGAAAAAGATCAGTATTATTGCTGAGTTTGTGCTCCAATAGCTTATTCGTAACATTTGGAAGCATAAAAACTCACACAGACTCACTTTTGCAATCTGCACACACCAGTTCAGGAGGCGCTGGGGGTCCAGACTGGTCTTGTGTTGCCTGATATGCTCCAGTAAAGAGCCATGTGAGCTAAGCTGGGTCACCAACTGCAGAGAGGGGCCTGGACAGATTCCTAGTAGCCTCACAATGTAGGGGTGGTCCAAGCTGCCCATGGATAGCATATGCTACACAAAAAGCTAGCTGTCAAACACTTAATACTTTTTAGACAATTTATTTTTTCTCTGGGCTACAAATAAAATTGTATTTTTATAATGTTGTGGCGACTTTCAGTAGAAAAGAAACTCTTATTCTCACATCTGTGATCTCAGTGAAGGTCTGTCGGCCTGAGCTGTCCTGGATGGTCTTTATGGCCACAGGGATCTTCACTGTCTCCCCCTCTGGAGTCCAAAAACCCTTTGACACATTTACATTTGCAGCAGTGAAATAATTACTTGTAGGCATACTTCTGCATGACTCTAAAGAACAGATAAGTACAGCAGACAAAACAAAACAAACTGTGGTTGATAAATACCTTGTTCACTGTGCCAAAAACTCCTGAGCCAAGAGCTTTGATTTTTTTCAGCTCTGAAGGCCTCAGGATGCGGGCATGAACCTTTGTTCCCTTCTCTCCAGGACCCAGTGGCTCAAAGCTCTGCCAAGAAACAAGAAACATTCACACGTGATTTATTTCTTCTCTTAAAAACAATTGTGAGAAGTAATCGAAGTAAAAGCAGCTTCTGGCAGCTCATGAAGAAGGGTGGTCTCACCTCTCCACTCTCCAGGTACCTCCTCATGGCTCTCTTGCGGCGGATTGCCAGACCTCGGTGATAGAGCAGGCCCAGGAAAAATAACACCAGGCAGAAAATTGAACAGGCAGGGACACCGAGAGCAATGCCTGTGATCTGACCACTGCAGAGAGAGAGACAGACAGATTTGTGTGGGGCAAACTATTCAGAAACTGTAGTCAAAGAGGTCTAATTAATAAAAACTGAATGTCAGATCATCTGAGTGTTCAAGCTCTTGTTACTGTGTCATATGAGAACAGCAGCAAACCATCTACACTTAACCAATGAGAGAAATTAAAAAGAATAATGCAAGTAAAAGAAAAAAGGTGCAAAAGTGTTAAGTGAAAACGTCTAAGTTTTGATCGATTTTTGTTTGTTTGGTAACTAATCAATGACTTCACACACAGTTTTACTTTTCTTGGCTGTTTACAGACCTCTTAGTAAAAAATCCCACAGCCTCAGACAGCAGGAACAGAAGCAGGGGCAATTTAATCTTAATATGATCTGACTCATGTCTCTGCTTTTTAAAGTTCTTTTAATAGCACAGTGGGTTGCGTTTTGCTCAAGCGTACACCATTGTAGTGTTTTATAATCACCAGCAGGGGGCAATACTCACCTGCTAACCGCCAGTCTTGCTGCCTCTAAGCAATCTTTTAGTCCTGGGCCTGAGCATCTGAAACACATTATCAAATTCTCACTATCTTCAACAGCCACAGATTTTATTACTGCTGCACTGAAAACATGAACACACACAAACACACACTTCTGTTCTGAGCCCAGTCTCACCCCTGTGTGCAGTTGTGGTGACATGGTTCACAGTGACCCTCTCTGTTCGGGTATTTGAAGATGAGGCCCCTCTGACCATCATTCACTCCCGAAGGGCAGGTGGACATGCAGTATGGACCATCTCGGAGGTTGGCACAGGCCTCACACTGGTCTGAGCCCTGACCGTGAAAAGAGAGGATGACAGAAGTTTGAGAGAAAAGGTAAATAACGATATTTGCCTTTGCATGATGATAACAAAGTAGGAGTAACATAAGATGGTAGCTACTCAGTATAATTGTTTTTTAACATAATAGAAGAGGAATGGCAGAATATCAAATTATATTGATATTTCTTTACATATGAAATCTACATATGACTCTGGACAGATGGTTTTCTTGGGTTAAAAAAAACTTAAAAGTTGTAAAAAGATAAGGATCATAATCTGTCTCCAAATTTTGGCAGTCAAAGTTGTACTTTTTAAGGCAAATAAAAATTAGATGATGTTTAGGCAGCATTTATTAGTCTTCTGAGTCAAAGTAAGGCTGGCACTCAAAATTAGTGTAAGTAGATACAGTAAATGGCTAAATGGAAGTCAGGATTCAAACTAAGAGATTCAGCAACAGTGCGACATCAAATGAAGTCTTTACCAGTCCAGTACAGCTCGCCTTCCCACTCTGAGGCTTACACTCCGGATGGCAGGCCACACACTCACCATCAGATTGGGCAAACTCCCTAGGTACCCTTGAGAGATAATTTTCCAAAAATTTTAGATAAAATAAATTACACAAATTCACAAAAAAAGGGAAACACAAACATGTTTACTGACCCAGTGAAAAAATTACAGCTGCCAACACATGTGCCTCCTCGGCTGTAGTTCCTGCAGGAGACACACTGGTCAGGCCCTGGACCCCAGCAGCCTGAGTCTGAACACAGCGGGTCACATACACAGCCTTCTGCAACTGTGCACACACATATAAGTGTTACAAAAGCATCCAGAAAACTATCCTTTACAAACAGACTAATAGAAGTATGTTGTTTTTATTATTGTTGTTGTTGTTGTTGTGACAACATACACAGATAACTCTAATATCACAGAGGATGATTTCAGTGGCCTCACCGCACTCTTCCAGTGGCCTGTTGTTGCTGAGGTTGTTGACTCGAACTCTGCGGCCTCTGAACAGCTGTGCCCAGTTGACAGTGTGCTGGTAACAGAGGTTGGCATTCTGACTGATGTACACACTGCCATCGCTGATCTCTCGCAGAGAACGCAGACCCAGGGAGGTGAGAGTGGGGATGCGCATCACCATCAGAGAAAAACGCCTTCAGTCAGAGGCAACGAAGGAGAAACGGAATAAGTAAGTATAGATTAGGAAACCCAAACTGAACTGTATCTGCCAATCAGCTCTAAAAATGAAGCAAAATGTTGTTTTGTAGCACTGATATCTGTTGCACAAAGACCACATGTATGAACATTAATTTACCTGTCCTCAGCTTTGAAGCAAGAGAAGAGAAGTTAGATTGTGTTAGCACAAAGCACCATGAGGTGTGAATATAGAGCACAGATTAGAAAACTGAGCAGAGAAACAGCGAGATGTTGAGTGAGCCAGAGAGCAGGAATGACACATAGTTATATAACAAACTCAACATCCAGTAGAGATGGTTATTTGTTTTAACTGAGGCACCAGCATCAGAGGTTTGAAGCAGAAAATCAAATCATCAAGGCTTCCCTTATATTAATGAAAAAAACTCTACTTCATATAAAATTAAGCTTATTTTATATGTTTAAGCAACATTCCCAACTGTTACATCAACAACTTTCAGACTTACTTGTAGAGCGACCTCCCTTGTATAGTAGTCAGACTCGAAAAAACAGACAGATTGTGCATTTCTTTTGGCCATGACTGAATATTCAGGATATCTAACAGTAAAAGAAAGAGATAATATTAAAACTTGTCACTGAATTATCATTGTAACAGTGAGAAATTAATGTAAAAATCAAGTCTTATCCAAAATCCTTTTAAAACTTGACTGTAAACTCTAACCTGTAATTTCTCTCACAGTGCGGAAAACTTCAAGCTTTTTGGCATCCAGCGGCGGGATGTTCTTAAAGTCATCACTATAAAGAAGTAAAAACAAATGATAAGAACAGGATCACTGTAACACACTGTAGTCTGAGATTATCTTGGCATTGAAGCCTTTTACCCAAGAATCCCTGTGACCAAGAAGTGTAAGCTGCCCTGGATCTTGGTGCAGTTGATGAAGCTATCGATGTTACTTGAGTCCACAGTCTGTCTGTGTTCAGCCCCAGTACCTTCACACACTGGAGAGAACAGCAAACTTCAACATTAGCCCCGGAGAGTGGCAAATGAAATCAGTGTGTAAGAAGTAGAAATTGTTTCTTGGTGTCAACCTTTTGGGCAAAGGCCGCTGCAGAGCTCACACTGCCTCTGGCCTTCTCGCTCCACCTCCATCTTGTCTGGAGGACAAACACTCACACAGGAGCTGCCGTCCACCACGAAATGGGCTAAAACCAGAAGAGAATAAAGACAGTGTGAAATCCAAGAGAAATACAAGTATAAGTGGCATAATTCAAGACCAGAAATGACATGTGGTTTGCCACTAGAGTTTCATGCATTACAGCTCTGCAACCAACATCAACTTGTATAAAATCTCAGAGGAAAACAGATTGAGTCTGAAAAGGCAGCGGAAAAGAAGAGTCACTCACTGGGGCACTGGGAGACACAGATGGAGCCGTACTGATACTTGGCATTTGGGTTTGTCTCCATTTGAAATGTCTGCTTGTTGTAAATCAAAGTCTGGGGACACTGAGGCACACAGGCTCCAGAGTCGTTGAAATGACGGCACGCCTACACACAGACACACAAACAAACAAACACTTACAGATGTTTACATACGAGCAATTTCTTTGCAACCACCCATGTCCATTGTGGATAACTTAGTAAATGGTTCATGAATCATCCCAGAGGAGTCTGTAACAGTGGTGGCTGTCTTACTCAATCCAACACTATTTTGTTCTCCATCATGTCGTAGCCACATCTTTGCCTGCCTGCCTGGGCTTCAAAGAAAGTCTAGTGATCAGGTGGTGTTTCATTTAGTACAAATCAAAATCTGAAGCACATTTACCCAAGATGAACTTTGTTTTAATGCTGAATTGTGTTAAAGTATGCTGCATTATAAACCATTCCTTTATCAAGTATTATGCCATCTGCAATTGGTGATGGAGTAATGCTTACTAAACAAGCTAGGTTAATTAAATGGGTGAGGAATGATTGTTTAAACTAAGTATCTTCAGTTACTGTAACCTGGTTATTAGTACATTCAACTTAAATGTTCTATTCCATTCCATTAGGAGCTTCAAGTTCATTGAAGGCAGTCCAGTTCACTTACTCAACTAATGCTTCATTAGTTAAAAAATTTAAGTTACCTCAATTTTTATCTGGGTTAATAGTGTGTAGCACTTCATAACTGTTAATATAAGCACTTATAAGGGTTGTTCTAAGGTTTTTTAGATGCATTTATATGGTTTTGTACATGTGCTTATGGTGGATTACAAACTGTGAGTTCATATAAAGTGTTACCATGCCAACATAGTAAAACACAAAACAAAGATGGTGAACATGATGAACTTAATACCTTCTTAGCAATAGCACTGTAGCACTGCGATTAAGCATCCCATATCAAAGCAGTGCTGTCCTGAGATCAGCTTTACGGCTATTAGCAAGGCAGTAAACTCCTATAGCTCGTTAACTATCCAGGCTGTCTGTCTGATTTTGAATTCCGTGGCAATGAATTATAGGGCTGGGACGATATGTTTTTCTCCTGATTCGATTCTTCTATAATTTTTTGGATGCCGATTTAAATTGCTATTCTACGATATTGTTGATTTTCTCGATGTTTAGTCTGCATTTTTAACATCAGTTAAATAGTTAATTGATTATGATTGTCTACGGACTATTCCAGGAACCATATTTCCCCCCAAAATACACATTACATGTAAGTCAGTTTTTAAGATTTATTCTTAAGTTTGAAAAACGAAAAAATCTATTTTTGAACATAAAAATCAATTTAAAATTTGTAAAACAAAAAATCACGATACTTCTGTGAATTGATTTTTTTCTCCCATCCCTAATGAACTACCACATTCACAAGCTGTGCTATTTAAAAATCCAACCATATCGATCCAAATAAGAGAATGAATCACAAGAAATCGGCACTCTTGCTATTTTTTTGCAGCATGTTTTGAAAATTAAGGTGCATTGCCAAAGGAGTTTGAGATCAGTTTGTAGAGTATGCGCAGAATACAGACTGGAATAGGAACAAATGAAGGGGGTTGAGAGTGGGCATGTACCAAGCATCTGCAAGGGGATTTCCATACTACACTGTCAGAGCATACTGAAGCATTTTATCAGTGAATTCCTGCAGAGAGGCAAACATGGAGTACTCACGAAGCAGTCCACATCCTGAGGGCCTTTACAGCCCGCTGCACACTCTATATGACAGCAGTCCCTCGGGCTCGTCCCAAAACAGCGACCATTACACTGCGGGGCGCACACCGTCTTAGTCACTGAGACAGACAGGAGAGACAGGGTTGAACAGAGGTCACCAGTATGTGTGTGTTGTGTCTTTGTGTGTGCATCACTCTCCCTCTGTGTATTTCTGTGTGTATGAAGAGAGGCATTCTCTGAGAGAAAGGGTGGAGGGGAAGAGATAAACACAGAGAGAAAATCTGAACAATTGGGCACTCACAGATCTGACACTGGTCCTTATTTGGCCCCCAGCAGTAATCTCCACAAGATTTGTGGCATGGGCCTGGCAGAGAGAAAGATCAAAAAGAGAGGCAGTGCTCATTAAAAAGACAATCTCCAAGTAATTTGGCTGCATAATGAAAACTTGCTATCACAGACCTCTCTCTCCATTGTACTGGATGTCAATGGGAGCACTGTTGTCCCGAATTATGTCTTGCCAGAAGATCCAGGGGCCATAGCTCAGGTACTTGTTGTTGATTATCTGAACTCCTCCCTCCAGAATCTCTGTGCAGTAGTGGGCGAGAAATGATGTAGGAGACAGAGGGCAGACAGGATATCCTTTAAAGATATTACAGTAACACTACAGACAGCAGCCAACAAATAACAGGGTCAATATTTTGGGCATACTGCAGAGGATTGAAGTTCTATTTGTTAGATTTATTTCAAATGTAAGCAGCTCGTGTTTAGTCCATGCTTACTGACAAACCCTCTCTTTGACTCTCTTTCATTTTCCCTAACCTGTAAGATTTGCAAGCCCGAGCTGCCGCAGGCCGTTGGAGCCGTCCTTCGGGTAGTTCAAGAAGACAGACAGAGCAAAGCGTCTTTCATAGAGACTGTTTCCTCTGATGACTCGTAGCTGCCCCAGAGGAATCTCCTGAAAGTGGTTCATAGCAATGAGGACGTAGCCAGTCACCTCACGGATTGTCTGCGGGGAAAAAGAGGAGTGCGTTTTCACAACTTGTGTGTAAAGATTGGTAAAAATGAAGAGTAAAGGAGGAGGAGTTTTACCTTAAGGAAGGAGAAGTCCCAGTTACTCTCAATCTGAGTGATCTCCAGGTTTCCCATGATGATCTCACAGCCAGTATAGCGGTCCTTGGTCAGGTTGTACTGGTTCTCCTGGGAACCTGTGGAGCTCAGGCCATTCTGTGTGCCAGGACAGACCACTGATATATAAAGGAAAGAGAGACACATTAGGTTTAATGAAAACATGGACTCCAAAGACTGATTATTGGATCTTTTCTTGCTAAGCTACAGTGCCAACACATGTGCTTAGAAACACTGATAAAAAATTTTTTTAGATTTGGAATTATTTCCCTAATTTTTTGAGTAGGTCAAAGGTTTCTGTTCACTTTTGAATCACATAGTCAGAGGTTTGAACTTGTTTGGGTTGTCTAAACCATCACAAAGTACATCCTGTATCATGTTTTGTCATTGTTACACTGGAATCACAACAATGCCAATCTCAATACGATGCAGCCACAATTTTCAGAGAGCTAAGTTCATACAGACAATAATGTAGGGCACAACTTTAAGTGTCAAGACTGACATTATTGACATGGCTGATACTGAAACTGATGGCTTAAGTAGTCGAAAGAAAGAGTATGATGAACATGGCATGCAGAAAATTGATTCTCTCATAACTTATGGCTCAAAATGTTAAACATGCAAAAACACTCGAGTCCCTCAAAGAAAACCAGATGGTGAATGTTTGAGCACGATAATCTTGTTTATTTTCTCTGCAGTGTATATGGGTTTGGTCTTCCTGGTGCCCTGTTTACTGCTGTGTTGGCTGTAGAGTTTGAAATGTTGCAGAGTGAAAGCGGGCTGGCTGTAACCCTGCTGCTTACATGAAGCAGTCCAGGCCTGAGGCTGATGGAGTAGAAGGCCAGGGGTCTAGGAGAGCAGGGCTTTTCTCACACAAAGTGCTCTATTGTGATAAAGTTATAAATGTGGACAGTGTGTCACAGTGAGTGAAGAGTGATGCACTGACAGACAGTGCGTCTGTGTGTGTGTCTGAGGGGTCTGCGTGGCTGAGATCATACCAACAGACAATGGGGCATGTGTGAGTGGGACATTCTGGCAAAGGGAAGGGAAATATCGTGGACGGAAGGAGATATACACACCATCTCGTACTGAGCAACAAAACCAGTGTACTGGCTCTTAATGTACATAGATTACACACCTGCAGCAGCCAGCAGGAGTCAAATGTCCTATTTGCAGTGTGGATGTGCAGGTGCATAAATGGTATGTTCCAGTGACATCAAAAATCTGGCTTTGAGTTGAATACATCTATTTCAGTTGTAGATATTTGAGGGTAACATCCATACCTTCATCCATTCACTCATCATCACAAATGTTCCTCCATGTTTCCACAACCTTTCTGACAAAGCTGGGGTCATTATTTACATGCATGTATTTACACATCTGCAGAACTAAAGCAGTAAAAGTTAAAAGAAAATAAGAAGAGGATTTCACTGTGAACCAAAACAACAACAATCAACAGATTGGACGAATCAGCATGAACAGAACCAAATGTTCTCTGTAGCTTTTTACAACTGGGGTCATTGCCATACACGCAACATTAAAGCCCTGCCTCCTCAGTTGCTCCCACTCATCTAAGAGCACATAAAGTGGTGATATACAGCAGCATTAGGGACCTTGATTAAAGCCCAGTATCAACAATTCAAAGGCTCTCTGAAGAGAGCACAGTAAGTACTGTTTGGTCTGAGAAAAAGGAAAGAAGACACAAGGGTAAACATATCGGCCTCTTAAACCCAGATAGCATTAAACATTTGACTGTTTTATACAGTTTGAATAAAGAAGACAGAATTCCAAACTAATTATTTCTGTTGACTGTAAAGTCAGGCCTACAGAATAAAAAAAAAATACATCAGCCTCTGACAGTGACATATTTAGTAAAAGTGCAAGACTGACAACAGGATGATAAATCCTCTTACCGTCATGAGTTTGGGATGATGATGCTGTTTGTAGCCTCCATGATAGTGTCAGACATATCAACATGATTCGCCACCACACATCCATGCTTAAGTCCAGTCTCTTCAATGAGATATTTTCATGTCAGGTTCAGGTAAACCTCCAGTACAGCAGATGATATGTAAGGATAAAATGTTAATATGCGTTTCAAAATGAATTCAGGCTCCAAAATCCGAGATAGAAAAATCCAATATCATACAGAAGTGAAGAGGAAGGAAAGATTAAAATTTGAGGGAATAAATTGCGCCAACAGTCAAACCGAAAACGTCGAACAAGTGGCAAATTATTTTTACGATGGGTTTTCCCCTCCCAGAGAGGGGCACGTGATTGGCCAGGAGCCCGATTGGTTGTCCAATCAGGGGTCGGTCCGTCACTTTTTTTTTTTTTTTTTGCTGCAGCCTCAGTTGTAGCGTTCAACATCCTACACAAATAAAATGCCTCCAAACAAACACTTCCAGCATGAGTACAAGCGGATTAAAGTGTGAAAAAACACCCATTAAATTTACTCCACTGTGAGTACATTTTATGAATTCATCCTATAGGGGTAAAGTAGAATTATGAAGCTTCTCATAAAAGGAAAAAAAAGGAAACCTCTTTCAGTTTAAACACCATACATGTCCCTTTATGTGCAGTTATTTTGGTTTCATGTTGTCAGCTGCAGTGAGTGGAAGCTGTGCTGTGGTCCCCCAGTCAGCACCAACCTCTGTGAGTGGCCGCACTGTTCCCCCTGTAAAGAGCAGTATTGTCCCCCCCACCAGCCCTGTCAACTGGTTAATCACCACTTTGATGCCTATGAAGCAGTGTGTCACAATGGGCACATTGTCAGATAGTCCAGTGACTTCTGAACCCAAAACAAGAACATGCCTAATTTTGAGGAAGATTTGCCTCAGAGCGGGCAAGATTCCTGAACGCGAAGCTGTATGTGGAAAGAGGAAGACTCACAAACTAATGCAAATAAGTAACTGCCTCTGACAGATTTACTGCCAGTCTCATTTAATGGGAGACAAAGACAGCTGAGCAGTTTAGGAGAAGCTTCCCATGCCTTATTCCCACCTTTATTAGTTATAAACAAAATTAAATTGTAAGTTGATCTTTAATCTGATGTGTATGAAATTTATCACAACAAAAGACACAAACTGAAATTCAAACTTCCCTCCAGCAGCAGTTGTGTGTCCAGCAGGAGGAGACAGAGTCTGAAGATTGTCATTATCAAAGCTAGTGCAGGGCCTGTTGGAGGTGCACACGCCTGTTCCTACTATGCTGTTAATCTCTGACCCATAAATTGAAGTACGATGTCAAATCTGGAAAAAGGAATTAACACGAAGTTCAGGGAACATTTTCAAAAACTTGGGTCCGTTTAATAAACAGCAGTCGGTGTGAATGTGCTGGTGTTGTTCAACACAACAGACTAATTGGAAAAATAGATGGAGAAAATTAAATATTAATAAAAAGCAGATTTTTCACGACTATTTGCAGTCAAAGGCTCGGTTCTTTCACAGATTCTGCAGAGTCAGGCGGTTTCATGACACCAGAGCGGTGTCAGCCTAAGCGACTATCCTGGTGGCCCTGTCCCTTCTACGACAAGCTGTGGGGGTGACTGCTTTGGCCTTTTTTGTGGTTGCCTCTGCCTTAAGAGATTGATGAATTGATTGTGAGCCTGCTGCCAGTGTGTCTGTGCCCTGGGCGAAGGCGTCCTGGTTACGGGTGGGAATCCCAGCTATGGCATCCACCCTGGGGCTGCTTATTGTGGCTGTCCTGCAGGGGGCCCCGGGGGCTGGTGGCCCTGGGAGCAGCTCTGACCCACATACTGCTGTCACACCCCTGGAGACACAGCAGCACTCTCCTCTATATGGACTTCTGATTGGCTCCGACCAAATGACTCTCTGTGAAGTGCAGCAATTCTACAGGGGAACTACCCATCGTGCCAAACTTCTCTTGATGGCAGGAGTTAAGATATGTAAGACCAGAGTAAAGGTGACATTTTAGCCACTTCTTTCCACCTAGTTGACCTGCTCCACCATAGCCTCTGGTGTATGTTTAATGAGCATTATTCAAATATGTGCTTTGTATTAATCTGCATTGAGTCAGTGTCTAAAAAATTAACATTTGCTGGACTAAAATAGCTTCTTTAGTCACAATCTCCTCCACCAAAAAGGGTTTAGCATGCTGTTGAGATGAAAACTAACAACGATATTTAAAGCATATACAGAAGAAAGAAAAGGTTATCACAGTTTAAAATGTGTAAGATGAAGATTCTGTGTTATTATATATATGATAAATGTTCATTATGATCAAAGTCTGCATAATAAAAAGGTGAAAAAAAATGAGTAAAGCAGAGAAATGTTATGTTTTGGTCTTTTTATTGATTGATCAATCGATGTAGTGCCAGGAACCTTTAAATCATTTAACACTTTTGCAACTGTCTGTGTCAATAATACTCCCCTCTGTTGATAATAAATCACTACATTTCATCAATTCATTTTCACCCCCCCCATTTGAATTAACATTATTGTATGGAATGTTCTGCAGTCCTGATTAACTTCCTTTTTTGAGTTAAAATCTGCCAATACAGTTATTGAAAGGACATGAAGCCACAACAGTACTGTGAGTGCATCAGAGTTACAGATCATAGGCGAGATACTCCAATGTCGAACATTCCTACATACAAACCTGTTATCAAAGAGAACTTAACCACTGGCAGTATAAGGCCACAAAAACAATGTTAACACCAAACTGAACGTAATAGAGAGCACATCACACACACAAGCTGCTGTCATTTAAACATATCTGCCAACACACTGACCCCAATATCTACAGGTGTATCAACAACACTTTCAACTGTGAGTACCATGGTATACTTTTCGTAAACATATATACAGTTGCGCTGACATAGAAAAGCATGCTTTTGCATATTAGAAGGTTGTTCAGTAAACTTTACACTAAATCCATAACATTTATCAGTACAGCATTATTCCAACAGCAGCAGTAATTTAGACTAACAAATATAGTCTGAGGAAACAGGCTATTATATTTCACTTTTATTACAGATCTTGTACAGTATTAACATGCCTTATGATGCAGTATTACGATCATCCTCTCTCTTATTTTTTTAAATGATGTGATTTGTGTGAACACTGAAAAAAGACGACTGTCTGCTCCAGGAAGCAAATCAAGAAACGACACTGAAATCAGCAATTGCCTTTTAGTCCAAAATAAATAAACACTATTTTTTAAAAACACAAGAAAAATGACATCACATTTTGTACAATGTTAATGCATCTAGAGTTATGTTGTGCTAACATGTTAAACATGGATACAGTTAACACAAGAAATACATATAATGTTACGCCGATTAGGGATAAAAAAAATAGGATTTAAAGCAATGTGAGTTCTTTTAATGGATACAATGCAGCTGCTCGCACAAACAAATAAAAAACATTCAAAACAATGTAAGCTCTCTGATATTGCCAATCACATGCTCTGATAAATCACCCTCCACCTGGAGGGGCCAATAGCAGCAATGTTTTTTTCAAAGCCACAGACCTGGTATCCGATCCATCATCTGTACCAGTTCAGATATCACACCTGGCTGACACCACAGAAATTGTTTTAACCCTTACTGATGCAGGCAACTTGACTAAAAACACAACTGTATTTACAGCAGCAGCCTGCGGTAGTTCACAGCAAGCCCACAAACCAGTACTGGGCTATGTCCATGCAGATTGGGAAGTGGTAATATAGAGGGATTCTTTAATCAGCAGCTGCCTTAGCAGTTAATGCACATTAAAATATAAAGGGGATACAAACCATGTGATGCTAAAACTTAAAAATAAATAAATAAATACATAAATAAATTAAGGTTGACAAAAATATCGCTTTTAAACAATCCAGTATGTCTTCAGGTTTGTGTTCACTAAAATAAATAAATAAAAGATGAAAGTAAATACATTTAATCAAATGTGATGAAAAGTTCTTGGAAAATGAAACTTGAGTTCTGTGCACACTGTCAGTAAAACATTTGTATAGACAAAAAGCAAAAACGTCACATTTATTTGAGTCCATATAAGTATACTGTTTCAACAATGTGATAATATTCTGAGATAGTAGTATTCTCCTATTATGACATTCATTTAACTCACAATTACAAGCATCTGAATGATGCTTGCTCTGCCATCTGAACATAGTGTAATATGATGGAGAACATAATTCTGCAATGTAGGAGACATGAATATGCTTCACTGTAACATTGTTTTATTGAATCCCAGTATTAATGCAATTAGCTTTTCAGTATTGTATTATTTCAGGTCAACTTCAATTACATTGGTTTATAATATTTATATAAAACTCACCGCAGATCCAAACAAATTAATTGAATCAAAAGAAAAAGATGAAGTTAAAGTAATTTGGGGGAGAAAGCCATTGAGAGTCACCCCCTGGGAGCTTTTCAGCACTGCCTCTCCATGTAAACACAATGGATCCACTATAACCTTTACCTGGAGCTGGCACCCAGGCTCTTCCCCACCCGACTGACCTGACCTCTCATTTTTTGTTCTTCAGCTGGTTGGCCAGCCAGTCTAGGCCCTCGTAGAGACCATCTCCACTGGTGGCGCAAGTGGCCTGGATGTACCAGTTGCGGTGGCGTAGGGAGTGCAAGCCCAGCTTGTCTGTGATTTCGGCAGCATTCATAGCATTGGGCAGGTCCTAGAGAAAAATCACATTAACACCAAACTGTTGAGGTGATGGGTGCAATATTGCAACAAGTAAGGACTGCAACACAGTGCAATGATGCTGATACCTGTTTGTTAGCAAAGACAAGAAGAACAGCGTCCCGCAGCTCGTCCTCAGCCAACATCCTCATCAGTTCCTCCCGGGCCTCATTGACGCGCTCTCGGTCATTGCTGTCCACCACAAAGATCAAACCTGCGGCCAGAGACAAGAGCTTCTGTCTTTCAAAGGGTTAAATCTGTTCCCACATATCAAAAACAATTGCATCACACTTCCTATCAAAATGTTTACATCATACTGTTGAAATCATATTTTTAGATCATGTGTATTTGTTTGTTGAGGCTTTCAACATGACTAAGACTATCATGATGTGAAACAGTTGGAGGCTGTACGCAAACGGCCTCATCTGAAGTATTAGTCAGAAATGCTCTCAGGTGCTGGGGGCGAGCATGTGCAGCACAATATGCCACGAGACCGCACAGACTTGTTCACCCCAACGAGGCCGATGTGTGTATTGTGTGTGCCTGCTGCTCAGGCTCACCCTGGGTGTTCTGGAAGTAGTGCCTCCACAGGGGACGAATCTTATCCTGGCCACCCACATCCCACACTGTGAAGCTGATGTTCTTGTACTCCACCGTCTCTACATTGAAGCCTGAAAAAAAAAAAAGCAAACTGAAATGAGTCACACAAGCTGGAGGAAGACTGTGACAGGTGTAATTAATTAATTAATTTCTGATGCACCAATAGTGGGGATGGTGGTGACGATCTCTCCCAGCTTTAGTTTGTACAGGATGGTGGTTTTTCCAGCAGCATCCAGCCCCACCATGAGGATCCTCATTTCTTTCTTGCCTATCAGACTCTTCAGCAGGTTGCCAAAGATGTTCCCCATGATTTCTGGTGGCCCTTACTTCAGGTGCTACAGAACTGTTACACATGGAGACGGATGAGACAAATTCTCGTATACAGCAACAACCATATTAGATATTCAGAAGCATACACATATGCAAATTAGGAAAAAAATACATTGTGAGACACATTAGCTCCCCAGAAGGAAGTTACTATAAGCAGAATTCACACCTAAGCAGGCAGCTGACCTAACTGAGAGGCTTACACATTACTTAGCCTTAGATGGGGAAACGGGATCAACTTTCAGATGGTGCAGAATAACAACCATTCAAGCATACACTGCTTACTTGAAGCAGACTCTCTGTCAACATTGTAATATTATAATTCAGTCACATTAAGTGGAAACTGTCGCTTTGATTGTAAGAAAGCATAATAAACAGTCTAAAACATTCATTTAACATGAGGTCAACTCTGCTGTTCACTATCATACCTGAGATGCATTTGATGTCACCTGGGATATTACAACATAAGCTAGCAAAAATGCTGTTATGGAGTTTCAAAGCGACCTTTGTCACATCCTTAAAGCCTTCTGTGTCGCTGACCACCTGAGTGCTTGTAGCTTTAGCTTCCACTGACCTACGTTTCCATTCATTCTTATCTAATACTCAGGCTTTAGCTGCTAGCATAGCCTTCCACAGCTGCAGTGGCTGAACATCCATGTACATCTGTCCTAACGCGGGGGGAGGACTGCCGCTGCAGTCCTGGGAGGAGGTGAATTTGAATGAGCCACGTTATAGCGTCTTCAATACGGCGTGAAATCACGTTAATTCTGTGCTCAATAATCTGGAAACAATAAAAGCTAATGCCTTCTAATTAAAAAAAAAATCTCCGGGTCAATTTGTGAGCTGTAATGCCCTCACATAGTCACGACAAGCGCACCAGTCGGCCTGGTGTCGTCGATTAACGGCCGACAATTTTCTAAGAAGCTGCAACGAGGGATTAAAACAGCGACAAATACGCCGCCCTTTCCTTTATTACTTGCATACTTGCTTCAGAATTTTTACCGTTTGCATCTCATTCACACTTACCCGTCAACGGCAGGCAGGCTACCAGCTGGATTCAGGCAGGCAAAGGGCTGGATGGTAGTCTCGCGATGATAAAAGGTTATGATACTGTGTGCTCTCGCGGTGTTTGGGTTTGTCAAGAGCACCTCTTCTAATGCTTGGCACCGCGCTCAGTACATACAGGCTGTATTTGACAGCAGTGACTTGTGAGAAAGCCAGGGGCACGGCTGGAGGACAACTATGTTTCATAACCGGTTTAATGGTTTGAAAATAATTATTAGTGCAACATCAATTTGTTTTTAGACTTTGAACTGCTTAACGTGGAGCCCAGACTTTAAATTCATGCAGAAAACACTCTTTCTAGTAAATGGATGTTGTACGTGTTTAATAGCTTTTTCTGCCCTGTTTCAGCAGAATACTAACAACTACATGGATATGACTTGTGGGAAGAGAGTCTGCAGGCAAACATGCTTGAATAATTAAAACAGGAATCATGTTAATGAATAAGTAAATGGTTGACTGTAATAGGATGCCAAGTGATACTTCCTGGCAGTAGGATGCAGTGTCACAGATGATAAGGTGACAGAGGGGAAAGACATAAACCCAGTTAATATTACATAAGTTTACAAACCTTGATTATTTATTTTTGTAATGTATGTAATATTAATTTGACACAGTGCTTGCATGTGGTTGTAAAGGTGATAATAAATGTAGGAATAAGGAAGGAACTCCACCTCCCTCCTAGGTGTGGGTTTAACCCATTAACCATCAAATAAAACCACTCCTTACTGACTGAAAGACATGTCTGAGATCAGCCTCTCAGCCACAGGTGCATCCAACATTTGCTTCCCTCTTCCTCTCTGTTGTGTGTCAGTTAGTGGTCCGGTGATAGATGTGTTTATCAATTCAGCGGTAAGGGCAGAGGAATAAAGCAGGGAGCAGATGTTTGCAGCTGCAGACCAGATTATGGGGTGGAGTGGATAGTGGGGGCGCCTTTAGAGCTTGTGCAAGTGGGGAGTGTTTTCTTTTTTGTTGTTGTTGAGAGGGTTACAAGGGGGTTACAGCAGGCCTGGTGGTGGCAGGAGAGGTGGGGTGTGGAGTTATGACTTAAAGGAGCCTTTCCTCTGAAGTGTCTGCCAGCGTGCACCCCAGCAAACACAATCACAAGTCTCGTTGGTTCTGCTAGCTGAACTAATGAGGGCCTGCGCGCTGAGGGCAGGGGCTTTGATGTTCTGGGTAGCTGGCTCCTTGTGTTTTCTCTCTCCTGCTCTCCTTCTCTGCCTGTCCCACATCAAAAATGAAAGGGGAGTTGGGAAGCAGATGTTTTGAGGCATGCATTTATACAGAGTACACTTTATTCACCCCCTTCTCCATACCCCATTTGTCCTTTGCTTGTGTGCCCGCGCTGTAAGTACAGCAAGGATCTATCTCTCCATCTTTATACATCTTTATATCCAACTAAACACACTAAATCGCTTTACTTTATACATATAATCATCCTGTCAATCAAAGTGGGTAACTTTTATCTCTCTTAACTTCCTCTCTCTCTGCTCCCTCTCTTTAATTTCAGCCCAGTCTGGTTGTCATTACTCGGGAGGGGGCAGTCAATGTGTTGCTATGTATGTGTCTCTGTCTGTAGCGATGAGGGGGAGATCAGGGAAAGAGAGAAAAAGGAGCACATGGAGGGAGAGAAAGCAATCGCAGGCCATCCACCAACCTCTGTCTCACACATGGGGAGAAACAGTGACAGGAAATTCTCTTTTGCAGCAGCTCCAGGGTGAAATGATAGAGGAATGGAGAAATGCAAACCAGAAATCCATTTCTTTATCATTCCTTACTCGTCGCTGTCTTCCTTCGTTCTCTAGCTAAATATCAAACGGAGGAAAAAAACGTTGATTCAGCCAATGGTACTGCCATTTCTCAGGAGTTGAGGGATATTTAACCAAGTCCATGCAAACAGGATTTCATTTGCATTACATCCAAAATGGCAGATGAGTTTTTTTCCCAGGAGACAGTTTGGATCATGTAAGATATCTGGGAATGCGGCAATCATAAATCCAGTCAGGTGTTGACACTGGGGTTTTGCTAAATCTGCAGTGTGACTAGATTGAGAGTGCAAATCACTGGGGTCACCAGGAGTGCTGCCTGACAGTTCATCCACATGTTTCTGTTTGTACATCTTTGCCACTTCTTAATAAGTGCCTTTGCACATAAATGCATGCATGTGTTTATCTGCCTGCATTTTTTGTGTAGTCTGTCTCTTAGGTAACAGGGGACTCTGTGCTCCACGTGGTTTCGAGAAGCCCCTACTTTGGCCATGAACTTTAGACAGATGATCCCCTCAGATGCTCAGAAAGAAAAGACTGGTATAATCACCTCCACTCTCCACTCTCTCGATGCTTCTCTGCAGTAATAAAAGTCATACTTGAAGGAAACAATATCCTGCAGCCATAAAAAGTCCTTCTCTCAGCATGAAGTGGCCATAAAAAAGGCTCTCACCTCCCAAATCTGAAGTGTGTAGAATTTGCCCCCCATTTACACAGCAACAGACACACACAAACACACACTCACACTCCTAAGCATTGGTTCAGGACTAAAGCAGGTCATCCCTCACCCTGACATCTACTACATGTGGGAAGAATCTACAGAGTTATCCAACTGATGGAAAGGAAAGCAGGAACAGAACATCAAGAACCCAGCAATGGTTTTTCGTAGGAAAGTGACACACATCACCTCGCAGGTTTTCAAAGAGGAAGCTTATTTCTGTCAAAATATCGATATGAAGTCATATCAGTTTAAACACTCGCAACCACTCTTTTGTTGGAGTTACTATTATCTCCAGAACAGATGAGATATAAAATTTCTCATACTGAAACTTTACAAGCTTTGTCTAGCCTGTTCCTTCATTAAAAAACCTTTTAACACATTTATCAGCGCTTCAAAAACTACAAAATACATCCTGTATTGAGTCAAGGCTTTTCTAAATGAGTACCATTACTCTGACCACTTACCATTATGCAAAATATGGAGTAAAATTCATTGAAATTGTCATGAACTCTGTTAGGTATAAGATAAACTGAAACGTTTGAACAGCTGGTTTTGTTATAATACAACTTTTGCTTTCTGATAGACTTGAGAATCAAAGAAATGGTAGAAAATAGGACATTTCCAGGACTCTGAGGATACTCCTACTGAAGAAATAAGATCACATTAAAATGCTGTTTAAGGTGTTTCACTAAGTATTTGCTGATACCAACAACTGCAGTTATCATGGCGAGAAAAAGAGACTAAAAGATACTACTTTTGGTAGAATAGCATTGATTGCTGACATCTTTCTTTTTTTTGACTTGCATTACACACTCCTCTCACACTGCACTGTTATTTATGTCATTGTTGTATACTGGTGTACATGAAACTTGTTGCTATTGAGCGGGTTACATGAAAATATGATATAATATAACATCAGTGCATTGTCAGCCACAGTGTTAATATCTGACTTCAAATTTAAGGCAGTCGTATTTGCCAGAGCATTAAGTGTACCATGAACTAAAACCCATAACTCAAAATTATAATATTAACAATAATACATTTACAAATATACATGTGCACTTTAAAAAACACAGCTACTGTACAGCGAGATAAGTCAGCAGCTCGTCACCGACAAAGAAATGCGTCTCTGCTGTTGCTTGTCTTTGTTGTGAGGGATCGAAAAGACGGGGTATATATGCAGTTTTCATGGCTGAGAGGGCAGCGTCTAAACAGACCATGGCAAGACAAACGACATGAGTCACCTCTTCAATCTCTGACTTGGCATTATGAGAATAACAGCGGCTACAAAGAGAAAATAGATCCCAGATGATGGACTGAAAAAAGGAAAGGGGGGAGGATAAACAGATTATCTGGCAGAGTTCCACAAGGAGCATAAACAAACACTCAAACAACAGGAGTGGGCGAAGGGACGGGCTCGCCATCTTGAGTCCTGGGTGGGTAAAGGCAGCTGGGACAGGGCGAACTGAATCTACTTGCACACATTAACCCACTCTGTGAGGCGACACTCCTCACACAACACGTAACAACACCAGTGAAACCTGCAATTGCAGCGCTCACTGCGTGTCTGTTTCAGGATGTTGTGTCCACGTCCGCAGCACAGCGAGCTGCAGCTGTCTGTGCTGTAGCTGGTTTTGTTGCAGATGCGTCCTTGTGTGCCCGGAGAGTCCACAGATGGGTCACGTTCACAGAAATCTGGAGACTTTTCAAAGTACACCAGCTCTCTTGACATGCTTCTGCGTCGTCCTCCGTTGGTTCCCCCTGTGCTCCCACTAGCGCTGTTTCCTGTCCGAGGATTAAAAACCCCATTGTTCTTATTCTGGGAGTTGACAAAGATGGCCGACAGAAACTTTTCCTTGAGTATAGAACCCACAAGCCGGAACTCTGGAGATACATGCCAGCAGGTCTTAAACTGGCAGCTCCCTGATGTGCCATGACATTTGCACTTCTTCTTCATGTTGTCAGTCACTATCTGTGAAGAGGAAGATAATTGATGTAAGAAAACCAGGGAGACAACAATGAAGCCAATGACACCACACGATGGAGAACATGGAAAACACTCAACAACTGATCTCTCACCTGCCGCCCTACACGATTATTGTGTATCCTCATGCGAGCATGGATGTCCCTCGGTGACCCTCGGGAGTCCAGCCAGTCCCTGGAAAAACGATCCCCAAAACGAACATCATGACTGCAGCCCCCCCATTCCCAGGTCTCCTGCATGGAAATCAGCTCATCTGGCAAAGGCTTGAGCAGGCCGGATGGGTGGTTGGAGTGCAGGTTAGCAGGCAGGTTGCCATGGTTACTGTTTAGCTCTGGGGGTAATGACCGTGCCATGCCGAGGCCTACCCCACCCTTCTGTAGGGTCTGCAGCTGCAACTGTGTGAGTTTCAGCCGGATCTTGTCATCGTCCTGGCGACGCTTGGCCTCACAGCCACACCCCCGCAGTTTGCCCATGCTGCAGGCCGAGGCCACAGAGTGAGCCACACCCGCTGCCAACAAAGCCAAGGAGAAGGCGCTCTCACGAAAACCTGGAAGAAGGGACACACACTCAAGGGAATGAAAAAGACCAACAGTGACACTTTAAACTCCAAAACAATCCTGAATCTCTGCTAAGATTGATCTGATTTGACTATCAGTCACTTTCCCAGGCTCTGACCTCTGTTAAGGATGGTGTTGTGGTGGGGAAGTTTGCCAAGGCCCTCCAGGGAGGAGCAGTTCCAGCGATGGTCCCGTAGCTGGTGTTGGCATTCGTGGATGGCCACCTGGATGCCCTGAAGAGCGGAGGCCGTCACGTCTGGGCTACGCACACACATCCGCATCTGACGCTTACTGAGGCCTGCCAGCCTCAGGCAGACAGAGTTTGGGGTTAGCACTGGATCTCCTGCCACCTTCAGGCTAAGGATATCATTACACAGCACCCTGCAGGGAGTGAGAGGGGGCAAAGAGTTAATAATGATGGGGGGTCATCATAGCTGGTTAAGACCTCATTAGTCAAATTCACAAAGGTACATAGCAACAGCATGATATTATGGACACTTCAGGAAAAGAAAGCTTTGAGAAGGATGTCTCTCTGGATGAATTTAATGTCGAAGAGATTTGCTGGATACACTGAGCAATAAATGCGATAATCAATTGCACAACTATTTGCTCCATTGTTTCAACTGTTTTTGCTTACAGCAGGGAAAATATAATTCCAAACAGATCATCTAGCTGAAAGTTCCCAGAGGCAGAGTACATCACTAATACATCTTTTTGAGAAATAGCAACAGAGGAATTTATGAATTCTTAATGGCATTGATCAGACTTCTAAAAGACTACTAAATTAGTAAACATGGATTCAATTGTTTCAATACCATCCCTAAACCAGTCTGCCTAAACAGAGGCAGAGGTTTCACTTTTAACCTAAATATGATATTTAAATCATACAGTCACACATACTAACTTCCCTCAACTCTTGTCGCATTCCTTGAATCCCAAATCCGCATTGACATTAAGTCTCCAGGAGCTCTCATGTGCACTCACGTTAACGCAGGTGACAGAAATGTTGCTGCCAAAATCAGGAATTGGTCCCAACGGAGTTTGTTTGATAGCTCCATTTTGTTAAGCGTCTGTCGCGACGTGACATTAAAACGCTGTTGATTAAGTTCTGTGCTGAAAAGAAGATATCAAAAAAGAAGAAGAGTGCTGTATTATCGATGCACCGCCAAACGACCGAAGAATGAGGACGGAGAACAGAGGAGCTCGGGGGCGAGAGTAAACGGGAGGGGGGAGAGAAAGAGGGGAGGGGAGGAGATGCCACTACAGGCGACTGTTTGCACAAATATTGGCTAATATGAAGGTTGGATCACCAGTTGATCATTTCATTATTTGAGACGGCGTTTTTTTGTCCAAGCGTAAAATGATGTCTCCAAACTCTTACGCACGAGAACTCCTTTCTTCTGAACAGTCAAATTTAGATGGGTAATCTCCATAACTTTATTATATAAACATACTTGATAGGAAACATAATGAGTGTATGAAGTATTCTTTTGTGTTGAGGAAGAGGTGGGTTGTAGGGCACATATTTCAACTTTGGACAGGAGAATAAAGACGGGCTCAGAAAACATGAAATATGAAAAGTCAAAGCAGATTTTGTACATAAAGAGGTGAGTAAAATGATGAATGGGGGGAAGGGGGAGCTGCTGGTCCCACTGTACGACAGGGAGGCAGCAGCAGGCAGGCGGCTCCGCTAACAGACACTCCAACAATACTGTTTTTAGTCATGTGCCCCCCCTTTACTCCCACCACCATCACAGCGGCTGTTCTTTATTGTTGTGTTTGAAACAACTTTCACTTTGTCACTGCAAAGTATTTATTTCAGAGGATAAACTAACTTGCATATATAACTAAAATTACATGTCTGATTGCTTTGATTATTTGTCAAATAATGATACACACCTCCACAGATCAACCGGCGGATACGATGGACGCATTTAAGTGGCTGTGAGTTGCGCGTAAACAGAAGGGCCCCAATTCTTTGTGTATAATTAAGTCCACCAAACAGCATCTCAATCATCTATCCAAATTATTTATTTTTTCATGTTTACTTTTAACAAAACCTATGAAGCCAGACACTCATCTCTTAGGATTGATTATCGGCTTATTGTCAAATCAGCCACAAAGATCCAAATTACGCACTACTTCTACTGAATCAACAGGTCAGTCATTCGCGTTATAAATATATTTCAACTGATAAAAAGTTGTTTTCTTTAAATATGAATAAATAAAATGCAGCTAGAACGAACAAGGTGCATGTGGGCTACTTTCATAAAATTAAGTTAAAACCCCCCTCCAGCACGGTTCGCATAGTGACACCAATTCATCTAATCTCCTTCCATTCCCTAAGCTGCGGCAATGAAAAGTGCATTAGCATTCTGCCTTGGCGTGTATATCTAAGTGGCTTAAAAAGTGATTTGAAGTTGATTTGTATATAAAAGGCCCCCCTTTATCCGGATTGAAGCTCTAATCTGCTCGGTGTCGCATGACTGCTCCAGGAAACCCGTTTGAGCACCTTCATATAAGGCTGCAGTATAAACGTAGGTTGGTTGTCATTAAAGCCCTTTTACAAAAGCCCACTTCCTTTTACTGTCATCTGAAGCAGCGACAGAGAGAGAGAGGGAAAGAGAGAGAGGAAAGGGGGAGAGATTACTGAAGCTCCAACTGCTGCAATGACTAATGTAGAGCATGCAAATTAGCAGATAAATGTCACACAATGAAACATTCACCCATGAACCGATATGTGGAGAAGTTTGGGGACATTGAAGCCTGCTCCTAGTCTGAGGTTAGATGGAGATGCCGCAAAGTGGCTCAAGCTGTGATTACACTGCACTACATGTGCGTCGAGGGAGGTCTGCAGGCCAGATGTTCGGAATGTTTTTTATTCTCTTTCCCCATCGTTTCCCAGTTCATCATACATCAAACTTCTGATTGGAGACCGTATTAAATCTACAACGACTTTGAGAAAACATTTAAGTAGCCCAGCAGGCAGTGTGAGTTATATGACAACCAGAAGAGCTTATTTCTCCCTTTTACACGCAAGCTCTGATGTGCGTGTGCACGCACGTCTCCGGTTTGTGACAGTTTTGTTTATTGGGCCCCATCTGAATTAGTCACTGAGATCCCCGTAGAAAGCACTTCATGAAATCTAAGTGATGATTAAATAGGTGTAATAATGTAAAATGAGGCTGTATTTGTAGAGGGATTAGTGCTAGAAGGAGACGAAATGTACTTAGTCACTGCACATTTTGGGAGCGCATTTGGAGAGGAGGAGGAGGAGATGCGGTTAGGGAGTAGGCTAATCCAACCACCGGGTAAAAAGGCCAGTTTTGGATAGCTCATATTCCGCTGTAACTGTATTGCACCGTGACACCAGCTTTGAGCAGCGGCGGAGCACCAAACCAGGGCGCACCCACAGCATCTGCACCAACACAACACTGCTTCTCCTCCCTGTAAGACTGGAAGTTGAAGAAAGCGCAAGACCAGTGGGAATATACTCTCAGCTGCACACATTTAAAAAGGGGAATCGATTCTGTGATGACCGTGAGATTCCACAAGTAATATGCGCAACACTGTGGATTGCCCTATTTTTTCTCCGCCTTTCTTTTTTCTGCTCAGTTGTGTTTCCTTATTCATTGTGCGCCCTATGAAGAGCATTAACTATCCCTCCCTCCAATCCTATTGAAAGGGCGCCGAAAAAAACAGAGGGAGATGAGAGCAGCAAATCCCTTTTTTATTCCCCTCGTAGCGCTCAATAAGAGAAGAATGTGTTGCCTATCAGTCACCGAGGGGATCAAGTCTTCGGGACTGTCCCACGCGTTCAATGCGCCGTGCAGAGCATCATTGAGCGAGACAGAGTGAAGAGGACTGCAGCAGCAGCAGCAGCATCATCCTGTCTGGACACTTCACATCATTTAGCAACCTGTCTACACTCAAGATCCACTCAAGTCAATTAAGGGCTGCCTGCTTCTCTCACCTTTCAACACCTCTCGCTGGACTGTGGCCTGGTGAGTGTATGCACCTCGCAGCAGGGTCATTTTGAGCACTATCGAGATTGGATAAAACGTGTTATTTTTGCCACTTGAGGAGAGGTGCATTGCTAGATCTTCATTTTTTAACATGTGGATTTTCTGTTACGCAGAGTTTGGATAAGTAGTTCTCATCTTCATTTGTAAACAGCCTTTAAATCAGCATGTAAAAAAGTAATTCACTGTAAATTTCCTCTTTGTTTATGACCTGAAGACAACATGAGGAGTCTCGCGCTGCTGTTGGGAGTAAAAGCCGCGTGCATCCTCCTGGTGTCCTCGCTCTCTGGCACAGGGGCCGTCAACAACAGCGGCCGGTGGTGGTGAGTTTTGCCAGATGCTGCATGTCATGCTGCATTCACTTACGTTTTCAGCATCCTAACATTTCAACAAACCTCTGATTTGGCGCAGATTTGAACGGGGGAAGACCCTGCGCCACCATACGAGTTTTAATTTGTGACCACAGTCTCTGCTGCATGCTGGAAATAATTTGTTAGTTTTGGCACCGTGCGCAACTTCTGTTCACCCTCTGAGAAGAACCAGCGCATGATATTACAGCAACCGCATGATATTCAAGCTCGCAGCTCTTTCGTTTTCCTTCAGAGAAATTAGTTACAACAGGATATTTAAAAATGAACGACTTAAATTTTCTAATAATTACAGTTTGACCTTCTCTCCGTGGTGGATTTAATTCGCCCTGCTTCTCACCGCTTTCCTGACTTTTGGTCTGTGCGGTTTGAACGCGATACTACATTTTTCTGAGCAATATGGGATAAATTAAATATGGATTTATTACATAGCTGAAAGGATTCCCATCCCAGGTCTTATCCAGGGTCTTGTTAATTTAATACTGTACACCCTCTGTCAATGCAGCGACCTGCAACTGCCAATTTTGCAATACTTTGTTATAGAAAACAAAATCAAATTCGGATCTGTATGGTTTTGCGTCAGTGGACACATTGTCTCGCTTGTTTAAAAACCTATAAACTGTGGGCTGGGTTTTGTGGACGTAATGATTTAACGAAAGATTTTGTCGGTTTTGTGGTGTGTGAGATAGACAGAATACGACCAAAAAAGGCAGGAGTTTCCAAATATTTAAATTGTCAGCTGAAAAATCATGAAAACATTCAGTAAAAGAAGGAGACACCGCGGAGTTTCGGAATGAGGAAAACACCCAGAAAAGACGGCATTATTATATTATTAAGGCCTCACCACTCAACTGTCTGGGTCAGCCCTTCAACAGGCCAAGACTCATCCGCCTTTCCGGAAGATAATGCTGAACAGGAGACACATCCACTAGACTGTGTGAGAATAATAAAAAAAATATGGTTGACACAGACCCTCCTCCCCCTTCAAAAAAAAAAAAAAAAAAAAAAAAAGAATTAAGAAGAAGTATACAGCTTCTGCAGAAGAGACACAATAGAAATGTTCTGCTGTCTTATTTCAGTAGTATGAAGCTACAGGAATTAAAAAAGGACATCTGCTGTATTTGAACACACATATGAACAAGAAACAAACCTTTACACCTGAATATTTTCTCACATTATGTGGCAAATTGAAAACATAGACAGAGCTGTTATCTTTTTGAGATTTATTCTGCATAGCTGCTCGTATATTTTCCCATGTTAGGTAAGGTATGGCTCGAAAAATGATATTTTGAATTCAATAATTTCAACATACAAGGCAAACTCTATAGATGTAAAAGGCTGCTGATAACCGTCATAATATATTTTAACTTTTTATGTGTCTTTTTGAGAGTTTGATCTTGAATGTTTTGTTTTGGACCCCAGGAAGAGTCCTTGTTTCTGCAGCAAATAAATAAATAAATACATGGAGTAAAGAGAATAAATAAATTTGGGGGGGTTGAACTGCATCTTTGTGCTCTCTGATAAAGCATGAGGTTACTCCTGCTTTTGGGACAGAGAATCATGTTTAAGAGATTAAGGGCATTTTTCTATCCACTCAGAGGTGTGACACCACTTTAACCCACAGACATTACAGCAGATGTTAAATATTAAACATGATCTACAGTGTCATCATCATGGATCTTACACAGCTAAAAAGGTTAATAAAGAAGTAGAAAATAATAATTTGGTGTAATTTGCCAAACTGGAAACTCTCTCAACAATCTTGCAACATTGTTAACTGTTGAACTTAGTCGAAAACTACACTTGGCCAAGGAACATCCGTTTAAGAGGGTCACAGAAGGATCCTCTTAAACTGCCAGAACAAACTTCCAGCTCCTTGACTCTGATTTCCTTTGTCCTCTCCTTGTGCCAGGGGCATTGTCAATGTAGCCTCCTCATCCAACCTCCTCACCAATTCCAAGAACGTGCAGTTGGTCCTGGACCCGAGCCTGGCCCTACTGAGCCGACGCCAGCGCCGGCTGATTCGGCAGAATCCTGGCATCTTGCATGCCATCGCCGCTGGGCTGCACACCGCCATAAAAGAGTGCAAGTGGCAGTTTCGCAACCGGCGCTGGAACTGTCCGACCACCCACAGCCCAGCCGTTTTTGGCAAAATTGTCAACCGTGGTGAGCCTATCTTGTCTCCCTTACCAGGCATGATCAATTTTGGGCAGAGTGTTATGGAATCTCTTGTTAATATCTGAATGGCTTTGTTTGCACACATTTGAGAATTTAAGGGAAATAATTGGCAAAGTCCAGGGTGCTGGGCAAGGCTCTAATGTGAAGTTCTGATGTTGTTCTCCAGGTTGCCGAGAGACAGCATTTGTATTTGCCATTACCAGCGCAGGGGTGACCCATGCTGTGGCGCGCTCCTGCTCCGAAGGGGCCATTGAATCGTGCACATGCGATTATCGGCGCAGAGGTCCTGGAGGGCCAGACTGGCACTGGGGGGGATGCAGTGACAATGTGGACTTTGGACGGATGTTCAGTCGTGAGTTTGTCGACTCCAGTGAGAGAGGCAGAGATCTACGCTACCTCACAAACCTCCACAACAATGAGGCTGGAAGAATGGTGAGAGTTCGACCTGGATCAGATCTGGTTTTGACTCTGTCAGGTTTCATCACTAATGCATGTTCTTCCTCTTCACAGACTGTGTCATCGGAGATGCGACAGGAGTGTAAGTGTCATGGCATGTCTGGCTCCTGCACTGTGCGTACCTGTTGGATGCGCCTGCCAAGCTTCCGCACAGTTGGAGACTTCCTCAAGGACCGCTTTGATGGTGCATCCAGAGTTGTGTACGCCAACAAGGGAAGCAACCGCGCCTCTCACAGAGCTGACCCCCGACATCTGGAGCCTGAAAACCCAGCCCACAAACCACCCTCTTCTATGGACCTTGTCTATTTTGAAAAATCACCAAACTTTTGCTCCTATAATGGCAAAACTGGCACTTTGGGAACTTCTGGGAGAACATGCAACAGCTCTTCTCCAGGCCTTGATGGGTGTGAGCTGCTCTGCTGTGGACGAGGGTTTAAGACCCAGACTGAGAGCGTGACTGAACGCTGTCACTGCACCTTCCACTGGTGCTGCCACGTCAGCTGCTTGAACTGCACCAGTACACGAACGTTACACCAGTGTCTATGATCACGGCGGACAACTGAGTGAATGTGTAGTCAAGGAACTTCTTTGCAAAACAGGTAGCTGGCTCAGGAAGCCGTGAGAAAGGAGGTGTTTTGAGGTGTTGGGTAAAAGCTAGAAAGATTGAAAACGAGTAAACTGACACAGAGAACTCTCTGGCACAAAAATGTAATCAGTGTTTTTAAAGAGCGAGGTGGAGAAAAGCACCAATTTGTAAACAGGGTATAGAGGGTGTACTGCTTATGTGCTTGTTCATTGCCTATGATCTTGGACAGCATTAAGGGGGTATTGACACATCACAACCATCCATTCATAATGAAATGGCCTCCATGGCTGTCATAGAGTTTACACTGTGGAAAATCAAAAGTAGAGGTGAAGAGAAAACTGATGCAGTGGAGAATCAGTTGTTGTATCGAGGTAGAACAAGAGCTTTCCTCTCCCTCCTCAGAGTGCAGCAACTGGATACTAAGTCTCACAGATGTCATTTTGACCAGATAGCCACAAACACATGCTTTAAAGTACAATGTAGACCTTACATTTAGAAAAAAGGTGTTTTTTTTTTCTCATTTGGCGTCTTCTATATGAAACTGTGTTAAGTTTCTTTCTCACGTGGATGTAGCGTCTGAAGACGGCCCAACCACTTATAATTTCCTTGCCACATTTGTTCTATTATTTAGATTTTAGCAGAAATGAACACTCATGAACCCCGATTTGCCATACTGACTAAGTAACCACATGCAGGATGATCGATCCTTAAGTTATATGGCCAGGACAAACTCCCGCCAAGGAAAACAAAACGGAACAAATCGTACTGAGGCAATGTAATCTGAATGTATTTTCCATACACTGAATATCATGGCACAGCTACAGTACATGTACTACATTGTCAAATGTGAGAAGTCAGTATTCAAGAATTCATGAAATGTGATCTGCAGGGTCTCATAATGGTCTCAAAGTGAGTGCCATTCATTGAATTAACTTAACAAAACAACACAAAAAACAAAGACACCAAATTCCAGTTATTAGCTAATAGTGTAAGAATAAAGCCTAGATAAGTTACTGTATATCAGCTAAGAGAACCAAAATGCTGTAAATATGATGTAAATGAATATATTTATAATGATGTAATTTTTGAATTTGGGGGTTAATGGACCGGTCAGTGGCTGGAAAATACTCTATCATTGGTGTCAAGCCTGAAAAAGCTTTGATTTTTTTCCTGCCCTTTTCTGTTTCAAGTGTAATGTAACCCAAACCCAAACCCGCCTCGTCTCACTTCTTTGCTTGTTTCTTGTACAGACACTTGTGTTCATGCACTGAATATTTACTTTTTTTTTTATTAGTGTAAATATGAAATATTTATTTCTGAAGATTTTTATACTGTCATAGAGAGATGTAAAATAAGACATTTTTTTTAGATTCAAATCAGATTTAGACTCCAGTTGGTTTTGTATTGTACTATAGAACAATAAAGTCTATATTTTCAATTAAGTTGCTCTCCTGAATGTGTCAAAGGATGCCTTAATGTCTGTTGTAGTTTCTGTGTTTGAGAAAGTTTTGACAACCAACCAAGTGAACATATAAGCCTTTCCCTGGGTGTCCTTTGCCTAATCCTATTACCACCACCAAAGAGGCCTTTTTCTCCAGCTCACAAAACATCCCTGCATCTGTGCCCCCAACCACAGAGATGGCCTCTCCTTATCCAGCCCAGACAGCCACTTATTTCATACAGTATAGGAATCTACTGCATTGAATGTAACGCTTCATTTGCTTAATGTCAGGAAAAAACTAAAGAAATAAAACAGTATGAAGGGTAATGAAAGCCTTGAGCCCCTGGCAACCTTACCAACCGCTGAAGTTTGGCAAACTTAGCCCACCACAGCACAGGAGCAGACGAGGTCATCCAGATGGAGCACATAGGAGGCAAATTGAGGCCGCTATTACACACCCAAACAACCAAAGGACCTGATAAGAGAGAGAGAGAGAGAGAGAGAAAGGTGGAGCTGTAAGGAGTAGACAGTGTGACCAGGGATTAGAGACAAGGATGAGAAATTTTCTGAATGATGAATGAAAGTCAACGGTCACATGGGCGTGTTTAACTTAAAGTTTGTAGCATGAACAGGAATGACTTAGTTATGTAATAACAGCTGAAAAGAGATTAGTCATCATGTTAAAAAAGTGGAAATTTAAAATCTGCAATCTTGATAAGATGAAGGGGGAGAAGGGTGTCACGAACCAATCAGATAAAAATAATAAAAGACTTTTTATATTCTGTTTATGTCACTGAGGTTAACACCTGTTGTGACACCAATGTGTGTGTATGTACGTGTGGGAGAGAGAGAGAGAGAGACAACGGCACAACCCTGTAGTGTTGCAGAGTAAAGATAATTGCACAGACACAAAGACGCATTAAAAGAGGTAGAGGACAGATTTCAGAAGAAAAGAAAATAGGCAGAGTTCAAATCCCAGGCGTGAGAGTGAGGTGGAAGAGTCGGAGGAGAGAGTGAGTGGAGGGGGTGCTGCCTGTGGGAGTGCTGAGGAGTCAGTGATAATTAGCTCAATTAGTGACAAAGGCAGTGTAATAAATACCGACTTAGTGTCTGGGTCCCTGCTGGCCTCTCCCTGCGCAGCCTGCGATGTGGCCCTGGCCTGACGGACAATTCATTAAACTGACAAAATACCCCACCGTCCAGGCGTGACGCAGCAAGTTAGCCCCCTACAGGCCCGGCTCATTGTTCTAATTGTCTGGGCTGGAGTCACTTTGTGGCCGCCTCCTCCTTCACCCACCCCGCCTTCACACTCTGCCTTCAGAAAACCCATAGAGTTAATGCCCCTACCTTACTCTGTAAGTAGGTGATCGGCAGGTTGGGAAAAAAAAAAGCAGTAAGAGTTCCTTGGGGTGGGGCGGCTGGTGGGGGAGGCAGTGGGATTAGCAAATGGAGGTTGCCTGGGAGTACTGGGAGCAGCACCGATCGGAATGTAGGAGAGATGAGTCCAGAAGCTCGGATGCGGGACAAAGCGAGAGTTAATAAGGAAAGATTGAAGGGGCTGGCGACAATGGGCCGCCACCCGAGTCGAGATGAAATTGCTTCCGAGGATTATTGGGAGACGGTGTGAGCGTTGTAGGCCTTTTTTGTGTGAGTGTGTGTTTGGTTGGGCATTTGTGTGTGCAGGGAGCAAGGGGGAGTGCTGGATTGATGGCTGCCCCTCTGGTTGGGGAGCAGGGGACCAGAGGAGGCTAACCGGCTGTTCCCACAGTCTGTTCTGCTGCAGCCACCTTTGACACACGGGGCTGCCAGGCGGCGAGCAGGCAGCCATGGTGAGAAGGACACAAACAAAAACAACAGCTCCACCACACAAAAGTCACTGTCTGTGGAAGACTGGTGGAGAAGCACAGGCTGGAGGTGAGGGAGTCAGGCGGGTGAAAAAGGAGAGCAGGAAAATGGAAGAGTGGAGATTAAAAGAGTTCTTAAGTTGAGTCTTTTTTTCAGGTCTGGTTCCTATTTGCTACTTCATTTCCACTATAACTACAAAATAAACCATTAGCTTCCAGCTGCTAATGATCAGATGACGTAATCTATCACATTATGAGTACATCTCTTTCCACTGCAATATTTTCTGTGTCACCATCTAAGCTGTTGTGTCAAACGGGACTTTGGTTTCCACCATGGCTTAAGTTTCACATTAAGTTTGTTTAAATAAATACGCCTTTTCCCCCTTTCAAGTGCAAAACAGTCTTTTGTGCCTGTCACTTTAAGACCCTTTGCTTCTGACATGACATAACAGGAGTTCAGGGTCAAACTTAAGCTAATTAAGTGACTTGGCAAGAAGACATACAGAGACAGAACCTGTGTTTGACTTGTGGGTGAGAGGTTCATATAAGAAAAATCAGTGTTCATGACTTACACTAAAGAAAGTTTTTACTTTTCAATATCAAAACAAGCTGAGCTGTTAAAACGGCATCAGCAGCTATGTATTAAAATTCATGCTCAATTGTGGAGAAATGTTTGCCCTATTGGGTGGAGTTGGCTTTGGTTTGAAGGGCGTACGATAAAGAATTCAACATTGGGTTTGGATCACCACACTGAATGATAGGCTGCCCAAAGTGGTTGTGATAGACAATGTGGCATGGATCTGGCTCACAAAACTAAGTTTGATTTCTGAGCTGCACCAACGATTCAGTGAAATCTTAGCGCTGGATTGTGAACCAAGTTTAAATGAATTAGGGTATTGTTATGACAGGAACACCCTTACACCGCTCGTGTAAGAATCAGCAGCGTTTGTCTGGTGCCATTAAGTGACCACAGGGCAATTATGTAAGAAGATATGTATTTATGGCCTGGTCACACACATATTTTATAAAGAATTATAATCAATTTAACCTCACCTAAAGTAAAAGAAAATGACTGCATTGATTAACAGTGGTAAAAAAGTGGGTCCAATTCACTCAAATTCAATCCAAATTTTAGGGGAACAATGAATACACATGCGACTAAGTGTGTGTGCGATCTCAAGCCACAGTGTGTGTGTATATGTGTTTTTGTGTGTGTGTGTGGGAGTGTGCATGGCAGCTGGGAGGCAGACACGGTCCAAGAGAACCATCCCCTAGCAACTGACCTTTCAGCAGATGGTAGTTCCAGAGTAACAGCCACCCAGCATCATAATGGCCGTGGCCTCCTAACATCTCCATCACTTCATCATCCGCCGACCTGCCACAACCTGTCACACAGGAGAGAGGGAAGGTTATCACAGCATGCTTAAATGCTCTCCAGTCCCCTCTCTTTTAACCCCCTTTGCTCTTGGCCTGAAACATTCCTCAGACATTAGTTTGGGTTTTGTGTTTGACTGTTTCCATGTTTGCAGCAGGGAAGTCGAAAGGATGCGGAGGAGGATAGATTTAGGAGAGACACGACGGACGCTCAACGTTGTCCGCAAACCTCCAGACACTCTCAAACCACTGTTTTCCGTTGTTGGGTTTTCTGCACATAGTGAATCAGGGTGGGAATGTGGACAGACCACTCGACCATGGTGAGCAATCAGTGTGATGTCTGTGGTCAGGCTCTGTGCCCCTGTGGAGCAAGATAGAGAGCCAGGCCTGCAGTTAAGGTGGGAGGGATATAAATTTGGGGTGTTGTGCGTGTATGCACTTGTGATATACCAGCAGTATTCATACGTGAATAAATGAGTGCAAATTCTAGCAAAGCTTTCTTCCCATAGGGTAACTTGTCATACAATACAACTGATTATGAAGTGGGTATGATACAATAGAGTAGGGTTAGTGTGACACAATACAATACCATGTGACACAATAGCATACGACATGATATATAATACCATAAAGTACGATACAATCAAGTGTAACACAATAGGGTACAATAGGATAAATCCACCAGATGGCATGCAATACCATATATACCATATGTTACACTACATTACATCACATTATATCACGGTATAATTCAATACAAAACCATAACCTACAATGTTATACCACACATTATGATACCAGCCAATAAATTGCAAGATGAGTGTATAATGATACATTACATTAAGTGAACCGCCTCTGGAAGGTTAAGTTGAAGATATATCTGATTGGCACCATCACAAGTGGTTGTGTAAGAGTAATACAGGGAGTCAAACTGGAGGATAAATCTGTTTAGAGAGCTGCATCGTGTTCAAATTAAAATATCAATTTTTGGCACGAGCAATAAACTGTTAAATGAATCACACAAATCAGGACAACTATTTTTTTTGCAGAATCCATACTTTTTCCACTCCATGTGCACAAAGATGCTGTAGGCTGCAGAGATAAACACGTCATCTCCTCCTAAAAGTGATCATCAGTCCTTTGCTAACACTGCACAACCAGCCTGAAGCACTAAACGAATTGTAAAACAGAAGCAGTAGTTTGGTGAGAACAGTCTCCAAATAGAAAAGTGCCCAATCATTCGTTCTAGATTGGTTAACCTGGTCCGACCAGACAGGAGACAACAAACAGATAAAGTCATGATGACTCCCTCCAGGTTTGAGTGTTTCAGGTGGAAAACTGTGTGTCAGAGTGTGACTTCAAACCATTGTATATTCTTGGGGAGATCACATGCTAGCAAACAGTGCAAGTCCTCCTGTAAACAGAGCTGTAATGACAGGGAGGGATTTTAGGGCAAGGACAACCAACAGTGGATTTTGTTTACAGACATCTGACAATGTATGGGTAGAGCAAATGGACATTTAAGCTCTAATCCACATGAAACAAGGACACAAACTGTGGTGGGATCCATGTGACACAGCATGAGCCTGTGCATTCACCTGTCATCACCGGTGAAAATTACTCCTATTTGTTTTCTTTCTTTTTTTAAGAGCAGACTGAGATAAACTGAAGCAATATGTGGCTGACTTTAACATTTCTCTTTATCCCAATGACGTATCTTAAACAGTTCAACTATGGAGCCATGTTTTTTTTTTTTACAAAACTGTGTGATGTTTTAGTTGCTTTGATGTGAGATCCTTGTGTGAACTGCACCAAATCAAATTCAGTGTATCTGCATTGCAAAATAAAGAAGCTTGTGATTATTCTTTTATCAGTTGGCCCACTCTGACATCATCTGGACCACAACATACCATCTTCGAGACCATAAACAGCACTGAAAAATATCTCCAGGGATGGATCCATTATCTTTAATGCACTAATACTGCTGGAGACAAAAAGAGAAATGCTCAGTTTATGGTTTTAATTACAAGCTGTGTTTTACAGCGACAGTGGGCGAGGGCTCAGCACTGACACAGCAGTAGAGGAATGTTTATTTGCTGCAGTTTAGGAGCTGAGTGGCTTGCAGGAACTATGACACATTCCTGTGTCACTGGCTCTCCCGCTCTCAGACACACTATCACATTCACACACTGGCGCCCCATGTGTTGGTTCACAGCTCTACTGACATACACACAACAATTCAAGATGTGGCACCTCTGGCATCTGTAGGCATGCTGAATATGTATGCGCATTTGTGGAAACTTAACGTGACACGTCTTACAAGGTCTAATGCTTTTCCTGTGTGTCAGTGTGTGAGGAGGTTGTACGCCAGCCACTTGAGAATAAATGATTCACACCTTACTACAGCATAATGGTGATGATCTCTGTCTGCAAAGCCTGCAAATGTGCATGTGAGTGTGTGCTCACTTGAATATCTGTGGGGTTGGCTGTACACACGCACACCTTTCCATCTTTCCTGCTGCAGTCCTATCCATTATCCCCGGCATCTGGCAGCCAAAGCCTGTAAAGAAGACATTTCTCTTGGCAACTGTTTTTAAAGGCAGTGACACAGGGGACAGCCAACCACAGGAGCCACACATCCTCCAATCTTGATGCATACAGAGAAAAACTTACATAAGAGAACCACCCCAACTCCTCTCTCTCAAAACTCACACCACTTTTCCTCATCTCTCACACACATATATATAAACATAAAGATTCTTTTTGCCCTTGTGTCTCCACAACATACTCACCCTGGCTTTGAGGGCTAATCGCTTCCAGAGCCATAAATGTCCTATATACCGTGCCAGCAACCTTTCAGTACATTTTGCACCCTAAAAAGTTCCTTCTGGCACCTTAACAAATATTATGTGGGCGTAAGAGGAGCCCCACTTGCTATGAGTTTCGGTACAATTGTGTTGAATTAAGTGACATTGAATGACGCTTGTTGCTAACATGGGCAGTGGCCAGATAACAAAATTAGAATTATAGCGAATCATAAAAAGGCCCTAAAGCCTCAGCACAGTTTTTCCAGAGGGGAGTGGGAAAGATAAGTTGCACTCTGAGTGCACCTGAATGTGTCCTCGGTTGACACTAAACTGTTGGGAAATAAACACATTCCTGGTATGATTGAAATAGTACAGTTCACATCATTAATTAATCTCATATGCATGTTGTAGCCTCTTCGGAGCAGCTTCCCTGAACACCAAAAAAGTCATCTGTGTTTTGCTAAGCTGTTAGTCATTATATTTACTGGCATTTGGATCCTCTGAAAGACAAACGGGTGTGTAAGCTTGATAGGATAATTGCTTGGATTATGATAGGCTACCAGATGCGCATTTTTCTATCGACCAGAAATTTGTTCAAAAACACTGTGGGTTGGAGACGAGTTTGTTGTAATGCAGCAGATTCACAACTGGTGGAAACGGATTAAGAATGTGGCTTAAGAGGCAAGTGTGTATGTGTATAAGTACTCACCTGTCTTGGTCACATGGTTGTGTCAGAACTGCAGGGATCTGGAGTAAACTTTAGGGGGTTTCCTTTCTTGTGTAATACATCTGTCCACTGGGACTCCTACTTTATGATAGGAAATGATGCTAAATCGTACCAGGTGAGATTTTTCCCTAGAATATTATTGAGAAAATAAAAATAAATAACAAAACCAAGAAAGTTTTATGACACCCAAGACAGCTGAAAATCCTTATTTTGCCTCATAATAAACATGTGAACCCTGGTTCTTGTCAAAATGTCAGTTTCTCAAGTCACTGTTGTCTCCAAATTACTTTCAGTAAGACTTTTAGGAACATTAAGCAATAAAAGCTACGCTATGTAAGAGCTTACCCCGTCACAGAAATTACTGGGCAGTCACAGAGTGTTTAACTCTCAGTTCTCACATCTGTTTCTCTGTGTTTGGTTAAGACAGCTGAGGGAGCATAACCGTTCACTTAACCTCACTACTCAACCCAGCAAACAGCAGCTGAGCGGATATGAAGACTGTAAACGACTGCCATCTGGTGGTGTGAAAGTCCAATTACAATCTCTTAACCGCCTCAATCAACACAAACTTAAAATTAACTATTGAAGGCAACAGTTGGCTACAAGATCATAAATATATATTAAATAACAATTGTACGTTTTATGCCAGCTGTATGTATATCAGAGGGGTTAACTTTGAGCATAAAAAATGTAATTATGAGGCTAGTTTTGCTGTTAATCTTCTGCAGTAGGACAAAGATGTCACCATTTAACCTCCATAAGCAGTTGAGCGCGACAACAGCTGTCAGAGGTCGGTAAAACTTTTACCTGTGAGTGTGAAGAGTCACACCAACGTCAACAGCTGACCTCCTTCACGCATAAAAACGTGGTTAACATAATTGCATTGACGTTCTATTTACAATTTTGGAGCGAACTTAGAAACACGTGACATATCTTCAGGAGAAGAAGACCAGGCTGATGCAGGAAGAGAAGACAGAGAGGGGAGAAGGATGCCCCCCCAGGTCTAAAGACACATTGCAGAAATAATGCTCCGCTACCAGGGGATTAAATGCAAAAATGTGCACTCTCATGTAAAAAAGAAAAAAGTGCCCTCCCATCTAAAAGGAAAAAAAAACTCAATTAATGTCATTTCAATTAATAAAACGTCCCAAATTGTTCACTAGATCCCATCATATTTGTTTGTCAGCAATTTGTGATTTCTTCAAAGAGTTTTAAAACATTACTTCACAATTTTATAACGTGTGTGTGCTGTTGTAGTTTTAGAATGACTATTTGAAAATTAAATCTTCCTGCATTGTGAGCAGTAATCACAATCAAAGTAGGAAAAACAAGAGTCTTCAAAAAGCTGCAAGCATGCTCATAGATTGTTGAGATTCTTTGAGTTAGTGAGGAGTTAGCATTTAAGTTTCTGTAAATTATTTATACTTCAAATGATTAAATTCTTGCATTAAGTTATATATAAATGCCATTTACTAAGTGTCAGATGCTCAAAATCTTCCTGAGGGAGGACCCCTATACCACATCTTCTTGCTTGTACCTTGTTTATTTGAATGAACCCTTCAATGTGTTTATTAGAGGTTTGAAAACCTATCTCACATTGTTATCTTCGGCAGCCTATCACTCAGGTTGCCTACATTTATTTTGGCAGGACTGGAAGCGGGCGGTTAATACTCGCTTATGATGACAGGATACCAAAGAGACCCTGTACATAATACTACTGACTTTAAAAAAACAGCCCTCAAAATGCTGCTAAAAACCTCATATGCATTGGCGCCCCTTGGTATAAAGCATGTGCCCTTTTCTTTTTTTGATCCTGCCCCTAAAACTGCCTGAGTACCAGACATGCCAAAAATAATACATCAAAGTGCAGAACGCAGAAACCCAGAAATGCATAGCTGCAAAATGAAGGTTAAAGTTTACTTTGAACTGATCTGGCAAAACAGAACTCAACCGTAAACTATTTAAACTACTGATAGCGAATGTCTGAAATAACCACACAGTTAGCCAGTTGATTATTTCTCAAGTCCTATAAAAGTTGCACACAAAATAGATTTTACTGGATCATCTAATTACCTTAAACAACAAAAAAGTGTTAGTTTTTAGAGACGGTGTCAGCCAGATCTAAAAGCAGTGCATTATGGTGTCAGTTTAGACCATAAGATGTTACGGTCACAGCTGCAGATAAGATCAACGTATTCATGTTCTTTTTTTTTTAAAGTTGTGTTAGGTGTAACACATTTTCAAAGGCTCCCTGCCACTCAGACTTTAAGTCCAGAAAAAAACACTGAACACAAAGTTTAAGCTCAAAAGAAGTAACACAAAAAGATGAGAAAATAAACGTACACATCAGCTGTTTTATAACCTCACCAACTTTAACGTCAACAGTTTGCACATGCCATGGTTCGTCTGTCTGGTTAGTAAGGTCTGTGTTAAGTTTTTCAAGTTGCACCTTGATTTTGGATGTGGAAGCACAGAGATTTTCCACTATAGAGTGGGGGGGAAAGGTCAAAAGTTACCTGAAACAAACACAACAAAGTTTGTAAAATGAGACAAAAGGTCACGTTAAAAGCAGTCTTAGTTTCAGTTTACACTGGTAGTACTCTTTGTCTGTACGTCTTTCTCTGAAGTCTGAAGCGACAGAATAAAAACATTAAATACTAAGACAAATTTATAAAACTATCTCTGTAATTAGCACTCATATAACAAGTTTAATGTATATACTGTATATACATTATGTTTTCTGTGACAAATAGCCTGAAAATTTGATTTTTTAAAAACATCCAACTTCATTCAAAGTAATGGGCTGAAAAAATGTTTCCCATATATTTTGCTCTCCTATAATTCACTTTACTAAGTGTAAACATTAATTATTCCATTTGAAGTGATAAAACTTTTTTAACTAAAATCATGCAAACCCTTTTGATCCTAAACTTGGAAACTACCTGTTAGTGATTTTTATATCTATGCTTGATATTATATATTAATCTTCCTAAACTCTGCACTCCCAGTGTATTATTGTTTAAAGTTGTTCTATTTAAACAGAATAAATACTTATTTGAATGGTTAGTGGCAAGTTCAAAATACGGGACGTGAATTCATCTCTGAATCTTAACATTGCCTGTTAGTGTTGATTTAAACGTTACACTTACGTACTACATCTGCAGTTTTAAATTTAACTTTCTCTAAGTGCAATAATTACAACTTATAATTATTATTCATTATTACATAATAAGATTTTCAATTTAAATGCTCTGTTATTGTCAAACCCAGTGAAACGGTTAAACAGATCAAAACATTATTTCTGCGCAAATCCTGCCCTGAGTACGGTTAGGTTAATCTCAAGACACTGGCGTCCTGGCTTGTATGTAAATATGTGATATTAAGAATATCTGTCTTTTCTGTGTAGATGTGTATGTGTGTTATTGTTCTATGGATCGTCTATGTGTCCGAAATAAAGTGGTGAATTGAATTGAAAAGGCATTTATCCAGATCTTAACCTTAAAACCTTGATATAAATGTAAATATTTTGTTTAATTAATAGCCATTTAAAAGGGAAACAATTATATCTGCAAATGTACTTTTGCATTAAAATATTCTGCAGTTTCTTGGAAGAAGTTAACACGATGGGGCATTAATGTTTTTTCCGACATGGACACAAAATAACTCCTCAATACCTGGTCTTACTTTTTTTTTAATCATTTTTGCAAAAAGCTGTAAAGAAACGCAAACAGAATCAAACTGGAGAAACCCACTTTTACAATAAATTGAACTTTATTGACAGTAAAAAGTTTTGAGAATATCGAGGGGCACGCAAGTATAACTGCAAGAACATCTTGGAAAGCAACGTGACATTTCTGAAATACAGTAATGAGGCAGTTTAACATCTTTAACTTTGAGGTAAAGTGTTTTGTCATGATACATCATTCACAAAAATATCATTGAAACATTGAAAAGTCCACACAAGGAGACAAAAACTCATGCCTCGTTTCCACTTCTTGAAATTACTTCACATTTCAAAAATAATTCACAATTCAGGGAAAAAGCAGAAAATGACAAGCACACATGCTATAATCCATTCACACACACATCTCTACTTATCAAACCAAGTGCATTTTTAGATAGCTTTTTTTTTTCAAACAGTTCAAGTATATTTTGCCTGCAATTAAAAGAAGAAAATTAAATCTATGAAGCAGCAAACCCACAAGAACAAGTAAGAATACTGAGTTTGGTCTCATTCATGTTCCCAATATTAACATCAGATAACTCACCGTACGGTAGCACTAAGGTTTTTGGGTGCTATAAAGAAGCAGGAGGTAACATTTTATGGACTTGAGGAATATGCTGGATAAGATTTGGAATATAGCTGATTAAATACACCAAGGCTTAAACAAACAACACTAAATAGATAATCACAAGTGATAACTGAACAGATCCCAACTGATTTGTTGATCAATTTTAAATAATCATTTTGTTGATTCCCTTACATTATGCAGAATGTTTAAAATCTCAGCATCAGCTGCTGAGCACAAAACCACAAAAATAATCTCAGTCTAACATTGCAGCACATTTGAGTGTGAACTACAGAACCAGTGCAAAGCTGTGGTATTTTGTAGAAGGCCGGCTCCATAAAAAAATCACACTGGTGTTGCAACTTAAAGGATCAACTATTATGAATATTACATGACTTATCAGTGCAGTAGAACAATTACAGAACAAATAGTAGAGCCATTAAGTGCTTCTGCAAAGATGTTCAGATATAAGCAGGGAACCTAAAAAGTTCAATCCCATGTAGATAAAGCACCCTAGGCTGTCAGCTCTTACTGTACACGTCTTGGCTCGTGGTCTGATCTGCACCAGTTTTCCAAGGCTTGCTTTGAAATCCAAAAACCCTAGACCCCAATCACTTAACCCTCGGGTGAATGTTTTTCAAGTTTCTTGTCCTTGAAATGCGGCTTTGTCCTGTCTCTGTGCAGCTGCAAATATTTTCTCTTTACACACTGCCCCACCAGGCTGTAAACAATGTTTTCCTACAGCAGTGTGCTACTGTAAGAATTAAGGCAATCTGTTTCTGTGCTTTGTCTGCGACAAAAGCTCCACCCAAACTCAGAGGCACAATGCTCTCAGTGCATATTAAACTCACCTGACACACAATACAAAATACCTTCTTCAACCACAAAAACATAGCTCTTAGTGCAGACTGAAAACTCCATATAACATTCTTTTACTGTACATCAGATGCTTTTCTTAACCACCTTCTCAAAAAAACTAACTAAATTACTTAGCAAAAGATGGCTAGTTAAGATTTCTGAGCACCAGTCTCCCTCTATTTTTATAAAGTTAAGAGGAAATCCTCAAAGAAGGCACTTTCAGAGCAAAACTGGTAGTTTTGCCGAATGATTAGATAAGGGAGTGCAATCAGTAATAGGATGTAATTTGCTTCTGCTCAATTTGAAATAAAGGATAAGGGTTAGAACCTTCATCTGCTTAAATTTAATAACTATTTTAAAACAAAACTTTTTATCCTTAAACTACAGATTTAAAGCAATGACCTGGTGCAGAACAAACATGAGCCCACTAAAAGAGAGGCATTCACCTCCCCTCACCTGACCTTTGACCCTTCCCCTCAGCCCACCTGATGCTCCCCGCGGCTGATGTGAGATGAAAACTCGTAGCGGTCCTGGCTGCGGTGACCACAGATGTTGCACTCGAATGGTTGGCGAAAACCATGGCAGCCCATGTGGATGGTGAACATGACATGGTCGAGGAAGAGGATGCGACAGTAGCGGCAGTGGAAGGAACGCACAGACCGGCCATCCCTGTCCAACACCTGTATGGTCTCTCTGGGAGCAGGGAGGGAGCCGGAGATTCTCTTCCCAATGGCAGTGGGTACAGGACATGCCCGCTCCCACTCAGAGTCCAAGTCTTTGGCCCGGCTTGGGCTGGAGTTGGAATGGTTGCGGGGCAGTGCTGGGGTTTGATAGTGGAGGTGGTGGTTGTTGGAGGTACTTGTCGGGGCAGTGGCCCTTGTGCTCTGCTCTTCTGCTGTGCTCTCTGTGTCTGTGGAGTCGGGGCAGCCGTTTGGAGAGGTGGTGTGGCTGTGGGCTGAGGGTTGGTCATCTCGGCCTTCACTGGCCCCACCAAGAGGCATCACTGCTGTCCCTCCTCCACCTTGGCCTCTGGAGCCATGAGGAGGCACACTGCTGTTGATGGAGCCCATAACTGTGCGGAACTCGGACAAGAAAGCAGGATGGAGGCGAGAGAGTGCAGCTGGCTCATTGTTCTCCCCTTTAACTCTTTCACCTTGAAGATGTGGACCAGCCAGTTGAGCAGGGTCTCCAGCAAGCTGAGAGCTCATGAGGTCTCCTTCCTTCTCAGAGCCAGAGGACAATTCATAAGGTGCTTCAGGTAAGTCTAGGGGCATGTGCTTTTCACCTGGTGAGCAGAAACATTCATCAGGGTGTAAGGTCACCTTAAGTGACATCATCTGGTAACTTTTGAAAGAAAAACACTCACCTAAAAACTTCTGCGGTGTTGACCTCTTGCGTTTCGTGATGCTTATAGCCAGTCTGTCCACAGACTGGTTTTTGCCATTCGGAGGTTGAAGCTCAGATTTGGTACTTATATCCATTTTTACTGACTCTTCACCTGCAAACATACACCATGTTAGTATATCCATTTCATAAACACTTAGATGTTATTGTTGTGACATGCTTGTGTCATATGTTACCATGCGCAGTCTGTGTGTTGAGTGCTGCCTGGTGGTCCAGACTAGTCAGATAACTGTGGCAGCGCTCCAGGTGTTCCTCCAGTGTGCTCTGTTGTTTGTAGCTGCGGCTGCAGTAGGTGCATTTGAATGGTTTCCCCACCGTTGGAGAAGGTACTGCAATTATTAGCAAAGTGTTGTTCTTATAACTTTTTCAGAGAGAGGCAGGACACTTATGGTTGAATTAAATATTGATAATCATACTGTATGCGTGGTGGTGGTGGTGGTGGGGTGGTGGGGTAATTTTTTTTTTCTGCATGTGTGAGATAACGGATTTCCCCATTGATCGGTAATGACTGAAATTATTCAGTTGCTTGGCAGAAAAAAAAAACGCCTAACCCCAAACCCTTAACCGCAGCGTGTCATCTTAGTAACCAGTCGGAGAATCTGACGTCAATTCCCTGAAATCCAAATCGGTAAGAATCTTTTCTTTGAAAATGAACCTGTGAGACCCGCCAATCGACCAAAGACCTACAGTGAAAGACTGTATTTGAACACCTGTTGAGTATGGGTTTTAAATTTGAAAACATCAACAGGATTTCCTGTTTTTCACTGCTAAATGTCATATTCTTCACGTGCTTTACTCTACATTGTGGGGAAGAAGGTCGATTTCCTTTGAGGTTCACAGAAGCGAGAAATGGACCTTGTTAATAAATCACTGCACTTTTACAACTTACCATTACATATAGGACCAATATTGTGCTACGTTACTATTGAGGTCTCCTTATTCACCTGCATGTGTGCGTAGATGTCCGGCCAGGGCATCCCTCCGGCGACAAGCATAGTTGCAAATGGGACATTTGAAAGGCTTCTCTCCTGAATGCAGCTTGATGTGGCGCAACAAGTTCCCCTTCTGGGTGAAAGAAGCTCCACACTGGTTACACTGGAATGGCCTCTCACCTGGTGGACAGGATCGTATAAAAATGGTGCCTCTATTTGCAGCAAAGAAAATAATAGTATGGTTTCTAATGATGTGGGTTTGTTCTCACCTGTGTGGCTTCGCTTGTGGACCATAAGAACATTTGGTCCGATACAGATCATCCCGCACACCTCGCATTGGAGCTTTCCGTTGGGCAGCCGGATGGGTCCCGGTGAAGCAGGGTTTGGACTGACCATCTCATTGTAGACACTTACTCTATCTCTCTCTTCCCTGGTGTACTCTGTGATCCCTTCCTCCATGGGGTCCCCTCTGTCGTCGCTTCTGCTCTCATCCCTCACAGCCTCCCTGTTCTCTGCCTGAGGAGCACCCGGTGACTCATCATCACTGCACAGCTCAACCTTGATTGAGTTGGCTGTGTGGAGTGAGGGTGAAGGAAGAGCATTTACCTTCACATGTCATTTTAATGAGGAATAGTACACAGAGCGTGTCCACAGTGGAATAAAGGAATGATAACTGACCACTAAGAGAGCGGTGTGGAGAGGACTGCTGACTGTTAGGTGATCTTGCTGCAGGGCCCTGCAATCTGCCATAAAAATCTTGCTCTGTAGATGACTCTCTTTCATTACCTGAAACACAAATATGGGCACATTATTAGAGTAAACATTAAAGTATGGAGACTGCACACACAAATGTATGCTGCTTTTCCTTTAAAGTATAAAGTAACCTTGTGCAAATGAGCGTCCATTGCAGTCATCAGCATTCATTCTCTCACCAGATGCCTGGAGGATAAAATATAAATAGATTATTGTCAATAATATTCTCTGTTTCGACCAAGAAAAGAAAGATATATTCTTTAATTATCCGACACATGTCAACCGCAAATTATACATTTAGTACTTTGCTACTAACTGTATAAATACACTTACCAGATGTTTGTCGGCACAAGAATTTGGCTAGAAAACAGCTCCAAGGCCTTTATAATGTATACACAGTTTAAATCCTCTCGAGTAAACCTAGGTTTTCCTCTTCTTTTTTGAATCTCATCGAATCTTTTGCAATGTGGCAAGTCGATTAATATAGGAAGCTTCGTAGTAATAGAAAGTTCCTCGCCCAGAGTTTCAGAGGAGGAGTTAAAACTGCCAGGGTTGGACATTACTGGAACACCTTTCTCTTCAAAGAAATCAGGGGCATTACGCCCAGATCTTACACCACTGAGAGATCGATCTGATAAGTCTTTGACAAAGTTTAATTCCAAGAAATCTACTGTAGTCTTAGTTAAATCAGAATCAGAACCGGAATGTTTATTGTCATCATATTAAAAGTACAACGAGATTGGAGAGCTTCTCCTTTTCCAGTGCAATAGACAAGTAAGAATAAGGTAGTAAAAGTACAAATAGTTGTAAGAAAGAAGGTAATATATATACAAGACAAGAATTCTACAGAGTATAAAAATAAAACATGCGTATAAGAATAAAATAGAAAGATAAATACTAAATAAAATTATCAAAAATAAATATATATATGTGTGTGTTAGAATATGTGTACATTTTTATATTTATATAGACATGTATTGCACAGGTTAAGGATATAATAATCAACACAGCAGCAGTAATTTTTGTAATAATGCACTTGTTATCTCATCTTGAGGGCTCGAGGAAAGAAGAAGAAAGAATAGATAGAGATATCATTTGGAAAAAACAGGTGTGTGAAGTATATATTGGCGTGTATAAATACATATGTTTATACATGTAGGCCCAAATCTTGACAAATATTTTAAATTAGTTTTTGTTCTAATGGGTTATATTGATCTGGTGTATTTTTTTAAGAGCCAGGTGATTCCATTAAAATATTTTGTTCAGCCACAATGTGTGTGTTTGATAGACTAAAAATAAATGCAGTGAAAAATCTACAGTAGGTATATGTGCATGCAGCAAAGAGAGACCAGTTGCAGTCTTAAGTGATGAGATTCTCAGACAAACTGTATGTTATTTTCGTCTGACAGAAGTTCAGATACGGCTAAAATAAATTATGTTATAAAAGATCACGAGAAAGACCATTAGGTCCATAGCTGCACCTTTTGGTCTAATGGATGGCAACAATGGACAGAGGAGACTGTGGAGGGGTGTGGAGGGGGGCAGGGGGGCGGAGACAACACCTCGCAGGGAAAATTAATATCCTGGCATTGGCCGCGCATGGGAGCAACAGGCACTGATGCAGCCGGGAGACGCGCCAGTCAAACCAGGGCACGGCGATTAAGAAAAAAGGGACGCGCACCACCATGAGCCGACATGGACAATTCGGCTCGACACGGCCAAACGTGCTGTAAAACACATTGTGTTACACTCTCAAATAACTATCCAGCCTTTTCAAGACATGAGTGGCTACTTGTTTTAGCAGCTCGGGGGAAAAAAATGAGCGCCGTTATAGCACCAATCAGCTCCCAAGCGGTCCAGACAGCGGCGAGACATAACGGCAATTTGTTGCCGGAGTTGCCGCTGTCCAAATGATCCTGCTGTCATCCAACATCGAGCACGTCAAAGTGGCCTGAGCTGTACAATGTTTCTCATGAGCCGTTGCTATGGCACCCGACCACACGACAAATGGCATTCACCAGACCAACTACTCAAAAACATGCCGTACTTTCAATTTTAAGCTGATGGGTTTGCTTACCAAGCGCCGCGGCGAAGTCCACAAGCCTCTTCCTTACCTGGCGACCGACTGGTGTTTTCTTTTTTAATTGTCTGGATAGCTGTTTGTTTTCCCAGGCGACGACAGCATCTCCGGGATTTTTTTTTTTTTTTTACCTGGGAATCCCAAACAACTTCCGGGCCCATGCTGGGATACAGACCGAATAATTGTACAACAGAGCTCTTGATTCAGTGATCGTCGAATGCATCGATGCATGTCAGCCGAAACAGGTGGTAGAAACGGGATGACATTTATTCTATTAAAGGGGAACTCTGATGCACAGCAGGAGACTTGATAGAAAATAGTCCAAAGCGCTGGAATAATTGTCTTTATTGAGGAAAAACCCATGAAGCATGTTGAATTTAGTTAAGATATCACTTGAATGAAGACAGTGACATAAAATCATCTTCCAGGAATGCCAGATACGAGTTGATAATGTCGATCATTTTAACCTCTTTCTCTTTCTTTTATTTGTTTTTCCCACTTTATTCAAAATAACAGCATATTTTAATCATAACATCCTGTTTTCACAATGCAAAATTCAATGACAATCAATTTAGGGTGGCTGTTTAGCGTTTAACAGAAAGCTGCCTCATAGCAAATTATAAGTAAAATTGTTGTGATGACTATATTTATGGTGATAATACATCTGTCGCACCACAAGGTGGCAGCAAATATCTCTTTGAGACCATCTCTTACAAGTAACCAATCAGACAGCTGTGTGAAAATGTCAACACAATGCAAGTGTCTGTGCATGCTCCTGATTTATGTTTTCATGAAAATAATAACCGAGAGAATAATGCCATGGGGAGTCTCACTGTTCCCTAGCAACTATTATATATGACAGTCACCGGAGAATGAATAGCAACTATTTGAATCGCTGAGGTCTGTGGTGTCGGAGAAGGACCTCATAAGCCTCTTGGATTTTCATGAACATCGCCTCAGCATCCTTGCTTGGGTTGTGGTCTGGGTGCCATTTTTTTGCCAGTCCTCTATAGCTGTGGGTTATTTCTTCGACCGAGGCCTCTACTTCTAGTGACAACACCTGCAACACGAACACATACACAGTTTGAAAATGTACCTGGAATCCGTATCTGATCCCTTTTATTTCACATGCAGAGTTATGATATTGCTCACCTGCAGTGCCTCTTTTTCCTTCTCTGTATATTCTCTGAGCAGTATTTCCAGCACCTTCCTCCAGGCCTCCTCATAGTACCCCCCTCCAGTGAACACACACAGTATCCGATATGGCATCAAAAGTATGTATTCTAACACATTTCTGAGCCAAGGTAAAAACCAGAAAATATCCAGCAGTGCAGCAACACAGTCGGACAGGTAGTACAAAGTGGCTGTGGTGTTATGGAAAATACAGTAACCAAGAGGAGCAGAGAAGGCCAGCCAGGCTAGACCGAGCCTGTAAAGCCTTGGACCTGGAAGAATGACAAAAATGATTATTTTCTGTTGGCCTTGAAAATTCAGACAGCTGTTAATGATCACAGTGTTGTCATTTTTGTGCACTCATCTCACCTAGTTTCTGTGTCGTCTCAGGTGTCTGTGAAGGTTTAAACTTGCGATGTTGTGCAGCAGTCACACTGGCAGCCAGGCTTATTGGGAGAGGTGAAAAGGTGCTGCCGTAGAATATTGGGGAGATTAAGAGACAAGTAGTGAGAGTTTTTTGAAGGTCAGAAGTCTGCTGTCCAATACTGGACACCAGATGCACCCCTGCACCCACACACAAGGGCAGAACTATCAAGTAGAAGAATCTGAGGGAGTGCAGTCCTATCAGAGCCACAGTGCCAAAATAGATCCCGATACACACCTGTCCAGCAAACCTGACAGGGCCTAAAGATGGGGGTCCCCTTTTCCCTTTTTCTGCACCTTGATTGGCCTCTCCAACATATGCAGGAATACGTATGAACTCTCTGGCCCATCCGAACCCAAATCCTCCCAGGGTCAGCATCCACAGCAGAGCATGGCTGTCTCTTCCTAGATATAGATGGTGAAGGCCAAGAGGCCCACCTGCCGCCCACAAGGCGTAGGTCACCATCACACTTTTTGCCATCCTTATGCGTCTGTTGATCAGATCTTGTAGAAGTGTTTAGAAGTCATCCTTGCAGGGTTCCTGCAATGAATTAATCAAAAAGTTAAGCCTTACCTCTTGTAGAAAAGTACATTTGTTAGTTCTGATAAAATTTTAATAGAAGAACTGCTGTCTGTGTTTTTACTTTTATCATGATATAGCAAAAAAAATTATGTTATACGTAACATTTAAATTTTCACTGTTTTTATTCTAATATACATTCCAAAATGTCTGACAGCTATTCCACCATTAGACACACTTGATCATATTTCATATCATGGTTCCCCCTCTGTATTTTCTGTGAGCTGCTCTCATCTTTGCCAGGGCACTAAAGGGGATTTTCAATCTCCATGATCCACTCTCTTGGTTGAATAATGTATTATATAAGAGGGATTTATCTCTCTTGTCTTTTACTGACATTGTCATTTTGAATCATTACGTGATACAAAACATGGTCTGTCTCTCCCCTTGTTATTACATGTTTCTGAGGACAAAGCACATCAGAATTGAGATAGTATTTGCAGCAGCCTCTCTCAAAAAGACCATTCCTCAATAAATCCAAAAGAACAATTGTTCAATCTACTTTCTTTAAAAGTACATCTTGGATCTAGTTTTGAATAAAAATAGCCGTTACTTACTGAGCACATAATTTCAATCCTTATAAACGATTAATCCTCTCCAATCCTTTCCGTGTTGCAGTCTGTGCATGTTGTTGCAACAGTTGGACTTTGGATCATGAAATTATACTGCAGTGTCAACTCAGGGACAGCTCACATCGAAGTTTAGTCCCTTTGATCATGCGGACTGATAGAGCCAGAGGACAGTCTTAAAGGGACATTTGGGAGGGCTAGAACAATGGTACTTAAATGCTTTTATATTCTTTGAAATGAAGATTGCATGAATGTAAGCCTAATGAAATTAAATCAAAGATTGCATATGCAAAAATAAAGATAATACATACCATAGAGACCCCAATGCAAGGGAAAATTTAAGCTTCTTTAAAGTATAAAAAGTTAAGTACCCAAAGTTGAGACACAATAGGCTTTTGAGGATTACGGCCTTTTACTGTGTTTGATGATGACCAAGCACTGATGCCACAAAAAATAGGCAGTTTATAATCTCATACATGTGGGTTATCAGATATGTCATGACCCCTACAGGTTTTGAAAACATTATTTTGTAATGTAAGTGATAGAGGGTCATGCAATACAGAAGTTGTGTCATGCTTTTGCTTTTCCAAACAATTGGTGGGTTTAAGTGCTGGATGTCAGTACTAAACATGGGCAGTTTCAGATTGTAAGATGAATGTGTGTTGAAGTGATCCCAGAATAGGCTACTCGCTGCTCTGACCAAAATATCACACAGAAACTTTAAATATCCACAAGAGGTTTATTCAAATTGTGACTCCACCAATTGTTGACTTTTTTTAAGGGTAGGGAGAGTGGGTTAAGTTGAGCCAAAGGATAAGTTGAGCCACCCCTTGTTGCTTGGAAATGGTAAAAGAAATTGATCATGTGACCAATGTGACCATAATATTACAACTTACCCCACACACGGGGTAAGTTGACCATGGGAGACCACTTTTTTTGGCATGTGTATTATTTAGACAGATATATTTACACTCATTCTGTTGGTTTGCAGGGATGCACAACATCTTGATATATATGCATATTCATTAGTTGGAGACAAAACTATGATTGCCTTGATGTGGTGATCTGAAATATGAAAAATGTCTCATCTTACCCCACTCTCCCCTATATTAAATTGAGCTCTTCCCTGTTTTGTGTTGCTGATGGGATTTTATATTTCTAATCTATCAGATTTGGGATCCATAACATTTGGTTAATTTGTGATTTTTAAAAGAGAAATAGAGGTTGTCTCAATGACAAGAACTTTGTAGCATGGCAACAGCAGCTGAAATGAAGCATTTCAGACAAAGGCTAAAATAAGGGTTTCATAGACACCAATCTGAGATGAGATGTTTAACAGTTCTAAACAAAGCTATCAGGCAGACATATTAAGCCTAAAAATAAGCACATTTTAACAACCACTTATTTGTTTGCTCAGGCATTTGTTGAAGTGTTTTTGGGGCTACTATGAATGTTTAAATGTTATTGTCTTGGCCTTTTAATTTGTATATACATCTTTTTATTTTTGCCAATGTGAAGCACTTTGTGACTCTTTTGTCCGTGAAAAGTGCTATACAAATAAAGTTTACATACTTACTTACTTACTTGCTTACTTAGTTTACCCCTTCTAAAATATTGCAAACTAGTATTATTATTAGCAGAGACAGAAAAAAAGGAAAGAAACGTTTGACATTACACCAGATTTCACCGGCAACCTATTCATTCACTCCTCATATTTTGGATGAATGAAGATCTAGTGCTCCTCCTTAAGAGCACAAAGCAGTGGACTAAACGCAGACGTCATGGTTTTTTTGACCTTTGGTTACCCTCCCTGGTATGTTTAATATGCACACACACCTTTGTACATGAATGACAGAGATAGAATGATGACGCTTTAACTAATAATTGTTTTATGATTGACATCTACCTGTACGGCTCTCAGACCTTCCTCTGCTGTGCGTAGCCCCGCCCCCTCCTCGTAGACCCCTCCTTGTTTGTGTTTTAACACAGCTGAGTGAAGCAGCAGGCAAGCTCAGCCGTTCAATGCAGCCGTGGCTGACCAGCTACGCTACCACAGCTTCACTAACACAATGATCCGTGTTTTAATAACTTACTAACTTTTTTTCCCAGTCGTCCCAGCGCTTTGTAAGCCTGAGGACACGGTTATGGTTTTTGAGAATGGAAACGGAGGACGTGTCGGTTCGAGAGCAACTTTTCCACAACCGTGTCAGGGAGACCATAGTAAGTAACGCTGCGCTATTGTAACCGTCGGTTAATATGTATATTAGGGCCGCCTGAGACAATACAGTCAGTCACGGGAGAAGTAGGTTACAAGTAAGCCACTTCACTAAACTTACCACTTACTTATTTTTCTCTTCTCCTCAACCTTCTTATGTGGTTTGCCAAAGTGGAACATTTCTGCATTGATGAAAAGTTGATCTAAAAGAGACTTTTAAAGTGACTTTGGATGATTTACGGTGTGAATTGCAGTTAAAGCAAGCTTCACTTCTGTTCCTTAATGATGGCACAGATGCAGCTGGTCATTATGCACAGGAACACCAAAGATCTGACTCAGCATCTGTGTGGATAGACTACATCTGTTGAACTCTTCTTGACTCAAATCTTCCTTCTATCTCTTCCTTCTATCTGTTTGCTGTGGTTTTCATAACTCTGCTGCTCACTTGTTTAGTTTTAACACTAGTATTGATGAATTTTCTTTGCGTTGCCATTTCATGGTGATTGACCGTTTTGTGTAACATCCTCTTCCAGTTGAACTTCAGACTTCACCTAGTGATCAGCTCAGTTACAGCAAGACACACAGATTTTGACCTTAGGCCCTTTACAGTACAGACAGGTCCTTTTGACAGTTTTCTGTAGGATACGAGAGATATTGCTGATACCATGTACCATGAGTGACAATGGCTAACTGGGACACTCAAATATCAGTGGTTGATTTATCAGTTTGTCCTGTTTTTGCTTAACTGTACATACTGTAGATAAAGAAGAAAAAAGGAAGCCCTCGAGTACACTAGGATATGATAAGCCAAATGGTGCATCTGTAATTTAGGCCAACAGATAGATGTGGACTACATTTATGGATAAACATATGACAGTAATACCCTCGAATAATTTGATGTTCTAGTTTCAAGATTGATACGATTACACAGACTTTATGGAAGTAACCCATCATTACTGCTACTACTGCTACTACTTCTGCTATTTGAAAAAGTTCATATATTGATGCTCCTCCATTGTTGTTGTCCCTTTTACCTCATAGTTAACACTTCCTACTTTAGCTGCTGGCTGACCACCAGTTTTCCATCTTTCCTCAGTGCATCCTCTCGTGCTGATCAGCTGCCCCTGCATCTCTGGTAGTAAAGGCCTTCAGTGCTGCTTGTTCATTGACAAGTTCATTTTAAATTAGAGTTAGGGTGTTTCTAAATGCAAAACAACAAACAGATACAAATTTATCACATTGATTGAAGCGAGAAACAGATACTGTGGGTACTGTGTTGATAAGAATAGATCAGATTAAGAGTAGGAAATGCAGGCAGTGCCTTCTTGATAACAACTTGACCAAAAAAGTTTAAGACAAAATAACAAACAGTGTTACTCTTTCTTAGCATTCATACAGTAAACGGTTAATCTTTTAAAGACATTTATAAGGAATCAGTGATCTAAAATCAGACTCTTTTCCTTGTTATGTAATAGTATTCAGATATCCAGAATCTGCCTGAGGTTCTTTAGGGAATGAAAACTATTCAGATATTGAAGGTATTTGCATTAAAATAAATTCTTATCTGTCTGGCAATTTTGGGCTTCCTGCTTTAGACTCACTGGACTGAGTTAACTCTGAGTGGTCAGAAGATATGCAGGCTCATTTACATGATGATATTACTCAGTTTAGCAATTGTTGCAGAATAGGACATTAGAACATTTTGAGCTTGAAAAGGGTATTTGTTTGAAGTGTTGTTATCAGCATTTCCATTTTTCTTCTAAATTTTTCTTCAGTTTTGCCTCCTTATAAGGAAACAAAACCACGTAAGCCTAAATTTCAAACATTACTTCATTGGTCTTCAGAGGGACAGGTAAGCAAAGTATCCAGCCAAGTACTGAGAAACTGTTTGTGGTCGACTCTGTCAACCATGTTGAATGAAAGTAAACAAGTATTGCCTGATAGATTATGGGTGACATAAACAGTAGAGTCTTGAGCACACACCCAGAGCCCGCACCCTGTGCCTTCAGGGATGAGAGATCAGTGATCAGCAGAACAAAAGCCAATGATACACAGAAATAGTGTAACACCCTGCATCAGCAAACATGAAGATATCCACACAATGACAAAAATGTTGTTTGAGAATCATGTAAGCTATAAAACACATTTGAAAGACAAGTGTGCTTGAGACGGCGTATTTGTCAGGAATCACTTTCTGATTTGAGAGAAAGCAGAGCCACACTGTGGATCTGAAATTTGATTTGATGGTTGGATCACATCTGTTCGCCTTGTTTTAGTCTTTTTAAGGCAAAGTTGTTTAGCTACTGTGATAGAATTACAGTCCAAGCCTGGAGACACTAAAGTACCTTATTTTCTTTTCTGGAGAACATAAACGCCTCCTTCAGTTTTCAGCTCTAGCGTTTCTGAAATCTTGTACAACAAAGCTTCAAATATTTGCGCACACATTCCAGTGAATTGATCAAAACTCCTGAAAACAATGTGCTGTAGCTGCCCGCCTGCTCTTGGATTAGGGTGGCTTTGCCCATGAAACATTTTCAGTTATTCCTGGCTGTTGAATAAATCAAGAATAGGTCTTGCCTAATCTATCCTCTTACTTGTAAACAAAGGACGTCATGTTTTGCTCCGAACGTGTTTAGTTGGACAAGAGGCTCTGAGCCCCTGAAATAACCAACTCTGAGGGAGGGAGCCCACTTGACATTTTGAGGGGATTTACTTTGCCACTGCCAACCTTTTGCTCCTTTGAATTGGTACAGGAACTGCAAGGTTTGGAGAAACTTTGAGCGTCATTGTGCTTGAATCTGCTTGAATCGGCACCAAAATGTTTGGGTAACACGGTGAATTTTAAAGACTCTGCCTGAACTCCTGGCCCTTGGACTCTCTGTTCAATACAAAGATACCTCTCAGTATTCTGAGTTCCCTTAAACCCTCCTCTCAGTGGCCTGTTGTGTGTGTGCTGCCAGCTCTCAGTGTTGCCAATCAGCACGTGTTTACATGCATGTGGACTAATGGGGGGTTAATCTGCAATGCCACACGTATTTCTCACCAAGTAGTACACTTTCTTTGTTTCCTTTTTGTTCTTCTTGTGTTAGATAAACCAGCAAGCTCTTGCAAAATTACGCTGAATTATCGAACATTGTTTTGGGCTGAGGTGATTAGTTGTACAGTCCTTTGTTGTTATCTGAAGCAGCTAATATGTAATAAATTAAAATTCCCTTTTTATACGTTGAAAAATGTGCATTCCTCAAGAGACTAATATTTGTAGTGTTTACACAATTTATTCAACAATGTAAGGTATATAGAAAGCCGCAACATGACTAAGGTTTGATTGACTTTTCAAATTTGCTCCTGTTATATGTTGTTATTCTGCCGTATGTCAAAGAGATCTTATTAAAAACATCCTTTTGTCATGTATTCAGGTATGTGAGAGAAATGCACATTATCATGGAAATCATAGCCTGTTGTTAGGTCTCTTGTTTCTTTTATTGTTTTGCTATTTTTTTAAAGTCAAGTATGCATATTGACCCACATTTCTGCAACATTACTTTCACCGAAACTTAACATTCAAAAACTGATTATTTTGCATGCACTCGTGATAACCGTGTTTGCATCACCGGTTTAACACCTCTAAGTATGTTGTCATGTTCCTCCAGAGAGTCCTCCTGTCTTTATTTGTCGACGTTGTTACCTCAGGGACAACGGTAACATCCCTAAGCTTTCTTGGAGTTGCCTTGCAGAAAGGTTTCAGTGGATCTGGCATCATAACTCACCCATCTGTCAGTCCCGCACTTTGGTACACTTGTTCTCGCTCTGAATGGATGAACATGAAAATTAATCACAGGCAATATTAATCCATAGGAGATGAATCCTGATTATTTTTGTGACCCTGAGGTTTTTAGAGACTGGGGTTTATGGTTGGTTGCCCACAAACAAAGAAAGGATTCCTGTCTGCCTCTTTGGTTGCTCATGTTAAAACGGGGTAATGATATTTCAGAGTCATGCAAAACTGAAGCTGGATTTACACTAGGCTGTATGTGATGAAGCAAAAAGCAGAAAGTGTCACCTTGAAAGGACCTGTTTGCTTCCTGGCTATATCTTTGTGCATGTAATGAAGCAGCTTCACGCTCTTCTCTGCTCATGGACTTGTTTTTTCTCCCCCTTTCATTTCTCGATGCCATGAAAACGTCCAATTATGTGTATCGCTGATATAAAGACAAATATGTCACAGCATCAGTCTCTGTTTTGGTAGCCATCTCTGATCTATCCCCAGTAAATTTCACAGTGAATACCATAGCACCCTTATACATTATGTCCTCCCCCCTCCAGGGACGGGATGTCCTGAAATTTTCAGTCATGCGTGTGTCGAAACGGTTTAACATGCTAATGGATCATTTACATCAGGATGTAAAAGTTCCTCATGAGGTTGTGTGGAAAAGATCTTGAGTAATTTGATCTGTTTTCGCCTTTTTATGCTGTTTCAGATGTTTGCTGGACTCAGCTATGAGTTCTTTGGGGTTATGTCACTGTGTTTTTGTCTGGAAGGTCCACATAATAAACTAATCCTGTATTTGTGAATTCTTTTGTGTGTATGGTCATCCAAAAACTGTCTGAATAGAGTGACTGAACCAGAGTTCATCTGAGAGATGACATTTGGGTTGTGTGTGGAGAGCTTTTCCAGACAGCAGCTTGCTGAGTGAACGTGGGTTTAACCTAAATTTTCTGTTATGTTTAGTATTATGTCAGATCAAGATCTTTACACCCAGTATGAGGGCTGTCACTGGTATTAAACCTTCTGTTACTACCCTTAATCCCCCCCAGTTTATCACAGTCCATTTCACTCTTCGTTTAAACAAATTTGTAATCTTCAGACTCCATCTGTCTCTCTTGGCCTTGGCGAAGCAATGTATAGACTTGTTTAGGCCTGAATTGATATCCTCCTTGTTTTAGTTTTTTAAGTTTCCCTGCACAAGAAAAATTAATCCACACAAAACAAATATGTTATGCATTGCAGTTTGTTTGGCTTGTCCTCCACGCCCTGGTGTTTTTGGTGACTGTGTTGTTCATCCCCTCTCACTTTTAAGATCCTCCAGAGCTCAATGAATGACACATGTAATGCTAGTTTAAGAAAATGTGTCTCTTAAAAGCATAAATGTCTAGAACAGGACTGATTCTTTTATGTAATTAGCTTCATAACTAATTTAAAAAGTACTTTTTTTTTCCTTTTCAGTCATGTTCTCAAACTGCAAAAATGACCGTTTTCTTTTCTTTCTTTCTTTCCACAGATTTGTGTCCTCCTGTTTGCATGCCTTTACATGGTGTCCTACCTCATACTCACCCACTTCAAGAAAGCTGCTGAGTTTGTTACAGGTGAGTTTTGAAGCCACTCTCCGCTTGGATTTTAAAGGTGCACCGCACAAAGAACGCTCTGTTGGAAAGGAGTTACATCAAAGGATTAGAATGGAGAATAGCCGGGAGGGGATTGATGGTGTTGACAAGCAGACAGACAGCATACAGGTTTTTTTTTTTCCCCACTTAGTATGTAGGACACATTTTCAAGCAAGAACAGGTGCTGCTTAGAGCCTGCCTATTATGTTCTGCATATCAAGTGTTTTGAACTGAGGTTTGTGGGGGTGGATGGAAAAGGGGGGCTACATTGTCTTATTTTAGGATTACATCAAGATTCAGAGAACTGGATTATGCTCATTAAGAATTAAAGTAAACGTTGCTTTATCTCAAATCTCAATCATTTTTAAGCATGGTACTCCTAGTTTCATCTTAATCAAAGAACTCAATGACAAAGTTTTATAGACAGTTATGTATGTTTGGATTAATAATTTAAATCATGATTGTTTCTGCACACATGCAGACAGATTTCATGTTGTGCTAGGCTTGCAACTCTTAACCCAAGGCTCCCAGGTCTGTCCAGAGGTGCAGAAGGCATGTTATGTAACATATAACCACCTCTGCAATCAGGAATGGTGGAGGGGTGGTAAAGAATGTTGTTTCAAGACACACAGAGGTGTACTTTCGACTCAGAGCTTCAGGGCCCCTCCGCTCAGATGAAAACATCTCAGGAGAGATCACTTTTCTACAAGCATATGCTGTAAACCTACGTAATGAATCTCACTGGTTGGTTTGCTATTTCAAGGAGATGTTGAAAATGTGTAAAATAAATGCAGTTGATCAAAGTAAAAATTTAAAACAGCTTTGTTCCATCAATGCAGCCACCCTCATGCTTAGTGACTCCATTGACAAAAAAAAGATAAATTCAGTTAAACACTCAAAACAAGATGAGCCATCTGCAGTTTGACCTGCCAGACTATTACGTAATAAATCTAATAACTTTACATTCAAACCAGATGTCGGATATCCAGCTAGCACAGTCTTCATGCTCTGGTTGGAACCTCGGACACAGCTGTTTTCCCCTATTTTGTTGCTTTATTTTCCTTTTTTTCAAGTGCTGGTTACCTGCAAATGCATGAGGCTGCTGTCGTTAATGTTCTCTGTACATCAACACCAGCAGAGCAGTTGTACCCTGTAGCTAGATGATGATTGTGCAATATTGTGACAGAGTTGTTTTTGACTCCAAGGAGCTAGAAACTGGTTTCTAACCCTGAGGCTTGACTCTATTTTTGACAGCTTTGCAGAAATGTGCACAGGAGGAACCAAAAGATTAGCAGGGAGAGTTAAAAAAACTGCAGCATGTTGCTTAAACTTAGCTGGTTTAAGTATGTGATACAGAGTATTTTGGGCGTAGTGCAACACTAACACAACTATGTCATAGTACTCTTAATACTTATCTCTACTCACATGTAATCCAGTCTCTACTAGGGTCTTGGTCTTGGCTTGAACACAGTGTTCTTAACCTGACCTCCTCCCACTCAGCCAGTGAAACGTTTTTCTTTACCTCATTTCTTCTTCCTCTCTGTTTTCAGCGTTTCCCTGTTTGCAGTATCTTTGTTTAAACAGTGCACATGAACAACTTTTACCTGACTAATGACAACTCAGACTTGTTGATTATTTACTTTTTTAATATTGAACCTGTTTGCTCATGAAATCATCTGCTCAAGGCCTCTCAGTCTAGTAGTCATAAAAATAAGTGAGTTATGTCTTGTCTAACAGCTGTAAACCCCTTTTTCTGCTCTCTTTTAGATGACTCTGAAGATGCCACTGTCAACAAAATTGCGTAAGTGAAAACCTATAATGATTGATGGACCCAAAGGAATCTGTGTTCTCACTCTCACCGTGATTAGTGTCAACGTACACCGTGGAGCAGATACCTTAGTCAACGTGACATCTGTACTGCCCTGAAGCCATCAGGCTGTAGATTTATCATTACCCAGTCTTGTTTGCACCTGTGTGTTTATTTGTTAGTTGGTTGGGATGAGGGCGCAGGATTCTCATTTGCCCTTTGTCCTGACACGCTGGCACTGTGTCACCTTATCCTGAGCCACTCCAGCCTTTCACCTAGAATGTGCTATTAGGGATCGGGGCAAAACTCACAATATGTGACTTCACGTTGCTTGTCTTTCTTCCTTCCACAGGCTGTGGTTGTGCACGTTCACCCTGTCTGTGGCAGTATGTGCTGTTCTCCTTCTCCCCATCTCCATTTTGTCCAACGAGGTTCTGCTCACCTTCCCACACAGCTACTACATGCAGTGGCTCAATGGATCTCTTATTCACGGTACTTAAAAAAATTAGTCCACTGCATCAAACCATAGATCAGTTTTGAACAACCAGGGGAAATAACTGTCTGTTATCAGCTCAGATTTGATTAGGATCACTGGTAATAAGCTCAGAATCAATACAATGCATGCCTATGTTCAATCAGATCACAACTATAGATACAGTCGCTGTGGTCCTGCCTGGTGTTAGCAGAGGCCCATCACACTCAAACTGAGGAACAAAGATTTTAATTCAGTGTTTCATATCAAATGATCTTCTGAGTTAAAAGTCAATAGCTGCAAAAATTTTTAAAAAAAGTTAACCAGGCCTGAGGTAAAAACCTGCAGCTGTGCTCGTGTGTAAAAGTTGGAGAGTCGTTTTTTGTTGTCATGTCATGGCCTGTCTCGTCCTGCTCCACTGCGTTGGAGGACTACACCTCACAGTGGTTGACAGCGGAACTGACATGGATGTATTGTACTGTAAACATATGTTTGCAACATCGCTCTTTCTCTCTCTTCCCAGGGCTGTGGAACCTAGTTTTCCTTTTCTCCAATTTGTCCCTGGTCTTCCTCATGCCTTTTGCATACTTCTTCACTGAGTCTGAGGGATTCGCAGGGTCCAAAAAGGTATTGCGTTTGACATTTCCTCACATACCAAAACCACCAAACAAAAATGAATACTGTGTATTTCTAAACTCAGAAATCCTTAAGTTTCTCTTCTGTTTGTGTAGGGGGTAATGGCAAGAGTTTACGAAGCGGTAGTGCTGCTTTTGCTTCTGGCTCTGCTTGTACTCGGCATCGTGTGGGTTGCATCAGCCCTCCTTCACGATAACGAAGCCAGGAAAAGCCTCTATGGTGAGTCATAGGTTTAACTCAGGTATTCCTCAATGAATAGCTGTGGGGTTTTTTTTTTTCAGTTTTAATACAGACACTTAAAACCCTCTCTTCTACATTTCAGACCTGTGGGAGTATTACCTGCCCTACCTGTACTCGGGCATCTCTCTGTTTGGAGTGTTACTGCTCCTGTGTAAGTATATCTCAAGTATGGTTACACATGACATAGCTACCCCTAAACAACTGAAACTTGCATATCACCATCTTTGTGTTTCTGTCCTCAGTGTGCACTCCCTTTGGCTTGTCCCGAATGTTCAGTGTAACTGGCAGCCTATTGGTCAAACCCCGGGTGAGTAACCAACCCAATCACATGAACAAAAACACCTGACTTCATCTAAAGTTATTTTTGTGTTGACTGTATGTCTTTAAACTGAAGTTTTTTAATGATGTCTCTGATGCCACAGCTGTTGGAAGATGTAGATGAAACTTTGAACTGCGCTACATTTGAGGAAGACGCCCTCTCCAGGAAACTAAAATGTAAGCGCAGCATAACGAGCACAGAGCTTTTCCATTTCATGACGGCTCATTTCGACACTGATTTGTTGACTCTGTCTGTCTGCGTTGTGTTTTATCTGAATACAGGCAGTCGCACATCATGCTGGGTAAAGCTAAATTTGGAGGCAATGAAGAGGGAGTATCAGGCAGTTCAGAGCAAGCGCATCGCCCTGGGTAAAACTGATTGCCTAAGCTGCTCGCTACTTTTTTTGTTTTAACAATAACAACCTTGTTATGTGAGGCTGTGCACTTATTTCTCTATTTTTATTCCTGTATTTCTGATAGAAACACGTAGGAAAGCATCCCCATGGCAGAGGAACTTGGGCTACCCACTGGCCATGCTTGTGCTCCTTGCACTGACGGTACAGACTTTTTCACTGATACGCTAACAGGCTGTTTCAGCTCAGGTAGTTGTTATCACTTTGTAAGTCCTCCGTCTGTCTGTCCCTTCAGGTGATGTGTGTGCTGATGGTCTGCTTTAATGTGTTGGAGTTGCTCTTGGATGAGACAGCCATGCCCAGAGGGATGGAGGTGACGATTTAGCTAAATATAATTTTCATGCTTGGTGAGCATAAGCAACTTAGTCATCTGTTTATACTGACGATTGTTTTTCTTTGTGCTGTAGGATCCTCACCTTGGGATGGCCTCCTTCTCCATGTTTGGCTCACTTGGTGCTGCAGTTCAAGTCGTCCTTATTCTGTATCCTTCCAGCCTGTTTATTTTCAACTTCATGAGTGTTTGAGCGAAGTGTTTAACTCACTCACTCGTGTTTTTTTTTAATTTATCTGTTTTATAAGGGATTCCTTTGTCTGCCAGTAAAGAGGAAAACTTGGCAACTTACAGACTGTCCCTGCTATTTGACCAGTGTGGGATATTTTTCAGCAGATATAGAAATTTAAAAAAAAGACTCCTTTCCTCTTTCCAGTTTTTTCCTTAAGATAAATTTCAGCTATTTGATGGTGTCCTCAGTGGTGGGCTTCTACAGTTCTCCTCTTTTCACTGGCCTCCTGCCTCGTGCACAGGACACCAATCTCACACAGGTACGAGCAGCTTCACTTAGATGAATCTCACCTCACAGTGGGATACAAATGATCTGCGTTTACAGTAATCCCAAAATGTCTTTTTTTTTTTTCAGATGATTGCAAACTGTGTCTCACTACTTATCTTGAGCTCAGCACTCCCAGTATTTTCTCGCACACTCGGTAAGAATGCAACACGAATGACGAATGCCACATTTTATTAAACTGATTCATTGTTCCACATCACACTTTTGGGGGTGTAAACCCATATAATCATGATGCCCTATAATGTTTATTTTGATAAATGAGTCAAGTTTTGCTGATATAGAAAGAGTATGAACCAAACTGAGAACCAAATTTTTATTTATTCAGTGTCATAAGATGGGGATATAGTACGGTATCATTGAGCAGCTTAATGTAACCAGTCACATTTGTAATTTTGTTACATTCATAAAGGTTGTGCGTCTTAAGATTATGATTTAATTGATTCTTTTTGTTCACATAATATTGATTATATCCGATTGCTTGTGCTGAAAAACATTTAAAATAGTTTTAAATGGTAATGTATCAGCTCAACAAAGAGCACAGAAGTCTGGCAAATTGGTTCAACAGTTCTCGTTTAAGACAACATAAATATCCTCCTTGGTAATATACCTTAAAAACCGGTGATTTTCTCCTTTGATTTGGTATTTTATCTGGAATCAGGGCACTGCTTCCTTTTAAGTATAACCAAGAGTCGCTTAATCAACTTTTCACTTGTAGTTTTAGAAACAGCCACAAGAGGGTGTTTGTATGTCTTTCTGTGCTGAAGCAGCAGGTGATGCCTGGTTTCAGTCGTTCATTCCCAAGTGTTACATTTTCTGTTCTTTTACATCAGGGATCACCCGCTTTGATCTGCTGGGAGACTTTGGTCGGTATAACTGGCTTGGGAACTTCTACATTGTCTTTCTGTACAACATGCTGTTTGCTGGTCTCACCTCAGCCTCCCTGATCAAGACCGTCACCTGGGCTGTACAGAGAGAGCTCATCCGTGCCTTTGGTTGGTCTATTTCCTTTTCCTTTTTTTCGAAGTGAGGTCAAGTACTTTGTATTAATATTCATGTAGAGCTGTCTGAGGGCTTGTGTTGTGCTGAAACACGTAACTCCTGGGCAGCTGTGTCATATGTTTTCCCACCTTTGGCCCCGTTTCCCTGTGGGCTGGTCTCTCTTCCTCAGATAGAAAGAATACAATTATTTCAGGAAAGTGTAAAGGGACAAGAGGAGAGTCAGGTCTCCTTGGGGACCTTCAGGCACACCGCCCAAGACCCCTCGCAGCACACACGCCCTCTACCCCTCCACCAAACACAAACAACACTCAGAGCAGAGACACGCCAACACACACGCACATACATGCAATCCCCTTCCTCACAGTACAGATAGTATCTCCACACCATGGCAGCTCCCATGCACTTTCCCATTGCCTCACAACTCACTTTGTTCTGTGATTAATAGACTTTTTACTTCACCAAAAAGCACTATTTTCTTTGCATCGCAGGGTTAGAGCTCCGCCTTGTGATTGTGCATGACGTTATGGTCTCTTTCTGTTTTTGCAGGTCTCCACAAACTGCCTTTGACTGTGTCACGCTCCACCGTCCCCTTCAGACTCCTCCTGGCCAGTGGACTGTCTAAAATCCAGTGACCTTTCCTTCTCTCACCCTCAGCCCTAAACTAAAGAAACAAAGCCACTTCAAACCAGCACCTCTGATGATTAGTCTCTTGGCCAGTTTATAAATTGGTCAGCCCATTAAAGAAGAGACTCGTGAAGATTTCAAGTCTGTGATTAGCAGCAGGAGCTCAAAATGAAGCTGTGATCAACATATCAGGGTGAAAGTGAGTGACTTTTATATGGCTGCAAGGACAAGTGCTGGTACAAGCTTTTAGCCGAGTCATGGATCAGACTGGAAGAAGGGTAAAAGGGATTGAAGTCATTGTGGCAGTCCTGCCATAATGGACGAGTATCCCCTGCTTGAAACATGATACTCAATGAAAAGAGAGGATCCAGTGGAAAGCCGTTGTTCTGTTGACACGTGGAAAGTCAGCAGAGTTATTTTGAAATATAATATGATAGATGTGACATCATTTCCTCTTCCTGCTCAGGTTGGTTGAGGGCTCTCCCTTTGCTTTCCTCTCCTCGGTTGTAACACTATTTTAGGATTGGGAATCTTACTTCCATGTGGTGTAGTCTGCACCAGTGTTTTGTGAGTTGAGAGGAAGCTGTAGGAGAGAATAGGACACAGAGATCCCTGTGTCTCTATGGCTCTGTAGATCACAGTACACAGACTATAAGAGGGAGGTAATATGTCAGTGTTGGAGCTTTTTTTATGACCCAGGTTTACTTGTCATTTAAGATAATTTACTGTGGTGATTTCTCATTGAACAGGGTTTTTACTTTTGTAGATGGCAGGAATTTAAATACGTGAGGATTACTCATGATTTACAAAAGTAGTCTTAAAAAAAAGCTTTACACTTTAGCTTATGCAAGACTTTCTGCCTTTGACAAATCAAACTGTGAATTATTAAGAATTTGTCTGGGAAAGTGCAATATTTTATAAGCAACATTCCGCTTTTAAACTTTACCAAAAGTAATTTCAATTTTTATGTGCTTTCTGTTGATTTTTGTGTGGACAATTTTTAGCTCAGTTTATGATACTGACACTAGATGAATGTTTTAGAGTGGTTACAGGGTATTTGCAGTAAGCGAATGTGACAGTCAATCTATGCAATCCTCTCTGATGTTCGTCTTTTGATTTAAGAACTTTAATTCTACCATCTTCATCAGCTGTATCACATCTTAAACGTGTTGGTGATTCTGTGTCACCGTTTGTCTTTGCTGCTGTATCAGCAGGTTATTAGCTATAGGTTTGACCAGCAGAGGACAGTGTCTCTTAAACCCAACACCAGCCTCTGTGTCCCGTGAGTCCCTCTTTGGTTACTCATTACTATGTGTATTATACGAGGAGCACTCTGTGGTTTACACATTTCACTACTTTTCTGGGGATTTTCTTTTGTTTTTTTGGGGGGGAGGAATACACATGTTTGTGTTATCTTACCAGTATTTATAACCATGTTGGGATCACCACTTCATATATTGTCATTATTCATGTAAATCTGATGTAGATGAGTCAAAAATATCTTAAGAATTGTTTGTTGTTTACCTCTGAGATGCTCTGACTGGAGCTTTAAATCATCATCATCATTAACAGAAAGCAATAAAAAACTTTTTGGTGTTTTTTCTAAAGTAGTTTGTGTTCTTTTGGATACACATCAAGGCGTCTCTTTCTGTAACCCTCCTCTTTCATGCTGTTACAGGTTAGTTACATTTCATGAACTCTGTCTCCGCTATGACTGATCTGATGTGGCCTGTAGTGGGTGTGTGTGTGGCTGGTCAGGGCGTCTGTCCTCTCTGTCCCTCCACCCTTTTGTTGCACTTCTTTAATCAGCAGCAGAAGAAAGCTTTATTTTGGCCTGTCTGTCAGCGGCATCCAGCACCGACGCCACTACAGCCGTAGCCCACGCTTTCCCCCATCCGATGCAACTGCCAGATAAAAACTCTGCAAATCAGGCGGAAAAGCAATGTTCGCTCACATCTACTCCTTCATGTCCTCAACGCCCACCCACCTCCTTTCTGCCATCTCTTTTCATGCCCACTGTTCATTTCCTCTCACATTTTTTGAAGAGGAAACCCCAGCTCTGATTAATTTCTCTCCCTGATTTTTGTTTGCATTTCTTGTTTTTCTTTGTTGGATGTTGTAATTAAGCTTATTTGGTTTGGCTTTTGTTTTGTACTCTATTTCCTTTTGCTCAAAGGAAATGAACACAAATGTTGCTGCAACATTACTGGCACATCTGGAGGTGAGTTGCCCTTCTGAGGAACTGATGCATACTTCAAGCCACTTAGGGTATAATCTGTGTGAGCAAGATTAGTGAGGAGTTGGTCTAATGTGATTAATGTTTGTACAAACACAGACTGATGGGGTCTCAAATCAGGTCAGTGGTGGATGATTCAGAAATCATAAAACCATCTACGAAAACAACTTGACAGTCATCACTTACTATAATCAACTGGGCATGACTTCATAAGCACATGAAAGGCAACACTTGGACATAAACTGCAGTTGAAGTCTACATTTTCCCTCCCGGAGGCAAGTATAAACAAGTATCATCTATTCTACTCTTCAATCATATGATTTCTGTCTCCCACTGACTGCCATGACTTTCTTTCTACTGAGTAAAAATATGGTTAAACTGTACGGTTGTTGCCTGAGATAGTATACTTATTGTCTTCTTAATTGCACCAACCTAATTAACCCTACATACATGTAACCTTGTTTTAAGTTAGGGAAACACTAGGACAGCACTTCTCCTGGCAGCAAAAAGTAGAGGACGATAGCAGTTGCAATCAAAGTGGCCCAGCAGCCCCATTGGGTAACACACTCCATTGGAGTGGTTGTCAGGCATATCGGGGACAAGGCGGGAGATGGGCAGCTTGTAATGGTACGAGATAGGCTATCTTTATTGTCAAAACATAAGAATGAAGGGGGGAAAAAGTTGCAGATTAGCTTTCCTGACAGTCAGCCGTTTGAAGTTCATGCCAAAGTGCATTAGGGGCTGTTATTCCCCCCTATTTGAACGCTTGCAAAGACTAAAGCACTCACAGGAAAAGGCGAGACTTACTCGCTAATCAACTGATAATGGGTCACACTGTCCATTTGCTATCATTGCTGATGCCCTGCGTGCACGCTCATGGCACACTTACTTCACACAGTCGACTGACTGGCAGAGGCCTTTGTAGTGGATCGCTGTGAGTGTGAAACCTGTAAGATCAAAACTTTATTCAATACAAAAGAGACATTTTTAGGCATGCAGTATGTAATCTATACAGCGCATGTTATCTAATTTTGGGTCATGACCACAAAACAATGTATAGCATCATACTTGACCTTTGACCTGCTTGTCTGGGGCCAGGAAGTTCCACCCTTTTTGGTCTATTGTCCACTTCAGTGCAGCATCGCCCCTACCTCAACTCACATGAGGTCTTTTCAAAAAACAAACCAAGACTGAGGAACACAAAAAAATGACTTTATTCTCACATTTTACATCGACGAGTGTGTAAAACTGATGGAAATAACATAATATTTGAAGTAAGAGGTGATTTCCTAGAAGTGTAAAGCAAGTACAAATACAAAGTAACACTACACAGGCCAAGAATCATCCAGAGTGTGCAACCACATCAGTATGCACCACCCTGCCTCTTCCTGCACTGATAACATGCTGAGAGACAGTGGAATGGGCGGTGCAGTGGTGGGCAGCAAGAAAGGGCTGTGTGTGTGTGAGTGTGTGTGAGTGTGTTTTTAAAAAAAGAGAGGGAGGTGGTTAGGTGTCAGCTCGTTGACTTTCCTTTTTCCTCCACCAACCCTTCCAATGGCCTCCATCTGAGGAAGTAAATCCTGCAAAGTGTCTACTCAGCTCCAAAAGACAAGACAAGCACTTGAAATGTCATAACCAGCATTATATCAAACGTTCAATTTCTCTTTTTATAATGACTGTATCGTTAAAAACACTGCTTGCAGTTCTATTTCTATCATTTTCCAGTGAAAGCAAGCACAAGTATGTCTATTAGTCATCAAAAATACACAAAAAACCTCACTGACCCCCAGTCCAGGTGCAAAGCATAGACGTCCATTTATAGAGAGCAAAGCTGTGTGGAACAACCCCGGCAGGAAAGATCTCGTTTTCTGTGCTTTGGCTTTGCAGGAAACCAAACCATTCACCCAGCCATGTACTCCCATCCTGAGATGTGGGAGTAAAACACTAAGACCCAGATGGAGGCACGGGGAGGCAGGAGGATGGGGCCACCAAAATAAAACCCAATAATAATGACTTTATTTCCATCCCCAACCCGCAGATGTTTGCTTCCTTCCTTTCCCTTTCATGTCAGATGAAAATCTCCTCTCTCGCACAGCTTTGAAGAGAGACATCGGTGTGGGTGCTTGTAGATACGAAAGTGTTTGTTGCTTTTTTTGATTGAGTCGCTCCCCGCGTTTGTCATGGAGCTTGATATCTCTCATCTGTGTTGGGAAGTCAGACTCTTGCCTTCTTCTGTGTTTATCATAAGGACAGGAAGATGTTGCTTTGCCTCACCACCCCTCCCTATAACATCCTGGGATCTTCTGGAAAGTTCCCCCACAAGGACGCCTGTTCACGGTCACTTTGGAGCTCTGTGACCTTTGTTGTATGAGTACACAGAAGAAATATTTAGGTGCTTTTTAGACCAGAAATGACTCAAATTTTTAAATAGTTTTGGCTCACTTTTGCAAAATAAAGTGCTGTTATTTTGAGTCATTTCTGGTGCGTAATTTGCAGCTAAAGATTTGTCAAAATTAACTGTGGAGAAAGTTGCCATGATGCACTAGGAATGCAAAGACAGGCTGTTGACACACTTCTACCTTTAACCTGCCATTAATTTACACTTCCGTATGAGATTACACATGTCAGACCACAGAGACACAGTGATTACTTCCATTTCTGTTTCTTCTTCTGCATTATCTGTCACATTTTATGACTCTCCCAGCCATTGTTCTGTGATGGATAAAAATAATAGCATAATGATATCGCCATGGGTGTTTCCAGCGGAGAGGTCTTGAGTAGCAAAAAGGTTCAGGGGGGGTCAGGCTGGCTCCTAAAACACAGGAAGGCAGCACTGTAAGTCAGTCGGGGGGGTCAAGGCTGGATGATGTGTTCCCTCTTAGACCCTCAACCTTCAACTTTTCTATTAATAGCATAAGTGAAGAGTCATTTTAGTTGACTGTCCACTTTGGTGGAAAGGAACAGCAAAGCAAAGTTCTGCTTGTATAACAGTTTTTCAGTCATAGTGCCTTAAAAGTTTCAGAAATCATAGGATTCCTCTTTAAGTATCACTGATTCATTAAAAAGTTTTCAGTGGAAAAGTTACCATAAGTATCAGTGTTTTTATTGCCCTTTAATATTTAGGGTGGTGGGAGGGTTGGGGTGGGGGGTCATTGTGTTAACACAAGTAGGCTAATATGTCCTTTGTCAGGTTGAATTGGAGGCGTGTGCTGTCGCTGTAGGAGCGCGCAGAGGAAGGGAGGGCAATCTTGTCCGGACGCTAATAAGACCCAATGGCTGGCGCAAGGTGGCCAGGAGCGCTGAAACGCGACAGAAGACGGTGGAGGAAAGAGAAGAGAAAGAAAACACACGAGAGACGATTGCGGATGGACAATGAGGATGAGAGCGCCGCAGCAGCGTCCGTAGGAACTGCAGGGAGGCTTTTGGCGTGTGTTGGTGAAGGAAATGCGTGAGCAGAGACGCGGTAAGTAAGTAGAAAGCCACGGAAAACACCTGCGTTAAGACTAGTACCTGCCAAAGACGTGAGAAGATGAGTTTCACTTTGCAGGAGACGTAGAGGCATCTCATTTGGCGTAATTCTTGAACAGAAACACTGAAATGCTGCTAATAATTGATATTTTGTAGTTTATCGCAAAGTTAAACATTTTTACGCAATCACTTTATCAATTAAGCTTATTTTGGTGTGAGCGATTAGAAACACATTTCTCTCACTTAATACTAAAAAGAAACATCCTAATATCACGTGGTGTGTGCTGTGTCAACCTTTACTCGCGTGCTTCTTTCACACACCTGGACCTGTCGTGTTCTTCCAGCCATCGTGAGCCACTGACCCCAGGGAGCCCCAACGCCCCCCCACCCCCCAATGAAGCAGTTCTGGTGGGCCCGCCTGGCACAGCTCGGCCTGCTCTCTGTGTGGACCTGCATATGGCTTGTCCAGGGTTGCGGACCAGGTCCCGGGTATGGTATCCGGCCCAGGTCCAGGAAGCTCACCGCCATGCACTACAAGCAGTTCTTCCCCAATTTCTCTGAAAACAACCTGGGTGCCAGCGGGAGAGCAGAGGGCAAGATCACACGGAGCTCCGAGCGCTTCAATGAGCTTGTGTGCAACTACAACCCAGACATTGTGTTCAAAGATGAGGAGAACACCAATGCTGACCGCTTCATGACTAAGGTGAGACTTTTTGGGGGTCAAGGGTTTGCTGGATAGGATAACTACTTTCTTGAAACCTGTTGCTATCTTAAAGTTGACAGAGAAGGACATGTAGATTGACTAACAGATGTGCTTACATGTATTGTTAGACACTCATGATCCACTCTGTCTTAGGTGATGGATATACTGCATTTCACATGAAGTGGGCAGACCACACTTAAAGCTCACACCCTGCCATGCACTGAGCATGGCTTTTCCAAATCAACTCATATTACCTCATTCATTGTTATCCCCCATACTCTACACTGCCTGCTCTTACCAGGCACTTAACACACAAACAAGTGTTCAAACAGTGTGTAAGTTTTAACTAAACTTCCCCTCCCTTTTTCTTGAGATAAGAAGATCAGGATGTAATTCAAGCCTAGCCTGTTAGAGAATGTGCTCCCCTTCAAGAACACTTCCTTTTAATCTTTAACTCAAGTCTTTGTTATTTTGGATAAAACTATTCCCTGTGACACGCTCAAACTGTACCAGCGAGGAGAAATTGCCAGGTTTGGCCTTTGAACTTCAGTTCCTTAATGTTTAGCAGGAATAAGTATCCAAATTGTCAGAGAGAAGGACACATTTTTGACTTAACATTTGATGAGTGAAACCATTTTTTTTTCTGACTCTCAGATGCCAAACTCCACTGGATGCTGCGGCTTTCTGTGATTGTCTAGGATATGTATCTGTGTCCCTTCCTTTTTCGGAGTGATTGTACATGATTCAAAATCTGCGGTTGTACATTTGTGCTGATGCCCAGTTTGAGTGTGTGTACATGTGCATGTGCCCCTCTTTTTGCCCAGATGTGAAAGACACTCTTTGTGTGTCACTTGGAGACTCGGAGGGGTCGCCTATACAAAATTCCCGCCTGCTGAAGTAATGGCACCGTTGGAAAAGCGACTATTGTAGTTCTGACAATGAAACGCCTCTCTTCAATGGCATTGCGAAAAAAAATGTACCCAGTTTGTTTTCTGTCCCTCTTGCTTTCTCACTCTTGCTGTCACATTCCCAAGTCCGTGCCCATACATTCTTCCCCTCTGCCCTTCGTCTTTAGTCCCAGCCTTGACCCTCTGCCTTCTCCTCACCCAACCTCCATCCCTCATTACTCTTTTTCCCAGCCCACTTTCTGTTAATTTGGCTGCAAAATAGGCTTTATCACGTCATTTTTAGCTAAAAGAAACTGTCACAGCATGTATCCAAAAAGAATACATGTGCAGGAGATGACAATGAGTGTATCATGTCGGCTGCTGACATCCTCATTTTCCAGCCTGTTATTTTGCGACAATGCTGACACCATAACATCACAGCCCACGGGGATGTTAAGAGTCACTGTGCGCAATTCTGATCAAATGTCTCAGGGGTGAAACGGAGACACTCATGCCTGGAACAAACTGGAGAGGAAGAGAATGGCCTTGATTATTCTGTCACCCTGTTGAAAAGGCCAAGGAATGTGCCAAACTGGCTACTGTAGCTTTGTTCTTGTACTCTGATTGTCTGAGCAAGGTTAGGATGGCATTTAAGCAGAGTAGAGAGGGAATTGTGCGGTAATGCCAGCAGACAAATAAACCTGGGAGACACAGAGAGAGACTGTTGAAATACTGAAACCGTTTTCTCCGGAGTTGCACTTCAGTCAGCTTGTGCATTGAAGTGTACAGTCGGCGAACATACTCTACATACCTGTGGTACACTTTAAAATGGGCATTTACTCCTGTTAATGAATGACCGCCAGTGTCCTGTATAGTAGGATTTGCTGTATGGAAAAGGAAGAGGATAAGAGAGGATGAAAAAATGAAGGCAGCTGTAAAACTGAATGATACCATATTCAGCCTGATTGGGTGATTTTTTTAAGCTGTTACAAGTCAAAAAGATGATAGTTAACTGACTGATGTGGATTTTCCAAATGAGTTTATGACAAACAGGTTAATAAGAATCTCTCAAACTGTTGTCCAAAACATACATGCTACCCATATGAAAGTTGATCTACTCTTAAATCAACAGACTAAATTACTCTTGTTGCTTCTGTGCACCTTTTTTTTATTTGTAATTAATGACAAAACAACAGAAATGTGATAAAAGAGTTTCCTCCTCAAACTCTTAAACTGAACACATTCCTTCTTTTATTCTCTTCCCAGCGATGTAAGGACTGTTTGAACAGGCTGGCTATTGCAGTGATGAACCAGTGGCCCGGGGTGCACCTACGTGTGACAGAGGCGTGGGACGAGGACGGTCACCACCCTCCCGGCTCTCTCCACTATGAAGGCCGAGCAGTGGATATAACCACAGATGATAGGGTGACGGAAAAATACGGTCTTCTAGCCCAGTTAGCTGTGGAGGCTGGCTTTGACTGGGTCCACTATGAGTCTAAATATCACATCCACTGCTCAGTAAAAGCTGGTGAGTGTAAAGAGGAGCTTTAGTGGAGGATCACACAGTTAACTTTGTGAGATAACACTGATCAAACGGAGGGTAGAGGAGAGCTGTTTAAATACAATTTTTAGTTTTTTCTCAGACACTACCAGAAATGCAATATCAGATATGGGCATTAATCCAATAGTACAAACAACTAACCCTCCAAAAAATCATTAGGTTTAATTTGATCGATCATCTAGCTTTAGCAGCACAAGAGAGAAAAAAGGTTTTCTTTCTCTAGTAATTTGTATATTTTTGTTGTCTCACAGGTATTTGGGTTACTTGATAAATGCCAAATGTGTGAGGGAGAATAGATATGGAATATCCTGATTTTAAAGAGAGAGAAAAAAATTTAATAAAACTAAATATGTTATGTTCCTACAGATCATTCTGTTGCGGTGGAAAAGGGTGGCTGTTTCCCTGGCTGGGCCCGGGTAACTGTTGCTGGTGGGATGCAGAAGAGCCTGTCCTCTCTGGCTCCTGGGGACAAAGTCATGGCCTTGTCTGGGACGGGTCAAGTTGTGTTTAGCCACGTCCTACTGTTTCTGCACCGGGACCATGAAAGCTGTTCCAATTTTCTGTCTCTGGAGACAGAAGACGACTATAGACTGGCCCTCACTCCACAACATTTGGTCTTTTTAAGCAGCCACTGCAGACTGGACAGGACTGAGTACCAGGCTCAGTTTGCAAGCAGAGCCAAGATAGGAGGCTGTGTTCTCATCCACACAGCAGAGGGTCAAGTACGTCCATCTCGAATCATCTCTGTGTCAGTGGTGGAGAGTGTAGGAGTGTATGCGCCCTTGACAGAGGCTGGGACTGTGTTTGTTGATGGAGTGCTGGCATCCAGTTATGCACTGGTGGAAGACCACAGACTTGCACACTGGGCATTTGGACCTGTGCGGCTCCTCTCTTCAACCATCCGGCTCCTCTGGGGGGAGACAACACAACAACGGCAGGGCAAAGACAATGACACTGAGACTCTGTCGGATTGTAGCACTTTGGACGGAAAGGACAAAGCAGGTATATATATCAATAATAGCATTCTTCACAAAAGAGACAATCTGAGTGAACCTTTGAGATTGGAAAATAAAGAGAAGCACTCTTTAGACAGAAAGTCACTAAATGTGCACTGGTATGCAAGACTACTGTACAGCTTTGGGTGCCTCTTTTTAGACTTGCTTCATCCCTGAACGTCTATATGCACTGATAAATGTTACTACCCTGATACACGGACACTGAAACTCTTTTCTCAATAAATCAAAAGAACTGGGGAGGCTTGCTTGTTTTTTTATTCACCATTGTTTGCATTGTTTGTATTGTAATGTGTCATGGACTTACAAATTAACACTGATGTAATGTTTTATAAAACTGAGTTTTAGAAACAAAGTTGTCTGAGTGGATTGATGATTGATAAGTCATCTAAAATTGCTAGATAGTCATATGTACAGTGTGATATTTCTTTTAAGTAATCCATATATATATATATGTATGTGGACGGTTTCATTCTACTGGGTTAGAATCAAATGTTTCCACAAAATCAGAATCTATATTTTTGTAATATCTGAATCATAATATATAACTGTTTCATTGTATTTCAGTAATTCCTCTATATGTATTGCATTGTCCCCATGTAATAAAATAATTTAAAATATAATTTGAACAAGCAGCACTTGGCTTTTTCTTAAGCTCTGGGGGGATTCTGACTGCTCAGTATTTTGTTTTCACAGGTTTCTGTGTGGAAGATATACCCAAAAAATTATCATGATATCTTGGTTTAGTATTATGTATGTTGCACTGTTAAGGGTCTCCGGAGGTCTCATTTTAAAGACTAGCAGGTTAATGAGAAACCCGGACATACTTGATATTCCCCATGCTGAGGCACCACTTTGACTAGGACATAGGCCTCAGGCATAATCAGACAGCTTCCCTAATGGTATAATCAGACTATTATAGAATCTATAAAAATAATCTATTTTATTTTATAACAAATTTCAATCACAGGTATTTATTTAAAATCCTCACAGCAGTCTATTCTGTTGCATACCATCCATGTTGGTCGGAGTATATTCCACATTATGTGGCATGTTAAAAGTTCAATTTACCCGTCACAACTAAATATGTATATCAATATTTTTCTTGTAAAACCATAATGGTTTCTTGTAATACATAAGGCTGTATGAATGAAAAACATTTAAGTATAGGGTTATACACCCCCTTGTGGAGGAACTCATGTTGTGCCTGTTAATGTATGCTCCAAAATTTCCATGTACACAAAGCAACTAGATAGGAAAATAAAACATAATTTATATAACTATATATTTAGTTTTACTCAAAGTGTACTTTGAGTTTTCTTTTAATGTGCAGTTGGACTTTTTTCAACTGCAGTTTTGTCAATACAAGACTGTTAATGTGGAAAATATTTGAATTTATACCTCACCTATGAGCTACAACTTCAAAACACACACAGTGTAAAATAAACAAACCATAAATGGTCCGAATATAACCATTAAAAAGTAGTCCAAAGTGTTAAAGCTCTGTTGTAAACATCTGTGGAGGTATTGTAGGGGATTATCCTTGAGATACAGGAGGCAGATGGGAGAGCAACCTACTGCTGGCCAGCCAATGGGAGAGGCCTGTTGTCCTAATACCACCCTCTATTTACATCCGTCAGCCAATCAGTTTCTGTCTTTCAACCAGTCACAGCCCCCCCCCAAAATCTAATCCAATCTTGCTAAAGCTGAATGGGGAGTTAACTAATCCTGGCAGTGGGACCAGTAACAACCTATTTTCAAAATGAAAATCTGTACACTCAGACACTGACAAACTTGTATGTAAAGACAAACAACATATATGGCTAAAAGTCTATTTTTTGTCATTTGATTGTTTTTGTAAACTACGTACTAGTATCATTGGAACAAAATCTTTTTTGACAATATATTACAGGACTTACAAGATAAATAAACATGAGTGGAAATTTGTCATTTTTGCACTAAAATTCATTCAATTACACAAAAGAATCTTTGCAACTTTTTTCCAAGACTCTTCATTTGAAAAAAGAGAGGCTGTATAAAAACTACAGAGTTCATAAATTGTCAATACCATCACAGCTTTTGGAGCAAATATCCACTTTGAAACTGATTGTTTGGACATTTTAATTCACAGAAACTCCTTTTCAAATGAATTAGAAACCACATGACTTCAAGTTATGAAGCTTTTATATATATATATATAGGTATGCTACGGTCACCTTTTAGTAATTTAAAGGTTGGGGTGGTTAAAGATGCTAAGATCTGGTTAAATTAGGAACTTTGTCAGATATTCAAATGTTGATACTGTGCATTTTGTGAGTTATTCCCCTTATAAGGCAGGATAGATTCAAGTTTGGAACTAAATTCTTTTTAGTTCTTCATTTTACTTTGGTCTTATTTTGACCCTTCAAAATTAATTATTTGAGAAAAACTTTTCTACCCTTGTTGAGATTTATAAGTTCATCTCCTTTCCAATGTCTCATCTGAGCCCTGGTGTGCACATTCTGCACATATGTGTTACCAGTCAGCTGACATTACCTTTACATTACTCATAAGAGTAGAGTTATAGCCAAAGTAAGCTACTTACCTGCAACAGTTCAGTGTTTTGCCTAAGGGCATGACAGTATAGCCGGTGTGGATTAGACCCGTGACCTTCTCACAATAGGACATATTGTTACCTAACCTAATTTTCTGTAAATTCACAGGATCATTTCAATGACATTCAAGCTTTACTGCATGTATCACCTCAAGCTTTTTGTTAACAGCGATGAAAGACTGAAGATTTCCGATTTAGGGGAATTACACAAGAGATTTTCAAAAACTGAATACTTAGCGATTTACATAAAGTAAGAATAGGCTAAATATATATTTTTTTTTTTACCAAAATTCCTTTTAGTTTTAACAACTTTGAGAGAGGGCATTTTTTGTTTGCATGTAACTAAACCCAGAGCTAATATCAAGGACAGTGAACAGCTCACTTATCCTGCCTGGGTCATCATTAAGCTCTTTTCTCAGCAATATGAGAGCAAAATGATCAAGGCTTACATTGAAACTCCACCCTCATTGCATGTGATACACCAATTCACATTGTGCATTATGACTGGTTATAAAAGACAAGACCAGATTTTAGGAGTAGGCCTTTATCTTTTATTCAAAATCTCATACCTGAGTGTGTTCCAGTTTCAAAAGATGAAGACTGTCTTGTCACAATGACTGATCATGTCTTTTTCTTTCATTTCTTTCTTGTTTTGGCCTCTCTCATCAAAACTATTTAGCCTACCTGAGAGTAGGCTTATGTGTCCCCATATTGCCCATAAAGTGATCACATACCTTCAATGTAAGGGTAGGCCTGGATTGCAATCCAATATGCTTGGATAATTGGGTTTTATTATGTAGATGCAAAAAAGCCGAGTTACACAATGAACCAACCCAAGCTGTAAAAAGTGAACCACTATGATTCACTTTTAATTGACAAATTTGAAGATGAATCCAAGATTTATTTCTGATGATGGCAGACAAATGCCATCCAGTAGTCCTCGTTTAGACTCAAATTTACAATGCACAGCAACATAGAAAGAGTCGGACTAATGTAACAGCAAAGGTTAAAAAGTACTCAATAAACATTTGTTATGTAGATTACAAAGCGAGCCATGGCTCTATTCGACCTCTATTAGATCGAGTATTACAATTCATCATAGCAAGTGCAATCATCCACATGCATGTCAGAGCTGCTTTGGTCCGGTCCTGCAGTAATAACAATGTAATGAAAAATGGCTTCCATGGATCTGAAAATCTAATGACCTAATATCTGATATCGACCATATTTCATTTGTCCGCGCTCCCCGGACTGAGACGTAGAGCTGTGTCTGACATGTTCAGCCTTACAAAAACATGTGCAGTGTCGCATAAATGATAACGCTTCATCATACCCTCATGTCACTTACAGATTTGTCTGTTATTTTGCACGAATTATTTTTGACGTAGTTATTGGTTAGCATCGCTAGCATCGGCTAAGCCACAAGTCGAACAGCCGTGTGCGTTTACGCAACGCAGTCCAACAAAGTGAGGGGATGCTGGTGACCCATGCAAGAGCTCTAATGCAGAGTTGAGTTGTAAATTGATGTAAAACAAGGTTTGCAGACGACATAAGTCAAATGAAAAAATATGTTCAATAGGGAATAAACAACGTTGGGGGTTCTATATGTGAGTATACAGTAACGTGCAAACTAACAGCAGCGTCCACGAGCTCGCGAGCGAGATTCCTGAACAGAACAGGCTAGTATCAACCGTCAGGTTATTAGCCGTCGAGCTACATCCAGAAGCAGAGGCGCGCGAGAGAAATAAGAAGTCACTGCATGAATACGAACATCCCTTTTCCGGACTTGTTGCAGACTTGTCTTAGTGCCTTGTAGTTTCCCGACAGCTCAACCTCAAGATGCCTTAGTTAGCTTGCTAACCATGGCATTATCCATCTCGTTGAAGAGCTAGCTAGCACCACCGTACAGCCTGCCTTCCGCCGACGTGCACTTCCCCCACTCTCCCTCCAGCCGGCTCGCCGCAGCGTTAGTCCGCTACAGAAAATGAAGCGACCAGCGGCGTTTTGGGAAGCTGTGTGGCTCTTTGGATTTTGCTGATGTATGAGGAGACGTTATTGTTTTTTTGAGGTGAGCTGTTACTTTTATGTCCACTTTGAACTCTTCGCAACAGAATTACCTAAAGACACACCAACCCTGACCTTAGACCGGGTAATGTTAGCTTCGCTTTCAGCAACATTTAGCTGTTAGCTTCAACTAGACGGGGATGTCTATTTGCTGGAGAACTAGCCGTGATACCTGGATGCTAACTTAGGTTGAAATATGTTCTGCGTTGGTCGTTCACGCTGCAGGATTCACGGGACAGCCGAAGAATATTGCTGAAAGTACAAGTGTCTGTGCATGAGACTGCACATATTTATCCCAGTTTTTCCTCCTTCGGGACACTTTGCTGCTACGTCACCATCGGTGGTTGTTAGCTTTTACGTATCCGTCGTTATTGACACGGACCTGACTAATTGCTGGACAATACCTTCCCTTTGAAGTCGATGTTTACATTGAAGCATACTACTTAGCATTGCAAGTGTTTAACCATAAAATCTGAGTTGTGTGTTCTGTGACGCTGGAATAACAGGATGCTGTTGTTGTGTGTTCTTACTTTGTAAAGAGAATTATAGTCATATATCGTGGAAGTAGAATTAAACAACCCCTGGGGACGGTAACACGGCTAGCTTGGATGTTGAGACGATAACTTAGCCATCATGTCATCACTTTTGCTCGGTACGCTGTCAACTCCATTTTAGAGAATAAACCCTTAATCATTCTGATTTGCTGTGAAAAAAACACACAACCTACATTTGTAAAGACTTGGATTTAAGGTTAGTTTGTTGTCAAGAAAGGAGTGCACGAGAAGTCCTGTTTATTCAGAGATCATGGGCACATATGTGAAATATTTTTGCTCATTAGTTCAGTTCCCACAATAGCATTTGATGTCGTTTTAATATCAGCCTTTTGATTCAGTACAGGACATGTAAAAACGTTATGCAGGTGTGATTTACTTTCTTTTCTGAGTTGGTTTCTTTAGTACAGTACTACCTGGACGAGCGGACACACAAAGAGGATTTGGTTTTGAAATAGATGCATTTGCAGTGAACTATTTTTAACAGAAATAAACAAAACATTTAAGTTTTATCTGCGATTTTTCTGCACCAAAGTGCTTTGGTAACAGCACTAAACGTCACCCTTAAGCTGTTGTTTATGTTAGTAAACATGGAGTACTTAGAATTTTGTACTTTTGCTATTGTAAAGATAAAGACACTGTTTTCGTGTTGTTTGTAAGAGCGTGACTTTCAGCTGGACATATAATATCATGGGACAAACTATCATATTTTGTCTTAAGCAGCATGTTAGCATGAGCTCCCTCTGTTTTCTTTATTTCGGTTTTCTTACGAGTGGATATGAACGGTGTGATGTACATGCCCATTTAGTGTCGCACTTTTGTGCCAAAAAGCACAAAAATACCGGGAGAATCGTGACCCCACAACCCCTTTGTTTGCGTCTTCCGTGTACAATCTTTAAACGTTTCAAAAACAACACTACTTCCTTTTGTTGGCTGTGTGGATGTGTTGAGCCCCTCCTGTCCCGCATTGTATGTTTTACAATATTTCTGTTAATGGCGTAAATCTCATAGCGGAACTAAGATGCGAGTGGCAAAGGTTCTGCACGAGAGGGGCGCCGTCGCAACAGGAAGTTCCCCGTACGGAAGTTGTGTTTCCTTTGTGTATCCCGATTTATGGTTGTTTTATTTAGGAAAACATCATCTGACTTGTAACATTTTGTGCCGTTTCCGTCGTTTGGAATATGCATTGCTCGGTAAATATAAAGGTGAACTGCTGACGCGGTTTCCCACCGATTGATCCTCAGTAACCCTCGCGTCTTTCATGAGTGAGAGAAAGCTCGACCGCACTGGTGCTGACGACGATGCAGTTTACACCAAGATCGTTAAGAAGTGAAGACAGAGCAGTCATATATTTTGTTAGTCTGTTGATCATAAGTGTTTGTGGGAATAGAGCCTTTAAGTGAGGAGTGTGGGGTTGATGTGTATCGTGGGGCGACAAGGAGAGTTGTGTTTCTGTTTTGTTATGATAGACATATGTTGTTCAAAGCAATGCTGTTTTCTGTTTGGGAAAGCAAGGATCGACTCAAAACATGTGATACATTTGTCAGCAGCAACTCAAATGTTATGGATGTACTAATTCCTTTAATGCAACGCTTTTTGCATTTTGCCTTTAGAGTAAAACTCATGGTGTTGGCTCTGGCTGGTTTTATCACCAAGTAAATCCTTTTTATGTTGTTCAAATTGTAGATCTCTGTCAAGGAGGTCAAAATCAGTGCGGGGTATGGACGAGCAGAAATCAAACTGCGAGGAGAATGACTCTGAACCAACAGGTAGTACTCCCCCATACCCCTAATGTCCCTGCTTCATCTAATGCAAACGTGCCTTTCTTTGCAGAAATATAATTGTAATTCAGTTTGCTTCTGGTCTGATCTTAAAGAGAAATTCACAAAATTGCTAATTGCTAATAACTAAACAGATTTTTTTCTTACCTCAGTGATATCTCAGTTAAATTTATGAGAGGTTATCACAAAATAAGGGACCACATATCAGTAATTTACATCAAGAATTGCAGAGTAGATTTGACTTGTTTGCAGCTGTTGATTACCTTTGTTACATGCAATTTTGACCTTAAACTACCATTTCTTTCTACTATTCTTTATGTCAGACATCTCTTAAATGTTAAATAAACTGTTACAAAATAGATGGGGGATATCTCCGGAGCAGCAAGTCTTGCATAAGAATGGTGAATTACTTTAAATTCAGTGTATATCAGTTTATGTTGAAAAAGGTTGCAATCTACATCATAGTATCCCATGACATCGCCATGATGAAGCTCAAAATTCACCTTTTAAAATCAGTTGGAGAGATAAACTCAAAACCCCAGGTGTAAAGACTCAAACACTTTCAAACAAGTGTGTTATCAAATCTTAAGTATTTTATGTATGTTTTATATGACACAACATTTGTCCGTAACACAGTTGACAAAATCATAAATGAAATGTTCATTTTCATTAAAATAATTTAAAAGTCACTTGAGCTTATGCTTGCCAATTAATTGATTTAGCACATTAAGGTTGTATATCATAGAAACATCTAGTTTATTTATCAAAAAAGAATACTGATATATTGAGTTTTTGGTTGACCTGAAATGTACCCCTAATTGTAGAATGACTCCCCCGTACCCCTAATGCCCTGCTTCGTCTAATGCAAATGTGCCTTTCTTTGCAAAAAAGTACTAGTAATTCAGTGTGCTTCTAGTCTGGTCTTAAAGAGAAATTCACAAAATTGATAACTAAACAGATTTTTTTCTTACCTCAGTGATTTCTCAATAAAATTCATGTGAGGTTATCATAGAGGTTATCAAAATAACGGACCACATATCAGTAATTTACATCAAGAATTGCAGAGTAGATTTTGTCTTGTTTGTACACCTTTGTTTCATGCAATGTTGATCTTAAACTACCATTTCTGTTTTTTTTTTTTCATTAGCTGATGATAATGCCCCTTCAAAGCAGGCAGTCTCCTCTAAAGAAGAGCCCAAAGCCCCTCCTGCTGCTGAGGTCATGTCGGGTGCCACTGCAGCCTCTTCTGGTCCACCTGTGTAAGTTTCATTCAGAGAATAAATTTTGTTGGGCACAAAGTTGTTTCTGGCAAAAAAAAACTAATAATGTAACCTTATTTTTGTTTCTTTGTAACAGAGAAAACACCCGAGCATGTGCTCTTTGTAACTGCGTGGAGAGGAGCCTGCATGGACAGAGGGAGCTGAGACATTTTGGGCCATTTTCTGATAAACAAACCCTCAAGCCATCAACTTCCCCACTGCCACAGCCTGGGAATGATGACCTGTCTTCCATTGGATTTTCCCACTCCCCCTGTTTGGCAGCACTCTTTGATGACTCAGGTCAAGCACATTGTATTGTTGTAATTGATTAATATTTAAAGCTCTATTTTGTTAATACAGAACTGATTTATACTTGTTGTTGGTCGGGATGTTAATTGATCTTTGGATTTATAATAAACAGGCGGTTGTTGGGTTCATCACTGGTGTGCTACATGGTCGGAGGGAGTGAAGCAGCTGGAGAATGAGGAGCTGGAGGATGTGGATAAGGCCGTTATCTCAGGGACACAGCGGGTACCTCAACTAGACTTGATGTTATTAGGTAGAAATAAAGCAAATAACAAGAATTCAGTCGTATTCATTACCACTGCTTTTGTTTCAGCTCTGCGAATACTGCAAAAGACTGGGTGCAACCATTCGATGCCATGCTGAGGGCTGCTCACGGTTCTACCACTTCCCCTGCTCGGCAGCCAGTGGATCCTTCCAGTCCATGAAGCAGCTGGTCCTCCTCTGTCCAGAGCACATAGATAAGGCAGAGGAGTTGGGTAAGAGAGCTAACATCTCTGTCATCATTATTTGCTACTCAAAAGAAATGCTCACAATAAAAGGCTTGTGCTCTGAAGACCATTATTTTGCCGAGCCTTAAAGCGTATATCTCTTTTGATACCACAAAATGTCAGATTTACGCTCATCTTGAGATAAAGAGTAATAAGTAGATGGACGGGGTGTCAGTCTTATTTTGATCACATACTGACTCGCCTTAACAAAGCAAGGGAATCAGCAGAAGTGACCATTAACTAGCGACAAACCCAGTGGAAATTCGTTAAAGGTTTTAATGAGGAAATGGGATGAACAAAAAAAAGTTGTTACAACTTTTTTTTCTCTGTATCAAATCTGATTTGATTTTTTTCTTGTTACAGCAGGTGAAGAGTCTTGGTGTGCAGTGTGTGACTCTGCAGGAGAGCTCACAGACTTGTTGTTCTGTACGGGTTGTGGCCTACATTATCACGCCACTTGTCTGGAGATTGGTGCCACGCCCATCCAGCGGGCAGGATGGCAGTGCCCTGAGTGTAAAGTGTGCCAGACTTGCAGGTGGGTACTTCTTCGTTAGTCTGCATGAAACAGGGTACCTAACAGCATTTCTGACATTGTGCCCTAAAATTTTGTTTGCTGTTTACAGTCAGTTGTACTTCAAGGATTTTGTTGAATAGATAAAAATCATGCAGATTTGTGAATGTCTTGAATTTTTATCTTTTAGACAACCAGGAGAGGACTCAAAAATGTTGGTTTGTGATGCCTGTGATAAGGGCTACCATACCTTCTGTCTCCAGCCAGCGATGGATTCTCTTCCCTCCGATCTATGGAAATGCAGAGTATGTTTTAATTGTCCTTAATGTCACTACAAAGAGATGACTGTCCAATCAGTAATTTACTGCAAAAGGCAGTTTACTTGCTTCATAATGCATTTGTCAGACTGGTTCTTCTATTCAGAAACTGATGTTTTACTTGGATATTTGAAATAAGCTTTTAAAATGTAGTTGTGTAACTTTTGTCATACTGTGCACTTACCCTTTTTTATGAAATTTTCAGAGGTGTCGCGTATGTACGGAGTGTGGTGTTCGTGGACTAGTGCTGCCCGGTTCAGCCCAGTGGTTTGACAATTATGCTGTGTGTGAGGGCTGCCAACGTCACCGCAGCACTATGTGTGGCGTATGCAGCAAGGCTGCCAACCCATCTGTCACTCTGCAGTGCTGCAGTATTTGCCACAGGTTAGTTTAATGCACAAGAGCTAATGCTTTTATTAGAGACAGCTATGTATGGGCTTGTTTCATATGTTGTTGCACAAATTTCCATACGTTCTTTTTATTGTCTTAGGTGGATGCACAGTGAGTGTGCTTTACAAGGGGAACATCCAGAAGCAAAGTGCATTTGCCTTCTTTGCAAGGAGGATCAGCAGCAGCCTGTCACTCAACCATACTCTGAGATAAAAACCAGAGAGGTGTCTGAAGAGACCGTCGGACATGTGAATTTGGTGGAGATGACAATCCAAACTGATGCAGACCTGGTGACAGAAGAGCACACAGACTTAACACACACACCAAGACAGAGAGGCAAGTCAGAGCTGGACCCAGGTGAAGCAACTGCTGACAGAGAGTCATCAATGGACTTGGGTAAGTATGAATTGTACACGACACAACTTAAAGCTCACAAATCAGTCAATATTTTTGACTACTGTAACATAATATGACTGGTTTATATCAGAGATGTCTACATATTAGTTCAATGTGTTTTACTTTAGGAGTGGAGTCTGCATCTGTTAAGACGACAGACGTTGGAGAGAAAATCTTGCAGGAAAAGCTGAAGGCAGCAGCTGAAGAATTCCCCTCTAAGGTGCTCGCTGCTTCACATGAGTCTAAAGGTAAACTCGGACACACTTTTAAACATACTTATTTAGAAAATGAACGCAAAGCAGCACTTTATTTGAATGATGGTGTGCTGTAACTAATGATAGACTTGAACATATTGGCAATAATAACGACACATTCCTAAATCCCAAATGTAGACCTCGCAACAACAGAACAGGGGGCCTCTTGTCTACCTGCTGATGAGGAGAGAGCAGAAGACGCAGTACGCCATGTATCCCAAGCAAAGACACACTCGAACAACCCTTCAGAAGAAGCGACATTGGTGTCACAGCAGAGCTTGGAAAACATGGAGGTGGAGAAAGAGGAGGAGGAGCAGGAGGCCACTCATTCAGCTAAGCAAAATCTACCCGCTGAGTTATTAAAGATCAGATCTCATGGCATGCCTCCTGCTGAAACATTAAGTAAGGATCCACCAAAGTTACCAGCCCCTGGGGACAAAACTGAGCATTTGCCCATGGCTAACCGGCTGGATAGAAGTCCATGCCACAATTCCCAGTCCTCTTCTCTTCTTTCTTTATCAGTGGATACTCAGGTGGCCCTCTCTGCTGTGGATGTAGAGGGGAGGTCACTACCTCACTCTGAGGAGGATGAGGATGAAGAGGAGGATGATGAACTGATGAAAGAAGGACATAATGAGGACATAAAGCAGGAACTGCAGGAGCATGATGTTAAATCGGAATTGCTGCTGGATGAGACGTCGAATTTGAGCAATGGAGATGGGAGCAGTAGTGGCTTTTTGGGCTCTCCAGGAGAACCTGATCCTCAGCTCTCCATGGAATTCGGCCTTCTCCCTGCAGGCCGCACACACACGGATAACCTGCTCACTGAGACCGATGACTCGCTGCCTTTTGAACCCCTCAGAAGTGACAGAGAAAAGGTAAAACGCAGAGGATCCCCAGGCCGCTCACGAGTCAAGCAGGTACAGTCACCATGTGTTTGTTTAATTAAGAAATGATGTGACAACAGTCTGACTGTTTTATCCTTTTTTTTCACAAAACCCACTGACACTGAATTGCTATTTTCTTGGTTTGAAGGGACGAAGCAATAGTTTTCCTGGGAAGCGGAGACCTCGAGGGGGTGGTGGAGGTAGAGGGCGCGGTGGAAGGTCACGTCTCAAAGCCATGGCTTCCTGTATAGATGCATTCTTGGTAAGCTCTACTATGATTTCCATTCACACATTCTCTTAGACTCAGTCAGTACAAACCACAGTGATTACAACATTTTTTCCATAACTGTCTATCCACAGCTGAGCATGACCGCAGACACTGGAGTAAATAAAGAGGAAGATGATGAGGAAGATGACACCATGCAGAACACAGTAGTTCTTTTCTCAAACACTGATAAATTTGTCCTGCTACAGGTACAGCTCTTGTTGTAGAGTCATGTCTTTAGTGAATCTGTGACATACACTTTCAAACACAAATCGATGGACCTTTTTTCCTGTCATCTCTTCTTTTCTAGGATATGTGTGTTGTATGTGGCAGTTTTGGAAAAGGTGCTGAAGGGCAGCTATTGGCTTGTGCTCAGTGTGCCCAGTGTTACCATCCTTACTGTGTGAACAGCAAAGTAAGCACATCGACCATCGTTCCGCATTTTTTTATTTCTTTACTTTTTTAAATGTGGAAAAGTTAAACCTTCTGTCTCCCACAGATCACCAAGACGATGCTCCGGAAGGGCTGGCGCTGTTTGGAATGTATTGTTTGTGAGATTTGCGGAAAGGCTTCAGACCCCTCTCGACTGCTGCTATGCGATGACTGTGATGTCAGCTATCACACATACTGCTTGGACCCACCCCTGCACAATGTTCCTAAGGGTGGTTGGAAGTGCAAATGGTAAAAAAAGAAGTTAAACTGTCAGAAGCACAAAGCTTCATTTCAACCTCAGAGCTTTGAATGGGGTCAAATGAAAATGAATACATTAGAATTTGCATATTATGTAAAACACTCATGCCTCAGCCCTGCATTAGCAATTCACAGGCCCAACCCGCTGCCTCTTGCTTCCTCAGGCAAAGAAAATTTGTTACACCGCTCTCTCTCTGGTATCTGTGTTTTTTAATCTTTCATATAAGCTGTATAATCATTAAAGTTTTCTTCACTGCCTCAGGTGTGTGTGCTGTGTGCAGTGTGGTTCCAACACACCAGGGTTCCACTGTGAGTGGCAGAACAACTATACCCACTGTGGCCCCTGTGCCAGCCTCGTCACTTGTCCTGTGTGCAGGGAAAACTTCATGGAGGAGGAGCTGCTGCTGCAGTGTCAGTACTGTGATCGGTGGGTGCTGCTGAGTAGAACCACACACACACACACACACACACACCAGACTTAGGTATTCATGAAACCACAGCTAATGATGACAAGTGGGGAATGGATTATTTATGTTTTTTTGCAGCATGAATTATTCCATAACATCTTTTGATTTTCACTGTGATTTGTCAGGAAAAGTATGCTCACCAATATATTTCTGTGTGTGTGTGTGTGCAGATGGGTCCATGCTGTCTGTGAAAGTCTGTACACAGAGGATGAAGTGGAACAAGCTTCTGATGAGGGCTTTGCATGCACATCTTGCACCCCATATGTTCCAAAACCTGTGGGTAAGTCTAAGAATGACACACAACATTTGAAGACATGGAGACTCCGACTTCAAGTATAAACACAGGAGAATCTTGTATGCACCGATGACATCTTTTTTGTTCCTTTCTCCCCCCCCTGCTTTTTGCCTTTCTTCATAGTAGTAGAGTCAGCCATTATGGCATCAATAAAGATCAAAGAGCCAGGTCAGTGTTTTTTCTTAACACAAACAAAATAAGAATTTCCATTTGGTATTTGTTTTATCTTGAAATGATACGATTGGCTATTACACTTTACAGAACCCCAGTTCTACCGGTTGGAGGGTGTGTGGCTGACTGAGTCGGGTATGTCCTTGCTTCGAAGCATTTCCATGTCTCCCCTGCACAAGAGGCGACAGCGTCGTTCCCGCCTTGGCACCATATGTTGTGAAGGAGGTCCTGATGGAATGGATCTCAGGGAGGTCGAAGGAGAGGGAGAGGATGGAAAAGGTTAGCTCTCTTTCCCCTAACCCACTGTCCTGTAACCAATAACAAGAAGCATTTTGATTTCACAATTAATGCTAAATGGTTGTACTTTGTGTTTTCAGGGGAGCCAATGGAATGTGAAACCAAAATGGAGAACCCTGGGAGCCCTTATAGAGAAGGTGGTGCTGAAAGGGATGCAGGTGCAGATGGGACTGAAGGGATGGCTGACTGTGAGGGCCTGAAAGGTGGAGCAGAGGAGACAGAAGATAGTAAAAAGAGGAAGCGGAAACCTTACAGACCTGGTAAGTGTACCACGATAAAAGAAATTACATCCACATGGATGTCTGAGGATTCAAAACAATGATTCTGAATGATTTATTTTTCTAGGCATTGGAGGCTTCATGGTGCGTCAGAGAAAGTGTCACACACGGTTAAAGAAAGAATTTTTCGCCCAGCTGGCTGGAGAGACTACTCTAGATGGACAGCCATTTGGGAGGACCATTGATGAAGGTTAGTGACAACAGTATCTTTGCTGTCAAGTTCATTTCCCCAATATCTCCATGATAAGGTGATAAAAGAATTGAGTAATACAGAGAGGAATTAAATGTGTTACTCTGAAAATGTGAAAATTGATGTAAATTTAATACAACATTGAATCTACTGTGTAAAGTCGCCTTTTAGCCACATTAGCCTTATTTTGAATGATCAACATACTTGTTTGAATCAAAATGCTATTTTTTGGTTTTAATATTGTGAACTTGTGAAACTGAATCCTACAGTTATGTGTGCAGGACCCCACCCTGACACAGATAATATAATGGACCCTAAACCACCAGAGGGTGAAGAACAAGCCAAGAAACGACGCGGCCGGAAGAAGAGCAAACTCGAGGACATGTTTCCAGCTTACCTCCAGGTTTCAAGTCCTTCCTCACCCATTTTTACTTTGGAAATGTAATGTATCCAGTGTTACACCCTTATCATCTGTTTTTGATCTTTCCACATCAGGAGGCTTTCTTTGGAAAGACGCTAATAGACTTGAGTAAGAAAGCCATGATGATACCCCAAGGGCAGAGGACGGGCCCATGCCTGGTCCGACCTTCATTACCAGTACCGCCGGGGGTCAGAACTGCTGCCCCAGAGAGTAAGAGCCCTAACTTAACCTTTTAAAATTTGAAAACTCTGCAGATTATTAGTGTGGAAAGGGTCCATGCAGGGTGTCTGACCTTTGGGCTTCTCTTAATAGCTGAGGCCAAGGATCGTGTGATGAAAGATTTACCTCTCAAGCAAGAGGGGGGTGAGGCCCTCCAGGCTCAGGGAGAAGGTGCAGGTAAGGGTCTACTTGGAAAGCAATACTTAATTATAATGATTCTAGTGTTATGGCAAGTTTGTTTAAAATTACACATTTTCAGGAGCTTATGCACCATCCTCATCGCTGAAGGACAGGAAGTCAAATGATCCTCATGACTCTGATGCAGAAAAAACTGAAGGTAATCTATCAGAGGACATTTTTGCATGAACAGTGTCAATATTATTCATGACCTGGTTTTTATATTATGTCTTACATTGTTTCATTCTTTTATAACAGGTCTTCCACAAGGGGTCGAGAGTCAGGACTCAGAGCAGTTCTTCAGAAAGGTTCTGGGAGTGTCAGATGGCTCCTCTTTGGGTGGCATAAAGCCCATTTTGGAGGGCAGTAAGGGAGAACTCGGTCAAAGCGGTCTGCCACAAAGAGCTCTCCTCTCAGGTCTGTACCTGTATATAATCATACTATTAACACAGTTCAAAGGTTTAAAGTGGGAAGTATCATAAGCTGTTCTCAGACATGTACTCAGGAAATTTGTAGATATTTCAGGAGCTCTGACCCTGAAATTTACCTGACTTGAATGTTAACACAAGTTCTCTCAGTGTACAGCCTTCCTTGTCTGTCAGAGGGTCAAAGAGAGGATCTCAGGAGGCTGTCTGTGTTGTCAAATAGATGCTGCAGTCGTAACGGTGTATCATAATACAACCTTATCCAAGTTAAAAAGCACTGATCCTTAAATTTTACTTTTTCATCTAATTTTTTTTACTTCAAAGCTTGTTCTCTCTTTTTTGTTTCCCACTTAACCACTGGCATGAGTTCATAAATTCACTGCTGTCTTATTGCCAGTGATTGCAATAAAGTAATACAGTGCTTTCTTTTGAGATTTGCTCACATGTTGAATCCGAATCCTTGGCACTTGTCAGCAGTGGGAGCGTAATTTGGTGAAAAACATAACTACCATGGTCTGTTTTGTGAAATTGTAGTGATACATTTTGTAATAGAGTGTCAAAACACACTCCTATTACTCTGGCGATGCTAATGGAGTAGTGGTGTGATACAGAGATTCCGTACTGGGAGCATTTTTTGGCAAGCGATATAAATGTACCTTACACCTCTCCTGAAATCCTAAATACAGATTTTGTATTCGAGTGCTGAAACATGCTCCCATTATTCTTACAGTCTGTTACTACCGTAGTATTTTCAAGTAAGCAGCTATACAAGGCAACACCAGCCTAGTGATATTGAAAAAAATTGTTACCTGTAGCTCACCTGGGCAATTTTGGTAAACTGTCAGGAGCTTTGATCATGTCTGAAAAGGGGTGTTTAAGAATTTGTGATGATTTTGACAGTATAAAATTTCTTGCAGGGTCCCTGCCCTCAGCTGGAATGATGGATGCTTTTCCCGGTCTGTCTCAGTCACCATTCTTTGACATGCGGTATGACTGGTTACTGAATTATCTGGAAATTTTCCTTTCACACTAGAGTGCAGTAATGTTCTTCCCAACTATCTATGCCCCAAATTTAATAAAAGTCAATATTCCCTGGTTTGCAGGGACCGAGGAGGACTGTTCAGTCCAGACGGGGGTGATGAGAGCCCCTGGGCCACTCCTTCGACCCCAGCAACTCCCTCCTCCCCACCAACCCCCACCGAGGTAGAGGGTGATGGGCTGTCCTATAACCAGCGTAGTCTCCAGCGATGGGAGAAAGATGAAGAGCTCGGGGAGCTCTCAACCATTTCCCCTGTGCTTTATGCCAACACCAACTTTCCAACCCTCAAACAAGACTACCCAGGTAAGTGCAGACAGAATACATTTAGTGTTGGGTCCAGAAAGTCAGCTTTATCAAAGTGTTATGCCTCGTCAATATATGATCAGCCGTCTTAAAAGAGCATAAGTTTTTTCAGTGGCTTTGAAAAAAAAATCTGCATTTAAAGGCCTGGAAAAATAATCTGTATGCAAGGCTGGGAACAGAATAAACACATGCAAATTGAGCTGTAGTGTCACTATTTTCACAGGATCCATAAGTTGCCTCAAAGATAGAAGGGGTGGTCTTTCCATAAGATTTCTTTGTTGGACCTAGTTTGGAAAGTCTGCATTTTCAGCTGCCCAAAACAGTTGTCCATGTACAGGAATGACAGAAGTGCATCAATTTAACAGTTTTCCATTGATATGTTTCCATGTAAACAGTCTCTAAGATACTGAGCAGTTGTTAAAATATTTCTCCCGTCATAGACTGGGCTAGTCGCTGTAAGCAAATCATGAAGATCTGGAGGAAAGTGTCAGCTGCTGACAAGGTTCCATACCTGGTAGGTTGCCTGTTTTTTGTTGAATGAAATAATTATTTTTAACTAAGTGTAGGGCAGTACATGGCACATCTCTCACTGTGTATTATGGATCTGCAACTAAAGCAGACTGTAACAACCCATAAGTCTTCTTTTGTGTAACATGCATATGCAAAAATGTTCACCTTATTATGTCATTTCTTTCTGTAGCAAAAGGCCAAAGATAATCGGGCAGCTCAGAGGATCAACAAGGCACAAAAGGTAAACTAAGATGGGTACTTTTGGAATGAAAGATGAGTGCTTTTTATTTTAGCTGAGCAGAAATTGAATTTGGTTGTTTGTTCTCTTCCTAAAGCAGGCAGAGAGTCAGGTTTGCAGGCCGGTCAAGATGGAAGCTGGGCGTGTGAAAGGAGAACGGCCCAGTCTACACCTCCAGATCCCTCCACCATCAGGCTCTGCATCAGTTTCTTCCCAGCCCAGCTCTGCAGAGAGCCCATTTCCCTTCCCTCCAGATTCAGGATCATCCTCTGTCTTTTTCTCAGATGGACATGTTAAGACCCCAGGGTCTGCTGAAATCCGGACAGACCCTTTAGCTAAGCTGCCTCCTCAGTCACCCCACTCTCATTCCCACCCAACCACTCCCTTCTCCCATGCTGGGGCCAGCCCCTTGCAGGCCTCTTCCTCAGGTTATTCCACTTCCGGCCCACAGGGTCCTCCTCAGGGACGGCCAGCCAGTCTTGGCCCCTTTGACATGCAACCAGGAACTCCTGGAACCCCCAGACGGGCTCAGCAGGTTGACCCCTATTTCAGATCTCAGCTGCAGCAGCAACAAAGTCATCTACCACAAACACAGCAGGGCTCTCAGGAGCCCCTAGGACCCCCTGAAAGCCCTCATTCAAGAGGTGCTGGGCTTGGGGAGTCACCGATCTTCTCCCCATCCCACAGTACCCACTATGGAGACCCTTTCAGAAACCAGCAAGGGATGGTACGGCCTGATTATGGTTCATCCCCATCACCATCTGCAGTGGCTTCCTCACCTGCCAGCCTAGGGCAGTACAGGGCTGATATGAGTGCACCTTCTCCACGCGCCTCCTCAGTAGGACGTCAGGACCTATCCACCGGTTCCCCTGCTGGTGCGATGGAGTCTGGAGATGGTTTATTTAAGGCACCTATGACACCACGAATGCACCAGGGAGAGGGTGGGGCTCTTCACCCTGGAGCCTCCCCAAGCCACCCATCTGAAGGCTACAGGCAGTCTCCTTCCCACCCTTTCTCTGATGCACATGCTCAGTCATCACTAGCTCCCAGACCACAATCAGGGGACAATTGTCCTCTTGGGCCCCAAAGACATCCAGGGGGTCAACAAGAGCTATGCTCTAGAGTGCCCTCCAGTCCACAATCCCAGGGCAGCTCTCAGTCTCCTCACACTCCTGGGGGTATCTCTAATGACGGTTACTCGGTCCAGTCTCCTGCAACCCCACGTTTCCAATCCCCAGACCCTTGTTCTCAGCCCCCTTCAAGGCCACAATCTAGAGACCCTTATACAACGATCCACAAACCCCCTCGTCCCTCTTCCGCTGCCCCAGAAGGAACTACAAGCTACAAAGGTTCACCTCACCCTCACCAGCCGCCTCCATCCCAGCCCTCCAACACTTCCTTTGGGGATTCTCTTTCTGGTAAACCATCAGCACCTCTGCCTTTCAACAGCAGCCCCAGCTCCGGAGGTTTCCAAGTAACTCAACAACAGAGCCCAATGTTACAGGGTCAGCTTCAGCAATCACAGCAACAGACTCAGCAGAATATTGGGCCAGACAATTTCAGCTCCAGGGTGCCACCTTCATCTGGATCTCAAGAACTACAAGCTGTGCACCCTCCAGATGGACCTCATCAACCAGCATTGCCAGGCACTCAAGATATGCCTGACATTTCAGCAGTGCAGGACCCTTCACTTGTAGGCCTCAGCCCTTCAGAATTAGAGAAACACAGACAGGTACTATACAAAAAAGCCCCTTGACTTAAATTCTTGAATGCTCTCTTAAGAATGTTGCTCATCTGTGTTTTTTTTTCTTCTATTAGCGCCAGAGACTGAGAGAATTCTTGATCAGGCAACAAATGCAAAGAAATTCAATTAGACAAGAGAAGGAGGCTGCTGCTGCTTCTGGCAGTGCATCCTCTGGCTGGGCTGGAGGGGAAGTGGGAGCCTTTCAACAGGAGAAGGCCCACAGAGCACCACCACCCTACCCACAGGTAAAACACCTTCACAGTATCCTCTTACACAACTTTGCAACAGTGTTGGAACAGTCCCGCCATCCCTAGGCCCTTGTACTTACACCTTGTAATTGTACCCAGAAATGGCATTATATGGGTGTCCCACTGTGTGGTAACACATCGAATTATAGCGCTGCGGAAGCTTGAAAGGCATACCTTGTAAACACACAGCTGGAGCACCACATATGCACACTCACATTCACATACATATAGTGCTGCTCTGTCCTGCCAACTTCAATGCTCCACATCGTCACTTTCCCCTCATATTCTGCCATTATTACTACCTAGCAGTAAGGTGACTTTGCCTGGGCATTATCCCTCAGTTTGTAAAACATTTTACACAAAGGGGCATAAATATCTTGCCTTGAAAATGCAGTATGTAATCGCAGAGTGTTTCCAAACTTATGAAAAGAAGCTGTCTGATGTCTCAATAAAAGACAAGCAAGAAGTAAGTGCATGCTCGACTGGAGACCACATGGAAAATCAAAACTGTTTTTATTAAATAAGGACAGATAAATCATTTACTGTAGCATGGTTCATACAGCATGGCTGCTCTTGTGTATTAAAATCAATTTACCTAATGTTAGTAAACGGTGCATGCAACTGTGTGACTTAATAAGGAAAATTGCAAGTAGCTTTGAGTAACCAAAAAAATGTATATATACAGTATATATATATATATGTATAAATAAAATTCAACAATACATCTATCTGTTTTTGGTATTCCCTCTTGCTTCAGGACCGCGTTGCTGCTGCTCCTGCTGGTGCTCAGGTTTCTGTTGCAGGAAAGATTCCTTTAGCTGTTGGAGGTATGGGGGAAAAACTCATTCGCCAACCGCTTACAGGAACTCCCACTATCATGGATCCAACTGCACAAAGGTCAGCTCCTCAATGAAGTTCATTCAAAGTTTATGTTGAATATATGGACATAATTCTGCTCCCCCAAACAAGGTTTTGCAGTATAAGGTATTAAAATTGAAAATATATCTTTGTGTGTCTGTTTCTTCAGGCCGGCAGGGCCAATGCAACCTCAAGGCATGTTTCCCCGTCCACCTTTCCACCCACAGTGGCAGGGTCAGACTCCAGGTCCAAGGAGGTTCCCCCAGCCGGGCATGGAGGCTATGCGGATGAGGCACAACCTAAACCCTGCTGTTAACATCCAGGGTATTGAAGGCATTGCCAACCCTGGTGTAATACCAGGACACGCAGGGGAAACAATGCAGCCAATGGGCCAAGGACCCCCACCACAGTTCATTGAATTACGACACAACTCCCAAAGGCTTCCCCTACGACCACAGTTCATGCCTCGTGGACCCCAGCCTAGGCCACGTATGTTTGTCCCACAGCAAGAGATGACAGCGCCATATGGCCAACAACATCCCATCACACAAACTAGTGACATTCAAACAGAAGGGGGCAGTAGCTTACAGCTTGGATTACAGCAGGGTGGACTGTCAAGCTTGCTGCCTCAGCAGTCTGCTGGACCAGTGGCACAACAGCCCCACCTGCATCCACAGACAGCTTCTTCCACTGAGCAACATCAGCTCCCACAGCAAAGCTTGGTCCCAGGGTCTCAGACTGCCACAGCAGAAAACAGTGAGGAACTGCCAGAGCCCGACCTTGAAGGGCTTGGAGATGCCCCAGGAGATGGTGGTGTGGAAGATGAGGATGATTTAGCTTTAGATTTGGACCCTGACAAAGGAGATGATGAATTGGGTAACCTTGACAACCTTGAGACCAATGATCCACATCTGGATGATTTGCTAAACAGTGATGAGTTTGATCTCTTGGCTTACACGGACCCTGAACTGGACCAAGGAGACCCCAAAGATGTTTTCTCAGATCAGCTGCGGTTGGTGGAAGCAGAGAGTGAAGTTCCTTCATCCTCTTCTGGATCTGTTTCTGTCAAAGTGGAAGATAAAGTCAAAATAGAGCCAGGGCTGAAGTCTCTCCCAACAGCCCCTGCTTCTGCAGGAGGGGCTGCCACTCAACCAGCATCTACAGAAACTACTGATACCTCCAAAACCAAAGCCGAGGACAGAGCTCAGCAGCAGCCAGGACAGGCTGTAGTAAAAGATGAATTAGGAGAAGCTGTGTCAATAGTTCTTGGAGGAAACACACCATCAGCCAAGCCTGCCCAAGCAGAAAACCAGTCAGCTTCCCTCAGTTCAGTTCGATTAGGTGGACTACAGTACCCCCTGCCAGGTCAGACTGATGCATTACCTTTTAGTTCAGCTGTTCCACATGCAGACATTGGTGATGACTCGCTGGGACTGCCTGATGTAGGGGGACAACACTCACCTGCTGTAGATTTGGCAAAGGTAGAGAGCTCTTTAGATGGTGAACTGCCTCTTCTGATACAAGATCTGTTGGAGCATGAGAAAAAGGAGCAACAGAAACAGCAACAACAGCAACAGCTTAGTTCTCTCCATCAAGGAGGCATGGCACCTCATTTTCCTGGTCTCCCAAATCAACAGCCAAACCCACAAGCACCTGGGCAGATAATTCTGCAGCAGCACCATCGTCCACCACACCCAGGAATGATGGCCCAACCAGGGATGGTTCCCCGTGCTCCACATATGCTTCAACAGCAGCAGCAGCAGCAGCAGCAGCAAAGACTCATGGGAAGTGGAATGGCACCTCCTCTTCATATGGCAATGACTCAACAGCAAGCCATGATGAGGATGGGGCAGCCAGGGATCCATCCAGGTCTCAGTCATCAACAGCAGCCTCAGCAGATAGTTAAACAGGCACCACTGGCCAACAGTTTCTTCCCAGATAAAGGTACATACTGTGCAGTTTTTATTCTCCTTTGTATGAATTATAGTATTTCTTTTTCTTCACCAACAATGATTGTCTCATTCTTTCAGATTTAGACAAGTTTGCGACGGATGACATCATGGATCCAATTGCAAAAGCAAAGATGGTAGCTCTTAAGGGCATTAAGAGAGTGCTAACACAGGATCCAATGGTTGTTCCACCTGGCATTAATAGGTATGTTTTGATTTTAAAGCGCCAATTAATTCTTTGGTGTTAATTTTAGCTACTATGGTCATTGTTTTAATCTACTTTAAAGTTAGTAAAAAAACACTTAGTTCCTCTTTTGCTGATTTGAACTAAGTCTTGGCACCAACAGGAGGTATTCAGTTCCCATTTAAGATTAGAAGTCTGCACTTTATAAAATAACTATTCCAGATTATTCTGGAATTCTGAATTATTTACCCTTAAGAGGTGACCCACATCAATCATGTTGACCGTCAAAACTGTTGTAGAAATCCGGCCGGTGTTTCTGCATGTCTCCATAACGTCTAGCCCTTAGTCGCTAATTAACTGTCAAATAATAACTTATTTGTATTTTGCTGTGCATGCAATATGAAGTAATTATCAGCAGCATACCTCCTCCCAAGTTGATGAAAATCTGGATTCTGTGAAAAAACTGAAGATAATTTATCTGACTGTGCTCTCAGAGTAATGAATTATGTTGGATGAAAATTGATTTTAATTCTTTTTTTTCTTTACTATTTTCCAATTACTCTAATTTACCAATCAAGAGCACAAAATAAATTCTAGCCATAATGTACATGAAATATGAAGACTACTCATATGCAGCCTGCAGCTACTGAAATTTTGCAGTGTGACAATATTGAGATGGTATAAATAGGTAGATAGTAAAAGGTATGGGCTGTTTGTCCTCTACAAAACCCACTTGAAACCTAGTTTCTGTATACTAGACAATTTTATAGTTAACCATCTGAACTCTTTTTAGGCAACAAGTTTCTTTGCTTGCTCAGAGGCTGTCCTCTGCCCCAGGCACGGATCCAGCTCAACATGGATCTGGACCCTCAAAGGTATTTTTTATTATCTACCAGATGTGAGTGACATACCTTTATGATTTTTGGTGTTGTTTATTTTAATGCCTCCTCTTTGTTTTCAGGAGGGAGAAATAGGTGATCCCACCCAGTCAAGACCCAACCCTCCCCAGTTTGTGCAAGGAATTATCAGTATGTTAACCCATTATTATGTTTTGTTAGAATGGATTTGATGCATGGATAACTGTTCTGTCCACATACTCTGGTAAATTTAATATGTCACCCCCCTTCTGTTACAAATGATGCATTAAAATGCCCTCTTCTGTTACAGACGATGCAGAACAGCACCAGTATGAGGAGTGGCTTCTTCACACGCAGCAGTTACTTCAAATGCAGTTGAAATTTTTGGAGGAGCAGATTGGAGTTCATCGCAAATCTCGTAAAGCCCTCTGTGCTAAGCAACGCACTGCAAAGAAAGCTGGCAGGGAATTTGCTGAGGCAGATGCAGAGAAACTTAAGTTGGTTACAGAGGAGCAAAGCAAAATTCAGAAACAGCTTGACCAGGTGCGTGCATAACTGCTATGCTACTTTTTTTTTTTTTTACAGCAAAGATAATTGGCATGTTTTTCATCACTCCCTGTTTATTACTTTGCTTTAGGTACGCAAGCAGCAGAAGGAGCACACCAACCTTATTGCAGAGTATAGGAGCAAGCAACAGCAGCATCAGCAAGGCTCGGGTCTTATTCCTCCAGGTCAGTCTGCACAGGGGGGAGGCCCTCATATGTTTCCCAAGATGCCTGGTCAGATGGTCATGGGCCAACAGGGAACGCCTCTAATGGGCCAGCACCCTGGCATGATGCCCCACAGTGGAATGCCTGTCAGAATGCCACAGGGGCAACCTTTTATGAGTGGAGCCCAGCCACAGCATCCTGCAGCCCTTGGAGCCGGTGGTGTGAGACCCCAAGGTCCACCAGGTGCTCCTGCAGGATTTTTCCCACAGGGGCCAGGAATGCAAGGTGCAGATCCAAGACTTCTTCATGAGAGACAGCTTCAACATAGGATGCAGATGGCAAAACTCCAACAGCAGCAGCAGCAGCAGGCGATGATGGGCCAGCAACCATTGCCACACCCAAATCAACAGCCTGGCTTAATCACACAAACACAGTCTGGTATGATGCAGAATCCACTTATGGCCCAACAACAAGCAAACCCTCAACAAGTAATGCTAACAAGCCAAGCAAATCAGCAGAGCATGGGCCAGGTTCCGCAAGGAATGGTCGGAGGTCAGTCTGGAGCTACACTGCCACAGACCCTCCCAGGAGGACAGCCTATCAACCATGCTCAAGGCATGATGCCAGCTCAGCCAGGTATTATGGGGAACCATCCAGGTGTACCACAGCCACAGAGGCCTCAGATGATGATGGGACAACAGGGAATGGTTGGATCTCCAGGTCATCCTGGCCTCAGAGGTCCTCAGGCCCAATTGACTCCACAACAACAGAACATTCTGGCTCAACGCATGCTGGCATCTCAACAACAACAGCAACAACAACAACAGCAGCAGCACAATGCTGCAAAGAATCTGGGCCATCTGCAGCAGCAGCAGTTGGCACAGCAAAGACAGTCAATGCAGTTGATCAGCCAACCAAGTCAAGAGCAGGGAGTGCACTCTCAACCCTCAACTCCACAGATGGGCTCCTCACCTTCAGCTGGAAGTAACACCCCACAACCACAGGGGGCTACAGACAGCCAAACCTCAGGCCCCAAAGAGGGTGGGATCCTCAGTCCTGATTCAAGAACGCCACCACAGCAGACTGGACCCCCTACTCCTAACCAGATATCTCAAGGTTCCACAAATGATCACCAAACTGATGTGGGCAGAAAGGAGCTACAACAACAACAACAACAGCAGCAGCTAAACCAGGTGAACATGGCCCAGCAGCAGCAGCAGCCAAATTCTCAGTCTGTACCTGAGCAACAAGCGGGTGTGGTTGGAAACCAACCAACTGTTGTGCAACAGCAGCAACAACTCCAGCTCACTCTTCAGAGGCAAGGTTCATCAGGTGTGGACAGGCCTGCTTTGATGACTGTTAAAGAAGAGGGTAAACCAGGCGATTTCTTAGCTCAGCAGCAACAACAGCAAACAGTTCAAAATGCTATGCAGCAGTCACAAGATCCCAGTATGCTGCAGCAGATTCAAGGCCAGAACCATCCTGGCCAGCCACAGCCTGGTGTGATGAGCCACAGTCCACAACAGCAAGCTCTCATGGCCCAGCAACAGAAACAACAGGCCATGATGGGCATGATGAGAGCCCAGCAACAGGGGATGATCATACAGAGGCCTGGACTTCCACCTGGACAAATCCGCACCCAGATCAACATTCAGGCAATTATTGCTCAAAATCCCCAGCTCCGTGGTCTCCCCCCTAACCAGCAGATACAGCACATCCAGGCTATGATTGCCCAGCGGCAGCTCCAGCAGGGGCAGATGCTACGGATGTCAATAAATCAAGGCCAGCAAAATCAATTACGACCTCACATGCCCCCAGGCCAGGTGCCACAGATTGGACATCAGATGCCAGGGATGGAAGGCCAACAGATGCCATATGGTGCCATGGGGAAACCAGGACTACCGGTCTCCAAGCAACAGTTGGGCATGATGGGCCAGCAACCTGGAATTGCGCCTCAGATACAGCAGGGGATGATGCTACCAGGGCAACAGCAGCCACAAGCAGGGGAAATGATGCAACATATGTTGAGGGGCCAGGTACCAGTTTCACCTTCCACTGCAGATCAGGGACGCATGATAACATCTCCTCGTCAGCCATTGCCCAACTCTCCAGGGGATCCACAAAGGCATACATTCAATCAAGCTATGGGGATGCGTCCACCAACCCCCAATCAGAACCCACAAGCACTAATGGCTGCTGCAGGAGGCCGCATGCAGGGCTCTCCATCCCATGCATATTCTCCAAGAGGTCCCTACGGTATGAGCCCAGCTCACCCTGCATCACCCCATCCATCTCATGTCTCCTCACCCATTGCTGGCAGGGGAAGTCCTTACAGCCAAGTCAAGGCATCTCCACTCAGGTCACCTGGAGCCAAGAGTCCACTTGACTGCCCAGCATTGAAGCTAGAAGCTCAGACTTCTGGCCATGAAACACCTCATACAGTCCCAGGTATCCCAAATGGTCCACAGAAAGACATCGGTGTTTCACAACAGCCACAGCAGGTCACAAACAGCAGTGTTTCAGACACCCACCAAGGCTCAGGAGGAGGGGAGCTCTGCAGGACAACCCTACAAAACATTAAACAGGAACCAAGAGAGGTTCAGTGTGATGGTGTGGCTGAGGCTCATCCTGGCACTATAAAGCGAGAAGCAGTTAGTGAAACAGTTGCTTCTGGGAACAATACAGGCTTTATTCATTCTGGAAACATGGCTGGAGGCCCTGAGAGTCCGGGCCCAAGATCAGAGACTGGACAGCAACTTCTACAGAAACTCCTACGAACAAAGAACCTTCAGCTTGGTGCTCAGAGACCCTCTGAGGGCATCCACAATGAGATTAATGGCCACATCAACAGCAAACTAGCAATGTTGGAGCAAAAACTTCAAGGAACTCCAAGAAACATGGAGGTATTATTCATTTAGTGCATTCAGTCTGACACAATTATGTTGTAAGTGGGGTAAGAATTTTGTCCTTTTAAAAAAAATAAATTCTCTCATTTTACAGGATTTACAGTCTATAACTAAAAAGCCCCCTGCACAAAAACCAAAGCGCACTAATAAGGCAGCTGGGGACCGAGGGCCCAATGCACGTAAGAAGAATAAAAAGGAAGAAGTTGGAAAAAGTGCAGAAGCCCTGATTAAGCAACTCAAACAGGTAAAATGCTGGCATTTTAAACTCCTCCATCAACATTTACCATTTATGTTTCTAGTTTATTCTTTGAGCACTTCTTAATGATGTGGAATAATGGGAACTTACATTCCAGGGTCTCTCTCTGCTGCCCCTGATGGAGCCCTCTATCACTGCCAGTCTGGACCTGTTTGCTCCCTTTGGAAGCAGCCCAGCTAATGGAAAAGCCCAGCTCAAAGGATGCTTTGGAAATGCAGTGCTGGACAATATCCCAGACTACTACTCTCAGTTACTTACTAAGGTATAATTGCCTTCCATTATGCACCAAGGGTTGGCTTTTTCGGGTTTTTTCAGATGGTGTAAAGTTATTTTTTAGGAACAATGGTTGTTTTTGACACTGATGTTTTGTGTTTTCACAGAGTAATCTCAGCAATCCACCAACACCTCCATCCTCCCTGCCACCTACTCCCCCACCCTCAGTGCAGCATAAGCTGCTGAATGGAGTGACACCTGGGGAGGAACTGTCTGAGGGTCAGAAAGACACAGAGCAAGCTGAAGAACCAATGGGTAAACAATGGGGGATTTTGCATTAAAAAGATGAAGAAATTGAGAAAAAAAACTATATATGCACAAACAAATAGTAGATTGACTTAGTGTTGTTAATAATGTCTCCCTTTCAGATTGTGTTACTGAGGAGGTGAAGAGTGTAGACATTCTGGCAGCTCTCCCCACTCCACCACATAACCAAAATGAGGACATCAGGTACAATACAAACAATCTCTCGGGTTCTGTGTAAACCTGAAGTCATGGATTAATTGTTGTTGAGGAGCTATAAATGCAGCTATCCACTTTTTCTCTTTTTAACAGGATGGAGAGCGATGATGAGGATGCCCCAGAAAGCATCATCCCAGCATCCTCTCCTGAGAGCAACATAGGAGATGCTACACCACGTTTCCCCCACCTCCGGGAGCCTAAAGAGGAGGAAACAGAGAGAGCAATATCCCCTATCATCCCCCTCATACCTCGCACAGCCATACCAGGTATAATACAGCATTCAAATCTGTTATTCCCTCAAACAAAAGCAGCCATCCTGTTTGTGCTTTGTTTAGTCTTTCTGTTCAGCCTTATTGTACCTTTACTCTCAGTGCTGTTGATGGATTTGTACCATAAAACTGATTTGCAACTTTTCAATTATAGCATTTCCAGAAAATAAACCACTTGAAGGAGCTGATGGCAAGGTCGTTTCTACATCCAACCATTGGGACAAGAGTAAAAACAACGAGGTGTCTGTTACCTTCATGCTGTCCTCTGCTGCAGCCAAGGTACGATGCCAACAAACCGCCTGAGCGTGTGTAATCCTCTTTAATTTTCTTTGAAGCTAACAGAAACCTGAACCTGACTCTTTTTCTAGAAACTGAACCATGTAATGATGGCCATGGCCCAGCTGCTGAACATCAGGATGCCAGGTTCCTATGAGGTGACTTTCCCTTCCCAAAACTCAGATATGCCTGGAGCTGATGGGCCAGGGAAAGGACCAGGACAGTCAGGTTTGTATTTTCAGACTTGGATTTGTTTTGACTTTGTTGATGTCTTAAAACGGCAAGTTTGTGAATCTATTCTCTAAAACTAACTTCATGTGGTCGTTTTCTAGGAGTGCTTTGTACAAAGGATGGCCCCTCACCCAGTCAGGATGAGTGGCTAAGACAGTTTGACGTCTCTCTTCCAGGCTGTACTCTAAAGAAACAAGTGGATATCCTGGCTCTCATAAAGCAGGTCAGTCATCACAGATCATTCAGGGACAGTTAAACTGATCTTTCTGGGGGGTATAGATCTCAAATGTGATTTTTCTTTCTCAGGAATTCCCTGAAAAGGAGGATAAACCAGCCCAGCACTGTTACACAACCAAAGTAAATGACCTGGATGTGCGGCATCTTCCTGCTATCCCAGTGGAAGAATCTCCACCTCCTTCACCATCCCCTCCAGATCCTCTCCCACCTGTCCCAGTTGAAACTACTGAACCTGAACCTCCAAAAAATCTAGCTTCCCCATCTCCCGCTCCCTCCAGCCCTACCAGTGTGCAGATCAAGACTGAGCCCGAACAGCCCGTTGATCCTCCTACTGATGCTCCCTCACCTGCTGATGTCCCAGAATCTGATGCTGCTGCTCCACAGTCAGTCACAGATTCAACAACTCTTCCTGAAGTTTCAGATGAAACTGCTCCTACTGAGGATCAGCAGAGTCTTGCTGTCAAGGGGGAAGACTCGGCCACTGATCCTGTCCAGCCTCCTGAAGATCCTCCCAATGACGTGGAGTCTTCCCCTAAGGCCATCAAGCAACGCAGGCCTATGTCCCCCGATGAAGAGGTGGTTCACCCCAAAATGAAAAAATGGAAAGGGATTCGCTGGAAACGTCTGCAGATGGTCATCACAATACGTAAAGGTGGTTCTAAGAAAGAGAGCAGTCGCGAAGTGTCAGAGCTGATGGAGCGTCTACGCATAACTCTTCGACCTGACAAGCTGCCTCGGGATAAACGCAAATGCTGCTTCTGCCACGAGGAAGGTGATGGAGCCACAGATGGCCCGGCCCGACTGCTCAATATCGATGTGGACCTTTGGGTGCACCTTAACTGCGCCTTGTGGTCTACAGAAGTGTATGAGACGCAGGGAGGGGCCCTTATCAATGTTGAGGTAGCTCTGCGTCGTGGTTTGCGGACGCTGTGTGCATACTGCCAGAAAACAGGTGCCACCAACAGCTGCAACAGACTGCGCTGCCCGAATGTCTACCATTTTGCCTGTGCCATCAGAGCACGCTGCATGTTCTTCAAAGACAAGACCATGTTGTGCACCCAGCACAAGCTGAAGGGCCCCAGCGAAGACGAACTCATCACATTTGCTGTTTTGCGGCGCGTCTACATCGAGCGCGATGAGGTGAAGCAGATCGCCAGCATTCTACAGCGAGGTGACAGGATCCACCTGTTCCGAGTCGGCGGTCTTATCTTTCATGCTGTTGGTCAGCTGCTTCCTTCCCAAATGGCAAACTTCCACTCATCCACCGCCATCTTCCCTGTTGGTTATGAGGCCACACGCATCTACTGGAGCACACGTGTCCCCAACAAGCGCTGCCGTTACCGCTGCCGCATCAATGAGGATGATGGCCGACCCCTGTTTGAGGTGCGAGTTCTGGAGCAGGGCATGGAGGATCTGCACTATCGTGACACCACCCCAGAGGGTAAGTACCAAAGCACTGCTCCCACATTATTTTACAAAGTTTCTTTCACTCTTTACTGAAATGAAGTCCACTCACTGTTAATTGTAATTAATTTGACATCTCTTGTCAAAAGGAATCTGGGAGCAGGTGGTTCAAGAGGTGGCGAAACTCCGAGATGAATCATCCATGTTGAAGTTGTTCACTGAACATGTAAAGGGGGAGGAGATGTATGGCCTCACCATTCATGCTGTCATGCGCATCACAGAGTCGGTAAGGATGGACACAAGGAGAAATGTGTCAACTTTTTTCAAATGTGGTTTTGTCTTTGTATTTCACTTGTGTTGAAGCTTTCTGCATTTACTTATATATACTGTGCATACACACATATATGAAGAAAGAGAGAGTTTATAAGAGTAAACTAACAGTGAGAAGAGAAGCATTACTGACAAACAGACTGCAACCAGACTCAAAATACCACCTACTATCTAAGACCTGTGGGCCTCAGGGTCACACATACTTGCTGTGATATACGGTTCAGCTGTACATCAAAGAGCGTTACTAACAAGATTTTTATTTGACTTTATTATTTTACAGTTGCCTGGAGTTGAGAACTGCCAGAACTACCAGTTCAGATATGGTCGCCACCCTCTGATGGAGCTCCCTCTCATGATCAATCCCACAGGCTCTGCTCGTTCTGAGCCCAAAGTTGCCACACAGTGCAAAAGGTAAAGAAGCAATATTTTGATGTACGAGCTAGACTCTGGTGGGCATACCATGAAGTAAACATGTGTGATCACTCTAAAGTCATTTCTAGCATGACACCTTGGTCCTTAGCATATAATTGTCTCCTCACAATAGTTATTCTCATAAAAAAAAATAACAAAAAAAATCCTAAAATTATTTTTCCAATTTTAATTAAAAGCTTTTTAAGTGAATTATTTCATGTACTGTTGTTATAGACATTTCTCTCCCATTAACAATTCATTTGTTAAGTAATCTTGCAAATATTCTGGATACTCACTCACATTTTCATGTCTGTTAACTTTTTTCCTCAAGGCCTCACACACTAAACAGCACCAGCGTGTCAAAGGCCTACCAGAGCACCTTCACCGGAGAACTCAACACACCATACAGCAAGCAGTTTGTCCACTCCAAGTCATCCCAGTATCGTCGTTTAAAGACCGAGTGGAAGAATAACGTCTATCTGGCACGGTCACGTATTCAGGGTCTGGGTCTGTATGCTGCTAAAGATCTGGAGAAGCACACCATGGTCATTGAGTACATTGGTACCGTCATCCGCAACGAGGTGGCCAATCGCAGAGAGAAGATCTATGAGTCTCAGGTAATTGAACTTATTAACCCCTGTGGAAAAGAAGTAGGATACAGGTTTTCTGTGTCAACAAAACAATTTTATAATGAGTTTTACAACTTTTACTTCTCTACCAAAATGGGAATGCCAGGCTTTTAACAGGACCTTACAGGTCAGCTGATAGGTTGACAGACCAAAACAAAGGCGGCGGCCTCCGTTTGGAACAGCCAGCTAATGTTAGAGGTCTGAAAGAGGGAGAAAATAAATATGCTTGATTTTGTCAGTATGTTTATAGTTATGCATGACATTTTTGGCAACATTTTGTTTAACTACCAAGCACAGGAGTTTTCTGTTAAGTCTGAGAATCTCTGCGGTAAAGGAAAAAAGACATTAGTGTGGAAGCATTTTTGTTTCAGTGCAAGGCCAAACTGTCTTCCACTGCTGCAAGAAGATGTTAAATTTTAGTTGAAATCTTAATTTTGACCACAGAATTGTCATCATTTGTTCTTCATTTTCTTTTTCCTAGAACCGTGGGATCTACATGTTCCGCATCAACAATGAGCAGGTGATTGATGCAACTCTGACGGGTGGCCCAGCTCGGTAAGTGTTCATTATGATTTATAGCTCTTCGTCAACCCTCTGGTAAATTATTTGTTACATTAATTTGATGGTCTTCTCTCTCCCAGCTACGTCAACCATTCCTGTGCTCCCAACTGTGTTGCGGAGGTGGTAACGTTCGACAAAGAAGACAAGATCATCATCATTTCCAGCCGGAGAATCCCCAAGGGTGAAGAGGTACAGGGCATTTAACAACTCATACTGTATGTTACATTTCTGTGAATTTTGTCAGGGAATTTTTTTTAAACATCTTTTCCAATATTCCAGCTGACGTACGACTACCAGTTTGATTTTGAGGACGACCAACACAAGATCCCTTGCCATTGTGGAGCATGGAACTGCCGGAAGTGGATGAACTGACCAGAAGAAAGGACAAGACGTAAAGGAACGTGGAGAAATTCCCTCCCACTGGTGCCAGAAGACTCTCGCGCCAAAGCCTTTGAATCCTACATAGCCAGTGCATAAGCTGATCTGAAAGACGACGAGGAGGAGGAGGATGGCTGGCCTCCATCAGTGGAAAAAGACTAAAAGCGTTGACACCTGTAGCCAAAGGTTTGAAGAGCATTAATCAATAGAAGCAAGCAACTGCTCCATCAACACCGATTTGATGGTGGCACTGACTTTCACATTTGGACTCCCCCTCTCCTCAGTCGAACCCTGATCCCTACTCCTCCTTTTTGACTGTTCTTGATAAGCTTACAGCGGCTGGAAATCAATCCTCAACATCTACCAAATGATTCTGACCCTCTGATATCAAAACTGGACAAAAAGCCATTTTTAAAAATACTAAGAGTGAACTAATGATGCTTTTTTATGTTTTAAGTCGGACCTATTTCCTGTCCCACCCTGACCACACCTCCCCCTTCAATCTCCCGGAAAAAGCACTTTCCCATCACGTCATCAATGAAGACAACACGGATATTTGGCTAGCTAGACAATCCTGATGTGGCTCTGTGAAAGAGCTGCGTCTGATCGATGGAATAATAAAAAGAAAAAAAAAGTTAATATAAAAATTGAGATGCTATTGATCTGTGGCTCCAGAGGCATCAGATGTTGTGACTGTGTGGAGTCCCATGGTGGGTTATCGGACCCAGTCTACCTCATTGATATAGCGGGAAGTGACTGCTTTGTATAAAAACTGTTAACTGCTACTGTGGAATGGGGGAGGGGGGGAGAGGGGGGATGTTTTTATGGGCTTAGCCTTCTCGGACAAGCAGGGAATCTTAAGCAGCAGGTTTGCTCTATCTACTCTATGCTGATGATTTACAATAATGAGCCAACATAATTATTATTCTTCATGAGTTGTTTATACAGAGGAAATATATGACAGTTTTGATAAGATATTGCATTAAAATCACAATCAGAAGCTTAGCAGGTGCCCTATTTGCCACCAGACCATCCTTGAAATTGATGTAGCTTTTTTTTTTTTTTTTGTTCTTTTTATTTATAAGTCTGGAAATCATGTTAGCCGTGTGAAAGCACAAGGACATCCACCTTTTCAGTCGCTTCAAAATCATGATTATGTGAGTGAACGGCTCAAGGAACGCAGGACATGTATGATGTCCAAAACGAACAGAGTACACATTTAGCTTCTTGCCTCATACATTGAAGTTATACTTGTTGAAACCACCAGGTGGATGCATGACTACTGTCCCATGAAATACTTTTTACTCCCCTCCAACTTCTCAATCTTTCCACGAGTCGACCCTAAGCTTTCTAAATCATGCCTCTTCCTCTGTAGTATGTAGTGGACTGTTGTTAAACATTACTGTAGTAAGTCTTCCTCTGCCTGAGTACAGCCTCATGTGTTTCTACTTCCCCTGTAGTGTGCTTTTTTCCTAGTGCTGGTACTGTCCCCTCACAGGTTGTACAGATGGCAGGGAAAGACTTATTGAAAAAAAGGGCATTTGTTTCATTTCTCTGTAAGATGAATGAAAAAAAAACAAGTCTTTAAAGGGAGCTTTACTAAAAAACTCCACCTTCCCATACTACTTAGTTTCCTCCTTCCCCTAACCTAAGACCTCACATGATTTAAAAATGCAAAGTTGTATAAACTGTATATATAGTATATGCATTGGGGGACAGCAACTCTTTAATTAGCCCCTTTGTAATCAACGAAGTCAAAGTGTAGAGAAATAAAATTGAAAAAAATCAACCACTGGATATCATTTTAACAAAGATAAAGCTGTATATAAATATAAATATATGTAAAATGGCAAACTAATATCTTTATGTATATGAACCAGAGTGTTTTGCATTTACCTGTTTTTTCTATTAGTGTTTTTGCTATAAGCTCTCAGAGACAAGTTTGTTAAACATAGGTATGAGAAAAGTGTCTGTTCTTCTCCAATCAGTTGTGATGAGAAGCCAATGTGATAACTCAACTTTGGATTCATGTGGAGGGTGGTTAATTATTTGACATGGAAATCACTTCTTGAGTACAGCAGTACAATGGTGCATAGCATTTGTATTTATGTAATATTGTTCGTGTTTATTTTCTCTTTTTATTTATGCTACTGCTTGTTGATTACCAAAACCTGTCCCTTAATTGGTCACGATTGGATTGATATACTCTTGAATGGAAAATCTTGAACTCCCTAGACTATTGTTAGTGTTTTGCTTTTTTATATCTTCCCTATAGAAGTGAATGTGTTGGTAAACCTTGTGAAATGGTTACTTGGCCTAATGTATGTTATGATGTAATACTCAAAGTTAACCCCATAATTAACCTGGTAATGAATTGCACTCTCATAGTATAACAAGGATCTTCTCTAAAGTGGTAGATATTGATCAAGTATCTGAAGCAGTGATATATATAAATATATATATATTTTGGTATGTTTCTATTTCAAGGGAAGACCATGAAGAGACATTATGCCGCTCACTGGATTTTAGCCTGAATAATTTTTAACTTCTCTGAATCTTAATTTAAGTTCTCTGCATATCTTATAATTTAATAAAGTTTGCTCAAAATTGAAGGTTTTTTTTAACCTCACCTACTTTTTAAAAAGATGTTGCATCTGTACAGCAGAGATACTTTTAGGGAATATGAATAAATATGATCATTTTTATTGTATGTGGCATGTTTTGTATGGATATTATTTTGAATTGTACATATTTTTTTCAGGACGCAAGAGGTTGCATCTCTTTATATACAGCTTTCCCGCTCCCCTTCCCCTTCATCTTATTTCTTTGTCTGCTTTTGTTTCTTGTAAAGGAAAATAAAATGCATTTTAAGGAAATTGAAGTGTTTTGTGATTCAGTGAATTTATTGATGAAAGGAGAATTAAGAAACTTAAGGACTGAGAGAAAATAAGGCAGTCAGAGGAAATAAGACAGTGGTTCTCAAGTCCAGTCCTTGAGCCCCCCCATCCTGCATGTTTTGGATGTTTCCCTGCTCCAACACACCTGATTCAAATGATTAGCTCGTTATTATGCCATTTCAGAGCTTGATAACGAGCTGATCATTTGAATCAGGTGTGTTGGCACAGGGAAACATCCAAAGTGTGAAAGTGAAATGTTAGGTTCAAGTTGATTGATAATGAATTTGAGTTTTTCAAGGTGAAACCAATAAAGTGGTAAACACAATAAAAAGGGGAAAGGAGTAAATTATTTGTGAAAGCAGCAGGATGAGATAAAGCAATAAAGAAAAACAGGACCTTTAAAGGGATAACACCAGAATTTTAACTATTAAAACCTAATTAAACACAATAAATGAATGAAAAACAGCAATAACAAGATTTAAGATCATAAAAGGAGTTAAACACATTTCAAAACGATTCAGCAGTTTAAGGAAATTAAAGTGTCTTGTGATTCAGTAAATTTAATGATTGAAGAAGAGAAAAAGAAACCAGGACAGAAAATAAGTAAACAGTAAAAAGAGGATAATGTTATCATTATTCTGTTTCCTTCAGCGTTTGTCTGATAGAGAATTCATGTTCTTGATTTCTCCTACAGTACCTGTTTGGTGAAATTTGTCTATAATGAGATTAAATACAGGGGGGAAAACCATAGGATAAACAGGTCAGTTTCAAACTTTGAAATGAGCTTTTATACTTGATTTTAACACACATTCACAGACAAACAGAGCTTTGGTGTTCTTTGTCTGCATGATTATAAAATATCTTAGACTGGACTCACATAGTATTTCAAACTTTGAGGGTTTTAACCTCTAAAGCAGCTGCTAAATTCATGTTTTATTCAGATTATAGAGATCCTTCTTTTCCCAGAGTTGACTTTTAATGCTTTCATAACATTTCACCATCTTTAGCTGAAGTGTTTTCATATAGTGTATTGTTGGTTTAATGTGATAAATATTGAAGAGAAAGAGTCCTAGAATAAAAGCAGACTTAAAGATGTGTATTGATGATTTATTTTTTAATATGTAAGACATAAACTCTCAGACAAGGTTCTGCGGTTTTTGACAGAATATTGACGTTATGTCATTTTGTTACTGCAGCACTGTTCACAGTTTTAGTGACTTTAATTGCTCATTTAAGAGGCCGGTAGTCCTCAGAAATCAATTTTTGTCTAACATAATAAACTCTCGGAGATGAAACATGGAGCAGGAGAAACTCTGTAAAATGAGCTGACACTGATTGTTTCCATCAAACACACTCTGACAGAGTTCCTATGACTGACTACACGGATCTAAAATATCTGTAAATCTTCAGTCAAAAGTGCAGAAAACTCTTGTTTTCAGGAGCAGGACTCAGATACTGAGGAGCTGATTTGAGTAAAAACATGTTTTCCAGCCTCCGTAGTTTTCAGCTGAATTCTTTCTAGAACAAGATTGCAGCAATGTCACTAAGACTGAAGACTCTAAACTGACGCTTCTGGTGGACTTTCACTCAGACCACCTTCAGCATTGAGAGAGAGAGCAGTACATATTGAAGAGAGATTTTTATCGCTGGTTTAGAGAGCAGTTATTGTTCAAGAGAAGAGAGAGTTATTGATAGTTATCGTTTGCTTAGAGAGCAGCAATCACTTTGAGAAGAGAGTTTTTAATATTGACGTTTGTTTGACCTGTGTTTACATTTTGTAAAAGTTTCATGTTCTCCACCTGAGAAGGAAGAGCTGACTTTGCTAACATGTCCTCTGAGGTTCAGAGAGGGGAAACACCGGTCAGCAGCACGTCTGTTGACTCCATCCTGGAGTTTATTGGTGAAGGCTGCTATGGTAAAGTGGCCAAGTGCCTGAACCAAGAGACAAGAGAGACAGTGGGCATCAAAATCCGGAAGAAGAGGCCTGGAGTGATCCATGATTATGAGAATGAGGTACACTTTGAGACTCATTTGGTTCTGCAGAGTTAGATCTGCCTCAGTTACACACACGGATTTTAGACCTCTGCATCCTCACTGAGATCAGGCTTTTCAGACACATTAAACCAGATAGATGCAGTACAAACATTATCCACCAGAGAGCAGAAGACATGCTTCACCAGACCTGTGCGTGGGACAACAAATAACTGACAAAAAAAATTAGATTTTTTCTAATGAATATTTCTGCAGATATAAAAAAAATAAAACAAGAATTGCAATCAAACTGTTATTGATACTTCAAAAGGAACATAAAGCTAAGCCTTCATGTTCACCAGCTTAGTGTCTGTTTGTCATGTGATGGCGCGCAGGTTATGTATGGTGGAATGTTTGAGAGTTTTTTTTCTGTTTCTCTCTGTAAACACTACAAATTTAGTTAGTAGAACGGTGAAGTTGCAAGATAGTAAATGCCTGGAAACTGTTCAGGTTTCAGGTTACAATAAAACTTAAATGCAAGAAGAAGCTGTGTTTTTGTCTAAAATAGTAATCACATGATTGGAAAATCTGTGGGTATGCTCTTCATTCACAAAGACATTTTCTTATGGTTTGCCTTTGTAGCCAGGTTTGAACAGAAATATTGTGAATCCTACAATCAGTAAGGTCTGTTAAAACGTAGCCTATTTAAAGTTGGATTAAGTCGGGTTATAGTGTTAGCCTACTATCCCTCTGTCAGTATCCATTTAGCTTTGAAAATGGTTCAAGTGATACAAACTAAATTGTACAAAACTATAGGGTAAGTATTTAAAAAAGGTTCATGCTGTTTTGTCATTAGCAGTACAGAACCGTAAAATGAATTACAGTAACAACTAGTCAATTTTACAGATTAATACAGATAGATTAATGGCAACCATGCTGTCAGGTTTTTACTGTTTTTTTACAGGAAAAGAAATAAAAAAACAGTTCATACTGTATTTGTAATTAACAGAACAATACCGTAAAATAAATCACAGTTGAAAGACGTTATTTTTTACCGTAGAATAATGGCAACCCTGCTGCCAGTTGATTACGGTTTTTTTACAGGAAAATTTCTAACAGTGTTGATGTTGTTGCTCTGGTCTGTTTGTTTTTCTGATATTGTGAGCCAATGTGAGCTCAGGGATCCTGTTGGTGCTTCAGACTTTATAAGAAACTTCTTTTGTATCAAACTCTGCAGCAGCTTAGAAACTAAAGCCAAAGTCTGTCCTCTTTATAACCCTGCAGCTGCTGGTCGCTCTGGATGCCCTGAAGGGTCTTGGTAATGTGCACTGTGACATCAAACCAGACAATATCATGCTGGTCAGGTGGGAACTGCCCCTTAAGGTGAAATTAATCGATTTTGGAGAAGCTGTGCAAGTCTCCTAACTCCCACGTGGTCCCATGTTTCAACCTGTTGGATACAGGTTAGTGGGTTCATCTTTGATTCTTTGATACAGCTAATACAGATTTCTAACCCTGGTCTGTGCTTTTTCTTCCTCAGAGCTCCAGAGGTTTCCTTCGGCCTGCCTCTCACTAAAGTGATTGATGTTTGGGGAGTCAGCTGTGTTTTGGCCTGCCTGTTTTTGGCTCAGAAACCTTTTCCAGTCTACTGCGACTGTCGGATGGTAGGTGACCTTCCTCACACACAATGGAGACTTTCTGCAGACCCTCCCCTGACCGTCTTTTTCTCATTTCTCTTTGCAGATGAAGCACATTGTCACAGTTCTGGGCCAGCCGGAGGACCACCTGTTCTACACTGCAGATGTCCTGCACTCAGTGGATGAAGACCCTGAAGACAGCCGTCTTCCTGGTGGAGAGGTGCCACCTCAACAATCAGACTCCCTACAAGAGTTTGAACCGGAGTCTCTAAATGGAGGACTGCCTCCATTATTAAGTGGTGACGTTTCACCGTCTCAGTCCTGTGCCAGAGCTGAAGGCAAAGACCTTCATGAAAATATATCTGCGTCTGAACAATCAGATCATTTACCTTAAAAAGTACAAGAAGACAACCAAGCTGACTGTAATGGAGCCGAACCCAACTCCGCTCCTCCAGCTGTAGACTTGACCCTCGGGCCTCAGTCTCCTCCAGTCGCAGCAGAAACCTCCTGAAGAGGGTTGGAAGATTCTTCAGGAGACTGAAGACGACCCTCTGTTGCTGCTGTCAGGCAGAGGAAGACTAAAACTTGTATTGTTTTGTCTTGTAAATGAAATATGTCTAGTGTTTGCTCTAAAATGCACAAATACAGACCTTCAATAAAAGGTTACTGAAAATAATTTTACTGTGAATAAAACTGAATTTTATGAACTGACCATGTTCAAGGTTAGAGGTATTTGAAATGTCATTATGGTGACTTTAGCTGTGACACAGGAAATCAAGGGTGTGTGTTACACATGTTGTACATCACCAGAATAACATTTAAAACACTGATGTATTTGGACTTATCTATTGTTTTAAATATCAAATCCCTTCGGGTATATTCATGTGAATCTGAGTTCGAGGTGTGCCTTCACCGTGAATGTTGCACACCTCGAAGGAGAATTTCTCTTAGATTTATGATTATGGCATTAAAACCAAAACCACTCAATGTGTGTCTAACACTATATTAAAACTTGATGCAGCCCCATAAGCAGAAGAGGACACACACAAACACACACATATTAATGACAACATGCAGCAGTGCCTAACAAATGAAGAGCATCGATCTCCAGTTTGTTTTCATCAGCCGTTTGATGAATATTGCTCATGCGGTCAGGCCATGATTACGATTATTCAGTGGCTCAGTCTGTTCCTGATATTGACTTACCTTTTTTAAACCAAACCAGTATTATTAGTCCGTCCTTTGTCACAAAACTCTATCAAATTGAATCACAAAATTCCGACAGAGAAAACCAGGACATGATCAACCAAGCAAAGGACGACAATAGAAACGACTCAAAACTTCAGGACCAGTGAGTCCTCCTGGACTGAAAACGAAACCTCATTTACAGCCCAGGTCTTCACAAAAACCTCAGATTGGTCAGACAGCCTATAAAAACCAGACTCCATCCTGAGCCGAGCTGCCAACATTAACATAGCCACCATGTCCTGTGACCCCTGACCCCTCACCCTATTCTTTCTTGTATTCCAGGTGTCCTATTTTGATAAGCCTGAGATGTAATTTTCAGGGGTGTGAGCTGCCTTGGTATTTGAAGAGTAGCGTGGCCCATAGATGTACAAACAGAAAGAAAAGTGCTCCCCTAACCCCTGAAACCAGCCCTGCAGCAGCCTGATACTCTTAAAGTTTTGTTTTTTTATTCTAAAGAACACTGAACATGTCCCAACTTTCTGTGTTTTATTAAACCGTTTTAAAACAAGCCTGGACTTGCTCAGGTTACAATGCCAGGGTTAGGGTTTAGGGTGGAGGGCTTATGGATGCTCCTGTAGTAAATAAAACATTATGAAATGTACACTCTGTTGCCCTTTTTGCAAGAAATGCATAAAACATGCTTTGGTGGCAAAAGATAAAACATGAAGAAGTGCCCTCTGGATGCCCTTTTAGTATATAGAGTGTGTAAAATGTCACAGTCCAGGGTAAAACAAAAAAATGGACCCAAACGCAGAACAAAAAGGATTTTTTTTTTTCCAAGAACTAAAACAACAAAAACTTACTTCCAAAAATGTCTAACAAAAAATTTAATATCCAACTCAAGGTACTGGGGGAAAAAATCCCAAGGAGACAGTGGGGACTCTGATACACACACCTTGACAAACAAACAAACAAACAAACAAACACACACACACACACACACACAATGAACCAACAAAGAAACAGGGGAAGACAGGGGCTATATATACACACACAGGGAAATGAGCAACGAGAGGCAGGTGAGAGACTAAGACACAGGTGCAGACAATTAGGCCCAATCCCAATCCACCCCCTACACTCTCGCCTTTCACTACCGAGTGTCATTCGTAATGAAGTTACACTCACAACTGTGGAGCGCACCTGGTACAGGACGCCCTCCTCACTCCACCGGTAAATGGAAAAATTAATCGCCATAGCAACATAAAGACGTGTGTGCATAGCAGCGTTTCTTTTCTTAAACGGGCATCATGTACAGTTCTGAGCCGCACCAGATGCCTTGTTTTTTCATCGTCCCAGTGAAATTATAAATCCAGCTACCATCACAGTGACAGGAGCTAAATTATTTTTCTGATTGTAGGTAATTCCACACATTTTTGTACCCCTTTACTATTTGACATGTGCCTGTACAATCAAATCAAAATTCAGCAAAGAGAAAGATTTCCGAGTTTGGTTTGATCTTTCCAAACCAAGTCTTTTGTTTTTTATTTTGTCAGTGAGACGAAGGTGGACACATGCAGAACTTTTATTTGTATGTTGTTTCCGTCTCCTCCATTTTTGCCGGCACACTACCTGCAAATCCCGCCTTAAGTGTGCATTGGCACAGACTTGCTATTTGAGGGCTGAACGGTCCACTCTTCTCCGCACTCTGTGGTTTGGGACGTGCAAACGGAGGAGTGGGCAGGTTTGGGCAGGAGCAGCAGGTTGACATTTTGAAAAAAAGCACCAACTCACGTTTAAGAAAAAAAGAGGAATTTATTGTATATCATCTATATACACTTTAACATAGTCTGAAAAGATTTCCACATGATGATTTGAAATCTTGAAGTTTCTGTTATGAACAGGATGTCTGATGGTCATATACCCATGGCAACAATTCTAACATGGACAGGAGTGTGTGGACAGTTTTGGTTCAACTTACGGTAGCCTCCAAACTTCTTCTCTATGCTCGCCTTTGCACTGCCTGCTGAACATCTACCCATGTTTTCAGTAGCAGCAACATTTCTGGGATACACAACCAAAGACCCAAAAGAAAGAAAGAAAAGATGGTGGGAAGAGGGAACGACAAGCCTAACGTTCATCTAACCTCAGTGCAGAGGACCCAGTGTTTGAACAACATGCTAAATGGATACTAACATGACACATGGAGTCTGGATCATCGATGACAAAACTAACATTAAATAAAGTCCCTGTGGACGTAACAGTGCAGAGCCCAACAGTGACAAATGTCAGTGTAATACTTTCATAGTTTAATCCGCAGACTGTCTCCACGCTGCAGACGACAACGGAGAAGAGAAACATGCAGTTTCACTGTAAAGCATGTCAGTCTCTGAAACTACATTTCACATCGAACTGTGTGACCCCTGCGTGAACTGTCACAGCTGTCTTTATCCCAGAACAGCCATGGGCGGCATTAGAATTCAAGGTTACATGATGCTTTAAAAATATTCCAGTGTCAATGAGAAAGAGATGCCACCCCGCAGGACATTCAGTACGCAGACGACGGAGAATTGCATTACTGAGCTCAGATGAGAACCCAAGAAGCAAAACCAACATTTAAACATTAAAAAAATAAAAGTTGCAGCAAAATTATTTGGGATCAGTAGTACCACCAAATCGCCATAAGAGGAGAATTCCAGCAGATGACCCAGTCTATTTCCTGGCACGGTTCGAAACCATGCAGACTGATCAAAGTACCGTTCAAGCAAAACTCACTGTTGCAATGTCACACTGGTTCTTGTGGCATAACAGAGAAAAATATGAATGTTTTATATACAAATCATATATGTACCCATCATCAGTAGTGTCTAATGTCAGAGTCAAACAAAATCACCCATCATGACATCTTTACACAAAACACAACAACATATTTAAAAAAAGAAATCATTTTCATTGCCATTTCATACGCCTCTTATTTGCTCAGTGTGCATGTTGTCATTGACTGTCACCTGTAGAGGGCACTATGGCTGCATCCACATTAGCACTCTTTATCTTATTACATGAATGCAACAACAACAACCCTCCTTTGATGAGCTGTCTGAAAGGTGGTGAAGACTTGGACTGAACCACAACTTTTACCTCAAGACTCTGGCTTCTTACATCTCGTCTCACAGTGTTCATTTATAGGAAATTAAAAACTATCAACAAATAAATAAAAACTTAGACCATCCCAAACACAATTATTCATCCCTGCCACATTTCAAGCTAACACTGGGACTAAACCAAATCTATCGCGGTCTCACACATGAAGAGGAAGCTACAGTTGAGTGCAACTAATTTTTGTTTTTCGGAGACTCGAGTGAGTGAGGGAGGAACAAGTAAATGCACTGAAATAAGAAGAAGTCCAATACCTCGTTTCATCTTATTTACCGACATGCTAGTAGTTTAGACACCTTTTAACCCGAGAGGCCGTGCCTCAGCCTCATCACCCCCTCTCACAGCAACAACAGAAAATGAAGTCTTATTAATCTTCAAATTAAAACTCACAGCGTTCTGGACTCGACTTAAAAAGATTTCAAGGAGGTAAAAAAAAAAAAAAAAGATCAAACAAAAATAAATCCCATCACTGTACAGTAGTAGTTATTCCTGCCATGGGAAATGCAAACAAAAAGGGGCTGAGTGTGATGATATTAACAGTGGTAGTGCTGTGGTGGAGGTGGCCCATGGAGAAAGAGGGGGGCAGTCTGAGGGGGAGGACACACTAGGAACGAAGGGGGAGGCAGGGAGAAGTCAAGAAGGAGAAGGAGGGTGTCTCTCAGTAGTTTTGGCTAAAAAGGTGAGGTAGGCCTCGTCACAACTCGGAGTGTGGCTTTAGAACTGGCAGGGTTTTTCATTTGCAGTCTGTCTTTAGTGTTCGTTTTTTTTTCCTATGGGGAGTGTGGTCTGGTTTGTGCGTCTCCAGCGCGTCTCGTTTCTCTCTCCGCTCACATCTTCACGTCCTCCTCCACGCTGAGCTGAGATAGGGTCTTCTTGATGCGCAGGGCCGTCAGTCTGGCTGCTCCGTTGGCGTACCAGCACTCCCTCATGATCTTCCCCATCACTCGCAGGGACTGAGGAGAACAAGGGCATGAGTGAGAGTCTAATTCATTCAGTTTTAGGAGGAAAAAAAAAACAACAAAGTAATGGTGTTGATGTTTTCACCATGTTGAAAAAGTGACAGATCTCAAAGCCTGACTCACCTCGTAGCTCTGCCACCAGTTGGGCACATTGGGCCTCAGTTTCTGGTCGCACACTACCTTCCTCATTTCTTCTATTGAGGGGTCAGAGGGCACAAGGTCGTAGTAGGGAAGTTGGTACTCCTCGTGGATACCTGCAGGACATGATTGAGGAGACTTTTCAGTTTCTGCTTCATGTTTCTGATTCATTCACTTCAGCTGCATCTTATAATCTCACCTCCTGCGTTGCAGCGACGTGCAATCTCCCAGTACACCAGGCCCAGGGCATAAATGTCCGCACATTTAAAGGAGTCAAAGTGTTTCATGTTGATGGTTTCATCCAGAACTTCTGGAGCCATATACCTGGACAGAAACAAAGAGTGTGGATAAAGAAGAACAAGAACATCACAACCTTTGATCATCTGACCGATAACAATTCATGGACTCAACTTTGGACTCGTGTACAAATTGATTGATCTGCAGGAATGAACACAGTTGGAGCTCTTACCTCTTGGTGCCCACTCGCTGATTCGGTGCTATATCAATTGTGTCTGTGATAGACTCGTGGCGGACTGCCAGGCCTAGGTCAGCGATGGCACACATGCCGTTCTTCTTAACCAGGATATTTTTAGACTTGAGGTCGCGGTGAGCGATGCCTGGCTTACCTGCAGGAGGACACCCAACACATAATTACATTTGCCATGGGCTCAGCACAAATAGCACACACTTACTGAAGGGGAGTAACTCCCGCCTGGGCTTTTGTGTTCTTGCTGTGTTTATTTATTGATTCGTGGTATTCAGGGCTGCATTTAAACATGACAGCCTGTCTCACCCTGAGTGCCAAGGATTTCCATGTGGAGGTGTGCCAGGCCACTGGCAGCTGACAGTGCCAGTTTGATCATGCCCTCGATGGTGACAGAGTAGCGGTTTAGGTAGTCGAAGAGAGAGCCGTGCTCGTGATAGTCTGACACCAACCACAGCTGAGTCCACGTGCCATTGTCTGGAAAAAAAACAACACAAACATAGTATAAAGAAGTGTTTGATTTCAAAAAAACAGTTTCAGGACAATTTAAAAAATGGATCACTTCTGTCACAGTTGTACTTTGAGGGATCTTACACCTGCAGTGTTTGAAAATGCCTGAACTGCTCAACAATGCCTGCAGATGTCCTTACCTTTATTATCTGCTGCAATAAATCCCAGGATGTTTTCATGGCGCAGCATGATTGTCTGATAGATCTCCGCCTCTCTGAACCAGGAGCGCTCCTCTCTGGATGAGAATATCTTCACTGCTACATCTCCTCCTCTCCATTTCCCACGCCACACCTCTCCGAAGCGACCCTTTCCTATGATCTCCTGCAGCACAATGGTCCTGGCCACCGTTCGCTGCACAAACAGGGGCAAACCTGCAGAGGGGTAGAGAGGGATACAAACAATTAGCTGAAAGCCTCTAATTACACCTTCAGAAAGATGATACAGTAACCTGCTTGATCCTCAAACGTATTTCTCTTACTTAAAATCAGTTTCTCACACTTGACTGGCAGGGTGTACTGACCTGAGCCTGAACCTGAGGTGGACATATCATAGATGAGGTCCTGCAGAGTCTTGTCCTTAGCCAGGTACAGATGGTCACAGGACGGGTCCTCCACCTCCAGCCTCTGTCGGTGGCTGTAAGCTCTCTGATGATGCTGGAACAGGAACACGCCGACCATCAGCAGCACACAGAGGAGGAACACGGGCCCTGCGATGACTGCCACCAGCTCCACTGGACCCCAGGAGTTTCCTGAACCGGACCAGTTGACCTCTTTTGTAGGGACTAGTAAGAAAAAACAGTGAGAGGTGCAGGGTTTTTGATTTCAATTTCAATTTTAATGAGCTTTTTTGGCATGACTGTTCCTATAGTATTGCCAAAGTGTTTTAACACAAAAACAATAACAGTAATAGTAATAATAATAGTAATAGTAGAAAGAAAAATTATAATAATTAAAAAATAAATAAAAATAAAATAAAATAATAATAACAATAATAATAATAATAATAATAATAATAATAGAAATAATGATAATAAATTAATAATAATAGAAATTCTAATAATAAAAATAACAATAAAATAAAAATAGCAATAAAAAATAATAACAACAACAACAATAATAATAATAATATTAATAAGAGTAATTCCACTGACTGTGAAAGTGTAACTGATGAGCTCAAAGTGAGTGGATGTTTGATGACAAAGCCTCACCTGGGACTTTCAGGTCAATACTGTTGCAGTAATCTTCATAGCAGCAATGTGTGTTGAGCAGCCCCTCAGCGCTCAGGCAGTAGAAAGGTTGTCCGGGGGGCACCAGGTTGTCCCGGGTGATACAGATGCGGACATGCTGCTCCTTCCCCTCGATGTAGTACGTGGAGGCCATGCAGGCTCCATCTGTCTCGCACTCATAGCCGGTCTTTTCACAGTTTGTGCAGTTACAACGCAGAGCTGCAAAAGAACAAAACAGAGACGATAGCTCGGATTAAACATTTCTCTTCTGCATTTTGTCCAGCAGGGGGAGGACTAAGTTAACAGTTTCGACGCAGGATGTAAAGAGCATGGCGCCTCATTCAGCTGTAGGCATCCTGTGCCGTGCAGACAGAACTCACTGCAGCCAGACAGCCCTGAAATCAGATCCTTCACTGCAGATGAACCCAAACACACAGGGTGGAGACGGACCTGCCCGTTGGGACAGACAAAGTGAAACCCAACAAGGGGAGAAAGCTTCTGCCAAATCCCCGATGCAGCATTCTGCTCCATTCGTCTCTTTGGTCTTTCTCACACTGACACGCAGAGCTGCCACTGTTTAAACTAATGAGACAGGGGTTTTATTTAACACAGCGCACTGCAAGGGGACCTATTAGAAGTGACACAATGGAACTCCTGCCACTGCCATAATAAAACCATGGTGGTCTGAACTTCACACTCAAATGAGCTCAGTGCGACTAAGTCCACACGAACCTACCACTTCATAAACAAACTGAAGCTAGTTGGGCATCCAAAAGGAGGAGGAGGAGGAGGAAGAAAATGCAGACTGATTTGATTTTGAGTGAAATGTGATTTTGAGTCATAACACATGCTTCTCGTTTAGAGAAAGGTCAGCACAAAAGGCTTCTTCCAAGGATTTCTACGAGCAGAGTCAAAGAGGGGATTGTGCAAGGCTTGTTAGCTGAGGGGTTTTTGCAATGAGTTGATACGTGGGAATAAGAGAGACCCCCTGTCTGTGTTAAATAACTAAGTGTCTGAGTGACAACAGCATGACGGGACAGGAGCTGATCCCCTCTGTCAAAAAACAAATGATTCTACTACTCAGGATTAATCGCTGTGGAGTTTGCAAAGACAAGACCACCAAACCAACAGCATCATGAAAGGAGACGAAAAAAGCAGGAGAGAATCTAAATCCTTGCTCTCCTTCAAAAAGAGAAAAGGCTCAGCATCAGTTGGACCACAGACAATGTCTGATCCTGGGGTAAGAAAAGATTTTACGTGTGGCAAGCTTCCACTAATCCTCAGTCAGTGTCTCGCCCTGAGGGTTCCTTTGACCACTCCAGCCCCCTGATCATCCCTCTTTGAATCGAAGTCGGGTCCCTGTCAGAGGGTGTCGGCAGGTTTCAGCACTTTTTTTTTTAACTCACAGATAAGTGAGGAAATGAAAGTCTCACGATGACTGATAGACTGATTTCGCCATCGGCATGTAACAACCGAGCGTCCAAACTTACCAACCTCGGTGTCATAGGAGTGGTTTCCACTACACCGCTCTCTGGGAGGTTGCATCCTGTGTGGGAGCATTTTTTATATGTAGCGTGTGAGTCGATGTGTTTGAGCTTGTCTGCTAAGGGTAACTGGAAATGTTGAACACTTGAAGCGGGCTTTCAGTAATAACCCTCATCTGTTCGGTGTTTATATGCGTTTGTGCACACACGTGTGGGTCTCTCCTGCTCTGTGTAATGAGTGGGAAAGTGGTCGGGGTGTTTCGAAATCGACTCCGGTTCGCATGTAGATGGAATTTCCTGCAGATTACACAGAGGTGAAGCAGGCTGGACCTAATGGGAGGGAAAAACAAGCCCTGTGCCAAATCTAATGTATTAATGGAGGGAAAAAAAGTGTTGGCGTCTGAAGACATGAGGGGGGAGGGGGTCGACCTCCATGACACTTCACCAAATCTCCTCTTCTTTCATTGGGCTTCTCCTTTGATCAGACAAAAAGGAAAGTTGAGAGAAGTTGCTCCAAGTTTAATCCATCAATCTTTCTCCTTTCTGTTTTTATTAACAACCTCGCAATGATCTGATAAGACAGCGTGATCTGACATGAGCATGCACATCTATCATGAAGACTTAGTGTGTGGTAGGACAGATGGTGCACAGACATACAGAAGCTCTGAGGGGAAACCAAACATAGATAGAAACACACACATTTCCTGCTGGAGTCGACCATAGGTGGTCTGTGGTCTACCAAGAGTTTGGTTTGTGGAAAAGTCTTCGGCATTATGACTCTACCATATGTAGCCTCCTTCCACGCTCACAAGCAGCAGCGTCTTCAAAGAATGACAGGATGTGTAATTTAATATCGAGACAGGGGTCGCGAGCATTTATAGAAACGGATAAGACTCTGATCAGGATTGTTGCCGACAATCCACAACGAGGAATCCAAGACAAAACTGCAGCAAAGCAGGAGAAGAAGTGCAGGGGGATCAGGTGGTGTTTGTGTGAGGAAACTGATGCCAAGGCAGAGTCCATTCTCTGCCAATGAACGAAGGATTCACTGCGAACTGGTAAAGGTTTTAAAAATAACAATACAGATGAGAGTGTCCTGATAATGTACACTGATCCACCTGCTTTATAAGATTACAAATCAAGGGGACTCATCACAATAAGGGAAATTTTTTTATCTATGTAAATACATCACAAAAAGTCTTGATCACTAGTTTTTAACACAGTCCATAACAAACCGATACAACTTTACACAAATAGTACAGCTCAGCCTCTGTGCAAACTTTTAAAAACAGAGCTCCCTGGACGACAGCTGATGTTAATGCTGGTTACTAAATACTCTACTAAATACTCTGTATGCCAAAGAAGAAAAAGTGCTGAGCTTGGAGGAATTGTTTTTTTTTTTTTTTATCAAATCAGAGGGAAAAATATTTAGCGGAGTAAATTACTGCCATATGGGACTTTTAGAAGGCACAATCAGAATTAAGACACAGGGTTATGTAATCTACAGATGATTTTCTTAATGACATAATCTAAATGAGTGATTCACCGAGTTATGTTACAGATCTTAGACTCATTCTCTCTCTCTCCCCCGCCCTCTCTCCCACTCCTCCCTGTCTCTCTGTACTTCTCCCCAACCCAGCTGTGGCAAGGTGGCTGTCTAACATGAGTCTGGTCCTTTCCAAGATTTCTGCCCATTAAATGGAAGTTTTTCCTTGCCACTGTCACCAATGTTAGATGAGATGGGTCAAATCTGTCCCATCTCAATGTTGGGTCTTGGGATATCGACTGTTGTGAATTGGCGCCATGTAAATAAAATTTGATTGATTAATTGATGTTTGAGCATGGCTGATGTTTCGGTCAAAATCACTGAGGTGTTTTATTCCAAACTGAATTTTCACTCAGCAGCAGTCAGTTTAAAGGTCCTTACACACCGGGACCGTTTTTTCGTGCGATTATTTCGGACGTCAATATTTTTTTTGAACTCGCATCCTGTCAAATCGCATCAGGCTTGATGTGTATAGTCAGGCCCATCAAAATTCACCTCTGAATATCTCATAATTTTGCGTTTTGTATACGCGGCGGTGCCGGTGTGTAAGGACCTTTAGTTTTAATTTTCTGTCGTTGGGGTTAGATAAACGCGTTTTCAGAGGATCTTTGTGATATCCTTTTGAGGGCTGATGCTGGTATGATGCAGATTCACAAAATACCATTAATCAGTTTCTCTTAACGATAAATCATCAGTGGTGTAAAACCAACACCTCGGAAAATTATTAAAAAGAAACAATAAAACTAAAAACGAAGGGTCCATGCCAAGAGTGACCGATAAAAACTCCTTTGTCCACCAGAATTTACCTAAATTCCAGGTTGTTTGCAGAGATCGCTGCAGATCAGAGCTTCAGTGTTACAAAGTGAGACTTGAAGGAGGAATATCAAACCTGAATACACATGGATGTGAGTGCAGGCCGGGTGTGTGTGGTTTTTGAGTGAACTGTGCTCTTGAATCCACATAATTGGTGGTCTTTACACTGGGCCTTTGTGCAGAGATTAAGACAACATGAGGAGGGATTGGACTGGCCCTACTCGAACAAAGAGCAGAGTGGAGTGGGGGGAGCAGACTTCGGCGTGGACTAGCACAAGGAGGGGGATGGGCGAGGGTAACAGTAACAACCCCCGATGTTTAGGGGGCTGCTTCAGGCTAGACAGGATGGGGGCAGGTCCCAAATTTGGCAGGACAATATGGAGGGTGAGAGGCAGATTGAAGGGGAGAGGGGGGGCTTACAGGGCCCCCCAGCTGCGATCGAGGTCTGTCCAAGCGACCAGCTGCGACCATCATTAAAACCCAGTCTAGACTTTGACTTATGGGAGGGGGTGAATAACAGGAAAAAAAGGAACAGGAGGAAAGAGGGGTGAAGGCAGTGCGAGAAGTGACTGCTGGTGTGTGGAGTTCCTATCATTCCCTTCGTGTTGAGACAGGAAATGGCAGACACAGCGAGGAAGGGATTAATAAAACATTGTTGCCATAACCAGAGCAGCCTTAACTTAGACCCAGTTCAAAACCACAGCGTAGTCCCACTCCAAACACATTCACATATGAACCTCTGTGACCGTGTTTTGTTTGTTTACAAGGGTACACAGGCTGTTCGTGCAGAGCTAGCCTGTCAAAATAGAGGTGAACTTTCCAGTATGCTCCAGTGATAAAGTCTGGAAAAAAACTCTTTAAGTGTGTTCAGTGCAGGGCTGTAAGGTTACAAAAACACAGTGGGTTTTGTGGGGTCCAAGCAACACAGAAAGTCAGTCCATGGTGTGTACGGGGGAGCCAGGCACCATTACCAAAATGCACTGGCTGAAATTAGATCCATACAGATACCAGACTGAGAGCTGATCAAGACAAGCAGACGCCACCAGACAGTGTGAGTGCACAAACACACTCAAACACAGGGGGCATGCACACACCACAACTGTGTCCTAATCAATGCTCGGGGAAGGAGGAAAGTCATTACCTTTGTCTGCATCTCAGGGTCAGATTACTGATCTGATTCTAAAGTGAAGTCTCTAGGGCCCAGGCTGCTCCTACTATCTCTACCAGCCACCACCCTCCAGGCTGCATCCCATCCTGTCTGTCTGACCGACTATTTGTCTGATGCCCTGGATGCGATCAAAGGCGTACAAGTGTAAGTCATGAGCACTGGCTCACTCTGTGCTGCTGCTGCTCAAATTCAGCATTCAGCTAGCCTATGTTACCTCCCCTGTAATACCAGGAAAAATTACAGCTCTGTAGGACAATGTAGTAGCCATGTGACTGGAGCTTTAAGAAACCTTCTAGGTATTAACAGACCAGACTGAACAATTAATCCTATTTTTGTCTCTCTACAACTGCTGGAAAAGTTCAACTAAAGTGGTACAGCTCAGGCTCAAACCTCAAAGTAACAAAAACTGGCTGTAAATTACTGTCCGGTTTTGTGCTGTTCCTATTAGAGCTGTCCAGATACTGATTTGTAGCTTAAAATATTGACCCATACTGATCCAATATTGGCAAAAAATTGTGCATGACAAGTTGTTCACTCAGCTGCAATGTTTTTTTCTGACTTGATCAAAAAATACTGCCACACAGCCGACATCACTCTTACTCCTTGCTACTTTGTTAGTACCTTAGTACACACTGTTGTTGTGATTTTGTGGGCTCAGCTCGCTGGATCAGGGCGCTGCTAGATAGAGGTGCAGGAGTGGAGTCTGGAATGGACTGCTTATATCTGATATCAAAAATTTTAGATGCAGGCCAATAAAATCCGATATTCCTTTTTTTGCTGCCGATATCGATATCAATATCGTATCTGGACACCCCTAGTTCCTATCTTAATCTTGGACTTAAATATTAATCATGTCAACATAAAACTCTTGTTTACTTTGCTACAAAGACATTCAGTCTTCATTGCCAAACAAGTTTTCTTTAAAAAATATTTGATACCATCATTGACAAGATGTCCAATTTTGTATCAGTATAAAAAAAAATCAATTTTTACTTATAGCGCCAAATTACAACAGTCGTTGTTTCAAGACGCTGTCTGTAAAAGAGCAGGTCTAAACCACGCTCAAAAATCTAGCAGAGTAAATGATTTTAAAATGATATTTGGCTCCTGTAACAAAGTAAAAGTGTATTTTATGAACTTTTCTGGAATCAAACTTTTGCTAAAACATTTTCTTTGACTAAATGTTCAGTGGACAAAAACTGATTTTTACAAGAACCTCAAAAGCAAAGTTTTCAATTCTTTTGAGAAGAAATTAAAAGATAATTTCACACTCATAAAAGGAGTTAAACAAAACATTTATGTTATCACTTCTACTCTGCACACTGTGTGGGATCAGATGCTACGCTAACAGGAAGTATGTAAAGGGAGTGACGGTGAAAAAAAGTTCAACCGCATTAGTAATATCAGGGAGATGTTAAACCACTGAATAAACTCACCAAAGTTCAGTAGATATCATCGTGGACAGACATGCGTTGGAGGTTAAGAAAGAAATTGATGAAATATTTTGATGATTCAATATGAATAATCTTTCCAAGAGGAAAAAATGAAGACACTTTGCAAACCAACTTCTCCAACACTACACCAATCTAAGCAGATCATAGTCAGGGGAGTAATGGAGACAACTTGACTTGTAGACTGCACACCTCCCGGCAGAAAATGACAAGGCAGAGCAGGTCTTATCTACATTCCAACAACCGCCAAAAGTAACAAATCAAACACTTCTACAAAGAGATATGTAATGGAGGGTGGGTGTCAGGTGTGGCCCTATAGACATGAACTTTAATAGCTACCGGGTCTGTCTGGGTGTACTGTTGACGATAACAGCCTCACACTCAAGCACACTGAAAGTACAGCACCTAAAGCAGATGTCATTTTAACTGCACCACCAGAGCCTAAGTGAACTAAAGAAATCAACCGCATGGGAAGGTGGGAAACAAAAGGTGAAATTGCTCGCTTTGACTCTTTGAGAGTAATCCCGCGGGGTGAAACGGCAGCAATGGCGGAGCTGGGTCAGTCAGAGGCTATGCTGTCTGCTGAGGCAATTAGGGCTCTGTGCCTCCGGGCCAACGGAGGTCATTAACGACAATGGTCATTATGGAGAGAAACTGGACCCCCTGGACCTGACCTGACCCCGACTGGCTGGGTGCCACATGATTGGGGCTGTTGGTAAACACTGATTTCTAAGGAGAAGGTGTCTGCAACAGGAAAGGAAGCGCATTAACATTTCATAACAATTTGGCTGCAAAAACACCCATCTACCTCGACAAGCCTCAACAACTGCTGCACAGTTAAAGGAGAAAAAAACTTTCTCCTTTTCAAGCGTAAGCCAGCTGGAAATACTACAACACCCCTTTACTGTCCAAAGTCTCTCACAGACAGACACCTTTGAACCCATTAAGTTTCAACCTTTCCCTGTACATTCCCTCTGCTCTGATCTAATGGGCAGGTGTACACATGTCCCATTCTGCCCTCCTGCTTCCTCCAGCTGAACTCATTCACATCTAATTTGACATTTAACAGCACCTGTAGCAAAGTTTAGCCCTGCACAGACGGTTCACTTGACAAGAAGTCGAGAAGTAGGGGCTTTTCTGTTTCCAATTCGGTGATTTTTTTCTTTCACAGAAGCAGAGTTCTGCAGAGTTCAAGAGATAGCAGGAGCTGGTCTAACCAAAGCCCTTCTTGAAGCTAATGGGGAAAAACACAGGCCATCTCAAAGCTTCTATCAGCACCCTATGGTGGGGGTGAGTAAGTGAAAGCAGAAGTGGGACCATTGATAAGAAAGGACAGATTACACTGATAAAGCACCAGGCCTTTTATAGGACAGAGAAGGAGAGAGAGAACAGAACAGAGAGGGTGAGAGGAAAAGGGTACAGAGACGCGCCCTACCTCAAGGCAGTGTGGTTGACAGTAGCCATATCACATTGCTATTGTGTTCAATGCACACCGACAGACTGCGTCACACTGGCATGTAATGCCCATAACACCAGTAACTCCTGATCCTTATGAAGCCAACACCACGTGACAGATTCATCAAACCAGTGAGTAAAAAGTGTATTCTCACAAAAACAAACTCAACTCGCCACAGGCAAGGAATCTGCTCCAGCGTCTCTACTTTCAGGTTTGTCTGGTTTCAGCCCTTGTGTGGTGTAATCCATTATATAGTGTGAAACCATGGCTCCAGACAGCCTGATGTGGGCCCCTACGAATCACACCAGCTGGACAAACCCATCACCCCCCCACCCCCTGTCTGCTCAGTCCACACACCCACTCCCATTCTCCCCTCACACATCAGCGCTAGGTTGAAATAACCCAGTCAAACAAACTGACCACTCAGGTGTGATACTTCCCTTTAGCATGCCCAACACAAACTGAACAACTCTGCTGAGCTGCATCCTTATCTGAACTGAGCAGGAGAGGAATATTCACACGATTCTTGGAAGAATGACTGGACTGTTTAAAACACAACATACCAGTTGAATAGATGACCATGCAGTCAGGATATTTACCCTGGCACACTGAGTCGAACTTTGTTTTTGTTTTTTTCCTAGTAAGTGACAAGTTTCAAGAAGATAAGCTAGTCTCAAAATGCAGAGATCACATTAAAATAATCTCTGATCTCAGCTTCTTAAATGTATTTTTGCCACTTTTTCCTTTAAATAATATTAAGGGGTTGAGCGTGATGTCTTTACATTAGTATTATACATTCTCTCTTCTTTGGCAATAGCCTCATTGTGGATCCTGATTTGAAATGCCAGCTGCATTGTTAAGGTACTGTGTAGACAGGCCTACGCTGATCTGTTTGAACAAAACCTCTTTAACGGTTCTTGGCTGCTTTTTATGCATCCTTGTCTCTCTCTTGTGCAGCATGATGACATGAAGTAACAGCATTTTAGCTCACTGTGTGTGTGTATGTGTATGTTTGAAATAGCAAAATAATTTAAAAATGAACAATAATGAGTAAATATTTATTTATTTATTTTAACAATTTCATAAATTAATAGCAGGTGAATTTGGGTTCTCTCTTTAAGTTAATTTGCAATTATTCTGAACTATTTTGAAGGGAAGTGGAAGAAGACTGCAGCTGGTGAAAACATTAGCAAGTGTAGACTAACATATGCTCATTTGAGACCATGGTGTGGAGCTGAATATCAGCTGCTCCTGCAGGAGGAGACGATTCAGAGTGAAGCAGACCCATAACTGGCGCCTCAAAAGACCCCACTTGCCACATTTCCATCACAATGAACCCAGACTTCAACTCTGACTTCTGTCTGGGTTGGCTGAATGCAGGGCTGCTGTCGCCCTATGCCAGCATTCACACTTTCTGCTGGAGGCCACTGAGCAGTCTTTTCACTCCTTACAAATGGACACCAATAGAGGAGCTGCCAGTGTTTACCCTCAAAAAAACACATTTCAAGCTCAAAGTAGGTTAGGCTTCATTCAGGGACTCTTTGTGCTCCTTCCAGCAGTGAAACGAGAGCACTCCACATGAAGGAAACTGTAACCGACCACAGTGCACATGTTTCAGCAGTCTGCTATCATTACAGTGAGTTGACCCCGAGCAACAGAGAGATAAGCAGTCACAAGCTGGGGAGAGGCTGTTTACTAAATATGTTAGCACAACACACTGATAACTTCAGCAGGACTGTACTGTTTCATTGGACGATACATAACACAAAACGCTATTTATTCATTATTTCTTGCCCACAACAAAAATAAATGACCATAGAATCAACTTTAACAGTTTAATGACAATTTATGAGTAGGCTAGCCAACGTTAGCTGGCGCCTCGAAACAAATAGCCCCACCATGTTGTTGTGGTTTAGCTACTTGCCCCGTCTCCGATACCGACTATTAATACGCCGTGTTTTCCCTTCCGCCTGTAAATATCAGAATTTAATAAAAAATAAATAAACAACCACGACTTTTCTCTATCACCACCAGCCGTGGTTTTGAGGTCGACGCTAGCTAGACACGGTTAGCCAAATCCCTGATCCAGAGCGCCATGACGCTGAGCGACAACAGGCGATGCCCAGTCCAGGAAAACACATCGAGACAAAGCCGGAGAGGAGCGCCGCTCAAACTTACCATTCCCGACAGCCACAGAGCAAAGCAGGGCCAACAGCGACAGGGCGATTTGTTTTAGAGCCATTTCTTCTGAATTCCCATCTCTACGCGATGAAATGCGTCCGAAATGTGTCGATATGAACACGGCCAAACCTGAAACACAACCACAGACCGACCGACCGACCGACCGCACACACACACCACACCGCCAAATACTAGCCAGCCAGCCAGCCAGCCAGCCTGGCGAGTGACGTATTTAAAGGGGTGTGTGTGTGTGTGTGTGTGTGTGTGTGTGTGTGTGTGTGTGTGTGTGTGTGTGTGTGTGTGTGTGTGTGTGTGTGTGTGCGCGCGCGAGTGTTAAAGGGGAGGGCTGCTTGCTGCATGTATGTCCCCTAATGCCACCGAGGTCATGGCTGTGTTAGAAATAAAAAAGGTGGATCTTTTACAACCTTCCTGCTCCACATTGTCGAAGGGAATGAAAATTTTTTAAATCAGAATTTGATCATTGCAACACCTTAAATGTGTTAATTATCTATTTGATGTTTGTAGTATGGTTTCATCTTATGTAAGACCAGGCTCCATAAGATAACCATAACAATGCTGGTAATTTCAGTGCAAGTCGGTGTAAACAGAAAAAAAGGGCCCCCAAACTGTGAATAAATTCAGTTGAAAACAACATGCTGTCTGATTTCATTACATAAATATGTTGCCTTGAAAAAGCAATCATACCCCTTGAACTTTTACACATTTTGTCACATTACAACCACAAACTTAAAAGTATTTTATTGAGATTTTTTGTCATAGAAAGTAGCACATAATCAAAAAGTGGAACAAAACAAATAAATGGTCTTCATGGTCTTTGTCTTCATGAAGTATTGACACAGGGTGGCTGAATACTAGCCTGACTGGGCCATCCTGAATGCAAATGCACACCACACTTTTTTAGATTTTTATTTATTTAAATTTTTGAAAACCATGTATCATTTTCATATTACTTCACAATTATGTGCTACTTTGTTTTGGTCTATGACAAAAAAATCTCAATAAAATACTTTTAAGTTTGTGGTTGTAGAGTGACAAAATGTAAAGAAGTTCAAGGGTTATAAATACTTTTTCAAGACACTGTAAAATAAATTATAATATCAAAGGGTGGTCATTCCAGCTTTTCTCTGCAAATGTTCCAGGTTACTTAACTTATTACTCAAATTCATGCCTCTGATGACTGATCTTTTCCAAGCAGAAACACATTCAGGGGTTAAACATTCACCAAAACTATGACTAAAAATGCTTAAAAGGTCATTTCTTATCCTGAAAGAGGTCATGTTGAGTTGCATTTAGAGATAATGATGAACAATACAGATGACTAAAAACATTATGATTCTTTACAACGTCTACGCAGAGTTAGTCAACAGACTCATGGCTCCAATTTAACGCACATTGACAGTTGAAGTCTGGCATAAAATAATCTTATGTGACTGTTACTGCCATCTTGTCACTTGATACAGATGTAGGTTAACAGAAAACAAAAAAGAGCCTGAAATGTTTGGCCTTTCCTGTCTTCCAAACACCAGTTGGAGCTGGTCAAAATATAACAAATACAAAGCCTGACAGGATATATCCATCCATGACTATTATATTAATATCAATCAAAGAAATGTCTCGATATGAGCCACAGGACATATTAGATCAAAGCCTGTGAGACGGTTTTGCTTTGAGCCAGCATAAAATAAGATTGTAATGCAACATTTTATTACTTATTGTCCAAGTTTATCTCAGGTCAAATATCATCTGTAGTATCAGATATTGCAGGAAGTTACTGAAGCTTGCAGTTTTTAGGGAGAGAGTGTCAAGAAAAACAGATTTAAAGATGACAAAAGTTGTTTTGGTCCACATCCTTTTAGGGTTTTGGCGCCCTTAAGGGACCTGGTGAGTCTACATCACCACAACACATCTAGCTGCCACTTCTGGGAAAGAAGTACAGGAAGAGGTGAGTCAGGTACATTTTGGACTCAATCTGTGTCTGCTTTTACCACATGTCCTCTTTTTAGCACTCTCACTGATCTATCCTCAAGCCTAATTGTGTCTGCATAGTCTCCGGCGGTGTTATATCTGTCCATTATCGGGCCCTGTCCAATTTATCTCCACATTTCTTCAGTGCACCATGTCTGCTGAACAAATCCCCCTGTCTCTGCCGAGCTGTTCGGAGTGATCCCACTGTGAGTAAGAATACACAGAGGAGGGGAACAGAGGGAGAAGTGAGAGGGGCTTCTGCACTCACAGACGGGAGTTTGGCTTCTCTGATACTTCAACAACCCCCCCTGCAGTGTTAAAAATAACCAGCTCCTCTTCATTTGACTGACCAGACAGACTGGGGGCTTTGAGGGAGTATTATCGCCCTGGAGTTTGTTCAACAACCAGCAAGACAGAAAACACACAATATATGTACACACGTGCGCACAACAATAGATAAAGCAAATAGGAAAGATACAAAAGAAAACAGAGGTATGCAAGTAATTTAGACAAGGACAGTGCTGGTAGAAATGTTTTCACCAACCCCTGGGAAAAGTGGAGACCTTTTGGCATTTTATAATTTTTGCTACAGTTTGTTGTTTTGCTCCTAAAACTTCTTGCTTTTTGTTTCTCTCCTCTTGAAATGCAACTCCTTGGATTTTTGCATTTCCACTTATATCGCAAAGAAAACACAAAAACTAAAGGTGAGGTTGATATTTTCAGATCACTAAGAAAAAAAAAAACATCTGTAACATGTTGTGTAATGAAGGCTCAATTCACTCAGGCTTGCTTTTGTTTTTCTTCATTTACCAGTTCAGCTACCTCATAACAAAAGGTTCGATCAACTGAGCAAAGAAGATATTCATTTCTGATGTTGCTGTAATAAAATCTTACATCTGTTGCAAATGGCACACAGTTTCATAAGGCCGTGCACGTGTTTTGGCTCTGGTGCGAAATCTATACGTCTCCCACACCTGATTTTGTGCACTGTTGTCATAATATTGTGATATGATGGAATACTCTGTTAAACCTGTTTGTTAAGTAGTTCAGAGGTGATGCAATGCGAATGAAAACGTGATTGCAAAACCGATTACACTGCACAGTAATTCTCTTACTGTAAGCTGCATTGCTGGACGCCTCACAGATCATTACTTGTATGTGTCTGTTATCTGATGCCCTCTACTGGTCTGTGAGAAAACTGCAAACATGAAAGAACAAAGTAGCACAAATACTTGAAAAATACTGAGTTTTATTCAACAACTACAACATTACATGTCTCCTTGTGATTTCCTTTATTGACCATAATAATCGTGTTGGTACATTTGAGGCCTACTGAAGTGTAAAAAAATAATCTGGAAAGCCTGTGCAGTAAAAAATGTATAAAATGTGTACTTGAATAATAGAAAATAATACTCAGTTTAAAATATATTTACATTCAGCCCATAAAAGACAGCAATTTCAATACTGTTACAATATGTACACCTAAATGGCTTAATGTGTCCAAGTGCAGGTAACAGATGACTATTTTATATGAGTTATACATGCTTACGAGTTAGATACTGGCTTTGGTATGAACATAATACTATTTACACATTTCCTGTATCCTCTGTAAAAAAATCCTCTGTGTACTGTATGATTGTTTTGGCTTTGGTCATTGTGGCAAAAACCCACAAGTGCAATTTTTCTACATCACAAAGAAAAGGCAGCTCTACTCGCCCCTCCCCCTGATGACACACTAAACTTTAGTGCCCCGCCAGGTCTTCCTCTAAACCCTGTATTTACAGAATAACCTGAGATTTGTCACGTAGTTATTCTGCTTTAAAAGTGTTCAAACATTTGATGGCTGCAAAATAGCTTTAAGAAAAATAGACTGATACAAAATTTGGGTCTTAATGTTTTCCTTTTTAGGGCCTCTTGGTGTTAGGCACCAGATGGAAAGCAGATGAAAATTAGCCTAAGTTAATAAAATAGCCTCAGGTTCAATCGAGTCTAGACACAACCGCTTGGAGTCATATGGTTTAAATCCAAAGCAGAGACTGTATGAGTCATTTACTCAATATATGCTAATCATATACACCCAGTGCTGCTGGAATGTGGTAATTTATCCCTTTTGGCCCCTTTTTTTTGGTGTTGTGTCCCTGTTTTATCCTGACGCCCTGATCTAAACGTCCCGTTTAAGTTTGTCAATAGTGAAGTCACTTTCAGGCTCCAGCTTGGAGAGAGTCTTTCTGATGCGCAGGGCAGTGAGGCGGGCAGGTGGGCTCTGGTACCAACACTCCTTCATGATCTTCACAATAGCTGACAGGATCTGGAAACACAAGGACAGAGGTAAATATAGCTCCCAGTCATCACAGTAAAATGTAAATGTATTGGTTTGTATGTTTGCTTTTTGGCTCGCGAGTAAGAACTGCACAAAAGAATTAAACTGCACTTTGATTTCTGCTCTGTTTTCATGTGTCTGTGTATCATCGGACTGCTTACAGGGTGGGAATGGAGGCGATTGTGCACACAGGGCCTCTGCTGGTCCACACACACCACCTTCTTCATTTCCTCAAAGCTGGGATCCAAAGGCACCAGGTCAAAGAAGGGAGGACGGTATTCTTCCACAATTCCTGAGACAGAATTAAAAGAAAAAGTTTGTGTTTAAAACCATTTTAGTGATGGGATTTAGTGGTGTGCTCTGACGGGAAAAAAGCAGAACGTGATGATCAACTTTATGAGTAGATAACTTTTAAACACTGACTTATCTCCTCTTCCATTTCAGACAAACTTTCATTAATCTTCAGATAAGCACACTTGGAAAGGAGATAATCAGCAGTGGGAGTTTTGTAAAGTATGTTTGACTAAACAAAAAAGTAGCAAAAGATATCAATTCCCTGGGGTCTACACTGGGATGGAGATCTGCAAAGCCGTCTGAGTGTGTGTAGTTGTATGTCTGAGATCACACACAACATTAAGCCTCTGTTCATGTTGACCAAGTGTGTTTGTGTATGTGTGTTTGTGCACGGTTGTTCGTGCATGGGTGTGTGCTTGCATTTCTAAATTGTGTGCTCTGGCATCTGGACTATGTACAAGTGAGTGCTGACACCAGATAAGACTGTTTATAATTACTGCAGCGCTAATCATGAGAGTGGATAGTAGAGACAGACACAGACTGGGAAAACATTGGAGTGCTGAGAGACACGGGACTAACTGCCTCTTATGTCTCGTCCAGAGCCGGGCAGACATGACAAAGAAAACAAACTATAGCACTGTGTGGCTGGAGTAGATAGGTAATACACTGACTGATAAAAGATTAATTCATGTATGTATTAACTGTGTACTGTTTTCTTCCTAAAGTTTTCTAAATGTTCTAGATTTTACCGTAAAAAGCAAAAAAATCACATTGTTGCCTTACCATTGACAATTGTGCGGCGAGATATTTCCCAGAAGACCAGGCCCAGGGCCCAGATGTCAGTTTGCTTATAAGACTCAAAGACATCCATGCGAATGGTCTCATCCAACACCTCAGGGGCCATATAGCGCTTAGTGCCTACCCGAGGGTTATTACCTACATCAAGGTAGTCATGGGACTGGGAATGTATCACAGACAAACCTACAGAGGGAGTGAACAAAAGACAAAGCTTTAATTTAAGGTGGAATAAAAATTTACCAGATATAACCAATCTAAGAGCAGGATTTAGCTGGAAACAGGTCGCAGAGGGGTCGATTGAAACTACTTTGGCCCTCACCTAGGTCAGCGATACAGCACTGTCCGTTGCGCTTTACCAGGATGTTTCTGCTCTTCAGGTCTCTGTGGGCTATAGCTGGTTTTTCCTGGGAGCTGACAATCTCAGTGTGGAGGTGGACCAGGCCACAGGCCACAGAGAGGCACATCCTCAGGCAGCTCTCAGGCTCTAGGCTGCTGTACTGCAGGAAGTCATACAGGGAACCAAGCTCATGGAAGTGGGTGACGAGCCACAGCTGGGTGCTTGAATTCCTTGATGTCATGTCAGAAGCTATGAAACCTAAACACCAAACATTAGAGCAAGTTGAAGATTTTTTTTAATAAAAAAAAAAATGCAGCAACTCACATGAGAAAATGCATAACAGCAACTTTCACATTTACCCAGTATGTTGTCATGTCGCAGCTGTACAGTATTATAAATCTCAGTCTCTCTGAACCAAGACTGCTCATCCCGTGAGGAGAAGATCTTGACAGCCACACTCTCCCCCATCCAGGTTCCTCTCCACACTTCTCCATACCTTCCTTTACCTGGAAACAGAGGGGTAGTTACACAATTTGTCACAAACAAAAAAGAGCAAAGAACAGCAGCAGTGCTTAGGAGACTAACCAACACATTCAACGAGTGAGATCTGTCTGGCCATGGTTCTTTGGACCAGATATGGCAGCCCTGTCCCGCTCCCTGATGTGCAGAACTCATCGAATATATCCTAAAAAAACAAAAGACAGAAACAGACAAATTCAGAACCTTGACCGTAAACTGATTATATGATTTATATCCCACATCAAACATCTCTTACCCCATATGTTGGGTCATCCCCAGGGGGAACCTTCAGCATGGTAACATCACGGTCTTCCTCATTCTTCAGTCTGCAGTGTGCATGTCTGAAGCGCAGGAACAGCACCAGGCCACACACACTGGCAGTCGTGATTAACAGTAGCAAACACACTGTGATCCACAGCTCTGGACGACTGACATCTGGAGGCGGTGTTGTGGGCTCTCCATCTGGAGACACATTAGCAGTCAGAAACATGCAGACACACACAGTCTGAGCTCGTGAAAGCAGTATTAATTTGCTCTAAGTGACCACAAGGGGGAACCAGTCACTGTCTGGTGAGGAGCTTTGAATCCAATAAGAGCAACATAATTGACGATGGGATGACTCTGAGTACTAAATAAGACTGAACCACCAGGCTAAATACTGCATGCTTAGTGTTTAATGTGATGGTACTGACTGATGTTTGGAGGTGGTGTGGTGTCAGCGTTGCAGTAATCCTCCTTGCAGCAGTGGACGAAGAAGCCCTTAAAGCTGGTGTAGCACTGCTCCTTGTAGTTAACAAATGAGAAACAGCCCCTCTCCTCATAGCCACGCACCCAGGTGTAAAAGCAGCGGTATCCCCTGCAGGTCCCATTCACGCATGTGCGTTTTTCATTCTCGCACGTGCACACCAGCTTTCCATCGTCGTCGGGGTCTGAAACATGACCAAGTACAGACAGATGATGTTGAAAAAAACAGAGGGTGAAAAACTTTCTGTATTACTAGATGTGGAGATATATCAGATACCAATTAAAGTAAACATTTAATTTTAAAGCACTATCCGCTATCCTGATGCAGCACCTCTGAGCCACTCTTCCCCAGCCAACGCCTCATTTTACCACAGTGCACTTCAGGCGCTCCTTTATGCCCAATGCCATCAGATTGTTCAAAAGCACTGGGAACGTCAGACTGTCACCACACTGGGGAAACCCCAACGGTAATAAAATGGAGATTTAAATGTTACTTCCTGGCAACATGACGTCAAACGGATGAAAAAGGTTGTGTACTGGCAGGATAGGTATTTATGTGGAAATGATACACCGGCAGTACACAGTGTACTTAAATGAGAGTAAAAGGAAAGTAAATAAGGTGGAACCATGCTAGTTGGCATCATACTGCAACAGCTCCACTTGCATGTGGTGTATTTGTGTAATTTTGTCATTTGTTGTTGGGGCGTATTACTGTGTACTTGAATCTTGTAGTGCTATGGATTCTTTTAGCTCATAAAACCTGCTACTACAACATAAAAGTGTCCTATTTCTGTCTATCTAACTATTAGTTTAAAAGAACTAAAGCTGTTCTCCTGCCCATTTAAAAGTCAGAAAATCCCTGACATTAAAAACCCCACTGACATCTTGTCTTTTGTCACTGGTGTGTTCCTGAGCAGTCCCTGAGCCTTTCAGCAGTGGTTTAGTCCACTAATACCTGAGCTGATATTCAAGTTCTCCACCAGCCGCTAACATACTTTGATGCTGCAGTTCATGCCAGGCAGGTATTGTATGCTGCCTGCCTGAGCTTGTTTTATAGAGGCAGCTATTGTTGTACAGGGTGGGTGTGCTTTTTACAAAACTAACTATTTTCTCCATCTGACCATTGACTCACCTGCATGGAGAGCAGAGATCCACAGAAGCACCCAAACAAGCACCACTGTGAGCAGAGCAGAGCTTCCCATCTCTGTGAAATAGAAACATAATATGTATAAGCAGTTTTTAGAGATGACGTTAGTGCAGCATGTCGTCTCTTATGTTATCACCTTTCATACAACAGCCAAGATTTTATTATTGGTGCGCTGTAAAAACAAGAAGTCTCTGATAGTGTATCCACTATGAGCCTGAAACTTAATAGTGTTTCAGACTATAATGTTATAGTTTTGTCAATGAGGGAAAGGCCTCACACTCAGGCAGAGGAAGCTATGAGGTCAAAAACAACACTCCAAGGATCCAGCCTGTCTGCCTGGGCTGTAATTGCATTGGGTGGGAAAAAAGGGGGCTTAGGGGAAGGAGTCTGTAACAGCACTTCAGAGTGTTTGTGTATGTGCGCTGAGACTGTGTGGCACTGTGCTAACCAGGCTCCAGGCCTGTCGACTCCGCGACTATCCCGCTCGCAGAGTAAATATTGATGGCTACACTTCCTGCCATTGAGCGGCCCCACCCGGCTGGCCGGCGAGACTTGGGTCTGCTTATTGTTTGGGGCTGCAGTGCTGAGGGTCACGCAAGCAGGAGGGTTGTACAGAACCGAGCCTTTCTAGTCAGTTACTTGTCCCACAGGTCAACTTATACGTGCTACATTCATTAAGAAAATAAAAAGTTACTGAGTGTAGTACAACAATGTGCAATAAACCGTATTATTATGTAAATTCTGTATAGATGTAAATATGGCCCATGCACATATCTTGATTTTAACTCAAAGTTTCTTTATTTTTTTAACTTTTCTCTTTTAGTATTCTATGCTATGCTGCTGTAATTTTTTTAAATTCCCCCCTGTGGTATGAATAAAGGACCATCTTATCAATATTTTTCTTGAAGGTCTAGATGACAAGGATCTTAGCTTAGTTATTTAAAAAAAAATACTAATAGCACAAAAAAGACCTTTATATGTTTATCTATTCTAGTATGCTTTTTAGAGTCTCGTTGATTTTCTTGAGTCAGCAGCTGCGAGGAAGACTGTGGCCTTTACATGCTGCACCATACAAGGCCAGAACCCCAGAGCTCACTTTGCTTTTTAAATTAAACTCTAAATCTCTGCTATCTGTTACCTTAAACATATTTGTAGCTATTCGGTGTATATATGGTGTAATCATGTATTTTTTAACACTTTCAATGTTTTTTCTTGTGCTTTTTTTGTGTTTGATTGCTATGCCCCAGCCCGATGTTAGGCCTGGGGGTGCGTCCGATGGAGAGCGCCTGGTCAGACGTGGCAGACCCAAACGTGTTGTTGTGAGGGTCTGCTAGGATGACTGGCAAAGTCTCCTGTCAGAAGAAGCTTCAATTCCCACCGGGAGACATTGAGTCCGAATGGGCCACGTTCTGTGCCTCAGTTGGTGAGGCGGCTGATCCTTGAGGGTGCATAGGAGTTTGCCCAACCAGTACACATGTGCTTTGTAGGCTTGGAGAAGGCATTTAACCGTGTCCCTCAGGGAATCCTGAGGGGGGTTCTCCAGGAGTATGGGGTACTGGACACCCTGATAAGGGCCATTCAGTCCCTGTACGACGCTTGGTAGTAAGTTGGACGATCCTGTTCATAAATTTTATGGACAGCATTTCTAGGTGCAGCCAGAGCATTGAGGGGGGCTGGTTTGGTGCTCTGCTTTTTGCAGAGGACATGGTTCTGTTGACTCAGTCAGGTTGTGACCTTAATCTCTCACTTAATTTGGTTCACAACCAAGTGTTTAAGTACCAAGGGTTAAGTTCATGAGTGAGGAAAGAATAGAGCGGGAGATCGTCAGGTGGATTGGTGCAGCGTCAGCAGTGATGTGGTCGGAAAGAGGGAAGTCTGAGCTTTCTTGCTTGGGCTGCTGCAAGGATAAGCATTAAAAGATGGATATTGCAAATGCTACAGCAACTGCCATAAAGGAGACATATCAAGTTACAGCATAAAAATTTCTTATATCCTCGGCTGTCCTCTAACCTCAAAGCAAGATAAGTAGGCTTGAATTGAATCTGAAATGTATGCAGTTGGCTGTGACACACAGACAGTTGTCACAGTGTCTGCCTGAGGTCAAAAACTGATACAGAGAGTTCATTAGGTTGCCATGTATAATTGCCTCTCTTGAGTCTTTTCCTTTTGTCACTGAACAAAGTACAGAAGAAAAGTCACTGACATGTCTCTGGAGAAATACAGTCTAAAATTAAACATCTAAGGACGTTTAGCATAAGAAAACAGATCCTGAGGAGAACCACAGGTTTCACTGATTACCTGTGACACACTTTTTTCTACCCTGAAGACAGACTTTCATCTTGTGAGAAAATCAGAGATAAGAGCCTCAAAAGCTACGCACTACATAAGAAAAAAGATTAGCTCGACTGATGGCGATACAGATAAGAGTGCCAGAAGAAAGGAAATCATTCATCACTAAAGGAAAACTTTTAGTGCAGTATGTCAAATGGGGGGTTTTGTTTGATTTATTCAATATATTTAAAATCAGGAAATGTTACTGCTTGGCTCAAACAAAACTGAAAAACCAAAGGGGTATATTAAACCTGTTTACAATAGGGATGTTCTAAAGCAACTTTTTTTTCTGGGTTTTATGCCAGTTGAACCAGACATAGCATACTCAAAATTAGGATTTGAGTCTGACTCCAATGTGTAAAAAAACCCATCAAGGATAAGATGGGACAAACTTAAACTTAGAAATCCATCAATTTATCCACCCAGAACATACAGTAAGACGTTTGAGTTAATCTTCTTGGGTATTTGATTTCTTCATTGTCAGTTATTACTGGTAATGATAGCAACTAAAGTGACTCAACCACTTGGTTCAAGATGTTAACTTTAATAAAATTCTGAATAATAGAGTTAGGCTGCACGTATTTGTGAGTTTATGAGAAACACGTCATGAAGGCACCACAGCGGAAAGACTGAGAAGCACATTTACTGTAACACACAGCTGAGACCAGTGATAATAAAAATCTCCAGACACACCACCAGGGTCAGTCAGAGTCTAATGTTAATAAACTAGACTTGGCTTGAACTTGAGGTTTGGTAACTCAGCTACAACATTTGGAAAGACACCTTCATTTTGGGCTTACTATCTTAAAAGGGATCCATGATTTGTTTAATTGTTCATTTAGGCTAATCTTTGCTACACATCCTTATGCTACTAAACAAATCCTAATTAACAGATCCAAACATAAATAAGCTACCAAGATGTTGTTGTTTTAACTCTAAGTTTCTTTATCCTTAAATTTCTCTTTTTGTATTTGTATTTATGCTGCTGTAATTTGGAATTTCCTCCCTGTGGTACTATTAAAGGAATATCTTATCTCTTAAGCTAGCAGAATCACAACAGAGCTAAGGCTTTACACTCATGAAAAAAGGAACTAAAGCGGCTTGACAAACTATTCTCACAACCTTAAAACCTAAGGCAATGAAGGATGGTGACTTTAAGTAAATATGTCAATAAAAATTGAAAAAATGCACATAAAATGGGCATGTTAAAGTCATCTCAAAACTGATATCAAACCCTGTTTCTCTCACAGTACACACACCTCACACACATGTGTGTTGCATATATCTGATAATAGCACCTATATGTGACAGCACACAAGTACGGATATCCTCTTTGGTTTTGATTCATCTAGCATAAGAGATATTCAAGTACCATCTACAGGAAGTCTTGACACTTTGACATTTCATGCAGTGGGTCAAAAGTCACAGATGAGAAACCAAAGACTAGAGTGACTGCTTTAACACAAGGCATGTTCAGAAGGGATTTTCCCCATGTATACAAAACTGTCAAATCACATATAAAATCTCTGCTGGGTTAGAGGTAGTTTTTCATTTGAGGGGAGAGATAAACATTTTCTGTAAAACTATCTTTCGTTTTAGCTGGAAGGCTGAAGTACAACAGACGAGAAACACTAAGTCACAGAAACCACAAGACATATTTTACCAATGAGAAATGAGCACTTCCTGTATCATGTGGGCTACATGTCAGTGTTGGCTAATCTGTGGGTCCACAGAGAGGATAATCTAAACAACACTCCACCCACAGAATCAACTAATCCTCAGTGGAGGAGCATAACTCTACCTTATTTCTCTAACCATCAGTTTTATCATCCATGGGGTCGGGACATAGGAAAGAGCAGTAATCACGTCCTCCATCGTAGACCCCACCACACTTCCTCTCTGAGCTCTCTCCTGTTTGTCTCCGCTTTGCCCACAGCTGCAACCGCCTGACCCATGGGGGAAAGGATCCATTGTCATCTCTTCCTCCCATCTACAGAGCTTTTACTGAGGGAGGTAGATCTGTCATTCCATTTGGATGACTCTGTGTGGTTAGAGTGGTGGATAGTGGGGGACATGGCATAACACAGCAGCCTCAAACAGCCCCTCCTCTGGGCCTCTTCACATCCAAAACCCCTGAAACTCTCTTTCAGTAACTTAAAGCAGTTTTAGTGTAAAAACTTCTTTCATACGGTTCAAAACAACATCAAATCCAGTTCTTCATCCAGCCACACATTTTATAGCTTTTGTTCCATTTGTGTGCTTTAACTGGTAAAATAAATCTGTCATCCTAGAGCTGCCTGCTAGTCACAGCGACACACTGATTGTATCTTCATTTCCCAGACAAAGCCAGGCTTGGCAGGCTTTATGGCTCAGTTGCTGTCTGCATGCTCTCACATGCATGCCTACAATGAATGCCTGTCAGGGTGAAGAAAGCGATGAATATACCTCAGACATACATAAAAGAAAAAAATAAAGCCACAAACATAACCAGGCTTGTGTACAAGGATCGGTATCACAAACAGATGTCACGTAGGGCAACATCACCCACCTGGAAAGAGCAAACGTGACTTCAATCATGGCATGTACACAAAGAGTGGAAAACTCCCACCTGTTTGTGAGTAGGACGGGTGAAATAGAGAAACGAAAATATGCAGAGAAGATTCAGAAAGAGATTCAGAAATTCAGGTAGGACCTACACTACAAGATACAGGCTTACGTCACCACCAAGCTTGCACAGATTTACAGCCATAACTTTTAACCCCGACATGTTCCTGCAACAAAATCCAGTCTGAATGAAGACATCTAGAGCTTTGACTGACTATAAAGTAGTCTCTATGTAACATGTTAATTAGTGGTAATTCTTCAAAGCTACTGGAGGCGACCATCTCTAAGTGACCTAAAAGAGCAAACCAGTCCTTCAAAGATTAGCCAGTTTTATAAAGCCTTTTTACTCTTAACATCTGTCACCTGTCTGATATTGATAGTGTTTTATTCTTTGCATTAAATAGGCCAGAGTGAATCAGAGTGATTAAAAGAGGAGAATTGACTCAAGAATGAAAAAAGCTGAAGTTTGCAAAGACAGAGCATTATTATTATATGTTTTATTTACTTATCTAGTACCCCTGTTGCTTCTTGCCTCTTTGATAGATGTAACCAGGTGAAGTCAACATGTAACTTACACAAATTAAATCTCTAAAGTGTTTCCCACCATTAGTCAAGTTATGTATAAGGAGTTCAGAATGATCATCTATGGCAGCAATCAGAGTAAAATCAGGGGGATGTTGAAGACAACACAAACACCTCAAAAACCGCATGTATCTCCAAGGTGGCTCATAGTAAGTTTGAGGTGGTGTGTTCAGTGTCAGTGCCTTGAGGTCAGGTGGGCCACATCCTCACACCTGTTGACCCACATCTGGAAACACGAGGAGAGGTGTACAGGGCTAAAAAGTTGACTCGGAGTCCATAGTGAATAACTCTACTAATATGAAACACTAACTGTGCATAAAAACTCAAAATAAAACAGATAAATACACGTTTTGACGCTTACCTGTTTTCTGCTTGCCTCTTAACTTGACAGACGCAAACGCCGCACGTCTCCCACATTAAAGTTGGCCCCGTAGCCAAAGTGTGAAGAACAACTGTCAAAATAAAGTCTGTTTCATTTCAGGAATGAGGTGAACCACCTGACTTTTCGTCTGAATTTCTCCGTTGCAGATGATTCATCTAAAGAGAGTTCACATCCTTTCCTGCTTCGGTTAAGACCGACCGCCGTTTCTGGGAAAAAAAGTTTCTCCGCAGTTTTTCTCTTTGCTCGAAAACTTAAAGCTGCTGTCTCGTTTGGTTAAAAAATGGTTCACAATGTGGAAACCTGTGAAAATAAAGGTCAAAAATAAAAACAGTAACAGCAGTGTTCAGGCTGGAGGACGACAAACAGCGGGCTGTAGCTTATCTCATCTCGGTCTAAATCTGCGCTGATAAACCGACAACATGAACCATCGTCGTCGGTTTGGAGCCAGACCAGAGTCCTTCCGCCTCAAGAGTGAAGGCTCACCGCGAGTCCTCTCCGATGAAGCAAGAACACGTTTTTGTTGTTGTATGCGGTCCTGATCTCGAGGCAAGATTGCATATTTTTTAAATAGTATACACTTTTGTCCCACCCCTCATTGTCCCGTACAGAGAGAGCCTGCTCAGCCTGGAATGTGTTCTCATAGCGGTTTTCCTGTTGCTCGCCAAACCTCTCATTTTCCTCCTTCCCCTCTGGACTGCAGTCTACACAGCAGCACTGACAAGAATGGGCTTCAAAGACCACACTTTGACACAACAGCATTTTTCTGAGGGGGGACAAAAACAAGACTTAACCCACTTCACATACCATGTTCTTAAACTGTTAATTATTTATTTTGCATTTAAACAGCAGAGATGAAATGAAACCTTGAAAACACATGACTTTGTTTAGAATAGGAATAGGTCAATGCTTTTTAAAAATGAAAGAAAAAGTTAGAGTCGACTAAGAAATGAATTCACAGGTTACAGTTGACATATGTACAGACATTGTCAGATGTAAAAGTTTAAGCTGGTATAAACCACTGCTCACTGTAGGTATACTGCTCATGATGAAATAAGTTAAAGGGGTATTCCAGCATAAAATTAATTTAGGGTCAAACACACCATAACACAGACTTAGACACCCCCTCGAGAGATGAATGCTGCCGACTGCTTGCTTCTCTAGTTATACCAACTTTAGTAATGACCGCACAATAGCAATACAGAGAGCCACAATAATAATATATAATCACGATATTAATCATTTTGCACTGCAGATGCGGTAGTTCTTCTGCCTTAGCGTCTCGGTCTGATTGCATTTCCATGAAGAAATTTTCCCTGTCATCAAGCACGATTATAAGTTAACCCCAAAACTGCATTTGGGGGTTTGTTTCATGCACCACCTGGCCGGCCCATCCATTGATATCTAAAACCCAATGTGGCCCGTCAGACAAAATAATGGCCCACCCCTGCCATAGACTGAATATTGAATTGAGTGCCAGTAGTTTTCACTGGTCATGAGGTAAAAAGATTTTGAGACCCCCCTGCTGACTGGTGGCAGTATAGGTCTAAAAATGAAAAATTATAATACAACATATTTTATGTTTTTTCAAAGCATGGTTTCTGTCATTTTAGTTAGCTCTTATGTCAATATAAGTCAAAGTCAATTTCTAAGAACTTCAAATGGTCTCAAAAAATATTCAAATAGTTGTTTCATTTAGGGAGAGGGGACTGCTCCATTGACAAGTGGACTCTGGCGGTGTTAGCAGAGAAGAGAGGGAGCTAACTAGAACTAACTAGTTCACTGAATAGAATCAGTGAACTTTCCAAAGTCATAAATGTCTGCCTCAAATCAAGAATCTCTTCTGTTGAGGACTGAACCCACCTGAGGGGTCTTCAGTATTTATTCGGTAAATCTAATGATTCTTATTGGAAACGTTGTGGGTGCACTGTAAGTCCCTCCAGCAAAGTCCTGCCAAGCCTTGGCTTCACTAATGCAATAATTATAGAGGGTGTTGTAAAATTAAAAAGGACATTTATTGTTATAAAACTCACTTTGGAGCTCTGCAGAGCACACGCTGCCCTCTCAGTAACACTTTGTATCATCAGGAATGTAAAGTCACAGAAGTTGTCTCCTTCAAGACAACAATTGTCCGCCAAACCCTTTAGGCCATCAAATCTTTTTTTTTAAATGCATCTTATACTCAGACTGGGATTCATCCAGTACTCTTGTTAATAAAGGTTAATCGCCAACTAAAGTTATTTTACATATAGTGAGCAATATGGAGCTAACCAGATACTAACCATCTTAAGAAACCACTTTATCCTGCTAATCTGTGTGTCTGTTGTATCAGGTGAGTGTTGAAAAACGTACATATCCCTTTAAATTGTGCTTGACACAATGAAGCTCACATGTCTTTCTGCTTCCTAATGTATCTTGATGATGAATGCAGTTGTCTCCTGGATGCCAGGTGGACTTTGCTGAGGGAAAGTGCTTCATTCAGCTGAGCCTGAGATGTCTTCATGTCTTCAATATAAATTCCCCTCCCGTTTCTCAGGCTTTGTAATCTCCCTCTCTCTTTGGCGTAAGGCTGGAAACACAGCTGGTAACTCTCAAATCAGCTGTCACGTGGAAAATAGAGCAAACTGTTTTCTCTTTTATTTATCAGGGCTTATTTTTCATCTGTTACTAATCGCTGTTCTAAAAGCCACGGAATCCCTTAGGGTTTGTTTTAAGAGTTGTTTTTTTTACTGGAAAGAGGAAACAGGATATTTCTCAACATACTTTTTCCCAAAGCAAAGTCTTCGTAGAAACATTACTTGTTTTACCCCCACTTCAGTGTTACTGATAAGACAGTATCTGCACAAAACACAGCACATGAATCAAAATGCAGTGTTGTAATTCATCACTATTTCCCCCCTGGAGTTTGATACTCCATTTCTTTATCGTCTGGTCCAGTCGATGTGCTGCAGTAAGCAATGTATTTGCAGGCTGTCTCCACAGAGGTAAGGTGCTCTTTAACTCAGCTGTATTTATTCTCAGATCTAACCTCAAGTTCCCTCCTGTGAAGAGGAAGTGAGCCACAATAGTAAAAACAAAATGTGACAGTGTAACTGAACAAAATAATCTCTGTTTGAAATTTCTTGTGCTGAACTTTAAAGATTATGACATGAAAGGTATAAATAACATTCTGTATGGATAAAAAAAAAAAAAATCAAAGCTGTTTTTTGCCTTACAACAAATGAAAGCTTAATGTTATGTAATGATAGCACACATTGGGTTAAAGGATTACACAAAAAGTCATACCATGCCACCAAAACAGAGTGTATTATAGGCTTCATTAGGAAGCCCAGTGTGAGTTCAATTAAAAATAGTAATCAACGTCATTAGTCGGTCACATGCATGCCTTTAAGTGGCTGATCAGGGCAAACAAACAGCAACGGCCAAAGAGGTTTTATTGGGCTTTAAACTCAGGGACAATGACGATGGAAACACACAACAAAAAGTAAAAAAAAATCAACAACAGATGAAAAAAGAAAAACACACTGCAGATTGACAAACCAAACAGGAAATGCAAATTTACGTGAATGATGCAAATTAATAAAAACAGAAATTCTCCAAGCTTGTAGGGGACCTCAAGTTAGATGAGGTGTTTTTGCAGTGTACTTGGATTTGTTTTAGCTTTCTTCAGAGTTTATCTTTTGTTTTTAATGTGTTTTTGAATTTGCATCATTCCTGAATTTGTAGCTTGATAAAAGCCTTTTTGGGCCTTTGCAGCAGACTGCCCTTCCCAGCCATTGTACACACCTGTTAAGGATTTCAGTCCATACTTATGGGCAGTTTTACAGAGGCAACTGCCCTTTGACCTGCGAAAATAACAGTCGTGGGGTACTTTAAAATCACCAGATATGATATAAAGGTGCAGCCTACTTAAAAAAAAAACATCACTCATAAACTGAAAAGATTTTATATAAACACACATCTTCCACACAACCACAGAAATGGTTCTGTAGTGTTTTAATACACAGTATCTAAATACATACAGTTCCAGTTATGATAGTAAAATATATATTCCATTTAAAACATGTGCAGTGCTAGTCTTGCCCTGACTGATTCTTAAAACATATTTCTTAGTGTTTTAATAAGAAAAGATACCCTGAGTTACATTATGGACAAACTTTATGTTTACTTTGCTGTGCATAGGTAATCTTGCAGAGAGTTGATCTTCTAGTTTTCTAAAAGCAAGATTAAAAGCAACAGTTCTGGTGATCAAGTAACAGCCCATCAAACATGGCACATTTAGCACCGGTAAACTGATGACTTGTGTGCAGTTTTTATCATCAGACAAAACATTTAAGGGTAAGACTCAGTCCCTTCAGTCATAGATCCTCGTCGTGACTGACATTCTTCTGCCATGACCGAACAGTTCAGAGCCCGACAGCGCTGCTCCAAAGTAGAAAACAAAACACACAAGTTCAAAAAGATGCTGAATTTACATGAGTGAGGACTGGATATCCTTCATAGAAGAATGACAGTAATACACGTTCAGCAAAACTCAACATGGTGAATGAACTCTTTCAGAAAGAAAACTTCACCCATTGACCAAAGATAAATTATTTTGACTCTCAGTCAAGTGTTGTAAACTCAAACTTCAACTTTGTCCTGGTTGGAGTGTTTTAGAGACTGTAAGGTTCAAATTCCTGAGCAGATTCGGTCATAACTCCAGACCTTGACATAGCTTTTTTCACTGTATTTGTATCAAGATTTATAGAAAAAAACGAACAAACTCTCTACTCATGGCAGTGCTACACTCTCATTGCTAGCTTATCAAAATAACATTACAAAATGACAAAGTAAAACACACCAATGCCCTAATTTATGTAACACCTATATGTGCAGTGGTGTTTTCTCATTTGTTAAAGAGCCTCTTAGTAAGCTCACATTTTTTCAGACAGTATAAAGACACAAATTTCAAAGTTGACAGGTCACTGTCTTGTTTCTATTAACATGACATGTTTTTTTTTCATAACTAAAAAATCAAGTTTTCATTAGTACTTTGGTTAGCTTGCAGTACAATAAGGTGGCACCCTACTTGGAAATCATTTACAGCGAGTAAAACTCATACATGTAGAATAGTTTTTCCAATATGCAACACTTGTGAAGAAGTCCACAATTGGTGGTAAAGTTCAAATGCATCCGTGAAACCAATTTGACATAATTTTCAGCTTTCCAGCGCTGAAAAGTACATCTTACATATTCAAGCCTGTGACACTTTTCCTGCATGCAGTCCAAGCCAAATTTCAAATGCATCAATGGGTTTGATTTGTCAAGTGCCGACTTCAGAATCAGTCAGTATCTCAGTGTTTGGAATCACACACCTTTCCCTTATGCTTGATATCTTTATAGTACAATTGTCATAACGCCTCATTTTGATCGCTTTGACCCCTTATTTTTTTTCTCTTCTTTTTCCTTTTCCTGCTGCTGCTTCTTCTCCCTCTTCTTCTCCTCCTTTGCCTCCTTGTATTTCCAAACAGGAGGCTCCAGGTATCCTCTCTGCCTTTTCTTCTTTTTCTCTTTCTTTGGAGTAGGCTCTCCAGATTTTGTCACTTCAATCTTAGGAATACAACCCGAGGGGAAGATGCTGTTTCTATGCACCATGCTGCGAGGTATGTAGCTTCTCATGCCACCTGAAGGCGCGCTTTCCCGTCGCGCTGAATCCTGACAACAGGAGGTCAGGGATACAGAGGCAGCTGACACAACGGTGGGAGAAGAGGAGATGACTGTCCCTTTACTGTGGGACACCGTGCTCTCCTCCAGTTCCTTCATGCTGTACTTGTCAAGCAGTTCAGGGACGGTATACCGGCGCTTGCCGATCTCTGGGGGGCTTCTGGGACAGAGAGGGCGGCAACCGGTGGCTACCAATGGGCTGTGGATACTGGTGGTCATCCGGACCATGTGGTCTAACACACCATTGTCCTCAGGGTCATGAGGAAAGCTAAAAGAAAGGCTGTCTTTTATGCGCTGACGCAGCTTCTGACTGGCTGTTTTGGTGGCTGTGGCCTTTGCTACCAGTTGTTTTAACTCTGGCCACTCAGGAATGTAGTTCTCACAGAACTGCTCAGCAACAGGGCGAGCCTGCAGACGTCGTAGTCTCATGATGGTTTCAAACCTTCCTGTCCGAACGGCCCAATCCCTCAGACCTCTCCCTTGGACTAGGTCCATTGCATTCATATCTGCACCTGCACAGGGAAAATAAAAGAAAGAAAAGAAAGCATCTCTAGCATAATCATTTGGTTCTTAATAGCACCTTGACTATGTTGAATTATATTCAACTCACCATGCATTAGCAGAGCAGACACACACTCCTCTCTGCCCTGCAGGCCTGCCTTAATCAGAGCTGTGAAGCCGCGGGGGTCCCTGACCTCGGTGTCTACACCCGCGTAGAAGTTAAGGATGTAGTTCAGAATAGTGATAAAGCCTTGATAGATGAAAATAAAAGAAGAGACATTTTTTAGTTGTATTTGACGGAGGGATGGATGTCAGCGTTTTATATTGTGTGTCATCAGACATACCTGCCTGTGCAGCGATCATGAGGGCTGTGTTGCCGTCATTGTCTTGGTGGTTGATGTCTATGAACGGACATTTGTGCAGACATGTGACGATGTCTACATACCCCTTGGCTACAGCCAGCATCAGTCCGTTCTGAGACCAAAAAAAAATGGACAGTGATGTTGATGAAACTGGAATCTCACTTTTCTCTTTACAGGAATACAGCTTCTGAAATCGTGTCAAAGTCATTTTCTCTGTGTGACATTCAGTAAAATAGCACACACTCACTCTGCCGTTGATGTCCAGCTCCATGGCCTCTTCCTTTGTGACTCCTCTCTCCAGGATCCTGCGCAAGGATGTGCTGGCATTCCTCGAACAGGCCTCGTAAAGTGTTTTGGACGGCTCTGTGTGCTTTTCATCCGTTTCATATTCTGGTAGCACTGAGTCATCAGAAAGGACACTTCCTGTGTCGGAATCATCTAGAAGGATCTCAGAGTCCTCAGATGGGCCTTCGCCCAGGTGGGGGTCGTAGTTTGCAGTAGCCATTGGACCCCCTTCTGCCTAGGATCAGACCTTGGTGTTTGGTCTGCTGCACACCACCCACATCTTGAATCAGAAGACATGAAATGTAAAATTTGTCATGAGATTGTGTGCAGCCTTGTATACCTCTAACTTCAGAGAGATGAGTCGCATTTGAGTGACCATCAAAACTTGTGTCCAGCTCCAGATTTTAAAAGAGATCAACTCTGTATTGTTGCCCCAAGCTCAGCTCTTTTTTTTAATAGTTGTAAAACTAATATAGATTTTTTGTTTGACCCTTGATATTGTAGATAACCCACAAATGAAGACAGCTTAACATGATTTGACCCCCAGCTCACTTTGCTTTAAAGGGACATAGAAAATGTTTGCCAACCCCAACATGCAAAAGTGTAGCTTCTGGGAGATAATTAGTCAAATTAGTGTGGTATTACAGTCATCTCATTTAGGATTTCTTCTTCTAAAATAAGCATCTAAGACTCGTTCTGCAAGACTAATAGGGACATAGCCTTTGAAAATAGCATGTTAAATAGCACTGAGGTCCTGAAAGGTCCTTGTCTAAAAGGCACGATGCCTAAAGAGGATAAGAAGCTTCACCTCACCCCAGCCCTGCTGTCAGGGCGGCTGATCCGTAAGTCTGTGACTTAAAAAAAAAGGCAAGCTGACTGTATAACATGCTTTTCACCAATGTTTGTTTCCAAGCTGAGACATTTATAGTACTACAGAAAAGAGGAGAAGAGAGTAGAGACACATTCTTAGCACATTTAAGCTGATTCATATCTAAAAATGAGCAAAAAAATTTGCAAGCCATATGTAAATATGTGCAAATATACAAGAGGGACAGTGAAATAAGAGCACTACTCATCCCTAAAAACTCAGTCTGTAAAAAAAGTGTGAATGAACATGTTGTAGGAAGCGTGTACTGGGTCGAGAAAGGCCATATGGTGCTGGATGCGATTGGAGGCCAGACCAGTGACAGCATCTGTTATGGTGTCTGAACCCTGCCACACTTCTCTAGAGTAAAGGTACACAGAAGTTAGAGTAGTTAGTGGTTTTTTTCTGCTGTTAACGAATGCAGTTTACGTAAGCTTTTGTGCTTTTCTACATGGACACATGACACAGTTTCTGGAGGATGGTTTGTAACTTTACAGAGTGTCAACTATCTGTTAGAAAGAGCTAAATTCAGAGTGTAAGTCGTTAGGCTCACTCGGCTCTTCTGCACACATCACTTTATCATATTCAGCTTTGTTACAAATGTTTATATGTATCTGTGTGCACAAAGTAGCTTTGCAAGTGCTGACAATGGCACATCAAGGCCAAATCATTAGAATAAGAGCATCTTTTAGATAAGCTCTTGTTAAATGCCTGATAGAGCTTATCAACTGCTTTAATCCTACAAACACATGTTGTTTCTTGCTCAGCAGTTTATCATGCAGAAAATGAAGATTTCTACCAGATCAACATTTCTTCCTCTTCCTCTTTTTGCACCAATGTATAAAGAATCTACTTTAATGCTGACATTGTGGCCTACACTTCCTGCTTAGTAACACTTTAGATTTCAGTCAAGCTTTTTCTTTTGAATCCCAAATTTGAGCTTTCTCTGTTGTTGCTCTAAACAGTGGCATGAAAGTGTAAAGAAATGCAACATTTTGAGCCAAAGAGAAATCTTAAACCATAAATTAAGAGTCAGAGCCTCACCCCAAACGATCCAGTCAAGGCTTCATCCTCCTTTCTTGATCTTGGTGGTTAAACCATCCTCTTTTATTGGACTTCCACTCTTCCTGTTTGCTCTTGCTGGAAACTAGTAACTTTGAGTTTCTGACACCAGCTGAATTCCTTTCCCCCTCCCTCCATCTCTCCAACTGGCCAGTTAGCTTGCAGCAATCCATCCAGGTCCCAACATAGACTGTGCTCTCCTAAGTCAGGCAAACATGCTCTCTCCATCTCATCCTGATTATAGAAGATTTAAGGATTAAGAGAAAGAAACAGACAGCAGCCAACTTTGCTCCTCTTACAGTCTGCTCTCTCTTTCTCGCCTCTCTCATTTGTCTCTCTGGAAATCCATCCATGCACAGCTCTCTGCTGCCCGTCTGTTGTGTCAGAGAAAAACCTCTCCAACTAAGTGCCGTGACTGAATCATGCAGGCTGTGGCTCCCAAATGTGGAGTACTGCCGAGGACCCCCTGCCTGAAATAATTTCTGTGAGTCTGTGTAATGGGAGGCAGTGTCTTGGGTCTGTTTTCCCATGGAAATCCATTTGCTGGGACAACAAACTAACCCTGTTGTTCCTTTTAGCCACGGGGGCGTGTTTGTAATGATTCCCATGATGGAGGTGACACACACACACAAACATGAAAACACATGGGCGCTCTGTGATGCGCACACAAAAACCAAGGATACAGTTTAAGGGAATTTCATTAGAAGATAACTTACATTCGTCATACAGTAATGGGAAACCAGGTAAAAATGCCTCATTGAACATCCTCCATTTCTATTCCGGGCCTTTCACTGTGGCTACAACCTTTCCGTCTTGAACTCCCTTCGTGATCGTGACTTTATTGTTAACAGGTTTATTCACAGACCCATGGACACATTCACGTGGTATCAAAGGTGCATGTAAACAGATTAACCCTGATATTCACTTGGATGTCGGCCAAACTGTGACTGTGTGCATGTGAAGGTAGTATGCATTATGCAACAGCTCCTCTTTTGTTGCAGGCTGCCCCCCTCTGATCAAACCGGGTAATGCTTCGCTTTGACAAACTCAATAAGAAGTTTAGACTGCTTACTATTAAATTAGCCCTATATTCATCCTCTTTGTTGGCGGCTGCTGCTTTTTACACAACTTCAAGATATATTTTTACACTTGCAACAAGTTTGCCTTGACCTTTAATATCTCCAGACTTTTGACAGAAATTAAAAAGAAAACAAACTGGATTCTCATTCAAAAATGAAAACATCCTGATTTTCTCAGACAAAACATTGTTGATACGTCATCTAAAGCAGACACGCCTCTTTCAACACAATCTCAGTTCTATCAAATACCCCAGACAAGTCATTATCAGAGGCTGTGATTTATCAGATCAAGCCTGCAGCTTCACTATAAGTCACCTGACCCATTACTCAAAAGGTGCTAAGTTTAGATCCAAGAGCCCGAGGTGGACTTCTTGCTGATATGAAACACAGGAAAAGAGAAAAAGGGAAATGCTTAGGGGCGAGGATATATTGCTTGTGAAAAAAGGCCCAAACAAAAATAAAGCAGACCGGAAGAAATCCAAGAGGAAAAGGAAGCATGTTTGGCACAACAGGGTGGGGTAGCAGTGCGTGTGGTTTTTCTGTCATCCTGTTAGATATGCAAAAGTAAACTTCTTTACCAGACGGGGGCAGCACATCACACTCTAACAGAAGGTTTGTGTTTATCTCCTAAACTCAAACCTTTAGTCCGGCTCCACGGAGAAAATCCATCCAGTTTTACCAAAGATTACTAATCTGATGTCAGAACATTTTGTCCTGACTCACCCATGTTGATAGCTCTCACACTTTCCTTTTAGGGTCAGAGTTATTTTCCTCTTTTCTGAAAATTCCTGTCGGAGACATTCACTCATCAGTAATAAAAAAACTGTCCAGCTGCTCCCCAGACACCAGAGTACCCAGCAGAGGTCAGTGGTAGAGCAGAAGAACTTGGAAGGAGGCTTGGGAAGCACTGGGCTAAGTTTAGCCAGCTTAGTGACTGACTCTTAAAGGCAGCCATGTGCACGGCTAATATTAGATTGTTGGCAGTCTCTGAAGGACCCGTCTTACCAGCACTTTACTCTGACTCTGTGAGCATCTGTCATAATATTTCCAGCTATGTGGCTATTAGACAGACCCACCGCCTCCCTCCCTTCCTCCCTCCCTTCACTGCTGGTCCTTAAGCGTTTGAAAGCATCCGAGGATCAAGTCAGTATGAAGAAAGGAGGAAAGGCAAGGACGGAGATTTGGAGGTAGTTTTGGAAGTGTTAGTTCGTGGCCTCTTAAGTGTAGGTTTAAGAGGCACAACCAACAAAAACAAGACACACAGGAAATGATTTGTTTGTAAGCCGGTTTACTCAAACCTTCAATGTGCTGAATTCCTCATTAGCTTAAGTTAAAGACACCTAAAGAAATGCTCAAGTATGGTAAAAATGTGAGCAGCTTGACCCCGTGATACAAACACTTACTATCCCTGTGCTTTTTAATGAGTGCACACTTATGTATATGTTGACAAAAATAATGTTAAAAACATAGAAGCTAAGAGACTTCTTTAAATGGTTATTAGTTTCCTGATTGACAAGTTCTCATTCAGTTTTTAACATGTTAATACTGTGAAACTTAATGGAGCCCTTAAAGGCCCCTGGTGGGGTAATATCACAATTATTTTCCTTACTTTCAATGGTTGTCTTGTGCAAACAAGTTATTATCTAATGCGCACCATAGAATTATCTTGTGCTTGCAAGATAATAACTTGAGTGTACAACAATTATATGATATGCACAGTGTAATTATATTTTTCGTGCATGGTAATTACATGCTAATGCACGATAATAACAAGATAACTTGTGCACACAATACTGCACACACTGATGGAAGATGAGAGGATTATATTATGGACACATAAAAAGCTCTTACCCTACTGGGCTTCAGGAGTTCCATAAAATAAGATATTTGATCATTTAGATGATGTCCACCCATCCATTTACTACCTTTTTTCCTGGTGGAGGTCACATGGGGGGCTGGAGCCTATCCCAGCATCTTGGGGCGAAGGCAGGGGACACCCTGGACAAGTTGCAAGTTAATCGCAGGGCTGACATATAGAGACAAACAACCATCCACACTCGCATTCACACCTACTGGCAATTTGGAAGTGGCCAATTAACCTTACCCCAATTCTGCATGTTTTTGGGATGTGGGAAGAAACTGGAGTACCCGGAGTTAACCCACCCAGACACAGGGAGAACATGCAAACTCTTCACAGAAACACTCTGACGAGGATTTCGAACCCAGAACCTTCTTGCTAACCACTACACCACTGTGCCACCCTAGATGATGTCTGCATTAACTAATTAAACCATGTTGTGCAAGTGTGTTCGGTAAATTTCATTTAACTTTTCTTGAGATTCATCAGGAGCTTTTTATCTCTTTTATTAGTAAGTGTTAAAAGAGGTTTCACAGGATCACTTAAGTCTCTGGCCTGATTCCTGCAGTACATTGTCAATTTATTTGCCTCTAGAAGAGAGACACATGACTGGATGTCTGACAGACAACAGAGATACTAATTAAAAGGTGTCAATTTAACACTGTCCTTGAATAATTAAAGTAACTTGATAAAAATGGTTCTTGACGACTGACACCACACACACAAAAAGAGAGGGACAGGGTTAGAGAGAAAGAAAGAGAGAGAGAGTCACAGAGGGGAATGCAAAACAAGTCACATAAATATAAGGTTTCTAAACTGGATCTGTGTGTAACCAAAACAGTGTGACACATGAATCTCAGACTGCTGCAAAAGGGTTTCAGGGAAGGCTCAAAACTCTCTCAGACATAGCTGTCTAAACTGTTCCTTCAACAAAATAGGTTAGATCAGTCATGTTTGGTTAAAACATGTTTGATTTGTGAGGCCTTCATATTTCATTTCAGATATATCTTACACTCGTAACTTCTAGGACAAGTTTTTGTTAAAAGTTACAATAAAAGATTTCAGTTTTGTCTCACTCTCGTAACTTAAAGTGCCTTCAACACATACTTCATGAAATTGAACAAGTGTGAGTGATGTTTAGTTTCTGAAAGATAATGCTTAAAATATTGCTTAGATATTGATTACAATAATGCTCTGATAACTATTGCAAAACACTGTGTGGTGTTTTTTTTTTGGATGGCCAAGCTTCCTTCAGGTTTTAGAAACAGGATTTTAGCTCCAGGGGAATGCGACTCAGTAAAATGATTATTGAGCTCAACTTCTTCAGTAAAATGACTCAACGGCTGCTGTGAAATTTGGAGGGAACAAACACTAACAACACCCAGAGGACTTAAGTGGTTTTGAGCAAATCATTGCACAAATCTGATGAAGATGTTCAAATTGATCACAAGATGTATTTCATAACATTGGTCATCCTCTAACCTTCTTACTTTGAGCCATCAACCTGTCACAATTTCAAGTTTGATCCGTGACAATAAACCTTTAGCTTTTTTTTTTCCTACAAACCCACATAATTATTAAGATAACTATCATTTTATGAACTGTGTAGAGGTAAAATTGCAAATGCAGGAAAAGTAATTCATAATGCACACACAAACACACATTGTCTCCGTGATACGGACTCTCCTTGTCAGTAAACAATGTTGCAAGCTCCCTAACTTCTGACTAACAAACACTATTGCTTCAATTAATCAGTGTCTCAGCCGCTGAAGAGGTTGTGTAAGATGTGTGTGCAATTGATGACAGTCTTTTAAATAGTTGAGCTTCATGAGCTGTGTGTTCATACCTTATTTGGGGCTGCCCCGCTGCTCGACAGTTCACACACTCCATGTGTCACTGCCTGAGACTTGGGCAGAGATAAAGAGTGCATGCAGGGTGCCAGGACAGTTTCAAACCAGACCTGGGAGAGATATATACTCTAAATAAGAAGATATAGAAAAGACTGAGCTGATGTGGGATGGAAGGATATCCAGCTGGTGAAAACAAAGAGGAAGAAGACGGGGAATGATGGAAGGAGGGGATGTTTTGGGGAGGGGGGTGGTGATTCTCAAGAGCCAATCAAGGACAAGAAAGTTGGATTTCAGGGAGGGTGATGCCAACAGTCCTGAAGTGATTTCAACACTCAAACAGAAGAAGAGAGAAGAAGAAGAAGAGCATCTAGGAAAAACATTTCCAGACTATTACAGAAGGAGAATTTAGGAGCTAAATGTTCATGAGAAGGCCCAAGAAAATCTTCTATCTGAGTTTGTAGGGAGGCTTTTTTTTTCAGATCACAAGGTGGATTTTTCTTTCTGGACTCAAAGCACCTGCGTCTGAATCAGGGGACTTAGGAGAGAGGTTCCAAGGTTGCCGTGCAGGCGTTGTTGTGTTTCCAGGTTCAAACACAAACGTGACCCCCCTTCTTCCAGGATCAATAATTCATATGAATGAGGTTTCCTGTGTGTCAGAGCAGGACGACGCGGGCTGTGGTGGCTCAGCTCCAATTTGTGGCACAGTGTGCAGCGAGACAGGAGCTGAGGGAACAGAATAACAGACGGACAAAGAAGAGGAGAGAGGAGACAGAGGACACGAGGAGAGGTTGCGTGAGAGTTTGGTAATTAGAGGGGGAGAAAAACAAAGGAGGATAATCTGAGGGAAGTTTCTGGGGAGAAAATGAAGGCTCTACAGAAGAATCAGGGACGCACTGACCAGATGTTGGGAGCCATGGCTGACATGCTCACTTCTGTGGCCATGCCAAATCAACAGTGGGTGAGTTGATCTGTTTCTCTGTTTATTGTCTCTTTGTGTAAATTCCTAATGTGACAAATTCAGACAGAAATCAATAGAATCACATGGAGGGATTTTCCAGGGCCTACAGAACACGACTTCTAGTAAATCTTCTACTTAAAACACTAGTTTGTAAGTTTTTGTAAGAATCCTATTCAACCTAAAATGGTCAAGTCAGACAAGCAGAGAAAGACGAGGGAGGAATGGAAAGATTTCAAGTCTCTGTTCAGTGCTTGTAAGGAATCTTAAATGTCCGAGAAACGGGAAGCAGAGTGGCAGTGATTAAACCATCTGACCATAAACAAACCCATGCAGGCTGGTCCAACGCCTCACTGCAAGCAGGACAATTCATTTTCTTCCTTCCTTCCTTTACTTCATCCTCTCCACTTCTCCTTTTCTTCACTTCATAAAATGCAGAGGTGTCTGCAGTAAGGAAATAAAGTCAAGAAATGTGTGTTCTGGTTGTTTGGGTGGAAATTAAAGCAGCCATGATGGATTTTACACCACAAGTATGAATATAAATCCAACTTCAATAACTTGAAAACCAGAAAAAAATCAAATACAGCCAACTCAACATCTTACAAGTTAATCAGATTTGGAAGTTTTCCCAATCTATGTACGTGTTTATCCCGATAATTTCCCCCCTTGCAGACAGTGGATAAATTCACTGCAGTGATTATAATCTTCCACCAACCCTGCAAAAAGCTGATAACGCCACTTCCCTCCGTTTACTCCTGTCCTGAAGCAGAGAGTTTTCAAATAAAGAGCAAAAGCGCCATCTGAAAATCACTTCTCATCCAAGCTTTGTGGCGAAAACTTGACCTCAACAATTTCTTCTGAATTCTTGTTCAGTGTGTAATGGAGAAAAGGATGAAAAAGGTTGAAGGAATAGTGGAAAAAATAGCCACTGGTATAATGTTATTGTGGTTGTGTGACCATAAGCACTCTGCACAATCTTACCATCACTTCCTCATCAGAGCAGGACTCCAGTGCTGACAAAGGCATCTCTGTGTGTAGCTCTCAGAGGGAGGCGAGGCGGACCTCCCATCGAGCGAGGAGGAGAAGGGGCCCATGCAGGGCCAGTGGGAGCCAGAGGGGCTGGGGTGGGAGCAGCAGGCCGCTGCTTCAACAGAGAATCCAGAACGGAGGGAGAGAACAGGTAAGACCTGAAAGGGCTGCACGTTTAGAGCGTGACAGAACATCTTGTGACCCCAAACCCTCACAATGCTAGTCCAAACATTGGGCCTCACTAAACCAGTCAATGCTTACAGACCGACCGAAACACAAACTTCCAGAGTCTGTTTTGGTTTTGTGTGTGAGGTGGCTCAAATTTCTGGGAACTGACATCTAAAAGAGCCTGTTTTGCCACTTGATCACTTGTAAGGATAAGTCCTAGCAAGAGTGTGTGTTGCTGTTGACAAATATATGAGGTAATTTATGGTCTCAGTCTTCATGACATGCACAAGGCACATTTTCCACAGCCACGCATGAACTCCTGACAATGACCAAACGAAATCTCCTAAATTCACTGAAACTTGAGCATCTTAGACTCACTCTAAAAACTTAAAAAAATACTGTGTTTGATTCAAATGAGAGCGGTATTGGTAGTCTTCTCTAACAGTGACTGTTATTGACATTTCCAGTAACACAATACTTTTAGTGGGCAGTAAAAAAAAAAAATCAAGGGCCTGTGCACACTGGCAGCAGCTCTTTTTGGCCCTCACAGGACTCACTATTTTGCTTACTGTTGCTTAGGGAAAGTTGTCCTGTGCAGCTCTTTTGCTCCCCCTGGTACTGACAGCTAAGTCTGCTTTCAAATGCTCCTTATGCTCCTTATTTACTCTTATTCAGTGTTATTAGACACATTAACAAAAACATAAAAATGATTGATCAACTGTATGCAAAGACACAGGCTTCAAAGGAGTAAGACATGAACTGGCTCATCACTCGGCCCACTCACTTTCGGTGAATGTTTCACAGCATTCACATGTGAGCTGGCTCTGACTCTGCTGATGTTTTACTCGGGTTCTGAGACAAGGGAGTATCTTTTAATTCTGAGTGATTCAGGAAAATGTTAGGAAATGTTCTGGGGTGTATTACATATGTACAGTGGACTTTAAGTCAGTGTGCACATACACCATTTTTACAGCTCAGTATGTGTTTGAGCCATTTTATCTATATTATTTTTGGGGTTTTGTTTCGCTACTCGCACAATAACCACAAGGGGCACTTCGGGTGAATGGGCAGGTGAATGCTACAAAGGGACACAGGAGAAGCAGTGATCTGGGAAACGGGAAGAGCACACAGTTACCGCTAACCTCTGACACCACTCTCACCCTCATCACATACATCACTATCATAGTAAGTTGGACGTATCTGTCTTTTTTTTGTTGTTGTTGTTTGTTTTTCATTAAATCAATAAATGTTAAAAATATAACTAAACAAAAACCTTGGATTCGACATTGGATTGTACTAGAAGTGCGTCAAAAACACCTCACTCCCACACCCAGATGATGACTAAAATTCAGGCCAGCATAGTCACTACAGTATATGCTGTCATATCCACATTCAGATAAAACAAGCCTGACCTCTTCTGGCATATCTGATGGAGATCATTGGCCCCTAATAACTTCAGGGAAAGTTTAAATTGGAGTCACCTGAGTGTTTGTAGTTTACTCTTATTAAACTCCACCCTCTTCATCCCCATTTAGGCCCGATTGCAGTAAATTGCTTTGCTGTAATGTAGCATGAATAAATACAGGATAGAGAACAGAGTTCTTGTGTTAATGCACATACACATGCAACACTTTCCAGATGGGTCAAGACATGTTCAACTGCCTCTCGTCCCTTTCTGCCCCAGAAGCTATTGGTTGCACTCTGATTCTGATTTTGCTGTGAAAGGCTTGCGTGCATTACCATTTTCCTTGAGTGGAAAGGAACAAAAGGAGCTTTGTAGCTGTATCTGGGTTTGAGTTTGGAGGAGTGTGTGTGTATGGAAGGGGGGTTTGGTGGTGTGCACTATGTGGCTGGCCTTGCTGTTGTGCAGAACAGTACACTGTGTGAGTACATGAGCGGTGTGAGTGAGACCATAGGAAGCTGTCGGAGATGCTTATCTGTAATGGTTCAACTTGGATGGAGTGTGCTGCTGAGGGTTATGCTGCCAAATATTATTTCAGCATACAGCTAAGGGCTCAGTAAGGAAAAACATGGAGAAATGCATTATTCAGGTCCATGTGGAAGGAAGATGACCAAATGGGAGATTGTTTATTCTTGTTCCAGACAAGCTCCTTAGCTTAATTGTTTTTGCATAGTCCAATTTCCTCCGGATGGGAAATTGAATGGAAAATCAATGAAACACAAAGCAGAAAAACATCTGAAGAGCAACAACAAGACGCAAAGGCAGAGAAGAGATCTAGATGAGAAGTATAGAAACTGAAGGTTCAGGGTCTCCGTCTAATGAAGATGTTTATTATAGCAGAATCTTACACCACAGAATGTAAATGATTTTTGTTTATATTATAATGGAAAAAGTCATAAAATATCAAATATTTATGGTGCTTGCAGTGTTTTGTCTTTCGAGGCCTGAAGCTTGAGGACTGGGCCTTATTTTGCAGGAATTCTTCAGTTTTTTAATGAGGCATATTGAAAATACACACGAGCACAAATTGACATTGTTTTGATCACACATAACCTCTTAGTGCATCTTTTATACACTTATAGATAAATTTAAATAATGAATATTCTCTTACCTTCAAACTCAATAAAATGATCAATGTAATTAACTCTGAAGTAGAGATTAAAATCAATCCTAGATGTGTAGAACAGGAGACATGTGATTACATTTATCCATGGTTAAACTGGCAGAGGTCAGAGTGATGTTTCCATCTCTCAGTGTGACAGAAAGGAGGAAAGAGGCCCCACTCTCTCTAGAGTTGTGGTACTTGAGAGCCATCTGTTACATGTTAGGAACAAGAGGCCTGCTAGTGGCTGCCCAGGAATCACTAACCTCTACAAATTCAAATCTTTTATCCTCGATTCATCCGATGCTCATGAATCTTTTCACATTCAGGCTTTTTTTCTCCTCTTTGAACACCTTGTTGTATCTTTCTTTTCACTCTTTGTTCTCCAAGCCCTTCCATATATGATCCTCTGAGCGATGCCCTCAGGAGTGTTATTTCAATCCTTGTTTCTCTTCCAAGTACACAGAGCTGCTGGTCATATTTCTTTTAAATCTCTGCTGTTTTTTTTTCTTTTTTGCTCTTCGCTCCCTGGACGTTCTGCAGTATAGCTCATGCTCTCACCCTCCCTTGACAAACTGTCTACAATGTCTGTTTCGTAACATTGATCAGTGATTGATGGCTGTGTGTGTCCACTACTGTGTAGGTCTCTCTCAAGGTAAAACACATAGGGCTACATCAACAGGAAACTGCAGTGAACCATTTGAAACAACAGTGTTGTATCTAACCAACAGCTGCATGCACACATTACTGACACGTGCAGAAATGTGCTTATTTGCTATCAGGAACACAAGCACACTATGATTATTAAAGTTGTCCATTATGACTCATGTATGCATGGTGAAAAAGGATGTTTTTTAAAGGAAACTTTGATTGTGTTAGACACGTAATGTCCATTTATGAGACCACAACCCTTAGATATTACTCTGTACCATAAATTATTCATAGTCACTGCACTAAAATATGTTTTTCCAAAGTATTATCAAATGGAAAGGGTCGCTCATCGGAAAACTGGAGATCAGGGAAAAAAATCTTGTGGAAAATGTATTAGGCTGCATTTTTTTGTCCTTTCCTCACAGAAATCAGGACCATAATTAAGTGGTCTAATGACCCGGTTTGGTTCTCAGGAACCCCTTGTTACTAATCAACTGACGTTATTTTTCTTGTATTGGAGTTGTTGGGATGTAAACTCTCTAGAACTTGCATGACCTTATTAGGGTCTACGGAGACTTGGTGAGTCTGTCATTCAGCAAGTGCTGCTCCCAGGGGACCCTTGAACTAAATTGTGTGTGTGTGTGTGTGTGTGTGTGTGTGATAGAGAGAGAGAGAGAGAGAGAGAGAGAGAGAGAGAGAGAGAGAGAGAGAGAGAGAGAGAGAGAGAGAGTAAGAAAGAGAGAGAGAGTTCAACCTTAACCTTGTGTTATAGAAATAAATAAATAAATAAATACATACATAAATAAATAAATAAATATTAATTATTATTATTATTATTATTATTATTATTATTATTATTATTATTATTAATATTATAATAATAATAATAATAATAATAATAATAATAATAATAATAATAATAATAATAATAATAACAAAAATGAACTTTATTTTTATGGCACTTTCAAAAGGTTACAAAGTTAAACAGAAAAAGCATGATGAATTAATTTTAGCAGCAGAGGAGAAATCAATCTTAAATTATAACAAATGGGGGAAATATCATGTTAAAAACATTTCAAGACAACAAAGAAAAAGGAAGATGTCACATCAGAATAAAAACAAAAAGATGTGAGGCAGTAAAATAAAAAAATATATATAAATAAATGAACAAATAAGAAAATAAGTAACGCAATAATGCTACATCAATGAGCTCTAATGGAAAAAGTGCAGTCTTCTTCAGATTTGAGCCCTGAATGATTTGAGATGGCTTATACAGTGTCAGTATTTTAAAAAAAAATAACCTGGGGCAAGCCTCAGACGAGCTTTAAAAGTGATCAGTAAAATCTTAAAACCAATTCTTATCCATTCATGGAGTCAGTGGAGGGAAGCGAGGATAGGAGTGATGTGATAATGTTAGCTAGAAACCTGTGAGAAACCTGGTTACTGCCGTCTGGACCAGTTAGAGGTGAGATGAGTGATATCAGAAAGAATCTCATGCATTCTCTATCAGGAATTATAATTTGTGAAGTTGTATCAATAATTTACAAATATTTCATGTGTGTGTTAAAGTCAGTTACATGTGAGGCAAGACAAGCTCTCGTAAACACTGAAAACGCCCTTGAAAGTTCTGTCAGCCCACCCATAGTATTGCAACATGGTCCAATATCGCTTGTTTTGCAAAAGTTCTGATTGGGTTATTTGACCTTTGACTTAGAGATCAGACACTGACTGTGACCTCAGCTGGGGAAAATTGGTCATAAATCCCAGCATTATGAGTATGTGGGCTCTTCCACTATGACTCCCCATCAACCCTAAAGGGATGTATCTTGTGCTTGTCTTGTTTTGTAACATTTACAAACTAAAGTGAGACAAGTGTCAGCTGTGGTTTTAGGGGTTTTGACACACAAAAAAACTGCCTTCTGTGGTTGTAAACATCAGCAGAGAGTACTAACCCAACCCAAAGCTGTGAGCTGACCCGATAAATGATGAGAAGTGAGTCACTGCTTCAGACGGTAATAAACCCTCTTTTTACACATTGTTTTTACTTTATCATGAAATAAACAGTAAATGTACAATTATGAATTATAGATACTTAAAAAAAATGAAGAAAAGTTAATAAAAACTAAATCTGCAAAGGAAACACTGAAAGCGTGTGCTCGTATGCATTTCTGAAGGTTAGGTCATGCAGGGCTGGCAGGCGGGTGCAGGTCAGGCAGGTCCTTCAGACACCTCACAGGTCACTGCTTCACAGCACGGCAGGCATTCAGACCACAGAGTAACCCAGTAGATGGAGACACATAAATGCACTCATATGTTGCAAACATGCAAAGTACACCCACAACAAATCTGGAATGACAACGTGCAATTTCAGTGTTTGCAGCATGATTTTGTTTAAAGTGACAGAAACATTATCCCTAAACCTTCTTTTACACACAAAAACATCTGTCTCCAAACAGTCAAATCACAGTCATCTCAGTAATTACTACTCAAAAATTAAACTGAAGTACCTCTCCATGTGTGATGCTGTGGTGATTTAATGAACATTTTCTCCTTTGGGTGGCGTTTCAGCTCAGGCGTAAGCCTCAAACACAGTCGGCAGTAGTCCCAGAGTCTCAGCGCTAGCATGCTGTTTCTGGAGCAAGGTTCACCGAGCAGCTACAGAGAGATAAAGAGAGGCAGTGGGTCAGGTATGGAAGTAAAAACTGTGATAGTCTGGATGGGAAATGGTGGAACAGGATTAGAAAAATGTGTTTGTGCAGGTTTCTTGGAGCTTGTAATTGTGGGTGGTATTGAAAATCAGACATGCCTTCAGAAACAAATCTCCACAGGTGTTGCACCTCCTCTTTGTTTGGAGTCCTGCTGCCTGAGAGCTGCACTGCATGTTGTAATATTAGAGTGTGAAGTTCTGAGGGATACTACTACAGCGCACACACACATACAGTGCTTTCACTGCTCCACAACTGCATGTCTTTCCTTGGGAAGTCCAGCTGGATAGAAAAGACCAGAACAAGACAGTGACTTCTTCTGCTTTATGATGGGACCTCTGCCAAAAAAACAAACTCCCCCCTCGTCATGCCGGCTTGTCCAGAATGCCAGTTTGCCTTAATTGGCGCTCAGCTGAGAGATGAAGGCAGGCAAAGAGAGAGAGAGAGAGAGAGAGAGAGAAACTAAGGGAGAGTAAGTGAGGGTGAGGGAGGAAGGAAAATCTAAGTGAGCATATTTTGGCAGGATTTCAGCTGGCTGATGGGCGCAGGAGAGGCTAATGTCAGTGGGGGGCTTGGGAACACATTGCGAATAAGCAACTGAGTATCTGCTGAAGCGAGACTCGCTGTTTCTGTTAGTGTGCAAGCTTATGTCACAGAAAGTCTTTGCATTTGCCTGGTGTGATTTGTGATTTAAGCCTGTGCACTTGGACTGTACAGTAGACGTAAATTCTTTGCAGCAAAGTCTGACATCCAAAAAATGTCTACAACAAAACATCAGGAAACGTGTATTTACAAGAGCTGTCACACACCTTCCTACAAATGACCGATTATCTCATTCAGAGAGTCTAAACCTGATACTTTCTCCTTTTTAGATTAAACACACACACACCTATTCACCAGTGTAAATGCATGTAAATGTCTACAGTATATTAGGTTTAATAGCCTTGTTGCATTCTGGGTGTTTTTTTTCTACACGCAAGCAGTACATAGATGAATCATCCTTAGCGTGTGCATGTCTTGTGTGGGAGATGGAAGAAGAGGGAGAGAGCAAAGGAGTGAGATAAAAGGGTGAGGGATGAATGGATGTTAATGCGTGCCTCACCTCAACTCACACCTAATTCAAACCGAGAGTAAGGAACATTTTTGCTATATTTCTGCTAACATTCAGGGATTTGTGAGCGACTCTTTGGTCAGTTTCTGAACTTATTTATTCTGAGACTTTATTCTCACATTCAGATGTGATACTGTAGAGCCTGGGTCAGAAAAAAACAGCACTTAAATCAAAAACTGCACGTCAGATCTGGTCATTTTTTCAATCTTATAACAATGCCAGTTTTTTCTCAGCAAAACACTCCAAGTAATAGACGCTGCTTTTCTTGCAGATGCTGATTAATGAGTTTTAATCATAATAATGTATGCAGTGTTTTGAACAGCACTCTCAATCTTCTGCTCCAAGCAGTCAACCTTATGCAAAAAGAAAAAAATGCCCCCTACTGGGCAGCCTGGGGAGTCACAGCCTAATATAATCTTGTTTAAGATTGCATGAAAAGATTGTCCTGCTTTCACTTCATGAATTTTGAGTGCATCTCAAGAGCGCTGTACTCTTCATTATCTCTCTGTGCTGTAGTGTGCGTGTCTGTGGAGTGGTAATGTTGGCAGGTAATGCAGTTTCCCCCCCACTTTGTAAAGCTTTCGCCTTGGATCCTTGTTGTCCCTGTGTGCTTGTTTTATCCTGCTCCTTTTAAACCCTTCTGTTGTGCTGTCAGATCTGTTGTTTCCCCCCATCACGCTTTGAAATGCGCTCCTGTGTTTTGGCAGTATTTGGCAGCTATATTAGCGTCAGACAAGTGGAGACGTTCAGCAGCGCTGTTCAATATTCCCCTGGTGGACTGCCCCCTTCAATCACAGTTTCTTAAAGCATCCATTATAAGGAAAGCAATAGATGGCAGAAGGGAAGGAGGGAGGCCAGAGGGGGAGTATTGTGATCCATCAGTGTGTCTGTCTGCATCAAAGTAATGTGCTGTCTGAACCTGAAAATGATGCATCTCTAGAGCCTTCATCTTCACGTTGAAGCTGCTGAGTTTGCCCTGCATGTTTGGGACTGAGGAAAAAGAAACATCAAATGTGTACTTTGTGGCTGATAGGTGAGGCTTCTCCTGTTTGCTCTGACTGTCTCCTGTAGACTTCAGAAAAACATCCTGACGGCACCACCCTGAGGAAAGAATGATTCTCTAGAAACAGTCTGAATGGACTTCAGGGACAGGCATGCTTCCTTGCATGTGTGTGTGGGATCTGGTTCAGTGCCAGTCACTACTCGGCCTTCTCTTCTTTCCATCATACCCCTCATAGGGGGAAACCTGAGTGGGTGCTCGTATTTGTGGCAACAATCAGGAGGTGGTTTTCACTTCTCAGTCACATGGTATTGTAGCCTGTGTGAACGGAGCATGATGGCATGATGAGTGCTGGGAAAAGTGAGATGAGATCACAAACTGAGTCATGAACTCAGGAGCTCCAGGCCAGAGAAACGCTTTTTGTTGGTCAGAAAATGATTTGCCGGTTATCACAGTTTTTCATATCAGCATTTTCAGCAGCCTTTCCTTTTCCTGTGTCGCTCAGTTACCTCCAGAGTTGTTTCCTTGGATAAACATGCTATATTTACTGAAAAAGCAACTGTGACTCAATTTATGAGAAAAGCTGGTGAGTCATAATTTAGCGTTGATTGAGTGTAATCTTCTCCGGTGTGAAGTGTACATCTAAATATTGATGCTTTTTTTGGGGAGTTACACAACCTCGGAAGCTTCCAGGTTCATTATCCATTTATTAAGACTGGTGTAAAATGTGTTTGTGTGTGCGTATACATACAACATTTTTTTGTGGCAATATGATACCAGGATTTTTTTAAAAGTGATAGAAAGGGGGTGTTTTTTTGGAGAAATGTTTTAACATTTAACACTCAAGTCCTAGCTTTCTGTTAAAGGCACGGTAAGGAATTTTTAGCTTGATAACAAGACTGAATCTCCTCTTTCTTTCTCCAAAAGCAAAAGAAACTATCACTGGCAATCAAAATAAATCTACTGTGGTAATGTTTATGTTACTTTTACGCATTCATGGCAAGAGATATGAGACATCACTTTGCCTACAGGGTGCGCCAATATCAACACGAACTGAAAGTTCCTCACAGAAGCTTTAAATAAGTGTGAAACAATTTTGTTTGACATTCAATTCTATGAAATGAAAACACCAGATCATTTATAAATAAACAACAAAAACTAAAAATAACAAACAAAAGAAACTTTCCTTCATGAAGCTCCAGTTAAAGCAAGATTTTATCTGTTGTTTTTCACATTGTAATCTTAGTTTAGAGTCCAACTTAAGTATTGATCTTTAGGATCTTATGACTTTGGCGCAAGCACTGATAACTTCGACTTGGACTTGACCACATTCAGACTTTTAGGATGGAGAGGAGGACACCAGCTACTTCATTAACAAAGAGTGTTTCATTGTTTTTGCTTATTGTGTTGTATTAGGTTCTAATCATCAATGCAGGTTTAAGCAAGTGTCAGTTCATGTTCTCAAATGAATGGACGTTCATGCGTTGTGTTGTTCAGCAACTGTTCCAGGCAGGATGCCGAAAAATGATTTTTGGAAAGGGAAATAAACTAGTCTTGGACTCAGGTATTCTTCTTTGGAGACTAATGGAGCGCTCACACTAGAAGTGAGTAAAATTAATCTCCTCGCTTAATTCATGAAATCTAGATGGGTGAATGAATAGTTTTTTTCCTCACTTCATTCTCACATCAGCGGTAATTTCAACGGTAATCCCTGCCAATTCAACCAGCGGGATTAAGTGATAGACAAGGGTTTCTTACAATTTACCAGGTAATCCGACCTCCTCACTCACTTGCCTCCAGAAGAACTCCTTTTCATTCTGGTTTCGTTAATTGAAAGAAAAGTTATCATAAAATTCAGGGCACCCACACACCGACACGATCAGTTTGTCCTCCATTTTATATACCAGTGAACAACCGTCAGTTTTTATACATCACCCAGCAACCTTCTTGTTGATTAGTTGTGACGCGATTATCTGCCCAACTGAGACATTTTCAGCTTCCGCCCATTTCGTTTTATTCACAACGCCAGAGTAGTAGGAGCGTCTTATCGCATCTTTGCATTGACTTCACGTAATTTCAGTCGCACAACTGATTTTACTCGCACTTGGTGTGTGGAGACCGTAACAATGGGGTCCTGACTTGGACTTGGCCAGACTCAGTCTTTTGACATGCAAATAACCAGCAGCCAACTCAGTGATTTAAGGTTCATGTACATTGAAATATCCAGCTGAGTTCACAAGAGGCATTTCTCCTCCTGGTTTAGATCTCTGGACAAAGTAAACCCAGAACTCTAATACAGAACGAAATGATTCAAGTCAGCTGAGATCCCCTGGAGGAGGTGGTTCAACAGCTAGTTTGAGAGCTAGTTTGTCGAACGTGTGTCCTTCCCATCTCTTGAACCCCCTCTTTGCCAGGCGTATTTTTGGCCCCTGCATGACACCACTGAGCAGAGTGGAAGCTCATCTCTTTCATGCTCTGACTCACAAGCAAGTAAACTTCTGTATTTCTGTATACCAATGTACCTCAGTGTCAATGAGGTTTAACTTTCTCGCTGCTTCAAATCAACCCTCGAATCATATTATTGGTAGATTATTTTGATAGCATGCTTCTGACCTAGATTGTGATTTTTACTACTTCAACTACTAGCACTTTTTTTTCCTCCAGTGTATAGGTTTATTCGATGAGACTGCCCCTCTTTATACTACAATGAAATGTCCAGACTGAGTTATTCACACACACAAACACACACACCAAGAATGCCAGCATGCCAACACTGTGAAATTTGAGACCGCCCACTCACCCCATGGAAACACTGGGATAGAAAAGGTCAAAATGCCATTATCATAACTAATCACAGTGGCTAATATCTCAGCAGTATTAGCTTGAAAAACCTAAGAAAGATCCATGAAGTCAAACACATGATACCTCCAGCCCAACATGGCCTCTCCTCTGCAAATAGCATTGTGTATCAGTACAAACCTGGCTGTTACTATTTCCAGGGTCAGCTCTGAGTGTGCCATTTCATCTGGTGTCTGCGTTAGACAGTCGGGGAGAGAGAGCAGCAGACGTGCAGCCAGGAAACAGGAGGGTGCCGAGAAAAAACAGCTGAGCGGAGAGAAACACAGAGGACAGGAAGAGAGAGAAAATTAGGGGAGTGGGAACCTTATCCTGGAGTAGCCAGCAACCAGAGCTGCAGACTCCACCCTTCTCACCCCTCCCCTTACTCCCTCTCTCTCTCTTTCTCTTTCTCTCTCTCTCTCTCTCCCTTACTGCTATCTCTCTCTCTCTCCCTCTTTCCGAAGCAGCCTCTTAGTCTGTCATTTGACCAGGCAGTTCACAGAGGCGAGAGCTCAATACTAAGAGGAAAACAGAGGGAAAAAACAGAGACAGAGAGAAAGGAGCACGTTGAATAAAACAATCAGCTAGCTGGGATCTTTTTACGGCTTTTATCACCATCTGGGAAACCCTGTGAGTCTGTGGGAGTGGATTTCTTCTTGGCAGCAGCTTTGGTGGACTCTTTCCCCTCTTCTCGGGTTTGGATGTGTGGGCTTTAAGTGTCTGCTATCAACCAAAGAAGAGTAGGAGGATTAACTGACACCTTTTGGGGGATTTAAACTTTGGGGAGTCTGTTTGTGTGAGGGCAAGAGAGGGGGAGAGATAAAGAAAGAGAAAGAGAGGAGGGGAGAAGGAGAGAAAGTGCCGGGCCATGCCCACCTCTGCTCATGGTTGAACAGCATGAAAGGGGGCCACCATCACCATCGCCACCACCGAGGCTGTGGCTGCCAACACTTGTTCCGTAAAGTCTTGACCAAGTGTGGCTGCTGCTATGTGCGGGTCAGAGGTCAGTGTTACACTTGAACAAATACTAAACATTTATGTCAAAGTTTCTTACTGTCATTCTCAATTTCTTTCCCCTGGAGTTTTAACTTTACTTTGAAATGGTATTAAAAGTATTTTTTCCTGTTTTGATGCATGACTTTTCACTTCACACTTTTATTTTGCTAAACAAGAGTGATCTCTCCTTTCCTCTTCTTCAGTCTAATACCTCTGCATTCCCTTACTCTTCCTCTCCTCCACATTTTCTTACACGTCCACCCACCTCTCCCTTATCTCCCCTTCCATTCCTCTAAGCGTATGCTAATGGTTTTAAATGTAAGCCTCGATCCTCTCGCTTGCTCACTCTGCCTTCAGCTACAGCAACAGATGTGTGTCAAATACACATCAGAGCGAGCAATCCTTCCTACAGATGCTGCAGATGAGTGAGCAGTGAGGGGCACGGGGGAAGCAGAGGGCATGCATTACACATTCTCCCATTAAAAATAGAGCGTGTGTGATGTCCCCTCGTCATGATGAGTGTGTGTCAGTTGGGTATGTGCAGCACGTGGATGGATGAAACACACACACGGGGGTGCATTCCTGTAGCCCAAACAGTGAGAGCTGGACAAAACCAGCAGTAATCCCTCCCCCCATTCAACCTTCAGCTCTCCTGTTTGTAGTAATGAAGTGCGGCAGGAATAGCGGCGCTCCATTAGAATATTGTGCGGTTTAGTAAAAGCAGCAGGTGGCATGAGATGTAATAATAAAAAGGCTGGTGAGCTGTACAGTCACCCACATGTTAGGCTGCTTTGATAGAGTTCAAACCAAACTCACAGCTCCAAAAAAACATATTCAGATCTATTCTCACATGACCTCTGCCCCTGTGGCTTAGGAGCAAAGTTGACACAACAACGACGCCTAATAGCACTTTATGAGTTTACACCACGGTGCCACGCTGTGTGTTTGTTCCCTCTTACAAGCCGACATCAAAAGGATAAAAAGTGTGGACCCACCGTTGAGGCTCTGCTCATGGGAGGGGGGTGCACATGAAGTAGACTTTCATATTATTGGGCCATGTTGGATACATACCTCAGATTCCACCAGTTTAATCTCTTATGTAATGGATATTCTCCTTTTCCATCGCCTGCAGCACCCCACTGCACCTCTAGCATATTATCATAGCAAACACACGCACACTTAGATCATAAAACATGCGAGTGGAGGAATGAAACATTTCAGGCTATTAAAAGAAATCTCTAGAAACGTACAGAAAAATGACAAACTGACAGTTTAATAGCCTAGAAAACATCACGCAGGAGGCTCTTTTATGAGCAGAGAAACTGTGTAATACTGAACATTTAGTCACAAAAACACTTGACAGTCTGAGTGGAATAACCATCCCCAAGCTACGTTATAAAACTTTTGATGTGAAGCTGTAAGAGCACGTAAAGCAGATTTCTAGGTGGCTGCTGCTGCTTTGGTCTCACTTGTACATTGAAGGATCTCAAATCCCTTTTATGCCTTTTGTATCATATTTGATACATAATTTTATGATACTTCTATCAAATCAATGTGATCAACACATTACAATAACCATAACTTGTAAATGATAAACAGATAGTTTATTATTGTTTATCATCATTTATAAATAGCATATAGACTATTAATAAATTGTAAATTATACAATTTTAAAAACCTAACCCTAATTTCACAATAACCATCCAAGTAATGTTTATAGATGGTTTATATACCACTTATTAATCTTTTACAAAGTATGACAAACATCAGTTGCAACTTTACAATAACCATCTAGTAATGTTTGTAGATGGTTTAAAAAACAAATATTAACCAATTTCCAAAGTATAACTGACACACATTTTAATCTAGATGTTTTACAACCAATATTTAAACCCTATATAAACCTTTCATACATAGTCCATTAATAATCTAATGAAAATTATTAATCATAGTTTCATTGCTTGTTAATGGTAAAGTAACTATTAACTTGCATTAATAAACTATCTATTTGATATTTATAATGGTCTATATGCTGTTTTTAAATGATAATTAAACATTAATAAACTATCTATTTACCATTTATAAATTATATTGTTAAGTGTTACCAAATGACCTCTTGTGGTTTATCAGTTTCCTAAAAACATGTATTTTATCAAACAAGATAAATAAATCTATTTGTTAAATTTTATTTATTTATTTATTTTGTTTTTCAGTAGTAAGTGAAATGTACAATTCAGCTCCAACAAAAATTGAATTTTCTGGCCACAATTTGTGGTGTCAGGCACTAAAGGGATATGCAGTCCTGCCCAATCATTACAAAGCTGTTATATATTGTGATATAAGTGAGGGTGCAATGGACTTTATTTATTTATCAATCCTATGATCTTCCTTTTCGTAAACATTTCAGATCCTGCTAGATTTGTCATTTTCTGTCTCTTTTTACATAATGTATTAGTTACATGAGCGATCTTGACTCTCCATACCCTGTTGTTTCTGGTGAGCTGTTTACAGGAACAACACTGAACAATGCAGGTCTGCCTTCACAAAGCCCACAGCACTTCAAGCAGTCTGCAGACAATGTTCTTGCAGGTCAAACATGTCAAATCCTAGCAGGTTACTGATTGTTTCTGAACTGTGCGGGGGTCAGAGGAAGATTCGCAGAAAAATCTCTATGTTGATAAGATTTGAGTGGAAAAAAATATGCTTGGTGTTAACTCGAGGAAGCAAAAGCAAACAAAGAATTTCCTGTTTGGTGCCATTTGTATAGCAGTGACAGGCTGTCTTCACTGATTTACTCAGACGAAATTGTGGACGATGCATCCTCAGCGTCATTGATTCTGACAAAGCCGTTCCAATAGCACAAGAGGAAATTATAGTGTGCGGCATGATTCATCCCCCTGCTTAACACTTACTTTTACGCTTGTACAGATGATGAAACAGTGCGGTGCGCCATTATGTCGCACCATATGTGTACCCGCCTTATGCCTTCATTCACACACTCGCACACACATGAAACGCCCAAATGAACACCCTGACAGGAAGCAATCAGGAACCAAGCTTGAAGTCATTTCAGCTGTTGTCACTCAGAGGTTATGACTAACCCAAGAAGGCCTTCCTGCATCAGAAAAACAGACCAATCAGTGGCTGTTGTTTGCCTTAAACACACCATTCTGCTGCACATTTTCTAAATTCAGGGTGACGGGAAAGAATCATAAGTTGAAGACTTTTTGGCTAAGCGATATAAACGAGCAAATTTGTCAAAAAAGTGTCATTCGTGGTTGCAAAATCATCACTATACCTCACTATAGGACAGTACTGATATGCGACAAGAGGGATGAAAAATAGAGGAAATGCAGGGAGGGGAGGGTTGGGATTATCGATCCGCTCAACATGATAGAGAAACCAGAGAGATGGACAGGTGGAGAGCTGGGTGTAATGAAAGAGAGAGAGGCATGTAGCTCTGATGTCAGCACCGCTTCGCACGGCACATTAACAGATTGGCAGCCAGAGGGCCATTAGAGAGGGCAGCTCCCCAGCAAATAATGTGGACATACCATTAAAAAATAGATACAGTGTGTGCTGTCGTTTGAGGTTCTCTACAGCTGATTGCCTTCATAGACTAGAATGACCGTAAGTTCACCAATCAGGTCAAAGAGGAGGCTCTTCTTCTGGAAAATGTACGTCATGTTTGAGGAAGAAGGGGGATAATGTCCATGAAGTCTGATACATGAGTGAATAACTGATTTTTTCTGAGCAACTTCCAGAAAAAGAAAACATTTCCTTGCAGATTAGAAAGCTCGCACAGACCATGACAATGTAAGACATAAAAGGCAATGTTGAACATGATGTACTCCCCTGCAGTCTGAGCCAGCACAATCATTTCTATAGTATTTTTCTGCAGCACAGCAGCCTCCCACTCTTTAGTGGTATTAGGGATGCACCCTGAGGTGTATCTGACACCCATAAACGTTGTCTGTGAGAGAAACAGAGGGAACAAACAAAAGATAAGAGAGGGACGAGAGTACAGGGCTGGCTTGTGTATAAAAATAACAGCATTTCAGAGAAAAAAAATCCTTTTTGTTAGGGTTATAATTTTGACCGCACTTCCTCCTCTTCATCCATCTTTAATTTATTTTATACCACTTTTAAATATGTTTAATCATTCTACTTCTAAAACGACATGTTAAGCACATAGTTTGAATTTATCCTGACAAATGTATTCAATTAAACATTTCTAAGCAAATATAGAGTTAATAAAACACTTGGGAAATGTGTTTTAGTCACCTGGAGAAATTAGTTATGTGAAACATTTTGAAATGCCACTTAACTTCAAACGTTTACGTTTTTTAAAGCAGATTGAACTGACTACCAACAGATGCAGTTCAAGTACCGTTTTATCTGAGCCACCTTTTATTTTCTGTACAGATCATAGATCTTATGGTACAGACACATAAACACTAGCACACTTCCTGTATAAAATTCATAGAATGTCCCACCCTTTCTCATTTCCCCTGCACATGCAGAAAACCTCTTTTGCTGTGTTTGGTGACTTTGGGAAAGTTTTGATTGTGCTGCTGTAACTTTGGAACAACATCTAAAATGACTTTTTCCTCCACAGACTCAAAATATCCATCGCTTCCTTTATGACTATGTGTTTCTCCACTGCTATTGCACTCTCTTTCTCTCCCTCCAAAGCTCCTTTCAAAGACCAAAAAGACTATATACCGCTTTTTGCATGCATCTATATGTGCTCTATGTGTATGTCTACGTGTTGACTCATGCATGCAATGGTAAGGACAAGGATCCCCCCTAGCAACAGGCACAACCCCCGCACACAAATATATTTAAATGGTTGAATGGGTTGATGGAAAGAGAACAAAGATATAGGCTATGTGGGAAACAAATTATACTATTTTGATGCAAAGAACATTATGGAGGGCTTTTACTGTTTAACTATTCATTGCCTGCTGAGGAGCGAGTCTGCAACACACACAGCCATAGCCATGCGTCTATAGCCTTATATCTAAAGCCTTGGGGAGGAGAGGAGCAGGACTTTTTCACAGATTTTTGCATGGGGGGACATTATTATTATTATTTTTTATTTAACCTTTATTTAACCAGGTAAAAACCGTTAAGATTGAGATCTCATTTACAAGAGATCCATGTCTGAGCACACATACTGAATAGCATTTATTCATCTCTTCTATCAAGGCTGATTATAGTTTAAATTCTAGCATTTAAATAATCAATAGATGTTTTATCCCTGCGTATATGTTGTTTTCACTTTAAAGGTTCCATATAATAAAAATCACTTTTTCCTTGTCTGCGTGTATCCCCTAACATATAGCAACCCTAGAAATTAGGAGGATTCTGTAAGAAGATTTATTAAATTGGCTCCTGTGGTGATGTAATGACAGGAGTAATTTGCAAAGCCACTCCCACTTCTCAAGCATCGCACTGTCTCCTATGCTATCGTTTTGCTTCAGCTCGTATGTTTACATGGTTTCGAAACAAACCCCAAAAAAACAAAAAAACAAACAAAACAAAACAAAAAAAACATAAGCAAGAGGCTAATAAAATTTTAACACAAAACTTTTTAAAGGTCTGGGATTATATTCTGACTGACGTGTTTGCATGTACTTTTACAAAGTCCAGTTTCATCCAGACTACAGTAATAAGTAGATTTATTTGGACATAATGTAAACATACTGTGTGTTGCAGAGTCAAGATATCAAAGGTTAGAGCCAGACACTCTAACTGCTCTATCACAGAAACAAACACAAATATCCAAACCCTGCACCAGCACTGAAGGACCAAAGAAAACTGGATGCGTTCTATTTTCGAGCAAGAATATGACTGGACTAGAGTAGGTGCTAATTTGTTTGTCTGCACCAACCTCGTCACCTCAGTCTGCTGTAATAACAAGAGCTGACCACATAAAGTAACACAGCATGAGATAAGGAAGTACACTCATATTTCAATGTGCGACAGTATGACTTTAACAAACTTAGAGCTGTGGTGTCACAAAATGTTATCATATGTATTTCAACACACAATCAGACAAAAACAACACAGCTGCTTTTACAAAATGACAAAAACAGGCAGATGAGAGGAGAGGGTAGCAACAATGTGTGATCTAAGACTGATTATGTCACTTTCCTAACATTACTGCCTGTTTGATCTGCCTGAAATAACCACTGTTATTTCCCTAAACATTTTTTTGCTTCTTTGTTCTTATGATGGATATGGCACTTTAAGATGAAATATTTCAGCCTCAGCTAAGAGGATAGCAAACACAGTTGTATGGTGATAACAAAATAAAGCAATAAGCACATGAAAGCACATGTATAACAGCTCAAAAGCTCTGCTGTTAACTTTTTTTCAGTCTCTTTTGAAGTATAGTCTTGGGGATGCACATCTGATAACTTTCATTTCTAAATTTCAATGCTAGACCTTTATTTGTGCTTTTTTATAATTGAAACCCTTAAAAAAAGATCTATGTAACAATCTTCATCATAATTTTTGTTGTCTTAGTGACTAAAATATTTTCATATGCTGATTACAAGTTTCTCCGGGTAGATGGCAGAAGCTATAGCTTGAGTGAAGTATAGTTCTTTAAAGCTCCGGTGAGGAGTTTTTAGCTAATCATAAAACAGACTGAAATCTATAATGAAACCTATTGAGAAGCAACAAATAGCAGATTAGCCCATCCATTAGCGAGCAAACTTATTTTTTTCTAGGTTGCAATTCTCAGTGTTTCTGACCTCTGCAGGTGTGCATGAATTACAGTAACAGGTGTGAAGTGTTTGCTAATGAGTGGATTAATGTTGAGCCTCTGCAAATACAGCCTAGATTTCTGGAAAATTATAAAGCAGAATAATACAATCAAGAGCTGCTCAGTATGTAAGCTGTCATGCGGTGACTATTTGTTTAAGTTACTATGCTGTGATATGTAGCCATGAATAATAACTGACCAACAACCCAAATCCAAAATGTATTTGGACTTTTTTATGTAAGACATGAAAAGGCAGAAAACTCTCATAATTAAAAGAGATGAATCCCACATTTAAATACTATAATAATCAATCCATTTCAGAACTGATTTGCTCTACTTTGTTAATCTGTTCCTGTTGTTTCATCCATCCCTTGTGCTTCTCAGCTATTTGGCTGCAACATACGGCTCATTTGCTGCAGTTTCCAGGCAATTTGAGATGAAATACATAATCACAACAGGGAAATTATTTTTGTCCACTTGCCCTCCTTCACAGAGTGGTCAGAGTGGAAGATGGGTTACAGGCCCTGGAGCTGCTGCAGTCAACAATGTGGCTGTTTTAAGACTTAGGAACGTTGAGCCCAAGTTTCCCATCTGTGACCTCTGACCCTGAGCCAAATAAAGAATTTTAGTAGCTTGTAAGACGTGCTTTTGATAGAAAGCAGTCCTATTGGCAAACAGCAGGGAAAAAGCACATGACAGAATTAGTGTATCTTTTATATTTTAGTCCTGATGGCTTTCTTTGTCATCAGCTTATAAGGCAGACTTTGAGACATTATGGAAAAAACAACAAAAATAGCTGAAATTGAAGGTATGCTGCTGGCCTGCTGTGGCTCGGCCGTGCTGCTCGGTAGTCTGAGATATTTTTAAACTTTGCACCCCAGCGCACCCTCCACCTCGTCATCTCCTCTCACCCTCCAACCCAACCCCCCACCCCTTCCCTGGTCTCCACTGTACTCTGCAACTGATCTCCTCCATATTGTTTCTCTCTCACACATGCAACAGAGGGAAAAAAATAAAGATAGAGAGAAATGGAGCGAGAGGAAGGAAGCGAAGTCTTCTAGGAGCCCCAGTGCTCCCAGTCAGTCTCCCAGCTGGATAAAGAAATCTGAATTTAGATTTGACTGTTGCATGATTTGCCAGCTTGGAATGTGAACATCAAGTGGAGCATTAAGATCATTCCCGGGGCAGTCTCGTTTTCTCTCTCCATCGCTCCCTTCCATTCTCTCCCACTTTCTCTTTTTATCCAGTGGTTATACATTTCATTTTTTTTACACTCTTATTCACGGTTCAGTCTCTTGTCCTCTTGGCTCCTCTGAACAAGCCATGGCCTGACATATTTCCAGAGCTCCCTAGCTCGTCTCCCTCTCTCCATCTCCCACTCTCTTTTCCCTCTCATTTCTCCTCTTCCTTGGGGCTCTGTTTGTAAATGTGCAGAGGAGAAGAATGAGGGAACAAATTATGAAACGCAGGAGTGCATTCCATACCTTGTTTAGAAAGAATTCTCCTACAGCACAGAGGGGGAGAGGAGCCACTTCCCCTGCGATTCTAACCCCTCTTTCAGCCCATATGGGTCTTTTTATGTCTGTGCTCTTCTAGGCTCTGTCCGACATTTGCTCTCACCATACTCACACCCTTTTATCACTTTTGTGTGGCTTTAATCCTCCTTGTTGACCATGAAATGTTACACATTTTGATCTTGCGGCATAGAAGTGTGAATGAGCGTGGTGTGACCCTTTTTATTGTCAGAAAGCAATAAAACACGGGAACTGTAAGGCTGAGAAACAGGTTGGACAAAATGAGAGTTAGACAAGTGCTCTGATTTCCCCTCTTCTCCTCAGCAGTTTTCTCCAGAGAAAACTCAATGGGGGCCACACTGAGAAACTTTCCAAAACAGAGCACAAAGCAAACAATGGTTAGCGACAACATTGAAAGTAATATGGAGCTGTGTTAAAGGAGTGGCTTCAACTTTACTAATATCTAGGATGAACTAATTAGGTTTACAGTCTGGAAGAACAGCTGCTCATTGTGCTTTGGAAAGGTTACCCTACTCTTAATCAAATTTACATTTCAAACTGAAGACACAAGGGCCTGAGCTGTTTGTTAGTATGCTTTAAGTAGTCTTTGACATTTTGACATCGCTTCAGTGGTTGTATAGTGTTTTCTTGACCTTTGACCCAGATTTCCCTTTCTTGTATATCCCTCTTTGACCTTACGCTACAAGTTCATGATTCATCAGTTGCATAAAATCATCCAATTATTAAGTAACTAATGTAACTTAATCATGGGTGGGCGAACACATAAACAAGGCTGACCTAGCTTCTTGTTTCTGTTCACTTTGGCAGAAAGAATAAAAGAATCTTTTGATTTGGGAAATACGTCAAAAAGAAAGGGACATATGAGAGAACGTGTTTCCCATCGTCTTGAGTCATTTCCTCCTTTGTTTCTCTTCGCTCAACGACACAGTCAGCAAACCTGAATCGAGTTGTTTTGCTGTTCTTTGTCACAGGCTGCATTGATTGTCTGTTGACAGCAGGTAACATTGATTGTTAAAGCAGACACGGCTCATACTTCAGAGATAGCTTGAAGCAAGTCTGTTGCAGCTATTACTTAACATTTGAAATCTTTATTGTGCTTGAGTGGCATAAACAAATTACTCTTGAACCAGCAATGTACCAGCATAACAGAGAAATACATCTATAGTTTTTCTTGAAGATTAAAAAGCTAGTTGCGTTACACAATGGCTGAGTCATCCTTTTGTATCCAGAGGGTAAATCGCACACAATTAGCATGTCTATTAGCATGTAGCAGTCAAGTGGCAGGGATAATGTTAGCAGTTTTTAGAGACTTAGATAGCATTTTTCTCCATTCATCCAGATGAGTTAGAAACCTTTCAACACTGAATTAGAAATATCACCAGCATAAAAATGTCTTGTGTTTCAGTTGTTGTAAATGCGCTAAAATGTACATGTGTTATTATTGTCTAGACCTGTTTTATCTGCACTGTCATGTTTCCAGACATGCTAACTGTTATTTAAGTGTACCACAGAAAAACTCTTTTTTAATCTGCAGACTTTTCAGAAGGTTTTGCACGTGGACCTGAGCCTCAGGCCTCCTTGTAACACTTGAATATATTTTGCTTATCCATAATAGCCTATTCACAGCTGCATGGAGAACTATAGCTGTTGCTGACAAAGACAAAAGCCGACAGGTGCAGATGCTCATCCTGAATTTGTAATTAGATTTCCAGAAGTGTTCGTTATGGACATGGATTTATTCTACAAAGGCATGATCACATTAGGTGATGGTGTTGGTACATATACAGATAAAATAGCGTGCTAACTGGACTGACTGCAAAGGTGTGTGTGTGTGTGTGTGTGTGTGTGTGTTTGCCATGTCTGTCCCAGTGTGTGACATGAATTGCATGAATTTACGTATGTATATGCCCACATGTGTAGGTTTATTTCATGTCTTGCCGTTGGCTAAGCTTTTGTCCCTTGCTCTTTCCCTGGGTTTAGTTGCTATGGTGATAAGAGTGGGGGAAAGCCAGGGATCCATGGAAAGGAAGGAGAGAATGTGTCTCGAAAACCCGTCATGTCTGACTGAGAGTATCTGCACCAGGACTTCATAAGAGTTCAAAGCCTGGCAAACACTAAAAAGTTTTTCTAAACTTAACTGATTTTGAAAATGTCAGATCAGGACAGATAATGACAGACTTAAGTGTTTGGTTCATATAGTGTGTGTTGTGTAGAGTGTAGCATGTGGTGAATACAGCACACCACACACATAATTTTTTTTTTTTTACCAGCAATCAGAGTCCTAACTCTCAAAACTTAAACTCTCACAAAATCCTGTGAGATGATATGTGACTTTGAAGTAAAAACATGCCAAACTAACATGCTAACCATTGCTTGCTAACTAGCTTTCTGGTACATCTATCTGGTACTTCTGCTACATCTGTGGTAGGGGTGGGAGAAAAAATCAATACAGCATAGTATTGTGCTATTTTGTCTGGTGATATATCGTATCGTCTCATTTACAAAGTAATGATTTTTAAATTAATTGTTAATATGAAGTCAAAGCTATGATGAAAGAAAAGTTAGTACAAGAAATATGTAAAAGGTTTGCAACATATGCTACATAAAAATAAAAAGCAGCATAAAAGTAAAGACAAATGCTAAATTAGCTTAACAGTTGAAAAAAATGTGTAAATCGCAAAATGTTGTATTGCAATACTCAGTGTATCACAAAATATTAAAAAACGCAATAATATCATATTGTGGCCCAAGTATCGTGATAATATCGTGTCGTGGGGCCACTAATGATTCCCACCCCTAATCTGTGGTAGCAAATTATTTTCAGTGCCCTGTTAGTGTTGATATGTTTTACTGGACATTGACTTCATCTGTTTGGCTTTCTTCTTCAGCCAGCTCACTTCCCCATTGGCTTTTGTTTTGTTCCAAGTGACAATGGACAGAGTGCATGCTTGTGGTGTTCATATGTAGTTATTGTAAGGCTGGTTTGTGCTCAAGTCCTCTTTTTTCTGCGAAGCTCCATTTTAAAAAGTCATTAAGGGGTTAATGTTTTCTATGATTGACACCTGGTACAGCCTATTGGCGTTCAGGGATTGCGTAGCTCACCCGGGGGAAACGCTGTTTGAGCCGAGCGTCATCACAGCGACTCTCGGCGCCTCTCCCGCCGAATGCGCACAATGTTACTGCGCAATGCTGGTTTTAGGAAATGAAGAAAAATCATGTAAATACAGAGCTTTCTGGCTTCAAATCCATATACAGGTGGGAGGCATAATATATACAGTCTATGTGTGTACCCTGCTTGAGATCAACCACTTTTTATTTGTTTCTGCTGTCGGGTGATCAATTCATTCTTACATCAGAACTGGTCGTTATGCTGATGATGTTATTGTATTTAGTGGTAAGGGTGAAATCAGCTTTTGCGGTTGAAACAGTTGAACATAATAATTCTAGCCACAGGCCTGTTAAGTGACCATGTTGTATGCAGGCGGTATGATAAACAGTCAAAGACCAGAGCTCAGACCTAAGGAAACCAGAGCTGTGAGGCATAGCAGGACTAAGAGGCAAAGACTCCACATCCTCCAGAACCACAGCTCTTTCTCCAGCCCTCTCCGCAGGCCTCCTGACTGACACTGCTGCTATTGCCATTTGCTCTCTTTCAGTGTGTGTGTGTGTGTGTGTGTTATTGTGTGTAAGCCCAGATAATCATGCTGATGATCAACAGTTACCCACTGTGCTCTAAAGTGCTCTTTTGCTCCCTGCTGTTAAAAAAAGCTCAAAAGTGTGGCATTAATCATCACTGTGAATATTTGGACTCACACATAAGACGCATAGACACTCACAGCAACACACACTACAACAAAGTGGTGTTCAGTCACTGTGAGATTGTGTTACTGCATTGGCGTCTTGCTGCTCTCTACATGCTGTTGAAGATTTCTTAATGAACACGTGTGATTTTACAGCAATTGAAATTAAATTTATCTTCAGATACTAAAAGAAGCTCAATAATAACATACCTCAACACTCTATGATCTACCTTATTTAAGTCTACATTTAAGTCTACATAATGCTTCTTTTTCAATCATTGCAGCCAGTAAAATACAAATAAGTTGACCTGAAACTATCTTGTCAGACCAGACACTGTAAATCAACAGCCAAATTTGCAGCATGTCTGTCTTCACAAACGAATTCATCTATGTCTCTGCCACACCAACCACAGTATAAGTAAATACTCTTTGTCAAGTGGCTTGATGAAAGTGTCAAAGCAAAACCACAGGTTTACTGCCCTGCTACTTCTGCAGACACAAAAAGGAGAGCCGGAGTCACAGAAGGATAAGTGTATGTGTCGTTATTGTCTCATAACATGGGATTACTAACGTTTAAATCACCCCTCTAAATTCATTTAATCATCAAAACTTGATGACGACAACCCTGTTTTCAAGGTTTCAGAGCAAACCATAACCTTCTTCTTATTTTCAAACTTGTTTAACTTCATTTGAGAATCATTAAAACGCTTTGTGATTAACCAAAACATCGTTCAAAAGAGCTCATGAAAATGCAAACACTCAAAATCAGCCTCCTTCGCTTGTTTCCCTGCTGACAAAGACTGATTTTCTGCCTCTGACAGCTCAATACTAATCAATATTAGCCAAAGCAAAGCATGGAAATAATTAAGGTTAAGCTTAATGACGGCAATAGGTAGACATCATTCAGCCTCACACTCGCAAACAGGAGGTTTATAGTTTAAAGAGGGGGGATTAAAAGGACATTCCACTGACTTCTTCACATTAAGGTCAAAGTTATACCTGCTTTATCCTCATTGCTTCTTTTTTGGCAATTCATTATAGTTCAGAGATGGTGCAAAGCTCAATCATGGAAACCATTAAATATTTGTATTTTGCTGTCAGTTCTATCATGCTCTGATATTTGCATAATAATAATAAAAACTGTATTTATATAACAACTTGAAAAACAGATGGTTACCAAGTGCTTTAACAGAAGAAGCAAACAAAGGCAGAAACAGACAAAAGAAAATGGACTGTTAAAGATTGGTGCTTGGTGGTTGACAGCATCGCATCAGGAAGGTGAAAAGTAAGAAGGTGGATAGACGACAGATAAAAGAGGAAGAGAAATAAATACATAGATAATTAAATAAGATAAGGTAAAAGAGGAATAATAATGAAAAGGAAGCGAGTATATTAAAATGAGAAAATGTTAAAAACAGGGCTAATGATATTAATAATAATAATAATAACTGACAAGGTTAAACAAGAGGTATTCAGGCAATAAGATGAATAAATTAAGTAAAACAAAATAATAATAATAATGATAAAATAAATAAATAAATAAATAAACCATGCATCATATAAAGGCATCATGTTAAAGCAAGTCTAAAAAAGTGAGTTTTCAGATGTTACTTAAAAGTTGTTACTGATTCAGCCTGCATCATTGTGAAGTGCACCTAACCAAATCATCAGTCTTCTGAATTTAACTGTGAGTGTAAGTTTGATTCCCTGTAGTGGCAGATGGTGCCAAGAGCTTGGCAAGTCTTTCTTTGAATGGTTCAAGAGGAACGTCTGGAGTTCTTCAAGCTTCTTCGCTATAAACACATATCCGTTTTTACACTGCCAAGAAAAAGAGTGTGTGCGCACTGAGACGGCCACTGTCTTTTCGTGCTGAGGCATCTTTTTTTGACCAGTTAAGATACAAAATAGGTGCTTAAGCAGACATGGCATGTAAGCAAGCACAATCTTGGCTACTTGAAATGCACTGTTAGACTTATGTTGACCTGATTTTTGAGTCAGCAGCACTAGTGGTGGATCAGATCTATGTAGCTCTTTGTAGGGCCGCTTCATAAGCTCTCATCAGGTGAAGTGTCTGAGTCACTCCTCCACATTGTCCCGCAGACAATAGGATTAATGCTAGATTTATCCATTCAGGTCTGCTTTTTTCCTGCAACTTTGATGCGTTATGCTAATGAAAAAAGGCTGATGGGAGGAGACAGATCCTAATGCTATGTTTGTGTATTGCTTGACAGTGTCGACCACATATTTTCCTCTGTGCAGTGTGTGCATGTGAGTCTGTGTAAACTGGGTCAGTAGGAGGACAGGAAATCTCTGTGCACTTGTCTGTCTGACTGCTGTGTCCCTCCAAAAGTTGTGCATCCAAATGCCTTGAGATGAAACAGACACAGTGATGACAGCAGTTGTGCCGTTACGTCTGCGTCTATGCAGAAGATTGGGGATGAGCATTTTTTATGCATGCATACTCTTATGTAAATCTAAAAGGCAGTAAGTAACTTTAACTCCCTTCCCTCTCTTCTCTTTTCATCCTCTTCTCTACTTTCACTCATGGTTTTAGCTTTGGCCTGTTTAGTATTTGTGATTCATCTTCTTTTACTGCTCACCTTCATCCTGTTTCACTCTCTCAAACCTGCCGTAACGTCTCCCTCTCTGTCTTCTTTTTTTCAAATAAAAATAAAAATTCAGTGTTAAGACACGATGGCTGTATTTTCAGAGGATGCCTTAGGCTCACTTTTTTGCCCTAAAAAAGTCCTCATGGAAAAACTGAGGAAATAAAAAAGGGATATTCCTAGTACTTTTACTCCTGGTGCCTCTGTGCCAGTTGGTTTTATGTGTCAGAGTTTTGCTGGTCTCAGCAGCTTCAGGGCACAGAGGGGCATTGCAACAGATGAGAGAGCTGTATTTTCTGATCCAAGAGCAGGCAAAAGTCCAAAGCACTGCGGTGCTGAAAGGAAAGGATAGAGTTGTAAAGGAGGATAGTGGGGAGTTAGAGAGGGAGCAAGATTTTAAGAGAATAGAATCAAGAAGAAAAAGAAGAAGAAGGAGGATGAAGATCAGGAGGAAGAGAGACTTTGGGCAATGGAGTGAATTAAATCAGAAAAAAGAGAAAGAGTAATATCAGCAGTATTAAAATGTGTAGTCTTTTTAATGGGAACTTTTATATGTCAGCATATAATGTGTATTTATAAGAGTTCATCAGAGGACAGCTGGAGGGTTTCCGGTCAAATGCTGCAGGTACTAAGTGCCTCATTGTCTCACAGGTCGTTCAGTCTGCACATTTGAATGCCTAAGTGCACCCCAGGTCCCGCGAGCTGATGGGAAGAGTTTCCATTTCCTCTGAGTGAGTGAAATGTAATATGCAAGTTCAGCCTTGGCTAAAGAGCATGGAGGGTGTGTAGTGGGTAATGAAAGGGAGAGAGAGGGGAGTTGGTGTAGTGTTGAGAGTTGTTCGGGATGACGCAGATGCTCTTCAGTGCCTGCGCGTTGACCGCCACACTCTCAGACCCTCCTGGGTTGTGATCTTTGAGCTGCTGGCATTGATTGTTTACTCCAAGAGTCTCTTAGTCTCAGCTGGACATTTGACCCGTTTGACACGGGTTACCAGCAGGCTGCCTTCTTCAGACCTGCTGCATGTTGCTATGGCGGATATGAAACCATAAGCTTGGGTAATAGCAGACAGTCTGCAGCCGTCCATCTGGACATAAACCCCAGCAGACATGAACGTGTGCCATTTGATTCGGCCCCTACATGTCTGTCTACATCGCATGCATTGATGTAGTTCTATGATGTCAAAATAGCATTTATGCTCCCATGAGGTGGTAGTTAGGAGAGAGGGCTCCAGAGTGGAGTAGCTGTGAACAAGTTTGCTCCATTACAGCTAACGCTTTTAGCCTGATTTGTTGGCTCAGCAGTGTTCACTTATAGAGATCAATAAGGGGGAGATGGACCAAACTTCTTCGGTGTGACCCGACCAACATTCATATCATGTGGGTTCTTCAGCCTTCTATCCAAAGCTTGGGTCTTAGTCTCTGGGCAATGTTTTCTGATTCAAACCATTGACTGTATATTAACATGGATGCTGCACTTTCATACTCCCCCCGCTGTGAGATATAACACCAAAATACTGTCTTAATGAGCGCTGACATATTATGCTGGTGGAGCCAAGGCATATGCAGAAGTAATCTGTCTGGTGGGGCTGCAGGACTGACGTCACACCCCATCCCCAGGCGAAAGCAGCAATTAATTTGGCATTGGACGTCAGCTTATAAAGAAGGCTGAAGACTGGTGGTGTTAGCAGCAACTGGCAGACTAATTTGAAATAATTTACCAACAGATTCTGGGATTTTCAACTGAAAATTCTTCATTATGATAACACAATAAAGTCAATTAATAATAATAAAAAAGATAAATGTCGATTTCTGCTTGTTTCTGCTTGTACAGCATTTGTACATATTCATTTTTATTGTGAGAAATGTGGAAACAATATGAGTTCTAGAAATACAATATTGTTTGAGGGCAGCGAAAACAACAAATAGTCACGTGCAAACAAGGAAAAATCTAACAAAAAACTTGCAAAGGTTATGAGAAAAGCAAATTCGAGTTATTGGCTTTCACATGAGATGAGAATCTTTTGTTTTTGGTAAATATGCAACTAAAGGTCCTTATGTTTTGATGTGCGCTGCATGTGCATGTTGTGGTGTGTTAAGGACCAAGCAGTAAGGCACAAAACACAGGATTGATTTGAAAGAAAAGGCTGTTTTCATTTTCCCCGGATCAAAAATATAAAAAACAAATTTACAATTAAACATGATAAGAACTAGGCCAACATGATTGTTAGTATAACAGAGGGTGTGTCTAATCTTACGCTATAAAAATGTGCACACCTAGTTTAAACAATGTATGATTGAACACACAAATAGTAAAACTAAACAAGCTTTGTATGTGCACTGATGGATTAACTTCAAATTCAAACAGCAGATAATGGTGGTGGTAACTATTGAGTTTAGGTGCAGCTGGGATGGCATGAATTTTTCACAGTCAAAAAGTTGCACCTATTCAGGTCCAAAAGTACAAGATGATAAATCACATTGTGTGGGAATATCCAGTTACGGATAAATGAATCCATAGAGTGCTTAAATTAGACCCACTTTAATTGCCTTGTTATGCAATGAAGACAATCAAACTTCTCTGTCGTGACTTGTGAGTAAGAAGCACGAAGAAAAAAATCTGGAACTACTTTGCTGCTAAAACCCACTTGCCTCTACTGTTGCATAGTGCTGCAACTTTGTGGATGAGCCTCCCACCCCAGGGTTGCTGCTCACTCAGCCTTTCAGACAGCGAGTGGGCGACTAGTGAAAGCCCAGCATTAACCGATCTCCACACAGAAGGTCAGCTTAATGCAGTCCTGCAGCTCTCTGCCTTCATCTGTTGATTACACTCAGCGCATAAACAATACTTAGGCTGCATTAACAAAATCAGCCTGGGTGATCTTCTCTTTGCAGCGCTGTTATGGAGATAAATGTTGCTGGGTGCCATTAGCACTCACGAAGACAGAGTGAACGTGCGGAGGATTGTTTTATTTCCCCAACTTCCTCTGTGTAGGTGTATAATGTTATCAACTCCTCTCATCTTGAGCGGAGGCATGTGGCTCTGAGGGGAAGCTCATCATCTCCCTTTGTGTTCTGCAGCTTCCCTGCTGTTAATGTGAAATCAAAAAGCTGTTATGGATGTGCGTGTAATAGCTTGCATAGGTTTCGTATAAAAACAGATTAAGCTCTCTAGGGTCAACAAAAACGAGCTGCATGTATAAGAATCTGTAGGAGTCCTGAAGAGTTGCTATGGTGACGGATGCAGACATAACGATCTTCGTTATGAGTAAATTACACACACGCTGCACAATCTGTGTCTTTCTGACCCAGGGTTTCGAATCATGAAGCTGCACTTAACTACTTCCAGCACACAAACACACTCACACTCACACACCCAGTACGCCTTCAGCTCTTTGATAAGCTATCTCAGCTGAGGTCTGGAGCTGGTTAAAGACCGTGTTACTGCCTGTGTCCCTGCACTGTGACCCCCCCTAAACCCCAGGGCTGCCTCACTGAACCTGAGCAGGGAACTCTGGGGAACTCAAACCTTTGGGTCTGGACCTGGTTAGTGGTCAGAGAAGCTGGAGTGGAGGTTATCACATGTGCTTAGCATCATTTTCACTTCCCTTAGAGATAGTGTGTGCTTTGAACAGGGCTGTGTTCAGAGGTGTGGCAGTGGATGGCATGGGCCCCTTTTGCGTTTGAAAGGCCACCCCAGGTACCACCCGAAAATTCTCAATTGTAATTGGTAGATTACTAGAGGGGTAAATATTTTTATAAATCCCAAATATGATGTCATCTTATCAACTGTAGACACATACTGTACAGTACCGTATTTTTCAGAGGACAAGGCGCACAGGATTATATGGCGCACAGTAAATTGATCACACATAGGGCGCACCGAATTGTAAGGCGCATTAGGCATTGGCGCATTGATTGGTTTATTGTTGCTACTACTATTGCTGCTATTGTTACTCCGGGCCTGGGCTGCCTTACATGAATGCACTTCTAGTTTAGACATTACAGTCAGGCAGTCATGTAGACTGCTCATGGGTCCTGTTACGGGGTCGACCAGGTAGTGACACAGCATACCGTAATGCTCCGAATATCCACTGAGCAGAGCAGCTTCGTGGCTTACCAAAGTCACATTTACACATTTCGACAGATTTTTGAGCGCATTGTACCACATAAAACCAGTCAGTAAGCACAACAAGTAATCATACATAAGGCACACTGTCAATTTTTGAGAAAATTTAAGGATTTTGAATGTGCCTTATAGTCCGAAAAATGTCGTAATCATTTAAACTTTATGTAAATTCCCTGCAGGACTGAGCTGTCTCTCTTCATTATACCCCTCTGTTCTCCTCTCTCTCCTTGCTATCCTGCCAGATCTCCTCACACTCAGTCCGTCATGTGGGAGTGGGTGTGGTGTGGTGTAGTAGGGAACTGGGAAATTATTGTACACAAACATGCATCATGTGGAGGCAAGACATCAGTGAAAAGATAACAGAGGAAACAGATAATAGTTTTTTTGTGCAAAAAAGACAAACAAGCAGTTTTGCTCTATCATTAACGTATTTTACCGTAAGTTGTGTGCACTGACCGAGATGTTGTCAGTAATTTCTCAAACAACGTGATTGAGGTTTGAAAAGTCTCCATCCCTTCAAACTTCAATGACCTTTTGAAGATGTTCAGTCTCTTTGTACTTAAAGACAGTCCACTCTCCAGCTGAGCTTGGGACATAGTCTCTGAGTGGTTTCTGCAGGCTGGTTCTCACTGCTGAGTGAGTGCTTGATAAGATCTTCCTCTGAGGCTCACATTAGCAACACTAAAATTAGGTCAGTGTTGTCTTCTTGTAAACAAATATAAAAAAAGTTCACAAAATCTATTCAAACATTTTGAAAAGCTTATGTTCACATGGAAGGTCATTTTGTTTTTCCAAGTTTGTCAAATCTATTTTGTGATCAATGAGAACTAGTGGCTCGCAAATGCTGAACTATGGGGGAGGAGGGTTGTTCTGAGCAGGAGAGAGTGTTTCTCCATCTGTAGAGGACTGGTAATCAAAGGTCAGAGGTCAGGTCTGGGGCAAGAAGATAAATGGTGGGGGGGTGGCTAGACTGGACTGCGTTTTCACCCAACAGATACAACACTCCACACATGTGGCTCAGAGGAAGAGCTATGTCAGGGCCGAGGAAGGGTGGTGAGGGTTGGGTGGATGAGGCAGGATGGGAAAAGAGGACCAGACAGAAAAAACAAACAGTCCCCCAGCAAAGGGTCTTCCCTTCTACAAAGGATTAAAGTGGATGTCCGGTCCCAGCTCACTCCCCCAACGGCCCACTTCCCATGTCCTCCTGACATTTCTGTGCAGCAGGCAGCCTGCACATTTCACATCAAGCACCCTGACCTCTGCTGTGCGCCTCGCATTCGAGTGTGGGTTGGTCATGCATTTGGCTGCAAAGCTCGATAATAAAAATGTTTTGTGTTACATAAACAGAAAAGACCGTCTGTAGGAGAGTTGGACAGTTGTGTTTATAGAGAGAGAGGGGGGATATATGGGATATGTATGCATCCACTCTTTGTTTTAATCCCCTCTTTACTTCTTTTTACTTCTGTTTGTCCTCTGTTGTTTTGCTCTGTTGTTTTTGCCCACTTTTTAATGGATTTTTTGACTGCTAAGATGCAGAATCAGGGTGTACTTTTCTTAATTATCATCGGTCTTTTTTCATATTGTGCTGTCATTGAAATATTTTGGATAACTGTTCATTCTTTGTTCCTTTATTTGCTCCTTTCTTCTAGATTCATACTCTGCAGCAGGCAGTGAGGGCAGCATCTCCACCTCCGTGGCGTCCCTGCCACCGCAGGCCTCAGGCAGCTCGGCCCCAAGCTCCCCTGGTTCTAGACGCTCTGTGAGCACCCTGAAGAAGTGGCTCACAAACCCAGTACGTAAACTCAGTGCCGGGGCCACAGCTAAAGGGGAGCGTCAGGTCCGCAAACTTGAAGGAAAGCCTCCAGCTCTTCAGTCCCACAGCAACAGCCTGGACCTGGGCACCCCACCGAGGCCTGATGACACCTTCACCATCCTGCCTGTCACCCACAGAGAACCGGTGAGAGTTGCAATGTTTGAACAACAATGCTTCCTTTTTTTCAAAGTCACATGAACTAATCAAACAGGGCAACTTATTTGAGTTGAACCACCCCTTAAGTAAACTTATTAACTTCTTCCTACACTTTCTCATCATGAGCCCTTCTTACAAACTGGTTCAGAGGTAAACATGCAAGGTGTTAGTCTTATATAGATATGAGCCAAAGCCAACATTATGGCTGGCTTGTGTATTAAGAAAAGCTCTAAAATGTTAGCAGAAACACGGGTTTGATGTAAAGTTTCATTAAGTATCATGGCAGGTAGAGATGTCGTTATATAAGAGCAGCACTGCTGGTTCAGCCTGCAGGACCTCATGCTGCCTGTGACTCATGAGCTCTCTGTGTTGTGTGTTTGTGTACGTAGCTGCAAGCCTGAATGCATTTGCACTGATGAGGACCTTTTATGTGATGTTTATATTGTGTTATTCTGACAGAATGTGGGCATGTGTGTGTTTGTGTTTGTGTATTTCAGGAGTGGAAAGACGGCCTGGCGAGCCCTGAGGACCTGTCACCTGCGACGCTGCAGGCTCCGAGCTACATAACGGACTCGCTGATTGGCTGCACGTCACTGCCAAATGTACAGGTCAGCCTGCAGGATGTACAAGAATTTATGCAATTATTAAAACTTATTTTAGCAGAACTTTTTTTTCTCAGACTTGCAGCTGCTATGAGGAGGTTAGAAAACAGGCAGAGTGAAAGGTTCTGCACCATACATTCATAGTGAGTTACATGTTGGGCATTCTCATTTTGGTAACACTTTACTTGACGCCTATCTATATCTATAATGCGTTATAATCACGTTATAGCACTGTATAACTATAGTTATAAACACTCATAAATGATCATAATGCTTTATAGCAATAATCATAACACATTATAAAGCATTTTATCATGACTTACAAGGTCAGGTATTAAAATGTGTTATAACTGTTAACAACTCACTGACAATGCCCACATGGATAATGCATTATACATATATTTATGATGTATTATAATTTGCTTATAAACTTGTAAAACTATCATTATAAACACTCATTAATTATCATAAGGCTTCATAACAATAAGCATAAGACATCAGAATATCTGACCCTGTAAGTCATGATAAAATGCTTCATAATTTGTTATGATTCTTGCTATAAAGCATTATAATCATTTATAAGCATTTATAAATATAGTTATAAAATGCTATAACAGGATTATAATGGATTATACATGTATTTATAATGCGTTATAGAGATAGGCATCAAGCAAAGTGTTACTGACATTTTTTGCACCTTATGCATGAACCTTTGTCCACAGGGGTTGCAAAAATCAACACAACCTAAAGTTACTTACAGGAGCTTTAATGTTAGGAGGAACTTTTTACAGGGTGCTCAAAATTTAAGTGAACATTTTTGTTTTAACTTAAGCATCACTGGTTTGAACAGGATTTTAACCATCAGGTTAGGGTTGGTTTTTAGCCAACTGTTGACTAAGTTAGTCCCTGAGAGGAAAACATTTCTATTGTGGACCCTGGCATACAGATAACAACAGTCCACTTTGTCTGCACAACCCCCTAGCAAGCTCTGCAAACAACCTTCCTCTCCACTGCTCTATTATTGAATAAAACCAACATATAGATGCACAAGCTTATTCTACTTTATATCACCTGACCACATATGTAAAGAAGAGTAATAGCCCCACACAAACACACACGCATATGCAAAAGCACACTCTTGCAAAGGAGTTTTAATGTATCCAAGCCCTTCCCAGAGCAGATCAATGTACCAGAGGACCAGAGGGCAGCCTCACATAGACAGCAACCTATGTGATGCATGACTCACATTCAAGATGTTACAAAAGAGTTAGCCTGGAGAAAAATAGGAAATAGCAGGAAAAACAGCAGATGTGATGAAAGATGACTCCACTTGTGTGAACAGACAAAGGACACTGTGTGCACACAGGCCTTCATTTTTTCCATTAAACACTCAGAGTCAGTTGCTTGTGGCAGAAGACTGTCTTGAGTCAAGTCAGTCCCTTTTAAGAATTGAGATTCATTTGAGCAGCAGTAATATTGTATGAATCAGCAGAGACCAGACGTTATCAATATTTAAGTTAATCAATATTGATGTCTGAGTGTTGGAGCTTTGAGGAGAGATCCTAATTTCAGTCTCAAAAAACACAACAAAGCCATTTATATGATTACATCAGAGGGATGATCTCAGTGCTTTGGTGTTTTTGCTGCCAATCTTCGGAGAAAGGAGGGAGGTAAATGTAGGGAGATTAAATTTAGTGGATCATTTCTCTCAGAGTGGAGGTTTCTGTCTCTTTTCTTCATCTTCACTGGCTCAACTGTATGTGCAGTGTTGCCTCCTGCTCCTCGTTTCCTCACAGGGTTAAGTGTAAAAACATATCCTCGGCAGAATAGCTGTAATTGATCGGTTTCTTGGTTACTCAGAAGCTGTTGTGTTTGTGTGTCAGCAGTTCAACAAGAAGTGGTGTTGAAAAGGAAACCGAGGTGACGCACCACAGTACTTATTAAATTGCTTTTCCTCAGGAGCAACCTGTGCAGTCTGTCATATCAACAGAGAGATTAATAAAACAACCACACAAACAAACAAAAAAAACAAACAAACACTGACACAGTTTCTTACTGAAAAGAAGTGATCTCTGCTTTTATAGTGTTTTTCTCCATGCTATTTCATGCTTTGCAACCCTGACATCAATGCTGCAAAACTGCATTTTCCACGCTCCCAACTGCCACGCTGTACCTTTGATTTGTTATAGGGATTTATGGGCTCTTCTCCATCTCATTAAAAAATGAGAAAATTTATGATGTCGCTACTGGAAATAAAAATACACATCATTCTCAAGCTTAGGCTAATCTTCCTAGGTATGCTGCGTAAAAACAGCTGTTAAAAACATTGCTTTCAAAGCGAGAGGTGTAATATTTATGAGCATAAAATCCCTGCTGATTTGCTACACAGTGTGTGATCCAGCAGCGACTAGTTTGGTTGTCTTGAAAGGTGCAAAATACAATTTGAGATACACTGTCAAATATAAGACAAGAGCTTAATAAATGTGTAAATTTTACGCTTATACAACTTTTCAGGTTTACTATCCAAAATTTCTTTGGGAGAGATTCACCTATGGCTGTTTGTTGCTTGTTTTACTTGTAAGTAATCCTTTTGATTTGGTGCACTAATATTTGGTAATAACCTTTCTACTGATAGAGGGAGCTGCAGTATTTAAGGATTCCACACACGAAAGGACAACCTCATCTGTTACTGAAACTGTCGTCAGTTTTTTTTCCCCCTCAACCTCTGAGTAGAAAAACAAAACTTGCAGCAGAGGGGAGATGAGGGGAATTTTTCCTGTGGGCTCTGCCACAGCACATCTGGAAGTGATCAGGGAGCCAGGGAGACCTGTCAGCCAGGCTGGAGCTCTCCTAGTGGGGCAAGATGAGCAGGGAGTGCAAGGGACTTTATGGAGCCTCTCTGTCTCTTCCTACACCCTCATCTCTTTGCTGAGCTGTATCTCTTTCATGCCTTTTCTCTCTATTACACATCAGTGTGACAGGGGGGGACAGGCCAACAGCTTGTAGACGCCACAAACTTCATCCTGAACAAGTTTGACCTGTCTGGGAGAGAAAAAGAGAAAGTTTGTCCCCATTTTCCTGTTTGTTTTTATGTCTAACAATCTAATCCATCTATTTATTTCTCCATCAGGAAGCTGCCTTCCAGGGGAGACTGAGGGATTAAACATGTGTCTTTTTTGTGTGTTTAAGGTGGGGAGGTCTTGCTTTGCCGGGACAAAGGGACATAGGGATTTAGGTGAAGACAGATGGCTGCCTTTATAAGTTTACACAGTCTGGAAAGAGTAAAAGGCTGAAAACTTTAGCTAAAAATAGAAGGAAGTGCTGCATGAGTAGATAGAATTGTCTGGACAGATGGAAGCCAGTCTTTTTTACTATCATACAAAGGTGATAAGTGTGCTTATGTTGCAGGAGAAAAGGTTATACAAACATATGTGCCGTGGGTTGATGTAATGCATGCATCCATTGAGTTTGTGTTGATTTTCAGTCTTTGCACGCTTTGTTGTGGTTTGCACAATGACTCTATATTTGCACCAGGACCCCTGCAGGAAGTGATATCAATTCCAGGAAAAAGCATGAAAAAGAGGTCATGTATGTAACGCATGGACACAATCGATTAGATCAGAGGAACCTTGGCTTTATCCTGCATGTGTTTCTATTTGCAGCCAATAAGGTTGAACTGACGCACATGTTGCTTTAGCCGTACGCCGGGTAAAAAAAAAAGAAAAAAAAGAGGATCCTCTGAAATGTATTTACACATGCTGTTAACCTCAGGTGGCATAACAAGAAAATAACATTTATGAATTTACACATACATCAGAGCTGATGCTGACACTGACACTGCCAGTAGGCGTGCAATAATTGCATTTGTTCCCTCAGAGGCCAAAAGTCCATCAAGAGCATTCAAAACTTCATCTGTCATCTGTTAGAGCAGGAAACCTGTTGCTCTTTTGAACTTTAAGGCTCCATCTGTAAAGATCTTTCTCTCTGTCCATATGTGGCTGATGTCAACAGCACCAACGGATCATTTACCGTGACAATCTGAATCTTATCTTCTAATCATTCAATCTGTGCTCCTCGAGTCTCCCTGCTCTCCGTCGTCACCTTGGCAACCTACATCATTATCATCTCTCTCCTGCTCTTTATCTCTACATGCTCACTTTTGTTCCTGACATGATTCACATTACAGGCACAGTTCGATAAACAGTTCTTCTGTCTGTCTTGTGTGTCGTGTATCCCTCTGTCTCAGGACACTCAGTTCAGCGGTGTTCTGCCAGATGACAGCAGCTCCATCTTGTTGGACGACACCTCCAGTCAATGGTCGGCAGCGGCTGACACTGAGGAGGAGAGGAAGAGTGCCTTGGAGAAAAGCATGTATGTACATATTTGATGATAAGATCCACACTCCTGCCAATGTAATCCTTCATCACACTCTGTAAATAAAAGTGTTTAAGCACAACCAATATTATATTGGAGTAGAGCTTTAGATTGCAGCTGTCAGCCCTGAATGTGCAAAGTTTTACCATGAGAAATGAAAAAGTTAGATAGTGACAACTTTAAGTTTTGAATATCTTTTATATCTAAAGTATAAAAATAACCAGAGTTGAAGGGTAGATGTCAAGTTCATAATTAGTTAATGATTCCCACAGGATTACCCCTTAGACAAAATGATCAACCAGTGTTTCTATGACAATTAATGCAAACCTTATTGTTTGATAAAGATTGTGAGATGCAGCTGAAGATTTTGACATGTAATCAGAAAAATTAAATTTAAATCGACTTTTTTTGTTGTTTGTTGATACTTGATTTCATTTTGTTAGTATATAAAACAATCAATACAAACAAGGCAAAATCTCAAACATGTGAATTAAAGGGAGATATCAATCAACTAAACACATAATAAAAAATAAACAAAAGCTGCAGGCTAACATGCCTTTTACAGTTCATTATTTCTTATTTTCAAAAACAACCCACAAAACAAAAAGATAAGACCACATCAATTCACATTTTTTCACAAAACAAACAGACCAACACTTAGATTAAAATATTTCCCTGTATTTACTCGATATACTGGCTTTGACACTTTTTTTGAAGATAAAATTTGATTTAGCTCCTTTAGTTTTTTTCTTCAAATTGTTCCAAAAACTGACTCCTCTCACTCTAACACAGCGCTCCTTCAGTTTAGTTCTGAATCTTGGCTTTTAGATATTTCATCTCCCTTTAAATTATAAAAAATTTCCCTTTTTTTCCAATCAGCTCTGTATGTTATCTTATTAAATGATTTACTTTTAAAGTGGAAAGTTTTGGTCAGCTTATGAACAAATTTAACAATCATGCTTCTGTATATTCTGCAAAAGCAAGCCAACTGTTTTTTATTTATTTATTTTTTAAATTAAATTAACAGCTGTGTATTAAAAAAACAATGGCGATAATAATATGATGGTCTGAATAGCTCGAGTCTTCATTAGTATGCACTGTATGGAGACCTGTCCCCATGAGGCCATAAATAACTCATCTGTTTTATCGATAGTAAGGTGGAGAGTTATGCATAGGTTTGCGGATTTGCATATAATATAGGGATGTATAATAAGGGAGGGTCATGTTGACTGACAGGTGGGCGGGATGTGGCTGTTTGCCAGGAAGCCATAGACTGTATGCAGGAAGCTCAGGGTCCTTCTTAGCTTCACCTCACTATTGCTTTGACTGAGTCAGTATTTTCAAGATGGCAACTGTTTGTATATGTCAACAAAAACCATATTCAAGAACTTCATAGAGACTCTGCCCATGTCTTATACAGTCTGTGGTTCAAAGGCACATTTAAAAGATCATTTCTGAAGCAAAATTGAACATGTTTACAGGCTGATACAGTTTTGGTCTTTCTAGCCCCCTTTTTAAAGCCGAAAACATACAGGATCCGTATTGAGCATGTTCTGTCATGGAGCAGAGACGCGACGCAGACAGAACATGCTCAATACGAATCCTGTATGTTTTAGCCTTAATGCTCATAACTATATGGGGAGGATTTTTTGACTCATGATTTTACAAAGGCTAGGAGCTGTTCACAAATACTGTAGGCATGGGGTGACACTGATTTGACTGACAAGTGGGCTCATTGCTTGCTGTTTGCTTAGCTACTGCCTCTCTAACTCTAACTCCAACCCACTCCCCCCCAGAAAAAAAGTTTCTATACAGTTGTGTGTCCTTCCTGGAAAACTGTCAGAAGACTGGTATTTGTTAGATAAACTTTCTCAAGGATTTATGCAGAATAAATGTAGTGGCATTCCTCCAACACTAATCCCCCCCTCTTTGTATCTTCACAGGTATGTTCTGAAGGAGCTTATAGAGACAGAGAAGCACTATGTGGTGGACCTGGGGCTCATCGTGGAGGTAAACCTCACAGCCTGCCAGCTCAAAAACACACAATCTGCTCCGACAGAGAGGGGAGAACTTAGTCATCCGTCCAATCTGCTTGACAGAGCCCTAAATCCTCATCATTACTTTCCTCCTCTCTGCTCCTCTTTCCTCTGGCCTGCCTACATCACAGCGTCTCCACTCTTAAGCAGATTTTGTGAAGTTTTAGTTTGAAGAGTATTATGTTTCAAGGGGATCTGTCTCCTGATGCCTTAAATAGCTGCAGATATTTTGGTTCAGGGATATTTTTTCTCCCATCTGTAAGTTATGAAAACTAAATGATATCTGGTGTTGCTGTCTCTTGGAACAGCTGAGCTTTATTTTCTGGTGTTATTCAGAGCCAGGTGCCAGTTTTTGTTGATGTGAACTGCAGCTCTGTTATTTCCTTGCAGGGCTACATGGCCACAATGAACTCCAAAGGCATACCAGAGGACATGAAGGGAAAAGACAAGATTGTTTTTGGAAACATTCACCAAATATTTGACTGGCATAAAGAGTAAGTTCCTGATATTGTGACAATATTTTACGTCCACAAGTGAAGAATAGTGTGTTTGATGGAGCTGCGTTCAAAGTAGAAAACATCCATTTGCAGAGTATTGTGTTCAAGGCGGAGAGGATGACAAAAGAACAAAAGGTCAGGAGACAAATCTGACCTCCTGTCTCGGCTTTATACGTGTGTGACGTGTGTCTTTTGTGTTTTTTCTTTTTACTTGGTAGCTACTTCCTGGGAGAGCTGGAGAAGTGTTTGGCAGAGCCCGACAGGCTGGCTCAGCTCTTCATTAAACATGTGAGTATAACTATCTTGTGGGCACACACACACACAAACACATTCACTCACGCATCAGTGGCAGTGTCTGGGTCTGCTTCCTTGCGCAGTTTGGCGTGAGTGTAAATAGAGCAAAGAAAACACGCAGAGCTCCTGTTTATCCTACACCGTACCTCTCTCCTCCTCTCCCAGTTGCCAGCGTTTCTACTTCCACTTCCTTGTTACTGATACGTCTGTGTTTTTACAACAGCACACACACACTCATACACATACTCACAGAAGAACGACACACTGGCCGATATCCAGTCTAGGCTGGACTGGTCAGGAAACACCAGGGAAAAAACAGTCAGTAAAGACAACAAGAATAAGAGGAGCAATAACAAATGCTCAGCTAAGGCTCTTTGATATGAAGGCTTTTTTTTTTATCGGCCCAAACAGCGACCTACTTCTTACAACATCATCTAAGCTGAAGAATGAAACACGGTTATGTATCCAACATCTATGCTGAGTGTGTTATGTTCAGAATAGGATGCAGCATAAGCACGTTAAGGGTCACATGGTCTATGAAGGGAGTAAAATTAGATTTATCTCTATTGGTTAAGAGGTGGCACATGCAGACTGAGTAGACATGTTTTTGACCAACTTGGCTTTGCTTCAACATTTACTCTCTTTCCTTCCCTGTAGCTTCTTCAACAATTTAATAATGCTCAGCCCACAGGATAATCAACTTAAATCCTGCAAAGAGGAATAAAGAAACTTGTAACTAAATCTAAGCATGGTGTCAAACCATGAAAACAAACAGACTGGAAACATGGTCTTAATGAAAAGCAGAGAGCCCAATCTGCTTTTAACAAGAGCTGTGTCACAGATATGCAACATGTGTGCTCACTTACACATATGCAACATAAAAACAAACGGGTACACTTCATGCACACTACACTCTTTCACATTTTTACATGCAGAAGTCTACTGCAGGGTTACATGATGTCCATATTCAGGTAGAGCAGCTCACCAGTCTCTAGGTTACAGAACCATGCAGCCTGTTGCTAGGTACGGCTTCATATCTGCAGGCTCTAAAAGGCTCCGGTTACACTGAGGGTAACCTGGGTAAATTATACATCACCTTATGCTCATCTGCATGTAACACCATTAGAGCTCAGACTATTACATCTGCACTGCATGTCATTTTAGCCACACAAGAGCAGAACCTGTAAAATGCTGTTACCGTGCACCCGCACTACATACTGCGTGCTGCTGTTTTAGATCACTTCCAGATGCATTTTCAATCATGTGTAATGCAATTCAGCTTTTTTTCCCATTACAGTGAGACTCACATTAAGGTCTTTTTTCCCCTCTGTGGCTAAATTGTATCATTAATTCAACTGAATGTTTTTCTAATGAGATGTTTGTCCGCAGGAGAGACGTCTGCATATGTATGTCGTGTACTGTCAGAACAAGCCCAAGTCAGAGCATATCGTCTCAGAGTATATTGAGACTTATTTTGAGGTGAGTACTTTTTATTGCATTCCTTTTATGTTCCTGTAGCTTTCAAACTTGTCCCTGCTTTGTAGACGTTTAGGTGTGTAAATGACTTAAAGCTAAAGTAAATCAGTTGCCACAGTTGCTAATCACTACACCACTACTTGGCTACATTGGCTATATGAAATTGTTACCTTGACAACATTAGAAGACATAGCATCCTTCTAGCTTTTGACAAGGATGATCACAGTTATTATTAAATCTTCTTATGAGGAGATTTACTGCAGAGGGGGTCTGTTGGATTCCTCACTAAGCTTCATTTCCGGGTCAAAGGCCTGTGTCCATTGGTGGCCTTTTTTATGCTGGCAATGGCCACAACTCCAAATTCGCAGGTCTTCTCACTAATGCATACTGTTGATAGGTTACAAAAGTAACTTCTGCTTCCTTTTTTTTTTTAAATTGACCTGTTAAGTCTGTTTTAAATGCTCTTTTTGCTTTGTATTTGATTTAAATCAATTACATTTAACAAAGAAAACATAAAAATAATAAAAATTGTGTTAAATTAGCAGCAGCTCAAGACCTGGAAAATTTTAGCTTCATAAAAAGGGGGTGGTTAGTTTCTCCTTTATATGGACCCTTCAGTGTTGTTGACAAAATTGTTGTCAAAGTCCCGCCTCTCCTAAATTTTTATTGGTGGGTGAGAGAAAAGACACACTGATGAATCTGACTGTGTTAAAAGTTGATCTTTTTTTAACTGGGTGTACTGTGAGAGCAGCAACAAAAAACAGCTGATGGTAAGGATGTTTTTGTGCTCAGAACATTGACCAATGAAAACTGTATTGATTTTGAATTGAAAACATGCACCGGCAGCAGAAAAAAACACGAAACAAAGACCTGTCAGTGTGAACAGGCCCTAGTCCTATATTGATATTGTGGGTTATAAAGGTGGACAATTACATCAACAAGTTTAATCAGCTTGGCTACAAAATTCTGTGCCACACTTTTGAAAACTCTGACTTGCTCTTCTGTTATTTACATTTTAGCTTTTGCATTTTTAAAGCAGCTGCTGGCTGTACCAATCTGCAATAGCATCTAAAATTCAAAGACACTGATCCTCTGATATAGAAATAGGGAAACAAAGAATTCCTACTTAAGTCTGTGAACTTTCTTTTCAGGTGATGACTGAAATTTTTTTTTCAAATTCCAATTTTTTCTGCAAAATGTTGGTTTATTTATGTCAATGATTATTTCTAATTCAGACCACCTGCATTCTGATGTCATGTATCACCATTTCCCTCAGACTTGTAGTTGATAAGCTCTTTAGTATGCATAAACCAGTATGCATTCTGGTTCCATACTATACACATATATTATACATGGCCGTGTAGGTTATATTCTTAGCTACCATATATTATTCAGATTACTCCTTTTCACTGACAGTAAACACAAGACAAACAGACAGGCAGAATAATCACTGTGATGTATTGTCTTAGAGGGATTATGTTGGCCTGCAGCTGTTGTGTCGTGTGCTGTGGCTGTCGTGTTAACTGTTGTCGTGATGTGGTGTCCGTCTCTGTGTTCAGGAGTTGCGGCAGCAGCTGGGCCACAGGCTGCAGCTCAACGATCTGCTCATCAAACCCGTCCAGAGGATCATGAAGTACCAGCTGCTGCTCAAGGTGAATAGCAGAGCACTGCTGAGCTGTTGACACACAACAACACTTTCTCACACACAAACATTTCGGTGTCCACTGTGCAGCTGTCTGGCACACAGCGGGGTCAGTCACATGATTGTAAACATCATGGACTCATGCAAACAGCAGTCTAGAAACACAGATGACACACACACGCCGTAATGTCTACTTAGGCTACCTTCCAGCCGGAGAGGAAGAGGCAAATTACAAAAGAAGACTCTAATTCAAACAATTGTTTGTAACAGTCTTTGAAGAGTATCGTAAAATGACATCCTTGGAATAAAACTTAGTCCAAATATTAAACTTTGCCCCTTGGCATTCAAATAAAAGCTGGGTTTAGTCCCCATAAAGACTCCACCAGATGTCCTCACCTTATTTCAAGCAGTAAAACTGGAATACTCTGGTGACCATGCTGTTTTTATTTGGGCAGGACTTCCTCAAGTATTACACCAAAGCTGGGATGGATACAGAGGAGTTGGAGGTGGGTGTCCTAATGCAAAGTATTAGGATTTGTTTCTGATTTTTGTGATTTGTATATCAACTCTGCTCCTTTTCTAATACAGAAAGCGGTTGAAGTGATGTGCTTTGTGCCAAAGCGTTGTAATGACATGATGAATGTGGGCAGACTGCAAGGCTTCGAGGTATGTCTCCGGAATTTAGGCCATCCTTAAAGTCTCCAAAACATTTCTCATGCCAACTATTCAGCTCATTAAAACCTCACTGTGACCACTTCCTTTGTTGTTGTGTTTATCTCTACTGTCATACCAGGGAAAGATCACAGCGCAGGGCAAACTGCTCCAACAAGACACTTTCACCATCACCGAGCAGGAAAGCAGCTTTCTATCCCGAGCGAAGGAGAGGCGGGTCTTCCTCTTTGAGCAGTTGGTCATCTTTAGTGAGCCAATCGACAGGAAGAAAGGTTTCTCAATCCCAGGATACATCTTTAAGAACAGCATCAAGGTAGGCAGGCGCCTGCTGAGAATCAATGATCTGAGATCCATTAGAAAAAGAGAGTACATTTAACTCCCATGTTATAAGTTGATCAACAGATTGAGAACCACGCTAACTCTTGCCTACATCAGCACTCATTACATAACCCCACAGCAGGGACGTTTTAGAGGCTTGCATGAGTTAGGGAAGTGTTTAGCTGTGACTTTTCACAGATGTTAATCAGATGTGATATGTTCCAGGTGAGCTGCCTGGGGGTGGAGCCCAGCGTAGAGGGCGATGATGCCCGCTTTGTGTTGACATCACGCAACCCAGACGGGAGTGTGGTTCGCTTCCAGTTGCTGGCCTCCTCCCCGGAGATATGTCGGGCCTGGGTCAATGATGTTGTACAGATCTTGGAATCGCAGCGCAACTTCCTTAATGGTAAGTCCCTGCTGGGCTCTGAAGACAACGGAACATCTTTCAGATCGATAAATCATGTTTTAGCTTGCTGTGTTTCCATTTATTGACTGTGCTGTCAGATCTTACACAAAGGCCGCTCAATCGGTTCTAACTGAGAAGGTTTTTTTTGTTTAATTGAAGAGTCTTGTTCTATGTTTTCTGTTTAAAAAGTGAGAAATAAAATGAGATATAGTTGTATTCTGGCAAATTGATAACATGGATACGAACACAGATGGGGCTTTATTTTCTTATTGCTTAATCTTCCACATTATGTTAAGTTTACAACTAATTTTTACATATCTGCGTATTTATCATTGGAGCTGATTAAAATAGAGAGTGGAGCGCTACAAAAACTGCCATCATATTCTCTGTGTGTGTCAGCCTTACAGTCCCCTATTGAGTACCAGCGGCGAGAAAGCAAGTCTAACAGCCTGGGTCGCAGCATGAGACCCCCTTTGTCTGCTGCCAGTGCCCTCAGACCCCACTCCTCTGCCTCCATTGACCGCCACAAGCTTCCGTCCCTTCACTCTCACAACATCTCCTTACCCACGCTCTACCTGCCCAGCCAAGGCCAGAGCCAAGGACCCAGTGAAACGTTCCCACAGCGGGATGTAAGTGTCTTTAGATGTGCCTCTCTTTAATGCGCTCAAATGGTACTATAAAAACAGCAAATGGTTCTGTATACTGATAATGAGCTGACAACTTTTGTCTGCATTTTACAGCCCACTGTGGTCCAGCTGTGTCCTGCTGACCCCCACGCTGTTTCTCCGTCTCACGTCCAACTGGGCTTCACTGATCGGCCAAACTGTCAAGCTGTGTCAAATGGGCTGTACACTCCCACCACACAAAGTTCACAGGTAGAAATGCCAACATGGGGGCTTCAGTGTGTTATACAAACTGGCAGTCAATTGCACCTGGTTGAACATTTTGCCTGAATACTGAACACCAACATTCTGAGAGGAAGGGATAAAAATGAGCAGCAGGAAGCGAGGAAATAACAGAAAACAATGAGCCACAGTAAAATATCTGACAACAATTGTGGTGTGCTCGTTTATGTTCATTAAAAGATGAAAAGTCTCAGTGAATGGTGCCCTTTTATTAAGATGAACCTATGCTACAGAGGTCTCTGCAGATATACAAAGAGTTATTTCTCCCCCTTGTGGCTAAAAAGGGAATTTTAAGAGTCAGATGTTTTCTAGAGGAAATACGACATAATGTTTTCTGCTCTTGTTTAAGTTAGTTAAACATAAAAGTGTTTTCTATAATACACGACATTAACATCAGTCCTGTCTGTGCTTTCTTTATACTTTTACCATCATGCTTATCAAACAAATTTGATAGATAGATAGATAGATAGTTATACATAGATAGATAGATAGATAGATAGATAGATAGATAGATAGATAGATAGATACCACCAAAAATGCACCTCAAAGCAGCATTTAATATGTATAAATATGTCATTTATTGGTTTACGTTGTTCTTAGTTAACCTTTTAACTTTCTGTTTTCATCTTTTATTCCAACAAACTCCTCTAGGAACTGGTGTTGCAAATTAACATCAGTTATAAACATTATGACATTTGCATTGGATGGCTTTTCACTTCATTTGTGTGTATTGTACTTGTCTCAAACAAAGACACCAATAAGTTAGTAAGTCCTGTAGCTTTCTTCTGAGCGACAGTAACAATTTGAAAGTTAAGCAGAGAAAAAAAAAGTGATTTTATTTATTCTAAATTAAAGAATAACTTCATTTGTTTTCCTGGTTTTAAGAATTAACCCCACTCTTTGAACAACATGAATAGTGTCTGGACTTCCTCACTGTAGGTTGTACCTGCCTATTGTTGGGCTTAAATGAACTCCCCTCTGTCATTACTGAACTTGTTTCCTTCAATGGGACAGTGCAGACAGACCAGCTGTTGTTGTTCACTGCCTCTCTTTACTCAGTCTGGATTGATTTGATCCAAAACAGATAGGAAGCAAAGTTGATAATAAAATGTAAGATATGATTGCGTATGAGGGAGTCTTTCTACTTTGTGTGATTGTTAAATTTTCTTCCCTACAGAGGGCAGCAGAGGGCTGCAGAAGGGGCCAATCTGCTGATGCTGGGAACCAGCCTCCAATGTCGGGCCCCTCAGCTGGACGTCGCCCTAGCAACCTGGCTCAGTTGAATGAGGATGACTTATGAACCCTGGTATCATGTGTCTCCTGGGTCAGGAGCATGGCAGTTAATGCCACAGCTGTGGAGACAGGAAGATATGCCCCCTGCCCCTGAGTGACAGGCTGGACCTTGACCTGGATTAGTCAGGATTTTTAAAGAAAAATTGAGCAATCTAAAGAACTATGGGAAGGAATTATGGGCTGCAACTATAAAGTGACCTTGCTCCTGTTTTAGAGGGCTGTTCATATGGAGGTTACCAACCTCAGCCACCTTTGCTGTACATGAACAGCAGCCAGTGTGATGATACTGGGCTCAGAGTGAAAACACTAAGTGTTATGACTATTTCTTTTTTGAGTTTGTATACCACACTCTTCTCTCTTTCAAAGGGCGAGGGACATTTGTTTGATGAAGAAAATATCCATTCCGTACCGGGGCGGTCACTGGAGTTGCGTGTGTGCCTGAATGCATGTTTGTGTGTATGTGTGTTTGAGAGCATGAGAGGGTGCAAGGACTAGCAGCGGCTCCTCTTGTACGCTATTCTGGTTTTCTGATGCCCCATTGTGAAGACAAGAAGTACAGCTTCATGAACACATTTTTGTCATTCCCCTGCTGACAACTGAGTTTGCTGTTGATGTTGACAAGAACGGGAAAGAGCAGAACACTTGATGTGAACATGCCATATGGACTTGACTCACTTGAACCGAGAGTGAAGAACTTTCTTTGAGAGCTCCTGTGTGCTCTCTTATTCTGTTTGACAGGCCCTCCTTTGATCTGGACAAAAAAGGCGTGATAGAGCCCCCTGGAGGTTTTCTGTAGGTATGACGTCATATCAGAGTACTTTTTTTTTCTGTGGGCAGCTCCAGAGGAGTTGCTGGTGCAGGAGGCGCATTTTCAGAGGGACTGCTGTGCTAACCCAAAGTGTTGCATGCAACATCTCCTCAGTGATTGACTTTCACTATGCTACTTTACACAGATCATTCTGTACAGGCCGAAGTTGGGTGCTTGAAAGTGCGTTGGTTTAAACTAATATAATTTTTTTTTTTAAGTCCACTGATATGTCAAGGCTGTGCACCATTTTTATTATTTTTGTTAGCTTTAAATTCTGTACTGTACATACCATAAAGAAAAACGTGTACATTTCCAATGATAAAGGACGGCCCAAGAAATGTTGTTGTTGGTTCAAATGAAGGATGACATGTTGCTAGTTAACCAGAGTGATGCTGATGAATGCATGCTCTCTCCTATTCAGACAACTGTGCCAAAAACAGCAGCTCTCCATCATGCTTTTACTCCATATTGAGTTTGCCACTTTTCCTTTTAAACAAATGAATACCAGTGTTACTTTCTCAAATGAAACGGCCTAGTGACAAAAATGAAGTACTTGTCTTTGGCCAGTAGAGGTCCTCCAGAAGCTTTCACCTCTGCAGTTTAGTTTGATCATACAGCTTCACCAAAGATCAATGGGCTTCATATTTTAGGACTCGCAATGAAGGAAAAGCTGCTCAATAATCAATCTGAAATAATGAATTATGAAAGTTAACTAAAAAGTGAAACATTCAATGAGTTGAACCATCTCACAGTAATGATCTGCAGCTAATATGAAGGAGTGTGATTAACAGGGGGGTTTGACACTTTAACACACTAAGAGTTACACCACTACAGGGAACCAAAAGGCAGATGTAAAACCAGGAAAGGTTTGTTGATGCCTGTTGTATCATATCAAATAAAGAAACTTGTCTTTATGAAACTGAGTGTAGTGATACGTGCGCACTTAAATCTATTTACGCATTCATTTTTCTACAGTGGTTTCTTTATTTAGTTCTTGTTTTTGATAAATAATATTAGCCTAAAAATTCTCATTTCTTAGCCCTTATAATAAGAAATTTAGTTTAACTAAAATCTTTTTTATGCTGCAGACCCTTTGAAAGCCCGAGACTCCACTTTTGAGAGCCTCTGATGAAGACAAAAGCAGGGCTTGCTCTGGCATCCCCCCTTGGAGAAAGTTCAAACAGGATTAAAAACAAAGAGAAGAAACCCCTGGATGAGCAGACATCTGGTTGGCTGGCCTCTGAATGAAGCCCCATTCTGGGCAGTAAAGCAGAGCCGATCGTAACACGGCTGTGATATATGGAGGGGTCGGGTCGGAGGAGGGGGGTAGAGGGGTATTAACTTTCACAAGGGTGCAAAATCAAAGGGAGTTCCTGTCACCACTGAGGGGGTCTCGACAACAGGGGTCCCATTCATAGGGAATTCCTCTCCAGTGCCCTCTGTTGCATCTGTTGACTCAATCTTCTCCATTGAGAGAAAGAAAACACTCATTAAAGCCACATGACTGTGAACTTGATTGCAGCAGGCGAGACAAACAGCCCCATCAATGGATTGAGTATTTACTTTGAGGTGTGAAAATCATTGAACAGCCCACCATGTTAGGGCTTCTTTAGGGGCTTCTTCCTTCACACCTGCGGCACAATGACGGGCTTTTGTATTCTGAATGAAGTCAGATTATCATTTAAATAAAATGTTAGATCTTTTAGGAGCCCTGAGGGTGGCAAGGATTCACACACTTCTTCAAGGTGTTTAAAACAATTGACTTCCATGCATATCTACTTCACAAGTGTGTGTGAAAAAAAAAGAAAGAAAACAACATTTACAGAAACAGTGAGATTGTTCCGGCAAAGACAATATTTATTAAAATTGACATGCGGTCATAACCCCAATAAAACTGTTCGTGAGATTTATACATAATTTACAAAGAAGGTACAAACGTAACATGTTTGATTATCTGGAGCTTGAATGGTGTTTCATTTTGCTGCTTTAGAGCAGATGAAATAAATCTGCAGATCAGAGACTCATATCTCAAAATTGATCGCCACCTTGAAGTCAGAAAATTAGTTTCTGATTACTTTCTGAGCAAATAATTGTTTCTATAGAGCAACCGTCAACTGTGGTAAGGCATACACTTGTTAGGACATAATGAGAGTGTTAAAAGCAGTGTCAGGTAAATCTTTTAAGGTTTTGCTTATGTCTGCAACATAATACACATTGATTAATTTATTTACAACATGAGCCCTAAAATGTTGAAAAATTTCACATCATTTGAAATTAAAACACATCTTCTTTGTGAGATGAATCACTTTGATTTTTAGGTTAAATCTGTTTAAGTATTAAGTTGAAAAGCACACCAAAGTCAGTCAACTCTCACAATATTCCTTAAATGTCTTTATGATTCCTTTTTAAGGTGCCCTGCCTCAGACAGCACGCAATAACTTGAGTTAAAATTCATTTCTAAATATTTTTTTATGCTTCTACTTGAAGAGGGAAATCGTGAAGCAGGGTATGGTCAGGGAGCTTGATCCTTACCCTTTAGTGCAAACCTATGGCAGTAAGTGTGAGTCACACAGTCTGTTCATTGATGATTACATTTTATGAATGAAGCACCACAGTGGTCACTCTCTCTTGATATTTGCGAGCAGAGGGTCCGTGCTCTGTGACGGTGGCCCTGACCGGCTCTTCCGGCTCTGGTGGGTCTTGACATGTTTGGAGAGGTGGTCACTCCTCATGAACCTCTTTCCACACTGCTGGCACCCAAAGCGCTTCTCCCCTGTGTGAGTGCGGAGGTGCCGCTGCAGCTCATCTGAGCGGGTAAAACTCTTACCACAGAAGAGCCAGTTACAGATGAAAGGCCTCTCCCCTGCGTGCCACCGTAGATGGGCCTTCAGGTGAGAGGTCTTCTTGTACACTTTGCCACACTCTGGGATGTGGCAGATGTGTAGTCTCTTCTTTCCAAATTCCACCCCCCCGCCGTTGGCTTGGCAGTTTGGGCACTTGCAGCGGCGACAGCGGCGGGTGGAGCTCAGCAGGCCCTTGGAGGTGCCTTGGAGAAGAGCAGCTATTTGCGGTTGGTGCCCCAGAACCAGCTGCCTGCCTATAGAGAAGGGGTGGTTGGAAGGGGTAGTGTTGGTTTGGGGAAGGCTCCACCACTGCTGTGGCTCCTCCACATGGCCTCCAGATAGATGATGCCTGGTAGAGGAGTTCTGGAGGAAAGTGGGGAAGTTTTGTCCCACACTGTTGTGCTGAGGATAATAAGCAGAATTTGCCTGCGTCTGCGAGGACAGAACTTTGACAGGGGAGAGTTCGAAGGAGTATGAAGAGGGAGGCTCGGCTGGGGGAGTGAGGGGCAGCTCATGGTGGTGGTGGTGATGGGGATGATGATGATGGTGGTGGTGACCGAGGCTGGACTGCATGTGGCCAGGGAACTGCACCTTAGGCACAGTGAAGGTCATCTGGTGGGTGCTGAGGGCCGTGCTGGGTGCCATATCATTGCTCCAAAGCTGGAACATTCCTGATGTGGAGCTGACAGTACCCTCATATGGGAACTGGGAGCCTTCTGAGCCCATGGCGCCTCCAACCTGCCAGGCCTGGCTACAGGTGGTGGCCAGGAAGGATAGAGCGTTAGGCGCACCCTCTGGAGAGGAGCTGGGCGTCCGGTCCTGGGTAAAAATGCAGTAACATGCGTAAATACAGGGACACTTTGGTAGAAAAACAAAAACAAGAAAGCGTTTTCTCTTAGTTTAAATTTAATAAAACGCAACTTTTCTTTATAGAATTTGTTTTATACTCAAAATTGAAGCTGTTATTTGACACATTGTTCAGGCGTTAGCTCAAAGCTAAATTAGTGCCTTATAAATAAAATATAACACCATCAATAAAACGGCGTTAAGTATCACATTGCTAACAATTTGTTTTCTCTTACAAAATTTTAAGCAATGTTAATCTTCAAACTTTGTCTGACTTGCTTGTTTTAAGTGGTTTTAATCTTTGAAAATCAATTTACCTCTATAAAAAGTTAAATTGTTCCAAAGGGCTCAAACACCTTCAGTGTTTTTATTTCTTAATGGCTTCTATTAGTAGAAAAGCAGTTATGATGCCAGGTGTATTGCATTATTTAGCAAGAAAAAAAAAAAGAAAAAATAGGGAAAAAATGACCTACCTGTAAAAAGGTGTGCAAAAAGTTGTCAGTCCTTTGAATCGCCAGCGCAGCCATCTGTCCTCGCGCTCCTTCTTCACGCACCTGCACCACAAACTGCGTCGAAAAGCGACGACGCACAAAGTCGAAAGTGGAGCTCAGGAGACAAAGATGCTCGCATCCGCTTCTCGGGCAACTCTGACAGAGTAAAGTGGGAAATCCAGCGTCATTCAAACACCCCACACTCCACTCAGTTTTCGGTAGCCTGTGCTAGCAGTCCAGACGACAAGGAGTCGAAACAGCCGAGTGTGTGAAGTTAGAGGCGGAGAGGCGCACGCAGTAAATCCTCGCGATCATCTCACAGGCGCCTGAGCTGCATCTTCTCTTTATAGAGAGAAAAGATCCTCTCAACGGGGTCTCCAGTATGATGCACCGGAGCCACTCAATAGAGAGGAGATGAGGGGGAGAAAGGAGGGAGGGGGCTGTTAGGTGAAGGGGTGGGCTACTCATAATTTGACTGAATTTCAACCAAATGCTGACCCCAAGAGCTAACTCCTCCTCCAATTGTCTTAAAAGTAATTTAAAAAGACCTCCATCAATATATTCTTCTTACAGAATCTGAACTTCTTCAGACAACTCGTCACACCTCCTGCCACTTTGATTTTAAAATATCACCCCAAACCACATGATTTAAAAACACTCCTTTGTTTTTAAGTGCTTCAGCAACTTTGAATGAGAACATTTAGCTGCATATTTTACTCAAGTGCAAAAACGCTTAGTCTGCTAAAAAGATCTAAGATTAACACAGCCAGCTTAGTCAAAATAGTTCTCACTCTGGGAGTATTTGCATACTGCTTCAACTCCACTGTGGGAATTCAAGTAAAAATAGTAAAAACATGGAGTTTTTATTTTTGGTCTCAACTGTTGAAGCATTTTAGATGAAAAAGTAAAACAAAAAGGAATATGACCCTCAGAAATATTCTGTTACGAACAGGAAAGTATGAAAGATACAGTTTGATAACACCTGTTATTACTTTTACCTCAAGTTTTTATCCTTGGATGTGAAAAAAGGGTGGGGTAAAAGAATTCAGGTTAATTATTTCTATTTTAAAGTAATTAGGACAAAATACTTGACACGAGGATAAAAACTTAAATTGAATGTTGCAATTTGGCCTGTTTTTGATTTTGCATTTTACAAAGTAAAACTGGATTTTTTAGGTGTTATCCTACATAATTGTGAACTGTACACCTCTGAAAAATCCTTAATTAGTACAAGAAATAGAAAAAAACACCTTTTTTGTTAAAAGTAAATGACTCAGTATAAATGAGGTATTTTACCTGACTACATGATTGTTAGTTTTTGTAGATCACACATGACAACCTCATTGTTTTAACTCTTTAACTTGGTGACTTTGCAGGCGTCAAGCTCACACACACACTATGAAGACAGCCTCAGTGTTTTCCCTCACACAGCTAATTGATAAAACTCAATCAAAGCCTCTGAGTTCTCACCAGTGGGTGACACGTCAAATAGGCCGCCCTGTGTGACATTCTCACATTTAAGAGTTCAAGTAGAGGCCGCTTCAGATCTGCTCCATTAAATGCAGATTGAGGCTTAATCTCATTCTGTAAGTCTGTTCACCATTACAATGTTAAGAGTTTAAACCCAGGCTGGGAACCTGTTTCTCATGTAAATACAGAGTTCCTCACTGAAGTACAGCTCCCTGTTTCACAGACTGTGATCCTTAAATAAACACACCAAAGGAGGAGCCAGCTAAATGTAAAAATAAATGAAAGAAAACTTGTATAATTTATAAATGAATTAAACTGGGGATGTACCGTTTCTAGTATTTTGCAGTTCTTGTTCTAATGGAGAGAAGTTGAACAGTTGAGAAGTCTTGAAGATAAATTAATGGCAGTAAAGATAATCCCCACACAGCACCATTTGGTCAAGGCCTGTCTGAAGTCATTGTTATGGTGGGGGCAAAGTGGACTTCTCATTTTGTCGTGGACTCAGACACAGTTTATGACAAAAGGTTTATCCAGACTTACAGTTAAGTCAAACTCAGGCTCCCCCTGATAATACATCAGTCAAATTGTTTTATTTTTTAAAAAGCTGAAGAAGAAAAAAGAAATATATCTTTATTGTAAAATAAAATGTTAAAATGTAAAAGGGTGCAAACCAAATAAATGATCAGATTTAAAATACAGTATGCAACACAGCTACAAAAATGCTCCTTAATGGATTATAATCATCCAAATGTTTTTGAATTCATCAGGCTTGCAAAACATATTTTCAACCATTTTCTTAAATGATAACATCTGCAAAATGATGCTGCAGTTTAACTGTAAAACGTATAACACAAATCAACTTTACAAATATCAATACATATGATGTAATTCCAGCAGCACTGAGTAAAAGATTCTAATCTCACATTAGAGTAAACATTTAGGATGAACGTAAAAGTGCAGCGCAGAAAAAGAGGAGCGCATGAAGAGGACATGAAAACAGAAGTACATCTTGGAGGCAGAGGTATATATGTCTGCGGTTTATTACAGAGCAGAAGTTGTTAATTACCCTGATTCTTATTTCCTGTCCCCTCTCCCCCCCAACCACCACCATCACCACCACCACGCCACCCCTCCCCCACTGTACTGCCTCCCAGATGAGTGGCTTTGAAGTGCAAAGTACTCTCTCCTCACTTTGAACTGTGAAAACAATGCTCATGTGGTGGTGCTTACCTTCCCCATGTTACCTCATTTAAATAGACCTGGATACAGCCCGCACCGTTTTCAAGGGAAAACTCATTTCCAGAGAAAGAGGTCCCTGTGTTCATTAAACAGCTGGTGAGATTGCGAGTAATCAGGCCCTGCTCCGTCATACGCTGCAAGCTGCTCCGACTGGGCGGCTATCAGAAAATCCAACTTCAAAACTGACACAGACTAAAACCCATCAAGGTGGTACAGACACTTCGACGTACTGATTTCGAAACAAAATGACAACAATAATAAAAAGAAGAATTAGTGACACTTATTTTTAATCTGTAGAAACCTGTGTTTTGGTTTCAAACATAACCTCACTCTTAAGCTCCTAAAGCTGAATATGCAAGTGGCTTTTCAAGCTGTTTTTATCATGCCTGGGGGGCAGTTTAAAAGTCTCAGATCACTAAATTGTCCCAGCTGTCTTGACCATCTGCACTCAAAAAAGGGCAGCCACAGAGGAGAGCAGCCTTTGTACTGGTGGCCATGTCAAAAAGCCAATTTTACAGCAGTGTGACGCTCACTCAACGGCCCTCAAGTGACAAATGTGGTCTAATGGATGAGACAGACAGCATGTAAAAGCCTGCTGCTAACTGTAGAGATTCGGCCTGTAACCATTCAGTAATCGGACAGGACAAGATGGGGTCTAATTACCATGACACTCAGCTTCTTTATCATGAGGAGAAACACCAACAGCTGGACTTTACAGTGCAGCTATCAGAGAGCTCGTTCAGGAGTCTCTTTCCTGTGTCCTATGGAGTCAGAAATGTGGACTATTGTGGGGAAGAAAGAGACTTTAGTTGTCAGAATAAGGCGCACTGATGAAGTCTGCAGTGTATGAGAAAATAAACAAATCATTCCAACCATGAGTCAGTAAAAAAACTAATTACTTTAGTGATGCACACTATTTTATCCCAAGTTTATCTCATGTGATCCAAATTTTCTGATATCAGTGGACAATGTGGGGACTGAAAATCTAACCTTTACCAAATATGTTTTCTTTCCATTCAGTCTCTTAAACTTTGACCTCTGCATGCCAGAGTTTCATTCAATTTATTAATTTCAAAATTTTAAAATAACTACTATAAAGTAAAAAAACCAACCTTTTTTTTTCTTTTTAAACTTGCAATCATAAGAAGCACACACGATTAATTAATTTTGTTGTAATAGCTTTATTGATTGGACCATTTCACAAACTTTTTGTGTAATTCAGTTATAAAATATTTCATCAGAAGTTGATCTAAAGGTGGATGAATTCAAAGTAGTTTTTTAATTGCAGAAAAGGAATGGGAAAAATGTTTTATTTAACCTTTTTTTCCAGGAAACAAGTTTAACAGATCATTTTAGTTTCTTGCAGTTAGACTCTATAACAACGACTCAAATCACCTAAAACTCAAAAGTCTTAAATCTAAGCAGGATTCTGTAAAGATTCCCTCTCCTGTAGTTTACATTGCTTAGTGTGCGAGAAAAGCGTAAACTATCTTAATTCCCTCATCTCTTGTCCATTAGCATGTATGAAAACCCCAAAATCTCCACTCCTGGGCAGATGCAGGCAGACAGCACGCATCTCCACTTGTCAAAGAAAACTTTTATCAATACCAAGAGCACTTGAAGTTTGTTTGCATTTTGTTTTCCAGCACTCTTAACAACTTCAGAAGTCAGATCACAGGAGTATCTGATCAAAGCGCTTCGTGGTTAGTTCTGGAAACACAGGAGTGCTACGCCACGCTTTGATACTCTACATCAATATTTCAATTCAACAATCACTTGACATGCACCCATACTCCCAGAGACGAAAGACGAAAGGGAAGAGAGAGAGGGCGAGTGAGGAAGAAAGAGAGAGAGAGAGATAGAGAGAGAGAGAGAGAAAGGATGATGGAGGTTTTTGTGAGGAATATATTTAAAGAAATCCCTCATCTGTGTGGCAGCATTAGCCTATATAATGAGCCATTTTGCCCTTTTCTCTTAAAGTCTTGAGTTTTACCTTCAGTCACTTAAGTTCATCATGAAAGACATTCAAACTTTATGATTCATTGCTTTGCTTGACTGCTGTAGACTTTTACAATTGTCATCATTTAATCTTAAGCAAAAGTTCTTATACGCCTATCAGTCATTTCTGCCAGTGATACTCCCATTATTACAGCAGAACTAAATCATGTATGCTTTCCCGTCTGTTTTCCTGTCTCTGTCTGCCACCCTCCTTCTGCCATTACCTTTATCCAACTTTCTCAGCCCATTGAAGCAGATGGTGGCTCTGGCTCTGCCTGAAGTTTCAGGCTGTCAAAAACTATAAAGCTTTTTCCTTCTCGCTATGAAGTTCTGGCTCACTGGTGGATTAGTGTTGTATATGATTTTATTAATATCACAGAGAGTGCTATCTAGACCTGCCTTTACGATATTTCTATTTCTTTTAGTGGTTACTTTTATCCAAATGGACATACATCTGAGAGCAAGAGCAACATACGTAGAGATCAAGAAAGGAAGGAAACAAACTGCTTGAGGTCCCATAAATGAACATGTTTATTGTAAGCTTGTGACATACTGCTCCCACTGTAGATCCCACTGTAGCTGTGAAAAAATGCATAATAAAGGATTTATTGATCCTTCAAGGCAATAATCTTTACATTTTACTGTCTTATT